ATAGGTAGTAAGAATAATTTTAATATAGGAAGATAAGAATTATAAACTTTACCTAATTATATTTAATAGAAGGAAGCTTAGTAATATAGAAAGAAACTATCTAATATAAGAGAAGGAGCTACTTATAATAAAAGAAATTCTTTAGAGATAGGATTACTATATTAATAATAGAAAGATAATAATAGTAGTAACTAATTATAAGAGCCTTTAATATCTTATAAATATAATTAAGTATTTAAAGTAGCTTATCTAATAGGTAAAAGAATTCTAAAGTTATAACTTAGAAATCTACTATTAAAAAAATAGTAAAGTAATAATACTAGATATAATTAGCTAATATCCTAACTTTATAAAAGAAGGGCTAGATAATATTACTAAAAGAACTTTACTTAATATACTAGAAGTATAGGAGATAGTAGAGATAAGATATTTTAAAAGCTTAAATAATCTTATAAAGTATAAATAATATAATACTATAGTAGAATACCTAGAGCTATAGATCTTACTATAGGATAAAAAGAAGTAGGAGCTTATACTAATAATAGCCCTATCTTTTAAACTAAAAAAAGAGGTACTATACCTCTTACTAAATTAAATTATAAATAAATAATATTTAGAAGGATAATTTATATATTACTAGAAATTAATTTATATTATAGATATTAGAGATACCCTATACCTAGAGATTCTATTCTAAAGAGACTTCCTATAAGAAATATATAGAGAATATAGCTATATAGACTATCTAGTATTACTAAGAGCTATTAAAACTTAAGCCTAGTAGCCTTCTCTATAATATAATATTTAAGCTATAATTAAGGAATGCCTAAATTATTAAATATTATAAGGATTAAAGAAATATCTTAAATAGGAATAGTAATACTATATAGTAAAGAAAGGTATCTAGCCTTTTAAATACTAAGGTATTAATCTTATTAGATACCTATTAATAATATTAAATAGTAATAAATAGATTATTACTATTATTAACTATATAATAGGATAGGTTATTATAAAAGCTATTCTATATATTATAAATAAAATAATAGTAAAGTTCCTATATAAAGAGATATTTACTTAGTATAGCACCTTTAATAAGATAATATCTAATAATAGTATAAACCTTCTATCATATATAATAGAGATCTTTATAAAAATCTTAAAAATAAAATATTATATAATAATACTAAATCATCCCTATATAAATAGAAAGAATAAAAACCTTAATAGACTCCTAGGATAAATACTTATAAAATATTTAATAGGGAAACTAATATAGCTATAGGATAAATATCTTTATCTAGCTATATTTATAATATAAATATATACCTATATAAATACTAGTAAAAGCCTCTTCTACCTACTATATAGGATTAAACTAAGATTACTAGGAGATATAAGAGAACCTATAAAGAAAAATAATTATAATAAACTTATAAGAGTAATATATATATAAGTACTAGTAAATAAGAAGCTATTAGAATATATAATTAAGAGAGGGATAATCTAAGATTTATAAATAAAAAAAATTATCTTAAGAAGAGCTAATAAGTCCTTATATAAAATAAGAGCCCTTAAAAATTTAAGAATAAGTAATTTAAGTTATATAAGATAATTAAGATATACCCTCTTAAAATATATATATTATAGGAACTAGGTAGATATACCCTAAAGAACCTTATTAATAGATAGAGACTAGTAAAAGTAGAGATAAAAAATAACTTATAATATCTATAGATATTAGTAAGCCTTAATACTAGGCTATAAAAAGTAGGCCTATTAATCTCTAATTTAATTAAAATATAAAAGGTACTTAATAAGACTAACCCCCTAATACTATTATATAAAGAATTATTATAGTATATAGTAGAAGGATATAATAAATAAAAATATTTAGAAGAAAGTTTATAATAAGTAGGGGAGAGATTAGAGATATAATATAAAATAAATAAATAAAAAACTTAATATACTAGTAAATAAAAATTAGTAAGGAATAGCTATCTTATATAATAATAAATAAAGTTACTAAAGCTATAGAATAATAAAGACTTAACTATTTTAGATAATAAGGACTAAGAGGGAATTTAAAATAATAATTTAAAATTAATATCTTAAAAGAATACTAGAGAGATAGATTTTAAAGAATTATTTATAATTATAATACTTTCTTATTAGAAGTAAATAGAGTAGTATAAAGATAATATATTTATATAAATAGATTAGAAAATAGTGCTATACTAGAATTACTTTTCTAAGAAGAAGAAAAGGAATTATAGATTAATAGATTTTATTAATTATAAAGAAAAACTAATTATAATAGGGTATTAAGAATTATATTAATTAACTAAAGTAATAAATAATTATTAATTAAAAGTCTAAGTTAAACTTTATATTAAGAACCCTATAAGATAAGGCCTTAGCTAACTAGAATAAATTATTATTATTACTAAGAGGAGGTACTAATTCCTCTAGATAAGCCTTAATATAATAAATAAATACCTAAAGATCTAAGAGAACTATAAAAAGATTATAATAATTACCCTAGTTAATATAACTTACTAGCTAGAGAATATAAACTCTATTAAAAGAATTTTTATAACTAAGTAATAATAAAGAAGAATAATACCTAATAGGGCTCTTTATTAGAGCTACTAATAAGATACTTACTAAAGTATAAGAAGAAGTTACTATAATAGAATTAATCTAAGAGAGAGAGGGAGTTAACCTAATTAAACTATCCTAAATAAAAAAGGGAGTTACTAAAGAAGAACTATCTTAAGTAAGAGAGGGAGTTATTAAAAAAGAACTAACCTAAGAATAAGATAGAGTTACTATAGTAGAATAATATCTCTTAATTAGACTAATTACTACTATTATAGAATATTTTAAAAAAAGATAATACTTCTTAGCTAGAGTCTTCTCTACTATAGGAGAAGAGCCTTTACTATAAGAAATACTAAAAGGACCTACCTCTATTATAAAGAAATTAATATTATCTTTTATACTAGACTATATATACTTATTATTATTTAGAGAACCTTTACTAGTATTATTATCTAACTTCTTACTATAATTACTAATTATTATTACTAGCTTAGTAGACTAATTATATAACTTATTACTATAACTAGTAAGGAAGCTAAGACTACTAGCTTAAATAATAGATTTATAAAAGTAAAAAAAATTAGAAACTATAGATAAGAAATATTTATTAAAGAGAATATATACTTATTAAGAGTATTAGAATCTTATATATAAAAGCTCTATATATAGAATAAATATACTAATCTTTAATTACTCTAAGTATAGTTAGTATAAGACCCCTAAAAAAATATAAATCTATTATAACTAGGAGTAGAGATATATCCCCTAAAGGAATCCTTATCTAAAGAATAATTATTATAAGCTAATATATAGTTATAAGATATACCTTACTACTAAAGAATAATAGCTAATATATAGTCTAAGTAAGTATATTTCTTTATATTTAGCTTCTTCTTCTTATTAAACTTCTAGGTAATTAAATAAATAATATCTATTACCTTTAATATATTTTTATTAGGCTTATTAAGATAAGCTTCTATTACTAGTAAGAGGTAATTACTAAAGCTAAAAAAAATACTTACTAAACTTACTAAAAATAATTATATTCTTTTAATAAATAAGATAATCTTTATTCTTCTTTTATAGGGTGCTTATATTTACTAAGTATAAGAAGAATATAAGAGATTAATATATAAAGAAAGAGGATTATTAAAAGAAAATAGTAATTAATATAATAAAAAAGAAAGATATTTATAGAGAAGAAAAGAAGAAGAGAAAGAGAAATATAAGAGATAAAAAGAAAATAAGTAAGATAAAGTAGAGTTACTTAAAATTAAAATAAATAATATATAACCTTACCTTACCTCTACTATAATAATCATGCTAGTAACTCTACTTACTAAGTAATCTAATACTACCCTCTAAGCAATCTAATACTACTTACTAAGTATAATCTAATACTACTTACTAAGTATGATCTGATGCTACTTACTAAGCATAATCTAATGCTACTTACTAAGTATAATCTGATATTACTTACTAAGGGTGAATCTAATCCTACTTACTATATATAATATTACTCTCTTAGACTATAAGTAGCTAGATAACCTACTAAGGATGGGCTTCACCTTAAGTAGGGGAGGATGTAATATTAGTAAATAAATATTATAAGTAGATTAATAATTATTAAGGTTAACTCTAGGTTACTAAGGTTAACCTAAGAAATCTCTATAATATCTATAACTTATCTTTAGATAGATAGCCAGTAGCTAGGTATAAATAGAAGATCTTACCCCAGGTAAGTGAAGAGGCATTAGCCCAGCCTATTTCTCTTCACCCCTGGTGATACTACCTTACCCTTGGTAATTCCAGTAGTAATAGTAGTAGCTTCTATAGCTAGACTAGGGATTAAGGGATATATACTAGTCTAGGTATCCTATCCTCCTATATATATATATAGTAGTATAGTCTAAATAGGATAGCCACTAATAATATATGACTACTACTTCCTAGGAGCCTCCAGCATGGCCTAGCTCTGTACTATAACAAAGTAAGGAATAAATAAATCAATTAATCAATCAATCAATCAATAAATAATAGGAAGGCTAAGTAGTAGAGATACCTCTTAGTAAAGCTCCTATACTGATATTCAAAGTATAAGAATAGTACTTTTTCTTTACCTATATTTTAGTCATGGCTTTTCTATCTATAATAAACTTTGATTTCTGGGCCACATGGCAATGAACAGAGTATAAATAGTACATACCTGAAATTATAGGCGGTCAAGTGGGAAAGAAATGGATAAGTGTGGTTATTTTTACCCCTCCACAAATATGTTCATGATATTTCTACCCCTCATATCATCCCAGTGAACATCCATACTTGCTTTGTGCCTCGGTCTTCCCACCACAAATTCACTGACCCCAATTGAAGACACATTTATCTCTGTGTTCAGAATGATTGATCTTGCTGACTTTGTCACTGACCGTGGTGGCGACATCAATAAAATCAAGGAGAGCCAGCGGAAGCGCTTCGCACCAGAGGATATAGTCGATGAAGTCGTTTCGTTGTACGAGGGAGCTCGTCGAGGTACATATTCCATCTCACAAATCATGACAGTCTGGGAGAAAGGGAAGAATGGGGCAAACAAAGAACACAAAACAAAAGAGACACAACATAGCTAATTCAAAGTACTGCAGCACGCTATGAGGTGATGCAAGTGGGATCTGAGCTCAACACGCTCCAAAAGGAGATTGGAAAACGAAAGAAGGTTTGTTGTACCAAGAAACTATGGCTTTCTTTCACGATTACCGTTCCTTTCCCTGTCGGTCATTCGCTAAATTCCAGGACGCTTTAGAATAAGGAAGACGCGGATGACTTGATCCAGAAGAAGACCGCTCTTGAAAAACGGAAGAAAGAAGCAGAAGAATATGCTTCCCAGCTGGAAGTCAAGAGGGATGCTAAGATTCGAATGATTGGAAACTACGTCCATGAGTCGGTGCCTGTCAGCAACAACGAGGTGGGCGGCTTATCTACCATTTCTATGCCGAATGCAGAAAACTTACCTACCCAAAGGATAACAACCAAGTGGTGAGAACTTGGTCACCCGAAAACGCAGTGGTTGAGAAGCGCGATTGCCTTTCCCACCACGAGGTTTTGACCCGGCTTGATGGATACGACCCGGAGCGAGGTGTGAAAATTGTTGGCCATCGGGGGTACTGTCTTACGGGTTATGGTCTCTTTTTGAATCTTGCCCTTATCAATTATGGGCTCGAATTCCTCTGGCGGAAGGGGTACACACCCAATCAGCCTCCTCAATTCATGTTGAAAGAATTGATGGCGAAGACTGCACAACTTGAACAATTTGATGAAGAGTTGTACAAGGTCACCGAGAGCGAAGACAAATCCACTGATAGGTATCTCATCGCCACATCAGAGCAGCCATTGTCGGCGCTGCATGATGGGGAATGGCTTCAAGACAAAGATCTCCCAATCAAGTGAGCTAACGAGTCTTCCCTGATTTTGAAATAAAGCTAATCGTTAGTTTGAAGGTACGCTGGATACAGCACCTGTTATCGAAAAGAGGCTGGTGCGCATGGAAAAGATGCATGGGGTATTTTCCGAGTTCACCAGTTCGAGAAGGTCGGCTTCAATGAACTTCCCCTTTGTCCTTTTGGCCGTCGCTTACCCCCTTATAGATCGAACAATTTGTTCTTACCAAGCCTGAAAACTCTTGGGAGGTCTTTGAAGAGATGATGGCTACATCTGAGGAGTTCTATCAATCGCTTGGACTTCCGTACCAAGTCGTTGCTATTGTTTCGGGGGCTTTGAACAATGCTGCATCTAAAAAATATGACCTTGAGGCTTGGTTTCCATTCCAGGGGGAATATAAGGAACTCGTCTCCTGCTCAAATTGCACCGACTACCAGGCACGGGCTTTGGAAATCCGTTACGGTACTAAGAAGGCCACGGATGTTAAGAAGTCCTATGTGCATGCTCTCAATGCCACCCTGTGCGCCACAGAACGCACTCTTTGTTGCATTCTTGAGAATTATCAAACAGATGATGTGAGTGCCTTGGTGATCAAAACATATCTAAACATACCCACTGACGCCTAATATAGGGTCTCAAGGTGCCTGAGCATTTGAGGAAGTATATACCCGGTGCACCTGACTTCCTACCTTTCACCAAAGAGCTTCCTAAAGACACCACGTCTCAGAAACAGAAAGGCAAGCAGGATTCCAGACGTACAGCTGGCACTGAGGAAACCACAAAAAAGTTACAGGACTTGCAGGTGTAGTGTCTTGTTTTGGGCCATTCCTTTGAGAAGTCGGGGCTCCACTTGTACAGCTTTACTCATCGACCGGGGTAGATAATGGTGCATAGCGATGGAAATGCGTCCGCTTTCCGGAACCCCACTTCGAAATTCTCACAGCCCCAGCCCAGGGGGAGAAAATAACAGGTGCTGTCAGAGGCATTTTGGTTGATGAGCTGAACAGATGGACCGATCTAGCCAGATACCTGTCTATTCCGAATTCATGAATTATCAGTGTAATTCCAGAGATGGCCTTTCGATTTCGTAGTATTTTCCCACGATGATATTATCCAAAGCTACACTACCAGACTGAGTTTAATACCAGATCACGCAATGGTTTTGCCGTAACCCTTATTGGCTTGCTATGAGCTCGGAGCACTGTTGTTGATTACTAACCACGTATGGAGGGGTAAAACTTGATAGCCCCGCCGCTGAGCGCAGATGACTCAATCCAGTCAATTAAGTTACGCTCAATAAAAAAAAAAGTGTGGTCTGCACTGGCGTCCGATTCCGGAGAGTCATTATCCTATGTGTCGATATACGTATTTTTCTTCCCATCTCTAATTCTTTTCCCTTCCCTTTTTTTGGTCTTCCCTTCGACTGAAATTGAAGGTGATCTTTACATCTGCTAATTCCAATTGGTACCCATACTACATCTCCATTGCTCCCTTGATACATTGAAGTCATGACATCTGCTAAGGACATCGGTCAACATCGGGACACGTCTGGCCTCAACATCTTCGCGAATCCAAATCTTTCTACCTCTCCCACAGCATCTTTCCAGTCTGCACCATCGAGTCATGGAGGCTCTCTCTTCGCAGGACGTACTGTTCCTTTACCGAACGCGAAGCACTTGAAGCCATTCGCCACAGAAGACATCAAAGTTCTGCTCCTAGAAAATGTCAACCAGACCGGTAGAGATATTCTCACAGGACAAGGCTACCAAGTCGAGTTTCTTAAATCGTCTCTTCCCGAGGATCAACTTATAGAGAAGATCCGGTTTGTCATGATGGAATATGCCATGCTGCACCCGAGCTGACTGCGACGTATACAGTGATGTACATGTGATTGGCATTCGTTCAAAGACGAAGCTGACAGCCCGCGTGCTGAAGGAAGCTCGTAATTTGATTGTTATTGGATGTTTTTGTATTGGAACCAACCAGGTTGACCTCCAATATGCGGCCGCACATGGCATTGCGGTCTTCAATTCCCCATTCAGCAACTCTCGGAGCGTGGCCGAACTGGTCATATCTGAGATTATTGCTCTGGCTCGTCAGCTTGGTGATCGCTCAATGGAGATGCATGCTGGTACTTGGAACAAAGTAAGCACCAAGTGCTGGGAAATTCGGGGGAAGACGTTGGGTAAGGGAGTTGGCGTTTTTTTATTCTATACCTTACTTTCCTTTTCTAACCTATTGTTCTGTTCTATCTTCCGCACCCCGAAATGGAGGCTGATTCGTGACAGGAATCATCGGTTACGGTCACATCGGAGCGCAGTTGTCGGTACTGGCTGAGGCGATGGGCATGTCGGTCATATTTTACGATGTCCTGAATCTGATGGCCTTGGGTACTGCTCAGCAGGTGCCGACTCTCGAGACTCTTCTAGCCAAATCAGACTTCGTAACATGCCATGTCCCCGAGCTCCCAGAGACCAAGAATATGATAGGGCCGCAACAATTTGAGCAAATGAAACAAGGGTCCTACTTGATCAATGCTTCCCGCGGAAGTGTCGTTGACATCTCTGCGTTGATCCACGCGATGCGTTCTGGAAAGATCGCCGGGGCAGCCCTCGACGTCTACCCGAATGAGCCTGCTGGTAATGGGGACTACTTTAACGATGACCTCAATACTTGGGGCTCGGATCTTCGTGGTCTCAAGAATGTTATTCTGACCCCACACATTGGAGGCAGCACAGAGGAAGCGCAGAGTGCTATTGGTGTTGAGGTGGCACAGGCTCTAGTACGATATGTCAATGAAGGGACTACCCTTGGTGCAGTCAATCTTCCTGAAGTCACGCTTCGCTCTCTCACGATGGACGAGCCAAATCATGCTCGGGTACGTCCAAACGTGGTTCTAGCCAATCTGATCTACGTCACAGCTAACACTCGCTCCAGGTGATTTACATTCACCAGAATGTTCCGGGAGTCCTTCGGAAAGGTGAGGCTTGACCAGTCATCTCAAAAATCTGCTCTGTTCTAACATCCTCTACCTAGTGAACGAAATCCTTGGTGATCACAACGTCGATAAGCAGATGACCGACAGCAGAGATGATGTATGTTGTTTTTCTTCACACATTCGTTGCTGGCGAAGACTAATTTGTGTCCAGGTCGCCTATCTCATGGCTGACATCAGCGATGTTGACAACTCCACCATTAAGGACTTGTATGAGAGACTTGAGAGTCTGTCATGTATGTATAATCTCTTCTATCTATGTTGATGGGTTGCTAATTTGTTTCAATTTCTCAGCCCGGGTTATGACACGGATACTCTACTAAGTGTGCATTGGTCCCAATCAACAACCTCTCTTGCCCATATTGGATCATTCTGCTTCCAAATTATAAGAATGCATTGTGACCTCATGTTAAAATAATTTGAAGGGACAGTCTGTTTTGCATCGTAGAATAGGCAAGTCCACATTTCATACAGTGCATTGTTAGAATAGTCTGGCTACCGCATGCTAGAATTTTACAGTCAAGACCCGATGAAACATGATTTCATGGTAGACGAACATAACAATATGATTTTAAAGCCCCATGGAGATAGTGTTTGGTATTCAACTACACCAGGATGAAAATTCTAATTCTCAGCATATCGGACAGCTCCTTTAATGAAACAGGTGGAATGCAACCTAACTTAAAAGTAAGAACCCGCATTCCACTGAATAAGACTGTACTGAACAGCTAATGAACAAACCACCAGATAATTGATACGGCCCATCAGCGGGGCTCCATTGTCTGAAATTATGATCGGATATTTCCTATGACGCTTGAGATCAGTATTTCATCGTCGATAAGGCATCCGGTTTTCAGTTCGCGCCGATCTGGAGTCCGGGCTCCGGCTTCGTTTCCTCGACGCGTGTTGATTCCGACCTTGATCCCATTTGAGTGACTCATGTGGTTGCTCATGGTCAAAGTCGCGCCGGTCAATTGAGGTAGGACTATTTCCTGCCCTTTCTCGAGTGCGGTTCATATTGCTGTAATGCGGGATGTAGGAATCCGCTTGGCCTTCAGGACGCCCCCCGGAGCGGTTGTGCTGATTGTTTTCGCGTGTCGTTCTGTTTGGATGGCCAGTCGCCCAGGCCTGATGAGCAGGTGCTGGAGGCTTAGGTGGCAACCCGCCTTCTTTAGATGCGGTTGATTCATCCGTCACATGAGCAATAGATGCTTCGGTGTTTCGACCATCGAAGAAGCGTTTTCTAGGATAGTCTGGATGGGCATGTGGTCGCGACCTGTCAGATCGAGTAGTACTTGAATAGCGATTGTTCCTATGGTCCGTCATTGATCTCGACGTTCTAAGACCGGAAAGCGTCGCCCAGCCTCCGTTAGGGTCCATGCCAACCGAGCCTCCCGTAGGAGCCGGAGGTATAGGACCTTGTTGGCCGCGTAATCGCCTTTTGTCAAACTCATGGGAATCAGCGAAGGTGGGTAGCTCACTAGGTCGCGCTGGAAACGGAGGACTGGAAAAGTAGGGATGTTTTAACGCATCGTTCGCATTGATTCTCTTCCGCCAATCGAGTTTCAAAAGCTCGCTGAGGAGAGAGATTGCCATTGGGTTCAGACTGCTACACCGTCAGGTATGATTCCCAACCATAGGGGCGCGTTCTGATCAGTCTTGGATTAAGCAGGTGTCAAGTCTTACTCTTTGAATACCTCACGCAAGTTGCCTGCTTTATAGGCGAAGCTTTTGACACCTTCACAGCCAGGTAAAGAGCTCCACCCCGGCATATTCTCTTCTGTAGGTGAACCGACGAGATTGAATATCAGCTGGGCTTGGTTGAGGTCACTACTCCCAGCAAGAATTGGCTTTCCCTTGAACATCTCACCAAACACACACCTAACTCGTCAATGAATCAAAATTTCTCAATGAGCTCTTGGAAAACCTACCCGACACCCCACATATCGATGGCAGTTGTATAGCGTCGAAGCTGCAGCAGGAGTTCCGGGGGGCGATACCATCGTGTGACAACTAACGTAGTATAGTCCCTTGTAGCCTCGCCCCCACCTTTTCCAGGTTGAGGAGGAGGCTCGTCAAATGGTCGAGCCAACCCAAAATCTGCTATTTGAAGAACACCCTTGTTATTGATTAACAAGTTGGCAGCTGGAACAAAGTCAGCGAGTGAACGCATTGCAAGGTTGATTTGTCGCTGGTCTTCACGAGCCTTTCATGTCACGATGCAGGATACGGTTCTATCAAGTGGTCAGAATACTTGCATGGGTGTGGCAACAAGAACATACTTCATGCAGGTATTGAAGCCCCTCAAGGAGCTGGAGCATATAGCATTTTATTTGAGGTTCAGTAAAGTGAACTGCTGGATTCTCCAGTAGCCCAGAAAGATCATGCTCCATGTAGGGTGTTACCATGTACATACTTGGCTTTTTGCGGCCCTCGCCTACCCAGCATTAGCTTCCCTGCTCTGCGATACTAGGATAACCTGACCTTTGCTACGCTCCACGGCCATCTCCCTGAGCTGTAGAATGTTGCGGTGTGATAGCATTTTCAATAATTTGATTTCACGAAGGGCGGTGATAGGAAACTATATCACAGGTGATCAGCACACATTCATGCTATGTTTGATCAAATGACCTGACTCCGTCTTTCTCATTGTGCATGAGAATCTTTTTGAGCGCAACGAGAGATCCATCTTTTTTGGAACGGGCCTTGTAGACCTCCCTGTTAAGGATTTAATGTTGAAAGACCACAGTATCACAGCCTGAGATACTAACCCAAAGGTACCCTCACCAAGCTTTCCTAGGAATTCAAAGTCACGAATACTGGTACAACCCCGGAACCTGGGATTGCCGCAGCCATTCCGTTCAAGAGATGCTATTGCCATCCCTTATGGAGACTGAGTTTTCCGGAGTAGCTAAGCATGCAATGAAAATTGCACAATGGATGTTCTCTTTGTGCTTTTGTTGATTGACTTAATAAATGAGCCAAGCTGCAGTTAGACAAAGTGACTCTAAATGAATTAATTGCCTGGGGAAGTTCGAGAACGGTGATAATAGTTGATCACCCTGGGATGAGGTAGAGCGTCAGCCTTCAAATAGATCTAAGGCTCCTATTTATCTTGTCACCGCTTGTATACCATGGACCCAACGTAGCCCCGGGCAGGACCTTTTTATTTCGTTGAAGGTGAGTTGCTTTGGCAATGTCGGCATTGCACAGAAGATACCCGGACACCCCGTATGGAGCAATATTCCAAGTCACGTGGATTACTGTGACTGATGAATGGAACTTGCCGATGCGGATCAACCACTACACTTCATCAACCCTCGCTTCTTTACTTCGCGCGAATCTCGAACACCCGATATTGTCTGGCTTGAGCAAGTATGATTTGTTCCGAAGCTTACTGGTATATTTGGACTGACGGAGTTACCGCCAGTATGGCTGCGAGCCACCCCATCCATATTCACCCGGCGCGGCCGCTTTATCGCTTCACAGCAACTGCTCTAGGTGCGAGCATGTGGTTCTTCGTATGTGCCATTTATCTGCATTCGCAATTTGATACTCTGACGAATAACGCTAATGTGCAAAACTTGTATTTCCTGCAGCTCATGTATCGAGCTAAGAAGGATGGTCCAGCCCTTCTAGGTTGGAAGCATCCGTGGGACCATTGATAGTTGCACAATCATTCAGCAAGGCTACAATACGAGTCTATACTCATTGCATACACATCGAATATTCTGTTCTATTTGCCCGACGAGGAAAGAATGCGCGGGAGGCACAGTCCTTTCATAGAAGTCATTGTTAGGATGATGCACCCAGATCGTGCCCTTATGTTGAATCGATCAAGGTTATATTGATGTACTCACCAAGTGCTAGCATTCATTGCCGCATTTCATCAAGTAGCACTTTGTATTGGCGGCGCTGCTTGTGATAACCAGGCTGCAGCAGCGGTTTGAGACGACCAACGGTTCGAGACAAGCTGGGAAATAATTTGCGTTCCGCGATCCACGAAAGGAAAAACGTACTGATGGCAAGTGTAAATAGCCAAGACGCGAATGCCTTTGATATAAAAGTCAGTTGCATGACCTTGGTCACCCACTTGGCTGGATCGAAAAGCATGTAGCCTGAGACGGTTAAGTCTGCGACAATTGTAATAAGCAATGGTCCTGGTAATAATTAGATCCGGTCGTGACATTGGGAGTGATACACCAACTGTTGGTCGTCATTGCCATCCTAAACGGCGGCCCCACGCTGAGAACGACGCTCATCAGTATATATTGAAACGTCGAGACCAGGAACAAGGTGGTATTCTCGGAATTTTCAATATTGCTATGATTGGAATTCTTTTTCGGAGGCTCAAACCTATGCAGAGTTAAGACGAAGCTTGATTCTGATGGTGAATGTCAACGTACCATGGCTGCCACTGGACAGTTTTGAATGCCACGAATTGCGTAAGGACGCAGATCAGAATCTGTCCCAATAGCGGTGTTAAGACTTTTCGTGATACGAGATTGGCAGTTGGTCGCTTGCGAGAAAGCACAGGATGAGGGCCGGTCCAGCCCACTTGGGAAATCGTTAGTCGTCTGACAGCGTGGCAATTATAAGCCAGACTTGCTACTTACTAAAGATGGCAATCGGCAAGATGAGTGCTAGATCAATGAAGAGAAACTAGAGCTGTCAACGTGTTTGCCCGGGAGGATTTCAGATAGTGGCCATGATACTCACTTGGAAGTCGCCAAGATTCGATGCTGATGTGTATAAAAAGCTGACGCTTGAGAACTGAATTGCAGAATAAAGACTCATATACTTGAAGCAACAAAAGCTTGTTACCAAGGCAGCACGACCTTCCCTGAAGATAGCTTAGCGGATTTCAAAAATCTCACTCACGAACAGGAAACCTTACTTGATAAGTTGTGGAACGCAAGATATATCAAATTGACGGCTGGTAAAAGGTGCAGCCACAGATGCTTCAGCATCAGAGAGAGAAATGCCAACATCTGCAGCTTTTAAAGCGCCGCAATCATTTGCACCATCACCGCAAAATCCACAACAGTAGTCGATGGACTGGAGTTTCTCGACAAGTTCATGCTTCTCATCAGGAGACATTCTTGCAAACACATTTCCTCGAACAAGCATCTTTATCAATCGTAAGAAAGAGTAACCAATGGAGAAACCTTTACGAATAGCTCTGCACATACCCTTTTGAGAATAATGTCACTGCCGAAGTCAACAATCCATCTAAAGACATCTCCGCTGATTGCCAACGAAAATTGCTGGACATTGCAGGCATTCAAAGGCACTGAAAGGTCCATATTTGTTGAGGTCAATGAAGGCTGAAAGTGATTAGCAGTAGAGCATTGTGGCTGGCCTCATACTTCATACCAAGAGAGTGTGTGGGTCAAGCTTCAGTGCTGGGTTGTCAACGCATTCCCAGGACAAACTAGATCCAGAATCGTGATGGTGACCTATCATAATCAACACACGTGAAAAGAGAATTGTAGACATAGATTTGACTGACCATCCACAAATCTTGGGATGAAACACAGCTGGTCTGAATTGATCAAACCACACTCGCGGGCAACACTGATTGCTGTAAGTATGTTATCACCTGTGCACATGACATTTCGAATTCCTGCATGACTCAGTTCAGCTATTGTTTCAGCGGTCCTAGGTTTTAATTTGTTTTCAAAGATAATGAAACCAATAAACTCCAAATCACATTCAACATCATCTCGTGTCAACCTCTGTGCTTTCATCCAGCTCAATTTTGGTTCGTATCGAGCAGCGCATGCTATGACGCGATAGCCTTTATGGGTGTAGTGACTTAAGAGATCATCGAAGTCATGCGGTACTATACATAGACGTCAGCTCTATTTCGAAACAATTAGAACCCCGGGGTCAACTCTAACAGCTCTCTGGACGACAGATGGGTTTCACACTTTCTGGTGCGCCCTTCACATAGAAGCTCGCACCATCGGCTCCGAACTGTCTAACAACGACACTCGCGCGGCGAAGTTGCGATACGAACTCAAAATTCCTCAATATACCGAGTTCTATTAGTGACTGCAGCAGCATTGTTGTCAGAATCGGAACCAACGCGCTCACTCCATGTAAGCTCATCTCAAAGCAGGAATGCTTACAATATGGTTGGCTTCGGCTTGATCACTATCGCCAGCAACTCGGATTGGCGGTCTTGCAATGGGCGGCATAATGGTTTCATATTTGGACTGCTGAGATTCCATTGAGAGCCCGCCGTTCTCTTGATATAGCCAACCAGTGAACTGGAACATTTTTACATCAAGAGGATCTCCCAATAGGTCCCCATCAACAACCCTCAATGAGTGACACGTTGCCATTGCATGTAGTATGCTCTCATGAGGCGAGAGGTGGTCATCGTTCGCGATATAAGATCGAGAAGTAGAGGATGCGGAGACCAAATCAGTCATTAGATCAGAAAATCTGTGTTCGCCAGTGAGCCCATGGCAACCAGCCATATGGAAGGATACCGACTCCAGGCCTTGAACGACAACTCGTACACCAAGCACGTCCAAACCATCCTCCGTAAGTGTCCCCGTTTTATCGAAACAAACGATATCTAGCTTACCCCCGACGTTGACCCTGTTTTCTTTAGTAAAAGCACCACGTTAATCAGTGAGACCAACTTCTAACCTCTGTGGGCTGATGCAGTAAATTTTGTGCTTTTTTAGTCGGGATAGAGCCAAATTGGTGCCAATCGTCAAGGTAGCTGGTAGAGCTGGTGGCACAACTATTGTGATCAGATCGAGGGCTCGGACAATGATCAGATGCCACGAGAGCTTAATACCGTCAGCTTGTCACATTCATTTAACAACACTGCAAGACATACACCCAATCGAACGAAGTTAACGAATGACGCTATAAACCCCAAGACAGCAATCAAACCCATGACTGTGATGTAACGGAAAGAGTCCCGATAAAATTTGAACCCGGATGGTTTGGGAAATAACATTGACCGGATCAAAGCGCCTTTGGTTGTTGAGAATCCCGTTCTCACGACTAATGCTAAGGCGATTGCCTCGTCGTCATCAACGCTCTGTGGCCGCCGCGCACGAATCACCTTAGTTCCACTAAATAGAAAATGTTTTGCAACATTGGGATGAATTGATGGAGCACTCAGGTTAAGATACTTCAAGGCCGTGTCTGTCAATGGTGTTTTCGATACAGGGACAGATTCGCCTTGTGACTGATTAGTGTTGATATATACTAAGGAGCTAGAGATATACTGACCTGTAAGCATGCTCTCATTCACGATACAATCTCCTGATAGCAAGAGACAATCACAAGGGACATGATTCAATGATGGATCAGAGAATTCGAAGACATCACCTGGTACCAATTCTCGAGAGGAGACAGATCTCCCTAGAAGCCCATATATTAACTGCTGCGTTGAGGACCAGATGTAGGAAACTTCTCACTCACAAAAGCCATTCCTCAGAACACGAGTACTGCACTCGAAGAGTGAAATTTCACTTAACCGCGCCGTAGTCTGTGCTGCAGTGAGGATTTATGTTTTGACCAGGGGTAAAAAATGACATACTGTTTTTGTTTCGTGGATTGTTGCACTGATACTGAACAATGAAATCAAGAAGATGCAAGCGGCGTAATAATAGTATTCGTCCATCGACCAGAGAATGAGACTCGCAATCTGGAATATGTAGAACGGGTGGAATGCCTTTCTTTTGTGAGATTGCGGGTTTGATATTACATGGTTGGAAATATTGCGATATTGACACATACCTCATCTAAAAGTAGTTGAGCGATTGACTTCTGATGTATGTCGATGACGTTGGCGCCGAAAATTTGAGCTCGGCTATCACGATCATCTGCATCCAGCCCACTTCTCATTACTTTGGTGTTAGTCCACAGGGGATCCTTCCAACCACTGATCAAACAAAGCCTGTCCTCAACTGGATGGTAAAAAAAGCGAAGGTAGCGGTAGTCAATGTATCTCAGAAATGAGACCGTTGGGTCGTTATCTTCGTCGTAAAGGTAGCTTTCGGTATTCGCAAAAATTGTGGAGAGAGGACGTCCAAATGGTTCGCTAGAAATTGTATATACACCGAACTGATGCCATTGATCCTAATCATATTCAGTTCAATTCAGCTCGCATGTGGTGGTCGAATGTACGTTAAGACATACCTCGATAGCAACCCATTCACATATGCGAATGGGTGTCGGCTTCCCAATAAGTCGGACTCTCCATCTAGGCAACCATCTCAGAAGCAAATAAGCAAAACCAAAAGTCAGGATGCAAAGCATGTAATAGACTATTAACCCTAGGAGGTGGGTTGAAAAGCCGGCAATAACAATGGTTAGATCCTCTGAGGCAATATGGACTTTCTGATTAAGTCTGCTACCGCCTTTCCACTCCCTATCATGTGGACTGGAAGGTGGATGTCTGGAAAGAAGAGGATCCTCTACAGAATGCCTGGAGCGTGAAAGCCTCTTTGGTCTGTGAGACACGATGGATTCATCTGCTTCACTGGTGTCGCCTGTGACTAATCCGTCGAGCTCACCTGCAACATCTACCGCTTCTTCGTTAGGCAGATCAATGGAATCATCATCATCCTGGAAGTAAGTGAAGCTGACTATCGAGTCCGTCCGATTGCGTCGATGTGCAAATGACACTACACTGGATGGAATGCTTTCTGATATTGGGCCGTCAAAAACCTGTAAACGATCAATGGTTATGTAAGATATAGCAGCGCAAGCTCGCTTGCATCGACCACATACTTCATTGCGCGCCATCTCGACATCTGAGACGACACTATAGCTTCTGGTGTGTCAGTGACGCTTGGCAGAAAGAGCTGTGGACATTACTCACCAACTTCTCATAGAGTCCCGTCGACGACTGGTGTCACCTAGAAAAGGTTCTGGTGATGTATCCTCAGTCTCTGACTGGGCAGAAAACCCAAGATTTTGGTACATCATGAGGTCCCGGGTGATATGTCCCTATATGACTTTCTTTTCCACCTGATCTGATCGCAATGTCAAACTGGCCACATATCAGAAGTTAAGAATGGGACCAGGAGCGGAGGCCTTTTGGGTGAAAGCGATTAGTATAAGCGCTGAGAAAACCATAGTCTTGCGGACGGAAAGATGTTGGTTAAACCATGAGTTTCCTTGATGGCTGTTGCAGAGAGGATTACTATGGATCTCCAGTGCTCCGCTAGTCCTATATTGTCAACGGAGAAGGCTAGTGGCAATCTATGGAATAGGTTATGGGATGCTATACTCACAAGTCTCGAGCAATAGATAATCAGCTATAGAGATTAGTTAAAAAATGAAGGCTTCATACCGGATAAAATACTCAAGACAAGTGCAGGCTGAAGGTACTCTTTCTTTTACAGTAGAAGTAAGTAGAAAGCGTGTCTGTCTTCGACCTGGACTATGATTTTGTGTTTCACGTGATCTTGATGGACTTAACTCTGCTCCATACTGCTAGGTATCTAGCTACCTACTCCGTATCTAATCAGCTTACAGCCGATACCATGGAGGAGTAGGTTAAAGATAGACTAGTGGGCTGTAACCTGGGCATACTGTGTAGAGAGAGATTCTCTAAGTACCTCATAATGTAAGAATAACATCCTACCTGGACATCACCTTATATTATATTCATAATACTTAGAGCTTAGTTGGTGCCCTTTCCCGCATGCATGCATGCATAATTATTTGCGGATGATGATCATTACTGAGATACTGATACCTACCTAGTAGTACTACAAGTATTGATATTTCAGTCTGTATGTAGATAATCCGTACTGATAATACCTCCCCAACGCCTCTTATTTCTTTCCTCCTCTTCCTCCTCCTTCTTCTTTTTGTAAGATAGGAGAAGATTACATTGAGAGGATCATGGGCATGTGTCAATTCCAGGACACATAGAATGGGCATTCGCGTTAGTACCCTAGTGGTATGATATCTGAAAGAGGACGGGAGATCCGTATTTATTGTTGGGAGTGTGTGAGGACATTGCATCTAGAGGTTCTCAACACCAGCACCCTTGTCCCGCCAAGCCCCTCGGCCCAAGGGCGCTAAGGATCCCACCAAGCCAGTTTATTCCAGACCCCCCCAAAAACCAAGCATATCAAATTCTTTCTCAACCCTCGACAAACCTCCTCCGCAACAACCCCTCAGCCAGCACCGCTACTCCTTTCTCTGTCAATTTTCTCACGATGTCTGAACCTATTAGAAACAAGAAAGCCGACTTCCCAGTCGCCCCGTAAGTCTTTCTTTACGTTGCTATTGCACATATAACCCACCATCAGTCTATACCCATATCCCTGGATGACTGCCATGTCTTCAACAGCTAAATTTTTCTTAAGGACGCCACAGAACACGCCAGCCAACAACGCGCCTATTTCATCTCATGCCCAACAACCTGGAGTCGCTAGCATCAAAGAAGGTAAGCTCGGCTGTCATTTCAGGGTGATATAGTGTGGATCTTAACATTATCACCAGAGTCCCTTGACCATGCAGCAGCGGCTTCCTTATTTGCCAGAAACCCTGGGCTTGTCTCCATGATTCAAGGAAAGCTCGGATCGCTTGTCGGACGCTCATCGGGCTACATCGAATCTCTTCCCGCACCTGTGCGTCGGCGCGTTGCCGGTTTGAAGGGTATTCAGAAGGAGCATGCCAAGCTGGAGGCTCAGTTCCAGGAGGAAGTATTGGAGCTGGAAAAGAAGTACTTCGCCAAGTTTACTCCTCTGTATCAAAGACGTGCCACAATCGTGAATGGGGCAGCGGAGCCGACTTATGATGAAATTGATGCGGGCAAAGAGGATGACGAAGAAGAAGACATCGATGCTAAGGAGGAGGGAGAAAAGGACGAGGAGAAACATGTCACAACCTCTGGAATTCCAGAATTCTGGCTCTCTGCTATGAAGAACCAGATCTCGCTTGCGGAGATGATCACCGAGCGGGACGAAGAGGCTTTGAAGCATCTCACTGATGTTCGCATGGAGTATCTGGACCGTCCCGGTTTCCGACTCATTTTCGAATTTGCAGAAAACGAGTTCTTCACAAACAAGACCATTTCGAAAACCTACTACTACAAAGAGGAGAATGGATATGGCGGGGATTTCATTTATGATCATGCGGAGGGTTCCAACATTGACTGGCACACAGACAAGGATCTTACTGTCCGTGTGGAGAGCAAAAAGCAGCGAAACAAGAGTATGTGGTCCCGGAGACTACCCTTCATGCAGCTAACAGTTGCTAGATACCAAGCAAACTCGAGTTGTCAAGGTCACTGTGCCTACTGAGTCCTTCTTTAACTTCTTCTCTCCTCCACAGCCCCCTACTGATGACGACGACACCATTGCTACCGATATTGAAGAGCGCCTCGAACTGGACTACCAGCTCGGCGAGGATATCAAGGAAAAGCTCATACCCCGCGCGATTGACTGGTTCACTGGCGAAGCTCTTCAGTTCGAAGAACTTGGTGACGATATGGATCCGGATGACTTTGATGACGAGGACGACGAGGACGAGGATGATGAGGATGAGGACGAGGACGATGACCGGAGATCTGACCGGGATGTTGACGATGAATCTGATGAAGAGGTATGTCTCTTCAACTGGCATTACTTTCCCCTATTATCATTCCTTTACCTGCCGTCACCTCTTCTGAAACCGATGTGGATGGTAATTATTACGAACACCACGGTTTTTTTTTTGGCCAGTCCTTGCGTCTTCTGTCTATCACTGGACACGGTGTAATTATTACTGACATGCAAGTAGGACGGAACTTCCAAGCCAAAAAAGGAAGCAGCAGAATGCAAGCAAAGCTGAGTATGACTATTGCGATTTGACGCTCTTTGAGAGATGGACCTGTGCTGTGTCGCTGCATGTCCAGGCGTGGTGCCAAGTTTTATCAATCGCACATTGGAACTGGAGTCTTACCAGTACGTATTCAAATGTGCCTAATTCCCAGGTTGAATTCTTCAATCTGAGTGCTATCAATCTATCATTGCGGCAGGGGGGGGGGAATCATGTTCCTCGACCCTCCATCTGTTCTTCACTTAGTACTGCTTCCCTCTTTGCTAAGTCTTTGTATCCACTTTCTTCCGAGTTTTTAGTTACTTCACCTGGCTCTACTTCCTGATAATATGTGGCGTGAGGAGTATTACAATCTTACTCGTATTAGTGATTATGAACATTTTTGTGCTGTAAAGATAATGTCCAGCTTATAGAGTAGAACTCCTACATATTAATCAAATGCAAATTTACATAAAAATGATACTAGGTATTTCCATCCGTGAGTCTAATATCCACAAGGAGGGTCATGTAAATCTTAGTTCAATATCGTCACCCCTGGCAAGTCAAAGGCTTATAGCATAGTACTCTATCTTAGGTAGCTCCCTATCTATTTATCTTCATTGCGGGACCCGGGAACAAATAGAAGAAAAAAGATACTGTTGCATATTGACTCTTTTGAAGAGTATTCAAATTGCAGAACTTCATATAAGCTGTTTGAGCAGCCTACTTTTAAAGGAATCTCTAAGCTAGATGTATTATTCAGTATCTATAACCAACTCACGTGAATACATTGCAGCTCTGCACAAGATAATATTTTGTAACGTACGGACGACAAACTTCAGGCTGACCTATGCAGAGTATCCAGTGTCTATAGCATGAGGGAAGTTGCACAGAATCTACGATTTCTGGAGATACTCCTGTGCCTTTGCTGTAGATATCAAAATATAAATTCCCCTGATTCTTGGCACTATTGACAGTTGTGGCCTGTGGGGATATTCTGTACTTCTGACAAGTGGCGCAGGTTTCGTCCTAAGCTTCTCAGGGGTCGTGGCTCAGTATTATTAGCCAACTATTTTACCAATCTAATAACCTTCCCTTGGGCATATATCAATCTCATTCTTTCTTCGACCCAGACCATCAGTTAACGGTCGCTGGTTACACAATAGCACTGACATCTTTCATTTTTATTCCTTTGCCGTCATTTCAGATCTGGTATCTCTTCTGCCACTAGATGCTACAGCAGGAACGTGTAAATTCCGTCTCGCTTAAACTACTGTCTTCCGACGTTCTTGCATCGAGGCGTCAGTATTCCCGTTGATATTTGGATCAATGGCACATAATTACGAGGTCGGAACGCGGGCATGGCAGCCTGATCCGACAGAAGGATGGATTGCGTCCGAGGTCAAAGAGAAATTGGTAGATGGGGACAGAGTACAATTGGTCTTTTTGTTAGAGAATGGCGAGGTATGTTGTCGGACTTACGCAATGAAATGACCCTCCGATTATAATTTAAATATATACTAACATCAAGGTCGTTTTTGGAAAGACAAAAATGCTTGAGACGACAGAACTTGAGTTGCAAGTGGACAACAACCCGAATTTACCTCCTTTGATGAATCCTGCCATGCTTGAAGCGAGCGAGGACCTCACGAACCTGTCCCATCTGAATGAACCAGCCGGTTTGCTCTACCTCTGGAGGTTGGGAGTGTTTCGCAGCTGATTGCTTTAAAGTCCTGCAGGCCATTAAACTACGTTACGCACAAAAGGAGATATATACATATAGTGGCATCGTCCTCATCGCAACAAATCCATTCGCCCGAGTCGATTCGCTCTATGTCCCGCAGATGGTACAGGTGTATGCTGGGAAGCAGCGTGCTTCACAAGCTCCCCATCTGTTCGCCATTGCAGAGGAGGCATTTGCGTAAGAGCCACAATCGTCTCCAAGTTTAGAGACCTGCTTACATTTGCGCTTTTAGTGACATGCTGCGAGATGGAAAAAATCAGACGATCGTGGTCTCCGGTGAATCAGGTGCTGGTAAGACGGTCAGCGCCAAATACATCATGCGGTACTTTGCGACTCGTGAATCGTCGGATCAACCAGGAAAGTACAGCACAAGTCGGGCGGATGCGATCAGCGAGACCGAAGAGCAGATTTTAGCTACCAATCCTGTCATGGAAGCTTTTGGTAATGCAAAGACCACAAGGAATGACAATTCATCACGGTTTGGAAAGTATATTGAGATCATGTTTGACGATAGGAACAATATCGTTGGAGCGAAAATAAGGACTTACCTCTTGGAACGATCACGACTGGTATTCCAGCCTCTCAAAGAGCGCAATTACCACATCTTTTATCAGCTTGTGACTGGGGCAACGGATCAAGAGAAACAAGACCTCGGTCTTGCCTCCATTGAGGATTTCGACTATCTCAATCAAGGAGGAACCCCGACTATTGACGGCGTCGATGATAAGGCTGAGTTCAACGCGACAAGAAAGTCCCTCAGTACGATTGGGGTGCTGGAGCGAACTCAGGCTGAAATTTTCCGAATCCTCGCTGCATTATTGCACCTGGGCAACGTCAAGATTACCGCCACCCGGACTGATTCCACTTTGTCGCCTTCGGAGCCTTCACTTGTGCAGGCCTGTGAGATTCTTGGAATTGACGTGAACGAGTTTGCAAAATGGATCGTGAAGAAGCAGCTAATCACTAGAGGGGAGAAGATCACCTCGAACCTCACACAACAACAAGCAACTGTTGTCAAGGACTCAGTCGCGAAATTTATATATTCCAGCTTATTCGACTGGCTAGTTGATAAAATCAACCACCGCTTAGCCAATGATGAGGTCCTGACCAGTTACAAATCTTTCATTGGTGTGCTAGATATCTATGGTTTCGAGCATTTTGCAAAGAATTCATTCGAACAGTTTTGCATCAATTACGCCAATGAGAAACTACAGCAAGAATTCAACCAGCACGTTTTCAAACTTGAGCAAGAGGAATACGTGCGCGAACAAATAGATTGGACATTCATTGACTTCTCTGACAACCAGCCCTGTATTGATCTGATTGAGGCAAAACTCGGGATATTGTCTCTTTTGGATGAAGAATCCCGGCTTCCAATGGGCTCCGACGAACAATTTGTTACCAAACTCCATCACAACTTTGCTGCTGACAAGCAAAAATTCTACAAGAAACCCCGATTCGGCAAATCTGCATTCACAATTTGCCATTATGCGGTTGATGTGACTTATGAGTCCGACGGCTTCATAGAAAAGAACAGGGACACTGTTCCAGATGAGCATATGGGCATTTTACGTAACTCGTCGAACCCGTTCGTGAAAGAAATACTTGATACTGCTGCCGCCGTTCGCGAGAAAGATTCGGCTTCTATGTCATCCAAAGCAGTTGCGGCTCCTGGCCGCCGAATTGGGGTTGCTGTCAATCGAAAACCCACATTGGGGGGGATTTTCAAGTCATCACTAATTGAACTCATGACCACAATTAATTCTACCGACGTGCACTATATTAGATGCATCAAGCCAAACGAGGCCAAAGAGCCATGGAAATTCGAAGGTCCGATGGTCCTCAGTCAGCTTAGAGCCTGTGGTGTGCTTGAAACCGTTCGAATCAGTACTGCTGGGTATCCCACTCGTTGGACTTACGAGGAGTTCGCTATTCGCTATTACATGCTTTGTCATTCATCTCAGTGGACGTCAGAAATCAAGGAAATGTGCCACGCAATTTTACAGAAAGCTTTGGGAGACGCAAATCATCAGAAACATGACAAATATCAACTGGGTTTGACAAAGATATTCTTCCGGGCAGGCATGCTTGCTTTCCTTGAGAACCTTCGGACATCTAGACTTAACGAATGCGCAATCATGATACAGAAGAACTTGCGGTGCAAATACTATCGGCGTCGGTACCTCGAAGCTCGCACTTCTATTCTTACTACACAGGCTCTGGTCAGAGGTTTCCTAGCACGGCGACAAGCTGCAGAAATACGTCAAATCAAAGCTGCCACAACTATCCAAAGAGTCTGGCGTGGTCAGAGAGAAAGAAAACTCTACAACAGAATCCGCAGCAATTTCATTTTGTTTCAATCTGTTGCCAAAGGCTTTCTTTGCCGACAGAATATTATGGACACGATACATGGCAATGCGGCAAAAATTATACAACGCGCATTTCGTTCCTGGCGGCAAATACGTGCCTGGCGGCAGTATCGTCGCAAGGTAGTCATCGTCCAAAGCTTGTGGAGAGGAAAAGAGGCTCGGAAACAATATAGGAAACTTCGAGAAGAGGCAAGGGACCTCAAGCAAATATCCTACAAATTGGAGAACAAGGTGGTAGAATTGACCCAGTATCTTGAGTCCTTGAAGCGTGAAAACAAATCCTTGAACTCACAACTGGAGAACTACGAAACGCAACTGAAATCGTGGAGAAGCCGCCACAATGCGTTAGAGAGCCGCTCTAGGGAACTTCAGGCAGAAGCCAACCAAGCGGGAATCACCGCCGCTCGTTTGGCTGCCATGGAGGAAGAAATGAGCAAATTGCAGCAAAGTTACGCTGAGGCACAAACAATCATCAAGCGCCTACAAGAAGAGGAAAAAGCCTCACGGGAATCGATTCGTTCTGCAAATATGGAATTAGAACGATTGAAACAACTCAATAGTGAAGCCGAGAACGATAGAGCGTCCCTGCGCCAACAAGTTGCTGAACTCGAAGAACAGTTAGAGCTAGCGAAGCGCAGTCTACCTGTGAACGGCTCTAATGGGGACACACAGAATGGTGGCCCCATACAACCCCCTGCCGGCGGCTTGATCAACCTAGTCTCATCGAAGAAGTCTAAACCCAAGCGACGCAGTGCCGGAGCGGAAAGAATCGAGACTGATCGCTTTAGCGGCGCTTACAACCCTCGGCCCGTATCAATGGCGATCCCAAGCTCCAATATTGGCCGTCAAAACTTCTCGGGACATCCCTTCTCTCCAGGCCTAGACACCGTCGAGGTGGAGCTTGAGAATCTCCTTTCGGAAGAAGATGAGCTCAACGAGGAAGTCGCCATGGGTCTGATTCGAAACTTGAAAATTCCACTGCCCAGCTCCACCCCCCCGCCAACCGAGAAAGAGGTTCTCTTTCCGGCATATCTCATCAACTTGGTCACATCAGAGATGTGGAACAATGGTTTTGTTAAAGAATCCGAGCGCTTCTTGGCCAATGTAATGCAGTCGATTCAGCAAGAGGTCATGCAACACGATGGCGACGATGCCATAAATCCCGGTGCCTTCTGGCTTTCTAACGTACACGAAATGCTCTCGTTCGTCTTCTTAGCCGAAGATTGGTACGAAGCCCAAAAGACAGATAATTACGAGTACGACCGCCTTCTCGAAATTGTGAAACATGATCTCGAAAGCCTAGAGTTCAATATCTATCACACATGGATGAAGGTGCTCAAGAAGAAACTGTACAAGATGATAGTTCCTGCGATCATCGAGTCACAGTCTCTTCCCGGGTTTGTTACCAGTGAAACGAACCGATTCCTTGGAAAACTTTTGCCATCAAATAACAATCCAGCTTACAGCATGGACAATCTCCTCAGCCTTCTGAACAATGTTTATAAGGCAATGAAAGCGTTCTACTTGGAAGAATCCATTGTCAATCAGACCGTGACAGAGCTTCTTCGGCTCGTCGGCGTCACAGCTTTCAATGATCTCTTAATGCGAAGGAACTTCCTGTCCTGGAAACGTGGCCTGCAGATTAATTACAATATAACTCGGATTGAGGAGTGGTGTAAGAGCCATGATATGCCGGAAGGGACACTGCAGCTTGAACATTTGATGGTTGGTGCATCGATGGTCATAGTAATCATTCCTGCTAACACCTTCACAGCAAGCAACAAAACTCCTTCAGCTCAAGAAGGCAACCCTGAATGACATTGAAATCATTCAAGATATCTGCTGGATGTAAGACTCGGCCTGTGTCAAGTGATAAAAGCTCAAACTGATTCGTCATAATCCCAGGTTGTCTCCAAACCAGATTCAAAAATTGTTGAATCAGTATCTTGTTGCAGATTATGAACAGCCCATCAATGGGGAGATAATGAAGGCCGTCGCCTCGCGCGTCACAGAGAAGAGCGATGTACTTCTTCTTACACCTGTTGACGTGGAAGATAGTGGTCCATATGAAATTGCTGAGCCTCGCGTCATAACAGCTCTAGAAACATACACCCCCTCCTGTGAGTGATTGCAGCAACACAGTATGTGAGATCTAACTAACAATGCCAGGGCTTCAAACACCACGCCTGAAACGCCTCGCGGAGATTGTCTCTGCCCAGGCAATGGCTCAGCAGGAGAGGCTTGAACTGATAGAACCTGATGTATTGCCAGCTGAGTGAGGCTACGCATCACTGTTGACCTTTTGAAGGGCACACCTTAAGAACTGCATTCCACCAACAGACACTAGGGTGAAACATATCATGAACCCACAAAGCAAATATGTTGTATTATTGGTGAAGAATCATCTTTCCTCTTCACTGTCCTTCTTCCGCCTCAGTCCCAATGTCCTTCCAATTTGTGTGCCAATAGTCCGTATCAGTTGACCAAGATCAATCATATAGTAACGTAAGATCAATCATGACTAACTAGCCCTGGTATAGGATAGATGGGGTAGATCTGATGCCTCCTTAGCTAGCTATTAATTAATCCATGGTTTGGAGGTATTTTAAACTCCATGAACCGTGCTCTGCTTACTTTGTGGTTGGACCACCAGATACGCAGTGTTAATTGAATTCCAGTACATCAATCAGTTCATTACCTAATACAAAAGTGGAACCAATACACGTTGAATTGTAAGGTATCTACTCCATACCTTCACCATCCTCTTCTATTACTGATTGACAAATAACATTATTTCTTTTTCTTCTCTTTGTTCGAGCCATGGCTGTCATATCGAATCTTAACTTCATCACTGGCAACAAAAACAAACTGGCTGAGGTCAGAGCGATACTAGGAAATGTAGTTGTGGTGGAGAGCCAGGCAATCGATGTGCCTGAGATACAAGGGACCATCGAGGAGATCGCCAAGGAAAAGTCTAGACGCGCAGCAGAAGTGGTAAGGGGCAAAATCTCTAGCGTTTCATGAAGAGCATCCTTTATGCTCAATGGCAGCTGTTTGGTTTTGACATGCTAGCCTAGGTAGGAGGTCCAGTTTTGACAGAAGATACGGCACTTGAGTTTCGGGCACTAAAGGGACTTCCTGGACCCTACATGTATGCTTACTACCTCTGGATGATTCATCACATGAATCTAACGAATGCAATAAAGCAAGGATTTCCTTGGTGCACTAGGGCTCGAAGGATTGAACAAAATGCTCGACTCCTTTGAGGACAAAACAGCGGAAGCTGTTTGTACCTTCGCTTTTTGTCGCGGTCCTGGGGAAGCACCAATGCTTTTCCAAGGTAGAACCGAGGTAAGTAAGACAAGTATAATCAGTTCTACCAAGTATCTGACTGTCTTCAAGGGAAAGATTGTGCGGGCCAGAGGCCCGTCGACTTTCGGTATTGTGATTTGGTCATGGTAGATACGCAGACTGTTTATTGATTGATATGTTTCAGGTTGGGATCCGATCTTTGAATACAATGGGAAGACCTATGCAGAGATGGCCAAAGAGGAGAAGGTAAGATTTTTTGCAGATTCTTTATGTGGGCTCGCCAGGCAGGAACAGACACGAGGCCTCATTTTATTTCGTCCACCTGGCCCTTTGCCCCCATGGTATTCGCTGATGGTCTTTCTATAGAATCAAGTCTCTCACAGGTCCAAAGCTCTCGCCAAGCTACAGTGTTGGTTGGCGGAGGGACAAATTTAGCTCAAGTGCTCGGCATCAAACAGCCAACCGAGGCGTGAAGACCCGACTCACTCAATATGGTCCGATTGATTTCTTTTCCACGAGTCTATCCAGGCCGAAATCCTTGCGCAATTATTCTCTACATCGTCATCGTCCTCGCTATTGAGCTCCACCACGATCTCTTCGTCAAATGCCTCCCGGGCTTCCTCTAACAGAACGCCGAAAATCTCAGAGTCGACATTTTCCTGCAGCTTGGTCTGGTTGTATTTCCTACAAAGAGTGAGATACGTCTAAGTCAGGCTCCATGAAAGCTTCAAAGAAACTGGAAATGAAGGGAGTGGTTGGCAATTACCTCGCAGAAAGACGATCAAATAAAATAGAAGTTGACGGACATCGTAAGACCACAACAAGATCGATCCAAGACTTGGGGAAAAGGTCACAGGCATGCCAATCGATCAGGTAGCCGCCCTCGAGCACTTCATCTTCAACCGCATCTAGTAGCTGCGAGCGCATTAGTCTACCTATGCAAACGTTGAAACGGAGTCTTTCGCAGGCATTGGGTTTTCCCGTAGTCATCATCATGGCTTGAAACCTAGTGAACAGATTCTCGACGTACTTTGTCCTCATCTACGACCCAGGTTTCCAATTCCTGGTCGTAACTTTCATAACAACCGCGATCTTTTGCGATCTGGTTGATGGATAGGTGCCGCAAGCCGACGTCCTGCGCTAGTCTCTCACAATGCACAGTTTTCCCAACACCAGGGGTGCCTGTGATAATCACATTCGGAGATTTTCGCATAGTGGCCCCAGCAAACGCTGCCGAGTGGCCAAAGAGTGATGGTTCTCTTGTCTGGTAGCTTTGATTGTCTCAAGACCTCAAGTGGGGAGGGGAAATTTTCCACCGAGAACTCCTCTTTGTTGCCTGAGGCATCCTATATCTGGGGCTCAGACTTCTCTCTCGGACCACATGAGAAATGATGACTCATCATCGAATATCTCTATATTTCCATAGCTTATGAGATATCTCGATTCTAGGTACTTTTAGGAAGGTTAATTAATCTTTGCATGTCTCTGTAGCATGAGGTTGTGAAACTCATACAAGGCTTATTTGTTCCTATCAGATCGAGACAAATATACTGGATGTTTTCCTTACATTAGTCATTTATGTCTTTCGGCTTGAATGGGAACCATGATACAACTGGATCTATCACGGAAAATCCATACTCATTGGTAGGCTCAAGGCCGGAATGCTGAAAAACATTATGCCTCTTTGACAGACACTCCTCTCACTGGACGAGTTATGCTCAGTTGTATTACTTCGAAGGCAACGATTCGCTAACAGGAAGCCTCCAAATGTCAGTCTTTACTACAACGGCGTACACAGAGAACTCACTTGAGAAGTTCAAATGTCTTGTATTTCTGAAAATAAGAGCTACCACGTCGATATGCTTTCAAGATCTTTGCATGATCTGGAGATGTCATGACACTCGGCTTGCTTGGAGACCTCACTGCTGGGGGGATTTTGGACATTGGGTCAAAGACAAGTAGATTTGCACTGCCGTTATCACGTATCTCAAAGCCAATAATGGTTAACGAGTGCCCTGAATCATATCAGCCCCTTATTTGCACAAACCGAATGATCTAAAGGAACCGGCGACCCAATACCTTGATGTTGTAAGTAGATGGGGGGTAAGTGTGTCGTAACGACCTTCTCATCCTCATTTAAGGACCATGTTTGCCGGAAATACGCCGCAACCGCCGCATATAACGCGTCGTGGGCCCGCAATTCTTTCGCTTCCCCAATGCTTTCGGCTTCGCATCTGATGGAAGTCAGTAATGCAAGGGAGGAGGCAGATAGGAAACCCTACAGTACTCCAAGGCTCAGGAAGACGGCTTGTGCCTGTACATGTGAGAATGATCCCGTTTGGGTACTTCCGAGTGATTCAACATTACCTCCGGTGTGCCAATGTACTTCCTAGTGCCACGAATTCCCCCGGTCTCAGCTCGTCCAACACTATTGAATCCCATATCCCACGCATCTTCAATCATATCCTGTAGCTGTAGTATGGTTGGTAATGTCGGAAATTGCTCATGAGCAGGACCGTGAGATTCTTGGATGTATGATATGAGCATCTGAATATTCCGGTAACCACAGAAGCTCCCTTCCCTGGCCATCTTCGTGATTTGTCGAGTCTTGGGATTACATAAGAAAGCTCGCTTCACTGATGGGTCCTGTTGGCATAGCCGTGCAAGCACCGGGATCACGTTGGTGGCCTCGTTTTCGATCGTCTCCCTCCTTGAAAGAGTGCCGTCAGAATTGATCGTATTCGACTGCCCCTTATGTGCACCCTGCTCTAGCAATTTCCGAAGCCATGATGGCATTCGCTTCTCATGAGCGTGGGGGCCCAATTCTGCACGCTGCGGCAGCAATTAGCGTGGATAGAGAACAGTCTCATCGCCAGGATATCGTACACCAAGCCTCTTCACACGTCCGGGAAGGATGACGCCGGCGCCTGCAGCTGGCAAAGACTGATTCTGTCTTCTATCTCTCCTCGATGAGGACGGCCCGGGGGAGAGTCTCTGCTCTCGCTGCCACCCTTCAACAGACGCATTACATGTTTCTTCGTGATCCTCAGCATTAAGGGGGCAGAAATTGCATTGTGAATCATATAGCATTTTGACTCTGCCAACACAGTTCGATGATCTCAATCGGTCTGATGAAGTATTGCCAGGTGCAACTTCTTGCGCAGTATTCGGGTTGAGATGACGAGAACGCTCAACAGTTTTGATCATCTCACCGCAGGCATGGGAGCGCTCCTTGTTAATTTCACCGTGGCATAGGGCCTGTGGTCCTAGATCTCTAGGGGAAGATTGATGTTGGCCTGTAGCGAGATCGGTGTATGATGTCTCGGATCGTTCGAAGGTATCTTCTGGGTGGCAGTACTGGATATGCTCCGCAACAAATGTATCATCTTGATCAGTAAAGGGGCAGAAAGGGCAACTTGGGATGTAGCTGTACTGCAGATCCATAGTCCTATTGTTGATCACAATGACAATAATACCAGTATCTATCTCAATAGTAAGTAGATAGATAACTGGTGTTATTATTGCTCTTATTTCTTGAGAATTCCCTCCTTTGGTTAGCGATTCTGCATTTGGTCTAGTGTTCTTATTATTACTCCCAGAGCTATTAGGTAGGCAGGGCAATATTGTTTATGTATCACTACAGTTCTTGTCATACTACTATGGACTACTGTCTGTACTAACTTCCACACATTCTAGATTTTGGAGCGATCTACTATTGTTTTTACTCATGACTTAACTGTCTGCGTTTCTTTGAAAGACTGGATGTCAAAGCTCTAACTTTCAACTTTAGACACATATCACAAGGGTGGCGGATTGTCATCACTGAAGCATCCACGACTCAAGAACTTACCACGCATTAGCATAGTCCATTAGTGAACTAGACACGCATCCAACAAGGAGCAGGTTTGCACAACCCGTCTTGTAAAAAAGGACAATCAAGACACCAAGCGGGTTCCAATCTGTTGAGCATATACCAGACACCACTACTTTACTATGTCGCTAAGTCTTAAGGTTGACGGCATCAATACTTGTAATTCTCAATCAATCAACTTGCTAGTAGGCACGAGACGCCGCTAGAAGTGCGTCGCAATGGAAGATCATGAATTCATGATATGTGTCTTGTAGTTCTAGGTGACTTTTGGCTTCCATGCTATCCTGTATCGAGTTACGCGAGCTGGCAAGTCGGCTGCTCTATATATACCGTTGCGAAATAGTAAAGGCATCTTGGAGTCTTCATTGCCTGTTGTTCAACATTCCATCTGTGGTTATCATACTACATTTTAAGCACCTGTCGACACAACGGAGAAGACAATATATGATTGATAAGGAAAGCCGACAGTAACATGTTGGAGCTTCCTGCAGGGGAAAGAAAAAAGAAGAGCCAGGAAGGGGGAGAATCGAAATCGTTTCCTTCACCCTGTTCTTCTAGCCCCAACCAATCCTGAGTACGTGGTAATCATAATAGTTTAGTCGATTGATGACGGGTGAATCATAGCTGAGAAAAAGTGGGTTTCCCGAGTTATCGCCATAATCGTCTGCTCCGCTTTCGCAATCCCCCGCCAACCCATATAAAAAGGTGATTCTCCTGCCCGCGCCGATTATAGGACTCCAGTCAGACCGATTGAATTCCTGCAACTGCAGTACCAAATTCAACAGGATGGGCAGCCAAGTACAATCCGATCCTGATCTCCAGTCTTCGTCAATGATCAATGGCACCTCCAATTGGGTAGTGCAGAAATTCGGGGGCACCAGTGTCGGAAAATTTGCTCTGAGCATTGTTGATCAAGTTGTCCTGTAAGTTCTGTTGCTGCGCCGAAATTCATTACACAAGGTAGTATGTCCAAATGTGTTTTCTGACTATTCCAATCCAGTCCGAGCCTCAAAGACAACAATGTGGCCGTAGTCTGTTCTGCAAGAAGCAGTTCAACTAAAGCCGAAGGTACCACGAACCGGTGAGTCATACCTGGGTTACAAGCACCTTCCCGAACAGAGTTCCTTTCATCGATTACCTGCATGGCCGTCGATGCCTCTACCTTCATTGGCTCTTTATATACTAGAATCACCTGGCTTATCTATGACCGTGCAAATAGGTTGCTCCGAGCGGCTCGCGATGCCGAGAACGCGCAATCACTCGAATATGTCTCTTTGGTTGAGGCAGTGCGCCTCGAGCATGTCCAGGTCGTTCAGGACCAAATCGAATCGGAGTCTCTAAGAGCTCAATTGACTACAGAGATCAATGGCGAGTGCGAAAAGGTTTTGAAGGTCTTGGAGGCTGCCCAGACTCTCGGCGAGATCAGTGCGCGGTGCGTGGACAAGGTAATCAGTACAGGCGAGAAACTTAGCTGCCGACTTATGGCTGCTTTTCTGCAAGATCGTGGGGTGGACTCGCAATATGTGGATCTATCAGAGGTGATCGATTTTCCGATCGGAACCCAAGGTCTAGATCAAAATTTCTACAACAATCTTGCTACTGCCCTTGGTAGGAAGATAAAGGACTGCGAGGGGAGAGTTCCAGTCGTTACTGGGTTCTTTGGAACCGTGCCAGGGGGCCTTCTTGACCAGATCGGTCGTGGCTACACAGACCTCTGTGCTGCCCTGGTTGCAGTCGGCACCCATGCGAAGGAACTGCAAGTGTGGAAGGAGGTTGACGGTATCTTTACTGCGGACCCTCGCAAAGTGCCCACTGCGCGCTTGCTATCAGCGATCACTCCTGCCGAGGCTGCTGAGTTGACGTTCTACGGCTCAGAGGTGATTCATCCTTTTACGATGGAGCAAGTCATTCGCGCTAGGATCCCAATCCGTATCAAAAACGTTATGAATCCGAAGGGAGACGGGACTGTGATCTTCCCTGACTCCTCATACGAACTAGAACGGACAACGCCCGGTCATGACCCAAGACTCTTCCGTACACGAAGCCCTAGTCTTATGCAGAGACCCAAGCGACCAACAGCTGTGACCATTAAACACAAGATACTCGTCATCAATGTCCATTCAAACAAGCGGTCGCTCTCTCACGGATTCTTTGCTGGAATTTTCTCCGTTTTGGACCGCTGGCGGCTATCAATTGATCTCATTTCCACCAGCGAGGTCCATGTGTCGATGGCTCTACATTCGGAGATACCTCTCCTGAACGGGGTGGGAAGAGACGAGTATCAAGTCATTGACGAGGATTTGAGGGGAGCATTGAATGACTTGCAAAAATATGGTACCGTTGATATTATCCCCAAAATGGCCATCCTTAGTCTGGTTGGAAAGCAGATGAAGAACATGATTGGGGTTGCTGGCCGTATGTTCACGACGCTTGGCGAAAACAACGTCAATATCGAAATGATCTCGCAGGGTAAGTCTAATTTTCCATCATCCTTTGGCCTTGGGTTCAAGTAGACGCTGACTCAATATCTCCTGCCACAGGTGCAAGTGAAATCAACATCTCATGTGTCATTGAAGAAAGAGATGCAGACCGTGCTCTTAATATCATTCACACTAGCATGTTCACGTTCTTGGATTAATCTGCATCCTTCCGTATCTCTATTTCTTACCTGTTTCTCAGCACCAATCATTGCAAGGTCCTCAGGCAAAGGAGATTTTCACTGTGGTTTTGTTTCTTAGTTCTTTCTTTTCTTCTTCTTTTCTTGTTTTTTTTATGCCCCCTTTCAAAATTTCACTTTGCCTTCTGGTCAAAAGCAGAAGGTCAAAACTTATGGAGTCATGAGCATATGGGTTTGTGTTTAGCTGAATTTTCTTATCTTCTATTTTGTTATTTTGTCTCTAAGGAGTTCCAAGGTTGGCGGTATTATCTCTGTTTTGATGCTTGGCTGATTTTTTCTTATATCTCCTCACATTTCTGCATATTTACCCATGCTTCTTTTCATCTTACACCCTTCCTTTGATTTCCTCTTTGGGCTATATTTTGATTTTCCAGATAGAAGGGTTTATACTCTGCACTTATTTTTCAAAAGTGGAATTGTGGAATGTTATATAGACTAGAGGAGAGTACATAATGTTCATTACAGTTAATTATTCCTGGTTGCTAGCATCTATAACATGCACTTATCTCTCTGTAGAGGGAGGTTGGCATGAGTCTTGTCAGGGTGGCCAGCATCTTATGTAGGTTGTAGAAACTTAAGTAATAATAAAAGCACCAAGAATTTGCCAACAATCTTATCATCACAGCATTCTGAACTTCTGATAGTACAATGTAGTTTGTGCCTCTGTATGCATAGGACATGGGATATATGAATATTTCAGTTATTCTATACTCCATATCCAGTTGTCTGTAGGTTAGCTCTGTAATCATGAATTAGGAAGGCGTGGGGAGTATGATAGACATTGTGGCTGGTGAGTAACATCATCTAATATTAATAATGATCATTATGATTCCATAGTGAACGTTGATGGAGGAGGATCACAAATGGAGCTACCTAGATACTTTAGTAAACCGCGTACCTATAGCTGGTCTAGATTCAGTAGCTACCCGCCAGGTAATGCCATGCCTTGATTCAATGAAGGAGGGTGTTTTTCAGAAAATCAAGACACTGTCTCAAGTCCTATTGTTACAAGGTCAACCCCCCTGTTTTTAGCACAGAAAGGGCGGTGATTGGGAAGTCTGTGATGTACGCGATCAACAAGGAACCCGCCACGAGGGGTAGCCGTTTTATTGTAGATACTGAGGCGCTTTTTGAGTAGATAAGATACTGTCTAGATACCTAGATGGTTGAGAGTTCCAAACGGTTAGACGCTACCTAGATACGCTATGGCACTACATAGGAAAGAAGATTTGGGTTTAGACCAAGATGGGAGTAGCTACTAGTTGCAGATAGTATTTTATCCAGATCTGAGATCACCAGTCTATCTAGATAGTAGTAGCAGTAGCAGTAGTAACAGTAGTAGATACTAGATACTCCCCGTGGACTTGAGAGTTTGAGACCTTAGATTCTAGGTATAGATTGGCTAAAGAGTAGACAGTGGCTCTGATTAGTATCTGAATCCTGATGAGATGGACCCATGGGCCATAACATCATTGATCTACTAACCACCTATCTAGTGGAATATTGTACCAAAACTTCAACTGCAATTGCCTCCTAATGTATCTCATTATCAAACTATTGGTCTATCATAGTCCAATGGATATAGGGTGTGAATGACAGACACCTCAACATACAGGAATACAATTACATCAAGATTGCTGAGTATGGTGCAGTCAGGAATTATCTACAAGGACCTATCCTGTACATGCCTAAGGGGGATTGACAAAGCAAGGAATTAAGAGCCTGGATAACATCAGTACGCTTATTCACTACTCTAGTCTCTAGGTACCTAAATAGTTGGCCAGCCTACGGAGTACTAAGGAGTGATTTATTCAACCCATTTTTAATTAGTCAGGTACTCTAGGTACTTGCCTATATACTAACTTCCAATAGAACCTACCTACAGCACCATGTTGCCTAGAACATTGGAGTATAATACCATGGAGTCTGTAATGAGGTTTTAAAGATACTGACCTCCCTGTATCAATCTAGATACTTTAGGAATAATCTCTCTTTGGAAGTTGTGATTGATGGTAATCCTAATTCTTCAGATTAAAAAATAGATCTTACCGCACAAAAGGATCAGAGGGCTATAAGACTATCCCAAATCCCAGTATGTTGCCTCCTCTTTCAAAAATCTATGCTCTCTAGGGCATGGAGTACATACTGTCCTTATCACAGCATCTTCTGTGTAAGGATGGTTTGACGCGTGACGCGGGGCGCGTCTGAACCATACCATACCAGCCCGCGACTTTCGCGACAATCATCAACATCCAACAGCCCTCACAGGCCTCGCTGCAACGCCTTCTTCCATTCCACACTCGACTAATTATATCAAGGAAATCTTATTGTGCCCCCACCTTTCCTGGCTGGAGATCAAGGGATCCAATTCTGATACTATTATAGTGTCGAGCCCCGTCCTCCCGGGTGACGATTCTCACTTGTCCTATGAAACCATCCTAGGGTGATCCTCCATCCATCCCTCGATCTCTCACCTCTCTGGATTTGCTGTTGTTTCCATCACCAGAACACATCTCCAATATCGTTCAGCACGCCTTTCTCCCTGGAACTGTCACTCAGTCCTGCAGTACATCGTAATCACACGTCTTCCAAGCTGAGCTGGTTGACAAACCTCTGGTCTCGTTCCTTCCTTGGGCTGTGCCCTTGATGTGTTTTAATTAGCGCCTTGAGGCCCAATCACCAACTTCCATCCATCACGGCCTGAAGTCTCTCATCAGACCTCTACTTTCTGTTGCGATCTGGTTCCTCTTGGCCCCGAGATCTCTTCCACGTCGGGACACGACCTCGATTGAATGTATGCGCGTGCTCCTGGCCACTGCATTTTTATGTTGATACAGTGCGCCTAGTGCTCACCTTCGAAAAGCCGATTCGCGACCCACACTGTATCTCATACTACTCTCTGCTCCTATCATAAATTACGGCATTCCAACCGACTGATTTCTCTTCCGTCCACCCTCAACTTTACTCCATCTACAAGCGCGGTGAAGTCGTTGATTTCCAGAATTCGGATACTGCAAATGGATTCCACGCGTCCCGCGCCCATCGCGCCACCGATATCAAAATCAATCACAGACTATCCTAGAGACACTGCGCGGTCACAATCGCAGCAATCGCAACTTCTTTTACAACCAATGGAGAATGCTCCTCCACCGCAAGAACGTATACTTCATCGAGCTATTTCCAGTGTACATAGACCATCTCCTCTAAAAACACCCCGTGGGTCGAACAGTTCACTTTCCAAACGAGCAGAACTGGGTTTTGTTCCTATCTCGGCACCTCCACCTCCAGCATTCACGACGGATTCCCCCACGAAGAAGACTCCTCGAAATGCATATGCACAAACTACTCCATCAGTCATGCCGCAGTCCGCTCTATTTACCACTTTTCCAAGCGTCAACCCCGACAAGCAAGCTTTCAGGGAAAAACGAGGATTAGAGGAAACATCAAATGACAACTTTGCGGACTTCCCTGAACCTTCCCTCGCATCCAAATCTCTTAAGAGAACTTTGATGGACGCGGCTCCTTTGAAAGAACGATCAGCGAAGAAGCAGAAGCGCGAGAACGTTGACTACACACGCCTTCCGGACCCCCAGGATCTGCCTCCTATCGAAGATGATGGTTCAAAGCCGCCATACAGCTATGCGACCCTGATCGGAATGTCGATCTTGCGTGCGCCCAACAGACGGCTAACGTTGGCTCAGATCTATAAGTGGATTTCAGACACGTTTTCCTACTATAAAAATAGTGACCCAGGATGGCAGAATAGCATCCGCCACAATCTCAGCCTGAACAAGGCGTTTATCAAGCAAGAAAGACCGAAGGATGACCCTGGAAAAGGGAACTATTGGGCGATCGAGTCCGGCATGGAAGCTCAGTTCTTGAAGGATAAGCCGTTACGTCGCGCAACCATGTCGAGTCTGCCGCTACCCGTTCCTTGCCCACGAGAGCCTGTCCATGTGCAAAGCTCCAGCACAACAAATTGGGCTGTGCCTCCTGCAGGCCACCCTACGGCGTCGAAGATTTCCAAAGACGTGGACCTATCTTCTGATGCTACAATACCTGCGTCGGATCCTGCTCTTCAGGAAGATATAGGCGACGAAGGCCCCAATCCTGTTGCGTCCCAAGCTCCTCCACGTTCTTCCCCACCCCAACCGATACATTCCTCTCCTCCCATTGTTCCACCTCGTTTCACACGTCAGGCCACACCCCCTACACCTTCGCACCCTGTGACGTCTTCTGCCATACCACCTCGTTCCCGCAAGCGCGAATCGGCTACAGTCAATGACAGCGGATATTTCTCTTCCTTGGAGTCTTCGGCGATGCGTCCGCACAAAGCAGGGCATATTCTGACATCGGACTTGGACATAGATCCTCCTCGCATAAAACGTGGTAGAGCAGAAGAGGAAATTGCCAGAATCCGAAGTTCTTCCCATGATATCAGCCCAAGACATTCTACTATATTGAAAGACCCTGTTGTGGCAATCGGCTCTTCACCAATTCGAGGCGAATATGTCAGCATGCTGCCGCCCCCTCTCACCCCTGTGATCAAATTCAAGAAGCCGGCCAAGCCTCCTCCGTCTGTCTCTCCCAACACGAATCTTCGGAATCACCGCAAAAAGATTCAACAAATGGTCAATTCTCCCATCAAGCACCTGGGTCTTACAGACGAGGACCTTCCATGGAGTCCCGCTTTCAGAATTCAAGACGAAACATACACACCAACCGACAACCTGCATACCACTTTTGATGTTTTCACGGAAACTGCTGAACAGGCATTATCAACGACGGCATACGGTTCTCCAGAAAAAAGGTCCTCGAAACGTGCTCGGACGCTTTCTGGGATGTCGGCTGGTAATGTGCTTGCTGATATCACTACGATGAGTGTCAACAGCAGACCAAGCATTCCATCTTTGCCGCCGACTAGACCTAAGGGCCTCTTGTTTCCGGAGTCACCATCTAAAGTCCACGGCTCTGCACGTCTCGTCGATGCCGCTCAGGATGACTTTTTCTCCTTCCATCTTTTTGACGATAACTCAGGAGAAGTTGATGGTGTCGACCTTTTGCAAGGCTTTCAAAAGATTGGAGGTGCGAGCAAAGAAGAGCCTACAGGATCAAAGTCACAGACGCCAAGGCCGCAACTCAACATTCGAAGTAATACCACTCTTTTTTGAGTATTCGCAAGGACCTCTAGAATTGCAAAGCTCAGACCCTTTCTTACGCTGGGTGGTGCTGTCGATTCTAGGACAGCTTAATAGGCATAATTCATGATTTAAACGGTTGAAGGGCTATACAAGAGGTTTTGATTGGATGAAACGGGTTTCTTGTTCGATCTCTTGGTCACATATTGGGTGTTCAGTTGCTTTTTCTTGGAGTTTTGATCTGGTTTGGAGTTTGGAGTTATCGCTAGCCTTTACAGTGGCTGGGATGACCATTTTATGACCGTGATGACGATATTTTCAAGATGTACATGAAAGCAATGTTTGATGATTCTTGAGCCTTTTCTTTTTTTTTTCTTCTCCTTTGCTATGTCGACTTTTCTGCTGGTGGTCAGGTTCGTTGGTATTCCACAGTGCCTTCTCAGTTCATCTACATTTGTGAATGCATGGTAGAATCTATTGAAAAATTTCGTTGTCAAGAGAAATGGTGATGAAAGGACATGAGCATTAGCTTTTGCAACTGGAAATTCATGAGAACTATCATGTTAAGGGTATCATAGTTGCCATTCAAGAAGCAAAACAAAGAAGGGAAACAAAGGCCTTCAAGGCCCATTCCAGGTGTAGAAAAGGAGCATGATAGGTAAAAGTAGAAATCCAATTGTCAACCTGACCAAAACGCCGCTGTCGATAACAACCAACCCAACCTCAGTATCATAACCTGCTTTGATCATGTGAATTATGCCATCAACTGTTAGCAAGAAACCAAAAGGATTTGTGCTAATCACTACTTGCACAGCCTCGACACCCACAACTGACACACTGAATCATCTGATCTTCCTTCAGTTGAGCCTTGGGCACCCGGCAGATGCACGTTGCATTAAAGTTCGTCTCTTTTGTTTGAATACAACGAAGACAACAGAGCTTTGAAGATTGAGAACAAAAGGGTTAGCACAACTTCTTCCATATGTGTAGTTAGAAAGAAAGAAGTGGATAAATAGAGCTAGCTTGGGCAAAGACGTGTCAGAGTGTCAACAATACCTTTTCATAGCCCTGCTTCTTCCATTTAGCAATCAAGTTGGCATCCGCATAGTTGTTCTTGAGGAGCCAGTCATAGAGCTGTTTCGATATCGCCTCCTTCTCATAGTAAAGGTCGTATATGTATCTAGAACCTACAATGCGGACACTTCGTTAGTCGCAATCAATCGGACTACGGTTAAAGAAGACTCACGCTGATGGCTGATTTGAAAGATTGGCCATAACATCTCGTGTTTTTTTTTCCCTTCGTGTGGCGCGTTCTCAGCATCTTTCATTTTATTGCTGAACTCCAGCAATGTATCTTCTATGTCATCGAAGCCAGCTGGTGGTGGCTTGCGATTGCGCGAGGTTCGTACTGGAGGCATGGCTCAAAGGCTGTGGAGTAGAAGCCAAAGTTTGATACTATAAAGAAGCAGAATAGACAGTGGATCGCGATAGTCGTTATATCGGAAATTCAAGCTGCGAGGGGTCTTTGTAAAATTAAGAAGCTCTTCAGTAGAGGGGAGAACACAGGCTCGAAAAATGACATGCAGCCGTGTATTGCCGTCTCTGACCGCCATTCCCGGAAGTCCAAACTGCATCTTCTCGCTCGTTGCGAAGTTCAAGGCCCCGTGATATCATCTCTGCAGGACTTCTTGTATCTTACCAAAAGAAAAGGTGAAGCTTTACATTTCACTGAGTCATATTCATTGAAGCGAAATATGGATCCCCAAACCCAACTCGACGTCGCCAAGCTCAGCGATGCGGACCGAAAGGAATTGACTCAATTCCTGGCAAATGAAGCTCAAAAGTCCAACATCCAGCAAAGTGAGTAATTCTTCTAAGCGCTATTGTCGCCCTCAGGTTTTTGCGCCCGCGTACCCTTGCACCATTGTAAAGTTCAGAGCTGGGACTTAGGCGTACCATGCGGATTACTCAATTACACTGCTAATTCAGCATCTTTATAGCTGTCCATCACCTTGCAGATGTCTGCTGGAAGAAATGTATTACTGGAAGGATTTCTTCCGGCCGCCTGGATCAGAGAGAAGAGAGTTGCGCACAGAATTGTGTTGAGAGATGGATGGACACCAACTTTGCCGTCCTCAAGCACCTCGAGACTCTTCGGGGGCAATGATATGTTCGACCTTGTCACTGGGAATTGGGCATCCATACTCTCTTCACGCGATGGTGCCTGTGTCTTCTATTGGGGGAACTTACAGAAGCATGGATACGCGGTGTGTGTCGGCATAGAGCCGGTATAACCAGCCGGCTAGCATGGCAATTGGAAAGTCTTGTATTATATTAAGAATCAAAATCTTTCTTTTCTTTTCTTCGCTTCCTCCCAGATTCAGGTTGTCCATTTATTGTACCCTGGGCTCTTGAGATGAAAGCAGTTCAGGAAATCAACAGTGGAAGACGTGAAACTTCGAAATGAGAGGTACAAGGACCCATCTATATCGAATCTCGCTTTAGCTCCCTAAGAGATCGACCTACGGAGAGACAAATCTTCAGAGAAAATCGTGCATTCGAGTAATTTCTTTTTTCAATTGATCATGCAGCCCTTGCTGGAGCACTCGCAGCAGATTTTTTAGACTGATATTTGTATACCCCAGCGTAAAACAAAGAAATTCGCCCAGACCCAAAGAAAACCACCATCTAGACAATAGCAAGCTTGGTGGCAGCAATGTCCAGAGCATCAACATCAGGGGTTAGCCGAGCGAAGGCCTTCTTCGATCCATCAGGTCTGTTGCGGAATTAGAATGAGGATTCCTAACCGAAATCGATACGCAAGAGCACGGAGGGTTCATACCTAACGAGGGTGTTGACCTTGACAGTGTCGACATCGTACAGCTTCTTCAGAGCCAGCTTGATCTGACGCTTGTTGGCCTTGACGTCCACGATGAAGACCAGGGTGTTGTGCTCCTCAATCTTCTTCATGGCGCTCTCGGTGTTCAGAGGGAAAAGAACGACCTTGTGAGCATCGAGGCGGGGCTCATGAGGGATCGACTTGCGGGGGTACTTGGGCGACCGGGAGAGCTGCAGGGTCTTGGGGCGGTGGAAGGTGGTGGACGTGCGGATCTTGTGAGACTTGTGCGCCTGTACGATTGAAAAAAGAAAGTTTAGTGTAGGTGAAACGGGTATTCCACGGATCGTGTCAACGTACGCCTGCACCCTTCAAGACTGCCTTGGCGGCAGCGCCAGCCTTGTTGCTGGACTTGGTCTTGCCTGTGTGAGTCGAAATGTCAGCTTCTCTGTAAATATGATCCAACCCAGCAGCTCGGCTAAAATTCGTTCAACACAGCGCAAAATGAAGGGGGAATTTGCAGGCAGAACGGGTGTTGCGCAATCCTATCCATATGGTCTCCGATAATTTGTAAACGAGTTCGACATGATTTGAGCACAGTGCAGTCATTTTGACAAAATATCACATTCACGTCCGTTCATCAACCCGCGTTTGAACCACCGATGATACTGCATTTCGAAAATGAAAAAGAGATCGTTCAATGCAACCTACCTTGCTTGTTTTCCACCTTAGGGGCCATGGCTGTCGTCCGGCGCTGTCGTGATGATTGTCGCAGTGTCGAGTGTCGAATTGTTTCGAGAGTATTCGCTTAGCGAAAACCCTACGAATGACTGTGTGGGTCACCTGACTTCTTTATCGCCGCAACGTTTGGATCTCTTGGCGCTGACTGAGCCCGCTCCGCTTTTTGTAGTCCTGGGAGAGAAGAAAAAAAAGTTAGGCGTAATTAGTGTAGATAGCTGCTGGTTAATATTATGCGGAATCTTATTGTCAGAACAATGAAATCATCTCAATGATAATTTCTTAAGTTTTGACTAGAATGCCAACTACTGTTCCCAACCATACAGGATGAGAAAGCTGCATGCTATCGGGAAGTGAACTTCAGTTGACTCCATATTTTCCACCAAACGCCGGCGTATGCTGCCTCTATATTAGTAACACCAAGCTGTCGACCTGAGGTTACTGTTGAAATACAATGGCGCCAGTCAAAAAGCGATCAAAGAAGCCCAAGTTGCTCTCTAGCTCACGGCCACCGACGGTCAGGACAAACAAGACGAAGCTTTCGTCAAAAGCCACCCGGAACCTCATTCGCTCCCACCATCAGCTTATGAAATCGAGGGCCCAAGCAGTCGAAGAAGGCAATGAAGACCTAGTTCGGGAGCTTGACGCGCGCATTGAAGCAAGCGGCGGCTTAGAAAGCTATCAGCTTGCTAGCAAACTCGGACAGTCGTTAGAGCGTGGTGGAGATTCCAGCAAAGTCCTCATCGACTGGATCGGTCCCAATCTGGTTGAGCTGAAGCACTCACCGTTCAAGCTACGAATGCTCGAAGTCGGAGCTCTCAGCACCAAGAACGCATGCACCAGAAGCTATCTCTTCGACGTCACCAGGATAGATTTGAATTCCCAGGAGCCAGGCATCTTGAAACAGGATTTCATGAAAAGGCCTCTTCCCCGCGCTGACAATGATCGATTTCACATCATTAGCCTGTCCTTGGTACTTAACTATGTACCGAGTGCGATAGGCAGAGGAGACATGTTAAAGCGGTGTGTAGAGTTTCTCACAGACAAACTCCCGTCGGGCCTATCCCTTAACATCCGGCCGAACTTATTTTTGGTCTTACCCTTGGCCTGCGTCAAAAACTCGCGGTACTTGACGGAGGGAAGGCTGCAAGACATATTATCCAGTATGGGGTTCGTCTTGGCAAAGAGCAAGGAGACATCGAAGTTAATATTTCAGCTCTGGGAGCACAACGGAAGTTACAAGCCACAGCCATTCAAAAAGGAGCTGCTGAACCCAGGCACAATACGTAACAATTTTGCTATTATCGTTCAATGAAAAAATCGAGAGAAATTGAATGGTATCATACAGGAGAAGTGGAGTCTTTTCAGCCAGTTTACTTCGCAGAGATCATGTCCTGAGGCAAAAAAGCCCAGGCAGTACCTACTACTGCCAGCACGGACGAAACGACGAGGAGGAGCCAGTCGAGTATGCGTTCACCCGTTCCGATCTCCTTACCAAAGATCTTCAGGTAAAACGCGAGGGGCAATATGATGCAAATCGTAAAACACAACGCTGATCCCATTAAGGCCATGATCCTGTCGAAAGAAGGAAACACAATTGCCATCAACACGATGACAACCACCACAAATATGCGGACTATTGCCTGAGATGACCGGCGAAGGGTCTCGCTGAAGCCATTTCGACGTTCTGAGGCTACACTCTGGTGTGTCCCGATTCCGCAAAGGACTTCAACAGTGGCGACCAGAGGCCGACAACTATATTCCGTCAGACCTCAATGACTTCGTGCAACTGTGGACTCTTTTGGATGGCTTACTTCAGGGGCACTTTGGTGATTGGGATTATTGCGATCAGTATAACCATGCAAATAGACAAGGCCTGCGGATATTCCGATGTCAATAGCACATTGGCTGTGATCTCATCCAAGACGGTATCTCCGAACATCAGCCAACCCACGATAGCCATCGCGCAATCCAGGGAATACTATAGCTCATGTCAGCTGCTGTATGATCAAATAATCATCTTCCCTACCGTGAATATAAATGTGACCAAGAGACTCTTGCCATATTTCTGCGGGTGCCTCATATCGCGGTAAATGGAGGGAAAGCAGGAATGTCCTCCCCAAGGTGCTGCCGAGAAAGTGATGTTACTACATGTCATACACTTGCAAAGTCAGCGTCAGACTTACACATTATCAGACCGAAACTGAGCGGGAGAGAGAGCCAATTATCAGGAAGCATTGATGTTCGGGCTGGTTGAAGAAGGGAACCCGGTGCTTCTGATTTGAGCAATCCGTCAAGAAATATGATCACGACAACTGTGCGTATTAGCCCATCGGATCATCATGCAGGAGACTGAAGGACCCACTGGATGTGCAAGACAATATCCCTAGTATACTTGTCACGCTTAAGAGTCGTAAAGAAACGAAGTTGAGGGGCAGCAGGACGAATCCGCATATGATTTTCCAATGGAGGATGCTTGGCCCAGGAATCAACGCATGGAGACTATCGGCAAAGAGCACGACTAGGGCAACGCAGGCTCCTACTAGTTCTAGACAGAACAAGAGACTTGTCACGATTCGTGCATGATGTCCAAAGCTGATGTAGGCTACATCTGCATATGTCACAAGACTTCGATCAAAGTCCAAGCATTTAGCGAGTATTTTGGCAGTATAGGCGGTTGTCACTGCAGCGAAGAGTAGAAAGGATAACCCTAATAGCCATCCAGCATACTTCATGCCCAAAGGAAGGGACAGTAAACCAACGCCGATCAAGACATTGACCGAATTGAAGACAGTTTGAGGCACAGTCGACTGACCCACGACGACATTCTCCCGTGTTCCATCTTCGTGCTGCACCTGTTTGACCAGTAGAGGCTCCGCATCGGAATCTACGGCTGCACTGAGATGTGCTAATTGCTCTCTGTGGAATTGTATTGCGTGGCGCCGTGTGGCGTCGCTGAATCGAGAGGAGGTTGTACCGTAGGAGGTACCCAGGCTTCTATCCAGCGACGAACCGAGAATCGCAGTATTCGGAAGTCCTTTCATTGATTGACCAAGCAGGGCGCTATCCTCTCCTGCTTCGTCCCCTGCATCCAATAATGGTCGCGTTAAGGCAGACCCCTGGCCGAATGAACCAGAGCCTCGTAACTCGGGATCTTCGTCCCATCTTGAGACCCGATCTTCGTCCGACCCAACTGCCACAACTGACGAGCGCCGGGGAAGTACTTCAGGAAAATAGGCGGCTCGCTGCCATGAGCGAGCAAAATTGTCAATGCTGTTCGGTCCACCGGCTTGCCTGAATCGTGCAGAGAATGACGATGACCTAGATAGGATTTGATCAATCAGACGAAGGTCCTTCATACTATCTTGCTTTAGGTCTGCCTCACCTCTGCCTGTGCAGATCGTAGCTACCAACCGGATGAATATCGTGCCCAGTCGAATTACGTTGGCTGCCGCCGTCATAATCGAATACCCTCCCGTCATACGAGCCTTGGTCACTACTACTTGATCCTCTAGGACTCACATCTCGGATTGAGTGTCCCTGCATTGCTTTTTGTTTTTGCTTGCACCTTCGATGCAGAGTCCCCGATTGTGTCCCCTGCGTGCCACTCTCGTATCTCTCCTTGATTGCAAGATCAAAATTCCTTCAAAAATGGTGCCTAGAGATGTGGTGAAAAGCAAGAAACCGGTCCGGACGAAAGGCGACGAGAGCTTAAAACCTACTTCAAGCCGCAACTCTTGTCAGAGGAGAGTTAGTCGTTATATACAAACTTGTAGATTGTCGCTTTTCTGTAGAAAACCCTCTTGAGAGAGATGAGAAGAGTAATTCTGATAGCGAAGAGGAGAGAATATGGATGAAATTGGCATTGCTAATAGCTGACTGGGCTCAGTCGATACGCGATAGTCTGCAGCAGGCTCCGTGATTGAAGTGGGGTATGATGCGCTCCATAGATAAGAAGTCCTCTCTAGTCTTAGCATCGTCAAAAGCCTTGATTTTGAGTGAGTCTCGAGTCTCGACGATGGCGAAGCCATACAATTGTTCCAAGTCATGATAAGAGGAAATATAAGGTTAACAAACTAGATGTCCAGCATTGTGGATGGATGTTGAATGTCCAGATGCTGCTAGGTGCTCACCACTAGTAACTCCTGTAAGACAAGAAAGGATACCCTAGTTGTATGATAGGGTAAGACGAGCGCGTAGTAAGTAATAACAAGCACAATGATTTTGAAGCAGCATAAAATATTCAGACACAGCCTTACAAGACATTTAACAATACTCATAATAAAAGCATTCTCAATCTCCCAGGAGATTCTCTTTTTCTAATCTTGATCTGAGCTGAGCTGCTCTTCATAAAATTAATGTGATGACTGTGCTTCTGTACTCCGCAGTATGTCGATAGCAAGCAACATAAGAATCGCAATAACCACACCAAGTGTTAACACCATGCAAATCAAAATATGATCTCCCATCTGAATAGCAGTCCTCGTTTCTTTGATCCCACGAAACATAACCACATCCCATCGTTACATAGACCTAGTATAGATGAGAAAATGAAAATCGATCAACAAACCTAACCTTGGTACCTAAGTTGTACCTTGTTGCCTCGAGACTAGGCTTATGTCATCCGAAAAAAAACAGGCGACTGCTGACCCACTTGTTCTTCATATTGTCTGTGGCTGCCACCCCACGGTGCCTGATGAAAATTGCTCCAACACCCCGCTGGACTCGGACAGCAAATCGACCAGCCTGAAGGTATGTGACTTGGGAGTCTCGATTGTACTCACAGATACCTACATCGCCTCCCTGGCATCTTTCGGTGGGAACAGCCACTAATTGATTTTTTAAAAAGAAACAGCAGAGACAATCAGTTCTCTAGAGCCTATCCTTCCCCTGGTCGTTTTATATAGTCGCTTCGCCCAACATGAGCGCGGCTCAGCCGAACGAAGCGGAGAAGAATATTGAGATATGGAAGGTCAAGAAGCTGATCAAGCGCCTTGAGGCCGCAAGAGGAAATGGAACATCCATGATCTCCCTTATCATTCGTAGGTCCTCCCCGCTTCGCCGGCTTGTTCTTCTTTGAGCTAATGTTCCGGCTCTCTACAGCTCCGAAGGATCAGATCTCGCGAGCTGCGAAGATGTTGGCAGAAGAATACGTAGGTTCAATGCCTTATATGGTCACTATTGAATGAGCCTACTGACTGTCGACTCGCAGGGCACCGCTTCCAACATCAAGTCTCGTGTGAATCGTCTTTCCGTCCTTTCGGCTATTACTTCTACGCAGCAGCGTCTCAAGCTCTATAACAAAGTTCCTCCAAACGGTCTGGTGGTTTACTGTGGTGAAATCATCACGTCTGAAGGAAAAGAGCGAAAGATTAATATTGATTTTGAGCCATTCAAGCCAATCAATACCTCGCTCTATCTTTGCGACAATAGATTCCATACCGAAGCATTGAGCGAACTTTTGGAATCGGACCAGAAGTTTGGCTTCATTGTCATGGACGGAAACGGCGCCCTTTTCGGTACTCTGAGCGGAAACACCCGAGAAATCATCCAAAAGCTAAGCGTTGATCTACCCAAGAAACACGGTCGTGGTGGTCAGTCCGCCCTTCGTTTTGCACGTCTGCGTGAGGAGAAGCGGCACAACTACGTCCGTAAGATCGCCGAGCTGGCTGTGCAGAATTATATCACGGCTGATAAGGTCAATGTTGCGGGTTTGATCTTGGCCGGTTCTGCCGACTTCAAGAATGATCTTAACCAGTCAGATATGTTCGACCAGCGTCTGCAAGCCAAGGTCATCAAGGTAGTCGATGTCTCTTACGGTGGCGAAAACGGTTTCAACCAAGCCATTGAACTCTCCTCGGAGACTTTGAGCAACGTCAAGTTTGTGCAGGAGAAGAAACTGATTGGCAAATACTTCGAGGAAATCAGCCAGGACACCGGTAAAGTCTGCTATGGTATTGAAGATACATTGAAGGCTCTGGAACTTGGTGCGGCTGAAACGCTTATTGTGTACGAGAATCTTGATGTCACTCGATATATTCTCAAGACCTCCAGTGGTTCGGAAGTCATTGTTCATGCCTCAAAAGCCCAGGAGGAGAACCGAGCATTGTTCACCGACAAAGAGACTGGTACTGAGATGGAAGTCGTTGATCAATCCTCTTTCCTCGAGTGGCTGGCCGAGAACTACAAGGACTTCGGTGCCGCGCTGGAGTTTGTTTCCGACAAATCCAGTGAAGGAAATCAGTTTGTCAAAGGCTTTGGTGGTATTGGAGCTCTCCTCCGGTACAAGGTCAACTTTGAACAGCTTGCCGATGCTGATGACGAGGACGAGTTCTACGACGGTACGTTTGGTAACGTAGGCATGCGAATTTTGTACTAATGCCTGTCATTTGCGCAGATTGACGGTTCAGCGACCTCGCAGAGAGCGAGGATGAACGTCCAGAAGCTCCGAACACGGATCTTTTGACGGCTCGCCCCGTTATTATCGAAGGCGGCTCTCATGGCGAACCCATCGCTACCCTGACACTTACCGTGCCGCGGTCTGAACTAAGTTCTATGAAGCTGCTCAGAGGTTTGTCTACCTCAGGCCATTTCTGATCCGGTCCAAAGTACGGATGCTGATTAGTTTTCATTAGGGCCATCCAAGCTCCGTAACATGATCACTGAGGTCACCTAGTGTTTCAGATTGCGCAAGGTGTACTTCGCTTGAGAATGGTAGATTTGGTCTTGCAAACCCAGCCATTCACAAAATAATGTTCAGCTCAGTCCTGTAAGCTGGCAAGTTAAAAGAAATTGTTATGATCTGGCACACTGCACTGTCCCGGAATTTTTCCTTTCCTTTTCTTTTACGCTCTCTATTTGATCTGCGCTCTTTATGTAACCATTTGGCAACTAGCAATGTAGATTGACACTGCCAAAAGGGCCATTTGTTTATTGCGGAGCTCTAGCAGGTTTATCAGTCTGGATAGTCTCGCTTCGTATACAAGAAATTGTTGTTATGCTGTCGGGTGTATTTCATCCTTGCACCGGCGCAAGCTGGTCTTTCCAAGTACCAAGATGCCTGCATCGCTCGGTAACCTGCTGCAAGTCGTGCAAGATATCGGAGACATTCTGGATGTTCTGATCCGTGGGGATTTGCTGGCATTCAACGAAGAATATGTATTGCCAAGCTCTTGTTTGACTTGGTCGTGTATTGATACTTGTAAGATTCATCCCACGCTCCTTGAATATCAACAAAGCGTCTGCCAATGCTCCTGGAGAATCCTGCCGGACCTTAAAGGAGATCAACGTCTTTTCCGCGGGGTTCGGGGAAGGAGACTGTATATGAGTTGAGGGCGCCTTCACATCGTCAAACCTAAATCGGGCAGTACGTTCTGACTTGACATTCCTCAGAACAAGGAAGCGCGTTGTATTATCAGCCTTGTCCTCGATTCTGTCTGCTAGAACATCAAGACCGTGGTGTTCGGCAGCGAAGCGACTGGCAATTGCGCCACTGCGCTCCGTTGCCTCGAGAGAAACAATCTCGGCGGCTTTTGAGGTCGACGACACATCCTGCCTTTCGACACCTTTCAAGTATTTAACGAGGAAATTCTCACACTGGCCCCATGCTTGAGGATGTGTATATAACTTTGTTATTGATCTGATGTCCGGTTGCGACCAGTTCTTATGAGCCAGGAGACAGTGATGCACTGTCAAATAATGCTCCCCGCATACCTTGACATCTTCGTAGAGATCAAACCGATCAGCGAGGAGGTCAAAATTCTGAACGACGGAGCCATTAGTCGAGTTTTCGATGGGTATTATAGCATAGTCTGATTCCTGCTGCTGTACTGCGGCGAAAGCATCTGCAAAGGACAGGCGGGGAAACAGCTCGGCCGAAGTCCCAAAACATCCAACAGCAGCCTATGAGTCTGGATTAATGATGTGACAGGGTGTATATCTAATGGGGAGGACTATGTCTGACCTGATGAGAAAAGGACGCTGCCGGGCCCAAGAATGATACTCTGATTGGCTCCATGGGATCTGGGTTGATTTGTGCCTCCGCCTGCAACAATCAGGAGATCTCGGTTTTTCCAGATGAGCAATTGATATTATTCTCCCCCGCACTCAGGGACGTCTATGAACTTAAGAATTTCTGACTTATGCTCTTTGTGGCAGATGGGAACAAACGCATCAAACATATCCGGTGCCTGATTAGATACTCTAGGCCCAGTCTCCACCAAAGAAGCTGGCTAGCTCTGTACAACATGGAGAAGTCGACAACGAAATCTATCTCAGCGTCGGAAAAGGAACCATTGGTGCTTCTCCTGATTGTGTTCCGTTTGAACACTGGCATCTGCTGATGAAGACACATATATCGCAGTGCATCTCCCTGTCGGGGCGGACGTTTCCGTTTACCGTGTTGCGAACATATTCCTCATGTTCCACAGCTTTGCGCCAGGAACTCACATCACGCCGACTCCCATGGACCTATGACTATCTGCATCCTCAACCATCTCATCTTCTGGACCTGAGTTTGCTAGATCTGGTCCCGTCCCCCGGACAGTTGCCAATCGACTATGCGACTCTCCCATCAATCGAGCGGCCCGTGCCCATGAAGCCTGGACACCATCTAGTCTATTTCCCTCCTCAGGTTACACTATCCCAACTACTTCCTGACGGTACGGATACCCTGCATTATCCGGGAGAGCCCTTCAACAAACGTTTATGGGTTGGTGGGAGAGTCAGATTCCCGATCCCGCGTATTCCACGCCTGGATGGTAGCCGAGCTGTGTGCATCGAGACCATTCGGGACGTGTCAGTAAAAGGGCCCAATGACCAAGAAAAAATCTTTGTCAATATCGAAAGACGGGTCGGCACGGTAGAAGAGGGTGAGAGTGAGAGTGATATCAAGCAACGTATTTACAGACAAGATGAGAGCGACATTGGGCAATCTTCAGTCATAGAAAACAGGACTCTGGTCTTCATGCGTGAAAAGGCCCCTGAACAGCTCCAGATCGATAAACAAAATTGGGGGAGCAACCGCAGGAGAATCAAAGGTACACACCCACCCAAGCAAATATGATAGATTCCCGGGGTGCTGATCTGTGGTTACTATCTGAAGCCCCTCTGAATCCAGAATTCCGTCACACAATGAAACCTACCAAAGCTCTTCTGTTCCGTTTCTCAGCGCTTACATTTAATGCCCATTCCATTCACCTCGAGGAGACATACACTCGGAACATTGAAGGCCATCCGAATCTACTTGTTCATGGTCCACTAACACTCACATTGCTTCTCACCGTTCTACAGACTCAATTGATGAAGTCAGGTCGCGATATCTGTGAGATTGAGTATAGAAACATCGCTCCTCTCTTTGTTGATGAGGATCTAACCATTTGCGGGAAGCCCAAATCCGGCAACGAAACGGGCACTTGGGACGTCTGGATCGAAAGTCCCAATGGAGGCCTCGCTGTCAAAGGAGTTGTGCAGACATGTCTACGGAAAAACTCATAAGCATAAAGCCTGAAGCGCGTATGGGTTGTATTCTGCTGCAAAGCTTGATTAGGACAGTACCTAGATAGATAAGTTCGGTCCTAATGGTGTGTCGTATGAAGATTCATTGTCTTTCGTGACCTATAGGTAGTACCTAGGTTACCTAATATATACTACCTCTCATCCAATGATAATCTGAGTAGTTTCTTCCACTTCCAACGGAAAGGAAAAACATCCTCCGCCGGAGCTAGCAGGAGCACACATCATTTATTCCCTCCTAAATTTTTTTTCTCTCTTTCTTCCTTTTGTCACTACTGAGTACTACTGAACAGGACCATCGCTTTGCAGCTACCGAGTGTGGAACCAGGAAAAGTCACTTCTACCTTATGATGTGTATCTGGCAAAAGATTTGAACATCATCTCCAAGCACTTTTTGATTGCTCCATTTAATTGACTCATCTAGCTCCAATGGATCGTTTTTGGGCTGCTCCTCCTGTCACAAGGTACATTCCTGCTCTCCGGATGTCTTTCTTTCGAGGAAGGTATAGTTGACATCCGCCACGACAGGACACTCGTGGCACTAACATTTGCTCAATCTGCTTTGGTTTATGGTGGCCTTCTGAGCGGATATCATGTGATATTCATTCCACAACTGATCTTCAAGGTTCTACCTCAGTTATGGAGGTTGGGTTCGCCATTCCTTCTCACAGGATCTGGCCTATCCTTCATATTTGATCTTTACTTCAGTACGACATCTTGTTGGACTGGTCTCACTACCTGCTAACTCGCCGTTAGTGTACACTTATGGCAGCGCACTTGAGACAGGCTCTCCTCGCTTCAGCTCGCCAGGCGACTTTTTCACATATGTGTTCTTTGTAGCCTTTGTCATTGTGGTAAGTCCAGGAGAGCCGGACATCATTGGTCTCCCCCAGATAGATATTGTCATCACACTCCGGCGTTTGCTTTTGGCCGACTGCCCCTTGAAATCCTAGCATAGTCACCTCGCATTATCTGCCCGCCCAGCCTCAATCTAGCTGAAGCGGTTCCTGGAAACGAGGAAGATCACCCCTGCATCCTGTACAGCGCCTCTTTCGCATTGATCCATAAGGGCTGTATGCGTTGCGGGTATGGTGGGACGACCACTGAGATAACCAGCGTGATCGCATAATATCATGTTGGTGGTTATGGTGCCCTACATTCCATATACTATCCTATCTATAATGTCAATCATGAATTGTTACACTTCTCTTTGAACACGTTCCCAACTTCTGCCCTGCAAAGTAGTCTTACTTGAGATTCTAGTGCTGATAGTTGAAAAGGTCACTGCAGGTTATTTCTTAAGTGGCATAGTCTTCACGTCAGGTGAGCCTAGTCTGGCTTATTACGTGTCTATCGTTCGATATGCTAACCTACCACAGCCTTGATTCTGGCGTTTGTCTATACATATGCGCAAGAAAACCGGGGTAATAAGGCAACCTTTTTCGTGATCCAGATTCCCATCGAACTCTTGCCTTGGGCGATGCTTGCGCTCACTCTGGTTCTTGCCGGATGGCCTGCCGCCCTGAGCGAAAGCATGGGGATTGTCGCCGCGCACATGTATGATTTCCTCACGCGACTTTATCCGACCTTTGGCGGTGGGAGAAATTACCTTACCACGCCAAATTTCGTCAGAAGATTCTTCGCCGGCTACGCCCCACGTGGTGGAGAGTATCAAGCTTATGGAACCGCGTATCGGCCAGGGCAGCAAAATCGTGAGCCTTCTTCAAGCGGATGGGCTTCGTCGTTCCAGAGAACTTGGGGTGGAAGAGGTCCGGGGCGGAGACTTGGAGATAGTTAGGATGCATGGACGACGGTCCAAACTGGTTGTAAACGCGTCGTTGCAACTGCATTGCTCGTCTATTCTTGCGTCAATACGAGCTGAGCCAGGACGGCTGGGAGGAGAAACTGCATGCTCTTACGTAGTATGTCTTGTATGATAATATTGATGTGCTGAAGTTTACATCTCTTTCTTGAAATGAGGTATTATGATTCGAGGTTGGGTGTTTCTGCTCATGACCTCCGGGTTTGAAACTATATAGAGAATCCACCTACATTGATAAGTCTTCCCTTTCATAGCTCTTTTCTCTCTCCAAGCAATAATCTTCAGTTTCATCTTGGGAAGGCGCTGTTGAGGAGGGTGTGTGCTGACTTCAAGTCACGTGTCTCAGTTGGCGCTATCCTCTTTTCAGGCTAGGCCATTTGCCGCACTTCAAAAATTCCGTAAAAGATTCTTTTCTCACTAGCGCTAGAATAAAACTTTGGTCGAGTTGGTGCAATTTTTCCTGCGATCCTCATCCCAAGACGCGCTCTCGCCTAGCTACACTGAATTCTTGAAGCCAGTTTTCAAGATGGCAGTCGCATTGGCTAAGGAAGAGATGGACTACACTATCAAGCCAGAGGCTGGTGCCTCTAACATTTCCACAGAAGAGTGGCCGTTGCTGCTCAAGAATTATGACAAGCGTACGTGGACATCGGGTTCCTTGCTGCCTCCTCCATATCCTCGGGGTGTCCTTTTGTAAAAAGCGATATGAAACTGATTGCCCTGCAATAGTGCTGGTTAGGACTGGTCACTTCACCCCAATTCCGGCCGGTTGCTCTCCCCTCAAGCGCGACTTGAAATCCTACGTCAGCTCGGGTGTCATCAACCTTGACAAGCCCTCCAACCCATCCAGTCATGAGGTTGTCGCTTGGATGAAGAGAATCCTGAGGTAAATTCGAACCAAGCTGCGTTGGTATTTGCAGATCTGAATGCTAAAACTCTACGTATCTCTAAAGGGCGGAGAAGACCGGTCACAGTGGAACACTCGATCCCAAGGTCACTGGTTGCTTGATCGTTTGCATTGACCGTGCTACTCGCTTGGTTAAGTCGCAACAAGGCGCCGGAAAAGAATACGTTTGCGTTATCCGCCTTCACGACAAGATCCCTGGCGGCGAGGCCCAGTTCAAGAGAGCTCTTGAGACTCTGACTGGTGCGCTCTTCCAGCGGCCGCCACTGATTTCTGCTGTCAAGCGTCAGCTTCGTATCAGAACCATTCACGAGAGCAAGCTCTACGAGTTCGACAATGAAAGACATCTTGGTGTGTTCTGGGTCAGCTGCGAGGCTGGAACCTACATCCGAACTCTGTGTGTGCATTTGGGTCTTTTGCTCGGTGTTGGCGCGCACATGCAGGAACTCAGACGTGTGCGCAGTGGAGCTATGGATGAGAACAACGGTCTTGTGACTTTGCATGATGTCTTGGACGCACAGTGGATGTATGACAACCAGCGGGATGAGTCTTACCTCCGCAGGGTCATCAGCCCTCTCGAGTCTCTCCTTACTACCTACAAGCGTATCGTCGTCAAGGACAGCGCTGTGAATGCTGTGTGCTATGGTGCCAAGCTCATGATTCCTGGCTTGTTGCGTTTTGGTTCGTGCCTCGTATTTTTTTTTCCCTTTCGGGCTTAAGGACTGTTGCTGACTGGAATCATAGAGGCTGGAATTGATGTCAACGAAGAGGTTGTGCTCATGACAACAAAGGGCGAGGCCATTGCAATCGGTATTGCTCAGATGTCTACTGTTGAGCTCTCCACTTGCGACCATGGCGTTGTTGCCAAGGTCAAGCGCTGCATCATGGAGCGTGATCTCTATCCTCGCAGATGGGGTATGGGTCCTGTGGCTTTGGAGAAGAAAAAGCTCAAGTCTGCTGGAAAACTTGATGTGAGTACTTGCCTTCAACGTCTCATAATCGTACTCTGTATGCTGACTGATTCTTGTAGAAATATGGCCGAACCAACGAGGCTACTCCTGCCAAATGGAAGACCGAGTACAAGGATTACAACGCTCCTGAAGATGCTGCTGCTCAGCCAGCAACCGAAACCAACGGCACCGAAGAAGCGGCTGCTGCTCCGGCCGCCGAACAGGCCGAAGCGCCATCGTCCCCCCAATCGAAGATGGATGTGGATGAGGACAAAGATGAGAAGAAACGCAAGAGGCACGAGGGTGAAACACCAGAGGAGCGTGCCGAGCGCAAGCGCAAGAAGAAGGAGAAGAAGGAAAAGAAAGAGCGGAGAAAGTCCAAGCAGGAGAAGGACGACAGCGACGACAGCGATTAAGGCATGTGTCTTACAAATCTGTGTCCGACTCTGGCACTCGGGCATCTCTCTGGTGGAGGATATTTCGCGGCCTCTACATTTGCTTCTGGGAGTGTCGTCTGGGCAAGCTGTCTGTAACTTACTTTTTGTTTCTTGTTCATCGGAGTCTTGGGTTGAAAAGGGAATCAATGTTAATCATTCTGATATCTTGCATACCACTTGCTTTGCGATACTTGTCATTGCGGAGATATGTCTCCCAGTTTTTCCATTTTGATTCTTTGGAAAGACGAATCCAGATTGATAGGCGGCATCATTGTCGTTGTCGTCTCTGGATAACACATAGCCAGTTCTTCAAGCCTTCAAATGTGAGGTAGATATGCGATCAGGCGTGAGGTTGAATGCTTTAAATCCGTTTCGTTGGCTGACCCCGGAGGTGTCGTGACCTTGCCGGTGTCTCCGCATCTCGCCTCGTCCTCCTCGCCCCCCACCAACCTACTCTACTGTATGATTCTCTGCTACCAATACTCCAGTCATTCATCGGTCTGATTTTGATATACCACTACTGCATCATTGTAAAATCTCGAGTCCATACTTCTGCTCTCCAAGGCGTCGGTAAAAGTAGCTGCAAACGATTCAAAAGCTGCTGCCATCATCATGGCTGCGGAGCTCACGTCAACGAAACTCAATGCGGAGAATCATCTGCTCTTAGTAAATCCCACCCGCTTCCCCCAGCCTGTGACCTACACTAATATCGGAATTTTATACTGGTGCAGGATCAACCTCTATTACGAGTCCCTCATGAACTCGCACGAAGGAACTTCAAATCTGTCCAACGGCTCGTCGAGCGGGAAAGGGAATATGTCCTGCCAGCACTCAAGGAGGCCGCCAATGCCTCACTGGCAAATACACAGACGCCAGATCAGACTCTCGCTGCCCTCGACGCTATGATATCTCGCATGCAAGGCCTCAAGCGGAAAATGGAAAGTCTTCAAGAAGAGGAGAAACGAATTCAGGAACAATCGCGCAAGCGCATCCAGCATTTGGAATGTCTTCACCAAATACCAAGCCTTGCGGATGTGAAATATGATCAGTGGTCTAGAGTACGACTGGATAGATTGGTGATAGATCATATGTTGCGTTCCGGATACACAGCTAGTGCCCAACAGCTAGCTCAGGAGAAGGGGATCGTAGACCTGGTGGACCTTGACGTCTTCACGCAGTGTCAACGGATCGCCCAGAGCCTGCGCCACGGTGAAACAAGAGACGCTTTGCAGTGGTGTAATGAAAATAAGGCTGCATTGAAGAAGAGTCGGGTTTGTGGGATCTAAAGACCATTCTGCGGACCACTTACTAACGCTACAAATACAGTTCAATCTCGAGTTCGAATTGCGGTTACAACAATATATTGAAATTATCCGGACGGGAGATCGAGGGAGGTTCATTGATGCTATGGCGCATGCTAAAAGATATCTTACCCCGTATATCGAAACGCAGTCGATGGAGATCCATCGGGCAGCAGGCTTGCTTGCCTTCCCACGAGATACCAAGGCTGATCCGTACAAGGTGTTTCAACAAGAAGATTTCTCTTGTCAGCAGAACACAGGCTAATAAATTTCTAGTCGATGTATTCGTCTGATCGGTGGACTTATCTTTCTGATCTGTTCATTCGGACTCATCATGAACTTCTATCATTATCCTCACGTCCACTGCTGCATATTGCACTATCCGCTGGTCTATCGGCTCTCAAGACTCCATCGTGCCATTCGGAGTATACCTCCCCGAGCTCTAACTCCTTGTCGACTACGACATCTGTATGCCCTATATGCTCAACCGAACTGAAGGAACTCGCGCGCAATATGCCATACGCTCATCATGCGAAGAGCTACGTAGAGAATGACCCGATCATCTTGCCAAATGGCAGAATCTATGGCCAGCAGCGTTTGCTAGATATGAGCAAGAAGGTCGGATGTGTCGAAACAGGCAAGGTGAAAGACCCTACTACCGGCGAGATTTTTGACGAGAGCGAGATGAAGAAGGTATATATCATGTAATCGCGAGCGTCCTCGGGTTCTCCGTCATGGAGCAATTGCTTTTCTTTGTGCCATCCTGTTCTTTGGTAGCATTGATATCGCCAGATCCTCGTGAAGGAGTATATACATGGTGCTTGGCTATTTGTCTCTTTAATCACTATCTTCAGTATCGGACACATTCCGCGACCTCTTCTTATTCTTGCCCTTGGGATCAATCTTTGGGTTTGGGGCATGCTTCCTCGAGGAACCATGCTCATCCTCTTTGACTTCAAAGACGTACATCCTTGCCTCCCGGTCTTCTCCCCTCCAGCCTCCCCTTCCCCCATGTTTTCCTTCAATCTCGCCGAGGGTCCGGGCATGCGAATATCCCTGGTAAGAGGTCCACGGAAATTTGAAACTTGTGACCACCCGCAAACCCGCGTGCCGCGCAAGATCCTTGATATTCCAAAGTGTATAAGGCTCTCCTTCGAACGTAGTCACCAAGATTTGCCCCGGCTCGGTCCTATATCTCTTTCCGTCTGGATTCCCAAGCGTCTCCCGCTCGACCTGGTTGCTAGATTCGGCTTCGCTATCCTCGCTCAAATCCCAGTCACCGTTCTCATCCTCATCCTCATCGTCACTTATGACCTCTGGACGCGCCGACAACAGCGGCACACAGGCCTTGAAGAAAGCCACCAGCAGTTCCTGGTTCGACCGCACTTGCCGGTTCACATCCGTCGATAAACCACCCACATGGGGGAAATTGAAACAGATGACGTCCCACGGGCCGCCCGGGCGGGCTCCAGACGAGGGACCCCGTTTAGCTTCCTGCCATGCAGGGCGCGAGCGCTCGCGGCGTGTATAGCCTGTACGAACATCCTTACCACCCCCGGCTGGGGAGCCCAGTTTGCGCGCATCAACTCCGAAGAAAACATTTGGTCCTCGACGGTGGTCGTCCTTCTTTTCCGGGACCGCTTGCTGTTGCTGTTCCTCTTCAGCCTTGGATTCGTCTTCCTCCTCCTCCTGGTCATTTTCATCATTTTGCTTTCCCTTTTTAGAGAATGCACCAAGAATATCCTCGATATTTTTCTCGACTTGTGGATATTTATCCCATAATGTCTCCTTGGAGTCATAGCACGTAGCAAGGATGTCCCGGCAGCGATATTGGACTGCTAGGGAGCGCGCAAACGAGAAGTCTCCTGGCGATATTCGTTAGACATGCTGGTCTAGAGATGGCGTCTCTTTGAAGTCTCTCGACTTCCTGGAACGAGAGCTGCCATGATGGCCACCATAGGGAGCAGGAAGGAGCAGAGGTCCGATCTCAACCGTCCGGTTATTTGCCATTGACCTGTAGCTACAATGGCATCACAGCTAGACAGCAGAAAAGCTGCCTTGCGGAAGAACCGTTATACGTAAGAGATGAAGACTGATCAGACGGACACTGAACAACTTCTCTTTCTCTCGTGCTCGGGCAAACCCCAGCCGTCCATGACGGAGGGAGACAGTATCCACCGGGAGCAAAAGCATTGTAGCCCAGAAAGGAGGGTGAAGGAGGGGGAGGGGGAAAGAGAGCATATAACTTACCCTCACCAACCAGAAGAATCCGATCCCTCTTCCCAAACGGGACAATGGGTCGCCGATGCTGCACCGGCCCCTTCTTCCCTGTAGGACCCTTGTTGCCATTGCCACCTTTCTGACCATGAGATGTGGATGATGCTCCGGTCGACGTCGATAATCTGGAAAACATATGCATTTTACGGGCTTCCTTGGGATTGCCGCCATCACTTCGTTGGGGCCCATGGGATCGTGCTTTTTTTGATTTGGGCATCGATATCTGATTATTCTGCTGAGCCTTTTTTTTTTTTTCTTCCCCTGATGTTTGCAAGTACGTGGGATATATACCGTATAGTCGACAATACTGACGACCAAAAAAAAAATGTTTCCATATCAGCGCGCGGGCCATTTCCACTTCCGAAATGCGATACATGTCAGATCTCGCGGGTATAACTTGAATGCGAATCCCTTATTCTGATGACCCTATGTTTGTTTACTGTCTAGTAGATTAAGGCAGCTCTAAATGGAATGGTTGATTTTCTTGCATTCTCTCCATGCACAAAACAATATCCTCCAGAAACACGCTGTCTATAACCATATTAAAAAGAAGTATCAATGGTGATATATACATTGCAGTCAAACAACAGGGAAAGGGTGGCTTTTTTTCTTTCAAAGGATATAGAGTGGCTTGCAAAAAGGCAACATATTACGACATAAATAGCGTTGTGGTGAGCGCACCATGTACGCTGGAGCACCTTGCCAGTATTGACGAGAAACCACAAAAAAAAAAAAAAAAATGAGATGTAAACCGTGACCAAGAGTTCGTAACTTGAAGCCCATATAGAGTAATAACAGAAAGAAGAGGCCTTCCCGAAAGCCTCCTGTGTGGGAGCAGGGTGCTAGGCACATCCCTGGCACCTGCGATATCAAAGATGGCAACAAAGCGGTCCATACGGACAACGCTACTTTTGACTACCTTGAATTTGAACAAAGCACATTCCGCGCTTACGGTCCAGCGGGTCACCAATCATCATGAAGACAGTTCCAAGACAAAATTTCTGCAGTCTGCCCATCATGTCAAATTGCAGCTCTGTACCGTCATGATTCTTTTTTGCAAAAGGAAAGAAATGTTGCAAATCAAGAGCGCAGGGAATCCCGCATGCTCTGGCTGCTTGCGCTGACAGGGTTCGAGGTCGGGAGGACACCAGTCTTGGGTTTGGCGTTTTGCTTGATCTTAGCAACGGCATAGACGATTCCACTGACGAACCCAACGACAATAGCCGAAACGCTGGGGAACGTGACAGGAGCATCGAAGAAGATCAGGCCGGAAACTGCAATAGGCAGCTTGTTCAAAGCTCCAACCATGGAATAGGTCGTCGACGAAGTCACACGAACGCACCAGGCTGAGGTATACGAGATGAAGACCGATGACAGACCCGACAGAATCATGGCGAACATGATACCATTCCGATCAGCGGGAGGGAAGTTGCGGGTGATGTTGGCGGACGACCAGTCCTCCATGAGGAATGTGAGGACCAGAAGGACGGGAATGGACAAAAGGTTGTTGTAGAACATGGCTAGAAAGACACGAGTCAGAAAAAATCTTTGCATAAACATGGTGAAGGTCAAAGAAAGAACGTACTGTCAAAGTCCTTGAAGTTGGTCAACTTGATACGCTTGCGCATTCCCAGAACGTAGGACGATGTGCAAAGGCAGTTGATCAACATCCAGATGTAACCAGCATTCAGAGTCGAAACCTTGGCAGTCGCATCGCCACTGCTCTCAACGGCGTGCTTGATATCAGCCCAAGCAGCAATGATGGAACTCAGAACCATGAGACCAAAGGAGAACAAGGTCAGGCCAGTCACCGAACCACCGAACCATAGCACCTCTCCGTAGGCGATCAGGATGATTGTCAGGTTCTTGAAGATGGTGTACACGGGAATTGACAAAAACTGCAGCGCCTTGGAGCCGGTGTAGATCATGCCGATGAGAAGCAAAGTAATGGGGAACCCTGTCAAGATGAAGAGACTTGATCAGTATCACGTTCTCACACCCGGAATATCTGTCAGACCAAGTGTTGCCTGGAGAATTACGTACACTTCTTGGCCTCATCGGCATTGAAGTCGCGATAGGTAATCAGTTTGGAAGCCTTGCATGTTTGGATGGCCACGATACAGACGATCGACTGTAATGAAGTCAGGCGATCAGCGCGAGTCCCTTGAATTCCATTTTCCCGTAACGTACCTGCACACAGAGAAGGAGGAAATTGAGGTTGAAATCCGTGCCGGAGAGGACATATTTGTTCATGACGGTCATCATGATCGAGGAACCGCAGTATGCCAGCACAGGCAGGATGGGATTGTTGGCGAGCTGCGCATTGGGGGCACTTCTGGGCTGGACAGGTGGCAATGGTGCTTCAAAGTTCTTACTGCCCTGGTCCAACTTGTCCATCTCGACAGTGTAATCATTGGTCTTCTTGTCGTCTGCCATGTTGCCGGTTATCGATTGTCGATCTGTATAATAAACGCGAAAGGGTTGGCGATTTGAAAATTGCCAGGATGAAGAAGGGGAAGAAAGAGATACGAGATGAATAGGGGCGCCACGCGAGAATACCACCAAAGTATATGGAATGAGTGGAAAGAAGTCTATATTTTTTTTTTGTTTTTCTTCGACTGTCCCAGTCTCTCTCTCCTTCTGAATGAAGTTCAAGGAAAGGGGGAGGGTGTCTGCAACGTGATGAAAGAAGGAGAGTTGGAAGTGATAACAAGAAGAAGATTAAGATTAAGATTAAGATGAATACCAAATAATGAGGACACTGTTGGCCTGAGTGTTCAGGCCGCTACTCCGGAAGCGGCAGAAAAATATCACCATCAAGCAGTAAGACGTCGACAGAGCGGCTGGGAAACTGATTGAGTGTGTCTATGCTAGAAAATATGATTCTGCATCTAGGAAATGATATGCGCGGGATTCTGTCATATCTCTTTTTGAGGACAATATGTACCTTCATGGAAGTTAATCGTACTCTATCAACCTCGCGGAAGTGGTGACTTGAAACTCGCTCTGAAACCCATATGTAGACTCCTGGACTTATTAGGTATCCCTGGGTATGGTTAATAGATAGTAATGATGATCCCACTGTGATCCCACCGTTATTACAAACTGACTATCCAAGATCGTCGATCCCTTAGGGTTAACCGTTGAGTTTGAAGTTGGCCTCCGCAAATATATATATCTAACGGTCATGGAGTTCCCCGCATAGACCACCGACAAGAGAAAAAAAAAAACGCGATTAGACTTCTGCGCAGTAAGTGATATATAACTCCTACTTATATTCCTTATCCTCCAAGCTCACGACCGGTCTGCCTCAATATATTAGGATTGAGAATTAGCAAGCATCTCTCCTATCAGAATCTCTTACCCCAACCAAGTCGGAGAAGGAAGACCACCACCACGATGAACAAAGACCTCGACCAGAAGCACCACACCGCGCGAGATCAAGACGACGACAATGATGACGACTCCCTCTTCGACGCCCTCGAGAAAGAAGACGACTCCGCGTACCGAGCGCACCGCATCGAACAACTCAACGCCGAGTTCTCCGCCGCCAAAAACAACCGCTCCTCCAACCCGACAACCACCCTCGTCGAGGACGGCCTCCTCCCCACGCTGAGAAACGACCAAGCCGTCCTGGACTTCACCACCCTGGCCCACCGATGTGTCGTTCACTTCGCCCATCCCGACTTCGCCCGCTGCGGGGTCATGGACGAGCACATCCGCGCGCTGGCAGCGCAACACCACGATATACGCTTTGCCCGCGTTGACGTGCGCGACACGCCATTCGTGGTGGAGAAGCTGAGCATACGGGTCCTGCCTTGTGTGATTGGGTTCAAGGATGGGCTGGGTGTTGAGCGGGTGGTTGGGTTTGAGGGGCTCGGGGCTGGCGGGCGCGATGGGGCCGAGAATTTCAGCACAGCGACGCTTGAGAAGCGGTTGCTCTGGAAGGGGGTGTTAAGTCAGGCGAAATTCAAGACGGGCAATGACGGCTCCGACATCTCTGACGGAGATAGTGGCGACGAAGGATTCAATGGAAGACGGCGAGGCGCTGCGCGACGGACTATCCGCAGCGGGAACATACGAAACCGCGGAGAGGATAATGATGATGACTGGGATTGAACAATTAAGCGCTTTGATTGTGACGAAGCCTCATGCGACAGCCCAACCGAGGACCCCTTTGGATAATTTTGTGGACTACGGCCATCTCCCTGATCCGCGCATAGAACGGGGGCCACCCTTTCTAGCAGTGGACATATCGATAGTGGGTGATGAAGCGCAGACAGGCCATTCCATGCACGTAGATGCCTTTTTTTTTTCTATACTTCTACACCAGCAAGCCGAAGCAAAGCACTGAATGACACGAATACTGCATGATCATCGAGTAAAGTTACAGACAATGTGGCTCGAGGCAGATGAGAAAAGCGATCATCTCCAGCAAGAGAAATTTGAATGCTCCATGGAAGTATGAAAGATGTCGTATGGATAACAAAGAAAAGGGTAAAAAAAAAAGTCAAAAAAAAGGGGAGGAGAATTTATACAGGCGGCCCAGAACAGTCACGTCGCATCTACCACTCTGCGGCAGGCGGCTGTCATGCTTCAACCGGAAGAGTGAATATGATAAAAGAAAGATGGGAATTGTCGCCGTCAGATGGATACACCGAAGATGTTCGCACAGAGGAAAAGACGGAAAGCAAGAGAAGGAAACCAGATCTAGATAGCTACATTCTTCATCTCCCCCAAAACTTCTGATTCCAAGGCTGTAGATCCTGTCTGGTTAGACTCGCGCTTCTGCGCCTTCTCTGACTTGGGCGATTTCCGCTCGTCATGCTTGTCCGCGAGACTTTCGTTCTCCTTGCCGGAAATCTGTGGGGTGACCACTTCCATCAAATCTTCTGTCCGAGGTTCCTTGGTATTCTCTTTGGCAGCATCCTCAGACACTTCAACTTCAGCGCTCCCATTCACAGGACTCGTGGCCTCCTCGGTGACACGAGCAAGAGGACTCGAGACACCAAACTGCGTCTTCGGACTCTGAGTCGATCCGCGGTTGGGGAAGCGGTGAGGCGAACGGCCACGTTCTTCACTCGGTCCTGGGCTTCCATACGGGGATTCTTTGCCAGATCTGCTGTTGGTGTTGAGTCCCAGTCCAGTAGGAGCCTTGCGCCGAGGTTGCCTTCTCCCATACTTCTGGTCTGTCCTCCAACGGAGAATCTCCAAGTAGGGTGGCTCGACATTCTGCGCTTTGAATTCCAACAATTTCATCTCATTCGTCTCTTCGTCTACATGCACCTTGCCGCTGCAGATATCTTCCGCCACCACTGCGAGGAAGGCAGCCCAGGAGCGAGCAATCACATACTTGCAGTCATAGTCGCGACCGAAGATGATGACCTGACCCCATTTGCCGGTTGGTCCAGGAGCCAAGTCAATCGCGATATGGTTTCCACCCCAATCACGAGCAAGAGGGATCCAGGCTGGGTGTGCGTATGCCTTTTGAACAGCCCCCGGGGGCTGCGAGTCCTGGCGTTCCAGGAGCTCATTTCTCCATAAAGGATTTGTAGCTTGCGGCGGGGGTACGGTGGATGAAGAACTTGCTGTAGCTTTAGGGAGGGGAGGAGGGTTCATGACGTTGGAGCCGCTCAGAAATTCCTCGTTCACAGTTCTCCAATTCTTCCATTCCTGGACGATTTCCTCACAATCTAGGAGCATGCAACCGAAAATGACACCTGTGGGAAGACCGGGGCGCTCCTGACCATCATGGCTCATGAGAGACTCTCGTACTTCAAGAGGTAGACTGCAATCCAATTCGTGCTCCAACTCGTTGATATCATTCTGGGTGCAACCTTCGCATAGATTGTCGAAGAGTTCTTCGTAATTACTTTCCAGCCATCGCTCGATTTTCCGCCACGAGTGGCCTACCGGGGGAGGAGGGGGAGCGCCGTCGTGGAAGCTCTGCATCTGAATTTCGGCGGCACCATCTGTCCCCGGATCGGTTGATCTCCGCTTCTGGGAAGAAAGCGATCTCATCCCGGGGGAGTATGGGCGGTTAGGAGAGCCAACACCAGTAGGGGAACCAGTCCAGCCATTGGGATGAGAGCCTGCCGATCCTTTTGGTTGGTCGTCCTCGAAGGAATCCGTCAGATCCGGCCGAGACTCGATCGCACTTGTTGCAATGGATGTAAGAGGCTCGTGACGGCTTTGACTCAAAGGTACATGCTTTCCGGTGCGGTAGGGAGAATCGTGGGATGCGTGCCGATCATAGGAGGTCATCGTATGCCAAAAGGAGCGCCATGCTGAACCAAAGCTGCTCAAAGTCAGAAATCACTATCTGATCTGACAGGTACTGAAGCAGAGAGGGAGAGAGAGAGATATCCAAAGTCGCAGAAAGGGAGTTGGAACATAATACTTACGCGTTCGCCATGATGGAAACCTCCGCAGTACAAGCACTGAATCTAAGACCGAAGAAATTCACAACCCTTTTTTTTTTTTCTTATTTCTTCTTCCAAACTTATGTATACCGAAGATGGATCATTGGACGTCTGACGGTGTCCGAGGTCAGATTGAGGAGATGACACTTGTAGATTTGGTAAGAGAAGAAGAAAAGGACGAGAAGGCCAAGAACTTTTCTTCCCCCTCTGGCAAGGGGAAGGGGAAGGGGAAGGGGGAGCGGAGGGGATGTGGTTAATTAAATTGTTGTTCCTCCCAACACGCAGAAAGAGACAGAGGGAGAAAAAGAAAAGGGACAGGTCAGGGTGTCAAGAAGAATGGAAGCAGTGGTGAAATGGGGGAATCGAGTTGATGACGATAAAGGAGGAGGAGAAGAAGAGAGGATGAAGGAGAGAAGAAGGAGATGTAGTTATGTATGATGGATGTTGGTACGGGAGTATATGATTCAAAGGTACCCTCCAACGGAGATGATGGATGTTGCTCTAACAGGACGCAGCAATGGAACAACGAAAACAATCATTCAATTTGGACGATGATGATAAATGATGATAGTGATGATGATGGTGGATGGATGCTTCTTCTTGATTTCTACGAAAACGAGAATCGTTCGAATTGATTGATTATTACGCGTCTCTGTAATTTTTTTTTTTTTCTGTCCCCATCATCCCCGAATTCCTGATGTTCATTCTTTCCAGTTCTCTTTCTGGCTCGACTTTTCTGACTCTCGTTCCCCCCTTTGAACTGTTGGAGCCGGTTCTAGCGCGTCTAGTTGTTGTTGTTGTTAATGTTATGTGTGAGATTGGACACCAGCATCCACGATTCGCCCTCGAACCCCTGGACGGTTGGAATTTGATAGGTTTCTAGACTTCTAGATAAGTAAGCAGATAGCCTACATAGATGTTGATCTTCTTCGTGTATATATATACCGATATTGTTATTAAGGATTATGGTCGAGAGTCTGTAGCTCGGGTCAACCGTGATTCTCATTCTATATCGCTTCTTCTCAGCACCTATCGAAATCGAAAACAATGCAGAAGAAGAGCAACTCTTCTTTACCACATATCCCCGTCAGATGAGTTAAATGATCGATCCCTCTGCCCTTCGTCGCGGTTTGTAACATCTGGATGGCGATATCATCATGCAGATGCATAGCAACAAACATCCGAATTCATCGACTTTTTTTTTTTTCCCAGAGTACGTACTGACGCCACTGGAGAATTGTACCTGCATTCCAAGACTCTTCCGCAAACGACCATCTTGACATCAAAGTATCTACCAGAGATATACGCCAATGCTTTCCCAAAAGACGCATTCAAAGCAATCTCCAATAATTGCAATGGTTTAGGGACGATCAATTGTTTTTTCTACTCCGTATGTACTGAAGTTCATTGGAACCAACCAGGGAGTCTGGACCAAGGGAAACTAATCTGTGGACCACCAACCGGCTGCTGAGAACTGAGACCTGAGACTTGAGATCTGAGAAATCGTTTTTTTCGCCTGCTTGACTGAAGTTTGAACTAGTCTTCTAGTGGCGTTCAGGCGAAATAACCATCGATAATGAAATCCGAGGACCTTTTATTTAATTTCCCTTCATTTCCAGTGGCCATCCAGCTCCGGAGTATATGTACCTACTGTGTACGGAGTACAAAATATTTTTACCCCTGGAACTAATCAAAGGCTAGGGAGTCGGCAAGCCAATTCGACTTTGCCAACCGATTCATGCACTCTGTTCTCGGGGTACGGACAATTTTATCTAGACCGCTATATCCGGAGTATTTCAGCTGATGATTTTTTTTTTTTTAGATTCTTTTTTTTTGGACTCCTTCAAGCCACTGGCCGGGCAGCTCCGTGTAGAAATCTAAGCACTAAATCGTTAGTTAGGACTTAGGGACTTACGGAGTAGGAGTCTAGGACAATTGGATCACTGGATGGGTATTCGATAGTAGTTGACGAGTTGTTTTCAGGGGGTCGGAGAGACGAAATAAGACTGGAATGGATCTCTTTCCCGGGCATCATCATTCGCCAAACGGTTAAATGCTGCCTTCAGGAGCTGAGAGTTTACCAAGCACAATTTGAAGATATCTATGAAGTAAACCACCAGCCGAGAACTGCAGTACTCCAGAGGACCCCCAAAATAGCCCTGATTTGTTGTTCTACCATGACAGACGGATGCACCGAAGTCGAATTGATTACCTTCCATATAGGTACTGTCAACATGTCCTCGAGGTCAAAACGAGTGGATTGCTTCAGAAACAGGCTGAATGCTCGAGATAGTGTAGAGAGGGTAAACTGTGCAAGACGTCGGGCTCGATTGCCCGACTCAAGAAACAAGAACAAGGCAGAGAGGCAAGAACCACAGATGAGAAAACAGAAAAGCTCAACATCCCGTGCCCGTCTCTCGAACTCTTCTTTCATAGTTGCAGGTGTAGAATACCAGGAATATCCTTAGAAAGGAAAAAAATAATAAAAAAAAAATATACGAGTGATGGCCGAGATTGACAAAAGAAAAAAATAAAAGAGAAAGAGAGACGTACATGAACAGATGGAGATCGCAAGACAAGGGATAAAATGTCAACGATTGTCATGGCGGCACGTACCTCGCCAGTGACTGCAACCACAAAGAAAAGAAAAGGGCAAAACAAAAAGTCAAGAGAGACCGTCCCAAACAACACGCCCCGAAAGCACTCAAAGGCAAACAGACTCCAGGTTCAATGCAACAAAGGGTATGTAGACACCTCAAAAAAAGGACCCATAAAACCCCGTGAAGGAAAAGAACAATCACCGCTACCAAAGAGAACCATTGAGAGATCATTGTCATCCCCACAACGTGAAAAGACATGATAGGAACTAGCCAATGTAAATCAGAGGAAAATAAATCATCGGAGCTTGAAATGAATTGAAGGACTGCACAAAGTCGAGCCATATTCATCGTGGAATACGATATGCTTAGGACTTCAGGTTGATCGGATCGTTCACAGTGACAGCGTATTTTCATAAGAGGACGAATCCAGAAGAATCTCTCGCAGCGCAAAATTCAAGTAGCAAAACACAAAAGAACTCAGATAGGGCAAATGTTGATCGAGTCTTTCAGAGAAAAAAAAAAGGCACACTAAGCGAATGAGCTCTGGATACCGCTGGATGCATAACCGGGATTTGCATCGAGCTTCAGGATACGTCTCAGATCATCTTCCATCTTCCTGGTGTCAAGAGCAGGAGAGGACGTCTTCGCCGGCATAGTTCGAAAATCCGGAGATTGTTGGTGCACAGGAGGATAGTACATAGGCTGCTGTGCGTAATGATGCGGATCTTTCGCAGAACCGTAGAATCCAAACGGAGAGGGAGATGGGCCCCCATGAATATTTGCGCCATTTGCAGAGTTTGCCGAAAGAACGTCCCTCCGATGAGGTGAATTCTGATAGTGTTGGGAACCATTAATTTGAGGATGCGAAAAAGGAGACTGTAACCCGTTTCCGCCGAACGAATGTTGTCGATGACGTGACAGGTCCTGGGAACCGGTAGCTGGGGGACCCGAGGTGGTCCTCAGGGGAGTCGCGTAGTGAGGAACGTTGTGATCAAAATTTGATCGCACTCCATAACTATTGGCACTGCTCTGACTCAAAGAAGATGTAGTTGACGGCTTCTGTGGTCGAGGGTTCAGCAAGAGGTCTTTAAGGGCTTCGGTCTTCGCCCTTCGTTGTTCCTCGTCGAGCTCCGAATTAGAGGAAGAGGTAGAGCTCGTAGACCGCAACGCATCCATGCGATCTCTGTAGGATGCGGCAAAAGGTGGTCCGATGTAGGAACTCGGAATCCCCGGACTTCCCATTTCAGGGGGAAAGGCTCCCCCAGGAGCCCCGTTGGCCATTCTGTGGTTTTGAGCCCTAGATTCTGTCTGCGGAGACCGAACCCGTTTGTTGGCTTCCGGACTGCGCTGAGACTGAGAGCTTCGAGCTTCAACAGCGGCTTTGAATAAGAAGTCAAGGGGTGTTGACTGTTGCGCCTCGGGCTGGGGTTGAAAACGTGGTCTCGGTTTCGATGGTGTGCTATCAAGTTCAGGCTCGGCTTCGGCATGGTCACCATCAATTTCTTCGACAGATTCTGGTCCCGGTAGCGACTTGGAGAAAAAGCTTGGAATGGGGAGCGCAGAAGGAGCTGGCGAGGCATGGAACGTCGGGCCTGCATAGTGAGGGCTGTCTTTCACCTGGGGAGTCACGTTGGCTGGATGCGAAGAGGTGTGTCGGTGTCCATTGTTCTGAATCTGAGAAGGTTTGGGTGTCTCGCGCGGTTTCCTGTTGGGCCGAGGGTTCTTTTTCTTGGAAAGATTAACATTAATCGATGAATCGGTAGCGACTTCTCCAGGACTCGAGTTCCTCGGTGGTGACGAGGGAGGGGTAGTAAGCATGGCCACTTTCTGAACAGACGGAGTGGTGGTTTTCTTCTGATTGCGTCTGTTGTTTCGAGGGCCTCGAGGTGTGGGAGGTGTGGGAGAAGGGGTCGACATTATGTGACAAGATGGCTTGATAAATAGGCAGCCTTTGAAGATTGGAGAATCTCAAGAATAATGATAGCAAGAACAACAATAGCACGACAACTAGCAAGAATAACAGTAGTGGTGGACAAAGAGAAGTCACCGTATCACTGTCCAGCAGTCGGTAAGAGATACTGCAACGCTAGAAGAGCTCAGCAAGAGATGACAGAACCGATGGTTGGGAAGTTGAAAGCGAGATGCGATAGCCTTGAGTTTCCTGTCAAAGAACAAGGCACTAGTGATTCAAGCGTAGGGAGAGAAGGACACTCTATGAATCAAATCCAGAGAAACACAATGAAAGGAGCAAGACGAGTTCAAAGCATGCTCTCAAATCTAGATTGGCGAAGGTAAAGAAGATATCGAGACAAAGCAGGGACACATGGTCGTCTGGACGTAGTAGATAGTAGTAGTAGTAGTAGGCATTGGAATTGAATGTGATGATGAGATTGGGAAGGGCGGGAGAGAAGAAGGCTGGGGCAGAAAGGAAACCTAAGCGGGGATCCGCGATGACTAACTGTAACCAAGCATATCAGTGGTCAGGTTGTGCTTCTACGCCACTTCGGCCTCGTTTTGACTCTCCCCCATTAACTGTTGCAAGTCGTGACTTGACTCGTGTCTGGTTGCAAACAGAGTCAAACAGGCAGCAGCTTGGTAGTTGGTACCCTAGCTGTGATAGTTCTCCCAACCAACGGACGAACACACGGGGGAGTGAAGGCACCATCGCAAAGCGTACGTACCTAATCTGTGATATGACTATTCTACTAACTGCCCCTCTTATCGTCTCCCTAGCTACCGACTTCTGTACTAACTATCTAACTAGCAGAGGTACCTTGTAGGGAAACTTACGTCAGTCATCCTCACCGCAACGCCCGATACCAGACCACCCTTCTTAGCTACGTAATTCGACATTACTGGCTCCAACTCGTTGGCATTTGCAAATAAGTCTGCAAGTCTCGGCGATCGTCACCAAAATTTCTAAAGGACGATAAGGAAAAGAAGTTGGTGGGCCGTTCCAAGATGGCCGACGTGGAGATGAAGGAGGCAACCGCCGGGGCCTCAGCTAAGGGCAAAGGTGTTTCGAAAAGCTCGGAAGGTGCCAGCGATGGCAAGAAAAAGTTTGAGGTGAAGAAGGTGAGATTTGATTGACGATGAAAACATCGTTAGGTTGATCTAACATGCGGTTTTCCATAGTGGAACGCGGTCGCCTTGTGGGCTTGGGACATCGTTGTCGACAACTGTGCGATTTGTCGCAATCACATCATGGATCTATGTATGCCCTTGTCGTCTTTTCATATCCAAAGATTTCCGTCAATATATGATTCACTAATACACGTACAGGTATCGAGTGCCAGGCAAACCAGGGATCTTCAACAACCGAGGAGTGCACAGTCGCCTGGGGAATCTGTAACGTGGGTTTCTTCATCGTCACTATATGTTTCTTACCTGGACACTGACCGATGGCTTTGTTCTATTCTAGCATGCATTTCATTTCCACTGCATCTCTCGTTGGCTCAAAACTCGCCAAGTGTGCCCTCTGGATAACAGAGACTGGGAATTCCAGAAGTATGGCCGGTAGATTGGAGCCCATGCATCAGATGAAAGGGCAAGTTTGCTGTCGCTCATTCCGACAAGGCATTTTCAGAATTACGGACACGATTGTTGATTTTATATCCATCTAGCTCTCATGCATTGACCTGGAGAGAGCTACTCGAAGACGAATAACACTTCGACTGGGAAGGCACTCATGGTTTCTTTATCAAAACATATGCCCAATCTCAACCAGGAGACCGGGCGCGTAAATCTAGACTCGTGATTTACAAAGGTGACTGAAAACAGTTGAAATGGGGTTTGTTTTTATGGGATACTCGATATGGTCATTTAGGAGGCACCGTTGTCTCATGCGACTTTGACGCCGTCAACCACGATCCCTGGGCCACCACTGTTCCCTAGGCTAGGGACCAGCCATTTTTCAGGGTGTTTATTGTACACAGGCCAGGGCGGGATCACAACCAATGCCGTCAATAATGTACCCGCTAATCCAATCCAGAGCGTTAAATGTATATCTTGGTAGATGTATCCGATAAGGAAAGCAGCGGCCTTTGGCAGATGGACGAGTAAGCAAGCGATCAACACCGACAAAGGGGAGGTAAAAGGAGATCCCTGAACCAGCTCGAATTTGTACTTACTCCAGAGATGATGAGGATGGCTGTGGAAAGGATCTCGGTGATGCGTTGGCCGTGGAAATCCTAGTGGCCCCATCAAGTTGCCAGATTAGCTTCTAGTTCAGGTGCAGAGAGGGAACATGTGGCTGGACGAGGCTTTTCACTGGGGATGAGTGGCATCATACAATCTGGCCTTCAAACGCATCCTGAACAGGACCTAGGATATCATCCATGGCGATTATTTGACCTGCAAAATCAATTCTTTGACTGCTCAATCACTGGGTTGTGTTGTCATGAAGCTTCTTTGTATGAATGGAGATGTTGATTACTCCAAGGCGGAGCGGGAGGAACTCTGGGGGCCCTGACCGCCTTCAGATAACAGTTCTATGGTCGTCTACTCCGTATCCGGACTCACTGGAAACTTGCCTATGTTTGTGACTGGAAATGATATACGGAATGAATCTGTGGTCATAATAATAGCTTATATAAGACCATGTCCTTTCGGCATCCAATATTCCCAGGCTAATCCACCAGGAATTTCAAGATATGAGGGCACAGAATTATGCTACAAGTAAGAAGGTAGCTTCTAAAGACATCATTGGTCATCTATGTAATTTTTCATCAGCTGCGATTATGGAGGATAGCTGAAGAAGCTCAACGATGTACAGTAGCACCGTCCTGGGCGGGTTCGAGGAGCTTCCACTGGCACGAGATGTTATTGGAAGCAAAGTGGGCGATGATGCGGTTTGCGATCTCCTCGAACCTGTCGGTGGCCAGCGCAAGGATGGTTGGTCCGGCACCAGATAGACAGATTCCAAGCAGACCTGGCTGGGTGGAGGGGTTCATCGACTGGAGGATCTCCGTCAAGCCCGGGATCAGAGTCTTCCGGTATGGCTGATGGACCTTGTCCTGCATGGCCAAGTAGATTGTATCCGGGTCTGGGGGCGAGGTACCCAATGCTGCAGGCAGCAGCGCAGCCCGCTGCAGATTGAAGACCTAGAGATAGTTCATGCGCGTTAAGACCCCGAGTGCTTCATCAAACATGCCGCCCGGCCGAGCAAGCGGGGAGGAACACGACTTACAACGTCCGCTCTTGAGTACATAGTCGGAAGAACATTGCGTGCGTTAGCGGTGGGCACCACAAAGTCGGGGATGATAGCAATGGCCTTGATTTCCTTGGCCCATTGGAACTTCCGGTAGTGACCGATACCCAGAGGAGGCTCAGGAGGCCTCTTGCCGGTATCCACACCGCCCGCGGGCGCAGGGAGAACCTCACTGAGTGGGATCTCCTTGCGAGCTACTTCTTCGGGTTTCAATTCATTCAGATACGTGCCGACGAAGCCTCCAAACAGCGAGGCGGCGACGTTATCCGGATGCCGCTCTGGGATTGAGCCATCAGTCACGGGTTTCGAGGAGGGGGTAAAGGAGGGGAGAGCGCAGCGGGCGCCTGGTAGGTACGCGAGGAGGGGATGGTGAAGTGGAAGTCTACATACCGATCATCAAGCAATAATCGAGGAGTCTGTCCTTGCTCAGGCCAAGACGACCTACTTCATTTCCCAGCATAACACCAGCCACCACCGCTGTGCCTGACGAACCGAGACCTCGACCCAGAGGAATAGGATTTACGATATGCACCCGTGTCTCCACGGGGAAGGCTCTCTGGTCATGGCATCTAAGTATGTACAGAGCTACACGGGTGATCAGGTTGACCTCTGGGTCCAGGCTGATCTTCTCAGTACTCTTGCTCCGGTCTTCATATGTGATCACACAGTTCAGAGGATGCTCGGATGATGATTTGGAGGAGTCAACGGTGACCTGGAGTTCCAGATGCATTGACAATGCTAACCCAATGACATCGAACCCGGGTCCGATATTGGCGGACGAGCAGGGCACTTTGATGGCAAAAGTGGAAGCAGACATTGTCGTTTAGTGGTGCCCAAATGGCACTATTTCAGGAGACAGAGAGAAAAAAAAAAAAAAAAAAAAAACAAAGGGGGTCGTTAGATGACCAAGGATGACAATGGTATCCAGAACAAACAGGAGGTACGGGTAGTCAATTAACTGATAAGAGTAGATCGTTGGTCTATGGAAAGAGAAGGTACAGTGGTGAGTTGGTGAGTGTGACTCTATTTTAGAGTTCTTGGCACACACTACAGAAAAAAATTGGCCGACGTCGGGGTGTATGTAGATAATTGAGATCAACAAGAAAGATTGTTCATGTCACCTCATCTTCTTGGGTTCGTCTCTACTTTCAATGTTATATATAGAAACATAGAAGCTGCTTCATGGGTTCGCGAAGAAACAGATACAAACGAACTATGTCGCGACGTTTTCAGTCTGAACCTCTGAAGTCTGAAGATGTCTCTCTCTCAGTGCAACCTGATTATCTAATGAATATCTCTCTCTAATCTCTATCTGTTTTTGAGCACATGGCAAATAATACTTCCCATACCTGTATGTATGTATGGCCAGATACTGCATGTCATCCATGTTCTGCTGCAGGTTTTACTTGCCAATCAGCACCACGGCAATAAGTAGTTCTTCCTCTAATAGACTATTGGTTTTTACCTCAAATATTTATATTTTATGCTCATGAACATCAGCCCTATAAAATTAAGAAATTCCCGAGCATAGTAGGTGAGGTAACATACACATCTGTAGCAGTGTACACTAACAAAGCTGTATTCTGATCGTATCCTAGAAAAATTGAATGTCTTGGGTAGATAGGTAGCTATCTTTAGGCAGTAACTTATTCGTAAAGGTTTCCAGATTTGTCTCCCTCGATGTATCTACTCCATACTCCGTTCACCGTAGATGGATAGGTACCTTGTTTCTATCTCCGGGTGACATGCAAGAGTACAACCACTTCTTTGTATGTTTCCTGTGAAGTGGGAAGCCAAAAGATTTTTCGTAATATCAAATCACCTAGTCACCTAGATGCTACTACACAGTCCAGTCTTCCATCCTCGGCCGAAGAACTGGAACTTCTTTGCGTACCTGTAGTCTAGATCGTATCTAGTGGCTGCTATCCAAACCTGGTTGCCTGAGGTATTTTCCTCTTATTATGTTTTCTCACTGTTTTTCGCCCCTCTTTTTTTCCTCTCTCAGTCTCTCTAAAAATTTTCTATCCGCTGGTGCCATTGTTAATACCTACTGATAGCCATAGTCATACCTATCTACCTACTAGTAGTCCTAGTAGTTGGTCAGTTTAGCCCTCATATATTTCAGAGTTTAGACGGTCTTTAATAATAGTAATTGTTAATGGATTTTTTTTTTTTTCCTTTTTTCTTTTTTTTTTTTTTTTTTTTCTCTCCTTCGCCTTGGTCAGTGCTTGCTAAAATGCTAACGATCTAATATACCTCAAGGGCACTTCTAGTATAGCGTCTGCCCATTCAGCTTCCCTTTAAAACCAAACCCTCTCCTCCATTCTCGGAAAACTACTCACTTCAACCCACCCAACTCCTAGGGTATCTTCTATCCCTCCCCCCCCTCCCCTTTTTCTTTTTTTTTTTGGTTTCCCCCCTCCCCCCTTCTTCAATTCTTACGTGGCTACTATCATCTTTCTTGTCACCAATTATCAGTTGATAATTAGGAGTGTGCGTGTGATCTGGCGATTCTGCGGTTCGCCTCCGTTGTCGGTGTGGAGTGTGGACAAGCTTTGCCCACGGTTCGATTGTGGTTTTTCTCTGAAATTGGACTGCACACTCTTCTTCCTTCTTCCTGACACACCACAACAGCCCTTTGCTGGCTTCTGATAAATCTCGGATTCCTCCCCCCTTTTGTCTTTTCTATTTGATATACTGTCTTGTCTAGTGTATATCTTCTCCCATTGGGCTGTTTCCTTCTGGTCTTCCTCAATCTCTTTATCTTTCAAGAGACAGTCTCCCACCAACGTCATCGACCGACCAGGATCTACGGAGCCTTTCGGTCGACATACCACCTTTCCATCGCAATACTGGAGCGACAAGGCTCCTTCTTTGATCACACAGTCAAGTTGGCGGGGACTCGCTGCTCTCAGGCTTCTTTCCTCCACCCTCTTCTGGGCCCCAAGTTCAGGGTCTTCTGCGGGGGCGACACCAGACCCCCATAACTAGGCTTGCATAGCATCCTTTTCACTTTGGCATACACATAAACATCGGTAATGCCAGGCCCTCTTCAGGGGTCTGGCTAATGGATGGAGGAGCAATTTATCTAAGGATTTGTTCACTCATCGTCGGTTCAACAGTACAAAATTTCACAGAGCGATCTTCATCATTCTCGGCAACTGTCTCCAGCGCCATTTCGCGACAAGATTGATTCGTTACGGTCTCGATACCTTCGCTTGCGACAAATCAGTCATAGCTGCCAACAACAATGTCCGAATCACCAAGATCTATGTGCCTGACGCGGTTCAGCACCCCGGTCCCCGAACTGGATGACCATCGCTTCCAACTTGATTCTCTGCCTCGCATCGAAGCTACCATCGATGTTCCCCTGAGTCGGCAGAATACCGCTCAGCAGGGTTATCCTCCCGAGACACCCCAGCGCCCCGATCTGCTATCAGTGCAAGCTGCTCTGCGGGAGGCCGGCTCCTACTCGCGTGACTTTGAACAAGCTATAATGGATGATGATCGGTCGGACAAGGACGTCAACCCTCTTGGTCGGCGCTTCTCTGTCGATCCAAATGGGAATGTCCGCCATGGGCGCACCTGGAGTCGAACTCACCAGGAGCGTGCAAACATGTCGCGAGAATCATCCCCGTCCGCCAGGTCCTCTTCGCCCCCAAATTCGGTTGAGGCTTTTGCGGACCCTCGTCGCCGGGAGCGCGCAAACACTCTCGAGAGCCATGCTGCGCCAGACCTGGAAGCCATTCTGCAGCGTACTGTGTCCGGTGGCACTCACCCGCGCCGTCCCACTTTCAGCAATGCCAGCTTAATCCGACCGCAGCCAGGCGATATCCAGCTGGACGCAAATAACGAGACGTGCGTTCCGACCTACGAACAACCTGGCAGAATTCCAGTCATCGACTACGAGGAGCTGGAGGAATTTGTGGCTCTGAACCGGGATCAAAAGCCCTCAACGTCACGCCGGAAGCACAGCCTGAGCTCTCAAAGCCGAGGCCCCCGTGTGTTCTATGATCTTCGGCATGGAGCTCTCAAGTCCGACGTCGACGGAGAGAAGCTTTCGTCGAGCGCGGAGCATTTATCCTCGGATCTCATGGATCCTGATTCGAAAACTCCCGACAAGGTTTATGCGAATGCCGTGTGCGAGAAAGACTTGGTCGAAAAGCTCCAGAATGAAAATGAGCCGACCCGCTTCGGCTTTTTCTCATCAGAGTCCCAGAGTACTGTGCACGCGGCCGAGCTGGGCGATCTGGTGCTCCCCGGTGATACCTTCCGAGACCTCTTCCAACTTGGTCCGGAGGGCGGCGTGTGGTGGTTGGATGTCCTCAACCCTTCTGAAGAGGAGGTCGCCGCACTCTCGCGGGCCTTTTCCATCCATCCGCTGACTACGGAGGATATCTTGACCCAGGAAGCCCGTGAAAAGGTGGAGCTTTTCAAGCAGTATTACTTTGTTTGTTTCCGCACATTCTATCAAGTCGACAAGACGGACGAACGCTTCATGGAACCCGTCAATCTTTACATGGTCGTCTTCCGCGATGGAGTGCTTTCATTCTCTTTCACCGAGAATCCCCACGCGGCAAATGTCCGAAAGAGAATCGGAAAGCTTCGTGATTACGTGTCCCTCAGTAGCGACTGGATCTGTTATGCCATGATGTATGTGAAAGCCTAGCCCATCCCCAATTTCTAATGTCCAGGTGGCTGATTCTAACCTTGTGCAGTGACGATATCGTGGATAGTTTCGGCCCTGTTATTCGTGAGATTGAGCTGGAATCTGAGGCTATTGAAGATCTCGTGTTCATCGCGCGTGTGGATGATTTCGAATCGTTCCTGCCCCGCATTGGTGGTCTTCGCAAGAAGGTCATGAGCTTGATGCGCCTCCTAGGTGGTAAGGCAGATGTTATCCGCGGATTTTCCAAACGCTGCAACGAGCAGTACTCGGTGACTCCCCGTGGAGACATTGGTCTCTACCTGGGCGATATCCAAGATCACGTGGTGACCATGATGTCTAACTTGGCACATTTCGAAAAAATGCTGAGCCGCTCGCACACCAATTATCTCGCGCAGCTGAACGTGACCAACCTGGTCCTGGGCAACCATGTCAACAAGGTCCTGAGCAAGGTGACGTTGATCGCTACGATGCTGGTCCCGATGAACTTAATCTGCGGTCTCTTTGGAATGAATGTTCGCGTCCCTGGTGAGGGTCAAGAAGGGCTCGAATGGTTCTTCGGTATCGTGGGCGTGATCGCTGCTGTGATTGTTCTCAGTGGCACTGCGGCTCGGTATTACAAGCTCGTGTAAGGGGGTCTGTAGTCTGTACAGTTCTTAGTTGGTGAGCATATACTATCGCAGTGTGTATATAGTTCCATGCAGCAGTATTTGAATTTCCTTTCATGTGAAACCGCATCGTTCTCCCTTACGTTCTCAAGAAGCCTTCGTAAGCCATTTAAATTTCTTAAATATGATAGCGAGTAATGTGTGGCTGTGTAGACCATGTGGCGCATCCCCGATAAGCGTCACAATGTGATTATATTATCATTATGTGTCTCGACAGCCAGAAGTCACCAACTCTCCCCCCCCCCCATTTGCTGGATGCGCACTCAGCTCCGTAAGTTGGACTTGTTTTTTTTTTTTTTTATCGCTCGGCTGCTCTTGTCGCGCTACTGCGATTCATCTCTCTTCATTGTGACTGAGATCTGCGCAATGAGAGAAACTTGCTATCCTTTCTCTGGTCTATCCTGTGGTTTTTGATTCTCATGTCGACAGCATCCTTCTTGATCCAACTCTCCGATCCGAACATCCATGCAACCTGAGTCTACATCTATGCGGTACCGCTTGGCTGCAATCCTTGGTGCTCTGATTTTCTACTCCGCGTTCCTTCTCCCTGAACGAAGCTTCGCTTATGCTTCCGCCTCGAGTTCCGTAACCTGGGACAACCAGACCGATGCGATCCTTCGGGAAGATGCACAACCTTTCCCATACGCCCTTGGGTCATACACTGGAGTCGAGATAAGGGATGTCGTCGACGAAAACGGGAAGGCTCGAGGCCTTGACCTTGTTCGCCGGGTTCCCTCTGGCGTACCATCCCTAGGCAACAATCAATACAAGACGAGCGATATCAAGCTCGGAGAGATCCAATGGTGGTACTTCCCCGAGGAGTCGGTGAACGGCAAGAAAGCCAACAGTACGACCGGACTTCCGGAGCGGATAACAGAGGGCCAAACGAGCGATGAGGCCGTCGACTCGGATGAGCTGCGAAAGCGGGACGGAGGCCTCGCAAAACGGGCGGCTACGGTCTATCTTTCTCTGACGATGTGCTCGAAACCGGATGTCAACAAGACCAGCAGCAAAGCGTTGGACTCTATTCCGCCGCTACCGGAGCTGAATCTCTATGTCTCTACGTTCGAGTCGCTGCAAAAGCCTGGGCCTGGCCAGGATATCTTGAAGCAGAAAGTATATACGGCCGAAGAGGGCTATGTCGCAACTACGGTGGAAGCCAGTGGGGACGTCTTCGTCGGTGTCGCCGTTCAAAATTCGACGGCGTACTCTGGGTTCTATACATACGAGATCGCAGCGTCGATTGACGATTATTTCCACAGTGTCGCCAACGAGCCGTTTCTGTACTTTGTCGACTCGGACGTCCATGCTGCACTGTTGACAACAGACAACCTGACGTTTTCCAGTGCGGGCAGCGAGAACTATCAGCAATGGATGAACCTTACGCCGCCGTTTACCATGTTTGCGCACAATGTCAACGACACGGCCATTTCAGGTCTGCAACGGTCCTATTGTGCTCTCGACCAATGGGCCCAGATCGGGAAAGGTGACCACGAGGTGGAGGCCGGAATGATAAACAGGGGCCTCGGGAATAAGCCCAAGGAGCAGTTCTACATCACTAGCCTCAACCAAAGTTCTCACTACCAGGGAATCTTGGCGATGGATGGGAACTCGACCAACTCGGGGAATGGAATAGTCGGCGGCGGAGGAAAGGTCTGGAAACCAATGTCCTTTGCTACCAAAAAAGGTGAGCGGCCAATTATCCAAGATTGTCCTCCCTCAAACCATGACCGAGTAACTGACCGGAGCCAGATGATAACTGTGCCGTCCTCTTCAACCTCTCCTTCTGCTCCGAAGTTGCGTATGCAGTCCCATCAAACCCTCAACTCGGGGTCGATGCACTGCGCTCGACGTACGATAACTACGCTGCTTCTCTGTACAAGAACTTCTCGTACTCTCTGGATCAAATCCAGTGCAACACGTCAAACGAGACCAGTTTCTCGTTGGCCGTGGGATGCAACGACTGCGCGGACGCCTACAAGCAATGGCTCTGCGCGGTGACCATCCCGCGCTGTGCCGATTTCTCTAGCACAGAGGGGTTCCTCCGGGTCCGCAATGCCGCCCAGCCGTTCATCAACGGCAGCTCACTTGACCCCGACGATTCCCGACGGGGCGATCCCGCGCAGAACGCGTCACGCAACCCCATGATCGATAGCGACGTCCGCCCGGGCCCGTACAAGGAGATCCTCCCGTGCCGGGACATCTGCTACAACCTGGTGAAGCGCTGTCCCTCCGCCTTGGGGTTCAGCTGCCCGCAGAACGGATGGTTGGACTCGGCGTATGGCCAGCGCATCTCAAACAGCGATATCACCTGCAGTTATCCGGGCGCGGCCTATGATCTCAACGCGGGCTGGACCTTGCACGAGCCTCTGGGCGTGGCTCTGCTCGCGCTGGGCAGTTTCTGGGTCTCATTCTGGTTCTCGACGTAGGTACCTGAACTACAGCCGGCCCCCCTTTCTTCCTTTTCTCTCCTGGGTCGCGGCGGAGTGTCAGATAATTTGACGTGGGATTCAAATTCAACCCCCCTCCCTTGCCCTCCCATGATTGCGATGATACCCTTCCTGTCTCAAGAGATATTATTGTTTCATATCCATTGTTGGAAACCTGTCACTGTATAGACATCTCTTTCTAAGCATACCAAGCTGGCCTTTCTTGCCTAGGTTTATTAAGTGTAGACGGAAAAGAAAAATAAAATAAACTGTACAATGCCATAGAACGCCCGCCTGATGAATCCTTCAGGTTCCAATGCACCCCGTAGCAACGCTAGCCCATGCCATGATCAAAAAAAAAAAAAATAAGAATATCTATAACCAATAAAATAGCGACGAACAAGAAGATAAGAAGGAAGCAAACATCACTTGGCTCGTTTAGGCGTCGGCGTCCACACATTCCTCAGGCCAGAGACAGAGGCGCTCCCCGCCTGCCGGGGCGTGTTGCCCACGCGCTGAAGCAGTTTCTGCGCCGCGGGGGTGAGCGTCTTACCGCCTCCGCTGGACGAGGCAGCCGCAGGGGTACGGAGCCCGAAGTCCAGACGGGGGCTACTGGCGAAGCGCGGCGTGACGGGGGTCCTGATCTCGCGGGCGGCCTTCTCGGCGCGTTTGGTGCGAGCGACGCGGTCGACCATGCGGTGGTGCAGGTCTTCGCGTTTGCGGTTCTCCTTGATCAGGAACGGGTTCGGGGTGGAGTCGGCTGCGCCGAGGAGGCGTAGATCGTCGGCTGAGAGGGCAGGAGCCTCGCGGGAGTGGCCTGTCGAGTGCGCCGCTGGCTCTGGTTCGGGCTCGTCTTCGTCGACGAAAGCGTAGCCGTTCACGCGCGGAGTCTCCCCGCCGTTGTATTCTGCCTCGGATTCGGAGAACCGCGGCCGTCCCGCGATGGCATCCTTGATGGCCGAGATCGACGGCGAAGGAGGAACGTCGCCCTGCTGCTGCTGCTGCTGCTGGGACCCGGGCTCCGGTAATCGGGTATTCTCATAGACCACACGCTTGGGACCCGCGCGCGACGCCGCCTCGGCCTTCTGCTGGATGGTCTCGTGGGTATCCTCGACGCCCGACGGCATGAACATGAGCGAGTTATCCAGTCGGGTGGTCCAGGTATCCGGATTCGCCGGCCGCGCGTCGAGATCCGTCTTGATCGCGAGCTGCCTCTCAGTACTGGGTCCCTGGGCGGCGATGCGCTTCGCCTCTCGGCGCTGGTACGCGATCTGCCGTGCCGTGGGGATCTTGTTCCCGCTCCAGAGCCAGGTGTACTTCTCGCGGCGCTTCGCGTTCTGCTGGTCGAGGAGTTTGTTAAACGACTCGTTGTCTTCGCTGGTGTACTTGGCCTGGAAGGCCAGGAGGCCCAGGTTCGTCACGTCCGGTATATCCTTCCGGTTCGTTGCCGTGGCGGCCGTGGCGGCCGTCGCCGTCGAGACCACAGACTGCGGCGTGTCGCCCTGCCAGCCGGCGGGGGTGTCACCGGGGCGTTCTGCACCAGTGTACCGCGGGGTGAAGCCGCCAAGGGCAGCGGTGCTGCGTGCACGGCCCGGCGTGCGCATCAGCTCCGTGAGTTTCCGCTTCGACGTGGTGATCCAGTCCTTGTCCTTGGAGTCGAGCGCATCCAGATACTCCTGCTTCACCTGCTCCTCCAGCAGGCCCGGGAAGTAGTCCCGCGCGATGATCTCGGACAGTGCGTGTGTGTAGACGTCTTCGTCGAGAACCGTGGTGGGTCGTTTGATTCGTTTCGGGGGTGGAGGAGGGGGCATGAGGCTTTGTTCGCTGGACCGTTTGGTCAGCGCCTGTGACGGGGTGGAGGCCATGTTCAAAAGAGAGAAGAGAGGCGCGGCGGAAGACTTTCTTTCGGATTCAAGTGCTATGTATGATGAGCCAAGGCTGCATGCTGTAGGTCAGTGACCGCATGATACCTTGGGAGATTCTGTCTTTCGTTTGCAGATGAAGAAGGAAAAAGGTGATGGGGATCCAGTCAAACAGATGAAATGATAGCTCGGATTTGCCCAGACGGCGGCAGTGGCGGTTGGCGGAGTCGACGTCACGTTATCCCCGCGAAGAGCTTGAGATGAGACAATCTACAAGAGTTCTACTAACTACTTCTTCAACTCACGAGATGGATACGTATTCACTATTGTAAGTGTTGCTTTTCTATCCGAAAGGAAACTTCTGTACAGCATTGCAATGTACACATTTTTTTCTCCCCAAAACAAAAAGAACAAATCAAATCACCCAAGACCAACCTATCCATTTCTCTATATGTATAATGAGCTTGATCCACAAAAAAAAAAAAAAAAAAAAAAGGGAAAAGGAAAAAGTCAAGGATAGATGCCAGTAAGAGAAACAGGAAGAGAATAGGAAATAGAAGCGCAGAACGATCGTGGTTCGCTTTGCGAAGTCCCATCCACTGCATTTTTTCCAACCATCCATGCCCGAAAAAACACCAAGAGACATCTCTTCGTTTTTCCTTTTTGAGAAACAGCCGCTGAGAAATGCATATTGAACCCAATTCACAAACGCGAGAACACCGAGAGTGCAGTACGTGAACGAAGGTATGCAAAGCATGATCTGCAAGGATCAAGCCAAGATGGCAGCCAGATTGCAAGACAAGCCAGGATGCCGGAGACAAGGAAATGAGAATCGTCAGGTCGTAGAAGTGAAGTCTATGGAGCAATTGATGGAGAAACGACCGTGCAAAATCAAGAAAGACGAAAAAGGAGGGCAAAAAAAAAAAGGAAAAATAAAATGGCCGGGAAGGGTTGGACGTTGGACGCGTTATTGTCCAGATGTGTTGGTAAGTTTCCTGAAAGAATCCAGAAATAAGCATCGCTGTGCACCAGCTTCAAGCTGCTGCAGAAGGGAAAAGGGAGTACGATGCTCTGCCTTTCTTCCGATTCGGGCTTTTCACTGGAATCGGCGGGAATGGTGCTGATGCAGTACCCTTGACAGCCCTGGCGGTCCGGGAAGCTTCAACTTCCGAGACAGACTTGGCGCGATCATGCACCGAGCCAGCTGGCTGAGCCAAATCCGCAGAATTAGGGCTGCAGTTCCTTTCAGCTCGCATGATCTGGGTCTCAATCTCTCGTGCCAAGCTCTTTGTCGGGCGACGGTGGGAGGGAGCCTCTGGGGGTCCCGGTTGATCCGAGCTAGGCAAATGCTCCATCGATGACAATTCCCGACTGCTTGCCAGGCTATGCACCAGCTCGGGGACACTTGTCGTCGAGATAGAAGATCGGTGTTTATGGACGATCGATGCGGTGCGGGAGAGGATGAGACTCTCCTGCGAGTTGCACTTGCTGATGGGAGAAAAGCTACTCCGGGGGGACACAGGATGCTCCATGCCGTGGATCAGCCCTTGAGGGCAGAAGGAGAAATGTCGGTCTGACTCCGAATCGGCCTCCAGGTACTCCTCGTACAGAGTGTCCTGCGGAATCTGTTTCCCCAGCGCAGGTGAGAAATTGACAGGCTGGAAATAATCGGCACCACCGGCGGCGACGATTTCAGTCTCGTACTCTGCACTGGACGGGGTCACAGCTACCTGCGAGCTCATCAGGGAGCGGGATGGGCTGGGATCCAAATCAGGAGTGGGGAGTGACGAAGTGCTGAGGTGAATGGGTTGAAGAAGTCGGGCGTCTTGGTCCAGCCGTGTCCCGCCAGACACCGCGCGAAGAGTATTGTCCGTTTCGGTTGATCGGGGTTCATCCAGGGAATTGCGCGACCAATCGAAGTTGCAGGTTGATTCTGCCGCGTGCTCGTAGCAATAGTCGATATCAGCATCCCAGGACTCATAAATGGTCTCATAGGTGGGCTTGCGGCGGGCGGACGACCGCCTGCGAACAGGTCCTCCAACCATCTGGTCATTGGGCGCAATGCTCTGAAACAGGCGATACTGAGGCAGAACCGGAGACCCCAGCGCTTCCGTGAACTTCTGGGACAACTCCTCAGCGACAGAGATGGAGAGCTGGGATTTGCGTTGGGTTCCAGGAGAGATGGGAACCTCGGCTCCACGCGCATTCGCATCGGGGCTGTCATGCCAGTGAGTAGAGCTTAGCTCTTCCGGGACTTCCTCCAACACCGACGACAGGCTAGGAAGCGATACAGACGAGGTTCTTGCCTCAACTGTTTCGGGAGTCGCCTTTTTAATGAGACCTTGCGCAATCTCGGGTAAAATCATCCCCTCAACGTTGATGTGAGATAGAGAATAGGTCCGTTCGGCGTCGGAGGAATTGCCATACACGTGTTCTGGGTACGTGGGCTGCGAAGACAGGCCCAGAATCTCATCGATGGCGCGCGGTGCAGGTTCGGACATATCCGGCGAAGGAGTGAGCTGGGGGGAGGTGGCCCTCGGGGGAGGGGTAGTCGATGTTGCCCTGGAGTATTTCGCTACGGGGCGAGAGAAGTTCTCACAGACGCGCGATTCTCTCCTGGCCCTGGAATCCAGCTGTTTTGGACTGATGGAAGATACAGTACCGGGAGAGCCAGGTGGGCTGGTTGGGGTGGGAGAAGCTCGGTGATCTACGAGACTTGAGCCGCCATTGGTAAGATCCTCCGATGAGAAACCTCGGAAATGAAGGTCCTCTGCTCGGATACCTTTGAGCTCAGTAATGGGTCTCTGGGAGGCACGAATGGCAGAGAACTCGGTGACTAGATCATTTTCTCCGGTTCTGTCCAATTCCTGGAACTGAGATGGACTCGTATGAGTGAGATGGTGGAAATCAAAGGGGTCGGAGATGAGACTCTTCAAACTGTCATCTGCAAATGCGGAGTGAGTAAATGGCACTTTCTTTTCTTCGTGATTGTCTCCAGAGTGCCGGACATTACCCGAGGGGGGACGGGAAGGTAGATTGGCACTTACGGACATCACTTTGGCGCGACTTGTGGTGACGATTAAAAAGATCCGAGACCTCGAACCGGGACTTCTCTCGTTCCACTTCCTCCTCCTCGTCCAGCGTTGCAGCGATGTTGAACTTACTGCCCTGGCGGCGTAGGATTCGACTTCCCCGCGAGAAGAGGGACTTGGTCATGCTCTCGTGCCTCTCGGACCGGAGGTTCACCGAGGAGTTGGATCTCGAGTCATCTTGGGAGGGCAGCGAAGCAGTATCTGCCGAAGTCATCGAAGAAGCGGGTGAGCGGCGAGAGGAGGCGGTGGAGGTAGTGGTATTGCTCCTCGAACGACCACTGAAGACCGACAGGCGCCTGGGACTGTGAGCATGGGCAGTCGACCTGGATCGAATGTGGGCTATATACTCGGAGTGATCATTGGTGGAGGATCTAGTGAATGGACGGTCTATGAAATCCGCCTCTTCCTGCCGTGCAGACATGATGAGATGGGAGAAGACGAAGGAGATTGAAGCTCAGATGGAGCTATCCGACTGGATTGGGTGTTGATGCGAAACGAAGCCGCGGTATAAGGAATGATAAGTCAACAAGCATCCAGGTGAGATGATGGAGATTCGTCTTTGATCATGATAGGGTTGGTTCCCCTCAGCAAAGGCACAGAGGAAGGGATATGGAGAGCAAATCCACGATCGACGGGAGTATATAAGAAAAGAAACTCGTTCTAGGAGGAGCAGGAATGCAAGCCAGTCATAAGATTCATGGGAAATAAGCCGGGAGTTTGGTTCTCTTGTGTTTTAGATCTGTATCGGCTCCAGGGGGGGATGGTAGAACACCAGACGTTGAACTCTAACAGACGAAAGGGGGGGAAGAAGTGATTGAACGGAGAGAGTGGCTTGACATATACAAATAACTGAAGGAGAAGAGAGAGAGAGAGTGTGTGTGTGTGTGTATCAGGTCTAGAAAGAATGAGTGATGATGTAGACCGTGGACAGGAGTAGTATGATAGATAGATTGATAGATAGTAGAAGTAGTAGTGGAGGATGAGAGGGAAGAGAGCGAGACTCCAGTCAGGTCGATTAGTCTACCTACTCGGCAGTCCGTCCAAACAGTCAACAGTCAACAGTCGGGACTCGAGACACTAAACACGGAGCACTGTCAGACCCGGGGATTGACTGACAGACAGATAGACTGATAAAAAAGGTGGAGCAACAAGATGGAGAAGAAGGAGAAGTGGAAGAAGAAGAGGATCCAAAATCTCAGATGATGAGGGTCCAGAACTGTAGTAGGAGTAGTAGTAATGGTAAAAAAAGAAAAAAAAAAAGTAGTAATGAGATCAGATATAGAATAAAAATAAAATACAAATAAAAATAAAATCAAAAAAAAAATGAAATGAAAAAAGGAAAATAATATAATGATCGTCTAATAATATAAAATCGCGAAGAGGAATCGGTTCAGGAAGTCAGACTCAGTCAGACCTAGAGAGGATGATCATAGAAGGATTCAGGAACGAACGACTCGAACTCTGGCAGTCGAGTTGAAAGTTAAAGAGTCAAGACTCAAGAGTCACTAGGATCTTAACCGGAGCCCTCAAGAGCAAGTAGCTCTGATTTAAAACGATAGACTGATAGTAGTATACGGAGGAGGATAATAATAATATTAGCAAAGAAACAAGATTAACTGCCAGAGTTCATACAAGTCCGGGGGAAAGCAAATCGACCAGGCGTTTTGTTAGTGCTTTATATATTGGATTTAGTATTGTAGTATTATTATTTACAGAATATATTGATAGTCAGAATCAGATAGTATCTATCTAGTATCTACTGTAAATGGACAGATGATTATAGGAGGCTAGGATGCTGGTTATGGAATCGGTTCCTAACAGGCTTAACTCTCTCCCCACGGAACTGGTTGGAGGAGGTCGGTGGGTTTTTTTTTTTTTTTTTGATTTGTTTTTCTACCCTAACTAACTCCTTTTGATGTGGATAAGCAACCAGCCCACGTTCTCACCGTTGAACGCCTAATAATAATGATAATAATAAATACACCGAAAAGGAAAAGGAAGAGAAGAGAAGGCCACGGAAGGAAAAAGCAATTCGAAGTGTAATTTACAATTACTGAGCATCATTGGAGTTGGAGTAGCTATAAGGTAGAGTACTACTACTGGTAAGACTTCTGGAAGTATCTACTCCGTACTCCGTACCGTATGGATTTCTCGGAAAAGGAAAAAAAAAAAAAAAAAGGGCACGAGAGGGGGAAAATGCACGCCCCCGCCAGCAAATGAGAAAAAAGAGAGAGATCTTCCCCACCGGTTAGTCTGTTACAGGATACAGGTCAGGTACAGACCAGAACACAGAAGGTACCTACCTAGGTACCTAGGTAGGTACTGATTGCTACCTCCAAGCTCCATCAGAATAACAATAATATAAGAATGGACGCATCAGCTACAGACCATGGAAAAGCTTATGAGAAAAGCTGGCTGTCTGTTGATTAACTTGATATCCTACTTCGTCTTTACAATGACAGGGAGACCCCATTTGAATGCTCCGTGCCATTCATTTCCTTTAGAAAAGCCCTCAGCTAAACAAACCAATGGAAATACAACAACCACACAAATATTCCCTCCCAACCAATGTAGGCCCGGTATAACTATAGCATTTCCACTAGAGATTAGCTCGGTTGATATCAGGGACAATCATATTATCCTTGCATGCAACGCGGACAGTGTGGCTGTCAAACATTTCGAAGAGGTCATATCCAAGAAGGCCGCCAACCTTGCCATCGACGCCTCCTCAAGAGATTAGACCGGAGTATGGACGGACCAAGACTTTTCAGACGTCAGCACTTAGTAGTCAGCAGCTGTGGCATCAGGGCACGTCCATGAAGAGCCGTCATTGCAATCTCCTCTGGTCGGCCGAGGTAGAATCCTTACGCAACTACCTGTTGCCGACACTGGAGTGTTCTCGATCGTCTACTCCGTACAGTCCACACCCTAGGACCTAGATAGGATCAGATCCAGGTATTACACGCTCAATGGAGCATGGGCTATGCACAGACAGCCGACTAAGCGATCAACACCCTCCATAACCTCTCCCGCGGTTGTGGTTGGGGTCGGAGTGTGCCGTCCTTGCTGATCGCATCGAGCACGAGGTAATGATCCAAAGGACTATAGGACACTATCCATATTGGGGGCGAGACTGTCAGTGTCCATTGTGTAGATACAGAAGCACGGGAGTCCTCAAAATCCCAGGGAACCCAAATCCCCTACAGAGAACGGGCCAACCGAGTGATAATATAACTTAACTATGAGTTCATAACTACTAGGGACGGGAGGATCCCGGAGCCCGATGAATTCCCATGTCCCAGAGGCGGGACAAGGCACCGGACGAGGCCAAGGTGATGGCGCTGCCGACCTGCCAGTTTTCCTCCTCTGCGACGAACTAGTGACTTGCTCTGCTTTGTGAAACCGCATGCAACGGGAAGGGTTGTCTGCTTTCTGTATTATCATCAAGGGATCGAGGAGTGGGGGGAGGTCGTGACTTTGGGGGAGAGACAAACCTACTACGTAGGTAGGTAGGTTCTATCTCTGCAGATCGTGCTTGCTTCACGCTTTACCGAGCATGGAGAATGCAAGTCTACAGCTAGGTACTTGGACCTTGGTTCTTACAGAAGGGGTCAAAGGACACACGCTGGATCTTGTTTCGAGTCGGTACCAACGTAAGTCGCTAGTGGATTTCTTTGTCTCTGATTTTTTTTTTTTCCCTTGGAAAGGGTTTCGAAAAAAGAAAGGCGAAGGCAGCCATCCAGGTGGTTGGGAGATCGACAAACCTCCAGGGGGTTGAAACTTGGGAGCGCTGTTCGGACTACGGAGTAAGGTAAGGAGCAACACAATCTGGAGGTAGGTTCAGAGAAGCAGTAGTAGGAACCGACCTAGGGGGTCAGAGTCTGGGGAAAACCAACCATGATTGAATATGAAAATGTAGTTACTAGTTACGGACTACAGAGTACCAGTTTCAATGATCATGATCATAAGATAGATGAATATGGCCTAGGTTTCACTGTTTGTTCGAAACAATTACACAGTACAGAGTAGATTCTCCAAGATCTGGAAGCGAAGCGTATCAAGCACTCGTCCGTCCTTAGGTAATTTAAGAGTAATTAATTGATCTCTCAAGTCCATCCTTCGGTAGGGTGACAATACCGCGGGCATACATTTAATACACCACGGAGGAAATACCGCGTTCACAGTAAACAACTGAATAACGCGTACCATCAATCAGGACACCATGGAATACAATCAACAACTCGAAGTCGAAGCAAGCTAACCAGAAACTATTTTTGACACCTCTGTTCCAGAGAGCCCAATAATCATTCAAACTAGTCTAGTTATACACGGCAATCTCACACACGAGAGAGGGGGGGGGGAGGGGAAAAAAGGTTCGCAACGTTCGTTCCACTTGGGGTGGTCTTGGTTTCTTGACACTTGACACTTGACTCTTGACCATCTACTCGATTTAGCCTGAGGCTGCCTGGAAGTTGCATCATATGTGAGAAATCGGAACTCGGAAGTACATAGATATCTAGATGCAGATTGCAGGCTTGGAACCAGAGAAGCTGAGCTGAACCTGTGAGACCGAGGGTAAGACAATGGAGGGATCTCTGTTTGGCTGTAGCCATGCAGGTCTCTATTCTTCGACGCACAGACTGAGACTTCACAGAGAGAAGGCAGGACGAGCCCTGTACCGGATCTGAATCTGACTGCGAGGCAGAGAAGGGGAAAGAAAAAAAAAAAAAAAAAAGAGGAGAAAAGTCGGCTCCCGATGGTGCAGCGTGGGCTGAACTCTAAGATAGCTTTAGTATCTCGCTAATACTGCAGCTATTTTCGTTAGCGGCCGATTGGTGTTACTGTCAAATTAGTGCGCACACTACCACTACGCAGTTGTTAGTCTAGATATCTAGGCTAAATAGTCGTTGTGGAAGGTGAACACGATGGACGCCAGGGAGAGAGTCTGAGACGGCTTGGCCAGACAGAGTTGATTGATTATACAATTGAGAACTTGAGACTGGGAAATCTGCGACACAATAATCACCATCGTGATTCACGAGGGAGGAGAAGCGATCATCAATGCAGGAGCAGCAGTTCAGTAACTAGTCAAGGATATCATGCGATAGGGACAGGGATAATGGGAATCAGGGCAAGCATCAATCCCTGGGATTGTTCGGGGTTGATCAACATGAATGGGACCGAGGAACTTGAGGTGTTCGTGCGTTTGGTTTTCACACGGACTCCAACTGCAAGCAGGTACTAACTAACTAGTGGTCGAAATTGAACATATTGAATGATGCCATTCAATTCTCTCACTAACCACTGCTCACTGTCAGTATCCAGCAGTGTCTTACTGCCCACTACTGGAGACCGCATTGCAGTTGCATTATCATTGCATTTCATTCATTCCTCCAGTTCCGCTCCCATCCGTAGATTTTTTTTTCATCAATGGTCTCTACCACACTGAAGCGACCCAAGGAACGTGTTATCGTGTTGTGGAGAAGTCCTTTGTCAGTGGTAACTTGGTAAGGAAAAACATCCATACCTACTCTGTAAGTGTAACGGAAACATGTCAAATCGGTAAATGACACGCGAGCATCCTTGTCTAGCGAGGGTAGAATTAGATTGATCTGAGGGTATCTCCAGATGCAGTGCGACAAGTCTGGGGCACGGTACTATGTGAAGTATATTAGTATAACCCCCAAGGCCCCAACCAAGGCTAACTAACTACCATCTACTACTCTATCGTATATCGTATATACGTAGTAGTACCTATAGAGTAGGCAAGTAACATACACAGTATACCCCGGAGTCTGTCCACCGGTGTAACGATTGGATGCAATCCTCCGCGAGCGACAGGAAGTCAACCAGGGCTGGTTGCTCAACGTTAACCTATTAAGAACACGTTGCGGTTCTTGGACGAGGAATAAGCGAATGACAAGTCAAGATCTTCCCGATCCCAAGACTCGGAGGGAAATACCTCGAAGGGAAGCATCGAGCCATGAACATCGATGGGTTTTCTTTTCTTTTTTTTTTCCCTTTCTTTTATGCCCCAAGGAATCATCCCCAAGGAGTAATGAGTCAAAAAAGGCCTCGGATGGAGTTTTTCATCTCTTCAGGAACAACACCGAGACATGTGCGCGACACAGTGCGAGTCACTGCTCAATGCTAGCGAGATTTAGTAGCTAGTTACTCTAGAGTCCAGACTCCCGAGTCCAAAGTCCAGATAGAAGCGACCTTTCTTCTAGGTGAACCGTTTGGCGAGTCAGTTCAGGTCCAAGCAAAATGTGATTGTCGTAGTCGTTAGCGTTGACATGAATACTACACAGTAAATTGTTGTCGTTGATCGTCGCCTGTATTGATTCTGATACAGTGACACTGTCATCAACACCCGTCTTTCAAGTTTCAATTGATCCAATTCTTCATCTTCTCTCCACTCTGGCCCCATCTCAATTGGATTTTATCCTCTGTGATTCCGTCTCATTCTCCAGTCTTCATCTCTAGACTCTCGAGCTCTGGTCTGGATGTCCGCCACAGCCTCATAGCCTTAGTCTTACTAAGTTACTTCAATACTCATTACTACTCACCTCTCTGGACTCTGGGCTTGGACTGCACTTCAGTGGAGTAGAGACAGGGAACATTGTTTCTCTGTAACCCAATAATGATCAGACCAACGACGAGAGATCCTGGTTAATTAAACCCACTGTGTTGGAATCCTGGAATCCTTCTCGATGCCTCCTCGGCTCCTACAGATAACTACTGTGTAGTAACTAGCTAGATACTGCCTAGTTATCTTCCGTCGACAAGCGACACTAGGACCCATGCAAGACAATTAAATCTCTCACCCAAAGTAGCACACCGCTAGCCCTTCAGTGGTGGAGGTACATGGCTACATGCTCCATATCCTCCGTCAGCCTGCATACTACGTAGTGGGTAGGTTCGAGGTAGGGAGTTGAGACTTGAGCAAGTACTTTGCACTCAGCTGCAGTAGTTCCACATGCATGCATTCGGGGTACCTACAGATAACAAATGAGCACCTGAGGCTGAGGATTTGACCTAGGGATTGGATTATTGGAGTCTGACTGACTTACATGAGATGCGTGTACGGAGTACTCTGTGATCCGATGGTGATCACCGACAGGGGGGGGGGGGGAGAGAGAGAGAGAGAGAGAGAGAGAGAGAGAGAGAGAGAGAGAGCTGTCTGTACCTGCAGGGAATGAATACACACAGGAAGCTGTCGTGTCACTAGTTCATTCATGTTACAAACCATCTTCATTTGCCGGCTGTACCTAGTACCTAAGTGGTAGGTATGGCCCTACAGTATTCATTCACATTTTGACTGTGTGACCAACACATCAATCAATGATCTATCAATTTGTCTATGAGAGAGAGAGAGAGAGAACAATTGTCCAAGTCAGCTGATCGCACAATACCCATCGCTCTGGTTTCGATTCGAATGTCTTAAATCTATCTAGCACGATTATATCCGATCCCTGATCGTCTTATCCCTGTTTCTCTACATCTGTCAGACCGTGTCCGTAGCTGCTGGTAATTATCTAGCTGCTTAGCTGCTACACCACAGTCTACCTATCCAGATTCCAGATATCCAAGTCCTAATTACCTCAGGCAGACTAAACCAAGGAAGAACGTGTTCCGACGTACGTGAGGCTGTCAACCCAGTTCCTGTCCTCACCCTCTCCTCCACACGTTGTCTGGACTCTGGACTCTGGACTCTGGACGCTGGACGCTGGACGCTATGCTTAAAAAGCTTTCGTAGGTTTCGTCGCTCATTGCTTCACCACTGTCTCAGATCAGAGAGGCATAGCTTAGCTCCCCCAATCCCAATCCCAATCTCCCGACGCCTCGGCTCTTCCAGTGATCGCTGCTCCCGTCCGTTACATAATACATCACGAAGACGAGGAGGTTGAATGTTGAATAATGAATTTATTATTAGCAGTCTGCGGGAAAAAAAAGCGTACTCCGTAAAGCCTCCTGAAGATCCTTTTGTCTAGATTGCTGGTAGTCGGTCCCCACTTGGGCAAGTCCTGGTTGTGGGTGGACTTGGGCTGGGCTGAAGGTGTTGACAACTTGACTTGTTGAGCTTGAGCTGGTCGACCCTGTGGTCCCATATCCCGTGTTCCGTTCATGCTAGGTACGTTTTCGGTAGTTGGTAAGCTGGTTAGGTAGGTATTTCATTCGTCATCCTGGCATAGGTATGGCGACGGACGACAGGAGAGAGATAGAGATGATACAGAGATACAGAGAGTGAGTGCAAGATGCTGCTGCTACAGCCTACCGGACTCCGGACTCCGGTCTCCTCCGTGCTTCTTATCGACTACAACTACAGCAGCAGCAGCAGCATCTCTACGAGGTGTCTACTTTGAAAGGAATCATAGTCTGCGAAGAATTCTCCGTTAACCAGACTCGTAGTTAGAGAGATAGTATACACACACACACAAAAAACAAGGGGAGGACAGTCGGCGACATAAAAAATCTTCATCCATATCAACAAAATGCCCAGATGCCTGGCTCCCCTTTCATCCATTCTTTCCGTACCTCAACGCCAGTTTGATATCATAAAAATAAAAGGATGGTAAGGCGGAGACAAGAAGATACACACAGGGAGAGAGAGAGAGAGAGAAAGAGAGAGAGAAACAAAATGCCTAAGACCTAAAACTACACGTAGACTCCTTCATCGCGCTCACTCCTCGTCATCGTCCTTCATCTCTGTATCTTCCTCGTCGGCCTTGCCCGTCGCCTCCTCGGGACTATCATTGAACAGTCCTTCATCGTCGTCGTCGTCGTCGTTGTCCGGCTCCTGATTTCTCGATACAGCCTGCGCCGGGACTCCCTCTGCTTCTTCTTCTTCTTCTTCTTCTTCTTCTTCTTCTTCTTCTTCTTCTTCTTCCTCCTCATCCTCGTCATCATCGTCCGCAATCCGTCGGGTCACCTTGGCCCGACGCCGCTGAACAACATCCTCGTCATCATCCACGGCGGAATCCCGCATCTCGTGGTCTGATGTCGCAGCAGCCGCAGCATGGTCCTCCTGCTCCTCCTCGTCGTCGACATCCGAGTCCTCGACAACCTCGCTGCTCTTGTACTTGCTCTGCGCCTTCCCACCGGACCGCCTCTCCAACCGTCTGCGCTTCTTGGGCGCCGCCTCGCCCTCGCTCTCCGCCTCCCCGCTCCGCGCCCGGCGAGGCGTCTCCCCATCGCTGATGAAATCGTCGTCCGCCCGCTTCTTCTTACGCTTCATCGTCGCCTTCTTCTTGCGTCTTACTTTATCGCCCGTTTCCGAATCCGTCGTCATCTCTGCGTCCTCCCGCGCCTTCTCTTCCTCCGCCCGCTGCTCGGCCAGGCGCTGCGCTTCCTCAATCATCTGCTGACGCTCCTCCGCCAGCTTCTTCTTCCGCGTCTGCTCGGCTTCTTGGGCCTTGCGCACCTCCGCCTCCCGCTTCCGGATCTCCGCCTCCCGCGCCTCCCGGGCCTGTTGCAGCTTGGCCGCGTTCTTCTCCTCGTACTCGCGCTGGCTCTGCAGCGCACGCTCCAGCTGTTTGATGATCGTCTTACCCATGTTGGCACGCTGCTCCAGCGCGCCGGCGGGGTACGGCGGATTCTTCACCTGCGCGATCCGTCCGAACGTCTCGACCGCCTGGTGCAAGCCCTCGGCGGCCTCCTCGACGTCCTGCACCGTCTTCTGCGTTTCAGGCAGGCTGTACGCCAGCGAGGCGATCTGATTCTGTACAAACGCAACGTTGAACTCCAAATGGGCCTGCGAAGGCGCGACGGCGTGGGCACGCTGGGCGTAGTCCAGAGCCGTCTTCATGGCGGACAGGCTCATTTCCTGTTTGCCCTTGAGCAGCCAGACTCGACCCAGGCACGCCAGGATCTGCGCATCGCGCGCACGATCTTTCGACAGCGCCGCCTCGTAGTGTTCAATGGATCGCGAATATTGTCGTAGTTCCGCGTAGACATGGCCCAGGTTCAGGTACACGCTGGCATCCCGCAAGGTGTCTCGCACCTTGGAGAAAATATGCACCGCACTGGCGTGGTCCTTCTTGTCGTCGACCAGCGCAATAGCGATTCCCTGTGCGGCGTAGGCGTTCTTGGGATCCAGCTGCAGCGCCTTGTCGAAGAACTCCACGGCCCTTTCGTACATCTTCCGTCGCTTGTCCTTGTCCTGATCAGTGTCGCGCCGCATGTCTCGAGCAGTCGTCAAGTGCACGTTGCCCATTCCCGTAAGTGAGTACCGATCGTGTTTGTCGTAGTACTGTAGAGTATGCTTGAAGTGCCGTTGCTCGTGGTCCTCTGCGAGGTTGGCCGCCCGCTTCTTGGACTTGCTGAGATACCAGCCGAACAGCGCCCGGACCTCGAGATTCGTCGAATCCGCCTCGTACAGCTTCGCCATCTTCTTCGGTCCCTCGTCTGTCGGACTTTGGCGCAGCGCAATATAGGTGAGGCGCGCGTTGGCCTCCGTGTAATCGGAATGACGCTCGAGGAGCCTCTCAAAGGCCTTCTTCGCTTCCTCTTGCATGTTGGAAGCTTCATACGCCCGGCCCAGGTTGTAGCTGATCGTAGTCACAAGAGCGTCCGTGTCAAGCTGTGGATCCTTCTCCTGTGACCGCGCGCAGGCGTCCAGAGCCGCCTGGAAAAGGGCCCGGGCTTGCTCAATCTTCTCCGCCTGGTACAGGAAGCAGCCCATGTTGTTGAGCAGTGGTGGAGGCAGATTGGCACGGAGGACAGCTTTGATCTCCGCTTCATCTTCAATGCCCTCGGGGCGCTCATCTTCGGAAATCTCAGCCAGCTGCATCTCTTCCAGCTGGGTCAAGCACTGCATGCTTTTCTCCGGAGCGATCTGCTCATAGAGACGAGACAGATAGACGAGGACCGATTCGTCAGGTACAATCTTCTTGCCTTCGTCCTTCCAGAGACTGCGAACAGATTCCAGCAAGCTAATGGCCTTCTTGGCTTCTGCCGACTTGTCCTCCTTGCTGCCGCTTCTTTGGGCAGCAAAGACTTCCTCGGCATGCAGTGCCCCTAAGAGAATCATGCATTCCGGGTTTTTCGTTTGCTGAATGATCTTCTCCAATCGGAACTTGGCGTCATCATAACTCTGGTTAGAAACCTGCATCTGCACCGCGCCAAACTTGGCCGGAAGATAGCCTTTTTCACCTCCTCCTCGCGCCTGATCGGAGCGGCTGTAGTACTCCGCTGCATGGGCGAGGTCACCCTCGTAGTGGGCTTTGCGTCCCAGCAGATACCAACCGTCACTAGCAATCGACATGACATCTGTGCGTTCAATGGCCTTCCGTGCTAATGTCTCGACGGTGGAGTAGGATTTCCTCAGGAGGAAATAACCGCCAAACAACGCACACGTCATGGGGTATTCCTTATCCAACTTGAAAGCCTTTTGTGTGTACTGGGTCATGGCGACCTTATATAGCGAGCCAAATGCGGGGTCCGTCGTAGCATGGCGCGAGCTATCGTAGAGATAATAGACGGCGAGTAGAATATTGGCAACCTTAGAGTCGGGGTTCTGCAATGCGGCGAAAGTTTCAGGTTAGCGATGCTTGAAACCAACCAGCCGAAGGCGCATAACGGAAAAGGTGAGAACTTACGAGTGCCAGCGCCCGCTCCCAAGCAACCTTCGCCTGGTCCTTAAAGCCCAGCTGCCACAAACAACATCCGATACCAATTCGAGGATCGGGGTCCGTCAAAGTAGGCATCTTCATCAAAACCTTTTGATAACCTTCCAACGCCTCCGCATACCGTCCCAACAAGTATTGCGCTCTGGCACGCCCCATGATCGCCATCACGTTCCGACCACCGAACGCCTTTGAGGATTCATCGAAGCATTTGAGCGCTTGTCGCAGAGACTCCACGCGCTCAGACGTGTCAACCGAGCCTGGTCGGGCCGGTCGCGGGGGGTGCAGGGAAGCGCGCAGTAAAGACAAAACACCCCGAGCAAGGAATAATGGAGGAAAAGCCGGGTTCAGTCGCGACGCCTCGTTCAACGTCGACGTTGCGAGTTGCAGGTAATGATCCTTGGTCTTGGCCTCTGTGTACAGCTCTCCCTCGGGGGCCACGCGAGGGGCCTGCCGACTCTTCAGCATCAGCAACCAGCAGACCCAGGCCAGGAGACCCAGTTTCTCTTTGGTCGCTCCATGAGCCACCGAGGCGAGGCCTTTGTTCAGAATGTCGATCGCATGATCGATCTGCTTCTGCTTAGCATATGCCAGTGCGATGATCACCCAGAAATTCTTCGCCGCCTTTTCGTTCTCCAACAATGTGCAGAGTTCGGTGGGATCGTCTGGTAGCCCTTCCAAGCTCACTTCGACTTCACTGTCAAGGGTGGACGCGGGAATATCGATCGCAGAGGGGATGTCAGAGAAGCGAAGGTTACCCAGGGAGTTGGCCGAGACAAACGAATCGCCATTGACGCCGTTGGCGTAGCCATTCTGTATTGACGCCATGGCTTAGGGAGGTTTGATGTATGCGTATATCCGTTTCGAGGTTCTCCAACTTTCAGCTGAGAGGAATGATCACGGAGAGTTGCGCCTGTTCCGAGTTGAGTGAGAGTTCGGTAATAAGCTCAACTCATGATCATATTAGATAGATAACAAATAAATGATGTTGGAATGAAGAGCACTGGAGGAGATAATGGGAAAACAATGAACTTCTTGCTGAACCCTCGAGCAAGAAACCAGCTCTTGTGTTACAGCTCGACAGAACGGAGAGAGAGTTCTTGATCTTGTTGGCGGGAATAATATGGTTGGGTGCCTGAGGCAGACATCTGAGGCTAGTGGAGCCGCACCGCCACATGGCATTTGGATGATACTGTATCCAATAATACACTTGGTTAGTTTTCGTTGCATGAAGAAGACTCTGGGATCAGTCTATACATATCATTTCATTCAGGCATCTCTCATGCTCATGCTCATGCTCATAAAGATATCTAGTAATATGACCTCGCTACCCAAAACCACACCCGGAAAACTCGTGATTGCTTCTACTGGCAGAGTCCCAAGACCTTGGGTAATCTGCACAAAAACGCAACGCCAACCAACACCATGAATATCCGCCCAAGCTCCGTCCAGTGAGCCAGCCGAACGTGTGCCTCAGCATAGCCCTTTGAAGCAGCTTGTCTCTGTGTTTCGGGCACCTCGTCGGTGTTGATAGAGCCCGCTAGCCCAGTTGGAAACCTTCCGGTCTCGAAGTATTCGTCAAGCAAAACGTCCTTCTCGGTCCAGCGCGCCCGGAGCCAAGCATCAAATTCGTTTTGGTCATCCAAAGGGATATCAGACAAAGCGAATCGCCTCCAGTACATATTGACGGAAGTCGGCGGGCGTCCTTGTAGATACGTGGACCGCAGAGTGAAGTACTTATCGGGATAACTGCCCTTCCTGTATTGATTCATGCGCATTAGGCTCTCAATCTGCAAAGTCTTCAATAACTGTGGGAGACTTACGGGGGCCCTTCATAGGCAACAGTGCAGTCGTATACCCAGTCCACAGTTCCTTTCAACTGCTGTAAACAGAAGAGGAGGCCGGTTGACCGCGGAAGGATCTCATGCTTCAAAGCTGGCAGTCCTTGCTTTGCGCCGAATTCATCACTCCGTCGCTTCGTATTCAGAGACAAGTTTGTGCCCTCAGGGAAGATCAATAGCCACATTGGATCATATTCCGAGGTACCCGAGTTGGAGCCTGAGAGCTTGGTTTTGAGCTTTTCCAAGCGATGTTGTAATCGGGGCTTGTCAGATAGCCATTTACGAGCCATGAAGATGAACCCGTAAAAGGTCATACCCTGCCCGATGATTGGGATATACTTGAGAGATTCCTTGAGGATGATGAAGATGCGACCATGCATCGTATTCGTATAAGCAACCCACCAAAGATAGATCCAGTCGGTATATACCTGATGGTTGGCGACCAAGACCAGGCGTTCCGGGAATTGTGTCTTCAGTCGTCCGTCCTTGCTCAAATGGATCTGACCTCGCACGCTCTCGTCCCCACTGACGCGCACATATGTCGGGCAGCCCCATTGTGTAAGCGCTGTGATAACCAGCCCAAATGATTGTTTCGTAAGAGCCATATAACTATAGTAATAATCTTTATTGATGAAGTATAGCGGAGAGCCAATTAGCTGAGTCGCGAGGATGATGATACAGCAGCAGTTGAACCATGTTGCAAGCAGCAGGGACCGGAGAAGCTGCATAGGAATGCCATGTTTAAGACGCGGCTCTGTATCTCTGGAATTTCGAGGCTTCTCGACCGCATTGTTCTCTTGGACAGACACTGGTGCCTGCCTTCGCTGACGAAGTTCAGGAGTGTCCATGATGAGGAGATCCTACTGTCGTAGATAACGGCTCCGAAACCGAAGCCTGTTCTCACTACAATTGGGTTGACAATGGAACGAACTACTGGGAGAACAACTGTTAGCGGTTTTCCTTCAGATAAAGCATGTGAAAAATCCACAATATACTTGAAAAGAAGCACAAGAGATTTGAGCCTTACTACTGCTTAGAGCTGTACAGATTAGAAAGCTTTATCACAGAAGATACACCGGATTTTTGACGAGAGACAATTCAGGGAGCTAGGAATAAGGAATGAGGAATGACTACCACGCCATGCTCCCGATGTGCAAGGAAAGAAGAAGAGAAGAAGAGGAGAAGGGAAAAGAGTGACCTAATCACAAGGAAATATAGGTGGATACTAGGTAAATAGCTAGAGTTGACTTGATGTAGATAGGCTACAAGGCAGTGTTGGCTTGTGGGCCAGACAAAGCGATCTTGTGATAGTTACCTATGAGGCGAGGCGTTGCACAACGCAATACAGAGTAGTAAGGCACTTTTCAGGCAGGGCCGGATCAGCTCGTGACTGCAGTCAATCATTAGGGATGACGTCCTCGGTCCCGCTAGTCATAAAAGGCGGTGAGAGTGAGACTGAGGGTTATATCAGCCATGACTCATCAGTTAGCTGTATGATCTTAAAGCGGCAAACGTTCTTTGTTGAGGCATCTAGATGCTGTGCTTGCTTTATAGCTGGGTATCTTTTATGATACTTCTCTCTAATTAGCGCCAATCATATTCTGAACAATTTTCTCTACCTTGTAGATGACTGGGTGTCTTGTTGTACGCCTTTTCCTGCTTAGAATAGTGGCATCCTTGTGAAAGTCAATCGGGATCGATCTTTCACCAGGTAGAGCACAACGATACAAGATCGAGGTAGAACATGGACTGAAGACTTTATGATGTAAGTCCCCGTCTAGAGGGAGAATTGTTCTATTTCTTATACTTACTCAGCGAGCAGACTTCATGTCATTGTTTTGATATATACTGGTTGAACTGCCGCCATTACAACGATGTCGTTGACTATGATCCGAACACGACCTGCTCGTCTGGGACTCAGGAGCAGATTCTCATGGATACGAGATTTCTCGGCATCATCGTATCGTCAAGAGATACGGGATATTCGAACGCTACCACAGCGTATATTGCCCAAATACGAAGGTGTGCGTTGCCTCGTGTCGTTTGGCTCAACCGTGCTTGCTTGCTGGTCAGTATCAACTAACTTGAGTGTAGAATCTCAAGAGGGTGATCTACTGTCGCTCCGATGGCCAGCCCCGCCACGAAATATCCTTGTTGTGAAGAAAGACTGTTCTCCCGAGGTCACCAAATCGCTAGTTAAATTTGCTACGTATGGCAATCCCGATGAGTGACACCGGGCGGGTCGTGGTGTATACTGACATCTCTCCCCAAATTTAGTCACACAAGGTCGACTTATCCGTCGATTGCCATCATCCTAGAGCAAAAGACCGCTGAAGAAGTCCACTCTTCCCTTCCTTTCCCGGTCTATTCTACCATCTCAGACCATGATCCGTCCGCCTACCATGATAGAGTGGACATGGCAGTCACCCTTGGGGGAGATGGGACGATCCTGCGCGCGTCTTCGTTATTTGCGACATGCTTCAATGTACCTCCTATGTTGTCGTTCAGCATGGGCACGTTGGGTTTCTTGAGCGAGTGGAAGTTTACGGAATACAAGCGCGCGTTCCGTGAAGTCTACATGTCAGGAGCTGGAGTTGGTGATCGAGCATCTATCCTCGAAGACCAAAAATCGGCTGCGACAGATGACCAGGTAGATTATGAAGTGGCCCCAACAGGATGGTCCTCGGTGCGCGGCAAATCCATGGGCTCGGACCGGGGAGCCCGAATCCTGATGCGGAACCGTTTAAAGGTCGGCTTGTTCACGGCTGACGGGAAAACGGTCCAGGGTGCCGTCACTCAGGATACCACCGGACATCCGGGAGTTTATGTGATGAACGAAGTCCTCCTGCATCGAGGCAAAGAACCCCATCTCGCTGTGGTCGATGTGTATGTTGGAGGTCGGTTCTTGACGGAAGCCGTGGCAGACGGGATGATCATCTCCACCCCCACAGGCAGCACAGCATATAGCCTAAGCAGTGGAGGCAGCATCGTTCATCCCCTTGTGCCCGCTGTCCTCCTCACACCCATCTGTGCTCGGAGCCTCAGCTTCCGGCCGCTGGTGCTGCCGTCAAGTACGCCGATCACGCTGCGGTTGAGTGAGAAAAACCGAGGACGAGAGCTGGAGGTCAGCATCGATGGTGTCAACCTAGGACAAGGGATGACTGCCGGTATGGAGGCTCGCGTGTGGAATGAGGAGATGCGGCATGGCAAGAATGAATGGCATGGTGGAGTGCCATGCGTGATGCGGCGAGTTACAGGCGGCGAAGCGCATGATGGTTGGGTGGGTGGATTGAATGGACTGCTCAAGTTCAACCACCCGTTTGGCGAGGAGCCTTGATCAATTTCTCGGTATCTTGTAACTATGTACTACTACTACTACTACTACTACTACTACTACTGCGATGTCGGTGGTTAAGCTTGTTTTGTATACTCTGTATAACCGTGTTGATAGCATCGTCAATTGGTCAATCAGCGCAGGCTCTCGAGTGGGCCGATCCATTGAAATGATCTTCGTTGCTTCAATTTCTGGGACGTTGAGCCGTGGATCGTTGGATGATTGGGGAATCGCTTGTCAGTGTTATAAATAGTTGAGAGATGCTGGTAACTTGATATGACTGAAGAGTCTGGATTGGGTGTATGTCCAGAGTATATATAGAGAGAGAGATTGCTGATAGTTGATACTCACTATGGATGGCACTATTGTCCCTGTAGAAACAGTAGAAGGGGGAAAAGAAAATCACAGATATCCACTGTCTCATCTGCTGTCTAAAAAACATTCTAGAAAAAACCCAGAACTGACCCATGGATGCAGGGATTCCCATCTCCAAGGGGAGCCGTTTCATCTTGAGTGCAGTAGAGTATATTGTCTACTCCGTATATTGATACTATCTCGATAGAAATCACAGGAAATTCTCCCATAACAATGGTTAAATCTCTGTGGATCGACATCACTAGAAGCGGTTTTCTACTGTCATCTCCCATCTCCCCCTCCCCTTCTTCTGTCGACGGCTTGATGCTATTCGTATTTTCTATCTAATAATCGGGAATCCCTTGTCTGTCCGTCTTGTCTTGTCTGGTCTTGTCTGTCTCCACCCTCTTGACGCTCCCTCTCTTCTTCGTCCTGTTCTCTCTCTTTCTCTTTCTCCCTCTCACTCTTTCTTCCCCTAAACTTCTCTCACTTCTCTCATTAATCCATACCATACTCTTCTTCTTTCATCAGTTCCATCTCATAACTAGATATCCGATCCTCACCTAACTATACCCTTCTACTCAAAACGGCCCTAGTCTCCCTGTTTCCGACCCACTGGCTCCCTCACCGCGTCCCGTCCCCAGCTTCGAGGCCTTCCCGCTTGGAGCATCTTCGCCCGTGCGAAGGGCTCTGCTGGCCAGAAGCCGAAAGCCAGCAAGGTATGTACAGTAGTTAGTTATATCTATCCTGTTCCTTTTTTTTTTTTTTTTTTTTTTCCTTTCCTTTTCTTCTCCCCCCCCCCCCAATCTCATGACTTATTTATTCCCTTCCTTGCTCTGTACTTTGTGACCTGGTCTTTTGCTTTTCCTCCTCAGTGGCTCTTTTCTGCGCTGCTCCTTTGCTGATCCCCTCCGCCCCCCTGGTTAAACACTCGGAGCCGGGAGGGCGCATTGCAGCCTTGACGGCAGCGTCGCTATTGTCGTTCGTTTTGCTGTTGCTGACAGACGCGCATATTCGATTGCTGCTTGGGCTAACATCTACTCTGCAAGTAAATCGTTGAAATCGACTTTTCAAGTCACTCGTTGATTTCCTCCCTCATCCTTGTTCGACGGAGCCCCTGAGGCCGCTTTCCTCTCCCCCCCCCCTCTTGCGCGCCCCCCTCTTTCGGGTTTCCAACATTTCTGTCGAACGGCGCAGCGATTATTTCTATTTTCTGCAATGTACGTTGAACTTTCTCCCCCCAAAATCTCTGCTGGCTTTTAGACAATTGAAATCGTCTCAAGTTGGGACTCTGCTGAACCGCCCCCCTCTTGTCGCAGTATGTATTCCCCTGACCAGTTCATGAATCCCGGGCCCGCCCCCCGCCCTCCAACCGACCGTCCAAAGCTCACTCTCCCTTCAAATCCCTCCGTGGCTACTTCATTCAGCCAAATGAGCTTGAATTCGCCTGGTACACCTGGAACCGCCAATCTTTCCTTGTTTCCCAACACCAGCAGTCCAGCGCTCTCGCAAACCAAGACAAACCAGTCCGGTCAAGGGGGTGTCGCTATCGTGAAAGAAGGATATGTACGCTGCAAAGAGGACAAATTCTTGGCCACGTGGAATCAGAGATACCTCATTCTGCGTGAGTTCCGTCTCGAGTTCCTTAAGAATGAGACTGGAAAGGTGGTGTTGTCCATCCCACTCAACACAGTGACCAATGTGTCTCGTTCTGAAGACACTCGGATGGCCTTCGAAATCATTCGTCTTGCCAACGCAAAGGACGCTGCCTCCAAGGCCGCTTTGATAACCCGCGATGTCCCCACCAAGTCGATCACATGCGAAGTCAAGAGTGATGATGAGATCTACGACTGGATTGATAAGATCTACGAGCGATGCCCCGGTATGGGAGGCGTGAGCAACCCGACCAATTTCAGCCATCGTGTCCATGTTGGTTTCGATCCACAGACAGGCGCCTTCGTCGGGCTGCCCCCGGAGTGGGAGAAGCTTCTGACCGCATCCGCCATTACTAAGGAGGACTACAAGAAGAATCCTCAGGCAGTGATTGAGGTTTTGGAATTCTACTCCGATATCAAGATGCGCGAACAGAATCCCCAGTACTACGCCGGTCTGGCCTCGCCGCAGTCCAGCCAGCAGTCCAAGCCGTACAGTAACAGCTCGGTGGGCAGTTCCATTGCCCCTCCGCGACCACCTCCGCCCGCTCCTGCTCAGCGTTTGGACAGCGGGCCTACCCAGGCGACACGCTCTGCAAATTCGTCGCCTGCACACTCCCAGAGCAAGGCCGAGTCCGACCGTGCCTTCGAACAGCAGCAGCAGCAGCAGCTTGAGAGAATGAAGGAGGTGGCAGAGCAGGAGCGTCGCCGCGTCGAGGAGGACAACCGTCGGGCTCGCCAACGCGAAGAAGAGCAGAACAGACTAGACCAGGAGGCGTACAACGCGTCGATCCCCAAGACACGGGTCCCCTTAGCTAAGCAGGAGCTTGGTGGCTATAGTGCTGAGTCCTCGATGGCCGATCGTTACAAGCCTAGCCGTCCCGCACCACAGGCTCCGGGCGCCGCTCGTCAAGATCCTTCTCGTCAGTTGACCGCGCAGCGCCCAGCACCTGCCCCTCCGTCGAGCAATGGAAGCGCGGGAACGCAGCGGGACTACCAGAATTCTCCAAGCTCGCGCTATGCTCCCAACGATCCACGGACCCCGGCCGCTCGTGCCCAGAACAACGGCACCAAGGCGCAGGGTCCTCCCCCTTCGAAGCTTCCAGCTCCTGTGCAGCCAGTGAAACCATTGAACATTGCGAATAAGCAACAAACGACCAACAAGGGCAATGTTTCGGACGGGGTTCGTCAGGCAGAGGCCGCTCTGAGCAAGAAGGCGGAACCGCGCCATAAGGAAGTCCGCATGTCAGCAATGTCCGAAAACGAAGTCATGGATCGATTGCGATCCGTGGTATCAAAGGACAATCCGAATGAGTCGTATAGTAAGCAACGCAAGATCGGACAGGGTGCTTCAGGATCCGTGTATGTCGCGCGTGTCAAGGAGCATTGTGTTTCCCCCGTCGCCCGGGAATTGTACCGGCAATACGGCCCTCGTTGCCAAGTGGCCATTAAGCAGATGGATCTGCGCAGTCAACCCCGCAAGGAGCTGATTGTCAATGAGATCATCGTTATGAAGGATAGCCAGCATGCGAACATTGTCAACTTCCTTGATTCGTTCTTGCAGGAGCAGAGTAACGAGCTGTGGGTTGTGATGGAGTTTATGGAGGGAGGCGCTCTGACGGACGTCATCGACAACAACCCTGTGATCCAGGAAGATCAGATTGCGACAATTTGCGCAGAGGTAAGTTTGCAGGTTACATCCAGGTAGTCAATTCTGCTGATATGCTGATGATTTCCCTCCTTTTTTTTTCTTTCTCAAACAGACTTGCAGGGGACTTGCCCATCTTCATGGACAAAATATCATCCACCGCGACATCAAGAGTGATAACGTTCTTCTGGATCGCGCAGGTCATGTCAAAATTAGTGAGTCCAAACCGTAATCTCTTCGGGAGAAAAGAGAAAACCCGTACTGACAGGTTGGGTCATAGCCGATTTTGGATTCTGTGCCAAACTCACCGAGTCGAAAAGCAAACGTGCAACGATGGTCGGTACTCCATACTGGATGGCTCCGGAGGTGGTCAAGCAGAAAGAGTATGGCCCCAAAGTCGACTGTTGGTCATTGGGAATCATGGCCATTGAGATGATCGAGTCCGAGCCACCATACCTCAATGAGGAACCTCTCAAAGCGCTGTATCTCATTGCTACGAACGGTACTCCGCGCCTGAAGAAGCCTGAGAAGCTCAGCAAGGAGCTCAAGTCCTTCCTGAGCGTTTGTCTCTGCGTCGATGTACGTAGCCGTGCCACCGCCGATGAATTACTGGAACACGACTTCCTCAAGACAGGCTGCAGTCTGGCAAGCCTGGCCGAGCTCCTTCGGTGGAAGAAGAACAGTGGCCAGTGATCGACGTGAGGATACTCGTTGATTTCAGTTCATTCGTTGTGATCGAACTCTCCCCTCCGCGAGCGCTCACTTGTTGTTCTCAATTTACGATTTAAGCTAAATCTCGTCTCGCGCACATATGGGTCCCATTTAACACACTCCTGCCTGATTTTGATACTCTCTTACGACCTGCATGGCCTATCAGATTCCTCGTGTGATATCCGAACCGCAGAGCCTTGTTCTTTTTTTCATTTTTTCATTGAGGCCTGGCGTGGTTTATCCGGCGTTTTTTATTTTCATTTGGGGGGGTTTTTTTTTTCCCTCCTTGTTCTCCAGTTCTAATCCCTTTGGGTTGGATTTTGCTGCCCTTCCGCCACGTCTCAGTCGAGCAGGTTGTTTTCATTGATGTTTTCCTTCGTGGTTTGTATATGAACGAAGCACGAACATTCGCACGCCAAAATGTTGATGAAAGGAGAATGTCCTTCCACCATGAGGACCGACAAAAATACAGTAGGAGAAGCATGACCTGAGACCTGGATTACGTTGGATGTTTTGAAACGCTGGCTGCCAATGCTTTTGCTTTGACCATGTGGCTTCCTACTACATGCATGTGTCTACGTGCCTAATCAATGAGTGACGACCAAAAAATTCTGTTCATAGCAAGCGAAGCTCTCTCGGTCTCGGGGAGTAAGAATTTAATAGATGGATAGCATGCTTCTTTTTCTTATGTTCGCATGTACTCCATCGCTGTGTCAAACAGTGCCCCCCTCTGAACACCTCTTCGTGGGATATCATCAATCACTATTCTGCGTAAGGAACGATATTATCTAACAGTAATTGGATGTCAAAACATGTATATCAGAAAAAGATCCAATCATCGTCACAGCTCATCTCAAGACCATGATAGACATCCCCGCGTCGCGTTAGCATCTGTCTTATCACTTACACTCTCTTAATTGACAAAAATCCGCTAAGAAAGCAGTCCAGCCTGCACCTGGTTCCCCAGAAACGCCGAACACTCCCCGAAAACCACCCCCTTCAGGATGGTCTCGCCTTCTTCAAGGGCCCAGTACCCGGCGTCGGTCAGGCGCTGCTTCCACAGCGACCTCTCCGCCTCGTCGAGGTCATCCCAGGAGCGAGGCGGGGACTGCGGTTGCTGCTTTTCGCGCTCGTCGGCGGACGACATGCCGGAGAGAGAGGATTCGGAGCCCGGGGTCTCGATGAAGATATCGTTCGAGTCTGGTCTGCACTGGATAAGGACGGAGGAGACGGGGGTCTTTGCACTCGCGTCGGTGTCGTCGTCGGTGTTGGCCTCGGCGGCGCGGTGTGCGTGGAGGATGTCGCGCAGGGAGCGGGGAGGCTGTTCCCTCACAGCAGGAAGCACAGGGCCCGACGGGAGCGGGTGAGGCGGGAGAGCGTGGTAGGGGCGGGCGATGGCGGTGCGGATATCCGGAGGCAGCCACTCTGTGGCGCCGAGGTAGGGGGGCATGAGGCCGCGGATCTCGGTGAAGGCCTGGAGGAGGAGGCAGACGGTGAGGATGGAGAGGAGCGCGGCGAAGCCGCTGGCGAAGTTGGTCCAGACCTCGGACTCGCCGGGCATGACGAGGACGTAGCGCGGGGTGCGGCTGGACGGGGGCGCGGGCGCGAGCGGGAACGTGTGCACGACGACGGTGTTGCCCATGCTGATGGATGCCAGCTTGATGTACTGCGGCGGGGTCTCAGGCGTGACGGGGTGCGCTGGGGGCTGGAAATGGGAGAAACAAATTTTGGTCATGGAGAATGGGTGGACCTCGCGGAGGCTGGTGTATGGCCGGAGCTTGTCATGGCCGCGTCGCGGGTTGTATTCGACGGTCAGGATTTCGATGGATTGGTCGCTCCCGGAGACCGCGATGATAGTCTGCTCCTGGCCGTCCGGGTTTGTTCCTAGGCCACAGACGTCTAAGCCCAGTCCAATTTTGATGGTCTTGCGCAGCTTCTTGCGCCGGACAATGGTCCCAAGAGGCTTGTCTTTCGAGGCAGTCTGGTGTATGTCTAGAGTAACGAGCTCACAGCCGTTGCGATTCGGCGCATTTTGGAGCAGAAGCACGGTGGTAGGTGTAAGGAAGCGCAGCGCTCGGAATTTGAATCTTGCCCGGGGGCCTTTATCAGGCAGGGGTATGCGGTATACGCATTTGACCTCCGGCGAGGCATTGGACCGAGTTTGCGACGAAATGTCACATACAAAGACATCCGACCCGGTTGTATATGCCACTCTGTATTTCGCACCTTCGAGATCGATGATGTCCACATCCTCAGCCTCCTCGTCACTGTTCAGACGGATTCTCCCAATAACATCGGACTCGGTCGGAGTAGGAGTGACATCGAAAAAAACAATTTCTCCCGAAGCAGCTAGTCCGGTCGCGATCGCGCCCACTCGTGGTTTGTCGGCGCCCTTCCATGGGGATAGTCGCAAGATTCGCTGGTATGTGTCGGCACGGGCCTTGGTCTCTTTGGTGCGAAACAACGAAACACGCGCCAAAGGCGTCGTCTTCCCAGGCGTAGTAGACTTTGGCTTGTCCTTGGGTAGCTCTGCTTCTTTCTCGGATGCGCTCGCCGTCACTGCTTTCCTTGGGGGGTAGTCGATCTGGAACGATCTCAGGTGTTGGTTGTTATTTCGCTTCTGCTCGGCCACCGAGCTGTTGATGCCAGCCAGAGCAATGATCGAATCGTCGCTAGCCTGTGCAGCAGCTAGTGAAGTCACCGAGTCCTCATCGCGTGATAGTTCGATGTCAACGACCTCCGAGATTTCGCTGCGTTTGGAAGTGTTCAAGAGTGCCTAGATTCCGTGAAGGCTTAAATGTTAGCACAACACCCTGTAATTGACAACTTAACCATCATGCAAGGTAGGTATCAGTTAGTCTGATAAACAGAAAGGAAGGAAACTTGCGATTTTATTTCCAACACCACTGCGACCTTCACCTCCACCGCCCCCAACAAGCAGGAACCCATAGTTTCGCGGATCGAAGTCGGCTGCAAAGAGGGGACAAGACAACGTTAGTTTGGCCGAGGGAATAACAGGGGCCATCGTTAAATGACGGGATGTCGTCTAGATGTTGGTCTGAATAGAGAGCGCAGAAAAGCACAAATGATAACAGTCAACAAACGGTGAAGAAGAGAAGGACACCTCCGCCCTGTCGAGATGGCCAGCTGGAGTTCCGCAATGACGCGGGTGTTGGCTCACTTTCCGCCCCGGGGTTCTTGGCATCGGGGCTTGTTTCTTCAGCACCTTAAGCATACTGAATAGTACAGCGACTCAGTTACACATTTCCTACGACGCTCAACTCAAAATACTCAACGGTAGAAGACTGCATGAATGGATAATCCTCAGACACGCAGGATATCATTAATGATCCACATACTTTTATTACACTCGCAGTGGTGGGCCATACAGCAGCTCAAATAATCTAATCAACTTCCTGGCCAGTGAATTCAGGAAGCTCCTTGCGGATATCTTCCCACGACTTCTCGCCGTCTACTAGAGACTTGATGGCCTGTAGAATCTCCTCCTCGCTGGCACGGACCTGCTTTGTCGTGTCACGATCACGCAGAGTGAAGGTGTTATCCTTCACCGACTGGAAATCAACGGTGATGCCAAAAGGTGTACCAAGTTCGTCGTTACGCGCGTAGCGCTTACCGATACTGGCGGAGGAGTCGTCAACCCTGTTGGATACTCCCAAGCGCCGCAGCTTGGTCATCAGCTGCTGCAGCAGAGGGCGGAAGGAGGCGTGCGTCGAGAGAGGAACGATCAGAACCTTGGTAGGAGCGATAACAGGAGGGAAGGAAAGAACCTGGAAATAAAATTAGTACATGATCAAGGGCCATTAGCAGACTGAATCGTATAGATGGACTTACGCCACGAGCTTCATCGCCCTCGCGAGACCAGTAGACATGCTCAATCATGCTGTACAGGATTCTGCCAATACCAAACGATGGCTCAATGACGTTAGGTGTGTACTCGCGGATGTTTTCAACGCGAGTGCGCTTCTCAATCTTGACAATGTCCTGGTCAAGCTCAACCTTGCCAGAGCCAACACCCTCCACCTCCACTTCAATCTTGCCATTTTTCTCCAGATCGATGGCCAGCTTCTCACGGAATTCCTGGGAAAGAGCCTCAACGGCAGCCGCCACGGCCTTTCCGTCCTTCTTGAAGCGGGGCCCGAACTTCTTCTTGTCCAGATCAACCTGCCACTCTTCGATTCTCAGAGGCTCGGCACGGGGCTCACGGACAACGAGAGGAGCGCCGGTCTTGTTCTTGTGCACAGTCAAGTCATAGGCACTGCGGTCGGCGCAACCAACACATTCAATCCAGCCATAGCTGGTTTGGAGTTCCGCATCCCAGCAATCCGCAGCATAGTGGGCCATCTCGTTAGCCATGTGCTGACGGAAACGAAGCTTGCTCGGGTCCACACCAAGCTTGTAAAGGAACGACTGGATACGTGCAATGAAGTATCCGAGGGTTTCATTGTCCACGAGTCCAATCTCAACAGCCTTGCCGATAGTCATCCTCTGGGTCTTGGTGCTTCCAGACAGCTGGACGTCGCGGGGGAGCAAAGACATCTCAGTGTCCTTGACTTCTGCAAAGCGAGGGTGCTTCTTACCACCCTCAGGGTCCACGTAGTGCTCAATTTCAGCCATGAGGAACTCACGCACTCGCAGCAGACCGGCGCGAGGAGAGATCTCATTCCGGAAAGACTTACCAATGGAGGCAGATGCAAAGGGCATAGACTGCTGGTTGAATTCGAGGAGCTTCTGGAAGTTGAGGAACTGGCCCTGAGCGGTTTCGGGGCGCAGATAACCGGGCATGTTGCTGCTGGGTCCAATTGAGGTCTGGAACATGAGGTTGAAAGCAACGGGAGGGAGGAGGTTGCCATCAGTCGCTGGGTTTCTGATATCGTACTTGGCGATGAGCTCCTCCAGCTGGGGGCCATCGAAGTTGTCAATCTGCGCCAGAACCTCCTCGTATTCCTTAACGACAGCGTCGTCCAGCTTGACAGCCTTTGCGTCCTTGGACTTCTTCTTCTTCTTGGCCTCCTTCTCCTCATCCACCACGACCTTTTCACCACGAGCCTCCTTGTCGCCCTTCAGGCGAGATTCTAGGACTTCCTCCACCAAGTGATCGGCGCGGAAGATCTCTCCGGTCTTTGGGTCCTTGCACATCCAGTCGGCGAACTTGTCGACGTGTCCGCTGGTCTTCAGAATCTCGTGCGGGGTAAGCATTGTGCAGTCCATTTCCAACATATCCTCCTCCAGCACGAAATGCTTGCGCCACACATCCACAATGTTGTTCAGAAGAGCGGTACCGGGCGGGCCATAGTCGTAGAGACCAGAGACGCCTCCGTAGATCTCGAAAGCGGGGGTGTAGAAGAGACGGCGCCGGAGCATCGAGTCGAGGACCGTACGGTCCACGACCTTGCCGGTCTTGGTAGTTACACTCGCCATCGCGTGGTGGTTCTTCTTGGATGCCTGGACAGCCTTGAGAGCAGCGGTGGTGTGGTAGAAGCTTCTGGCGGGGTTGCAGAGAGGAATTTGGCGGGGAAGAAAGAGTCGAAGAAAAGGCGATTGAGTCATCCACCACGTGAGTCGGCACCCAAACACCAACAATGGCGGTTAGAACAGACTGAAGAGATAAGCAGATAGCTAAGAAGACTAGGGACGAAACGAATGTAAAACAATTCGACTTGTGCAGCTCCCTATATTTCTTTGGGTTTTCTTTTTTTTTATTTTCCCAGGGGTTGAGTCGCATTGCCGCAATAGGCAATTCTGGCCTATCTGAGTCCAGTCTCCGCCGGCGAAACGTTTGCCCGCCAAAATTATTGTGATTTACTTTTCTTCCGCCCGGAGGATGTGTACAGCAGCACGAGTCTGATCAGCAAAAAGGCTCTGATTCGCATTCCAATCCGTGCTCAGGATGGTTTCTAGAAAGTCTCAGTCTAGGCCTCCTCCCAATGCTGGGATGGAGTTCAAGCCCGCCAACAAATTGAGGCGTCAGATGCTTCATGTCAAGCGGAAGCGTGCCAAGGACTCCGAGAGACGAGCAGAACGATTCAGAGTAAAAAAGGAAGAGTCTAAGAGCCCAAAGTTGAAGGAAGATCGTCTCAAACGGAATATTCCTCTGACTCTGGACCGCAAGCGTGTGTGGGACGACGCCGATAGTGACGTTGAGGATGCGTTAGGCTTGAGCGTGGATGTTGAGCGCATCAAGCGACAAAGGAAAGAAGAGGAGGACGAGCTCAATCGGCCCTTGGAGGAGGGTGAAGATGACTCGGACGCTTCCGCAGATGACTCGCAAGATGAAGACGATGTCGACAGCATGCTCGCTACGAGTGACGAAGAGGAGGACGATGAGGAGGGAGACGAGGATGAGAAGGCTGCAAAGGACGAGAACCGAGGCCGCAAGAAGTCCTCTCTGCCATCTGCTACAGAGCGCGCAACCAGCCCAAGTCAATCGACTCGCAGTACGAATCTCAATCTTGCGCCCGAGGCCCTCGCCGCAAAATTCCCGAGCCTATTCTCGTCAGAAGCTCCTCCAACACCCAAGATCCTCATCACGACCTCCCTCAACTCAACCCTCCACAACGAAGCCGAATCGCTCACCGATCTGTTCCCCAACAGTGTGTATATTCGCCGCACAGCTCACCGATACTCTCACAAGTTCTCCATCCGTGAGATCGCCTCTTTCGCCTCGAACCGAAACTTTACCGCTGTTGTGGTTGTACAGGAGGATCAGAAAAGGCCATCCGGGTTGACCATAGTCCACCTGCCCAAGGGCCCCACCTTCCATTTCACCATTAGCAGATGGGTTGAGGGCAAGAGACTCCCAGGTCACGGAAACGCAACCGACCATTGGCCGGAATTGATTCTCAACAACTTCCGCACTCCCCTCGGTCTTCTGACAGCTCATCTGTTCCGGACCATGTTCCCCCCTCAGCCAGAGCTTGAAGGGCGGCAAGTCGTCACCATTCATAACCAGAGAGATTACTTGTTCCTTCGACGCCATCGTTATGTGTTCCGGGAGAAGCGTGAAACCGAGAAGAGTGTTGTTGGTACAGACGGCAAGGAGATCAAGGGCGTTGAAGGCATCCGTGCCGGTCTCCAGGAGCTTGGGCCTGCGATCAATATGAAGCTGCGCCGGGTGGACAAGGGGATCCAACGAGCTAGTGGACAGGAGTGGGAGTGGAAGGGAGGGATGGAGAAGCAGCGCACCAAGTTCCAGCTGTAGCGTTCTTATATGCTGCTTGGTGTTTTCTTGCTGTGTATTCGATTGCATGATTTGGTTTGCACGGAGTTCAGATATCAAAAAATGGGGCAGGTTTGTTTCTTTTTTTCACATATAATGATTGGTTTTATTCGTTCCAGGGGTCCTTTTATCACTTCTGTAGATAACATATAGATCATATACTAGCACCATATCAATTATCCTAACAAGAAACTCTTTCTCTTTATTGCCAAGTTCAAGAATGTTGATCTGGAATATCCGGCGAGAACAGGGAGAGCGATCTCAAGTGGCCGCGGACCAAACGTCAAAATGACCATCGGGTTACTATTTCCAAGATATGAAGACAGGGCCCATACGAGTCAGCCATATCCTAGTCCACTGTGTCGAAGACTCGCTTGAGTAGACTGTTCCTTTGCTGCTCTTTTACTGGAGCACAGGATATGGGCTTGCGGCCAGTGATGATCTTTACGCGAGCGGTCATTTTGTCGGCCATCATGATTTCTCTCTTTATTTTGGCACATAGATCACGTACTCCTTCCGCGGTCCAGTTGCGTGTAGCTGTGAGCTGTCGGAGACCATATGCCTCCAGGCCCTCCAGAAGCGCAATGAGTACCATTTTCCCCATGGTCTTTTCATGCGGGTCCTCCGGCCACAATCCAATTGGCACGGTGCGCTCCGTGACTTGAACATCCACGAAACCGGCGGCGCTCAATATACAGGGTCGAAGGTGGCTCAAATCACGGGAGGATCCTGCAACTTCGGCGGCGGATCGGATTGCAGAAGTATAGTCCCTGAAGTATGAATTGTCGAGATGGGTAAGAGTCACGGTATCAGCCGCTGGATCGGTATCGGCAACCTCAATATAGCCCCCAGGCGCAAGGTGTTGGAAAGCCTGCTGGTAGATGAAGTTCCAGTCCTGGAAAGCGCCGGAAAGCCCACGTATGTGGACCAGGTCGAACGGCTCAGTGTAGGCCCACACCCTTCTAGCGTCATCAAGTTGAAAAGATACATTGGGGAGGTCAAGGTCATTCAGTCCGCCGTCGAAAACCCCAATATCCGAGGCCACAATTGTGGCATTGGGATACATGCCACTCATCTCGATAGCCCAATCACCTGGGCCGGTCCCAATATCCAGTATACGGGGTGCATTTTGAGTGATGGGAACAGAGGTCAAGCTGCCCTCCAGTAGTAGAAGGTACACCTGATGGATGATGTTCAAGCGCGTCTGCTCCGGCTCATCGTTGGGCATGAAGTATGTTTCGTTGCAATACCGCCTGTCGTTCTCAATGACGATCTCGATCTCTCGTTCTTCAAAGGAGCCCATGGAATCTCTACTCTGGTCAGCAACTGCTCAATATGCAAGCCCCATCTGATAATATGTTCTTAGGGTGATGTGGTGGGGAAGCCAACATGTCCGAAAGCGAATCGTAATCCGGTTTTTGTCTGAGACCAGGATTCCATGGGCTTTCTACTGCTGAATTAGTGTCATCCGCCTCCATTGGCCCGGCGAAGACATAGTCCGACGGTCGAGATGGTTCGTCGGCCATGACATGACGGAATTATTGGAGTATCGCCTAGGAAGAAGAATGCTGTTCCGTTAAAACTCGCTGATGGAGCTCTGTTCACATAACAACCGTCAAACAAGGGTCTGTTGTGAAGTTAGTTGTGTGTTACATTTCTCTGTTGGATTGGTATCCGATGTGTACTTCAGCAGTGCACTTTGATGTCTTACTCACAAGAGAAATAAGATGATAGATGTGATTGATTGAGTAGCAACATAGAATAGTGGTCAAATAGCCACTCGGACAACAGCCATGCTTAGAGAAGGACACGGAGAATGAGAGATAGCAAGGGGAAAGTGGTGTGTCCACCCAGGGACCCTTCTGCTCAGCCAGCACTTAGAAGAAGTCAGAACAGAAAAAGGCACCCCGAGTTGGAGGATGCTAAGCGAAGTCAATTTAAAACAGCATAGTGGCATGTCATTCGAATACTAGTCGAGCATTCCAGGCTGGCCTAAACTATCACACTGTGCATCCTAAAATAGAAGACAGTCTGTAGGAGAGACTAGGAGAAGTAGCCGAGATGAGCCTATAAGAAGGACGAGAGGGACCTAGAGAACACCGATTTGATGAGCAAGAGAGCAATAACAGGCTTCAGCGCAAGAGCTATGAGCTTGATTCATTCTGGTTCAGTAAACAGTGCATGATCATCCTGATCGTATCATCCGAGTTGCCATGATGAATGCCACCAAACCAGGTATTGGTGGGTGTTGTTGGATCTTGGGTCCTGGAAACCTTTCAGTCTGGGAGGCTAAAAACCATTTAGACCCATAATACCGACTCTCGGTACGACGCACTGGCACCGTGCCCAGGATGATGGGGACCCAGCTAGAAGGGACGGCTTGATCGACCGGACTGTTTACCAACAGATCAGCATGCAATAGCCCAATCTGAAAGGACTAAGGAATCCGGTTCAGCCAACTGGACTAGGGCCCAAACCGGTTAGCAGAGAGTCCGATTCCCATAACCAATCCTCTCTGCAGTCTGCAAGTATGATAGACCTGGGAATTGGGATACAAGATTAAGCCGCCCGGAATGCAAAGAAAGATGATTATCAATCTTCCTTCAAGCAAGGTTTACTCATTTCCGCTCTCCTGATCAGTTGTACTTATCTAAATCGCCATAACAAAAGCTTAGGGTACGTTGTTTGCAGCCAAATGTGAAAGAAAGTGGAGAGATGCGTTAGGCGATTCAGGCCTTGTTTATTGTGTCGCGCCGTCGAAGTATCCGCCATTGTTCATCCCATCTTTGGGGAAGCCATTTGTGCAGTCCCATGATATTGGTAAATGGCGTTTTCGCCAGGATCCATCAGGCCAAAAGGACTTTGATGTCTCGAAAGTCGAAGTCCAGACACTCAAAATCCGAACACATTCTTTCAAAGTCCGACTTTCGACTTTCAAATCCCGTAGTTATTAGTGAGCATGTACGGCGTACGCACTGACACGGCTATCTCCGAGACCTTGTAAAGGATGAGCGAGATAAATGTGCTATGCATGATTAGCCAACCAGGAACCAGCCCCAAAAAATATCGAGGATTCCGGGGGACATTGTGAGTCTGAGGTGATTTGAATAGTGGAGGGTTTAGCGAGAAAGGAGGACTTATGGATAGAGGAAAAGAGACGAAGATGAAAGATGGCGATATGTAATTTGCATGGAGTATGGTACTTACAGTGAATGAAGGTGATAGAAAATGATCCTAGGATGATTCCAGCAATCCAAATCAGAATAGATCTGGATAGTGGCAGATGATAGAAGGCAGCAAGTGACAGTCCAAGCTTGCTGTAGGTATTCAGATCTTGAGTTCAGCTACTTTATTCTGAAGAACCTTGAAGAGCACATGATCATTCTGAGTACACTCAGGCTCGATGAGAGACTTTACATTCCTATGGTCTGAAAATTCTACACAATGAAGATGTTGCTAATAAGCATGTTCCAGATACTTACTCTCTTTCATCATTCTTAACTACTACGTAGTGAGTACCTATTTACTCTTCCCATTGCCGCAGCTCATTTGTTGACATTGCCCCCACAGTTAGTTAACCTGACGATCTCCCGCGCCGCAAGATTCTTTTCTATTGCTGTCCGAGGTTCATGAATGAGAGAACTCGAAGCTTGCGACAACAAGCATAACCACCTACCATCTCTCATCTTTCCAATCACAGTAATAGCCACCTCCAATCGGAACCAGGTCGCGTCAATCCCTGATGAAAAGGTGTATCCCTGAACGCTTCGGGAACAGCTCCAACCCTCCCAGCTAACTTTCAAGGGAAACACGTCCCAGTCTCATATCGCCATCGCATGATCTTCATTCAGATTGTACCGCAATGGCAGCTGAACTCAAAATCCCGCGCCGATTCCTATTCATCGCCTCGATCGGGAACCCCCGTCCATACCGCCAAACACGACACAGCGCGGGACATATCCTCCTCGATGCACTTGTCCCTCTGCTCCCCACTAGGATGCCTCTGGTATCTGCCAGACAGCCATCGGCGGGTCCCATCTTCTACAAAACATGGTATAGCCCATCCTACATGAACGAGTCTGGGACGAAGCTGGTCCGACAGCTGAAGAACTGGATGTCTGCCACACAAACCGACGTGCTGAGAGGAGCAGTACAGCCCGGGGATGTTGCGCTGCCGAGAAACCTGGCAGTGCCATCGCCAGAGAAAGCAGAATGGCAAGTACGGGGCGTTGATCCGTCCTCACTAAAGACTTTCCAACCTACCTTGGTAATCTTACACGATGAACTCGAGGCGCCATTAGGGAAGGTGAAGGTGAAAAGGGGTGGGCCCGAGAAGGCCAGTCTACGTGGTCATCGCGGCTTGATCAGCGCCATGGAAAGTCTCCGTGGAAAGGGCCTTTATCCACCACGGACGGGCCAGGCAGCGCAGGGAGTTGACGGCGGTTTGTCCGTCCTCCGTGTGGGAGTTGGCATTGGTCGCCCGTCGACGCGAACCCGGAATGATGTTGCAGACTATGTCCTCACCGAAATGAATGCCGCTGAATTGGCCGCTGTCCGTGCAGCCGCAGTGCCTGTCTTGGATATACTGGCAGACGAACTCTATCGAGCCAAAGACGACAACTGATATCTGCATGAATCAACGCCGTACCGGGGTTCGGGAATTGTACAGGGAGATAGTGATTATTAGACAGATACCCATTTTGTGACTTAACATTGCTTTGAACATCGACGATTGGAAGCCCAGATCAAGGTTTTGATGAACATATCAATCGTAACCGGCAGACGCCTCCAAATGCAGCCATTCGGTGTATTTATTTTTGCATGGTCCGGGGACAGCAGAGTAAGGATATCCATGAAAGAGGGAAGAAAAGCCTGACCCAAGTTGGGTCAAGTATTGGAGATGGCAACGCATGGGGAAAAAAAAAAAACTCGCAAACACAAAGGGAGACAAATTATACAGTTCCTGCTATACTCAAGTCACGGATCTCCTGCAAGACTTCCTCGACCCTGTTGTCCAAATCACCACGGGCATATTGATCTCTTGTTTCGGCATCCAGATATTGCTGCACCTGAGCCATACGGGAATATGCCTCAGCGCAGAATCGCAACTGAATCTTGACCAAGGCCTCGAAGCTGGGGTCCAGATAGGGCACCCGCAGATCGATGAGCTGGGGAAGTTCCGTGAATAGCTGTTCGTTCAATTGCTCGTATGCCTGCTTGGCCATCTCGGTTTCTTTTTCTGTGCGAGGCAGCTTGGTCGCGTCCTTGTCGGGCTTCTCAACCAGCTTCTTGACCTTCGCTCTCATCGCATCGTAATCAAGCAATTTGTGGTTCCTCTTCTTGATACACTCATTGATGTCGGGGAAGTAGGCGCAAAACCGGGTTATTGGTTCGAGGACAGTTGTTCTGGCAGTTGTGTCAGCCAGGACCAGAGAAATTGTAATGACTAGAGATCGTACCTGTAGGGTCCGTCCAGGGCCTTGATTGTTTCAGCGTCCAGGTCCTCAACAGCCTGCTTATAGCTCCTGCTAACACCGTCGCGTGTTCCTGCCTCGCCGTAGAACGCATCGATCGTCTCTGCAATGCGCATTTGCGAGGCCGTCATTGCTAGCAAGTATTGAAAGTTAACCTCATGTGTTGGTGAATCAGAATTGAGCTCGCCAGGGATGTGACACACCTCGTAACGAATCCAGGTAGCCCTTCGCTTCTTTCTGTAGTCGGTTTGCCGCAGTCTCCATAGTTCGGTAACGCCTAAGTAGATAACGACGATCAGCGGTCTATCTTAAAAGCCCGCAGATCTCAACAAAATCCATACCGTTCTTCGATTTCATAATCCCGGTCATTGGTTCTTTCCACATGTCCTGTATGAATGAAGCAAACCATGTGAGCCCAGACCAACCCACTTTAATCTCCAACGATATTCGACGGGTCATCTTGCAATCGGAAATGGTAGCCGATCGCGGGGCTGGTCTAACTGTGTCGGCATACCTGTCTTCATCATCACCTGCGTTGTCGCGCGGTTGACATTTTTCTTGAATCCTACATGAAGCTTTCCGTCAGTCTAATTTTCTTTCCAACATCGGTACTTCGTGGATTGGGTGATTTGCGCACCTGCCCAAGACATGATGGCGGCTGTAGGCAGAAACGAAGTCCTGAATCAGCAATGTTTTGATTAGGAGCGTTGTCGGGGTCGTGGTTGATTATTTCAAATAGAAGATATGAATGAGATGCACGCAGAGAATCTGCTGAGAAGAAAGTGATCTTAGGTTTGCAAACCGTCCACAGTGAAGAGATTGAATTGTTGTCGCAGCGCTGAAGCTGGATAAGATGCCCAAATGCGGGATGCGGATGATGGCTTTCGGGATGGTTCTTGGTGGCTGTGTGTGGCTGTGTGTACGGTACTCCATACGGGAGCTTACCACTGTACCACGGATTACCGTCGATGACAATGGAGTGTGCGGGGTACTTATTGTATCTTACATTATATTACCCACCACAGCCCGATCTCGGTAATGAACTAATGGTGCCTGTGAATTATGAGCATACGTCATGTCACATTCTACCTGAGTCGGGTCTCGTCGTTGACACACTCAAACATGATGTCAATCTACGAACCCATCAACGATGGATTTGGAATATTGAAATCGGATAGACGATTGATATGCTTCAGGAATGCTTAGTGAGCCGGTGAATTTATGGAGTCTCGTACTAAATGTGTCCTCCTTGTGTTAGGATACCAATATGGGCTCAAGCACACTGATTATATCATGTGCTTGTCCTCAGATGAACATCAATTCATAGATTGAGTATTGAGGGGATCAGTCACTAAGAGATCTTTAGTGGAACATTATGATTCAAACTACGTTCAACAAGCTTATCTGCCTTGTGCACCAGGGCCATATCGAAGAAGTGGTTCCGAAGCGATCAGTAAGTATTCCACTGACACCAGTGCATGAACCAATTGAATGTCGGAGATTCATCAGGGAGAATCTCGGATTCCACGAGTAAGGCCGAGCAACTGAAGAATCACTCCACACGTGGCATGAGTGTGAATATGTTCTTTGGTCGTGCTCATAGCGAGCAGCCTCACACTCCCGGTTGAAATATCATCGCTCGCGACGCACTCGGGTGCATATTGAATGATGGATAACTTGAAAGTCATTCAAGAGCTTGAAGGGGGCTGGTCCATGTAACCGAGTAAGCCCGGTGACCATGTGCTGGCCCCCAGAAGCGTTGTGAGGCATTCTGGTCTTCAATGACAAGTTCTTGACCATGCGCTTATCTCGCATCCAGGCAAAAGTTGAGGGTAATCTTGAGCATGTAACAGTAGGACGCAAGGGAGCCGAGCCGAGAGACTTTATTATCTTGTGTGATTCTGTCTTTCATCTAGTCAGTATTCAATATGCTCATGCATTGGTGCCAAAGGAGCCTCGAGTCTCTTCATCACATTCCTGTAAGGGAGTAGAACAGGAACCGGCAATTCCAAAGACAACAAGACGAGTATGCACGGCTTCCAGCTTCTCATCTGACAGTGATCTGGCTCGTACAACCGCTGTGAAGCAGTGTAGATCAAACCAAGCTCAAGGGATCTTGAGCGGATAGATCTGATTACTCTTGTGAAACCATCCGTACTCAGTCGCAGTTGGGTCAGCTGGCTTCTGAAGCATGCGTCTAAAGAAGTAACCCATGACGATGTAAGCTACCTCACTGGCCGGCTCCTAATACCCAATCATCCATTGTCGTTGCTCAGGACTTCATTGTCCGAGTCTTGGAGAGGATATCCGAAGTGCCTGCAATCAGCTACATCGTTGAGATGCCAGTGTAGCAACAATTGTGGAAACCAACATGCTATGAGGTCATTCGTTGCCTTCTCTTATTTAACCTCACAAAAGATCTTCAGATATTAATTAGTCTACCATAGATCAGATGATTGATGGATTATGCAAACAAATCTACAAGCATGACGGTATGATGTCATTATCACATGGTTGTCAGCGCGTATTGACGGATGGTGGGCTTCAAGATCTGAATGCGTTGTACATCAGAGCAAGCATCGACAGAGAAAATTACTATATTCTCTAATCTATGCGTATGGCTGACATTTTACCGTGTTCAGTATTTTCAAAGTCTTTATCACTATGATGACATAGAGAACATGGAAATATCAGGCCGAAGAGAAATCACCCATGTACCAAAACCCGCTATCATTCATCATAACAATACAGATTCATCATACGTAGTGGTATGCTCATGAACATGATGAAGAATTGCAACCAAACATTCCTTGCCTAACGCAAGCCCATCGCTGCTTGAACGTTCCGCCAAAGGTTAAGCATAAGAGAGTAGCCCCAGACATATTGTACACTAGAAGATTCCGAACAACAGAAACTCAGAAACAGTCGGAAGAACAAAGGAATATAGGAGTAAACAAGATCAGAATAGACCCACAGAAGATGAAGAAAAAGAAAAGTAAACATGTAAGAAGCCCCATCAGCAGGATCAAAGAAAACTGGTAGTCGAAGAGAATCATTAAAATCATATAGAACCGGTAATCGATTGTGAGAGTAAAAGGCGAGGAAAAGGAAATGATAAAGAGCTCAAGGGTCATGACTGTTCGTTGCATTGGCATCAGAAGCATGATGGTCAAACTAAGCCCATAAGCTAACAGCAGAAGAGAGCAACATAAATTTATGCGCCGGTAAGGAAAACAAAGGTACCTCCTTCTATAAAACTAGTGAAAGGAGGGCAACCACCTGATATAGGCAACACATAAACCTCCCTGCTTTTGCGAGAGACACAGGAGGCAAAAAGGAGCAGATTTCCCAAGAAGGCACAAACCCATAACCACATAAACAACACGAGCGGCTGGGACAATGCCTTCCCCACAAGATGCGGAAATCTCCCCTTGGGGCATCCAAGGACACAAATCAAATGCCACAAAGTCATTTTAGAATCCCTCCTCGCCAGCCTTACACAGCTTGATCTCACGAACCCATTCGGATTTGAGGACCTGTGAGGCGTTGATACGACGAGAAGGGTTGGGGTCAAGGATGGAATAGATCACGTTCCGGCAACGAGCCTTAGAAGATGTCAACTCTTGAGCTTTTCCAATATAGTTTCCATGAGTTCTTACCCGATGTAGAGTCTCGATAGGAGCATAACCATCCTCGTGCTTGCGGCCTTCCAGATACCGCTGGTAGAATTCGTCCTCATCCTTGCGGGCAACCCTCCATAGATGTCTTCCTGTCCTCATGGCCATGTATATGACACCTGTGGCCCAAACATCGACTGCTCTAGGGTCAAATTCTCTTTCCACGTATTCCTCGGGCGCGATGTAGGGGGCGGAACCGCAAAGACCCGCGGTCATGTGCGGTTCCTTCTCCCAGGCCATACGGAAGCATTCGCCGTTCCCGAAATCCGTGATCTTGAGTGCGCCATGGGTGGTCAGAAGGAGATTCTCTGGTTTAAGGTCACGATGAGCAACACCCATCTCATGCATGTATTCCACGCCACGCATGAGTTGTTTAAAGAGGCAGTCAGCTTCGGCAACTTCCAGTTTGCCTGCAGCTAGAACAAGTGTGTACAGGTCACCGCCTGCACAGTACTCCATGACCTCACAATAATCGCCCTTGGCGTCTTGCAACAGATCAAGCGTATGGATGACATTGGGGTGGCGAAGGGATGAAGAGATGCAGAATTCAGAAGTCAACCGTTTCTGGTATTTCTTGGCGGTCTCCTGTGGGCGACGACGAAATTCTTTGACGGCATAAAGCTGCTCAACTCGTGAATCTTTAGGGTCCACTTTGTGGGATATCCGGACAATACCAAAGGCGCCACGTCCGACAATCTCCTGGCATTTACCGTATTTATCAACAAGTGAAGCCGTGGCGTTCGGGCCGCCCTTCCTATCGGCGGCAAGCTTATCACGTTCATTCTTAAATTGGTCGATCCACGTAGACATAAGCGACAGTTGCTGATCATCTACATGATCTTCTTTCTTTCTGCTACCACCGCCTAGCATGTCTCTCAGAAGGTCGGTTAGCTTTTCCTGCCGTCTTGCACTCTTAAGATGGTGACAGTGTGAGCCATCGGGAAACACCTCGAATCGCTTGTGTACAACGCAGCCTTCTTTCTGTTCCTTTGGATTTGTAGACTTGGTCTTCTTTTCCTTGTCGTTATCGCCTTTCATAGATGTTTGTCGGGAAGGAGCCCGGGATGATGGTCTGGACGTGGGTCTCGATTGCTTGGCACTGCCATTGGTAGAACCCTTAATGCTTTCTGTACTGCTATCCGAGGAATCACGAGCCGATTCCAGCTCTTTTGTCTCTTTAAAGTCTTTTTGTGACGACTTTCCGGAATTTGAGAACATGCGGGTGAGGCGGTTTGCCATCGTCGATCTCGTGATCTTTGCAGTTGCAGGGGTTATGGGGAGTACATCCCCGTTCGCGGCGGACAGACTCATGCCCGCAAGAGCTCGTGTTACCTGAGGCTCTCCATCTCGAGGGTCGCTTGAAATCTGTGATGCTGCGGCGGAAGAGACTGCGGAAGGTACAGGTGAAATCGATTGCGGAGTCATGTGCGGTGGACAAGAGCGCCGATTGTGCACGGAGGAAAAAAAGTAACAAGAAATCTGCCCCCAGAACGAGTGAGGAGGACGAGCGCCTACAGCACGAAGCTGAAGAGGCTAAAGTCAATCACGTTTGGGAGACGTGAGATCTGGAAATGAAGGAGGAGTTGTGAACAGAGAAGAGGGGGCGAGTGAAAAAAGTGTGTTCGCCTTTCGGTGGTCTTTGGTGGCCTGAGGCGGCGATGGTCTACCGAGAAAGTAAAAAAAACGGAAAGGTGACGAAAGTGACTTTTTGAAGTGGAGGGCGGCAGAAAAAAAAAAAGGGTGGACTCAAGAGTCAGGACAATTGAGAAAACAAGGAAACAAGAAGATAGAAAAGAGAAGGAAGAGGTGAAGAGATTTAGCACCGCGCAGCAAGGCACAGATTGCCCAGACTGGACAGTCTCACTTTACCGAGGACAAGATGAAGATATTTGGATGATGATGTCCTGCAATTTCAAGATGGGTATGCTCACGGAACAAGAAGACGGTGTAGCAAAAATTACACAGGGGGAAAAAGTGAAATGGCGCTGCCTACGAAGTTGGGGAGAAGAGGTTGAAATAGTACTGGGGGCCGCCGGAGGTGGTACTACCGTACTCCTCCGTCGCAGTAGCAGTAGATGCGGTCCTGACAACGTCAAGTCTCCAGTAGAAAACGGCCAGCTATTTTATGATTCGATTGAATCATTCTGCCATTGTCCTGGTATTATTATTAATATAATTATTATTATATTTATTGTTATTTTAATATTCATTTTTTCTTGTGGGATTTGGGACCGAGTCAAGGTCAATTTCGAAACAGTTGTCCTTCGTACTGCCTACCCTGATACTTTCTTGCCTTCCTACCGGTTGGTTAGTAAACGCTTTCAAAGAGATAGACAATATTAATCCTCAAGGATTCTGTCGGATGTCCTACAAAAGCTCTGGAGACATGTACAGCGATAGTTAATCACCGACTCGTTCACTAATACCTATCGTCAAGACAATACCCCTATGTACATGTATACAAAGTAGATAGGTTTCGAGATGGAGTATGGAGTCAAGAGTAAAGGTACCTACCTAGTGATCACTAGGAAGTATAGGCTACAGGGGATCCTTGGTTGAGAGTTAAATTTTGAAGATTGGTAATGATTACCGAGTACTGTACCTTGATCTCTCGTAATAGTCATACCTAAGCCTGGGTATCGATTCGCAGCCACAATAGTGGCGCACCAAATCGAGCTATCTATTAGGTGACAGACTGACAGCACACAATAATCCTTTATTGATGGAATTCAGAATCTATGGGAAGTAGTAATCCTTTCTTCTGCTTACCAAGGATGAAGATATATAAAAAATGTCGAGGATTTACTAAATGCCAACCCCCTTCTAAATCCGAAAAGAAACATATATTACTAATACGATGATGGCTGGCATCAGAAGTGGCGCGAGACTGTAATGTCTGTATAGACAGTAGTATGCGACTAAGACAGTCTGAAGCAAGATCTTAAGTCCAAATTGAAATGACAAGTAGAGCAGAGCATCTCTGACTACAATAATGAATGACGCTACGGAGTACTTCCGCAACCCCATTCCTGTAGGACGATCTGTGGAACATCACTATCTACTACTGACCACTCCGTACTGGGTCTCATATGCAACATGTTCAGATGAACTGAGTTACGTTCTAGATAACTGTCAGCCAGGTACCCCAGCAAACAACAGTATCTACCTCCCAACCTAGGTAAAGTATGAGAACGCGGAAAGCGGTCATTTCTCTGCTAACTACCTCAACTTTGAACTATGATGGTTAGTGGTGTCTCAAAGGTATCCCAAAACATCATCCACCGTCTTCTTCCCCTCCCTCTCACGAAAATCAGTCGGATGACGTCCCCTTCACAGCCAGTCTGTTGGCTGATAATCTTCCATGTTGAAATGCCGATTTTTCGCTTGGCCTCATATAACTCAGACCACTACCCAATATCTTCGAAAGTGACGTCTACAATTGACCAGAAACGGCTAATATTAGTCAACATAATTGAGGCTGTGCAGGCTCCTTGGTCATGCATACGGAGTATATGATCCAACCTATGTTTCCGCACATCCTAACAGGAGCTGGTGGCTTAGGTAAAAACAGAGCTAATCAATCGGCTTTTGATCACTTTGATTGAGATTCAAGGAGGGGCAGAAGGTTTCTTCAGTCTTACTGCCTCCCACTTGGGCTGGGAGATATTGTCTACTACATGGTACCTAGCTACATAGACGCTCAACTCCACGCGGAGCACCCGCCACTTAAATCGATAGAATCCAAGACTTGTGGTCAAGACTTTCAGATAGGGCTCCTGACTCAGTTTGTCCTTTTTGCAAAACATATCAAAATATCTCCGGCAATGTTAGGATGCTGGCCCTCTATATATCTAGCTCTTCGATTGATATATTCATTTTGTGTGGGCTCCGCGGACTCCGTTATTCGAGCGCTCCAAATGTCGGTATTGCATGATAAGGGCAGAGTCAGGGATTTGGAATTAACCACATCAATACATGAATTGCCTATCTAGCCATCTATATACTGAAAGGAGAATTTCAACCCCCAATCCGTCTGGTCACATAGGAGGCTGTCGTTCGCTATTCTGCCTCAAAATGTAAATAGCCAACCTGACCAGCGAAGTCAGTAAGATTTCCCCGCGAAAATTAAGCCAAAGACGTGAATCAGGTGGTAAAAATAATCCACCTATACAGATACCAGTCCCAATTGAGGGTTTCTACCGGGTTGCCTCGTTTTCCTTGGAGCCGAAAGGAGTTTCGATCATCAGCGCCCAAAGACCTCCATATTCCCGTGTATGTGACTTCGTGATCAGATCCTGACTACCTTAGCTGTACTTTGAGACGGATTTGGAATCCCACTCTGAATCCTTTGGATGTATATTTCTTTCTGTGGTTGCTTCTGAGAAGGAATCTTGGGTGTGGGGTGATTGAGTTCTTTAGAGGCGGGCATATGGAAGGATATCGCATACCAACGACAATAACGACAGCAACAACAACAACAACAACAAAAATAAATTACTTGCGCAGTTGCGCTCCTGGAATCCCTACCTAATCTGTAGGTACTAGGTAGTGGAAATAATGGAGCGTATCCAAGGATCGCAAAAACGGGAAGTAGACTCGAAGTAGATAGTTGATTACCGCTTCGATACTCGGACATTAAGCAATCGTCAAGCTCCTAGACAAGGGACCCTCGAGCCACCTTGCAATCACTGCACGCCTTTACTTCCAGGACGATATCTATACGAACGATGGAGACACGGAGTACAAATGCACAATGGAAGGAAGAACACGCTGTCTTCTTGGCGCATCAGCAAGCTGTAAGTTCCCATTTCTTCATTTTCAGCTACTCAGCTTGGCATTTGGAGGATGCTTTTTCTTGTCTTGCGGAAGATAAGGTCGTCGATATTGATCGGCAAGCCCTATTGTTGGTATGTTGATAAGCCGTTTGCTATTCTCACCCATAGCTATCTAGTCTATATAGTGCATCCCTGTGTCTGATCTCCGGCCTGTTCGCAATGCATTTCACTCCTTGCCCTGCCGGGGTGCAACCTCCAGGCTGTCATGTATGAGAGAGACATGACATGGTCCAAACCACGCGATCTGTCGGCGACTTGAGAACCGGCGAGAATAGCCACTCGCGTATTCCGCGGTTAACGTAACTAAATTGGAATCGCAACTGTTGACTCGAGCATCTTGAGATCGAACGAGGGATTTTTCCTGGCCAATCGGCAAGAGAAAAAGGAAAAATAGCACGAGCGTCCATCTGTAACTAAATCATCGCTAATCCGCGGGAGCAACTACCAGTAAGCTAAGCACTAGAAGGCCTTGGTGTGCTACCCACATTGAAATGTGGCTTGTTGTGTGCTTGTATGGGATTTGGAAGATCCCGAGTGTATCCTGAGGGTACTTGATAGTGGTCATTGTATTTTCGTTCATTGCGTCTCTTATGGAACCGTTTATTCCATATCTGACGCTGAATTGACTTCGATCAATTATGAGGACCCAAATCCACTTCATTCTGCAAATGGAAAGAAGAGAGGGCTCGATATTTGACCACCTCAAGTCCAGAAAAACAAGTATCCTAGTCCTGCAAGAGGCTTACTGGTTTTCACATAGCCTGCATGTCGGCGATAACCCTGTACAATGGCAATTTTTCTCGGGGTGTTCATCGATCGGTGACATCCTGAACAGGTATAACATCATGTCAAGCATCCAGCAAATGGAACAGAAGGTTGGTATCTTTATCCCAATCACTAAAACCCTTACAGTCACATCTTAGCGTGGAGAACCAAAAGATACACCCATATCCCCGATGAAGTGTGCTATTTGCCCTCGGACAGCCTTCTGACATCGGCCTTGCGCAAAATGCGCTACACAAGAATGTGTTCTCGCCGTGGGCTGATTCCCGGGCCATCGAGGAGGGAGAAAGAGGACAGTATCGGCTGCGTGATTTGATCGAGCCAGTCAACATCCATGATGCGTCGATGCTGACATTGGCACTGGTTACCGGCTGTCGTCTAGAGCGTGGTGCCTCCTCGAGTCGAGAACTTCGCGTCCACGAGAAGGTAAAACCAAAAGGGCGTTGTCTCAAGTGATGTGTCGAGCTGCATACACACTTCTTGAACGGGCACTGATCACCGCCGGCCCCTAAGGATTACCTCGATGGATGCAATTGAATCCCATCAGGATGGTTGACCTGGCCGAACACCCATACGTGCCCCCACTTTCTCAAGCCATGAGCTTTTGGAGACGTCCCTGCAGGGGTTATGTACCTCGAGCCTCATCTGTTATCAGACACCGGATCATACCTGTGTGTTAATAGTTTGTATCGTGCTAGGTCAAATATGATATCCAGGTACGGCTCCCGTAGTCATCGGTATATTTGCGCGGGTCTTCTTGGAGCTTTCTTTCCAGATTCAGATTTGAGCGCGAGAACTCTTCGAAAGATGCGGAGAGAATAGATACCCAGCTTAGATATATTGAGGAGCCTAGGAGGCTAGGAGATTAGCTGGGGATCATGGTGGGCCTGGCTGGCTGTACCATCCGGGAGATACCATGTCAGGTTGTTCGGCTGGAAAGGGCATGAAAATCCCATGAATAATTTCAATTCTATCGAATCCAGTTTACTTGTTCCTGCTGACCGCTACTTTAGACAGACATTACAGTACAGTAAAAAAAAAAAAAAAAATCTGCAGCAACAGCCGGCAGAGTCAAGCGGGACAGCCGATGAGACCAACTCAGCTCGTGGGCAGAGTAGATATCACATGTGTCTTCCTCCTTTTTGATTGACACTGATGAGATTAGTATGCACATCCGATCAACCATCAACCATCAGAATCCGTGGAGCAAAAGTCCAATGCAGCATCCAAAAGCGGGTAAAGAACAACAGGCTCAACAGCACTGCAGGTTTCCCCACAGATTACTAGGCACCAATTGCCATGTGCTTATTTTGAATTCTCGTGTATCCATCAACCTATGGAGGTGTAGCCCTATCAGGCTTGGAGAAACCACACAAGGAAAGCCACAGCCACCGCCACCATGATCAGAAATCAACAAGTCATACTCTACTCCCGTAGATGTACTTGCAGTGCTCCTCTGAACATGTACATGAAGCCAGTCAAAAGAGACCAATGTTTCACCTTCAATATTAAAAAGTTTCAGACCATCCTTTTCTCTCTCCCGTTCAATTCTCACCCCGCTAAGGACTGTATTCGATGGGTTGGATTGAGACTGAGTGAGGCACATTGTCTTTTTAGGTTGTCGGTCGTTTTTCGGGAAGGGAGCGCGGTACCTTAGGTATGGGTGGGTAAAATACAGTATCGGAGCCAAAGTAACTGATGTTGGTAAATTTCACTTTTTGATAATATACACGTATTTTTCAGTACCCCCAGTAATTTCGACAGTTGGATGGTTAAAGTAATCAAGAAGTGATATTATTGCTCCATCAGTTTTGCATTTGGCCTTCCCGAAGAAGCTTAACCTGGCCTAGGTGACCACGATGCCAGTTAGGCCCTTTTTTTTTTTTTTTTTTTTTTGGCATTTGCTGTTTTCCAAATTCACAGTCCCAGCCAGTGAGCCAGTAGATAATTACCTACCTGAGATGGACTAAGGCTAAGTAAGCTCCATCATACTGTTCTGCTGAGCAACCTGCAGATGTACCGCGTGCCTATCACTGACTACCAAAGGAAGATCATGCATGTTCAGCTCCAACATTGTGTTCATAGGCTTACTGAGAGATTTATCAACCACTTCCTATCCACTGGTCTTTCAACAGATACATCATTGGCGCATGAGACAATTATTAAAGCCAATCAGTTATGTGATCTTCTCTTGCAGGCCCTGCAGCTCATGCATAAGATCAACAAAACACTACGGGCTACGGCGTTAGGCGTGGTGGGCCAGTGGCTAAGATTAATTGTGCTTTATTGGGAGGGATGCAGATTGCTTTTGCTTGCTCTTAGTTGGAGCTGATTAGAAGGCTGGACACCAATGCAAGATATTATCGTAACGTAACAGCTTGTCTAAAGCAATTGGATCTTGCAGGCCCAATAGATCATCTTGAGATTGCTGATGATGAGTTGTTGCCTCTTGATTTCTGGAAGTCGCTCCTCCCTCACTATTGATGGCGAATTCTCAGCGTCAGAAATTCAATGCAATCGCTTCCGAGATCACTGAATCTCGAACCCTTTTCTGTCGAACCTTTCAGGCCATGCCAAAATCTTTCCGTCACAACGAGAGTCACAAGAAGTTCTATCTTCAATTCTGATGTTGCTGCGCCCTGAAAAAGACTCTGGAAGCGCCCACATGTCGAGCACACGTGGGTCAGAGATGATGGGGTCATTTCCTTGCCGAATGCCGCGAGTTGTTATCAGATCATCCTCGAGACTCATTCATAGGATGGTTGCAGAAATTTGCAGACACCATATGCCCCCAAAGCCCTATCTCGGCGGAGGAAAGACTAATCTTGCATCGGTTCCATAATTTGATCCAACAAACTTGCGATAACGCAAGCTGCCAAAGAGGTCGAGTGCATGATTGAGCGTGGAACCGACAGGCTGCCGAACATAACCGAGGCCAGAAGCACCGCCATACAAGCCACCGACGGAAGCATTAAATCATCCACAATTTCCACGATCTGCCGACTCCCATGTATTGTACTCACGGTGTTAGGGTGGAAACATTACGGAATAGATCACAATCCTCACTCTGAGTCGTCTGGGTCGCTGAGCAGCTATGGTAGGCTGCGAGTCGACGTTTCCGAACCGGTGGATCCATGAGCTCAGCGATATATAGTCGTATGATGGAAGGATAGGACAGATCTCTGGCATGGCTTGCCGCGTTTCCGCTGAAAGTGGATTGATCCTTGCCCATTAGACATCACCTTGAAACCACCAGATTTACGGTATTTTCGATGGTCGGCATCGAGATGGGGCATCACAGTTGATTCTTGTATCAGAACACCTGCTGACGCTCCACAATATACGGCGTCTAGGAAAGAACTCGTGTCTGTAAATCAGAAGACCGTTAGAAGGACACACAAACGCCAGTCTTCCATCTGTCTCGGGGGTTCTAAGTCCAACAAAACATACCACAAACTGCTCTAGGGATTCTTCAAAGAGTTCGTTATTCACACCCACACCTCCCGGATGCTCGACAGGAGAGAGAGGGTTTTTAACGACTAGGGACCACGCTATCAGAACGACAGAGACGAGACTGATACAGGGAAGATGATCACCTACCATACTCCACATATAGATTGATATAAATCTGTTGCAGAGCAATTCGCATGCTTGGACTTTTCAGATCCGTAAGCATAACAAATTTAATGTTCGTAGGGGTCTCGTAGTAGTGTAGCTTATATTGACTGGTGCGATAGGTGACGAAACTGGGTACACAAGGCATCATTAGTCGTCGTCCCAATCGCAAACAGAAGCAACTGAAGAATCTATAATCTCACCTATCATCCTCACCACCCAACTTGCGCACCATGTTGCGGAGTGAAAAGACAGTACCGAAAATCAACTTCGCGTCATCATCGGTTGTCCGCGCGGATTGGCCATAGACAGATGACACCCCGTTCTGCGTCGCAACTTCGGAAGTTGGTCGTGAAGATTTACCAGCTATCGATGCAGGACGAGGTAGCCATTGCCTCTTGTAGATGCACTCAGCTAGAAGAACGCGGACGGATACGTTAACCACTGTTTGTTTACGTTTCAAAAGGAAAGGTTGTATACCATGACGGTCGAAGATGTAGAATGAATAGACAACCATTGCGCAGGAACTCGATGAGACAGAACTGTAAATGAAAAAGAAAAAAAAAAGTGTACAGTACAAAACAGATTCGCCGAAAGAGGGTGGCTATCGTGAAAGATGATGATGAATACCAAACAGTCGCAGAGAAAGCATGATGGTTGTATTAGGCTCGTCGAGAACCTCCAAAGAGCTCGTGGGCGGTGAGTGAGCATTTCCCCTCCCTCAACTGGTGTCAACTCATGTCTCACCTCTCCCCTCGCCCCTCTTTCTACACTGGTAATATTTTCACGACTCCTACGGTATCATCAAATCCGATGGAAGCTGTTCTTTTTCATTATCATCATCGCATATTTTCTTCTCCCATGCGTTGCTAGCCACTTGCGATCACCACTGTTGACCTGTTATCGGAACCTTGGGACTCTTCCCCGATCTTCCCCACATCTAGCTAAGGCATCCAAATTTTGTATTAGAGCAAGACGCTGGACGGTAATTTCCTGGACCTTCGTAGAGGCGTCAGCTCTATCATTCGAACAGTTCAATGGCAGACAATAAAGTCGAGCCCAGGCATGATGGGAGTCCTAACCCTCATCCTATACAACCCCGGCCAGTCCGTTATGCGTAAGTATATCCATAATCTATTACGCATTCCAGCCTCTAGCTGGACTGTCCTGTACTTTCTAGCTTTCCCTGGTGCTATTATCCTTCATCTGCAACCCTCGATTGTTTATCCCGCATCGCTAAGTTCATTCCTGGTAACAGTTCCACACCTTCGTATGAAAGCCCTCAAAGGCATTATCGTCGGAACCCAAAAGTCAGACGTCCAGTGAAGGTTGTCATATGATTGCCCCTCTGCCCGTTCAACCCAACTAATCTAGCGGGAGGCAGGAAACTCTCAATGCTCGCTCCGAGTATACTACCAGTCAAGATGATGGAACCGCCGAGCATAGAATCAACCAATATATCATAAAGCAGGAGATTGGGAGAGGCTCTTTTGGCGCTGTCCACCTCGGGACAGATCAATTCGGAAACGAATATGTAAGGTTTGCGCCCTTTGTCAAGACGCTGGTGAACGTGTCATACCATACGGCCGTCTTTCTGACTGTATTGGCGTTTAAACAGGCAGTCAAAGAGTTCTCCAAATCCCGATTACGAAAACGTGCGCAATCGCATCTTTTGCGACGGCCTCGAGGTCCCAAACGTCCATCCGCTGGGTGGAACTCACCTCTCCATCGTCATCCGTCGGGGAACGCGGAAGAGAACGCGGGAAACTCATTGTATCTGATCAAGGAAGAGATCGCCATCATGAAGAAACTGAACCACAACAACCTAGTCTCCTTAATTGAGGTGCTGGATGACCCGACAGAGGATTCCCTTTATATGGTGATGGAAATGTGCAAAAAGGGTGTGATCATGAAGGTCGGGCTTGAAGAAAGGGCTGACCCGTACAGCGACGAACAGTGTCGCTGCTGGTTTCGTGACCTGATTTTGGGCATCGAATATTTGCATGGTCAGGGTATCGTACATCGAGATATCAAACCGGACAATTGTTTGCTGACAAGCGATGATGTCCTTAAGGTCGTGGACTTTGGCGTGTCTGAAATGTTCGAAAAGAATTCGGATATGTTTACTGCGAAATCAGCCGGATCGCCTGCTTTTCTTCCGCCGGAGCTCTGCGTGGTGAAACATGGCGACGTCTCGGGAAAGGCTGCCGACATTTGGTCCATGGGTGTGACTCTGTACTGTCTTCGCTACGGCAGACTACCGTTTGAGAAGCAAAGCATCTTCGAACTCTATGAAGCGATCAGAAGTGACCCTGTTGTATGCGAAGGGGAAACTGATGATGACTTCAAAGACATGATGCTTCGAATATTGGAAAAGGACCCAAGCAAAAGAATCAACATGCAAGAACTCCGAGTGAGTGGTTTCCTACCGGGCGACAAATTGCACTCATATCTCATGAATTAGTCCAGGCGCATCCTTGGGTGACAAGAAACGGCTGCGATCCTCTATTGCCGGAAGAGGAGAACGTTGCTCAGATCGTTGAGGCTCCGACCGAGGAGGAAATGAACAGTGCCATCACGAGAAATGTCAGCCATCTTATGGCCGTGGTATGTACTATGTCATTGTACTCTTTCAGTATAACACTGGAGACAGCTGATGTATAATGCCAGATAAAAGCCGTGAAACAATTCAAACGACTTCTTGGTCCAACCAGAGCGGAACCAGTGATGCAAAGTATCCTTGGACAAGAATACGAAACTCATTTCGTCGAGCCTCCCCTCGAGATGGACCCAGAGGAAAGCTTTTCCGCTAGTGATCACCTTGCCGCAAATAAAAGCCAGAGCGTGACTTGGTACGATAGAAAGCCCAGGGGACGTGAATACGTCCTCAAAGGATACCACCAACAACGCGAGGAAGTACCAAATATCACGGGCTTGAATAGCGCGCACGTCAAACAAGATCCTGTCATTGGTGGTTTCTCCAGGCATTCCGCGGACACCGAGGTCAAGAGACAGAACTCTGGCTCGATTCGCAGCTACAAACTCCGTGGCGAGTCGATTGACGATTTACCAACGACGTCCACACCGCAGTCACCATCGCCACAGATACCACTTTCTCGGGCAAACTCGGCTACTACAAGACGGAGTGTTGAGGGCACTCGTGGACATGCAAGGGATCCTTTAGAGGAGAATTTCCCTTATCTATTCATCGGTCCTTCTACCTACACAGGGTCGGACCTGGAACAAAGTCGCGATGATGACATGGAGTACGACTGCGATCAATCGAACAATTTACTATCAGAGGAGCCCTCCGATTTGAACTCAGCAGCGTCTTCAGACGTTCCCATAGTGAGCGAATCACCGGGTGCTGCCGAGTTCGACATATATGAAACAGCTTACAGAAAGGAAATTGAACGAATCCGCGAACGGACCCTGCCACGCCAAGGTACTGCACCTAGAGTATACTTGACTCGCCGTGTGGAAGGGAAGGATGAAGTGTTGAAGCTAGTCGGAAGGGAGTCCATCGAAGCAGACTCGATCATCGGCCAGAAGACCAGAGCATCACCCAACTTAGGGTCTGCGGTCAGTATGCTCAGAGCTCAGTTGGCCGAGCAGCATACGGCCGAATCCAAGGCAGCTGGCACTTCAGAGCAGCCGCCCTCATCACTCCATGTCTCCACGTCCTCGCCAACGGCTGCGACCGAGACAACAGCCATGGAGACATCCCCCACGTCGATGCCGGAAAGCTCCAGGGCCAAGTTACTCAATCTCCTTAGTCGTGCCAAAGGTAATCGCAGTCCTTGAGATTCTCAGGCGTCCGAGATGCTAGCTAGGAAGACGTGGGGTTACGGCTTTATGATTCGAAGGGCATTAGCAAGAGCGTACATATGTCGTCTTTCTTCCTCATGGCACATCATAGACTATATGCATATATCATCGATCAATTAGTGAAAACTGGGTCATCCTGGATTATTCGTGGTTGAGTGCTCATTGAAGACATGATTAGATAGTGCTTACCTAACCTCTTCAGGCTCTCTCGCCTTAGCCAATGAAGCAACATCGAGTGATGATGTGCTCTACGCATCACACTGTAGAAAAAAGCCATTCAATATCTTGGCCAATATGTGAGATTAATTATTATACATAAAAAGGGCATCGGGGCCCCCATCTCGGTAGAAGTTCATATCAGATCCCCTTCGAAAAGGGGGATACACTGACAGGACGGAAGGAGAGAAGAAAGAAAAGCGCACGGAGGAAGAGCAAGAGAAACAGACGGAAAGATGCGTCAGCGACATGTATGAAGGCACTGTCCATGGTCGGCATGCCGTATTCGTGAGGGTCGTAGAAGGCTAGCCCTGGCGAGGATTCCCAGGGCAGAGAGACATCATGAGGGAGGAAAGGGAAAGAACAAACTATGCAGTGAAGTAAAGATTGCAGCCGGGGAAGGAAAAGCATCGTAGCGGCTTGATGCATTCAAGCATGGTCACATAAAAGGGAGTGAAACCATCATGTTCATCATTCAATAGCCAGGGTAGAGATCGGTACGTGACCTGTCTCACCCTGCTGCGTGTGATGTCGGACAACGCGGGAGCCTCTATGCATCATCGGAGTCGGACAAGTCAAGAAAGAGCATCATTTGTCAAAGAAGATTCGGACGTGTGTTCATCTTCATCGAGCGCTGATGCAGGGATGTATCAAATAGAGGACGATCGCCCGATGGTGAGCAATCAAAATTCGTCAAAATAGCCGCCCCACAGCCAAGGGAAAAGGAAAGTAAATGGAATAGAGAGGAAAAGCATTGCATAGGACATGCCGTTAGTCGTAGCTCTCTTCGCGAGTCGTCTCAACCGCGTGATGAGTCGGAACCAATGCTATCTATCGCTCAAAATTGACGAGTATGGATCATTCATCGTGGGCCGTCATGGCTTTTTCAGGAAAGAGGGAAGAAAAATACAAGTGTTGGAAGAAAAAAGAAATGATCTGACAAGAACAAATCACACCCGCAGCTCAGTTTCAAATAGTCGAACATCACTCGGGTCGTCTTTCGGCCGGAGTTGTGATTGGTATATCGGGAGTAGACAAAGAAGCGGGCTCACCAGCCCGTCTGCTGGCGGCAGGGTTCATCAGACTTGTTCGACCGCTGTCTGCAAAAGGAATCCGATCGGGTGGACGAGGTTCAAACGATCGCTCTCCGGGATCTATCCGTGCGATTGGCTCTCTGTGGCCCAATTGCAATGCCTGTGGAGAAGGCAGAGTTTGCCTTACTTCTGTTGGGCGTGGTAGCTCTCTTAGTGTCGACCCCAGATCACGAACTGGGAGTCCACGCATTCGCTCACTGTCGATAGGTGCCATGAGCGTCATTGACCTGCCCGGTGGAAACCCGTAGCGCAGTTCAGGATTGGGCACCTCTACAGGGCGAGCACCTGTCTGCGACGCGAACATTGATCCAGTTCCTCCAACACCCGACGGACTGGCTGGCGTAGAAGGAGCTTTCAACTTGTGGGAACCCGACCTTCGAGGGGGAGGATAGGTTTCACCTCGAGCCTCGGCAGCCGCTTTTCGTCGCTCCGATTCGGCTTTACTTGGGCGCCCTCGTTTGCGGGGTGGCTCGCCTCTAGTAGCAAAACTTTCTACCCCTGGCGATAGAAGCGCTGAAGCACCACTCTCGCTGCTGTAAGAGGCCGTGCTGGCTGCTGGTCGAGGTTGAATGGGACGCGGGGCGAAAACTGGTTTTTCTGACGAAAAAAGAGGCCGCTTGCGAATGTGACTACTTTCCGATGAAATCGCGGGTGGCACAGACAATTCATGACGTGGTGGTGGGAAAGGTACAAGTCCAGGGTTGACAGGAGGCGAAACCTGTTGTTGCTGCTGCTGCTGCTGCTGCTGCTGCTGTGGCTGACACATATTGTAATAAGCTAGCTGACAGGAATTCAAGGAACGGCCTGGATGACAGTCAATCAGCATCGGGCAAGCTTAAGATCCACTTGACTCTTCTTGACTGCTCTCGACTTGATACATATGTAACACACAGGAAGTATGAAGCTAAGCTGCGAAGACAAGTAGAAGAACAAGCTGATGGTTCCGGCAAACCCGTACCTGGTGGAAGAGGGATCTCTGTCCAGCTTGGAGAGATGTTAAAGTCCCTGATCATCCTGACCAGATGACTGGAAGGGACTCCAGCCTTCTTTAATATCTCGGTAAGTAATGTGTACTAGAAGGACCGTCAGTCTGAAGTTCATAGGCACAGCGGAGATGAGAAGTGAGCGCTTGACAGCAACATATGGGGCAGGTGAAGGACCGGATCTAAAGTCTTACCCTCTCCTCCTCGGACCATGGCCTATCCGATGGATTCGACATATCCCGCAGACCATGGAAGCGAATCTGTCAAGCCTCCCTTTTCCTCCCAAAACTTGTCCACACAAAGCCAGGTTGATAAGTGCGTAGCGACTCGAGTTGCAACGCGGTTTAGAGATTGACGCGTTACGCGACTACGAAGACGAGGAGATAGAGAGAACGAGAGCGGTAAGGGACAAGATATGAAGAGAGAGGGGAAACCAGAGAAAGGAAGAGAAAGAGAAACAACAAGTAAATGGGGAAAAACTCGGTCTAGAAGTTAGTAGCAATGGAACAACCACAGAGCCTCCCAAAAGGAACAATGCGTTTACAACAGCGCAAGTGTAAGCACGTGGTTCTTGCAAATAAGACTCGGGAACTAGGCTAATCACGCAGCGAATAACGACAAAGGAAAGTTGAGGGTGATGGAGATCAAGAGCAGCGGAGAACGTAAGGGAACGAGGCCAATGCACATGGGTCGAAGCATGTATGAAGAGAAGACATGAAGTTCAGGCTGGCATTCAACGATGGGACGAAGAGCTCTTCTGAATCTAGGGAGATATCGAAGAATGCAAGGGAACCAAGGGAATGTAGAGGAAATAAACCTCTAGAGAAAACCAGAGGAGAACGTCAGGAAGCGAGATATGCTGGCAATCGCTCCGATGGCGACGATGATTCGATTCAGAATTATCAGGAACGGAACGATCGAAAAGGAAGGTCAAGAAACCAATCGCAATACTAAAGGGGAAAAATAAAACGAACGATAGGATTGAATCGAGTCGTGGCGAGCAAGAAAGGAGACGTCAAGAAGGGCTGCCGTCGTCGGAGATCGACTGGATATCTGGAGCCAAAACAGTCTCAATACTGCATATTGTGCCAACGACCAACGAATTCAACGACGAATATGACAGGGAAAATTCAGTAGGATTATGGGTAAAAAAAAAAAAAAAAAAAAAGGGGGGGGGGGGAGGGGAGTGGAGGGGATGAAAGAAAAGAAAGTCAATCAGATCGTACTGGGGACAAAAATAAACCAAGATGGATTATTTTCCCCAGGAACTTTTCCTGGCCAAACGGACTTTTAATTCGGGACAGCGCAGGAAGACAGTGCAGATGCACCAGCATGAGGCCGGTTAGCAATAAGGAAAGCTGCAGGGACTCTTTTTTCTAGTTTCCCTGTGTGTCCTCTGAGGAGCGACACGACGGAGCCACAGTGTAAGCTAACAAGACTTCACAGACCAGACAATTAAAGCATATCTAATGATTGCGGGACCAACCAGCCCGGAGGTGGACAGAATTGAACCATGCCCTACCCAAGAAGAGGATAGTGTTTCAGTAGCGATCGTTTCAGATGATTCCAAGCGTTTAAATTGTCGCAGGAAGCAGAACGGGTAAATGAAAATGGTCACCGTGAGACGACCGACGGCCCTGTGAAAAAGAGTACTGTATCAGACTCGGCTCCAGTTTTCTTCCTTTGAAAAAAAGTATAAGTCATGTATGTGCCGCACGAATAAAATAGAGAGGGGAGGGGGGCAAATTGATATGTATGAAGTCGGAAATGTCTTCGAATGCACAACGATCGAACAGCAACGAAAGCTGAACAGGGCTAGAAAGGCCAGCAAGGATGAGAGCAACTAAACTGACCCGCAATTGAAGGCGCAATGCAACAAGTTAACAACAGCCTCAGGCTACTGCTGTGCTCACGGACCACAGAAAGAAGGGAAAAACGTTAAAGGCGAGATTTTTTAAAGAAGAATCATCATATTGAAGAAAATAAATAAAACACAAATCGAAAAAAGGGCCTAGAAAAATGAAACAAGGATAAGGAAAGGGAAAAGGTAAAACATAAAGAGAAGCCGCTCCGCTTTGCTTAGACTTGAGAACGAAATCGCTAAAAAAGCAGCGTCGTTCCAAGTGTAACCTGTAGGCTGTATGTCATGGACACTAGAGGACGGATGATAGGCGGACATTGCGCCCCATGATATTGGGTCAACGGACTAAAATCGATATGTTGCTCGAAAATTGAAGCTTGAGGAGCGAGGTTCGGGGGCTAGCTCCCGAGTGCAGCAATTAGTGCGGTCGATCCATCCCGACAGCAGCTCATTGCTCCGTACTCCGTACTTAGACGTCGTAATCATGTTGTGTTCCGTAATGGGGCCCGTGGCCATATCTAGTAACGATGGTTGCAACAAAGATTGAGCGAATACAAACATGTGCATTGGCCCTATTGCGAATCGCCAAAAGTGCATTATCGAGCGATAACATGGCGGAGATCAGAAGCTGTCATGCCAATAAGGGCTGTATCATGTATCTGCTATCTGAGCCTGGACAGCAGACATCATGCCCCCAAAAACGATAATCGACGTAGAGGTGGGGTTGATGGCTTGGCAAGAGCTGCATTGCGCGTAGTCCATTGTACAGCTTTGGGGGAAGGTTGAAATAAATCTGGAGGCTGGGAATGTGGTTGATAGATCAATGGGGTTTGGTAGAAAATGGTCAGAATTGACCGATATCTGCGAATATCAACCCTTCTGGGGCCATTGTGATCAACCACAGAGAGAGAACCTGATCCACATTGGTCGTTAAGCTGAGAAGCTTGGGAACATGCATGAAATAAGCCAGTAGACGGACAAATCAGAAAGAGGGGAAGAAAGGCAAAGCAGCCATCATGATAGACTTGAACAGAAAAAGAGGCAAATCATTTAACATAGTAGGATCGAAGGGGAACTGTCCAACATGCATTGACATAGTTCTGTAGAACCGTCAAAGTCCCAGGACAAGCGCATTGTTCGAGACTACCGTGTAGAGTTCTTTGATGCCTGCAACTCTCTTGGTATGATTAGCAGTTCTTGGTTAGTATGGAGGATGTTGACTGTTTGCTGTAGCATATTGGCCCAGGCGAGTTCCACCTCTATCCTTATTCGGTGGGAATGGGATCTGAAATCGATTGACAGTTGAACGTCATGCAAAGATGAAGGGTCAAATCAAACTGCGTCAAACTGCGTATCCATACTATCTGCATGCTAGCAGACTGAATTATATCCGAAATTCGAATATATTCAAATATTCGATAAATGGACACAGGATGGTACATGGCTACATGCACGAGAACCCGCGGCATGCAGGAGGAACGCCCCGCCGGTTTGAATCAACCGTCAGAGCGTAAGTAGTCTTGACTGTTTGAGACAGTGGTTTCTGCATGGTCGGGTCGTTCAATAGAATCCATTCTTTTAGGAGCTCATTCAATACTGGAAGATATGATGAAGAGTCATTCATTATCTGATGGAGTGTGACTTGAAGCTGTCAAACACCCAAGAACTGCCTGTTCAGGTGGGAGAATACAAGTGGATGAAAAGGAGAAAGTGGTGAGGATGAGGATGTTTGTGGCGCATCCAGAGATGGTTAGTTCTATATGGGTTAGAACTCTGTATCTGTAATGTATGGAATAAGGGGTATGTAATTCATGATACCTTAGGTATGGCAGGACCCGTAGTACTCCATACTTCCAAGCCAAGTCAATGAAATAATGGTATAGATATACCTTCACAGATAACACAAGTCTCAACTGTGTTACTATGAGGTAGTGTAGTCTACCTATCAGTACCACAGGTGTTGATTGAGAGGTACTACCAAGGCATCCCTGGCTTGGTTTCATAATGATAGTAGGTAGTTCCTTTACCTTGTCACAAAATAGAGCCGCGGCAATTCATTTAATCTGTTCCAGGATAAAGAACATCGAGATACCCGACCTAGTCTGTATCAGTACACAGGGATGAAACATTATTAGGTAGGTACCTAGGTAGGTACGAACAAGCAGGAGATAGGTAGAACCGTAAGATACGGTGATACAGTGCCGTACACCATGCTGTATGATACTTGACAGTACAGCACTCTTGATTCCCAAAGAGTCAAAAAGACTTGCTCAGTCCTTCTCCTCCTCCCTCATCATCTCTCCCAGTCTCTGCCTGGAATCCTTCTCTTCTATTTGAATTGACTCAACATTCAATTAGTTTCCCATCATCTCTTGTGTACCTGCCAGAGTTTCGTGATTACTCGAGGTAAATTTATGCAACACGAGACACCGTTAAGCAATGACTGGCTCTCGGAGCGCAAAAAATCCTTGTGTTCAAGTGGTGATGTTTCGAGACAACCCTGGTTCATGCACCAAAATCCATTCGGATTCGCTTATAAGCATCAGCTCAACGATCTTCCTCCCTCATGCATACACATTATCTATCTACTCCTTCCCATAGAAGTGTCTGCTCATTAGTGAGATGATACTCTTGTTATTGTTACTAACAACCCCAAGCACGTACTACTTATTAATCTACAGCCCCATGACATTATAGCCTTTGCTGCAGGCGTTCCCACTTAGTCCACCCAATGTGTGCATGCACAATTGAAATCGCGAGGACCCAGTCCAATCGCTACCCGCCGTCAACTCAAGTACACTACTTCTGAAGGACATCTTAGAAAACAGAGGTGTCGGAAGACACACTTGCTCGCCGCTAACACTGCCGAGTTTCATCTGATTCACCCTTGCGCACATTCGCTGGTCCCCTTGATTCTGAGTCTTTCCTGCGACGTGGAAGCATCGTTACAGCCTTACTGATCTGACAACCCATGTTCTCTCGGTTTCTCTCTACCCACTGACCGACTCCATGAATTCGCATCAAGAGTGTTCCCCCACAAGAACCGAGGAATTCTCTCTGGGCGGCAGGAGGCATCTTCCTCCGTGCATGCAAAAAAGATGACTGCTGTTTCGGGATCAGTGAAGTGCCCTACTCGTGGTGCTTGTTGAATATCGGTTTTTTATAGCTCTTTTCCATGCCTCACTTTTCTCCGGGGGTGCTGACCTTCTGCTCGTTACGACCACGCGACCCATCTTCTCCATCAATAGGCCATTTCGCTGACAGGATACGGCGCACACAACGGGCACCTATGGAATTTGCCAAAAAAAAAAAAAAAAAAAAAAAAAAAAAAAAAGTGATGTTGCATCCAATTTCAGCGGTAATTAACGCTGTAGCAGTGATCGCATCGGACATCGGCAGACATCGCGTGCTAAGTTATCGTGTCAGCGTGGAACTTGACCCAACCTCCGATTCGGGGAACGCCTCGACTCTACCGAAAGCAGTGGTAGGACCGCAGAACAACAAAGAATCGAGTGATTAGAAGGGCGGGGAGGAAATTTGGGGGAACGCATAAAGAACATAAGGGAAAGAGTGGACTGTCATGATGAACTCAAGTAATGGGCTGAAATGTGATCCGTGAGGTCCTGGAGGGAGAATGCCTATCAGGATCAGCCTCAATCCTCAGTGCAGCCAGTGTCTGTGGATCGTCTCGAATACTGGACAGGATGAATGAGGCGCCTGGAATAGCATCATCTCCTTCCACCTGCCACCTTCTGGCAGTGAATAATTTCTGCTTTCTGAAGTGATGCCTCTCTCTCCTTGCCATTTCACTCTGGACCGGGCGGTGAGAGAGCGCATCACGGGAGGCATTCTCCATGGATCTTAACTTGCCTGTATGCAAGCTCATTTTTTTTTTTTTTTTTTTTTTTTTCACCTTTGGCTCCTCGTTCTCTTACTTTTGGGATGATACCAGATAAACCACTATTCCACTGTTCAGGAACAATAGAAACAGACTACTTTTTGCAAAGAATGAGAAGAGCCTTGCTCATCTCCATGTTGACTGCCTCTTTCTCTGTTCAACCTTGAATAAGAAACCTCCATACCTGACACTAGTAATCCCTTGATTCTTTTCTTTTCCTTTTTTACCCTTTTATCTTTTTCCTGTTTCTTTTTTGTTCCCTCTTGAATTTATTATCTATTCCCATGATCTTTTCCCTCCTGTTCTTGGCACCCGCGCAAAACGTGGATAGCTTGCGATTGATTGCTCGATCCAACTCAAACTCGGCGTGATTTTCTTCAGGCCTTCGCTTTTTGCCTTCTCTCGCTCTCTCACCATCTTTCTCTTCCCTTTTTCCTCAGTATTCTCCATTCTCTACCAACCAACAACACTCTCCGACAGAAATACATACTTTTATCAACAACCACACTTACATATACACGCATAAATACACATACATACACGCACCCAGCGTCGTTTTACTCGCGCATTCTGCTGCTGGCTTCTAAAGGCTGCGTGTCTTCGTCCGTGTCGTCATGCCCTCTCATGACAACGCGGACTCTCCCTCAGCGTCTGTAACGAATGCTGTGACCGCAATGAAGCTGGAGCAGAACGACGGAGCCGCCGAGACTCCCGTTCTCAACGGTGGAGATGCCATTGCGAAGCAAGAATCCTACGGGCTATCTAGCCCTCCCACCGCCACCAGAGATCACTCCGAACTGAGTGGCATGTCTTCATCCGCTGTTAAGTCGCGAGCTTCATCTCAGTCCCCAGTTAAAATTGAAAATGGAGATACGCCTGAAATGGAGGAGAAGGTTGGAGGCGACATCACCGTGAAGATGGAACCTGGTCAACCTCCCAAGTTGACTCGCACCACCTCTCAAAAGGTCGCTGCGCGTCCCCCTCAGCTGTTTCTGCATCTGCCGGATGGCACAGCGGAGGCCCAGTCGACCTTTGAGGTGATGGAGACGTGTACTTATGCTAACAAATACATGGGCTACACGGAGCATGCGATGGAATGCGATTGTGCCGAGGAATGGGGTGAGTCTGCGTTTCTTCTTCCTTTCTCGCCGTCTGGCTCTCGTTTTGTTCTCACATTTTTCTGCGTGCCGATTCCCCCTCCTTTTTTTTTCTTTTTTATCCAAACCCCCGGCATAGCTTCATAATCATTTTCAATCGCAGACGAGCGAACAACAAATTCGAGCCTATGATATTTTCCCCCCTCTGTGCTCTTTTCACCTTATGTTTTGATACAATCAAGATGCGAACCTTCTTTTTCTTTTCTAACGTGATCATCCAGATCAGTCCGCCGGCAAAAACCTGGCTTGCGGAGAAGATTCTGACTGCATTAATCGCGCAACCAAAATCGAGTGTGTTGGCGATTGCAGCTGTGGTGCTAATTGCCAAAATCAACGGTTTCAGCGAAGAGAGTATGCAAATGTCGCGGTCATCAAGACAGAGAAGAAAGGTTTCGGTCTCCGTGCCGAGACCGATCTGCAACCGCACCAGTTTATCTTCGAGTACGTCGGTGAAGTTATCAACGAGGGGCATTTTAGGCGTCGCATGAGGCAATACGATGAAGAGGGGATCAAACACTTCTATTTCATGTCCCTCAGTAAGGGAGAATTTGTTGATGCGACCAAGAAGGGCAACCTGGGCCGTTTCTGTAACCATTCGTGCAATCCCAACTGCTATGTCGACAAGTGGGTCGTGGGCGAGAAGTTGCGCATGGGCATCTTCGCCGAACGGGCCATCCGCGCTGGTGAGGAACTTGTGTTCAACTACAACGTTGATCGTTATGGAGCCGATCCTCAACCGTGCTATTGCGGCGAACCAAATTGCACAGGCTTCATCGGAGGGAAAACCCAGACCGAGCGTGCAACCAAGCTGTCCAATGCGACTATCGAAGCTCTGGGTATCGAGGATGCTGACAGCTGGGATACGGCGGTTGCGAAGCGGCCACGCAAGAAGAAGATGGGCGAGGACGACGAGGAGTATGTTGACAGCGTGCAACCCAAGTCTCTGGATGAAAATGGCGTCACCAAAGTCATGGCGGCTCTTATGCAGTGCAAGGAGAAGTGGATTGCGGTTAAGTTGCTGCGGCGTATTGAACGCTGCGATGACGAGCGCGTCCGCAATCGGGTCGTGAAGATGCACGGCTACCAGATCCTCAATTCCCAACTCAGCATGTGGAAGGAAGACTTTACAGTGGTGTTCCAGATCCTCGACATCCTGGACAAATTCCCCCGTCTTACCCGAAACAAGATCATCGATTCGAAGATCGAGTCCACGATACAGCCTCTAACGACGTGTGGGGATGAACGTGTCGAACAGAAAGCAGCTACACTACTGCAGAGCTGGGCGACTCTGGAAGTCGGTTACCGTATTCCGCGCATGAAGCGAGATCCTAATGCGGTGGCCTCGGTCAGTCAGTTTGGGCGAAGAGAACAGGCCAACGATGAAGCCAAGCGGTCCCAATCTCGGTCGCGCTCACGGTCCCGATCATTGGATGCGCCTCGCGGGCCAGCAAATCCTCATCGCAAGGGCAATGGCCAGAGGAATAATCAGCATCGTGGCCCGCGCCAATTCCGCCGCCAGTTTGAGCCGCTGCCTCCGGGATGGTTCGTGGCCGAAGCCCAGGGTAGGGTATACTACTACAACGAGCGGGGAGATGTCACCTGGACCAAGCCCGTCTTCTCCACACCGGAGTCTGACACGCCCAGCAGCCACGCGAAGAATCGGGCCCTTCAAGGTATCATCGATGGTATCTTGAATGCTAAGGAAAGCGCGCCGAAGGAGAAGACGGCCACGCCGGTCACTCCACAGGCGCCCAAACAACCTACCAACAATCGCAGTGAAAATGAGGAGAAGTGGAGGAACTATAGTGAAGAGAAACAGAAGAAACTCTACGAGAATACGGTAAGACAGCCATTTGGAGGACCTGTCATTACATCCAAGCACTGGCGAGCTAATTCTTGAGCAGTTGTTTCCTCATATCAAATACGTGGTGGACAAGTTCAAGCACAAGCTTCCAAAAGAAGACTTGAAGCGCTACGCCAAAGATGTGAGTTGACCTTTTCTCCATTGCCTGAGCCCGAATGTCAGCGGCTGACACATCGTTTCCTGCGCCGTAGGTCGCCAAAAAGCTCGTCAATTCGGACTTCAAGAACAACCGAGTGGAAGATCCGACGAAGATCAGCGAAAAGCAGCAGAAGAAAGTAAAGGCGTTCTGCAAAGAGTTCTTCGACAAGGCGGTTGCGAAGCATCGCGCTCACGAGCAAAAGAAGGCCGAGAAACAGGCAAAGGGACCGGGCTCCAAAACAGAGCCAAGGACTACAGACCAGAGCCCCATCGATGACGCAGATGTGAAGATGTCCGACGACGAAGACCGGGCTGAGGAGGACCACACCTCCCTAGGCTCTCACAGCGGCCAGAAGCGCAAGAGGGAGGAGGATGCTGATGGTGATGATCGACACCTTGACGAGGTGACTTCGCCTTCGAAAAGACAGCGATCAACGACACCGATACCTCCCCCTCCCCCGCCACCGCCACCCCCTCCTCCAGGTGATGAACCTTTTGCGCAGAACGACAAGGGGGAGTATGACCTTCAGGCTGAGGGCCAATCTCTATCAGTTCAGAACGGCTCGGTTCCCCCTCCGCCACCGCCGCCGCTATCAGCAGAGCATAGCGACAACGACGACTCATCCGCGACTCCCGCAGAGAACAACCACCTAAATAATCAGAAATTCTTCCCGACGCACTCCCCGGGGACCGAGTACGAGACCGAGCTTGGAGACCTCAAGTCGACTCAGATCGGCATCGAGGGCAAAGTATAGATAAACCATATATCCGCCGACCCGTTGTCCAGGGTGGCTCTTCTTTCCTATCTTCGCTACCTTTGGGGGAATATTCGGGCTTGGTGTCTACGCAGGGCTTTTTCTTCTTTTTTCCCTTCCTCATTCCTCACATTTAACCACCCTAGGTTCCCCACCAAATTTTGTTATATCAACTGCTGGAGTTTTTTTTTTTTTCCTCTTCCCCTTGTATCCGTTGCCTTTCTTTTTTTTTCCTTCATTCGTCAAATACCCCCTTGTCCATTTTCATGGAAAGAACCGATCTGTTCATTTGCATTTTGCTCGCCTCGCTTTGACCGGGAAAACGGGGGGAGGAGAGAGAGAGAGAGAGAGAGCCAGGACGGGGGAGCACAAAGAAGACAAAAAACAGGGCGTCCATTCTCGGATTCTTTTTGTACCACTACACTACTTAACTTACTTGCTTAGCTTTTCTCTTCTCTTTTCAGAAACAATTGGTATTAGTACTATTTTTCTTATTTGTTACCTTGCTATATATTGTCTCCGTTTGTTATCTTGTCGATGAGGGGAGGGGGGCTAGTTCTAGGTTCGTCGGAGCAAATTCATACAGTGACTGATACTAAATTACCGGATTACGCGGTGTAGCAACAAAAAGATATGAATGAGAAGCGTTCACCCCGAGTTTTCTTTTAAATATTTTTCGGGGGCCCATCAGACTTTCTTTCCAGATGAATCATTTGGAAGTGGTATCTACACCATTAACCATGACATGAGCACATGAGAGTTACGTAAGAGAGAGAGAAAAGAGAAAGAGCCAGAAAGGAGTGAGACGCATCGTGAGTCTAGTAGAAACTCTCGACGATACTCTCCTTGTTGGCAGTGCCCATGCCCACACCACGAGGCCCCATCTCGCCCAACCGGAAGACGGACTCGACGACACTCAGCTCGGTGGCGGTAGTGTCGAGACCGGTGACGGCCAGCCAGTCGTTAACGACCATGCCGGCGCCGACGACGGGGCTGCCGCGGTTGACGCTGCCGGCGACCAGGGGCACCTGCAGCAGGGAGGAGAGCTCATCCTGATCGCGGACGGAGGTCTTGGGGTGGACGATACCGCCCTGGTTGGAGAGGGCCATGTAGGAGCCCGTCAGGACGTTGTCGGCGATGGTTTGCCGGAAGACTTCGACGCCGAGGACGTCTGCGATACTATTTTACCCCGAATCGAGTCAGTATGATACCCCGAAACAAGAGAGAGAGAGAAAGGTGTAGCAGGCAGGGCTGCAACGTACATTTCCTCTGTCTCGCGCTCCAGATCCGGGTGCACGAGGGCAACATGGTCATTGGCGCAGATGACATTTCCCAGCGCCGAGAGCCGCTCCTCTATCCGTTGGATTTTCACCTCGTCTGGCAGCGTATTCCGCAAATGTTGCAGTTCCTGATCTGTTGTCGTTGTGGGCACCAGCAGACCCTTGCGGTTACTATGCAAATCATGAATCGTCAGTATGAACTGCAAGCAGGCCAGCATACGATTGAACCACAAGAGTCATGAAGTCGCGGGAAGGAAGGGGGCCAAGGTGGGTGAAAGAAGAAAAAAAAAAAGAAAAGAAAAATCTCCCAAGCTACATACCCCGCTGTAAGACGGCCGACAATTCGCGTTCCGGCAATGGTAGCGTGGCAGATGGGAATGACATCCTGCAGTTCAGCCTCAAATACACTATATTTCCGTTTTGCATTAGAACCATGTTCGCGTTTGCGCCACGCAAGCAGAGAGGATCGGAGGGAGTGGCAGCTGCGCACCTGTAAAAGTTCTCTGAAGCGCCGATGGCGACAATCGCGTAGGAGTTTGTCAGCCGGGCAAAGACACCGACTCTAGACGAGAAAAAAAAGCAACCGGATTAGTCTGAATCCAAAGTAAGATAGAGAAGAGAGAAAAGAAAATGGAGGACAAAATAAAATAAAAAATTGAAAATTAAAGAATTAAAAAAATTCTGCTACTCACTCGTTGGAGTTTTCAAATTGAGCGCGGACAGCCATCTTCAAGAGTATTTCTAGGTGCTGGTGTTCGAGAATGGTTTGACGGGGAGAACGGTGAAAACCACAGACGATGGCTCGAGAGCAAAAGTAACCTCCAGCGATCCAATATTCCAAAGAGAGCGTCCGTGTGAGGCTATAAGCGAAGCCGGGTGACGTCGATACAGAAAAGTCGAGGAAGGAGGGGAAAGTCTCGTTTGATGGAGGGGGAGGAAGACCACCAAAAGCGAACCGTCGCAGGTCTTGGGGCAAACGAGGACAGTCGAAGATTGACCAGGAGAGTGCTGGAGTTTGTGAGAAGTGCAAGAAGAATGCAGCAAGCGAAGCAGCGTCGAAGCGAAGTAGTTATTATTTGAATGAAGCCGTGAAGCCCAAGAAAAGAACCATCAGAAAAGCTCCATCCAATCGCCCCGCTTGCTGGCGGCTAGACCCAATCGGGGCGCAGCAGGGAAAAAAGAGTCATCAAGAGTCATTCTTCGGACTAGACTAGATAGGACTATGAGTCGACTTGACGCTTTACAAATTACAATGCGAGAATGAATCAGCGAGACTGTTCCCCTCAGGTCCACACGGCTGGGCAATCTCCCGCCACTCTGGGAGTCTTGATTCCTCTATCCATAGTCCTATAGTTCCTATAGTCCTGTCCATACACTCCAACGCCCGGTAGACTGTCCCTCAGTAGTAAGCAGTATGTGGTTATGTACACTGTAGCCTTCTAGAACAAAAACAACAAAGGACCCAGGCTCATCTTCTGGCCCGAAACAAGAAATGAAAAAAAAAGGGGGGGGGGATTGTACAAGCTCCAGAAATAATACAGTGTCTCAACGACAATCACAAAATGCATCCGCCCGGTGTGGCATACTGAAACATGGCCCAGAGCTTTCGCTGCTGAGATGCATTATCTTGCACAACCACAAAACAACCTCTAGTCGCAATGGCGCACATGAAAGAGCATTGAGCCCTTTTCAACGCCTGAACAGAAACCCATAGACAAACACAATGGCTCAAAACTCGCAGCATAATGCGCGTCGGATACATCCAAGATTGCTGGTCAGGAAATATGAGATAAAACGCGAGAGGAAAGGAGAAGCAGAACGATGCCGGTCCATACTGAGACCCAACCCAACATATTACGTCGAGTCCGCAGGCATGAGAACTCCCTGCAGCCGCTTCCCCGGGAACTGCCTGGTCAAGAAGCGATGAGTACTCTCGATCTAAAACGGTGGACGGGGCCCTGGTGGAGGTGGAATCCCAGGCCCCGGCGGTGGAGGGTGTGAATAATAGAGTGGAGGAGGAGGAGGCCCGGGCAAAAACCCGGGGAGGGGAGGACGCTGGAAATTGGATCCAGGGGGAGGAGGCAGCTGTGGAGGACCAGTTCGGGCGGCAAAAGGATCAGGCAATTGCCCAGCGGGCAATAATCGACGTGGCTGTTGCCGCTGCGGGTTGGGTGGTGGCAGCACAAAGCTCCGGGGATCCGTTGGACCCGGAAGCATTTGAGGTTGAGGGGGCTGTGGAAGAATCGTCCGATGCGTGGCGGGCCGTGGTGTCGCAACCGTTCTGGGCGGTGGTAGAGTCGAAGCGAGTGCGGCATCAGCTAGAGCGAATAAAGCCTCGGGCCGCGCCTCAGGTATCGACGGAGGGGGAGCTTTGTTGATCTCTGCCGCCGCCGCCGCCGCTGCTGCTGCTGCTGCTGCTGCTGTTGCTGTGTCCTGCGTTTGGACGACGCCCGTTGCCTCGATAATGAGATTGAGGACGTCGTGTGCGGAGAATCCTGGGAATGGACCGGCTTCCCTCAAGTCGTTCATTTGCGGCTCGATGTCTTCTCTCAATTTGGCGCGTTGGATGAAATCATCCCAGCCATGGAGAGCACGTTCATAGAGGCCAGCCCCTGCTGGGTTTCGAATGAAGGAGGAAACATATCCTCGCTTCATCTCTTTAGCCGGTGGACGGATACGCCCAGGTTCCGCTTCGGTCTCCGACTCATCAGTCTATACATGACATGGTTAGCCTGTGGTCTGCTAGGGGTTTCCTCTAGTCTCTCTGAGCATATATATCCAACACTCACCTCAGTATGTTCATCGTCCTCCGCTGCATGTCGGCCCTCAACAAAAGCCATGTATGCTCCTTGACTAGCGAGGAGATGTTCGTCTTGAATTTCATGACATTTTATCTGTGTGAAGACCACCCCGGGTGAGCCCTGTTCGGAATTTCGTGGGCAAGGGCAGCAAAAATGACTTACCCGAAACTGCTGCTCAATATTTTCCTTCTCCAGCGCAAGCATTCGATTCGCAGTCGCGACCTTGTATTCGAATTCTTGGCGCAATATCTCCTTGCGCGCCTCGAGTCTGTCCTTCAGTTGCTGATTGACCTCCTCATATTCTGGCACTTTCTTGTGGGCGTTTTTATCCCGCGCAAGCTTGCGTTGGGAATGTTCGGCCAACACAGATAAAGCCAGTCGCTGAGCAGCGGCTACCCTTTTGTACGCTTTGTCCAACTCCCGCTGCCGATCTCGCAGCTGCTGAGTAGCAGGCGTTGGGGAAGGAGAACGCACCGGTTCTGGCTCCAGTTCAGCATCCTGATCGTGGTCGACATCTATGCCTTTACGCCCGCGACCTTTGCCCTTTCCCTTTCCCTTGCCTTTCCCCTTCCCTTTCACTTTCGCTTTTGCTTTCTGTAATCCTCCTCCTCGCGTCGAACCCCCCACGCCGCCTCCACGACCACGGCCTCGACCCCGGCCTCGACCCCCGCTAGCCGCGAAACCGGTACCATTCTCGGAGACTGGTTCTTCGACTTCTTCGGCGATCTGACGGGACTCATCCCCCGCAACCGCCACCGGAGCAGCAGGGGTGGCGTCATCGGTAGCATCAGCAACATCGGCGTCAGCAATAGTGACATCAGTGTGGAGATTCGCAACTTTGCCCTTGATGCCACCGGTAAGCTCGGCATCGGCCGTATCAGCGTCAACAGTAAGAGGTTCCGTGGGATCGGTCGTAGATCCGACTTCAGCACCATTGTTATGATCAGTGGGTGACTGCGGTGTGGATTTGCCATCGACTTCATTCTCAGCTGCTTCCTGTATTTGCTGGTCTAATGCACGATCAATGTCCGCATCTTCCAATTTGGGTTTCTTCTGTGGAGTCTCGTGGGTATCAACTCTGCCCTTCGGTCTTGGAGAACTCCGTTTAAGAGATTCGGCCGAACTCAAGGGGGATATTTGGTTGGATTTTTCGTCCACCTGGAGGTCCTTGGAATCGGTCACATTGTCCTCGTTCTTGTCAGGGGTATCTTTCATTGAAACATCTTCATCCACAGGATGCGTAGTTTGCTCTTCGGTGGATTGCGGGGCAGAATCAAGAGCTAGAGGCTCGGTCTGCTCTGCGAATTCGGTGACGGTGGGTTTTGAAGGAGACGAAGAAACCGCTGCATCATATGAAGAATTCGAAATTTCAATCGTATCATGGCTCACATCAATCATATGTCGACTTCTGGTCCGTGTCCGCCCACCGGGGACAAGAGCAGCGGAGGGGCTCGCGTCGAGCGGTTTCGTATCTACCCGCGAATCCGCCGGGGCAGTTTCGGTTGATGGTACGTGAGCTCTCAATCTCGCCGACTGCCTCGTCGTTCTCGGGGTTTCTTCAACAGTAGGAGCCCGTTTGACGCGCTTAGACCGCGGGGTTTCCGGAACATCTACTCTCGCTGTGTGATCAGCTAGGACTGGAGCTGGCAGCATAGTAGGAGCAACTGCGGCCGCGGCAGCAGCACGTGCGCGAGAGGTACGAGTTTCGCGGCCAGGATTCGCCACAGGGGTGTTGTTAGCCAGGGCCTGGCGAGCACTGTTTGCTCTGGCCGTCTTGGTGCTGAGCGTCACAATGCGCGACGGCCGACCATTATGAGTAATGGTAGTAGAATTCGTATTGCTATTAGCAGAAGGAGTACTGGGAATATTCATGTTGTGAGCACGAGCGTCTCGGCTGGCCCGAGCGCTCCGAGTGATGCGGATATTCGCACCATCCTCCATGGAAGAATCTGTGACCGCTATCAGGATCGAGACAGACACGGTTGGGGATGGATGAGCAAAGATCTTACCAGCTGTTGTGGGCATAGGTCCTACAGAAGTAGAGTTCGAACCAGAAGATGTGGCCCCCTGGTTCGTCTCGTGCTTACGCTTGATGGCCGCCATCGCTATCTGTCACGAAAGATGGTCAGTGATGTATGTTTTAATGGCAGGGAGGCAAGACGCGCAAAGAGCGACAGTGAGAGAGTGAGAGAGAGCTCAAGGACTTACAGCCCCAGAGCAAAGGAGGAATGAAGAAGAGACGCGAAAGAATAGATATGCGACAGCCAAGGCATTGACGAAAATGGGACCATCAAAAATTGATGGTATAGTTGTGGATGTAGTAGTTCACCAGATGTACAATAAGAAAGAATGCATAGAAGGTGGAACAGAAGACTAGATAGACTAAGAAAAGGAAGCACGAGAACAATTAAACAATGAGATGAAGTGGGTCTGGGATGAGCACCGGACATGAGAGTTAAGCTGGGATGGAACAGCTGGAAGCATAATTGTAGGTGTTAGAACGGAACAAGCATGATGAGAGACAAAATTGGAAAACAACAACAAGTACAACAGGACATAAACCAGAAGGAGAGAGAGGTTCCTGACCTGGAGTCGAAGCGAGGTGGGTTGGTGTTGAAAAGCCGACTGCGCAATGCAGTCAGGTTTCGAGGTATCGTCAACGTTGTGTTGTAGTAGACGGAGTAGACGTAGTTAAAAAGTAGTAAGTAGTAGAAGGGGGTGTGATGAGAGGAGTTTTGAAACCCGATGCTGGAATAACCAGAGAGGACAGAGGTAGAGAGAGACTCCCTTAGTAGTCGATGGAGTAACCGTGTAGAATGTAGATAGATAGCTCAAAGGATGGGGAAGACAAGGTCGAAGCGATCAACAGCCTGGTGGGAAAAAGTAAAGACGAAAGTTGAGTTGTGGTTGGTCGACTTTTTTTTAAACGGGCTTGGGTCGCCGGAAGAAGTACAGAAGTCTGAACGTACTAGTAGTATTACTAGTAGTGTGTAAGGTAGGTAGATATGGAAGTAGAAGGGAGGTTTAAAAAAAAAAAAAAAAAAAAAAAAAAAAAAAAAACGAATCGAATCTGACAAGGTCCAGGAGAAAGAAGAAGAACAAGAAATAGGTAGAAGAAGTAGATTGGAAGAATGGAAAAGAAACGCGAAGGGGAAGAATTGCGGCGACGTTTTGGAGTGAAGCTGCCAGTCGGAGTGGTAATAGTAAGACAGCAAGACGGTACTAGGTAGTAAGAAGCACCGCCGTAAGAGTCGGAAGTAGACAAAAATTCGAGAGCAAAAAGATCAAGGCGAAGAAGAAGGACGACGTGCGTTGATGATCCCCATGTGTGCGGCTCGTTTTTTACTACAGAGTGACGGCGACAGGCAGAGTTTTGTAGTCAATCGGCGCTGAGAGCAAGAGAAGAAGAAATAGAGAAGAGAGATAGATCAGAGATAAATCAGAGATAGTTCCCGGAAGAATGAGGATCCTGAGTTCTTGTATAGATAGATGACAATCAAAGATGAAGAGAAGAGAAGAGAAGAGAACGAAGACGTTTCCACCAGTAGTGCCTCAGCTCAGGTAATGAAGAAGTGCCTGGTTTGTAGTTGTAGTTATTTTGACGGAAAGGATTTTGACTGGGTCCAAGCAGTCTGTCTGCGTGGCGCAACGGCCAGAGTATGAGAGAGTAGAATAACAACAACAATAACAGATATCACTAGGCACCAACAAAGATGGATTGATAGAACGAACCAGGTATCAATAGTGAAAGGATAGAAAACAAGAACTCCCTGGTACCGATCTAAGAGGGCATATAGAGGAGATACCGCAGGGGGCCAAGCTGCAGAGAAGAAGCGGAATAGGCCAAGTACCAAGTCAGTCTATCTGGCAGTTGAAAAGAAACAGATTCAAAGTACAATCAAGATGATTGATTGATTCTCTGAATTCTTTCTTTTCGCGCATCAAGAGATCTGGAGAAAAAAAGCCGACAATTGACCCATCGATCTCTTGACTCCCCTTCCCTTACCTCCGGAACCAGATCTATACTCGATTCCATCCAGTTCGGCCAGAATTCAGAGACCAGAATTAATCAACAAGATCCCTCATCATTCTTCTTAGCACTGCGATAGGAATATCTTCTTTTTTTCGATATAGAATCTTCTCCATTTAACGACAATTGGATATCTATCAGCAACAAGATCATCTTCGATCCCACTCCAGTACCAAATCTCCCCAGTCTCACATTCCATACTGGAAAGGTATCGCCATGGATTTGTTATTCGGCACAAGCAACAACCATAGTACCTACATGATCAAACCCCCCTTGCGCATCTGTCACGAGAATATCCCTGGCGAGCAGTAGAGTAACACCATCATCCCAGATGCAGCGCATGCGAAGGCTCGCCCGCTGTGAACCCGAATACCGCGTAGTACAGTCCTGATGTCTGTACTACTCCGGGTTGCCGGAGCTAAGCTTTCAAGCTTCAAATTCAGTCAAGGTATTTCTATTTGATATTGATATTGGAGCTTATCTACATCTAGGATATAAAGCATGGCTTAGGTACATAGTATCGTTTATTCACATCGGTATCTCAAAACACGCTGGTCCAGAAATTTATAATAGCAAGACAAAGGAAAATCAATTCTGGCCACTCCTCCACTTAGCTTTCATCTGGGGATTCATGCAAATCATACCGCTTCTCATATCGAGTTATACTCCGCCGCACATCAGCAGCCATGATAAATCCCGGTATTGCATTTCCTCCTTCCCCCTTGAGTTGGTTGTCCATCCTGCTCTCCGTCCCTTGTTCCTGGTTCATCTCGCCGTCATGGTCCATCCGTTCGAACAGCGGAGATCGACTCCGAGACCCAGGGCTCCGAAGCGAGTTGACAGACCTCACCCGACTTAGTGTCTTCACGGAAATGGTCTGCCCCGCCGCGGGCGAAGCGTGAAGGGTTGTGCCGGGCATGGGTGTCGGAGGAGGCGATACGCTGTTCGAACGGAACAGTGGGTGGATGTTGCTCTCGTCGGCTGGTAAGTTCAGCTTCGGCGCGGGGGGCATTCGGGGAGTCTCCACCTGGATAGTTGATGCGGCCGGAGAGGTTCTGCCAGATGATGGCTGCAGCATCAGGCTGTCCAATGATCTCTTGATCTCCGACGGGGTGCGTTGAATCTTCCGCGGCGCCGGGCGGTCTTCGGCATGGATGCTGGAGCTGTCACGGCTGTCTCGCTGTGCATCAGACTGATTGCGCAATCGACCGTACTCCAAGGAGGACTTTCGGGCCCCCGGGGAGTGAAAATCAACCGAGCTATGTTTGGAGTCCTGCTGAAATAATGTTCTGCCAGAGAAGCGCCGGCCTGGTACAGTCGAGGCAGTTGGTAAGATTGGAGAGAGACAATCGTCGCAACTTGTTTTCCGATCAATAGACGGCCGTTGAGACTCAGTAGTAGTCGAAGACAATGCTTTGAACGCCCCTCTATCTTTCAAGCTGGATCGATCCGAATGCAATACAAGCTCTTGCGAGAGCGAGCTTGGGGAACGTTTGCAGTTATCTTTAGTCAAAGACACCAAGAGAAGCCCAACAAACAGTCCTTGGCTGAAGACAGAAAACACCCAGATAACACATCGAGAAATATGTAATACCAAGTGCCTCTGGGGTAATCTAGCCTCGGCCGTTATTGCTGTGAGCTCATGCGTACTCCACGCCACCACCCCAGCGATGATCCCGGTGGCTATTGAGAGATACACAAGGGAGAGGCCGTATATCGCGGTCCCCCACCCTGGCCAGCGCTCTGAAGATCGACCCCTCGTCCAATTCAACATCAGCGCACCTATTACCATGCAGCTGATGGCGCTAAGAGCAACAGTGACTGACTCCATAGAGGTGGCTGTAGATGAAATCGATCTGGCAGAGGCAATGCATACACCATGGACAACGGTAGCAATCACGCTCAACGCAAGGGAGATGCCTCCCAACGAATATGCTAGGCCGGCCACGTGCATATTGGGGCTTAGAGATGATTTTCTGCCGTCAGTCCGCAACAAGAGTGTTGATGCCAACTCGGTAAGGGTGGGGGTTATGCGCGTGGAGTCCAATTCGCAACCAGAATCCAGGATAGCAATGGACGATTTTCCGTCAATAGAAGAATCAAGAAGGGGGAGGCACAGTTGGAAACTCTTCCTCGTGTGATAAAGGGAGCAAAGTCACAACGCTGGCAGATGTATGTCATAAACAAGAGGCAACAAAATGGATCATTATATTGGTCAGCCGTATCAATATCGTAAGAATTAAATGACGCTGCCAACCCTATACTCGCGAAGATAGCATCAATGTTAGAAGAGCAATTGATATTAATTATAGAAAGAGTAGGAATATGAGGGGTGTTGTGGTGTGACAAGCATTGAGATGAGGACTGGGGTATACTGACAAGGGGTGAGGGAGGACACGGGGTAAATATGCTGTCAATTGTGACTGGGAAACCTACCGAATTGGAAAGGCTCCAGGACATCTGATATCTATCAAAATAAGAAATAGCTGCATGACGGGTGAAAGAGTTCCTCAAACATCTAGATTTGCGATGGATGGAATCCTTCGATCGAAGGCCCCCATGAACAGGGGTCGGGCAGTCGGATATCGATCTGTCTGTCGGCGAACTATGCTTCTTGCTGCATGATTCGCATCTCCTTTCCCTCTTATAGGTTCAGTCTTCGCGCTCGACTGCGAACTTGCCTTCAGTATCTCGAGCAATCAATCAACCAATTCTTTGTGCCATCTTGAGTCGCCTCTCCAGGAACTCCCCTGAAGGACGGGAACTGTTCATGGACCTCGATTACTCCAAAGTTTCTTGCGTGCTCGAACCATCGTGAAGATCTCTATCGGCCTATCGTGAAGAGCATTGCCAGCATCTGGAAGGCAAAAGACTGTTTACTTGCATGGAACACGTCCAGAAACAGAGATTTGTCAAGGTTTGGTGGCATTGTAGTGGTGCAGAAAGTGGACGGGAGGATCTCCAGGATATCGGGACGGCCCTATAGTATGGTGGTTCCGATTTGATTCCGAAATGGGGCTGCAAACGCAGGTAGCGAGGATATGGTGTGCTTTTGGTGGAAATGTGATGTCTCATTTAGTGGATTGATGTTTGTTGGAGATCAATCCGGAGTAGCTCGGAGTAACCTGGGAAGGATGTAAAGTGGCAAGTGATAAAGACATCCATCCCCAGGCAGGCATCCCAATGGTGTTCCCGGTTAGACGAACCGGAGCAAGTGGTGTGTTATTTATCTGTTAAGGATGGTCGACTCGACGTCGTTTGGATCCGTTTGCCTCTCGATTTCTCTCTCTAACTACCAGAGACTCTACATACAATTAATTGCGGATCACTATCTACCACTCAATTAGTGCTTATCTGTGTGATAGATCCATCAGATACATCCTGTGGGTGTTTTGACCCAGTTGTCCACTCTTCCACAGTCCACATTTCTTCTACTCTTCCATCTGCAGACCGAAGACGAACATGGCGATAGAATGCTTTAAAGCAGGTAATGGAGAGATGTGGCTGTTCTATCTTGTCCAGGTAATAAGAGGAGTCAGATTGCCGGCTTCTTTTAGTGGCTTAATTGATGGTGATACAATAGCGCGACAATATTCCCAGCTGATGTCTCTTTTGGCTGGTTCAATCTGCAAATATAGAGTCCACCGGGCTTGACTCGACTTGCAGTTAATTGCAGCTGCGAGAATTCGGTGCATGGTTCATGTCATGTGCGTACAGAATGTGCCTCTGGTCGTCTAGATACCCGTTAGATATATATCCAGAGAGTAGATACAGAGTAGATAGACTGAGAAGGATTCCCACGAAGTGATGTTTCGGAGAGTTGAACTTTTTCAATGTCAGCTCCTGTAAGGATAAATATCTCCGAGTAGTTGTAATATCATTGTCTTTCCAACTTTGATACTCTCCTCTTGTCTCAACTGTGTTGGACAGTAGTTAGTACAACTTACTACAGAGTATAGATGGCCGCCAAGACAAAGTAAACACGGAGTTAGTAACTGTGGCTGGATCAGCATTAACTAAGCTGTGGCTGGACCAGGGGACGTGGCGCAGCTCGCCGTGACCGCCTCCAGCTTTCTCCCACTCTTCATCTTTCTTCTTGGGGCGTCATGATTATATGGTCATCACTCTTTACCATCCTGCGAATCCAGCGATATCTCATTTTCGGTGCTGTGGATCGTCCTGGTCTTGACTTATCATATTCCATTTACTTCTTCTCAGTTGCTGCTGTGAAATATTGACCTTCTGCGTCTCTGTGCCCTCGGTTTCCAGCTCACCTCTTGCTTCTCCCCGCCTCTCGTAGCCATCTCCTCTCCTTCGGTGGCGCAAGATGAAGCTCACTTTCAAAGTACGTTCGTTCATCCACAACTCAAAGATGTCGGTATTTGAGCGTCAGAAATACTGACTGGGATGTCTTCTTGATAGGATTTGAAGCAGCAAAAATTCGTCATCGATGCAGAACCTTCGGAAACGGTAAGTGCTCTCCTGCAGGCGTTGATAGCTTGCCAGCGTTCTGCCAGTGCGGGGCTCATTGAAATCTTTTCCAGGTCGGACAAGTGAAGGAAAAGATCTCCAAGGAAAAAGGATGGGAGGTATCTCAACTGAAGCTCATCTACTCTGGTCAGTTACGAACAATAATCTATTTTACCTTGTTTCCCAGTTATGCCGGCGTTAGGCATCGTCAAGATACCATCTATACTGACACGGTGTCCAACTTTTTGCAGGCAAAATTCTCCAAGATGATAAGACAATCGAAACATACAACATTGAAGAGAAGGGATTTATAGTGTGCATGGTATCAAAGGTATGAATGACATAGTGTGATTGTCCGAGTTGGCTTTCCGAGCGCCAGCAGCTGACTCTGGGATCCTTTATAGCCCAAGGCTACCTCCGCTGCCGCTACTCCTTCACAAGCCCCTTCGACGCCGTCGAGAGCTGTTGCTTCGACACCGGCTGCTCCTCCCGCCCCGGCCCCGTCTGCTGCCACTTCTACCCCCGCTGTACCTGCGACGCCCTCGCCTGCGGCCCCAGCCCAGCCATCCGCGGATACCCCAGTTGCGTTCAATGATCCATCCGCATTGCTTAGTGGTGCTCAGAGCGAGGCGGTCGTTGCTCAAATGGAAAGCATGGGTTTTCCTCGAAGTGATATCAATCGCGCCATGAGGGCGGCTTTCTTCAACCCCGATCGCGCTATCGAGTATCTGCTGAACGTAAGCCACCGTCAACAAACATTCCGCCTGTGGATTATGGGGCTAATGTTCTCTTAATTCAATAGGGAATTCCGGAAACCATTCACCAAGAGCAGCAGCAGCAGCAGCAGCAGCAACAGGCTGGTGCTGGCGCTGCCGCCTCGCCTCCTGCTCCCTCGGCTCCTTCGGGAGAGAGCGTTCCATCCTCTACCGGTGGCGATGAGCCAGTCAATTTATTCGAAGCCGCTGCACAGGCTGGTACAGGAGAGGGTGCTGGTCGTGGCGCTCGTGCAGGTGTTGAAGGAGCTGGAGAGGCACTTCCCAATCTCGAATTCTTGCGGAACAATCCCCACTTCCAGCAGCTCCGCCAGTTGGTCCAGCAGCAGCCGCAGATGTTGGAACCCATTCTTCAGCAAGTCGCCGCCGGCAATCCTCAGATTGCCCAGCTGATTGGACAAAACGAGGAGCAGTTCCTCCAGCTCCTGAGCGAGGAGGATGATGGTGCGCTCCCTCCAGGCACCCACGCAATTAGTGTGACAGAAGAGGAGAGAGATGCCATCGAACGTGTAAGTATACCTCCGACGGTGCTTTTTCTTTCGTTATAGCTTCTAAGCTAATCGATTTGACAGCTTTGCCGGCTTGGTTTCTCTCGAGACTTGGTCATCCAGGCCTACTTTGCGTGTGACAAGAACGAAGAGCTTGCGGCCAATTACTTGTTTGAGAACCCCGACGATCCTGATGACCTGTGATGAAACACTCTCCCGTGCCCCGGCTTGAGGCTCTCATCGATGTGTCGCCTGCCAATCTCTCGAATCGATTTTCCCCTCTAACGAATAACAGCATGCATGTCTCTTTAGGCGCTATACGAACCCGGTTCTTCTAAGACAGGGTTTCGAATAGATGGCCTAATTTTTCTTTCCTCCTGTCAATTTCGCTTACGTCCGTTTCCTTCACCCCCCAAACAGCTCTTCTATTGAATAAATTTGGGATCCCGCATTCCAACGTATGAGATTTATGTCTTCTATTCTCTTTTTTAAATACGACGCCCGCTGGTCATGTACCTAATTATTGAGACGAAACGGGATATCTTGATGGAGCAATCGTTCTCCTGTATTTTTCCATATCGGGTCCAATCAAGGAGTCCCCGTCGTCGAGCCCACTCAATTTCTCACGTCATCAGAGGCATGGAAGCTTACGCAAGCATACTAAAGCATAACTGTTAATAATCCAAACCCGTAGAATCAGATTGATCGCAAATTGTAGGCAACAAGAAGAAGCACCAGGCATGTGGTCCAATGATCCCGCGCGCTGGATATCTTTGCTTACTCCCGCAACCACCAAATTGGAAGGGTCACTGGCTGGAACTGGAAGATATTTTCCCCATTCCGTTGTATTCTTATCGATTTGCCTAGCTCTGTCTATGGATCAAGCATGGTACTTGCAAGCTATTGGGTGTTCATTGGTTTTTTGTATGTATGCTATGTGGGTATATTTGATGCAGGGGGGTATCCAAATCCAAAAGGATTGTATGCGAGATCAAGACGGATGATGCTGAGCGGTATGAGTGGTAGCCCTGAATTCCTGAGAGAAGAAAATGGCACCAGATGCAAACATAACTCATTGCGAAGCTCGTGATTATGGCTAATGGCTAATAAATATAATCGCTGAAAGGGACAGAACCAGGACAACGGAAAGAGGGAGCAAGAAGTGCGAAGCTCAAGGGCATCTCGCCCTGCGCGCGATCCAGACGTTTAACCCGCGTCTGCCGACCACGCGCCTCAGCGTCGGGATGAGGCCGTCGTCGCCGATGTCGAGATCGTCTAGGTTGATATGTTTCCTGTACGACCAGAGCTCGTGGAGTTCGAGGTCCGATGGGTCTGCAGATGGAGACGTGTACCGGTCGAGGAAGGTTGCAGAGTTGGGGGCGACAACGAAAACGTGTTTTGAGGTATCGCTGGCGGGCTTGACCGTACAGGATGGCACTGCGCTTTCGAGTTCTCTGGCCATTTCGGGGCCCGAGATGCCCATCAAATCCCGAGTTTCGATGTCCAGCTGGGAGCTGGTGTTGTTTCCCAGCAGCCACAGTGGAGGCGAGTATGTTTTCCACCATAGCACGGTCGCAGAGATTCCCGGCTGCTTTCCTGACACATCTTCCTGCTTCGGCACATTCGCCGAGATGATGGAGGGAATTGCCAACTGGACGGGTACCACGCCGCCCTGATGGTAGACGCCCATGAGGAAACCCAGCGCGGCATTGAAAATGATCCACGATGTCAAGAATACACGAGACTTGCGCATGCGGAAGCAGCTCAGCAGCAGAGGCACGCACGGGATCAAAAAGCGAGGTTCTTGGTGCGGAAAGATCGAGAGCATTGCGGTTCCGGATAATGCAGAAACGGCTTGCGTAGTCTTCAGCCAAGAAGGGATGGCCGAAGGATTCCAAAACGACAGAACCATTGCAACAAGGGCGGGCCCGAGGAGCTGCGGTAAGTTCACTAGAAAATGTTGGTAGTGCGGATGGAGTCCATGGAGAGCCAGGTTCGAAGTGTTCGTATTATAGCGTAGATTGTTGAGAGGCGTGACCACAGGAGCATGGAGGGCATCCCAGACCGAGGCAGACGGGTGATAGAACCGCGTGTCGACGATGATGGCGATGCCACAGAAGAATATGCCGAAGACCGCAAAAACAAGGAGTGAGATCGGCCTGCGCGCCACGATTGGTACATGCTGTGACGAACAGAGTTCCCCGAAAACGATGGTACTTACCTGCGCCAGAAATGGGGCAGTAATTGAAGCCCAGGAATTAGCAAGAATGCTGGAAAAGTGATGCGGTTAAAAACACCAGCGACAGCAATCAAGGACAGCATCACACAGGAGAAGATGGACGAGCGTCGCTATAAACAGCCATTAGTTCGGGGAATAGCTCTTGTCCAAATCGCAACATCCATTGGTAGGGCAAACCTTTTGCTCAACGATGCGACGAATCAGCACCAGACCCCATGCGACCAACAGCGTCTCAATGGAGTTGGAGAAGGTGTGCGTCTGATATGTCCAGGTGACATATGAGGATGCAACCAGCACCACGGCGGCCCGGCGATGGCGCGGAAAGGGAACCAGCTCATACACGGCCCAGTCCTCCAGGACGAAACTCAAGAAGAACATGACTCCCCTCAAGAAGTAATATACCGCCGGCGGAGACGGATTCCCTGTCTCCAACTCGGCGTAGAACCATTTCAAAAGGTTCATGGGCAAGTTGTAGACCGGCCATAATGGAAAGACACTACGGATGGGATTGTTCGATGTGAATTCCCACGGTAATCTCGACGGGTACGAGAGTGTACGACCTGAAAAGTTCCATAAGCTTCCTGGTAGAGCGATCTAAGGGTTTGAATCGATGATGACTTCTGTGTTTTGATTTTCTTTTCTTGGTGGGGGTGGTGGAGGGAGTGAAGGGACAGACAATATGACCAGCATCGCGGTCGCATTGTGGATGCAACAAATAAGGAACAACATTCAACATACCGGCGAAGACCTCAGGGCCCTGGAAGTTCTCATCTGGATGGAGATAACTTGGGGAGAGCGCAAAATACACTCGTACCAGCAATAACAGCAGGTATGTCCGTCTCCACATGACTTAGACGTCGATGAAGGTACGGGATACCCTAGGATGAAAGAAAGAGAACAATGAGTTTGGGCGAAAAAGAATCGTCTTTAAGGGAACTAACAACTAAACAACTAGATACGCTCCAACATGCTGCTGAATCAACAAGCTTAGGACCAAAGAGAAGCTGATCCGAAGCATCCGATAAGCTTTGTTTTTGTCCTTTTAGTTTCGAGGGCAATAATAAGAAATCCAGAGGAATGAGTAAAGGGGGTATTTTTTGGCTGATTTGCTGATCCGTCAGGCACAATAAAAGGACAAGCAAACGAATCGTCTTATTATTGCGGCTGAAGGGCAACTCGGTGATTTTAGTTCAGTAGTCATTTTCGTTTTCCCTTTCTCCTCCGTACTTTTATTTTATATCTATGGTCTAGATATACACTTGCTTTACTGACCGGGCGCATCGAGTCGGCTGATGAGATCGATCAGTGGCCTCAGGAAGAAGACCTGCTGAGGTTGTACCTTGGTCATTGCAAGCATACCAACTTTAAATTAATACCTTCCCCTATGGCGTAGATAGTTGTCAGCTGTCTGGTAAACTCTGTTAGATGTCAAGATTTTGCAGACGTCGAAGTCAAGACTCACTTTTGGTTCCAGGAGAATGAGCCACGGTCAATGTTTGCTAGTATCCTTGTATGTCTAAGAGCTACATAAGACAAAACTTAACTTAAAGTATCAACAAATGGGCTTGTAGCTCAGTGGTAGTAGCGCTCGCTTTGCATTGATAAACGTGCAGATTTTCAGATCAAACATGCGAGAGGTCCGGGGTTCAATCCCCCGTGAGTCCATTATCTTTTTCTTTTTTCTCTTTTTGCCCCTCCAACTTCACTACCTCACTACCTCTAACTATACAAAGAAAGTCATGAATTTCATCAACAAATGTATACTCTTCCTTAGTTACACTTCACGGCAAAGAGATTATGGCTTGAATCAAAGCTTTTTTACTAATGTGGTTATATCATCATACATTTGCCTCACATATTATTGCAATAGGCTAACAGTAATCACACCTCTCTGTATTTTAGTTGTACCACAGGACCCTCAAGCAGTTGGGAAGAAACCTGCCAATGGTCAACAATATTTGCCAGACTCTGTATGCTATCCTCTGGTTACATGTTGTCTTCATCCTAACATTAACATTCTCTATCAGTAGTTATGAACTTTAAATCAACCTCCATGGTCAGAAAGTTCCCATCACAGCCTCACGAATTCTCTGATGGATTACCCTACCAATAGGTCACATGACCCACAGACGCCTAAGTTTGCCACCTACCACGTGTACTGGGCTTGTGGTTTAGTGGTATAATACTTGCCTTGCAAGCAAGGGGTCCGGGGTTCGATTCCCCGCGAGTCCATGTTTTTTGTCTCTCTCTCACATCCAATTCTTCCCCAACATTCTATTTTTTACTTGGTTGCACTCGTCTTCTGATTAGCGAGACCAAAAATCGGGATGCCAAGAATATGCATTGGGCTTGTGGTTTAGTGGTATAATACTTGCCTTGCAAGCAAGGGGTCCGGGGTTCGATTCCCCGCGAGTCCAGTTTTTTTGCTTCCCCTGCCCACTGCTTGATCTCGTTTCTCTTGGTTCCTGGTTATGCAGAAGATCTTTTTATGCTGAGCATCACCTGGTACCAGATCTATCTATCTGCAGTCATGCTGATAGGAAAATTAATGTATACCTTGCGTATATTTTTCTGGCAGATACTCTCATGAGCGTCTCTCAAAAGATGAAACCTCCATGTTGAATACCTTGGTTAGAGATGGTAGTGATACATTGGACCAGTGAGCGGTATCGATGCTCACAAAGACTGCCTTTCCCTTGATCCTTTTTTTTGAGCTGCATACCAGGGTCGATCCCAAAAAAAGTCTCAAGGAAAGGCCTTTATGGGGTGGAGCAATAGGAGAATCGTGTCCCTTTTGATACAAATCCATATGCTCATATCAAAATCATCAACCGGCTCATGTCGCTGTCTCGCGTACTGCTTGCTAAGGAAAGGTGACTTGCTGGTAATGAATGACTGGGAAACTTCCTTGTTGAAAGTCCACAATGATTTCATTATAAATAGGATGGAAGTGAATAGGACATTCCATTGTAGCCAACCCCTGGTCTGGACAGGTAACATAAGAGTTCGGTGGTGAGCCAATTATTATTCTTGACGCTCTTTGTACTCGTGACTTTGTCATCCATTGAAGCAGACCTACTCTCTCTATTTTGTATTTCTTTGATCTGAGAGAAAGTCTGTACGAGTGAATCCTTTTTTTGTTTCATAAAATGAAAAACCCGAAGATAACTAATGTCAAGGCATCAACTCAGCAGATTCGATGGCCAGGCTGCCAGCTGTACTGGTAGCCTCCATTAGTACTGTGTATGTAGGCGACTTAGAAGGTGATAGTAGATAGTGGGGTCGAAGGTGACTGCTCGCGGCGCTTCCCCCAACAGAGATGCACTAATCACATACAACGAATGTAGGAGGAGCCGCAAGTTTCGACCTCTGTTCATTCACTACTAAACTCACGATCGACCACCCAACAACAACACTTGTATTTAAACTCTCTCTTCCACCTTCTTCCACTCTCCGACATTTCTGGTGACTCCTCAGGATTAAGTGCGATCGATTCCTGCAAGTCTCTTGAATCCAAAGCATCCCCCTTACTCCATCTCAGAATCGTTGGTTAGTCTTGCCCCCACCCCAGTGCCCCTCGCATCATAAAGTGCTTGGAGATTACGCAGTCGCGCTCGAACTTGAGGAGCTGTTGCAATCGAAGCTTTCCGGGGATAGGGTCTCTAACAACTGATTAGATAGCCGAGCAAGTTTTCTTCAAACCTCTCCAAAATGTCCACCACCGTCACTCTCACCAGCTCCGATGGCGTTGACCTCACGGTCGGTAAGTTTTTCTACCGACCTTAATTCGTTGCACATACTTCGCGGGCAAGGACTGCGGTCTCATACATTTGTCTTTCAAGAATTACACTAACGTGTACACTCGGTTAGACCGTGATGTCGCCGAACGCTCGGTTCTCATCAAGAACATGCTCGAGGATCTCGGCGAGTCGGGTGAAGCTATCCCCATTCCGAATGTGAGTGAATAGCCCCTGGTTTATCCCGCGAGACGTTCGATTCTCATAAAATACTGACTTCTCTCGCTCTGTGACAGGTCAACGAAGTTGTGCTGAAGAAGGTCATCGAGTGGTGCACTCACCACAAGAATGATCCTCCCAGCACTGGTGACGACGATGACTCCCGCCGCAAGACCACCGATATCGATGAGTGGGATCAGAAGTTTATGCAGGTCGATCAAGAGATGCTGTTTGAGATCATTCTGGTATGTCTCGGGCAATTCCCCCGCCCCCACGGCAAATATGCTAATACGTAAATCCTACAGGCTGCCAACTACCTCGATATCAAGGCCCTTTTGGATGTCGGCTGCAAGACTGTTGCCAACATGATCAAGGGCAAGTCTCCCGAGGAGATTCGCAAGACCTTCAACATCCAGAACGATTTCACCCCTGAAGAAGAGGACCAGATCCGCCGTGAGAACGAATGGGCTGAAGAGTAAGCTCGATTTGATATCTACTGTCTTGAAGTCTCCTATGCTAACTATCCGCTCACTGTAGTCGCTAAATGCGCTCACTGATCAGCGCCATCATTGCATTCTTTCTTTGACTGTTTCATCTGCTACCGTGGGCTTCTTCTGACATGACAGAATGAGCGGCAGCAACGATGTTTCGCCATGACTTTATCCGGTCTAAAGGTAACTTCAGTTCTACGGCGTTCGGTTCCTTTGACTTCCCAGCGGTTTTTTGCTTCTTGTTATTTCCACTGGCTATTTCCTCTTAGGCTTTCAGCCTCTTGATTGGGAGTTGTCTTCGCTTGTTCCAAAGAGATGGAGAGGATTCAGCTCTTATACCACCCGCAGGTGTGTTAGCTTGCTAGGTTGTCATGTCTATATCCATCCAAAATTCTATGCCCCCCACAGGCTTCTGGTTCGGTCTGCGTCGTTAAGGTGTCCAAGTGTCTCCTTTTTGGGATGAACTCTGAGCAGAGATCACAAGGCTCGTATTTTCTCTGTGAACATGAAGTATTGCTTCGCATCACTTGAAAAGATCCGAATCATAGAAAGGATGTTAAGACTCGCCAAGCTCTATCTTTGCGACCGTGATGTAGAATGCTTTGCCTATTGACCACCCAGTCCTTTCATTACTTCTTGAAATCTCCTGTCAAGAGAAATGTTCGCGTAGTGATCGATCCATAAAGGCCTCGTTGATAATCATTACCATCATGATTTTTTCTTTTATTATTTAGCTTGCGTACATGTAGAAATGCAGACTCATTACGTCCAGAGCCCGACACCGCTTATCCCCCACCCTTACAAGATCGCATTTCGTCACAAAGTCCAGAGGTGGAAATGAAGAGAAGCTTGAAGCCATTCGCGCAGGAACAGCTGGGCTAGACTAGAAGAGAAGAAAAATGCAAGTTCCCCAAGATGAATCGACATGTCATTCATTTGATACTTTTCTTTTCCGAACAGAAACACCGAGAGGTAGGTACATTGAAGAGCGGGACGAGTTCCGGACGCAGATGGATCATCGCGAGCAACATTTTGCGGTATCACAATCGAACGAAACAGCTGGGGACGGACATCTCGGTCGGAAAGGAAAAGGGATTCGTCTCGAGTTTAGATTCCGAGACGGGTCTTGCGCCAGTGTCTCCGCTTGGCGTTGTATCTGGTAGAAAAGAGAAAAGAGAAACCGTCAGCTGGGGGGTTGTTCTTTCGCAGTCCTTGAACAAGACAGTAGTTTCCAAATCCTTCGCTCCCTTCCTCGTTTGATTGTTGAACGCATAATAACGAGGTAGGTATCGCAAGAGGAGTGGTGTAGGCGAGGCGTCGACCCGTTCCATTCCCTTTTTTTTTTCCCATCCCGAGTTCGAAGGATTTTTTTTTCTTCGAAATGCCATGTAGAGAGGAGAAAAAGAGGGTATTTACCTGATGGTGTTACCGGTCCTGAGACGAATCCACTGGGGAATAGGACGGTTCTGTCTCTGGGCTTTGGCAAGCTTCTGCTTGGTGCGGAAACTCTTGTGGCTCTAATCACAACGAACAGGCACGTTAGCGGGCTGTCACTCCATCAAGGAACACTTTATTTCCTTTCGTCATCGAGGGCGAAAGCGTTGAAAAAAGATATCCTGACATCGAGGATATTTTCGAAAACATAGGGGAGGACTGCTAACCGGCATCTTGAAGACTTGTCGCGACGGCGAGCTTGGGATATGGACTGGCGATAGTGAGGTTGTCGACCGTCTTCAAAGGCCTCTCGTAGTGGTTATTTTTTGTGTGGGCAGGGCTTAGCGGTTCGCTTCGGGAAGGTCATGTGATATTTGCCTGAGGCAGAGATTTGAGGCTCCCATACTTTGACCTCTGGAAACACCACCTTTCCTATATTATCAGAGCGACAAATGCGACAGAGCAGCTTATATTTCAAGATCTGAAGAATCACATGTCGATTTTGTAACGTCCTTGCTTACTCGTAGTACCAGACTCTGGATGCTCCCCGACTTCGCGGTTTATCCGAACCAAGTCATCTGTGACTATTGAAGGTATTGAGAGAGGCTCTCATTTACTCCAAGGCCGCACTGGCCTGTTATTTCCAAGTCAAAATAAGCTTGGAGGACATAAAAGACCTTCTGAACTCTGAAATGTGGCACGTAGCCTCCATAGTCTATCATGGACACACCCGAGTCATGCTCATCGGAAAATTAGGTTGGTCTATACGATAGATCTACTCCGTACAGAATCTCGCAAAAACATGATATCTTATGAGTGTCCTAGCAATCAATCTCAGCAGTATCTTAGCCTCGTCCTTCCAAATGTCAATAGTTGTTACATGGGACCCATACGAGAGCTTCGCGTTTTCGAATACCCTCGTTGGGTACGTACCTTAGGCTGCAGGTTTATTACGTCTTCTGGTGAGCGTGCTTTATCTACTGGATACTCCGTAGATACATCGTCCGCGTGTCTATCTAATGCACCGGTTGGAATCTATCCGACTCGCTATTGATAAGGCTTGCGCTCTCTTGGAAGATCACACAATTGGGGTGGTCGATATGATGAAGCAGTGAATCGTGAAACTAGCATTTGAACTCCAATAGTACTGCTGCTGTGTTATCATTTAGATACTAAATAGATAATCGCTATTCCGAACTCCATGTATTAGATGGACGCAATCGGCCCTCCCACATTCGAAAACTAACTTTTCGAAAGGGGTTCAGATTTAGGACATAAGGACTCAGGAGATACGGAGTAGGTAAACAGCACCGAACGCGCGCAGACTAGGTACCTATCTATCTACTGAGAGGCTGAGCCTTGAGGAAGACAAGAAGAGTATCCAAATATGAAACAGGCCGCGTCGATACTTCTTTCAATGCCACCGACAAGATGCACCAATCAAGGTCTTGAGAGTTGAAACCATCTGGGTTCGCCTCCACGATAATCAATAATCTAGATGATGGGGTTCCTTTTCAAGCGTCTGACTGGATGACAGACAACCTAAATTGACAATACATCGCTTAAAACAAAGTTGGGTGGATGTCGGGGCTCATATCTGCCGAACGCCGACTGCATTTAGAAAAAGTGCATAACAGGGTTGATTAGATAACAACTGTCATCAGTCCCATCACTACTGCATCAGGCATGATCATGAACGCTACGGCCTCATTCTCATTATTTCTTCATCTCCAGTAAGGCTTTGGCGCAAAGCACTATCTACATACCCACTGTGTAAAACACGGAGAATTCAGCCGCTTAACGACTTTCAGTATCAGTTTGCTAGAATATTCTAGGCCAAAAACTCCGAGTCCATGTTGTCGTACTCGCTAAAGGATGCCAAGCTATGACTAGTGTCTCAGTCGGAATTCGGAGTAACCGACCTAGTCACTAACTCACTACTACAGTAAGTCACTATGCATGGGCAGTTAAAGATGACTCGTATACTATCCTTGCTGCCTTAAATAATCCAGAGTTGAGGATTGGTGGTGGGGAACAGAGTGACTCATGATCTGATCATTTCCTTCGGACACTGTCGTGTCGTATTCTCTATTAGGATATACGCTGTCGCGGTCCAACATTGGTAGATACTACTAGGCGGCAAAAAGCATTATCTATATTCTGCAAAGTGCAAATGACAAGCAAACGAAGGATCTACATGATGGGGCACGGTCAGAGATGCTGTGGATACCAATTTATACTACGACTGGGGAATTCCTCTAATCTCCAAATGTGATTGACAACTCAGTAGTGGCATTTATTTGATCTGCTTTGGACTTTGGAGAGGTCCGACAACAAAGCCTGGTGGACAGTGGACAGAATATCTGTTACTGGAGAACTGCAATCAAATGTATGAACTGAATCCTCTCCCGTATATATGATGATATATATATGACTGGCTCACTTGCAGAACTAGGTGGTAGGTAGTTGTGCATAAAAAACCATCGGATAGTCGGGGCTCCGAAGCGAAAACATCGGGCGTACCGATCCCGTAATAAATTCTGGACTACGGAGATGGAAGTTAACTACCCGTATAAAATTAGATCCCAAACTAACTACTTGGATAGATAAGTTGGCAGGGGTAAACTAGTCTGTCGAATACGTGAGATGATTGATTTATATACCAGGCTGACGCTGTCGGGGTCCAGATTTGTCTTGTCCTGCTGAGTGAAAGGCTTAGCTTTTATAGGAGGCGTCTGGAGCACTCTTGATCCTTTTTGCCTCTATCCTCTATCCTCTATATCCTAGTCACAATAGCCTCTTCTCTTCTGCAAAGAAGAACACCCAGATTATTCCCCTTTTCAATTTCGACCAGGTCCGTCTCTGGGCTTCCGATATTCAATCCACCAATCTTCGGTTGGCATCCATGGAGTAGTGCAGTTTGAAGTATCCGAGGGATTCTCATACCGTGACATCTCGATACGGGACGTTTACAGAACAACTATCAAAAAAAAAGGAACGGGATCAATATGGTTTCGCCAGAAAACGACATCTCCTCGCAGGAGAAACACGCTGCGGATTCTCGAGTGGCGAGCCTGGAGAAAGGGCGTTCTACTTCTTTATCTTCCAACCCTGAAAATGAGAAACCTCAGGATCAGAACTCCGTTTCAGGGTCGACCGTGACTCCCTCAGCCGGCAAGAAAAATGACCCCTCGCCAGCGTTAGCTGGGCAGAAGGTTGATCTAGGCGACGATGCTCTGTTTGCTCATCTGCCAGAGCACGAGAGAGCGATCCTGAAGAAACAGCTTGATGCGCCCGACATCAAGGTCTCATTCGGTATCTTGTACCGCTATGCTTCCAGAATGGACATCTTCATCATCCTTGTTAGCACGATTTGCGCCATTATTGCTGGTGCTGCTCTGCCATTGTTCACGGTATGTGGTGATCTCTATTCGATTCTGCGTCGTGCATATTTGTATAGCTTTCCTCCGACGGGGTAGCGTTTAGGCGTTCTAACTGACGGCTGTCTACTAGATCCTATTCGGCTCTTTAGCTTCGGCCTTTCAAAACATTACTCTGGGAACCATATCCTACAGCGATTTTTACCACCAGCTCACTAAGAATGTTCTGTACTTCGTATATCTCGGTATCGCAGAGTTCGTTACAGTCTACGTCAGCACCGTTGGTTTCATCTACACAGGCGAACATCTTACACAGAAGATTCGAGAGCATTACCTTGAGGCTATCTTAAGGCAGAACATGGCTTATTTCGACAAACTGGGCGCCGGTGAAGTGACAACTCGTATTACGGCTGATACCAACCTGATCCAGGATGCCATCTCCGAGAAAGTCGGGCTCACATTGACCGCGCTTGCCACCTTTGTCACCGCATTCATCGTCGCCTACGTCAAGTATTGGAAGCTGGCTCTGATCTGTACGTCGACTATTGTTGCCCTCGTCTTGGTCATGGGAGGTGGATCGCGGTTCATTGTCAAGTACAGCAAGAAGTCCCTCGAGAGTTATGGTGCAGGTGGAACAGTCGCGGAAGAAGTTATCAGTTCCATTCGAAACGCCACTGCTTTCGGAACTCAAGATAAGCTCGCCAAACAGTACGAGACTCACCTGGCCGAGGCAGAGAAGTGGGGCATTAAGCAACAAATCATCATGGGCATGATGATCGGCGGCATGTTTGGTATCATGTACTCGAATTACGGTCTTGGTTTTTGGATGGGCTCCCGGTTCCTCGTCGATGGAGAAGTGGGGGTGGGCCAGATTCTGACCGTCTTGATGGCCATTCTAATCGGTTCATTCAGCTTGGGCAACGTTGCGCCGAATGGCCAAGCATTTACAAATGGTGTGGCTGCAGCCGCCAAGATCTACAGCACGATCGACCGCTTGTCGCCGCTGGACCCCTATTCAGACGAGGGCGAGAAACTGGAGAACTTTGAAGGAAACATCGAATTTCGGAATATCAAGCACATCTACCCTTCAAGACCAGAGGTGACGGTTATGGAAGATGTCTCTTTGCTCATGCCTGCAGGAAAGACCACCGCGTTGGTGGGACCATCTGGTTCTGGTAAGAGTACGGTCGTTGGGTTAGTTGAACGCTTCTATCTCCCTGTCGGTGGTAAAGTTCTGCTGGACGGTCGCGACATACAAACCCTCAACCTCCGTTGGCTGCGTCAACAAATTTCTCTTGTGAGCCAGGAGCCCGTCCTCTTCGGTAGTACAATCTACAAGAATATCAGGCACGGCCTGATTGGAACCAGATTCGAGACAGAGTCCGAGGACAAGATTCGTGAACTCATTGAAAATGCAGCGAAAATGGCCAATGCTCATGAGTTCATCATGGCACTACCCGAAGGATACGAAACGAATGTTGGTCAGCGGGGATTCTTGCTCTCTGGTGGCCAAAAGCAACGTATCGCAATAGCTCGCGCCATAGTCAGTGACCCGAAGATTCTTTTGCTTGATGAAGCCACATCTGCCTTGGACACCAAGTCCGAAGGTGTCGTTCAAGCCGCGCTGGACAGAGCCGCTGAAGGTCGGACCACCATTGTTATCGCTCACCGACTCTCCACCATCAAGACGGCTCACAACATCGTCGCCATGGTCGGCGGAAAAATTGCAGAACAGGGAACTCATGATGAATTGGTTGATCGCAAAGGTACCTACTTTAGCCTCGTGGAAGCGCAGCGCATCAACGAAGAAAAGGAGGCAGAGGCTTTGGACGGTGACGCAAACATGAACGCGGACGATTTCGCCCAGGAAGAGGTCGCACGCATTAAAACTGCAGCTAGTAGCTCAAGCTCCCTCGATGATGAAGACAAGCATGTTCGTCTCGAAATGAAACGGACAGGAACCCAAAAATCCGTTTCGAGTGCTGTCCTTTCCAAGAGAGCTCCCGAGACGACCCGGAAGTACTCGCTCTGGACTCTGCTCAAATTCATCACTTCATTCAACCGACCCGAGACTGGTTACATGCTTATTGGGTTGGTTTTCTCCGTCCTGGCTGGAGGAGGCCAACCTACACAAGCTGTTCTGTACGCCAAAGCAATTAGCACGCTGTCATTGCCCGAGACTATGTTCCAAAAGCTCAGACACGATGCAAATTTTTGGTCTCTGATGTTCTTCGTTGTCGGAATTGCTCAGTTCATCTCCCTCGCGATCAATGGGTCGGCATTTGCTGTTTGTTCCGAAAGGCTCATCCGTCGGGCTCGAAGCCAAGCGTTCAGGTCAATCCTTCGCCAAGATATTTCGTTCTTCGACCGGGAAGAGAACAGCACCGGTGCCTTGACCTCTTTCCTTTCCACAGAGACCAAGCACTTGTCGGGAGTCAGTGGAGTCACTCTAGGAACAATCCTTATGACTAGTACCACTCTCGGCGCCGCGATGATCATTGCCTTGTCTATTGGATGGAAGCTAGCTTTGGTTTGCATTTCCGTTGTCCCAATTCTGTTGGCCTGTGGTTTCCTCCGGTTCTACATGCTTGCTCGGTTCCAGCAACGATCAAAGACTGCCTACGAAGGCTCCGCAAGCTACGCCTGCGAAGCTACATCTGCGATCCGAACTGTGGCGTCTCTTACTCGGGAAGAGGATGTATGGGCCGTTTACCATGGCCAACTTCAGAATCAAGGGAAGAAGAGTTTGATTTCCATCCTGAAATCCTCTCTGCTCTATGCTTCCTCGCAGGCGCTTGTTTTCTTCTGCGTTGCTCTTGGATTCTGGTACGGGGGTACACTCCTGGGCAAGCACGAGTACAGCATTTTCCGTTTCTTTGTTTGCTTTTCCGAGATCCTCTTTGGTGCGCAGTCGGCAGGTACCGTCTTTTCGTTTGCTCCCGACATGGGCAAGGCCAAGAATGCCGCTGCTGAGTTCAAGAAGCTATTCGATAGGAGACCGACCATTGACATTTGGTCCGAAGAGGGCGAAAAGCTCGATTCTGTGGATGGCGAGATTGAATTCCGAGATGTGCATTTCAGATATCCGACTCGTCCGGAGCAGCCTGTCCTGCGGGGATTGAATTTGAGTGTGAAGCCTGGGCAGTACATCGCTCTTGTTGGACCTAGTGGATGCGGAAAAAGTACCACGATTGCTCTGCTCGAACGCTTCTACGATACACTCGCGGGAGGGGTCTTTGTGGATGGCAAGGATATTACCAAGCTCAACGTCAACTCGTACCGCAGCTTTCTCGCCCTGGTCAGTCAAGAACCAACTCTGTACCAGGGAAGTATCAAGGAAAACATCCTGCTCGGTGTCGACAAAGATGATGTCCCCGAGGAGGCTCTGATTAAGGTCTGCAAGGATGCCAACATCTACGATTTCATCATGTCACTTCCGTAAGTTCCTTTCACCATTGTCCCATTGATCTCTCTTGGTTTTTCGACTAATGTGATATGACAGAGAGGGATTTGACACCGTTGTTGGCAGCAAGGGAGGCATGTTATCTGGTGGACAGAAGCAACGAGTCGCCATTGCCCGAGCTCTCCTACGTGATCCTAAAGTTCTCCTTCTCGATGAAGCCACATCTGCTCTCGACTCGGAGTCCGAGAAGGTCGTGCAGGCTGCTCTGGATGCGGCTGCCCGCGGCCGGACTACCATCGCGGTTGCTCATCGTTTGAGTACTATCCAAAAGGCTGATATCATCTATGTCTTTGATCAAGGCAAGATCGTCGAGAGTGGAACACATCAAGAGCTGATCCGGAATAAGGGCCGATACTTCGAACTCGTCAATATGCAGAGTCTTGGAAAGACTCAGTAATTTTTTTCTATTTCGCTACCCTCTAATACACTATTTTCTAATGTCCCGCTCCCCCCTCCTCAATTTTCTCAGATGTTGGTGTTTGTGATTTTGTTAATATACCTTTCTATTTATGTGTCTATGATTCCCTCCTGTAAAAAGTTACAGCCGAACATGTCCTCTTCATTCATCCGAGGTTGTGTTGTGTTTTCTTTTGCAAGCGTCCCACAATAGAGCTAACTTGGACAGCTGTTGGTTTTCTATCTGGCTCGAAAGAGAAGTGCGTGTCTGATGATCCCAATCTAATAGACTACCTCATTTCTCTTTATGATCCATGAATTGGACATCGGACACATTCCCCCAATGCAATAAAACAGCACATCAGCTCCTCGTAACCATGTTCGTCATAGCCATGATCAATTAAATAAAACAGTAATTCTTGAGAAGAGAAAGCTTTTAGTCCCGATCCCCCAGCCCAAATTCCCGCTGCACATCGATCTGTCTCATTCCACGGGCATCTGCAATGAGACCCAGCAGACCTTGTCCAACGTCCTTGATTTCGTTATACTCATGGAGAAGACGAATATGATGCTTCACCGTCATCGAGGGATCATTCCTACATTCCGTGAGTAAGTTTATTCCCCTGAAGCCCAGCGCAAATCAAATCAGTAGGGGAGAGAGGATATACGCACTTAAGTTTCGCTTTCGTCTCAGCGATTTGAGCCTCGAGTTGAGCGGTTTGAGATTGGATATCTGCGATGGAAGCCTGGAGGGCCTTCTGCATGGCTGTCAGACTCCATTTCTTTATTCTATCGAGTACGAGGAGGGAAAACGTACGATCTTCTTGTCCCGTTGGACTTGCTGTTCGGGACTCAAGTGCGAGACGTCGGGGGGTTGGCTGTTTTCGGTGGGTGATTGAGGCGGGCTCTGGGTGCTCGGGAAGGGCATTGGGAAGGCTCTCTAGGAGCCCTCTAGAGACTGATGTTTTCAAGAGAGAGAGCGAGAGAGAGCGAGAGAGAGCGAGAGAGAGAGAGATAGGGGAGCTGGTTTATGCCCCTGTGGTAGATTTAGGAGTATGGATACAGTTGGTTGATGGGGTATGAGAAATGTGGTGGATAAGGAATGTTGAACGCATCACCACCGGATGTTCATTTTCCTCGGGTTAAGATTACAAGGACTTGGTAGACCTCAAAATTGAAGACTCCTGGTGCTCCTGTGGACCTGACATTCGTGCTCTGCTAGGGAAATGTGCCATTTTTAGATTGCTCTTAAGCTTTTTTGGCAGATGAAATCTAATCAGCCATATATGTATTGTTGGTGGTAGTAGTTCCAAATAGTCTCCTACTCCCAGATCAATTTCTTCCAAACAAAGTGTGATCATATATCCCCAGTACTTGAATTAATTCAGTGAAACCATCTCTCCTCTATTCCATACATTAATATTATATTACTTCTGCATCTCTCTCTTGTGTAGATAGGTAGTAGTGAGGACCATCTCCGGCCAATCCGAAGCGAATCTCTGGCCCAAATCGGCCATTCGTAATACTATCATGAATCGCATTGGCTCCACTACTACTACTAGGTAATTACCTACGGAGTGGTCCATCCATCTTCCCTCCAACTTTACTGTCTTCTTCATCCTCTTATCTATTAGCCTTGCACCCCCTTCTCGACTCTTCTTTCTCGATTTTGATGAAGAAGATGATGATGGGTTTCATGAACCTACGAGGGGTGCTGACAGCTCTCCTTCTGGTCTCTCCCACATTCGCTCATGGCGGCCATGAAACTGTCCCCGACGGAGCCGCAGTCTCGCAAGAACCCATTGTACGGTTTGATCCACGCACTGCTGCTATATATCATCCACGGTGATAATCCAACTCGGACTAACCTTGCTGCGTGGATTAGGATTCGACATTATGGGTGCACATGATCTTGATGGGATTCGCCTTTGGCATTATCTTTCCACTGGGTATGGTACTAGGGGTACGTTCGCTCTGGCCATTCGAACCGATCGCAGAAGCCGTATCGATGCCTAACGAGTTTTACAATTTTGCAGATTGTGCGGTCACGCTGGCATGTTCCTTTACAAATCGTCGGCACGATCATCGCAGTCGTCGCGTACTTCCTAGGTCACGCTCACAAAGGCCGCAAATTCGGAAAGAATGTCCACGCCTCGTTCGCAAACCTCTTGATGATTCTGCTGGCGGTACAGGTCGTCCTGGGTCTCTATCTCAAACTGCATCTTTCCAAGGGGATCCACGGCCGGATCCGTCGGTTTTTCGTGATGCTGCACGGCGTCCTCGGGAAAGCGATGCCGATTGTGAGCTGGACACAGATGGTCTTTGGAGGTATCGCCGCCAATGGCTTCTGCCAGGATGATCATCTCGGACAATGTCTGGCGCACTTCATTATGGGTAGCGCATTTATCGCCTACGGTATCATGCTCACCATTCTTCTGCTCGTTGGCCAGCTCTGGCTGCGGCGCACTGGCCGGAGTCAAGAGTTCTTTGATTCCTTGGTTATCGCCGCCTGGGGTTGCGTCAATACCTTCACGGAGCACCGATGGGGAGGACCTTGGGTACACAATGATCTGCAGCATACTACAATGGGTATTGTCTGGTGGTGTGCCGGCCTTTTGGGAATCTGGATGAGCCGGAAGAGAAACGGGCGCCCCAAGCGGAATTTGATCCCGGCTATCGTGATCCTATTGACAGGTTACGCGATGTCGTCTCATCCCCAGACCTTGATGATCAGCACGATGGTCCACACCATCTTCGGCTACACCTTGATGGCTGCCGGCCTCACGAGAATCATTGAGATTGCCTTTGTACTCAGGGATCGAGGCTCCGTGAACCCGGACGGCTCGGATCCTAACAGCTTTCAATATCTCACCCCTTTTGTAAGTTCTTACCTGCTACTCTTACCTGATTGCGTTGTGGTAAACAGAATCCTGGCTAACATCATTCCAAAGCTTCTCTACGCATCTGGCTTTCTGTTCATGGGTGCAACAGAAGAGCAGATGCAGCTGCTGCACAACGCTGGGATCACGCACGTGTCTTACATTCTGATTCTATATAGCATCGCCTTCATCCTCTTCCTCTGTAAGTCGCCTATCTGTCACTTCCTGCCCACCTCTTAAAGCTTTGGCTCTAACCTGATTCGCAGTCGTAAACATCCTCCTCCACATCTACGCCGTCCACGCATGGCCCGAGTCCGCCAAGTTCCCCTCACGTTCTTCCGCCTCAGACAGGTCCGAGGATACCTACGTGAATGGCCATGCCCGTTCCGCCTCTGAGACGCAGCAAATCGACGACGCAGAGGCATTCGAACTGCAGGGCCTCATTTCAGATGAAGAAGATGATGATCACAGACCCGGTAACCGCAACAATGCTCTGGGTCCCCGCAAGACGGAAGATGAAGAGAGTGCTCCTCTAGTTGCCAAGGAGACGTCGTCGAGCTAATTTCCCAAGGACGCACCGGCATCTATCCATAACCTTTATCTGCCTTTCTCTGCTCGCATTTTGCTCCTTGTGGCTCAAATCCAGATTTCATCAAAAGTTGGGACGCTTTACATACCGGTCAGATCCTTGGCTCATAGGACCAAGAGAGGGAAATGCCGAGTTGTCGTGCTTATATTTTCACATGCTTGTTTGGGAGCGGCGTTGCTGGAACACATGTCCATTTCAACTTACACTTCTGAATGCCTTATAATATCTGTTGTTGGCCTGTACATATATACCACATGCATGCGAATGATTCTTTTCTAGTCATACCTCACGGGTCTGCGAAACACCCCTAGCAAGGTAATTGAATAGGAAAACGTTTTGTCATTCATTTTATGACTCTATCGTACACATCGTAATACCCCGCTGAAACATGCAGGCGTAGGGAAAAAGGGCAAAAATGATCGGTGATCATGTTCCAACCTCGATAGCTAATTCACAAAGTGAACGGTAAGTGTAACACCTTAAACCTCAAGATGCTTGAGGTATAGAAAAAGCAATTGTGTCTCGTCAGAGAGGTATCGCGTTCGCTACGGGAGGGATGGCAGGAAGCGCATTTTCCACATCCGGGGAAAGAAAGGGTGCAGGGGGTAGATAGGCGCGACGGATTTCTCACCGTCGAAGAGTAGGAGATTCTGCAGCGGTTGCTCCCGAGCGCTCAGGACATTGATCACGTCTTGTGCCAGGCTGCCGCCGACGAACGCTGCGACGGGACTCAGCTCGCTGCCCAGATTCTGGAGGAAGGTGCGCAGGAACTCCGAGTCGAGTGTGCTGATGTCGAGCTTCAATTCCTGGTGCCGATCGCGAGCGAGCTTGGTAAAGAGCTCCAGGTCCTCCCGAGAGAAGGACGGTAGCCTGCCACCAGAGAGCTTCTGGAACTCCCACAATGCGCGCAGGCAGGTCAGCAGGGGTGTCACCTGTCGTCGTCTCCGTGGCAGACGAGTTAGATCTTCAGGGAGAGGTGACGTGTTTGCTAAGATCAGAGGAGAGTATATCTCTCGCTTTGTTACCATCTCAATAACTTTGTCGTTTTCCTTCTTTGTAGTTATGTTGACGATGCTCCTAGTAGGGGTTTCCTGCATGGCTGGCGAAACATTCGATCTGGACCGTTCGATGACGAAATCATGGGAAATCAAATCGGCGAATGCGTACCCATAGAATCCGTGCAATCCGGCAGCGTAGAAAGGGCGATTGGCAATACGGCATGCTGCATTGATTGTTGAATATGTAGCAAAGTCAAGCTCGGTTGCAATAGTAATATCGAACTGTGCGAAGAAGTCCGGTTGCTTGGAGTGAATATCCTCCGTATCAACCCGCAGTTGCACCCTGGGATTCATGGCATGGATTGCAGGCGCTGCAGCTTGAGCGCGCTGAAGCTCTGATCAGTTTGTTTGCCCCTAGCTTGAAAGTGGCTTTTTCGACTGGACGACATACATTTTGGCCCACATGCTCTTCAGATATGAAGAACTGCGCCCCGAGATCTTCTTCTTTGACATTTTCATGATCAACAATTGTCAAAGTACCAATGCCTGCTAGGACAAGATTCTTTGCAATCTCATTCGCCAACGCTTTGAAGGTGATCAGAAGTATGTTCGCGGATCGGATCCTGGAGGGGAGAGTATCCATAATCAGATGTATGAAATGAGGTTGTAATGATCCGGTTTACCCACTTTTCCTGGGCCTTAACACCCCAAAGACGAATTTGACGATCGTATAGGGCAATCTCGTCTATGGATCAAGCACATATCAGTCATGTACAACCCGACTTGTCCACGATAGTCACTTTGGCACCTACCCGCACTGATCAATTGACCCGTATTTTCTTGATACTCTGCCATGCTGGAGATTTGATGCACAAGGCTAGTAATGTAGGTTCTGTCTCCCAAGCTTCGGTGGTCCTTTTAAGAGACTATTTCCTCCAGTTGTGACTATGTCGCGATCGGCGCTCAATGCAGGAGGGCAGTCGATTAAGGTGTGTCTATTGAGGTATGCGATCTCAAAGATGGCTATAACGAGAAAAGCAGATCTGGCCAGTAGGTCTTAGATTTCGCACGGAGAAGCTGTCATTAAGAGGAAGAGCATCATCAAGTAGGAAGGACAGAGCAAACTAGGAAGAGAACAAAAGGTTAATGAAGAGCAGGTCCAGTATCCGGTATGCAAGCAACATGCAAGTAGCCGGTAGTGTAGCTTCCAGATCAATGGCAGCTGGTAGTGCAAGAGACGAATCGATTGAATGGAATGAGAGCAGGATGATGGACTGAATGTGGTTATGGAGCAAGTGTAGCTATTATCGCACTTCCTTATCCAGGATCACGTGCCCCACATCATCGCCGATAAGGTATCGCCTCGACACAAGCGTCATTTAGAGAGCAACATTGTTATCATCCACACCCTGCTTCGTACTCAGCTTTCACGTCTCTCTCTCTCTGTTGCTGTTTTTCTCTTGAGATCTCCTACCACTTTTTACCCATTCCTGTCTATCTAGCTGTCGGTTGTCTACTGAGCTCTGTATCCCTCCTGCTCAGCCCAATTTAGTTCTCTCCCATATCATTCAATGGTCTTGGTATAGTGCATCCCCGCCTTTGAAACCATCAAGGCCAATCACTGCCCACTGACTGCATGCCATTATCATAGAATGGTGCGTGAGTAGCTCAAAGAGTTTTGTTTTTTGAAGTTGATAACCATGATTTCTCCCTCGATCTCTCCACTGGCATGACAAGAGGATCGTTCCTGTCCCCAGAAATGGCATGTTCACTGACGGTTTCGTGGTCATACTGTAGTCGGGGAACTACGATTACCCTACCGCCTCTAGTCGTATATCTCGTGCAAACCGTTCCTCTGATAGATCACAACGACCCACTGGAAACCGCCTACAGCATCTACGGGACCTGTTGAGCTCTGAGCGTCATCGGGATAGTTCTACCACTGCTCGTGCCCTAGACATTCTGAACCAAGAGATAGAAGAATATCGCTCCAGCCGGGCACGCAATTGGACCAGCTTTGAGCAAGCGAGAGAAGCTGTAGATCGTCAGATCCAGCAACTACAGGCGACGAACTCGCAAAGAGGGGAGCAGACGCTCGATGCCCGATTAGGTTACCCACGGTCAGGGATACATAGAGTCTCCAATTCGAATAACTCAGCTGTGAATTTTAATGCCCTAGGCCCTGCTACCACACGATCATCTCGAATCAGGCGCCGACACACGCGATCTCGTCCCAGAGAAGGTCGAAATAGACACTCTGAGGCAAGCTCCCTTCTCGACGAGCCCATCCCCGAGAGTGAGTCGCTTTCTACGATGCCGCTAGAGCCAGATACCGATCCGCAGGGTGACAGAAGGAGGGCTAAACGGAGAAAACTTGAGTCCGACGATAAAAGAGAAGGACTGCAAGCCTTTCGCTATGGTCACTATGGCCAAGTCGTTCCTGGGGCGCTCAGAATGGAAATCAAGATGTGCGATGGTGGAACGTACGACGATGATACCGATGGCGAGAATGCGTCTCCTGAGTGCGTTCTGCGAAACGATTCGACTGTTTACTGTACGAAGACAGATCGGTGCAATTTGATCCTGAAGCATCGGGAAGACACCCCGTTCTGCTTAAGCAGAATTGTCATTAGAGCTCCAAAGATTGGCTACGATGCTCCGTACGTTTTTGTACGAAAGCCATTTTGGAAAACACGTTTGGGCTGACTTTAATTAAGGATACAAGAGGGAATGGTCTTCGTTTCAATGACATATGACGACGTCTTGGCTCGAACAGCGGCTTTCAGGGTACTCAAATCGGATCCTCGACGTCCCCTCCGAAATAGGCGGAATGGAATGCAACCCTCCGAACAATATATGAACGCATTTCGCACCCCACTCCAATATTTAGAAAGATCTGCTTCTGGTAGCACGGATTCTCCGTCAGACTCTGATAGTGATATCAGTGCCATCGCAGGCCCTGACGCTCCTGATCCTATGGCCGAATTCCAGGTGACAACTGAGTATGACGGTACCTCGGACGGGGATGACGGGGATGATTTGGACAGCGAGGACGATATGGCAGATGACTTCGAACGCTCCGAAAGTGAGGACAGCGGAACAGAGAGAGTCGTAGCGGATGAGGCAACATTCAACCGCAGACGTGATGAGATGCTGCAGCGTATAGAGGCCATGGAGTGGTCATATGAGGTCGAACATCGCGGACTACAACGGCGGCGTCGGGTACCCACTCATGTTGAGCCTGCTGCAGCTTCTGCGCCCTCAGATTCCCAGCGCACAAGCCCGTCCTCCCCACCTGTCCTGAAGCCACATGCACGCTTCTCGATAGAGCGAGCGAAGAGTATGGTCAACATCAAGTTCGACCCCCCAGCGTAAGTGCTATCAATCGACCCTGTCACGGATCACTTGTTCCCGCTGACTGCAGGCTTACTGACCGATTTCACTAGGTCTGGGAGATACGTTCTAGTGAAGCTATGGAACCCCCGCATCGACGGCAACATCGATATCCAGAGCATCGTCACATACGGGTACGCAGGCCCGCGATTTTTTCCAGCTGGAGATTTCAGATGAAACAACCATCAAGTAGCTGGAGTTCTCGGATTCAAAAGGAATGGATGCTTACTCATTGACCTGCCCTCGGATCATCATCTTCCTCTTCTTCTCACTCGCAACTCCCTCCCACCTCTCGAGTTTTCTGCCTGTTGGCGAAAGGTCACCAACACCACATAGTCTAGTATAGGAATCGCTGTCATTTTTAGTGTGTTTCAGTTTATATTGCGCGGTGGATAGAGGTGTGGTTCGGCGTATATGGCAACGGATTCATATGCTCTTCTGGGACCATTTTTCTCGTCTATGTATTTAGCGGTCTCGCTCATAGGTTGTACGGTATAAATGGATCAAGAAGTTTGAACAAGGATGAGAAAGATCGAAATTCAAAGGATATCTAACAACTGAATACATGATATCGTTAAACAATGCTTTCGTACAGTGAGCCATGTGCAGCTGAGTGCTGCAAGTTGGCTCAAAGGCCCCGATATCCATGCAAACCAGGGCGGGACGCGGCGTCTGGCTCCCCAACATCAGAAGGGAAATATCCTGCAGGAGTTTTCTGTGCAATGGTAGGTAAAGTCTCATCAAATAGAACAAGGAGTAAAAGACGTGCATGTTGGCATCCGTAAGAAGCCTACCTAGGACATCTCCAGGATAACTCTCATAACCAAGGTGCCCCGAGCAGAGGACTCGGATGATGGTGGGTCGAGGATAATCGTGAGGCAATAACCTGGATTTCTCGCATGCCTTTGCTGGTCTTAGGATAAGACAGCATCCCCCCCCTTCACCCCCCTCCAAAAAAAAAAAAGCCACCCAAAAAAATCCCCCAAGACATGAAGACCAGTGATGTTTCAGCCCATAAAGTATAGCATGGAACGAATCGAAGACAAAGGGCCAGGAGATTAGAATGAACATATGGAGGAAACACCGCCTGTAAACCGAGGCCACCACTATGCAAAAGTGACAAGACGTCCGCACAGACAAAACCGACCCGGTTCCTATGTACATCAACTTCGGTCTCGTAAACGCAAAGGCAAGGGCAAGGAGAAGAGGAATGCTGAAGAATGAAGCGGGATCCATCGCGCCATTAGATGAGTATGAATGATGACCAAAACAACCCAGGTGTTGCAGGTCGAGGTCTGTCGCATTGGTGCTCGTTTCTCGTCCCCCGTGCAAAAGATCGTCCAACGCCAAGCCGTATACATGAAATGTAAATAGTCAATCAACCCAAAAGATGCACCTGAAAATGTAATCCAACTCCATCCACACGAAGTAAAAAGAGTCGTGTGTCCAAAAGAAGAGAATAAGATAGAAATGTGATGGGTATGCATGGGCAGCTATATGACGACAACATCCCCTTCAGCATCGGCTGGATCAGAGGCCATCATGTCCCCATATTTGCCCACGGACATAAGCATAGAATCCTCATCAAGATCGATAGCGCTATCATCATTGTTTGGAGCATGGAATCCAGCCATACTTTCATTGATGCTAGGTGGCTTCTCACCCTCCATAGAGGGGTGATCGATTTCTACCGGCTGGTTGAGCGGTGGTCGGTTTTGAGTGTTGAGTTCCGCCGTCGTAGGGCTTGTGTTTGATCTTGACCTGGATCCGCCTGAGTGCTGTTCCTCCAAAGTCATAAAAGAACCATTCTTCGCAGCAGACGCGTCGTTGGCTTGTCTCAAAAGAAAATTGGTAGGGCCAGACTGATTCGACCCTGAAGCTGCATTCTGCAACGTACTCGGTGTAGATCGCATGAAGCCATTCTTCTCTGCTTGCCAAAGCATCATCTCATGGAAGAAGACTTTCGTCATCCACCATGCGCTGAAACTTTGTGCACCTCCAAGGGTCAGTCGACGAAGGACACAATCCCACAGGGCATCAACTTTTTCAATTATGCACTGTGTACGATGATGAGGAAATGCTGACGCAAGATTGAGTATAAAGGCTATCCATTTGTCCGGGAAGCTGTACTCATCACCAGTAGAGGACTCGACAGGGAATTTGTGAGCAGCATGGTCGGCTTCCGTGTCGGCCTTGGTGAAGAATGGGTGTGATACAGAAGGATTCATATCATCAATAGGAGTCAGCAAGGCCCGCATGTCATGTTTCAGGATCTGCTCGGCAGCTCGCTCCGCGCAGCTGGGAATGTTCGCTCTGGAGATCATCTCCTTGGGATCAACGAGTGTTTTAAAGTCGAACCACATCTGATTTCTATTATCTGGGTGGCAAAGCCACGCGGCCGCAGCGTTGGCTGATTGATTGACATCAAGCATGTGCTTGAGCAAATTGCAGAATATATGGGCCGGTATCAACCTTGCCAAAGTGACATGTGCAGGCTGCGCTTTGAAGGTTTCAGCAATGTGGGATGTCAAGCGTTGAGATATTGAGCTGAACGCATCAAGAACGAGTTTGGGAACGACTTGCGTGGTTAGCGGCGCCACGAATGCAATCATTTTCTGATACATCAGCCAGTCGCATTCCTTGATCCAAGGGGCCAGATTAGGATGGGTTAGGAGCTTTTGAACTGGAACCGTCAAGGTTCCGTGGAAAGCAGAGAAATATCGTAGAAGATTCCGCTCCTTGCAGTAGCGGAAGCTATCGATGACTGAGATACAATGCGATCGGTAAAGGGCAGCAAGAGCCGCAGCGACTTTCGTATCAGTATTCGCGGGGAGATATCCCCGGATATCAGGCAGCTGAAGTGACTCATTGTCAATAGACGAGTCGTCGGTGCATGGTAGTTGCAGCATCTGGTGGATTATCTTTGCAGAGTGATTTCCAACATTCTCAAGAGTAACAGAGGAGTCGCCATTGGAAGCAGCGGACATTTGGCAGTCACAGCCTGCATTTTGATTATGAGCTGCAAACCTTGGTGTAAACGAAGTCGTGGGTGCTGGGAACACCGCACTGTCCGTCGGGGGTTGTGGCAAGATGCTGATACAATGACTGATGTGAGCCCCCAACTGGTCAGATCCTAGCCCACGAATATTTGACGTACCTCTTTTGCATGCCATCATCAATTTTGTTTTCTCCCCCAACTGGGCCATTGGAGTTGAAAGACACTTGAGGATTCAAGGGTGGAGGCTTCTGCTGTTTCTCCTCGATCACTGTCAAATCCACATAGTGATACTTGGACTCCCCACGGACACCAAGACGCCTAGTCTGCACATTTGGAAATATTATGCGCACTAGTTTCCCAAAAGAAGCAGGATTCAATACAGATACACGCTCGGTTCCGCATTTCTCTGCATAGCAGCAGTAAACACGATCGCGCCGGACCGAACCACTGCTTTTCCGGCAATTCTCTTTCAACCTGAAGACAAATGAGCGATGGTGTTCTGGAACAGCAACCGACAAGACGCATCAACCTACCAGATCATGGCAAAGACCTGCTTGACCTTCTCGGCCTTGCCTCCGGCCCCTTCATGTTTCAGAACCTCCGCTGCCATCTGTTTTAGCGAATATCCCTCGTACTGGCGGAGCAATTTCCGCAGCTCATTGTCATTCGCCAAGGATGAGTTGGAGCCCTTTTTTTTCTTTGTACCAGTCTCGGAGTTCTCATTTTCCTCGAGCACATGTTCCGGGATGTGGTTTTCGATGTTACTGTCATAAATCGCTTGGTATTGGGGCATTGGCATCGTAGATAGCCCGTGATGTGGTAGGCCAGATGGCATGGAATGGTGAGACAGGCTGTGTCCATGCATAGCATGGCCCGGAAAATCTTCTGCCCTGGGAAGCCCTGAGTGGTGGGCATCCTGCAGTGTCGGATCCAGCGAGGCACCGTTTACTGGATGGGAGATTTGTTGACCGAAGCGCATAATGATCTCTTCGGGGTTGTTTGCAAAGACATTGTGACTAGCAGTGGCTTGAGTGGGCAAGAACTGGGGAAATCCATCGGCGATCTGTTGATCTTGGGTTTGCTGTGTGGTACTCGAATGGATACTGGCGGTCGATCCTCTGGACCTCGGATGACGACTGTTCCTCGATGTTGCAACTTCCGACGGTGCTCTCATGGGGTCTGCCGTCCCCGGTCGGCTATGCGAGGCTGCCAGCTGCGTTGTCTGCGACGCGGCACTCGAGCATTGAGAAACTGCTCGCCCTGTTTGTTACAGCTACAGATCAGCAACAATAGAGTAACATGACATGCTAGAGCCAGGGAACCATGGCTAGGAGACCAGATGCAAAGGAGCGACGACAGGAGGCAATATAGGATGCAAGAATGATATCTTACCCATCTCATGCACCATGGTGGAGGAGGACCTGCTACAGACTACCCGAGTCGGCGGTTGGTGTTGGTTAGTTACTGGGTGTGCAGGTTCAGTCGGTAACCACGGGCGATGGCGTCTTGTTTTGATGACTTTGAGTCGTCTGCCACCTCAACCACTCAGCACTCTTACGCCCCAAGAAGACCACGGGGGAAAGAGGCTGAAAGGGAGAAAACCTCAACAGTCAGAACTGTAGTCGTTAGGGCATGAATTAAAATCCTAAAACCAGTAGCAGACACGCTATCGAAGGCTCATAGTGGCTGTCAAGGCAGGGTTGGTCGTCGGGTTGAGTGCAGCGGAAGAATAAACAGACGCTGGCGTTCCTCAAGCAACGATGGGTCACGTGGGGCTTAGGTAAGGAACATTCCTCGAACAACAACAAATACAACTTGTAGCTCATGTGTCTGGCAATCCATCAATATTAATGTAGAGGTAGACAGTCAGACTGGAAGATTATCAATCTAGTGCTGGTGACCCATACAAGAGAGGAATCAAAATCTCATCGCTTCCCCATACCACAGAGGGCAGAGGAGTACGAGCGCAGAATAGTGTAGACAGTCATGTGATCCTGTGGGATCTTCACCTCATCGCTATATATCTTACTCCGCAGAACTACAGCGTGAATCCATCTTCGAAGGACATCAAGTCAAGTGCAATCCATCCCACTTTCTCATCTCAATCTATTTTAAAAGACACGTTTTGAGGTTTAAGGCTCTCATGTTCGATCTTGAATCACATTATCATCCTCTTCATCATCATCATCATCCATCAAGATAGTCTTTTTCGCTTAGAAGCCGATCATAACTTTATCCTCGAGAGACCCCACTTCTCAGTCGCTCATATCGTGCTCGTCTCCATGAAGCACCGTATCGAGTTTCGATCCACAAGAGTGGCGTCATCAACAAGGTTATACCACTGAGCAGAATAAACGTATACTCGGCGGTCACCGCATCGATCATCGGCTGTACGACAGCGACACCAGCTACTCCCAATAAACAGATTGTTAACCGCTGTAGCGCTGGCACTGGCACCTGGATACAAGTCAATGACCAGAGCGCTATTGATCGTGAAAATGCCCGTTGCGGAGAACGCAATCAGAAACGGCAGAATGATTGGAACTGCAAGATGGGTTCGCAGTGAAATATCATAAACAGCAGTCGTTGCAATGAGGAGACCTGTAATCCACCAGGTATTGCGCATCCGTGCAAGCTCAATTGGAAATGTCAGAATGAGATTTGAGATTTACGCGTGTGCCAGCGGGATAGCCCTGCTTCTCGCAATATTCCCGCTCGGTCAGGCGGTGGTTATAGTCCATCAAGTACCCGATCAAATAGGACCCTAACATACACCCAAAACCTGTGAAAAACGTCGGCCCTCATTAGTACCTGATATTCTGCACTTTCCGGGGCTCCCTTTACACACCACTTCCCAGAAAGGTCAACCCGATCTCTAGTGAGGAAAGACCTTAAACTTCCTCAAAGAGGCCTGTCGTACTGGAAGTAACCATGCTCTAGACGGTATAAACAGTGCTCCCAAAGAAAAGGGTGATGAAGCCATCCTTTTCAGCCAAAAAAGTCAAGGGTGCAAGCACAGCCCGCCAGGTTACTTTGGATTTTTTTCAATCCCGGTCCAGCACCCTCCTGAGCCTCTTTCTGACCCGATACCAAGTATATTGATGGCCTGTGGATGCCTTTCCACGGTACAGTCCCATTGCCAGCAATGGGACGTAAGGTCTCGGGAAGCAGAGTCAAAATCGCCAGAAGACTTGTGGCTCCGAAGATTGTGAGAACGGAATCCCAAGAATTTAGTGATGACACCACCAAAAACGGGACCAACTCCTTGTCCAAGCATACGGACTGCAGCCATATTAGTACGACCGTATTTCGTGAGGACCACTTGGGCCACCCACCTCCTCCAAAGATGCCTACCAAGCTCCCTCGCTACGCTGAGGTGGTGATGTCTCCAACAACACCAGCACCTAAGCCTCTGTCAGATGAACATTCATCATCACACAATATTTTCATAGACGCGAACATACCATTCGATATCGTGGCTGCACTTCCAGCAGCCTGGAGAGCTCTGAATGCCATGAGTTCACCATAGTTTTTGGACATAGCAAGCGCAACATTGGCGATCATATAAACGACGAAAGTTCCAATGAAGACTGGACGTCGACCTGTGACGTCTGAAATGGAGCCCCACAATGTGGGTGCAGTACCCTGGACGATCATGTATACCGTTATCGTAAGGGTGGCAAGGGTCATGCTGATATCTAAGGCCTGTACAGGGGCATCATGTCAAGCAAGGGAACCTTTAAGAGAGTATCATTTTACTTACCCTCGAGACGTCACCCAGTGCAGGAAAGTAAATGTTAGATGACAATGGAGAAAAGATAGCGGCCAGTGAGACGATACACACCATCTGCAACTTTCGAGATCTACTGAAGACATGGTACGCCGGTGGTTCAGGATACTGACCCTCCAGCTGTGGGGATACGAGAGAGCTTGATATCTCCCGGGAAGTTACCACTGGCTCAATGGCCGTCTTCCGTGTATCAGACGGTGTATCAGAACCGACTGAAACCATGATGGAAGTTTATTATGGCGCTACTACGATGAGTGACAACCACGCAATGATAATGCCAACTTCGGCAAACCACGAGAAACTATTCGACCAAGCCTAGGACGGGAGGGAATAGATATACTTTTTTATTTACTGAAATTGTATGCTACGTGATTCCCCGAATTAAGGACACTCGAAACAAGGAGAGCTAATCGTTTCCATTGCGAATCTCGTTTTGAGGAAGGCATACTTCCAACCATCCATTCACCTTTCGTGATAAAGTCAGAAGGATCTTGCCAAGATACTTGACTTTCGAATGTACATGGATTGGAGCATGATCGTCCACTCGAAGGCAGTTGAGCGGCAGATATCCATGGTAGTCTATATGCAGAGGGCACCGAAACAGACTGTTCTAAGCAAGCCTCCATAACGGCCCACATCGTTGGGCGCCAACATATTACACTGGGCTGGCGACGTGAATGAAAAAGAAGCAACTATCGTCTTGGGATGACGACCATTATTGGACGGCCTCCATGGTCCAGATGTTTCCTTTCTTCCTCGATCCGTCTCGTTTATCTAAAGTCTCTGTTATTAAGCCAGCATCATCAAGATCTGGCGAATTGACTCTAGGACAAGCTTTTACCGCTGGATTCCAGACTGTCATACCTGTTTCAACGAATCCTCTTCTGTGTTGGAAACTTCTTCACGATTTTGAGTGACTACCGCAGTTCGCTGATAAACCAGCCTGCAGGTGGAACCGTGGAGGTATGACAGCGCCTTGTCTTGACCATGCTTACCTGACGCTAAATTAAGGGCAAGCAAGGTACTTGGTAGCGAGTCACAGCCACGCATCCGCTGAGTTTGATCAAAGCCCATCTATTGATTCCCGACGGGCATCGGGCCGATATCTATCGGACTTCAATGACCCCTGCACACTTGGTAGCAGCCAATGGGCGAATCAATGATTCGGGCATGCGGTTTTAACGACCTGCTTTCGTGTGCTAGTGTGCTTACATCATGGGGTAAGTGTTATGCACCTAGCGGGTACTTCAGCCACCCGGGTTCATGGCGTTTTCTTAGCCATCATACTGTGTAAGCACGAAAACAAGGAGTGAAAAAGACATCCCACTTCTAGTCTGTTATATATATTCGATAGATGATACCCGGAATCAACTTACACCTGTCCAGCCAAGAAGTCCGGTAACATAGACTGTCAGCCATCACACAGAAGCCCATTCTGACATCTATGGGAGCACTATTATTAATCGCGCAGACGAAAAGATCAACGGCAATCACACTCTCGATAGATACTTTACCATCTAGGATATCTTACATCTACCAGTCTACCTGCGCTGCGAAACCCCACGCAACCACCACAACGCTATCACTAGGGCACTATACTTCAGGACGCTCAACCGTCTAGATGCTAGAGCCTGTCATAGACGATAACCCTGTATCCTGCCGCTGATCCACATAAGATCAGTATCCTCGTGTACTGGATGACTGGCTCAGAATCGATACCTATTCCGTGAAAGGGAGGACTATGCGTTTCCATTATCAGGCCAGCCCAGCACAGGCTGAGAGTAAAATTTTATTCTCCTGTCAATGTCTCAGTCTTTCATGGTTGGACAGGTACCATGAAGGCTGAGACGGATTGTTTTTTTCCTTTCCCATTTTTTACTTTTTCTTTTCCTTTTTTTCTTCGTCCGCGAGGCCAAACGATGAATTCTGGCAGGGCGTAGATATCCCGCAGAAGTCTAGCAGAGATAACGGCTACTTCGGGAGATGGATGGGTTGATAATTATGACAAAATGCCAGACCTACGTGGGAAGGATGAGAGAAACCAAAATTTACATAGCGAAGCTAATAATTACTTCTTATCATGTCTAAACATAGGAGAAAGATCAAGGAAAAGTACACAACTGGCCAAGTAACACACGGATAAAAGAGGAGGCCATCCTGAAGGGGGGGGTTAGGGGTAATAATAGGAGGAGTATAAGGGACCCTGATGCAACTGTCACGCACCACACTGCGAATCGCAGACTCCGTAGGGACAAGCTGAGCTCTACGATGCAGCTATCCACTACTTGACACACTCTTCACATGCAATCCATCTAAATGAGATCCCGCTTGACGAACTCGGCGAGCAGAGTCTTACCCAGATGGGCAGGGCTTCTCTCGACAGTGACACCAGCGCTCTCGAGAGCAGCGATCTTGGAGTCAGCACCACCCTTGCCGCCGCTAACGATGGCACCGGCGTGACCCATGCGACGACCGGGGGGAGCGCTGATACCGGCAATGAAACCAACGGCGGGCTTGTTGTACTTGTTGTTGGCCTTGAAGAACTCGGCGGCATCCTCCTCGGCGCTACCACCGATCTCACCAATCATGATGATGCCATCGGTCTCCTTATCTTCGAGGAAGATGCGCAGGCAGTCGATGAAGTTGGTTCCGGAGAAAGGATCACCACCGATACCGACCACGAGGGACTGACCGAGACCAGCCTGGGTGGTCTGGTTCACAGCCTCGTAGGTCAAGGTTCCGGAACGAGACACGATACCGACACGGCCGCGCTTGTGGATGAACCCAGGCATGATACCAATCTTACATTGGCCCTACAAGATCGCGAAAAGAAGAAAAGACCCCCATTAGTAAGCTGCACGGATTTGTTGTTGGGACTGTAGGATCGAGTGCGTGTCAACTTACAGGAGCAATGATACCGGGGCAGTTGGGTCCGACCAGGCGGGTCTTGTTCTGGGTCTTCAAGATATCCGTAATACGGACCATGTCTGGTATTCCGAGGTTAGTTTCTGTGGTGTTTAACTCCCGATCTCAGGCAGGGAGGAGAACCATACCATGCTGGGGAATACCCTCGGTGATACTGCAACGAACTGATGTCAGCAAATTTGTTATGCCTAGTTTCGCACTGATGGAGTCGCAACCTACCAAACAACCAGAGGCATCTCGGCCTCAATAGCCTCCTCGATACCTGCAGCAGCGAGAGGGGGACTGAAGGATATCAGCATCGGGCAAGTTCGTCTCTTTGTCTTAGGAGTGAATGAATGCATACGGAACGAAGATAGCAGAGGCAGTAGCACCAGTCTCCTTGATGGCATCGCGGACATTGGCGAAGACAGGTCTGTCCAGGTGCATTGTGCCGGCCTTCTTGGGGTTGGTACCACCAACAACCTTGGTGCCTGAGAATACGTAAGCTCTGATGTCCCCGTCGCAGGCGCCTGTCCAACCAAGTCTGAAAGGGGGGATTTCAAGTACCATAGGCAATGGCCTGCTCGGCGTGGAAACTGTTTGTATTCAAAAAAAAAGCAACGTCAGCATCTTGTTTACAGCCGAAGAAAACAGGGTAGCAAGCAATCCCAACACAACTTACGTTCCCTGCTTTCCAGTGAAGCCCTGGAAGAGAACCTTGGTGTCTCCATTGATGCGAAGGTTGTTCACCGTCTCAGCATAAGCCGAGGTGCCCTGGCTGTAAGCTCGTCGCTGCACAGCAGCGGCATTCTGAAGGGCAGAGAGAGTGTTACGGCGGAGAGCCTGCATGATTGTGGGATGAAACGCAAAGGATGGAGAGAAAGAGAGGAGAGTGCACCGAGTAAGAGTGTCAGAAAGGACACAAAAAAGAGAAAAAATTGGTTATTTTCTCAAAGGAGATATCCAACAACACTGATGATGGGATTCAGATACGGGGGGGACACTTCGCAAGAAAACGCGCCGAGATTGGACTTTTCGGGACAAAGCTTTAAGCGGATCCGAATTGTCGCGGCGGTCGGTTGGCTCCCTCGGCCTTCTTTTTTTTCCATCGCTGGGTTATCGACGATAGCGGATCTTGAAGTCTTAACCTGCCCCTCATTAATCCAAACTGTATTGTCTAGCGTCACGGCTGGTTGATTATTGAGTGCCTCAGTCAAATATTCATATTAAATCAATCAAGTCTATCGCATCGACGCCCTGAAGGAATATATTTTGGCCTACGATTGTCGCGGCATCCCCCACGATGGCGACCCTCACAATGACCATGCCGCCACCATCAAAATCCAAGAACAGCAATGAGAAGCTTCCTCCAGAAAATGAACGATTTATGCGAGCCTGTTCGGATATTGCCAATGCGCTTATCCAGGAATTTGAAGCGCAGAGGGATACGACCAAACCCAAGAAGGATATCAACCTCAACAAGCTGCGCGGTCAAATCGCAAAGAAGCATCGTCTGGCCACTCAACCACCTTTGACAGCTATCATCGCTGCGGTGCCGGAACATTACAAGAAATATATCCTCCCTAAGCTAATTGCGAAGCCGATCCGGACGTCTTCGGGCATCGCTGTCGTTGCCGTCATGAGCAAACCCCACCGTTGTCCCCATATCGCTTACACGGGTAACATCTGTGTCTACTGTCCCGGTGGCCCTGATTCGGATTTCGAATACTCGACTCAATCATACACTGGTTACGAGCCGACATCGATGCGTGCGATTCGAGCGCGGTATGACCCATTTGAGCAAGCAAGAGGTCGAGTTGATCAGATTAAATCTTTGGGCCATAGTGTGGACAAGGTGGAATACATCGTCATGGGTGGAACTTTCATGTCCCTTCCGCCGGATTATCGCGAGTCGTTCATTGCCCAGCTTCACAATGCGCTGAGTGGATACCAGACGGACAGTGTAGACGAGGCTGTCCAGGCAGGCGAAATGAGCAATATCAAGTGTGTTGGAATTACGATTGAGACTCGACCGGATTATTGCTTGGATACACATCTCAGCGACATGCTTCGGTATGGATGCACACGATTGGAGATTGGAGTGCAAAGTCTGTATGAGGATGTTGCGAGGGACACAAACCGAGGCCACACTGTTGCTGCGGTTGCGGAGACTTTCAAGCTCGCCAAAGATGCCGGTTTTAAAGTGGTCAGCCATATGATGCCTGATCTACCCAATGTCGGCATGGAGCGAGATCTCTTTCAATTCCAGGAATATTTTGAGAACCCAGCCTTCCGTACGGACGGTCTGAAGATTTACCCTACGCTGGTTATTCGTGGTACCGGTCTCTACGAACTTTGGAGAACTGGCCGGTACAAGAACTATACCCCCAATGCGCTGGTGGATCTCGTCGCGCGTATTCTTGCACTGGTACCGCCATGGACTCGTATTTATCGTGTGCAGCGAGATATCCCCATGCCCCTGGTCACCTCAGGCGTGGAAAATGGCAACCTTCGCGAGCTGGCCCTGGCACGAATGAAAGACTTCGGCACTACCTGCCGCGATGTACGTACCCGCGAGGTCGGTATCAACGAAGTAAAGAACAAGATCCGCCCTTCACAGGTGGAACTCATTCGTCGCGACTACACCGCCAATGGTGGCTGGGAGACGTTCCTCGCCTACGAGGATCCCAAGCAGGACATTCTCATCGGCTTACTGCGACTGCGAAAGTGCAGCCCGACACATACCTTCCGTCCCGAGTTCACTGGTCAGCAGACGAGTATCGTGCGTGAGCTGCACGTATATGGCTCGGCCGTGCCGGTTCACGGTCGGGACCCGCGCAAGTTCCAGCACCGTGGATTCGGAACCTTGTTGATGGAGGAGGCGGAACGGATTGCGCGAGAAGAGCATGGCAGCCAGAAGATCAGCGTCATCTCTGGCGTTGGTGTCCGCAGCTACTATGCGCGTCTTGGATACACCTTGGATGGTCCATACATGTCCAAGATGCTTCATCCGATTGAGGATGAGGAATTTTGAATGCATATTACATGCCAGAGTTGGGTTTTGCAAGTCTCTATGATATTGATGATATAGAAGAGGAACATTTCAATAGTCTGGGTTCTGTCCTGGGTTTGGCGTTTTGAGGTGCCTTTAGGCGGCGTTCTTTCATCCTGTTGTGAGCGGTTCACACTGAGAGCTAAATTCCAACTTCACCGTACATAAATATCTGGTTATGTTTCCTCGAGTATATAACATCACTGGATGGCTACATATACACCAATTTACGCCATGATATGCTTCGGCGAATATATAGGGGCATAAGTTTTTCATGCTCAGGGTTGATCAGCCGTACTAGGCACATAAAAGGAAGAAACTTGCCAATCCGTCCTCTGCACTCCCAGAGACTCAGTGAGGAATGGATCTACAAGATAGACCAACTCTGTACACGCAATGCCGAACATCGGTTTAATCGGAACCCAGATGAATACGCCTTGATATTGATCTAAACACCGTTGGTACTCTGTACAAACCACAACAGGGAAAATATACTCTAGAAATAACAAACAGAACCACTGAAGAACACCATCCTTAGAAGAATAATAGAAACAGCAACCGCAGAGTCAGAAGACGGCCCATCAGAATGAATCCAAGGTGCGGCCAGCATCTAATCGACAGTTGTCGTGTAACCGTCCATAAGAGACGAGACGATACTGACCGGGTATCACGCACTAGATTCGATTCTCCAGTAGTCGGCCAGTTTGGTAAGATTCGGTTTCCGGTATAGATCGCGGGAGATATAATGAGGGAGGGTAACCTAGTTAAGCGATATGGCTCCGTCGCGACGGCTTCGCATGTGCAGGTACGCCTGGAAGGCACAGAAAACGAAGAAGCACTATTCATCTCAGATGTCAGCATTCAGATGCGCATTCCTATGGCTTGGTTTCCCGCCAGGGAAACTTACAGCGTATATGATCACCGCTGTGAAAATCGACGCGGCAACTGCGGCGCCGTCTTCGGGCTCATCTTCCGAGCCGGTGAAGCCGTGGTGTTCCCTCTATTTCCATTGTCAGCACAATGCCACATTATCCAATTTGCAACTTCCATAGCAGGATTTGTTGATCCAGGCAATGTCAGGGAATGCGCGAGCCGGAAAGACGGTGGACCAACCTGGTATAACGACCCGAGGACTGAGAGGATGACGATGGCGAAGAGGGAGATGACCACGCTGTTTCGGAGGCGATTTGTGAGCAACGTGCTTGTATCATCCTATAGTGAGAAAAACATACCAGGACCACGCATTCAGGACCGATACAACGGGCTTCATTTTGACGTTGATTTGATTTGGAGATGCGATAAGTGATTGATAGACGACGAGCACTTGGTTCAGCCGGTCAGGAGGATGACTTCTTGTCGTTGGAATTAGCGTAGGACGCCGGTCCGAGATAAAGAAAAGATACAAAAGAGATGAATCGGGATGGCAACCGGCGGCTCAGCCGATGAAATGCTCAGATAGACTAATTGGTGATCGGGAGCTCTTTGATGTATGCATCGTTTGCCGCCTAGACTCGCGGGGAGGGCGAAGAGCTCTTGGACGTCGCCTTAAGCCGCATTTGGCAGTGCGCAGTTGGGAACGTCGTCATTCCTCGTCAACCGTCATTCTTATTATCGTCAAATCCCCTGAATGCGTGCATACAGATTAGAGGTGAGAACAACACAGGGGTCAAATGATATACACGAATTTGAAAGTCATTCCACAATGAGAGCGAGGATGGATGGATGCAGGAGAACCTCATATATCATGTCACAAGTCTACCCTCTTCCCCAGAACATGTCATCTACTGAGGGATCTCGGATCATCTAGCGTTTCTGACATTGTACATAGATCTCAGAGGATTTCTACAATGCTGGAAGACTGGTGAGGCTGCTTATGGACTCAATGGTCTTGTCCTACTAGGTGACACCTCTTCTCTGTTCAGAACCAGATTGCCCTTGGTTGTCCGGGTTTGCAGTTTCAACCGTGTTTGATGTCTTTCAGTCAATACAATTGCGAGCATAAAAGATCCTATCCTTCCAAGATCGGAGAAGTGTAACGTTTCTTCGGCTCCTGAGACTTGATATAGGCCTCATAGTCATATAGTCCCAGCAGTTCTCAATTTGAACTGGACCCATTCCTCTGCTAGTGCATCTATTTAATTTAGGTATCAGAAAAATATAAACTATCTTCTTCCTTGGGTAGGCCTCTAAAATTCCAGAGACTTAAAATAAGTTCATTGCTGAGTGACCTTCTTTGCTGCAGTCGTAGTCAGCGTCGTCTGCGATGGATGGAATATAGATGATGCCTTATTATCCTCCTGCTTGAACCCCGCCTCCTTGTTCACCGTGACTCAGATTATGATCAGGGTTAGCAACCAAACACATATCAAGCACAATATAAGCCCCCGGGCCCCTACCTCGAGGATCTTCTTGAGAGAAGATCACAGAAGAAAATTGCTTCTGAGCAAGCATTCTTGTTCTCGTAAAGAGCCGTGGGGGAAAGCAAGGCTAATCCAGTATGGCAGACTTGGGATCAAAAGAGAAGCTCGCTCTCATCAATGAGAACCTTGCCGAGGTCTTGAATCCTGAAATTATTGAGAAGATTATTGCAGAGGGGAGGTCTCCGAGAATCTACTGGGGTAAGCTTGTGCAACCCAATTCCTGGACTGGCTGGACATTCAACTGATACTCTATCAAAAAGGCACTGCAACTACTGGCAGACCTCACGCCGGATATTTCGTTCCGGCCATTAAAATAGCCCAGTTTCTGGCTGCTGGCTGTGACATGGTTATTTTGCTGGCCGACATCCATGGCTTCCTCGATAATCTCAAGGCACCCATCGAGCTGGTTCAGCATCGGGTCGACTTCTATCGGAATGCGATCATCTCGATCCTACGCTCGGTAGGCGTATCGACGGAGAAATTGACTTTTGTTCTCGGCAGCTCCTACCAAAAGAGCCCCGACTATGTGATGGATGTTTACCGACTTTGCTCTCTGGTCTCTGAGCATGACGCGAAGAAGGCCGGCGCGGAAGTTGTCAAGCAGTCGGACAATTGCCCCCTCAGCGGCCTGCTGTACCCCGTCCTCCAAGTTCTAGATGAGCAGTATCTTAATGTCGACGCTCAGTTTGGGGGTATTTCTCTCCATAATCTCTAGCGAGAGCCTGGCTAACTAGATGTAGGTGTTGACCAGCGAAAGTTATTTGCAGCCGCAAAAGAATGGCTGCCAAGACTTGGATATAAACAGGTAAGTCTAGTCGTGTATGTCTACTCAGATCTGTGGCTGACTATTCCCAGCGCGCCCATCTTCTTAATCCGATGGTACCTGGTCTCCACGGGGGTAAAATGAGCGCCAGTGACCCAGGTTACTATAGACCATCCGCCTTTCTTTAAACGAAACTCGCTAACAACAGGGTCAGATAGCAAGATCGATCTTCTCGATCCGCCCGAGGTGGTCAGAAAGAAGATTCGCAAAGCCGTAGCGATTCCCAAGGAGATTGAAGGAAACGGCATCCTCGCGTTCACAGAATACGTTCTTCTGCCAGTCTCAGCCTTGAAAGGAAAGGCAGAATTCCGCGTTCCGCGTGAAAGGGATGGCCTGGAGCCGCTCGTCTATACAAACATCAGTCAAATGCATCACGATTATGCAAATGATATAGTACGCGCCAATAGCCCATGGGGGCATTGTGAATTCCATTGCTGACAGCTTTTAGTTGACTCCCCAGCTGCTGAAGCCTGCAGTAGCAGAAGCTTTGATTGAGCTCATGGCGCCGATCCAGGAGGCCTACAAGGCTTCGCCCGAATGGCAAGAGGTAACGCTCAAGGCATACCCACCAGCTGAGCCTCCAAAGAAGGAGAAGAAGAAGAAAGACAAAGGAAGTCGCTACCCCGGGGGCAAAGACCAGCAGAAGCCGGAAGCCAAAGACCAAGCGCAGGAGAGCAAATAGAGATAACTTTTTGTCCTCCAGTTTGTTAAGATTTGTCAATATGGCCTTCTCCCATTTGAGCTTCCCATGCTGTTCATCTACGCTCGTGGTAGGATATCCTTTGTTTTGAATGACAATATCTTGATATCTTGTACCAAGCGCCTAGAACGCCTATCGAACGACTAGGTTATTCTGGGGGAAAGGATCAGAAATAGTAATTTACAGACATATTCTAATATGCCCATTTTTTTAGGCTTTGAAGTAATGCCCCATTTATCAGGAGTGGGCATAAACATATATAACTCAAAATATGGCTGTTCCTCACCACGAGCCATGCCCACTCAATTCATATACATCATTGACACTGACAGAATCCAAATGCTCAGTGCGTCTCATTCCACCGCACACATTCGTCAAACGTCACTCCCGAGCCGCCAAAAATATCCAAAGCGCTGCCGATAGTCAAGTCAACTTTACCCTGGCTGCTGACATGGACCTTCTCGAGGTCTTGCAGACTGCGGGCGCCACCAGCATAGGTGATAGGTATCGAGCACCACTGTGCTAATTTGGCGACGAGTTCTTCATCGACACCCTGTTGCAATCCTTCGACATCTGCAGCATGAATGAGGAACTCAGAGCAATATGGCTCCAGCATTGCAATGGACTCTTGAGATAGGGTTTAGTATGGTAAGATCAGAGCATGAAAATGCAAGAATGGCATAAGCATACCTTGATTGATTTCCATCTCTGTAATGGTCTGCCAGCGGTTCATCGCTACGAACCATGTGTTATCTTTTCTGCGACAACTCAGGTCCAAGACCAGCTTGGACTTATCGCCTCCCAGGGCTGCAAGGACAGATTGCAGCCGCTCAAGAGAGAACCTCCCCTCTGGAAAGAGAAACGAAGTTATGACCACCTACATCCAGCGAATTAACTCTTCGCCTCTGTAGTCATATTGACAAGTGGTTCAATAGCGATCCTACCTTGTCAGCGCCCTGATCGATCCAGTACTGAGCATTCTTATCATTGATGCCCCCAGCAACCTGTAGGCCTCCAGGCCAAGTGCGCAGCGACTCTTTCGCAGCCTCGTCATTGCCCGGTCCCAGCATCACAACGTGGCCCCCGCGTAGATCATGCTTCTGATACAATTCCGCATAGTGGCTAGCGGGGAGCTTGGATACATAATTTGTCTTCAAGTCCGAATCGCGGTCACTCAGTGTGCCGCCGACGATCTGCTTCACCTGCCCCGAGTGCAGATCGATACAAGGGCGAAATTTGGTCATTTTGACAAATCTAATTCCTTTCTTGACGGAATTGAGCTTGCAATGTTGGGTCATACCCCAAATGTGGAATCCTGGAATCCGATGGGTGACGAGGGGCGCCGCTTATCTTATCTCACGTGACTCTAGCTGTCCAAAATTTTTGAAGTGGTAGATGAAGCTTGAAACGTTGATGTTTCATGCCACCATTTACCCCCACTTCTGCTACATACAATTTGAAGCATCCTACATAACATGACTGGGAAAAGAAAGAGAGCCACGGCTGTCGTGCCGAGAGCCACCGCGAAAGAGGATGAAGAGGAAAAATCTACTACTCCCGATACCTCTTATCAGGACGTGTTCCGGAAATTCTTCGAATCTCAATTCGAACCTATTGATCTACCAGGCGGCGGAGTTGAACGAGGACGAAGGTCAGAAGAAGATAGCGAAGAGGAAGGAGAGGAAGACAGCGAGGAATCAGAGTCTGGATCAGATTGGGACGGCATGTCTGTAGAGGACGAAGACGACCAGGTTGAGGTAGTCGAATACTGCGACACACGCCAGAAGGAGAAAGAAATACTGGACAAGAAAGCTCGCAAAGCATTCATGGTATGTGTTCTAAGCGACACTCGACCGAGTCATCATACTGATCCATCAATCTGCTAGACCGCCAAACCACCGTCATTGTCCATAAATTCCGTACCTACCAAGCAAACTTCCAAAAAGCCTAAAAACGAAAAGGCCGATGCTGAAGATGATGATGCGATGGATGCAGAACATCTGAAGAACGACCTTGCTTTGCAGCGATTGCTCAAAGAATCCCACCTTCTGGACTCTGCGTCGGAACTTGCGCCAACGGGCAAAAACCGCCTGAAAGCTTTGGACCTTAGAATGCAGTCGCTCGGAGCAAAATCATCGCTCTATCACCAGAACATGCCCTCGTCCCATCGTAGGGGCATCAAAGCCAAGGCTTCAATGAAGGACGAAAAGCGTCGGCGAGAAGCGAAAGAAAATGGCATTATCCTCGAGAAGCCAACACACAATTCGAAAGTCAGCAAGGGACGGCGGGAGCGTGGTATCTCAGGACCGTCTATTGGAAAACTCACCGGCGCAACCATCAATCTGAGCAAGCGCGATATCTCCGTCATCGCCAGCAAGCGTCGGGCAAGCAAAGGAAAGTCAAAGTCAAAAAGAGGACGGCGTTGAGATGAAAATTTTTTGGATGTGGTTTCCGATGGTTACGATCTGGTATCGCTCGACTCGAATACTTCCCAGCCCCCATCGCCTAGATGGCTCCACCATGGGCAGAAGTGCTGCTCCTTGCAACAACCACTGGTCAGGGCCAGGCACCAATGGCCATTCTCTACCTTCAGAGGGATTTGTATACCTCTCTACCTATACTCCTCCCTCCGCTCCTGGTTTACTTCTTGCCACCATCGCTGCCACTAATGAAGCTATCAATGGCTAGCACAGGCCATCTTCTGAAATGGGTATCGCCTCTGACATTCATGGCTTGCACAGCTCGCCTATCGACCCTTTCGTTTTCTTTCTTTTAGACTTCCGTCTCTGTCACAAAACACGACAGTTAATACTGCTCAGTGCAGTTCATCCAGAATCCTTTAGCTTGATACCAAGGAACCTTAATTTCCAGTCTTATTCAAGGAAATTTTTATCAAGGCACGATCCAACGCCTTCGCAATTCTGAGACCTTTCCGGTAAAAAGGGTGGAGCGAACTTGTGCACTGTTCCAGATAGGGTGAAACCTCCGCTTTCTAGATCATGATTGAAGTGAAACCCCCCTGAAATTCGGAACCTTGTCGTCTCCTTGTTCTGAACTTCTGATACGAACTTTCGAACCTACACAAGCACACACAGAACTGGGAAGGATTTCTCCGAGAAAAGTCCATGTCTGAGTGTCTTTAGCTCCTGAGGCTGCAGTCTGAGTGAGCGTCGATGCCATCTAGCTTCCCATAATTGCCTCGGTTACTGCCTACTGAATGATTTTCAACTCGAGATTGAAGTCTTCGCCTAATGAAAGCCGCACGAATGACACAATCTCTTCCTGCCACCTGCGATCCTTTTCCACCGTTCGATTCGGGCTGTGTTTTTCTCTGAGACCTAGACTGGCCTCTGCATTGGGCCAATCGCAGGACCATGTCATCCCATCCACCCCATGTGCATACATCTAGAATCTTAGGGCTGCTCACTTAATCACGGCCCAGTCATCTTGATAACGTTCAATGTTGTTTTTCGGGTGAGGATTCTGCATTACGGAGAGTAGAGTATATCACATCGTACTACAGTGGTGCAATCCAAGTTGCTGCCTTCAAAAATGCTCCGTAAACGATGATGATGATATGATGATTATGATGATCAGATCTTCCGTCGCAGGAAACCCTTCCCGGCACGCTCCATGAGAGCACGCCCAAGGGAACTTCGAGATGTGAAACCGTAAAACGAGAAGGCAAAATTCTATCTTTAGGATGGGGAGGAGTCCAAACCCGAATATCCCTTAAGTGAGGGCTATCTAGAAATCAAGATAGTGGAAGGTGGTCATGGGGAGAGTCAAACTTGGGAGCCTGGGAGGTTTCTTGTTCGGAGTGGAGAATTGGTTCATGGGTGGTGGTGGTGTTTTGGATGATAGACTTTGGTTCCTGGAGGGTGGCTGACTTGCTAGTACTAGTACTCTAGTGGTTGTTTGATCAAAACAGAGTGGTACTAAGATATAGACATTATTGAACGGCTTGGGAATGGATGGGTGCTTTCATCGCTTAATCTACAATAGAGAATACTAGATAGATGTCAGTTGGATTTTGAATTCTTTCTACTCTGCGCCGTAGACCAAGAGGACTTCCTCTACAGTGTATACCTATCTACCTATAGAGCAGAGGATACGTAATCGATCGGCTCTAGTGCTTCCATCAGGGGCAAAGGTGTTGCTTGGCAAGTCGAGCATCGTACTGATCTTCTCAGACATCGTATAGAGGACTAGATGATTGACTGGTTATCATTCCCAGGGCAAACTTAATCTCTGTTCGGACTTGGTGAACTTTTGAGACCCATGACTGACCTATCTATCTATCTATCTATCTATCTATCTATCTATTATCTACCTAGGGCCCCAACTACCATCTACTGTCTAACTCCGGTGGAGGCTGTGGTGGAAACTGACCTCGATAGTTCGCGGGTATTTATCAGGATCTGGGATAGTATCATAGAACGACAAGTGGTCTGGCAAGCTACAAGACAAGCACAAAAAAAAAAAGAAAAAAAAGAGAGAGAGAAAAAGAAAGAATCAAAGTTTCAATTCTTCTCCGGCTTCACTTCTACCCAGTTTAGCCACTCTTTCGTTAGTAGTCAAAAGCATTGGAATGCAAAACACATCGTATTTCCCCGCAACTTCTCAGAAATTCTCTTGCCATAAGGGGAAAATCCACGGAGTCGCGTAGGAGGCTGGAGCAGCTAGACTAACTAGACTGCTAGAGTCCAGTTCAGACCAACCGCGATGTCTACCTACGAGTCTACGACTTTCATGCATCTCATAATGCATCGTGCATCGTCGCAGATTCCCATTGGCGAGGCTATTGGACGCAACGGCAGAAAGACGTTTCAAAACTTGATTTGGCACTGACTGGATGATGCAAATTGTGATTGAGCGTCGAGTGGGAGATCGATCTTCGCACGGAGACGGTTTTCCCTAGCCCTTAAGACTCTACGTACACAGTAGTTGTTAGTCTGGTGTGCTTTTGAATCCTGCGACCTCATAGACTACGGAAATTTTTGCCGTCAGCACTGATACGGGAAAGTCCACAGGTCGAGTCCATAAAAAATCCCATATCCACACAAGCCATGGCCCATGGAATGGAGGACACGCTACTTGGGAAACTGGACCAATGCATTCATTCTCATCGGCGTTGTTCTGGTGATGATAGATTCTGGAATGTCGTGCGGGCTTTGCGGTTCGACGTTAGCGGTTTCAGATTCGGTGATCAAACTGCACGTGCTATCTACACGAGCGAAAATAAAATAGAAAAAGAGAAAGAAAAAAGAGAAAGAAAAAAAAAAAAATCTACATCCTTTGAGTCTTCTGTTAAGGTTTGATTCTAGCCGTTGTTTGTCTGGAAGCTCTGGAAGCTCTGGAAGCTCTAGAGACTAGAGAGTCTACGGTGTAGGTATCTCGTATCTACTCAAAAGCCACAATGGCATCACCTGTTCTCGGTCTTGTCTCATGGCGTTGACGTCCATTCCTCTGGAATCCCCACCAAAATAGGCAATGCCGTCTCCTGTAACTTTTAACTAACTACCAATCCACCATGAATCCGTGACGCCGTCTCCGATACTAGGTACGGAGGACTACCTACATCCATGATCCTTCCAAGTGCAGAGGGGAACTATTTGGGACCTAGCGGAGTATCCTTTCTGGGAGTTAGTTAGGGCTTGGGAGGTCCAGTTCCCCCTTTCCTGGTGGATCTCGGTGGTAGCAACTAGCAAGTAGCAAGTCTGAGACACCAGGGATTTAGAGACCCAGGAGACGAGATAGTGGAAGACTGGAAGTACTCTGATCCCACAGAGTTCGGAGCTCCTGAAGAATGTCTTCTGAACCCTGGATGATCAGTACTTGGGTACAATGACACATGGAGGGCACTTGCAGTCATACCTCTTGACTCTCTGCTTATGACCATAAGTCATAACAGCTCGACGACTCCGCTTGGTATCCAGAAAGCACATGGCAGAGTACTACTACGGAGTACTCCGTAGTCAGCAATCATCTAGCGAGCGGCAGTTTTAGCACTTGCATACTTCATGATCGACGCAGACCCTTTCCTCTTGAGTAGTGGAGCAAAAGACTTTCATTCCTTCGGCCGAAGCTACATCCAGTGGCGAGTGGAGTCATTGGCCATTGCATTACAATACCACCTGGTCAGGAGTCAGGACTTGACTGGATACTCGCGGGTCATTGAGATTAGTTATTATTATTGAGAAGCAATCAGCCAATATGCCAATGATAGAAACGATCGACCAATGGAGGTTGCGATTCGCGGTGCCATCGGGATGGATATTGGATACTGGATAGGCCACCCTCGCTCAGAGGCTCAGATCCTGAGCGCCGACTCCGTGGATATTTATGGTTCGAGCTGTTACAGATATGACACGTCAAAGCGGAGGTTCTAAACATAACATCTGCAAGACAGTAGTACGCAAATGGCCATACTCATAGACACCCTGTACAACTTAGTCAGTCTGGACTGGAAGACATCTGTGCACAGCGAAGCACTACAGACGGAACATGCTCCCTGGCCATTCGATCGGGTTCAACCAGCCCCGTTGTCCACCAGCTTACCAAGTTTATGTAACGTCGGTAGATCATCTCCTGATCCAGCACGACGGTCGATGTCTGCCCGTCGAGTATTTCCCGTCGTCCTCGAGAGTCGCGAGTGACTTGCGAGTCAACGACTGACGATCAGGGTATCTGAATCGGTAGCTATCACCGGGACCCTCTGTCACGACTACGAGCCGGAGTCGAGACTGAAATACTTCAGTTTCGAAGATCGCATCGGCGACAACTTTGGATCCGTGAGCGAGAACCGATGGCTTGAGCGTCGTGGCTCAACGGAAAGTCACTTTCAGGACCGTCGTCGCGAGACGAGTCAAATTTGGAGTGATAGTCAAAGATCTGACCGGTCAGAAGCCCATTATGACAAAGATACGATGGAGTCCGGGAGTACAGCGTAGGTAATCCATTCTGAATGTAGACAAATATCGACATAAATCTCCTGGCTTGCAAGTACTTAATAGGACATACAGGCTACAGCCGCAAGGAAGACAATGAGGCTGGATTAAGCTCCGAAACGGGCCCAACGGTGACTAGTCATTACTAGATAGGTGCCTTAGGTTTCTGGGGGGCTTCCTGGGTGTGCTTGGAATCAGTTAGGTAAGCGAGCATCGGATGGTACTCGGGAGACAAATAACCTATAGACTTGAACTTACCAAGTTAGGTACCTACCTACCCAAGTACTTCACCAACTTGATTGTCCAGTCTCAAAACCGTTGGCAGTTGGACCGTGGACTTGATTGCTCAATGCTCATAGAAATCAGAATGGCTGCTAAGTAGAGGTACCTAGGTAGGTAGCCTGCTACCTACTGAGTACTTACTGAGGTACTAACCGAGATCCGGAGCGCCCCCATTGGCTGAGAAGTAAGCGCTCATGTGGATTCTGAAACAAGGGGGCGGATGCTTAGGTCACGCTTCATAAATCATGGAATTGTGTCCTGCGCCAGTTTTGATCGGAGGAGCCAGTCTTGGCGTTCAGGACAGGTTGGCCAGGTTCCACCCTGCTTGTTGGCAGAACACCAGTAGTGAGTTAGAGAAGAATCATGAGTTGTCAGACCCCAGCAAAGGGGAAAGGTAGATTCAGGAGAAGATAAAACAGCAAAAAATCAATCACAGATGGGATAGCTAGATACGTCAGGACGAAAGAAGAAGCTCGACGCAATGTCCAGCTACATTATAATGGTCTTAAGCTCTGTGTACCTGGGCTGGTACCTAAGGTAAGGTGATACCCAGGTCCCAGGCTACCAGAATCTAGGGTTGACTCCATATTTGTCAACCAATTGAGGCCTCAGTAATAACCACCCACTTGAGCTTCCAAAGTGGAACGAGACAAGAAGGATGGACTGAAGAATCGGGAATAACGCACTGATTGAAGTGCTTAGCCGCCAAGGCGACCAGATCTCTCTGTAAGGTACAATAGTGTGCAGAATCCTTATGCACAGGAAATGTCAAATGATGGACAAGCTGATGGAGTCAAGATCTGGTACAGAGTACTCCGTCAATATTTCCATGAGTCCTCTACCTAGTTGGAAGCGCCATTCTTCCCGACTTGAACAAACAACGCATGAACGTAGCCTCCTGGGATTCGCTGATGCCCACACCCAATAACTGAGGATCTCGGTATCCATGCATTGTTTGCCTTTCATCAATCAATCCAGGCGGCATATCTCCTCATACCTGTTCTGGTGGCATAGCCGAAGGATGGGTCCAGAAAGATACCTTCACCTTGGGAGGCCCGTCATATGTGGTAGCCTCATCGAGACTTGAGCCCCTAATTTTGATGCTGATGGTCATCCAAACGATGATACTGTCTCTGACCCCACCTGAATGATGTTTGCTGATTGTGAGTTGGAAATATAGATCGGGCTATGTAAGGTGTAAAGTCATCGTAACTTAGATAGTCCCTCAATCCCTCTTGATAGTCGCTAAGTCAGTCAGGCTACGCCACAGATAACTGAGGAGTAGGTCACCTCTTATATGCTAATTTACCGACAGGATGATAGTACATACAATTAATTATATTATGATTGTCCACCAAAGCACTTCACTTATCTGACTACCAATATCGGCCTACTCCTAACTACTACTTTAATAATGATGTATTATGACTATCTACCGACTACTCTACAGAGTACTTCGTAGATAGGCTGGCTTCTCAGTTCTCATATTGCAAACTTCCGAATTCCAGACTAATTGCACCCCACCGCGCAAGCTAGCCCAACAGAGTTGCAGATCCGGCAATGGAATTATTATCACGAGAGGGTTCATTCTTATGATGAATGATGCTATCGACAATCGATAGCAGGTAATCATATTGAAGGAGGGGTTGACATGATTATGGGAAATTTGTGATAGGCAGTAATGTAATAATCAATATCCTATGTCTGTAGGTACCTACCCACTAGGTAGGTATCTATCAGTATACCTAACTACCTACCTACTTATTTAGTATTTACCTACGGAGTAAGTTGAACTCGAAATTGGATCTTTGGATCTGAAGCCTGAATAATACGATCGATGGATTCACCCAAGAGAACTTCACCAGGACCAAGTTCGAGTGTTGGATATCATTGGCAATGGAATCTATGGAACGCAACGGATAAGCCCCACTGGTCACAGCGGTACCAAGTACCAACTATGCACGGTAAATAACCGTCCGAGTACGGAGTACAGCAGAGTCTTTCGTTTGTTTCTATAGTTATCAGGCTTGATGAATGGATCTCTCTCAGTGTTTAGTGGGGGTTAAATTCTCCATTTGGTGGTATGGAGTGAGATACATGGTCCGATACCTGTACGGGACCATGTAATAATCATGGTCCTCATTCTGTTTTGTCCCTGGCGCCAGTCTCCGCTTTTCCCCAAGTACTCTGTAGAAGACTAGAAGCCCTGCCCTTTTATTTTATTTTATTTGATTTAATTTTTTTTTCCATGGTGTGTACTCCGTAGTCAGTAGGTACTAGTTCTAGCCGGTCCTTCATACCTAGTAGTAGTAGACTTCGGCGCTCCCTTTGACTCCAGGCACGGTGATGATGATGATGATGATGATGATGATGATGATGATGCTTGATTGTTGTTTTTATTTACTACTGTATGTACTCCATACGCTCCCTTAAAGTATTTATTTTGGTTCATGATTTTTGATTAATTAATTGAAACTAAATTGATTTCTTGCTCACTGAATTTATTTTCCTCTGATTGATTTCTTTTTTTACTACTCCGTACACAATTATTATACCTATTTATTATTCGCCGTCAATAGGCTACTACTAGCTAACTAGTCCTGTCCAGTCCAAGTGTTAATACTGCAGTCGAATTGACCTCCTCCCCTCCCACCTTGACCTGACCTGACCCGACCTGGCCTGACTTACTGACTGACTGACTGACGGACTGACTTACAACCCAGTCAAAAGGGAAGACCAACCTCATTCTTCAGCCATCTTACTTCCTCTCCCTTTCTTTCTCTTCCTCTCTCTCCCTCTTCTCTCCCCCCTTTCCCACTCTTCCATCATAACTCGCTCTAGATCACCTCCTTCGTTTCTTTTCCTTTCATTTTCGCCGTGCGAGAAGTCAGGTATCATTCAAAGGGACTTGAAACCGGGCTGGCCCACCTTCAACTCTCCATTGCTCTCTTTTGCCATCTGATATCACACTTCTGCTTCGGTATCCCCCTTCTTTGTTCAACGGGCAGTATCGCATCGCCAACGACTCTTCTCTGTCACTGGGAGGCTGGCACTCTCTTTCTCTGTGTTCAGTGACACTGCTGCGTTTCGCATTCGACCCGTGGACATTGACCCAACACCTTCGTTTTCTTTGATCCCGATTTACTTCATTGTATTTTTTGTTGTCTTTCTTCTTGTCATTATTCATCCTCTTCCACCCACGAGCTTTTTTTTTAGGCGAGTTGTCTTGAGTGTGCGTATATCCACCTCCCTTTAACTCTTCGTTTCAGTCGCAGCTGGGACCCCGATTCTTCTCACCAGACAAGAATGGCGGCCGTCCACCTGTGCCATCATCCCTATAGTCTCCGGCGCTTAACTGATGATGCCCGCAGATTACTGCTTCAGAAGAAGAGTCCGACATGTATCCTCAACATGGTGCCCCGATGGCACCTCCTCAAAAGCCTGAAACCTTCATGCTATCGAATGAAGCGCAACAGAGCCTCCCTCATGATGCGCAAGTTGCGCTTCAGCAAGTGGATAACTGTATGCTTACCCCCCTCCTTTCCCTTTCCCTCTCCTTTTCTTTTTCTTTTTCCTTTTCTTTTCTTCCCCCCCCCCGGCGCTCGACCTTGCCTGCTGACACCCAATTTTAGTGAAATATTTTCTTCTTTCAGCGCCTGTGGACTGGCCCCGAGACCAGCTAATCCGACGATTCCTACTTCCCACTGGCGACTATATCTCTTGTGTTCTCTGGTTCGTGAAGATTCCTTGAGCCCTTTGAGCCAAACCGTTGGAGTCCATTTGGCTGATGAGCAGCAGGAACAACCTTTTCCACATCTCGGGCACTGACATCGTTCGATGCCTCGCTTTTCGGTTCCAAGCCTTTGGACGCCCAGTCAAAAACTCCAAGAAGTTTGAGGAGGGTATCTTCTCTGATCTTCGAAATCTGAAAGCCGGCACGGATGCGACTTTGGAGGAACCGAAGAGCCCATTCCTCGATTTTCTCTACAAGAATAACTGTATACGAACGCAAAAGAAGCAGAAGGTCTTCTACTGGTACAGCGTGCCGCACGATCGGCTCTTTCTCGATGCATTGGAACGAGACCTCAAAAGGGAGAAGATGGGGCAGGAGGCGACCACTCTTGCTGTCAGCGAGCCGGCACTGTCGTTCGAATTCGACTCTTCGCAGTCGTTGTATGAGCAGCTGACCAAGGCGCAACAAGCAAACTCTTCATCCTTTCACGCGGGTACGACTTTTGGCCAGTCCAACTCCCCGGTCGTTCGGACTGTTGACGCAATGCCTCCTCCCCAGATGGCTCCCCAGATGGCTCCTCCGACGCTACCTGTTCTTCCCGACGACTCTGGCAATTCGGCGATCTACCACCAAATACCCATGCCCAATCCCGTGACGCAAGCCCTCATTAAGCGCGAGCCGGACTACGGTCAGATCCAGTATGATCGAAATGGCATTCCTGTCCGTATTCACCAGCGCCATGCGTCCATGCCAACCTTTGTCGTCGAATACTCTCCAGCACCGTCTTTCGTCTCTTCGCAATATGAAGACTATAGTAACCGAGGCTTGTCGTTTGAACCTATCACCCCCCCGCAGCACAGCGTTCCTTTGGGCCCTGAGCCCGCGTACATCGCCAATGAAGATACTGGTCTCTTCACTGCAATTCCTGATATTAGCTCTGCAGCTGCGTTCCATCCGATGATGCAGTTACCACCCTCGAATCTCGCAAGCGCTCATTATCCTGTACCGGCGAGAACTTATCATTCGAATGTGTATTCGGTGATCGAGGGCTCTCCCACCTATAAGCAACGTCGACGCCGGTCTTCTATCCCACCCGGCATTGCTACTACCACGCACCCCCAGGCGACTTCTGCGCCTTCCCAGCCGATTGCCTATGCAGCCCACAGACCTAGCGATCTCCGACGCTCGGTCTCCAATTCTGTGACCCCCGCTGTTGACGGGGACGAGACCCCGGATGCGTCACAGCATCCCACAAATGGATATACTACCGCAGCTCTCCCGCAGAAGAATTTGTTGCACGAGATGTCCCGCCACGGCACTCCACTTTCCAATCTGGAAGAACATCCTGATTCTAATCCCTCGATGACAAATTCCCAAGATGAATTAGCCACCATCCCGAACGGGGAAGCATATGAGGCAGTCGCTCAGAATAGTGTCCCGCATAAGTCGGATCGATTTGCTCCTGGTCCTGTGCGCCGTGCTCGAAGCGCTACAATGATGGAGCTCGGACCATATCCTCAGAAATCCCATTCGTGTCCCATCCCATCATGCGGGCGACTCTTCAAGCGGTTGGAGCATCTGAAACGGTAAGTTGCATATTTTAATCTCATGTGCTGGTGTTCATTGGCTCGCTCTGTTTGGGCGATCTGCAGTCTATTTTCCGTGTCTTGAGTTATGTAGCCGCCGACTAACACTTAGCGTCACAGGCATGTGCGCACCCACACACAGGAACGGCCGTATCCTTGCCCTTACTGCAACAAAGCCTTTTCGCGCTCTGACAACCTTGCTCAGTAAGTCTATCCATCGAAAATTCGCATTGTCATAGGCACACCTATTGATTCTGTTCCCCACAGACATCGTCGGATCCACGAGGCTCAACAAGACGGCCAGCACCCACTTCCTTCCCACGAGGAAGACATCGAAAATGATGAGAACGAACTTTCTGAAGATGGTTCCTCACCCATCGAGTCCATGCACAACTCCATGGTCAATGCTATCGGCGTGACATCGATGCCCTCATCATTGGCGATGACCTCTGCCATGCCTTCAATGGTAGCTTCACATATGATCACTCCTCAACTTCTACAGCAGCAAATATAGCATGCTACGTTTCCCGTGGAGCCGTGATAATTTCTGTATGTGTTTTTTGGCTATGACCTCCTAATTCAGCTCCAAGGTGTCTATTGTTCTGCTCTTAAGCTTTTCTCGAAGCTATTTTCTCTTGCACCTCTCCTCATTCCTGACGGGCGGCAATGACTTGCAATAATGCGGAGTGGCGAGGAGGATGGAATCTGAATTTCTCCATCTACTTCCTAATGCAAATCGAAATCTTTTCTTTTATGAGGGGTTTTTTGTTGCTTATCTTTATGGACCTTTGCGGATGTCCTTCACCCAATGTGAGGGGACCATCCAATAGCGGATATGCCTAAGTGTTCGGTTCCTGTTTTATTGTTACTGTTTAGCTTGGTGTGTCCCTTATGCCCATACATTGTGTGTTTGGCTGGTGCAGAAGCGCCATGGCCGCATCTACAGCCAGCACTTGTGGGTTCATTTTGCTTTGTTTCTCCCCTTTGTTCTTGTGCTATGTGCGTCAGTTGGGTCTCTGTATTCTTGTCTATTTTCATTATCCTGGATTTTGGAAAATCGAAACGCAAGGTAATGCGCGATGCAGGCTGGATAACAACCAGCACACAGTTGTTGGGAGACGACGTGGAATTCCATGTCGGGGATATTGGTTCTGGGAGCTTGATGCGACCACCAATTCAAAGATAGAATCCGTCGGAGAGATGGAATTGATGTTTGCAATGGAGATGTGGATAAGATGAGTACATAGATCACAATCAATTAATGATATCCAATGATATCCTTGCATCGATCATCAGGTCGCTGCAGATATTATCATATTACCCCCCGCAGTCCCTGGATCGGTACCTGTCAGGTCGCTTGATCACCTCCGTTGCCTCACCTTAGGTAGATTTGATGAAGGATCGTAACTCGTGAGCCTTACTTGGGGGTTCAGCAGCAAATTGGAATACTCGGATCCATCCCATTACATGATCAATTCGTACCAGTTGCTTTACTGAGCCCAACCAGTGTTGCCCAAGAGCTTCCAAGAGTCACGTGCACCCCCCTGCTGACGTCGTCGGTCCAGCCTCACAAGACACACGACACAAGACACCCTCATGGAAAGCCTCATTGTTTTCTGCGTTCTATAATCGTATAATCGCTCCCCCCCCTTACTGATCTATAGATGCGAGAGCTTATTTGCCTGGTATCTCTCGCCTATTCTCCAGCATGGCCACATCTTAGGATCTCGAAATAGTTTGTTTACTCTTATCTACCCCAGACGCCGTTATCGCTGTGGATTGCCTCTGCTTGCATTTATTGGATTACCTACTATCTATATTGATATTGCTCTGGCTTTGAGCTCTTTCTTTTTGGTATTTTCAAGGATCTATTACCATATTGTTCTTCTCGACGTCACAGTAACCATCATTGGACTGTTCGTCCTGTCAAAATTGGTATACCGTCGATACCACTCGTCCTATACAAGCTCATACCTACGACATCGTGCTTCGAGGCGAATATAGCATATCGCACACCGACGATTTGAGCGATACAGAACTTTGCCTAAAACGCCTCGACGCGTTCATATCACATCGATGCCGGCGATAGATGACCGAGTCGCGGATGAGAACTCCCCTCTCGTGGGACCGGATCGCAGAAACAATGACGATGTTGCGGAATCGATAGCAGTGGCCGAGCATGATGTTCGCCATAGAGGAAGTCACTCAGAGCATTTTGCGGAAACGAAGAGTAGCTGGTATCTATTCTTGTTGACGTTGAGTATTGGCGGGTATGTGTATCTCGTCTCGTATCGTCTATGATTGTCGTTGCTTGAGGAGCCTGTGGAAATTGCTAACGAGATGGAATTAGCCTGCAGGTGGTATGGTCGGTAGAGTTATCGAATGGATCGGTCAGTTCTAGCGCCCCTTGAGCGTTCATAATATCCGCAGTGGTGTGTTACACAGTGACGGAGTCTAACGATCTTGGTGTATGTTCAGCCTTTTCTACTGTCCCTGGGAATGAGCAAGGCCCTGCTTGCATTTGTATGGATCGCCGGGCCTTTAACAGGTACACTCGTACAACCGTACATTGGGATTCGGAGCGACAATTGCCGGATCTCCTGGGGTAAACGGAAGCCGTTTATGGTTGTTGGCGCTGCAGCGACTGTAGTGGCCCTGCTCACTCTCGCTTGGGTGCAAGAGATCGTCAGAAGCTTCTTGAGAATCTTTGGCGTTGACCCTGCCTCTACGGGGACTCGGACGACGATCATAGTCGTGGCAACTGTCTTGATGTACTGTCTGGATTTTGCTATCAATACTGGTAAGGGCTCCCCTGCGAGCGAGCGTACCTTCTTTTGGTTGGTGAATATCCGGTAATTTTGCAATACAGTTCAGGCGGGCATTCGAGCTTTCATAGTCGATAATGCACCTCATCACCAGCAGGAGTCGGCGAACGCCTGGGCTAGTCGCCTCACTGGTGTGGGGAATATCCTTGGATACATTTTTGGCTATCTCGATCTGCCTCGCATCTTGCCATTTTTGGGTAACTCCCAATTCAAAGTGCTCTGTGCGTTGTCGTCGTTGGCACTGGGCATAACCCTGGCCATTAGCTGTTCTTACATCCAGGAACGGGATCCAAGACTCGATGGGCCGGCCTCCTCAGCCAGCCTCGGACTGGTCGGCTTTTTCCGACAGGTTTTCAAGTCCATCAGGCTTCTGCCTCCTCAGATCGCCAAGGTCTGCGAGGTTCAGCTCGCCGCCTGGGTTGGCTGGTTTCCATTTCTCTTCTACGCGACGACGTACATCGGGCAGCTCTACGTTAATCCGATCTTCGAACAGCATCCGAACCTCTCGGACAGCGATATCAACAAGGCCTGGGAAGAAGCGACTAGAATCGGAACATTTGCACTGCTGATATATGCTATTATCTCATTTGTTGCGAACATCGCCTTGCCACTGTTTGTCGTTCCAACTTACAATAAGAACAGGGTCGCAAGCAATGAGCAATCGTGCTCGGAAAGTGCTGAGGAAGAGGAGCCGTGTCTTGAATCGAGAAGGTTGTCGATCTCGAGCATAGAAGTTGGAGGTATCCCTTCTGAGCCTCCTCTGGAAAGTCTGGGGGGCAAGTATGTCGGGAATGAAGAGGCACCAACATGGTTGTCCAGACTCCAGATTCCGGGACTAACACTGCGTCGAACCTGGCTTTTATCTCATGTCCTATTTGCCGTTTGTATGTTCAGCACCTTCTTCATCTCTTCTTACCAAGCTGCATCGATAGTCATCGGTTTCGTCGGCATCTCGTGGGCCCTGACCCTCTGGGCGCCATTCGCCTTGATCTCCGCAGAAGTGTCGCGAATCGATGCGGAACGTCGAATTCGGCGGCATCAAGCAGAGATGGCAGTACCTTCTGGATCTCACTCTCAAGCGGTGAGCAATGCTCAACCGGATGCCTATGGCAACTGCGATGACAACAGTGACTGCGATGACGATCTTGAAAACGGTACCGGTCCGCGACGTGCAAAGGGCCAGGAAGAGGACGACGAGAACCTCGCCCAGGCCGGGATTATCCTCGGATTACACAACGTCGCGGTCTCTGCACCTCAAATACTGTCTAGTCTTGTGTGCAGCGCCATCTTTAAAGCATTTCAGAAGCCTCGGGGAGAGCCCTGGGATGACAGTGTGGGATGGGTGCTGAGATTCGGAGGATGCGCTGCGTTGATTGCAGCCTGGCTGGCCAGTCGCCTTCGAGATCCTGGAATGTAGATATTTAGGACATATAAGGATAATGAAATTTTGGGTATTGATTAGTTTCTACCATTAATAAGCATGTTTATTGAATGAATAGACCTCATAGTGGCTGACCATTTCTTTGATTGATGATCGGACAAGCTTGCGGTGGTCTTGGCTACAAGCGGGACCTCCTCCGACTGATAGACTCCTACCTGTCCCCAAAGTGCCAACCCATGCATTCCGCCTGTTGTTGACCCTCCTTCTTCGTTTCCATCGCATTCCGTCTTGCCACTGGGTATAGTCTCATTCATTTTGTGGTCTCGTTGTCCTTTCTCTGTGTCTATCGGTTTCTTATTATGTGCGCCTTGGTTTGGCGTCCGAGACTCGCAGCTGGAGTTAACCGTTTGGTCAATGGCGAGCCAACTGATGGGTGATGTCCTTCATCAACTGATTCGTATGACCTCCTCTTCTGCTTCGGCAGAGTCGCTTGACTATCTCTCAAAGAAGACTCGAGCTACCGATGGATATCAAGATGTGTGGATGTGAAAGCTAACTGTTGTCATGTTCTGCTAGGGAGAGCCGCGGATTCTGATGACCCCGACGATGGTACGCGCATCAACCTCTCACCCTCGCTTCACTCGCTCTCAGATTTTTGGGACCGGATATTAATGGGCTTTCGTAGATGCCCCCGAGGCCGGAAAGAAGGAGTTCTTTAGCTCCTGGGCTCTCTTCATCATGATCATGTTGTTGATGTTCGCCCTGTTTACGAGTTATATACTCCAGCAGAAGAAGATCCAAGCGGTCCACGAAACGGTCTTGTCGATTTTTGCTGGTATGTGCGCCCTGCTTTTTGCTTCGAGCCCCCCGGTGGGGAATAGTGTTGTTTTTCTCATGCGCATTAGGTATGTTTGTTGGGTTGATTATACGGCTGAGTCCCGAGTCGCCCATCCAGGACAGCGTCACCTTCGACTATCAGTTCTTTTTCAACCTCCTCCTTCCTCCGATCATTCTGGCCTCGGGCTACGAACTACATCAGGCGAACTTTTTCCGGAACATCGGGACAATCCTCACGTTTGCGTTTGCGGGGACGTTCATCTCCGCCATCGTCCTGGGTTTGGTGCTGTACCTGTGGACCCGGATTCCGTTGGATGGTCTGAATATGTCCTTCGTCGACGCGATCTCTGTCGGTGCTACGCTGTCTGCGACAGACCCGGTGACCATTCTCGCTATCTTCAACCTCTATAAAGTTGAGCCCAAGCTGTACACGGTCATCTTCGGCGAGTCGATCTTGAACGATGCCATCGCCATTGTTCTTTTCGAGACCGCGCAGAAGTATGCTGGAAGCGATGCAGGATCACTGACGGTTATCAACCTCTTTGAGGCTATCGGGCTCTTCTTGCTTGTCTTCTTTGGAAGTATGGTCGTGGGCATGATCGTTGGGATCATGACCGCGCTGGGGCTGAAATACACGCATGTTCGCCGCATGCCTAAAATCGAGAGCTGCTTGATTATCTTGATCGCGTACGCCAGTTATTTCTTTTCCAACGGCGTGCATCTATCTGGTGGGTTCTATCGTTTGCTCTTTCCTTCGTGCGACCAAGGTACTGATAGGCTTAGGTATCGTCTCGCTTCTGTTTTGTGGCATCACCATGAAGCATTACGCTTATTATAACATGTCGCGGCGGACGCAGTTGACCACCAAATACCTCTTCCAAGTCATGGCGCAGCTGTCGGAGAACTTTATCTTCATCTACCTTGGTCTGGATCTGTTCGTGGAAACCAATCTGGAATTCAAGCCTCTGTTCATTCTCGTCTCGGTCTTTGGCATTTGTCTCGCCCGTTATCTTGCTGTCTTCCCATTATCTAAAGCGATCAACTGGTTTATCCGGTACCGAGCACGCCGACGCGGCATGGAAGTCGCAGACGAGCTGCCTTTCGCCTATCAGGCCATGCTGTTCTGGGCTGGCCTGCGCGGAGCCGTTGGAGTGGCGCTGGCCGCGGGTCTCACGGGACCGACCGCGCCGGCCTTACGTGCCACAGTTTTGGTTGTCGTCGTGTTGACCGTCATCATCTTTGGCGGCACGACCGCCCGCATGCTGGAAATTTTGGGCATCCGCACCGGTGTTGTCGAGGAGATTGAATCCGACGATGAGTTCGATATAGAAGTTACTCACGGAGGCACTTATTACAAGCGCTCCGATACTGGCTTGGGGTACACGCCCCGTCGCACAGATTCGACTATTCCGTTGGACGGCCTTCAACGAGCTGGTCTCGGTGACAGAGCCGATAGCTATTCTAGCGGCAACAACCGTCGTCCCAGCCCGCCGCCTCAGTCGACACGCGGTCATTCGCGCATGTATTCGCACGCATACAGTTCCAAAGATGCGCGCGACCGGACTTCGACGGCTACGCTACTCGGGGCCACACCTGGCAGCCACAGCGATAGCAGTGCCGCGAGTGAGGATGAATTCGGCCTAAGAGTCAATGGGCGAGGCCGAGAGACAGCGGAGTCAGATCAGATCGATGCTTTCGACTTGGATGTGGATGAAGGTGCCTCTGACGATGACCTTCCCCCATCTGCGCCGACTGCGGCTTCGAGAAAGCGGCGGTCACCATCGCAAGCACAGAACCTGAGAACCGCACAGCCCGCTGCAGGAAGTGAAGCCACCTCGGCCAGAAGAGAAACAGGATTAAGTGCGAGGGAAGCACTTCGCGACCTCTTTTCGGGTGGGCCGTCCGGGGACCATGCCGCCTGGTTCCGTCAACTGGACGAGGATTTCATCAAGCCTCGACTGCTTCTCGACCAGTCGAACCACAAAGGACCTGGTGCGGTCTAAGTCATGCTTTTATGTACACCTAATCTTTTTTCACGTGTTTCTTTCGACCATACCTAATCATTCTTGTTTTCGTTCTGCTTTTCATGGGTCGGTCTCTAGATGTTATCGGAGGAAGATGTGGCTCGATTGCGCCAATCTGTACTGTAGCACGGAACTGGGTTCCCTTTACAGCTTGTGGCTTTGCCCTAGCCTGTATTTCTCTTTGGGGGCTTCGGGGTCTGGAACCCTGTGTTTAGAGTCTGTATAGGCCTCAAGGGCCGGTTTAGGTAGGGATCTCAATTGAAGGGGAAAGTTTGACTCCAGAACCCGCTCCTCGTGGAAAATACCACCCTAGGAGCGAGGCGAGGCATCAAGTGTCTGACCAGCGAACCAGTGAGCCAGTGATCGTCTAAGCCGGGTTGTCTGCTGAGCCATAGCTTAGGCAAAACCGCTGATAAGCACGACAGCGCTGGACCTCGGAAGCCTTCCTGATAACCTCCAGACGAACTGACCCCAACTTAACTAGGTTCTCCCTCCTCACCACTCTAACTCCACGTTATCATGCTACCTGCCAAGCTAGCGAACCCTCCCTTGCACTTATCAACGTTATTGGATGCTCGTTCCGTCCTCGATGCTTTTGCAAGCGATAAGCAACTGATAACCTGCTTCCATTGACGCGCACTCGCCACGGCGACGGTAACACACGTCCGTTTATCAATCCTAGCCAGAATGATGAGATTGGCTCTCTTGAAACTCGTCGTTGATTCGGTGGATTTGTTCGAACCCCGCTCGAGCGAGCATCAACTTGAGGATGGCCATGAGAGCATGACAGAATGACAGCATGACAAGGGGGGCTGTGGCAGTCGAACTCTTATCAGTGCCCAAGTATGGAGATGCACGGAGTTATGGAGCCTGTTATCGATGCTTTGGCCTTGCTGGGTCTATATAGAGATGTGATAAATCGTCTGGTTGTTCCCTGTTGAGCTGGAACCCTTTTCCTTGCTCTATTTTGACCACTTTTCTTTCACCCTACTAAATATTCAGCGATGACGGAGAAGATACACGCAATGGACCTCGAGTCCAAGACTGCACAGGCAGTAGATGCCGATGTAAACGTTGAGCCCGGTGACATGCAGCTGCTCGGTGGGTGACAGCATGGCATCATGGATGGAAGTATGCTGATGAGGTTCGCCCCTGTACAGAAACTCTGGGATACAAACAGGAGCTTCGAAGACATTATTCCACCACCCAGATCTTCGCCGTCGCGTTTAGTATCATGGGCCTGCTCCCGTCGATTGCGTCTACGCTCGCATTTTCGTTACCTGCTGGCCCTGTGGGCATGGTTTGGGTATAGCTTCCTTTGCAGATCTGATGGTGCAAAGGGCATTGACTGACAGCTTGCAGGGTGAGAGCTCCCGGGCTTAAGGCGTCTGGATGGGTTAGATGAGCGGCACTGACGCTGTTGACAGGATGGCTGGTTGCGAGTGGGTTCATCTTCATTGTCGGCCTTGCTATGGTATGTCTCAACTCTACTGGGAGAAGGTCTAAGGATTAACGCTCTTCTGTGTTGACTAGGCTGATTTGGCATCGGCGATGCCCACCGCTGGCGGCCTCTATTTCTGGACACACTACTTTAGCGATGACAAGTGGAAGAATCCTCTGAGTTTCGTGGTCGGATACAGCAATACCCTTGGATTGCTCGGCGGTGTTTGTTCCATTGACTGTTCGTTCCCAGTCCTTTCCAAGGACCCCCTATACTGGCCGTTTACAAGGGCAATACTGACATCTCGGGGTCACAAGATGGATTTGCTACCATGTTACTCTCTCTCATCTCCATTGCCCGCGATGGGGAGTGGACCGCTTCCCGGCCCGTGGTATACGGCACCTACGTCGCCTGCGTTGTTGTGCATGGCCTGATCACCACGTTCTTCGCGCGGATCATGCCCAAGATCCAGTCGATCTGTATCTTCAGCAATATCGGTCCCGTAATTGCGACGGTGATTGCGCTTCCGATCGGTAGAGCCATCAACGGCGGCACGATCAACTCGGGCTCCTATGTCTTTGGACACGTCGATAACCTCACCACCTGGCCGACCGGGTGGGCTTTCATGCTTGCCTGGCTGTCGCCCATCTGGACGATTGGTGCCTTCGACTCCTGTGTGCACATGAGTGAGGAGGCCACGCACGCAACCCGTGCCGTGCCTCTGGGGATCCTCTGGTCGACAGGGCTATGTGGTATCCTTGGCTTCCTCTCTCTTGCGGTCATTGCAGCCGTGATGGATACAAATGTGGAAAGTGTGATGGGCTCAGCGTTTGGCCAGCCCATGGCGCAGGTACGTCCAAATCCCTCAGGAGCCCAGAAGCCAGAAGCCAGGGGGGGGCCATACACAGCGAACTATCAAAACACTAACCTTACACCCCCAGATCTACTACGACGCCCTAGGCAAACCCGGCGCCCTCGGGTTCATGGCCGTCGTCACTATCGTCCAGTTCTTCATGGGACTGAGCCTGGTCCTCGCCGCGTCGCGCCAAGGCTGGGCCTTCTCCCGCGACGGCGCCCTCCCGTTCTCCTCCTTCTTCCGGCACGTCAGCAAACGCATCCGATACCAGCCCGTGCGCATGATCTGGGGCGTCGTTACCGCCTGCATCATCATCGGCCTGCTCTGCCTCATCAACAACGCTGCCTCAAGTGCGCTCTTCTCGCTCGCCGTCGCCGGCAACGATCTCGCCTGGATGATGCCCATCTTTGCGCGGCTCGTCTGGGGCGGCGACCGCTTCATCCCGGGCGAGTTCTACACCGGTCGCTTCAGCAAGCCCATCGCCGTCACGGCGATCGTGTACCTGTTCTTTGCGATTGTTCTGTCCATGTTCCCAACCCTGGGGCCGGATCCGAGTGGTAAGTTGATCAATCTATCGTCGCTCGAACGGAGAACCCGTAGACTAACTAGATGGGGGGGGTGTTTTTTTTATTTTGTTTTGATTTAGCCCAGGACATGAACTATACCGTGGTCATCAACATAGCGCTGTGGGGAGGCGCGTTGCTCTACTATCTCTTGTATGCGCGCAAGTTCTACAAGGGACCGCAGACGACGGCGGGGGCGGGATCGTCGAGTCCGTCCGAGACGAATCTGGGATTGGAAAGGGAGAAGATGTAGAACGGGCCGGATGTGAAAAATTGATACAGGGCAGCTACGTGGGTCATTATGTAAATGAATAGCTATAAACATGATAGACACGAATGTTCGTTATTTGAAAGTCACAGATCTTAGAATTAAATACACATCACTTCATTAGAGATTAAGAGGCAGCAGGACATCCACCCGGCACGTCTCAGTCTTGCTCCTGTTTTTTCTTTCTTCTTTCTGTTTTCCAGTGCAAAAAAAAAAATAATAAATAAAAAATGGCAGCCTTTTGCCCGCTTACTTGGGGACTTCAAGAACGTATCGACCAGCGATCTTGCCTTGTTCTGTTTTGCATGGGTTAGCCGCGGCTCAGATCCCTTTCAAACCAGGATTGATTTGGGGAAGTACGGAAAACATACCCATTAGCTCATAGATCTTTGGCAGATCCTTCAAGGGAGCCTTCTTGAAGGGCGCATTGATGAGACCGCGAGCGAAGAATTCGATCGCCTCGACGCCGTCCTGGCGGTTGCCGACGTAGCTGCCCTTGATGTTGATCATCTTGACGACGGTGGAGAACACGGGAGCCTTGAGGAAGGCGTCGGCGGGCAGGCCGATGGCGACGATGCTACCACGCGAGCGGACGTAGCCGGTTGCTTGCTGGAAGGGCCGTTCGGAGACGGCGAGGAGGAGGACGGCGTGGGCGCCGAGGCCTTCGGGCGTGTTAGCCTTGACGTCTTCGATGACGTCTTTGGATTTGGTGAAGTCGACAAAGGCCTGGAATGTGTGCGTTAGTTATGTGTGTGTGTGTGTGTATGTTGGGGGGAGGGTGGGAAAAGGATGGGGAAATTACCTCTGCACCGAGCTTCTCGCACAGTTCTCTCTTCTCGTCGCCGCCGTCAATGCCGACAACACGCAGCCCCATCGCTTTCGCGTACTGCACCGCCAGCGAGCCCAGGCCACCTCCGGCACCAACGATCGCGACGGTCTCGCCGGGGCGTGCACCTGACTCCTTCAGACCCTTGTAGACCGTGATACCGGCACAGAGGACGGGGGCGATGGCGTCCAGGGGGACGTCCTTGGGGATTTTTGAGGCGTGAGTGGCCTTGCCGATGCAGTACTGCTGGAAGGTGCCGTCGACAGTGTAGCCGGACAGGCTGGCGTTGGGGCAGAGGGGCTCCTCAGCCTGTCGGCAGAACTCACACTCCATGCAGGAACCGTTCAACCACTTGATGCCGGCATGGTCGCCGATCTCAAAGCCGGTCACGAGTTCTCCCTTGGCGACGACAACACCGGCTCCTTCGTGGCCTCCGACGAGGGGCATCTTCACCTCGAGCGGCCAGTCACCCTTCATAGCGTGCAGGTCGGTGTGACAAACACCAGTATAGCGGATCTTGACGAGAATCTGATCGGGACCGGGCTTGGGGACGGGGATCTCCTTGTACACGGGCGGGCCACCTTTCTTTTCGACCACCTGGGCCCATTGCTTCTCGGGAAGGGACATGTTGGGTGTTTTGGGTTTTCGAGCTGTTTTGGGATGTGATAGTTGGGGGGAGGGAGGATTTGTGTTCTCGAATCGACGGAAGGTGTTTCGAGGAAACTTTGTTGGGAGAAAGAATACTACCTTTTAAGTGGAGTGAGAGAGTACCACGAGTCCAGCGACGAGCGAGGTGTCATGCTTCTTATAGATTTCACGGGGTGATTGTCCAGCGGTGGCTCAAGAGAGACGAGCAGTTAAAGCACTGGTTGGTTCGGTGTAGCCTCCGACACACCCACACCGGGTGACGTCGTTGATATTTTTTTTTATTTTTATTTTTTTTATTGTTTTTTTTTTTTGGAACCAGCTGGTGAAATTTGAAGCGATCATAGGTCAGATCAGTGGAATGCGACATCAGAAGAGGCGATAGTGAGGTGAATGAATGAGCCCACTGCGAAACAAGATGGGCGGCTTCTGGCGCCTTAGTCTTATTTGAGGCTCCCGGAGAGTCGATGGAGGGTCCAGGAGAGACGAGGAGACGTCAGAGAAATTCCTGATTTGGCATCTCACTTGAATCTAAGATGAAGTCTTATCCACGTTCAGGTCTGAATGCTCTTCGCGTGGATCAGGCCATACCTATCCATGGGGGGGGAAAAGTGGAAGATAGTGACTACTGACTAGTAGACGTCACTATGTAGCTCACTATGGGAGTGTGTTTTTAGCGGCGGCCGAAGCTGTCAAGTCAATTGATAACAGCTGATCAGCAAGCAGCAGATAGTTTCAGGCACCGTCAGATACCCTGGGGGAATCAGATATCGATCTCGAGAAATATCCTTTCTTACATTGTGAATATCGAGCTGTACAGGCCTCTATCTCGCGTCTATGTCTTTTTGCTTCTGGTGAGACGCTGCTCTGAGAAATGGTTGAGTTGGTGAGTGATAAGATAAGCATCATAAGCATCATATCATAAGCATCATTAGCATCATACGGTGGAGAGTCGAAAAAAAAAAGTCCGCCATGATCAATGATCAACTCTAACGGTCAATCATCGTATCATGAAACTGAAAGGCTCTATAGTCTATAGTCTATAGCAATCGGGTTTTGCTTATCTCCCTCCCATCGAATGATACTTTATAACTACAACACGACCCTTTCTCGGCCGGGCGATTGTCTGACTTGTAGAACGATGGAAACTTATAATATTAGTAGTAGTAAGTAGAACAGGATCTGGAGACCATTAGGATGAACTAAAGGTCTGAGATAACAGTAGATCCATATCTTGGAAAAAAAAAAAAAAAAAGGCACACCATACTTGTTTACTTGTTGTCTCGTTACTGACTCTGCCTATAACTAGGACTGATCATTGACATTGATTGTCCCCTCCGAGTGAGGCCCACTATCGCATGCAATTTGAAGGGTTCGGCTCCGTGTCGGCTTTCTCATGACACAACGATCATTATTATTATAACTGATCAGCCGTCTGCAGCGGAATTCGAGGATGCTGGGTTGATCAAATATGCCTCTTATAATCAGATGCACAAGGAGCAATAAACCACGCAAGTTCTCTCGCAAAGGGACCGGGACCTAGGTGCTTGAAGTACCCCAATAATTCGCGCATGGGAGAAGCATCAAACACCCATGGCCATACAGCTTCGGTCCTCTATCTAGACTAGCTCTAGTGCTGTACTCTGCCTGCCCCGCCCCCCCCCCCTGGCTGAGAGATGCATGGACGGGTGGCTGCGCAACAATCGCGTTGATGGGACAGAGTGCTGGAAGCCTGGGAGAGGGATGTGACGGATGTCCTCTCATCCACGACCACTGAGAAAACTTCTGTCAGATTCTTCTCTGGAGCAGAGCCAACCCCCCCGTTGACATTCGCTACGACTTGGGAAAAGAGCTACTGGCGGGATTGAAGTTTGAGAATCAAGAATGACGGTAAGATGAATCAAGTGCGTGTGGTTAAATCTTTGCCGAATCGAAGCATTGGAGCCAAGCCCACCATATCCTGCCTTTTTGAAGTCCACACACTCTCTGCATTCTGAGGCAGACTAATAGTGCAGGTCAACAACACCGGACAGTGAAGCCTGCAAGGAGGAAAAGCCATTAAGTAAGTAGTACTCGATCGTCTGTACTCTGTCCATAGCTCCATGCTTCTTGATCAAGATCCTCTGAGAATAAAAAGGCCAGCGAGACCCCCCAGGTGACTGCATCACGCCTTCGATATGCCCCAAAACTATGTACTACTTTTTACTGTAGTTGCAGATGGTGATTCTCCATGTGGCCATTCCATTCCGACCGGTATGGAATGGAATCCAGTTTGTCATGACAGTGAATAGGTATATAAGTATGAGTAGAATATACCGTATAAGAAAGATGTCCAACCCAGACTTTAGAACATCTATTCTTCCGACTAAACATCCTTAAGATTCAGGCAACTCTCTAAGGTAAAGAGCTCTGTTTGATCTGGGGATGTAATTTATAACCAAAAGCGGTAATGACCGGTATCGGACAGCCTAGGTAATGATCCTTGGCGCCGCGAGACCAGTACCAATTCCGTACGCGACGTGTGTCATTTCAGTACGCATACCAAACAGGTTCGGATCGCCAAACGAGCCCAAAAAAGGCACCGCAAGAGCGTAGAAGGAAGACGACGGAGAAGAAAGACGAAACGGAGGAAAAAAGTTGGGCGAAGACAACGGGGAAAGGACTGCAGCGACGACGACAAATCATTCACCATCAGTATCATCACTTGAATTACTGCCTACTTCTTCTTCTTCTTCTTCTTCTTCACCATTCTTCTCTCTTACCCTTCATCAAAATTCTAGATACCTCCTCCTCTCTCCTCCATCTATCACCATCAACCACTACGACGAGATAGACTAACTAGATCAATTATCACCAACTTCTCCATCCCACCTTCTTTTCCGTTCGTTCCCCTTGTCCACAGGCTCCGTCAGCCGCCCCAGTGTCAATCCCCCCGGTTTTGGAGAATCACATCCCAATTCTCTGCCTTCTTCTCTTCTCCCTCTTGTCTCGAGCTGCTGGGCCGGTTGCCGGTTTTCTGTCGCATCTTTGCCTGAGCCACTGCTGGGGGCTGACGGGAATTCGTTTGGTTCATCAACCACAAAGAAGCTTGCTCTCCATCCAATTATCCCGAACTTCCTGTCAAACCGGTGAGGCAATCTCTTCCATCTCTCCCTTTTCTCCCCCTCTTTCCACCTCATCTTCCTTATATGAACTGCCAGTCCCTTTCATCAACTCGCCCCCTTGGGATTCATCTCTCTTCATATACTGTCGCTTCTCAGAGCTAATCTCGCAAAGGCAGTTAGTTCAACGTCGCTGCGACAGGTGCGAAACGCGTGAGATCGTCCCCTTTGGAAGACAAATCCCCTACTTCTCTCGCTCAAAGACGGCCGTTGTTCATCGTGACCTTTTTTTCATGTCCACTTGACACTGTTCTCTGCTCGGAAATTCCACCCTCTCCTATCCATCCCCTTGGCGCCCTTTGGAATCTTCGCCGCCGCGTCCGCCGGCACACGCGGCCATTATGACCGGGGGTCCGCCTTACAATTCTCAGTCCCCGACGCAGCAGCCTCGTTATCCCGTCTATTCTCCTCCGAGCAAGACCCGCCCTTATTATCCCAACAATGATCAATATCAGCAGCACCCCCCACAGACTCCTCCTGCCTTTCCGCCACAACCACCTCTGGCTCGGAGCCCGCATTACTCCCATGCGCCTTCTCCCTTGCCGGCTACACTCCCTCCATTGAACGGTGGTGCTCCTCCGTCGCATCATCAGGAGTCCTCATCGCAGTACCAGGCCCATCAGTCCTCAGGGACTCCTCAATTTCCGCTGCCGAGGCCGTACTCGGCATCTGTCTTGTCGAGCAACGGCGCATCGCCCTATAACCATCCGACTCCCTCTCACGCTCATCCTTCTTCTGGTCGACTGGATAGCCTGTCTCAGTCTCCACCCAAGAAAGATCAGGAATCTCTATATCCTATCGGAGGAAATGTGGCCTCTGGGTTTTCTTCCTCCATAATGCGTGAGCCGAGACCGGCTTCTCCTCCGAGAGAAACGGTATGTACAAATTCTTCTGACCAACTGGAACCGTCCCCAACAGTATCTCCCCCATGTATTTTGTCTGACTCTATCCAGAAGCCTGCTAGAGCCGCCGATCCCATGTCGTTCGCCAGCATTCTCTCGGGTCCGACCGAAGAGCGCCCTCTTCCCAGGAAACAGTCTCCCTTACCAGAACCTGCCCCCGTTCAAACACCCGCGCCTGCTCCCCCGGTTCTTGCTCCAGTGCCAGCAGCAAGGAAAGCTACTCCACCGCCTCCAACCGCTCCTGTTCCTGTACCCGCCCCTCTACCGGAAATCAAGGAGCCAGAGCCGCTTCCGACTCCTTTGCCTCGACTTGAAAAGAAGCCAAGCGCGGAAAAGCGTCGCCGGAATGTGGATCAAGAGTCTCGAGCGTCCGAGTCGCTTCCCGTTCCTCCTACCAACGGTGTCTCTGAGCCAGCAAAGGTGTCCCGCGCCTCCAACGTGCGGAAGACGATGTCCGAGCGTGACACCGAAGCTATCAACAAGATTATTGCGGAGATTGACAACGCGGAAAAAAGCGATGTAGAATCGCCCGGGTTCGAGGCTGAATATGAGCGCTACATTGCCAAGGGCAAAAAAAGGGCACTAGATGCGGAAAAAGCCGAGAGTATCAGACGCAAGGTATGTCCGTCGAATCTCACTATATTCACCCCTTGTTGAGTCTTGGTACTGATGCAACCTCTAGCGTCGCCGCCACGACTTTCTTGTCAAGCTGGGTAAGACGTTCGAAAAGCAAGCAAATGCGGGGATGGATCGATTCAGAGTTGCAAACGAGGCCTCGGTCATTGCTGAAGTTCAGGCCAAGGAAATTCAAGATGAGAAGGAGCGCAAAAAAGACATGCAGCGGAAGCGGCGACGGGAGAACACCGTACGCCTGGAGATGCAAAAGAAGATCGAGGCGGAGCGCAAGGCCAACAAGGCCAACGATGCTGCTGAAAAGGCGAAATTCTTGCGCGAAGCCGAGAGAGCCCAGAGAAAGATCAAATCGACCAAGAGAGCTCTCGAGGGCGTCACATCGCCCGAGGAGATTGGCGAGGTCACACCGCTAGCTCCGAATCTGGAAGGAGGTACCACCAGCTCGTTTCACATCGGTCGCAGCTCCCCATCGAGACGCAAGTCTGGCCGATCCGGAGGCTCCTCGCGGCCGAAAAAATCCAAGGAGCAGAAGCAAGCTGAGAAGGATGCGGCCGAAGCTGCTTATGCTGCCATGGAGAACGATGAGCCCTTGCCCCTTGCCCCCAAGGAAGATCCCAGAAAGGAGTCCCTCAAGAAGGAGGCCAAGGGTGCGCGCTCCAAAGAACCCACGCCTCAACCCCTGTCCGCATTCGAATCGAAAGGTTACAACCAAATCTACGAGCAAATCTGGCGAGACATTGCCCGCAAGGATATTCCTAAGGTCTATCGCATCAAGGCTCTATCCCTCAGCACGCGCCAGGAAAATCTACGCAAGACGGCTCAGCTTGCCAGTAAACAATCTCGGAAATGGCAGGAACGCACAAACAAGAGTATGAAGGATACCCAAGCCCGCGCGAAGCGGACAATGCGCGAGATGATGTCCTTCTGGAAGCGCAACGAGCGTGAGGAGCGTGATTTGCGTCGTCTGGCCGAGAAGCAGGAGATTGAGTCTGCGAAGAAGGCCGAAGCAGAGCGTGAGGCCAACCGTCAGAGACGCAAGCTGAATTTCCTCATCTCGCAAACCGAATTGTATTCTCACTTCATCGGTCGGAAGATCAAAGGTGCTGAAGCGGATGCATCTGGCGATGCTGCCGTCGACGGCTCTGATGAGACCGTTCGACCTGGCAAGGCTGGGGACCATACCATCGACCTGCCCTCTAGTGTGGCGGACTTGAGCACCAAAGTCACCAACTTTGAGGATCTCGACTTTGATGCGGAAGACGAGACCGCTCTTCGACAGGCAGCGATGGCCAATGCCCAGAATGCGGTCAAGGAAGCCCAGGATCGCGCCCGTGCTTTCAATGCCGAGGAAAACCCGATGGCTGCTCTCGACGAGGGTGAGCTGAACTTCCAGAACCCTACCAGCTTGGGCGACATCGAAATTTCGCAGCCCAATATGCTCACCGCCAAGCTCAAGGAGTACCAGCTGAAGGGCCTGAATTGGCTTGTCAATCTCTACGAGCAAGGTATCAATGGTATTCTGGCTGATGAGATGGGTCTGGGGAAAACCATCCAATCTATCTCTGTGATGGCTTATTTGGCTGAGGTCCACAACATCTGGGGTCCCTTCCTGGTCATTGCGCCAGCCTCGACGCTGCACAACTGGCAGCAGGAGATCACCAAGTTCGTCCCTGACATCAAGGTTCTGCCTTACTGGGGTTCCGCAAAGGATCGTAAGGTTCTTCGAAAATTCTGGGATCGCAAGCATATCACCTATACCAAGGAGTCGGAGTTCCACGTCCTTGTCACGTCGTATCAGCTTGTCGTTCTTGATTCGCAGTATTTCCAAAAGGTCAAGTGGCAGTACATGATTCTTGATGAAGCCCAGGCCATCAAGTCGTCTCAGAGTTCGCGGTGGAAGAACCTGCTTGGATTCTCGTGCCGAAACCGACTTCTGCTTACTGGTACCCCCATCCAGAATAACATGCAGGAGCTTTGGGCTCTTTTGCATTTCATCATGCCTACCTTGTTCGATTCTCACGACGAGTTCAGCGAGTGGTTCTCCAAGGATATTGAATCCCACGCTCAGAGTAACACGAAGCTCAATGAAGATCAGTTGCGACGTTTGCACATGATCTTGAAGCCATTCATGCTCCGTCGTGTCAAGAAACACGTCCAACAAGAGCTTGGGGACAAGGTGGAGAAGGATGTGTTCTGCGACCTGACCTACCGACAACGGGCCTATTACACCAATCTGCGGAACCGTGTCAGCATCATGGATCTCATTGAGAAGGCTGCTGTTGGGGATGAAGCGGATAGCACCACACTGATGAACTTAGTCATGCAGTTCCGAAAAGTCTGCAATCATCCGGATCTTTTCGAGCGTGCTGAAACCAAATCACCCTTCTCGCTCGCCCACTTTGCGGAAACCGCCTCGTTCGTTCGGGAGGGGCAGAACGTGGATGTTCGCTACTCGACACGCAACCTCATCGAGTACGACCTCCCACGGCTTCTATTCAGTTCCAGTGGTCGTCTTGATGTGGCAGGGCCGGACAATGAGAAGGTTGGCTTCCAGAATAAATACTTGCAGCACTTGATGAACATTTTTACGCCGGAGAACATCAAGCGAAGTGTTGAGGATGATGGAGCCTTTTCCTTCCTACGGTTTGCCGACACATCCATCAATGAGGCCTATGAACAATCACATCTTGGTGTTTTTGAGCGAGCAGTCCGTCGTCGTGGCCAGTCCGACCGACTGTCTCAACTCGGTGTCATTTATGATAACGAGGGCGATCAAACGGCAAATTCTGTTCTGCCTCATTCCCTCTTCAACATTGTCGAACGCAACGACCGTCAGGCCGTCTATGATGTTGCCCCCGAAGGCTACATGCGGGACCTAATGACTGTATCCGAGTCCAGCTTCGAACGCCAGGGTCTCAACGTCATCGAACCCTGCGCGAGTCCTGCAGCATCGGCTCCCCCGATCTTCATTTCGTGCTCCGGACAAACAGCCCTGAGAGAGACCAACGATACCTTCTTCAGCGTTCCCGTGCGCCATGCACTTTACAGTACGCCCTCGCGACAATTGGAGGAACAGATTCTTGAGAAGAAACTGGATCCTGCCCCCTTCTCGCTCCCCCCCATGCTACCGAAACCGCTCTCAGCCAAGGGCCGCTATACGCACATTGAAGTGCCTTCCATGCGGCGCTTCGTCACCGACTCCGGCAAGTTGGCCAAGTTGGATGAACTCCTGCGGGAGCTCAAGGCGGGCGGTCACCGTGTGCTGCTGTATTTCCAGATGACTCGCATGATTGACCTGATGGAGGAGTACCTCACTTACCGCAATTACAAGTACTGCCGCCTGGACGGAAGTACTAAACTCGAAGACCGTCGTGACACGGTGGCCGATTTCCAACAACGCCCCGACATTTTCGTTTTCCTCTTGTCCACACGTGCTGGTGGGTTGGGTATCAACCTGACTGCCGCTGACACCGTCATTTTCTACGACTCGGACTGGAACCCGACGATTGACTCGCAGGCCATGGACCGAGCCCATCGTCTCGGCCAGACCAGGCAGGTCACCGTTTATCGTCTCATCACCCGCGGCACGATTGAGGAACGCATTCGCAAGCGCGCGCTGCAGAAGGAAGAGGTTCAGCGCGTCGTCATTTCGGGCGGTGCGGCGGGCGGAGTCGACTTCAACACGCGCAATCGGGAAAGCCGAACCAAGGATATTGCCATGTGGCTTGCAGACGACGAACAAGCCGAGCTCATCGAACAGAAGGAGAAGGAGGCTTTGGATCGCGGTGAAGTATTTGGCGCTGGCAAGGGCGGCAAGAAAGCGGCTCTAAAACGCAAGAAGGATCTTACCCTTGACGACATGTATCACGAAGGTATAGTTTTTGTCTCCCTCTGTGAGCGGTATCATTCATGCTAATGCTCGTATCTCCTGCAGGTGAAGGAAACTTTGATGATATCAGCGCCAAACCGTCGGGGGCTGCAACGCCTGTCTCGACTGCGGATAACATTGCTACGCCGTCGTCGACCCCTGTTCCCAAGCGTGGCCGGGGACGTGGGACGGTCAAGGGATCTTCTAAGCGAGCTAAGACGACTACAGAGCGCTTGCGACTGATTGATGGCGACGGCGGGCTTTGAAGCTGATCACCCAATCGGTCTCTATCGAATATTACATCCGCATGACTGGAATAATGGAACGACTGGCGTTGAGAGGCTCCTGTGACTTGATGGATTTTTTTTTTGTTCTCTCTTACTTGTTCGTGGCAGCTTCACGGGTCTGCCTTTGTATTAACACTCCCACCTTGTTTCTAATCTACGCGACATTTGCGAGAGGCTATTGAAGTTGGACGGATTGTGGGGAATGATGACCGGGAAAAGTGCAGCAACCCACGATTTATTTATTTTATTTTATTTTTTTTTTTTCTTTTGACAGAGATTGGCGGTGGTGATAGACGCATGTGGCTGTATGAGAATATTTTCTTCTTATGTATGGAGTTTACTTCATTCTTTTTCTTTCCATGTTCTCGAGCTTTCTTCGGCGGAGGTTCATTCGACTTGGCTGTGCTGGGCTGAGATTGGTCTGATGCAACATTTCTGTCATGATCTCTGCATGGGAAGGGACTCTGAAGTGAGGTGAAGCGTCTCTGGAATATCGATCTGTGTAGGAAATAGGGATCATGTGACTTGAGACTGATTGTTAACTGTTCATCGTCTGTTCATCAGTGCGTCATGTAAACTTCACCTGCTTTTTTCCAACCGTCTCAGAGGGACTGGATTACTCCGGACTACAGAGTAGGGGTGGTACGGAGTAATCAAAATGTCAAAATGACACGTCATTTTGGTCATTTTGACATTTTGGCCAGATTTTTGACATACACCACCCCTACAGATGTGAGTTCGGACATTCATTGTCTATGTCTTCAGGTATTCTCTAGGAGAAGACGACGATCTGGACTTCCCAAACGCACAAGCGCACCGAGGACGGGATCTCTGCTGAAACCTCGGACCACTTCCTCTGCCTCGTCAATTCCCCATAAGCCATAACTAATCAGTCGATACTAATTACTCCGTACTCCGTTAGGTAATCCCCCATCAGTAATCCGCAGCGGGCCGAGTAATAATCAATACATACACAGTATACCTATGGAATAATCATATAATCCTGTTTCCGTAATTCTGTACGGCGTAATCCTGTAATAAGTCTGGAAAGCTGAAAAATCCCACCAGCGGCCGAGAGAATCCCGCCCGTATTCCTCCGTCAACCGTATGGAAAGATCTGCTGAGGGGAGCAATTCTCCGCCGTATCGCTGTATCGGTCGGTATGCGATACCGAATCCCCGTGACAAGCGGAGTTTCGTTACCCCCTGCCGCCAATCAGCATGCGGCTTATCGTCAGCCGAGGGGGGCCGTCTTACCCTTTTGGGGCTGGTGGGCTTTTGTGTCGGTTTCTGCCCTGTTAACTTCCACCTTATCCATGAATGAATAATTTATCCATTCTCCAGTCTTTCCTCCCTCCTTCTCCCTCTCCTTCTTAACTCCTCGATCGGCGATTGTTGGAAGAGTCATAGAGGCGAAAAGGATCCCCCGTATATTAACTTTTTTTTTTTTCCCCTGCCTTTTCTTCCGTGTTCTTAATCCTTTCCCCTGTGTCAATTCCCATCTTCCCCCCCCTTCTTCGCCTCCCTCAATCTCCTCGACCCTCGACGAGTTTCTCGCCGCGTCATCGTCAATCATGGAGGCCCTTCTTCAGCAGTCCCGGGCCATGTGTCCGTTCTTGAAGCGCACTTCTCCCACTGCTCTGCGCTCCCTTTCGACTGCGACCCGTCCCAGCATGAGTTCCGGCGGAGGCACCATGTCGAACCTCCAGGTCATTGCTCGCCGTTGCCCCATCATGAGCAAGGCTCTGGCTGTCCAGAGCGCTCGTATGGCCGGTGCCAAGCGCTTCACCTCATCCGCCGCCGGTGTGAGCAACAAGACTTTCCGTGCCTCCCCGAGCAAGAGATCGCTGCATAGCACCGGCGGCAATGGCGCCAATTTGAGCCCGGATTTCTACAAGAATACCGAGAAAAGTGCGTTCTCACTCTTTCTTCTTCGCAACTGTTGAGGGACCCCGCTAATCGATTTGAATTCAAAAAAAAACAGTCCAGCCCGATTTCGGCAAGGTTAAGGCGCCCCTCGGCACTGCCCCCGCGACGGTCACCGGTCCTCGTCCCCAGGCTCCTGCCACAAAGCCTTTCGACTACAATGGCTTCTATGAGGGCGAATTGGAGAAGAAGCACAAGGATAAATCCTACCGTTACTTCAACAACATCAATCGTCTCGCCAAGGAATTCCCCCGGGCCCATACGGCTTCAGAGGAAGAGCGCGTGACGGTGTGGTGCTCGAATGATTATCTCGGTATGGGCCGCAACCCGGAGGTGCTGGCCACCATGCACCAGACTCTGGACACCTACGGCGCCGGCGCGGGTGGCACGCGGAACATTTCCGGACACAACCAGCATGCAGTCTCGCTGGAGAACACTCTGGCCAAACTGCACGATAAGGAGGCGGCGCTCGTGTTCAGCTCGTGCTTTGTCGCCAATGATGCCACCCTGGCGACTCTGGGAAGCAAGATGCCGGACTGTGTGATTCTGTCGGACAGTCTGAACCATGCATCGATGATCCAGGGTATCCGTCACTCGGGCGCCAAGAAGATGGTTTTCAAGCACAACGACCTGGTCGACCTCGAGAATAAGCTGGCCTCTCTCCCCTTGCATATTCCCAAGATCATCGCCTTTGAGTCTGTCTACAGCATGTGCGGATCCATTGCCCCGATTGAGGCGATCTGTGATCTCGCCGATAAGTACGGCGCCATCACCTTTTTGGACGAAGTCCACGCCGTCGGCATGTACGGGCCCCACGGTGCTGGTGTCGCGGAACATCTTGACTACGAAATCTACGCCTCCCAGGATACACCCAACCCCATCAGCACCAAGGGAACTGTGATGGATCGCATTGACATCATCACCGGTACTCTGGGCAAGGCTTATGGCTGCGTTGGTGGGTACATTGCCGGCTCTGCTGCAATGGTGGATGCCATCCGTTCTCTCGCCCCCGGTTTCATCTTCACAACTTCTCTGCCTCCGGCCACCATGGCTGGTGCCGACGCTGCCATTCGCTACCAGGCGCGCCACCAGGGTGACCGCGTTCTGCAGCAGTTGCACACTCGGGCCGTCAAGAAGGCCTTCAAGGATCTTGATATCCCCGTAATCCCGAACCCCTCTCACATCGTCCCTCTTCTCGTTGGCGACGCGGAACTGGCCAAGAAGGCCTCCGATAAGCTCCTGGAAGAGCACGGAATCTACGTGCAGGCGATCAACTACCCGACTGTCCCTCGCGGCGAGGAGCGTCTGCGCATCACGCCCACACCCGGCCATACCAAGGAGCTCCGCAACCATCTGGTGCAGGCTGTCCAGGCCGTCTGGAACGATCTGGGCATCAAGCGTGCCAGTGATTGGGAGGCGCAGGGTGGATTTGTCGGCGTCGGCGCCGAGGGCGCCGAGGCGCAGAACCAGCCCATCTGGGAGAATGCCCAGCTTGGGCTGCGCGACTCTAAGGCCCTTGAGGATGCGCTTGCTCGCGAGTTCCAGCAGAAGGTGCAGGCGCCTCGCATGCAGACCGCAACTCCTCTTTCCTCTGCCACGGCCACCGCGGCCTCCACCCCTGTCGGCGTAGCTGCTTAGACGGGGGAATGTGTGTGGTATCATCGATGTGGGATGGGTGTATATAGTATATAATTTTTTCTGTCACCCTCCCACATAGCATCATTCATGTGTACGCTAGTGCATTTGTCTGTTTTGCATGATACATCCTAATGTTTGGTGCCTTGACGGTGCCGTTCAAATACACATATGGCATCTACCTCACCCATCTTAGTTGGACCGGTCTGTCCTTACCGCATGTTGGGTTCAATAATAGATCAATCATGACGAGAATTTTCCTCCACAATTTGTTTTTGTTTTATAGCCCTGTAATTTCTAGACGAGCTGTGGATTCGATCCTTCAATTGGAGTGGATGATGGTACAAATAGAAATGTAATAATATAATATGTCCATCGTTCGCTATTATCGAGTCACAATAACCCCCCCAACGCCGCATCCCAGTAAAAAAAAAAAAAAAGAAATATCTTCTAGGACAGATTGATATTGACAATTGAAAGTCTCCCAACAACACGAAACCACTTTTCTTTTCTTTTCTTTTCTTTTTTTTCCCGCCCTCTCTCTCTCTTTCGGAATCATCCTTCGGTTTCTTTTCTTGCTCAAATACAACCCCCTTTCCCACAAAAAACAAGACCCACGCTCATCGTCTTCCCCCACGACTCACCTTGGGAAACTCGACCGGCACCTTCAAGCGTACGACCCGTCTGGCAGCGGCCTCGGCCTTGCCGCCCTTGATGCCCCACTTGGCGAACTCGCTCTCGCGCGGCTTGTCGACGCGGCAGCCCAGCTCGCGGAAGTACTGCAGGATGGCAGCGTTGTCGAGGCGCAGGTCGTCGCGCAGGTCGGAGGGGTCGGTGGCCAGCTCGTTGGGCGAGTTGCCGCCGAGGGAGCTGGCGCCGCCGTCCTTGGCGGGCTGCGGGGGGATGTGCAGCGACAGCGCGCAGATGGAGGTGTGCAGGAAGGTGAGGTCGTGCTTGGTGAGGTGGGAGCCCTGCGGGGCGAACTTGCGGCGGATGGCATCGATGACGGGGTCCGGGATGGTGTCGCTGGCTGATGGGGCAGCGGCGGAGGTGGAGGCGGAGGAGGAAGAGGCGGTGGGGAGCGAGCCGGTGGAGGAGGAGAGGATGCGGCGGAGCTCGTCGCGCGGAGGCAGGCGCTTGCTGCCGGGGCCGGAGGAGGATTTGGGGTCGCGGCCGGCGCGCAGGCAGCGGGCAAACTCCAGCAGGAGGAGGATGAAGCGCAGGAGCTGCACGTGGGTGGTGTTGCCGGACTTGACGACCGCCTCGACGCGGCGGGAGACGTAGCGCGAGGTGGTCGAGACGGGGAGCCCGGCGGCCACGGTGTCGACCCATTCCTTGATACCCGGCAGCTGGCGGAGGGTGGCCAGCCCGTTGGGCACGAGCACGTCGATCGGGTACACGTCCGACGGGTGCGTGGCGTCCAGATTGGCGACGGGGATGGGCTTGTTGGCCTGCACCTGCGCCTGCACGGCCGCCGCCTTGGAGGCCATGTCGGCCGCCGCGTCGACGGGCATGGACGAGAGGATGGCCGATTCGGCCGCGTTGGCGGTGCCAGCAGGAGCGCTGGACAGCTGCGCGTTTTCCGCCATGGACTGGGCCGCCTTGCGGGATTGTTTCGTACCGAAGGTGTTGGTGAGTTCGGTGCGTTGTGAGCGCATGGTTTTCTATTATTCCACCAAGTTAGCACTCCAGTATCTTCCCCCCGGGACAACAACACCGGTTTCATCCATAAAAAGGGAAAGCATACCACTTCCTCCTCCTCCTCACTACTCTCTTCCTCATCCTCCACGAGCTTATTCCTCCTCACGGTGCCTCGCACCGTCAGCTTGCGCACCTCGACCAGCTGCCATGTTTTCTTCTCGGGATCCACCACGGCAATGTAGTGCTTGAGCTGGGAATCGGCATCCTCCTCGGCCTCCCGGCCCACGAAATCCAACTTCTGGTGTTCGGACGACTGCAGCAACAGTTCTGACGAGACAATGCCCTTGTTCCGGTTTGCTGACGAGGAGGTCTTCGCGCGGGTCTTGAGGTATGGCGTGAGACGCAGGTTGCGGGGGGCGCTGACGCCGGGGGTGGTGACTGTTCATGGAGGGTCAATGCACAGTCCGATTTTTTCTTTGAAGGAAGAAGACAAAGGATTCATACCGATAACAGGAGCCAGCTCGCTATGTTCATCGACCAAACTGGCGGCCAGCGGAGGCAGATCTTGAAGCTCCAGCGCGGGCTTCTTGCTGGGACGTTCGTGGCGATCAGAGGCGCGCTTGCGCTTCTTTTCCACTTTCTCGGACGGCATCTTGCAGTGTTTGTATTATCTAAGGGGGATAGGAAAATGAAAATGACGCTGCAAATGTGGGTGGTGTCGCAGCGCTACTGCTACTGGTGATACAGAAATCGTCGACTGTCCAAGAAAAAAAAAAAAATTGCCGGTCGGAAGTCTGGTTCTCCGCACTCGAAGGCGGAGAGGCCGATTATTGGACACACAAAACAATTCCCCACCACAGAATACAGAGTAGATATTCCAAGTCCTGTTCAAGGCACACGAGATATGTCAAAAATCGTCTACAATGCAGTTTTACATTTACAATATCCACGGAATCAAGATGTTGTCATGAACTTTTGGCCATTTCATTTCAAGTAAATTCTCAAGGAAGACCTCTCCACGGTTCCAGATCCTACCATCAAGTAGGACCAAGAAACAAGGTATTGACCAGCTCCCCACGCGAAGCCCAGAGATCCAGTGGAACAAGATAGTACATGGATGAATCAAATCAACTCTCCCACCGGTCCTCTCCAACCTCCACCGAACAAAGTCGCCTCTCCGAGAAAACAGGAATACGGGTGTGCGCATCCCCACACTGCATGGTCATAAGAAAAGTCATCGAAAACGTTTGGATTGAGCCCGAGGAGGATGGAAGTAGTCGTTAAAACGGCGGGGCTCCGAATTCGAAAAGCGTTTGAAAGGGATAATAATCAAGCGTAGATACTTTTCCCAGGAAGGGAAATCGGACCAGACAGGCACTCATTGGAGCGGCTGGACACACGGAACGATCATAACAGAAGAATCATCATCGTAGCGTCGTCGGAAGTTGTCATGTTCGGCGTTCAACTTGAGCATCGACATGGGTCACTGAGATGGAGTGGGCGAGTCGTTTACTTCCTGCAGCGGGAATTAGAATCGATTCCAATTGACCTGGATTGAATGATCCATTGGGAAAGAGATTGGGAAAAACTCACGATCTAGCTCTCATCTTTCTTCTCTTACGCTTAAGGCGACGAACGCGCTTCTTTCTCCACTTGGCTCTCATCTTCGAAGATGGTTCGAGACTGAAGGCAAGGTCAGTCAGATGCCCGAAGATGAGCAACCTTTGATGGGTAAGGGGCAGTACTCACACTTCTGCGAGGATGACAAGATGGTTGCAAGAAAGATGGTGAACCGCGGCGGAACTGCTCTTTGTGTGCGCCGTGGCTGACTCAGCAGAAGATGCCACTAAGGGCTCGCTAGTGCTGGGGCTGCTTTGATTGGCTCGTTAGGCATCCACCTCCTGTGGCTCTCTTTACCGAGTGGGATTATGTCATCCATCCCCCAGCTTGCCCGTTCGATACTTTGGACTTTACACTTGAGCTCAGCGACAGCCAACGAGGACAGCTTAGTTTCCCTTGTGCTTCCAGGAGTAGACTCAGTCGACTTAGATCAATTCTATGATCAAGATCTCATATTCATGGTGCCTAATATGCTGCTACACTGCACATACATACAGATCTGTTCCGGGGATCTCAAGCACACTTCACAGTTGCTAGCTAAGCTCAAATCATGACGTACAAGTCCGTCTTCACTCCAAAATGTCCGTGCCTTCAGAAGCTCTCTAGAGCAGATTGATCTACATTTCTACCGAGACTCGAGTCTTTGATTTCGGACAGTCAGGAGCCACAGAAGCGTAGTGCGCTCTTCGCGATCTCTCCAATGTAGTTTTCAAATTTCTCTTCTGCAAGCGCTCTGCGTCTATATACTGCATCTGTAGTCACGGCGAGTCCATGAGCAGCCAGGGTGTCAACCCGAGCCATCTCCAGATATATGTCACCAAAAACACTATAAAAAAAGCTCAATATGTGTACCGATAGTTCGGCGCAAGGTCTCCCAAGAACTCTCGCTCTTCTTCTGTGAGATTCACCACAGCGCCGTTGGCCGCGGCACGGTCCCGTTTGCGATTATCATTCCAGACTGCCAGCAGATACGCGATGCAGCACGCAGCGGACAAACAGAGGAATGATAGACTGATAATATAGCCGTTCCGATAGAGCGGGGCATCCTTGGGTAGGAAAGTGTAGGTGGAAATGAACCCGCCGACTGTGAGAATGCGGTCAGCCATCACTACCCTCGTGAATTTCTGGCCTTGCGAAGTCAAGACTTACTGTTGCCAAATCCGATCTGCCACGCCGTTCCCACGCCTCGACGGCGATGCCCGCTGAGGTTCATCGCGTACCAGCATACGACGACTGCCATGGAGCTGTAGCAGCCGGCAGTGACCATGAACAGCGCCCCATACTGAACATGCCGATGGGTTGCCCCGTGGACATTCAACAGGATCCCATACCCGGCCATGGAGATGATCATCGGAATCATGGCAAACGCAAAGCGGTGTTTGAACTGGTCGGATAGGGTTGCGATCAACATGGAGAAGCCGAAAGCAGCCGCCCATGGGGGCACCGAATAGAGCTGGGTCATGATTGCTAGAACCCTATCAGCAACTGAGACTCCCACAAGACTGTCGGGGTGACATACGCGAGTAGCCATATGTTTTGATAATGGTTGGCGCAAAATAGGCATATCCTGCACCAAGTTAGAAACCGACCTCAGGTTCATGGGACATGCCGAACCCGCTTACCATATGCCGTGACAATTTGACCAAAATACATCAAGCCGCCAATGAAAATCTTGTCTGAAGAGTAAGATTCTAGTGAGCGGGATGAAGAGCCGAAGAATAAAGCTTCAATTACTTACAGTCTTTGAAAACGTCCAGCATGTCGCGGAAGGTCAGCTTGACATCTTTTCCGGAACTGCCCACATCCTTTGCGAGCTTTGCCCGGATGTAGTCTCGCTCTTCCTCGTTCAGCCATTTGACATCTTCTGGGAAATCAGGGAGCACAAAGAACCAGACAATAGCGACGACACAGGTCAGGAGGCCTTCGATGATGAAGACCCACCGCCAGCCATTGTAGCCCCGGATCCCCTTCATCTCACCCAGACCACTGGCGAGGAGACCACCAAATGCGCCAGCGAGTGTGGTGGAGCTGAAGAAGAAACTGAACCGTTTTTGAGCTTCGCTGCGCTTGTACCACATTCCCAGTAGGTAGAAGCCTGCACACGCACAGGTTACTGGTAAGATCGAATAGTATCAGGAGGGAGGGAGGGCCTTACATCCAGGGAACATGCCCGTCTCAAACATGCCTAGCTCATTCTCTCGTCAGTGGTCTGCCATTGAAACGAGTAGCTACTGTAGGGCCCATACCAAGGAACCAACGAGTGGTCATCAAGCCACCCCAATTGTTAACCAAGCCCTGGCAGATGGTGGCCAGACCAAACAAAAACATGCATAACGATACTTATGGCGAGTCCGTTAGTCCCCCTCATTTCGCCGCGGAGCAAGGCGAACAGGGATACATACACCACACATGGGGCTTCAGCTTCTTGAGCAGTATATTGGAGGGAATCTCGAAGAGTACGTATGGGACGAAGAAAATGGTCAACGCAGTGTTGTACTTGGTGTTCTCGATATTCAAGTCCTCCTGTAGCCCGAGGATCGCGGCATTGCTGATGTTGACCCTGGATCAATAGAACATGAAAAAGTCAGCATGCATATTATGCAGATAGTGGTTGATGGAGGCTTGCGTACCGATCCAGGAAGGCAAGTAAGTACATGACACACAAGCAAGGCACAATATGCCAGTCGACCTTGGCCATCAGCTTGCGTTCTGTGGTTGTGGTGAGTGGAGGGAGGTCTGCTGTATGTGTATAGACCTCGCCATCGTTTTTGTCATCGCTCATCTGGGCCATATCTGTGTTGATTGGAAATCAACATTGCATTCTTGTTCGCATGTACTTAATCCAATCCAACACAACAAAGGTGAGAATATACCTCAAGTATATATATATATCCACAACCACCTCAAAAAAAAAGCTCGATCTCAATTACTTCCAAGGGATGTAATCAAAAGCAAAGAAATCAAGAGAGAAAAAGAGAGAGAGAGAGAGAGAAGGGACAAGAAAAAAAGAAAAAAGAGGTATGCTTATCTCACACAGCATACGTGCAACCTGGAACAGCAGTACAGGGGAGTCGCAGAAAGACACACAGATGTACACAGGGAACCAAAAGCAAAGAATGAAGAACCCAGCAAGATAAGCAAGAAACTTATGCAGCGCTTCCCTGGAGCGACGGCACCAGAGCCAATCCGTCATCCTCGTTTCTCTGAGGACTCGACAGTCGACTCATGCTGCGGATAAGTGTCGGGCAGCAGCCAGCAGCACTGGGATAGAACGGGGATCTGCGATCGTCCAGCGTCGCTCATTTGTCAGACGGGGGTGTCTGATCCCATGTTGGAAGGATCTTCGGGGATTTGGGGGATGAGTGGCACAACATACATATCCCATGCATTCTGGATCGATAGCGGACTCCATGACCGATGTGACTGTACTGCCATCGCCAAGGAGTCTCTATCCAGAAGTAGTATCGATGCGGAGGTGAGTACGGGGTTGTGGAGAACGAGGTGCTTACGAAGTGAGAACGTCCGGGGGAATGAGTGGATGAGAGGCATGACTCATGACATTGAGAGAACCGAAGGGAGATGGATCCCAAGAGTCCAGAAAGTACAGTAAGTAACTAGATAGATAGAAAGTAGTAGAAACTATAGAAGCTTCTTTACTCCGATGGGCTGAAAGGTAGTTACAGGATCACAGTCTGTCTGCAGCTTTCCCCAGCCAAGCTTTCAGGTTTCTCCGCAATAACGCCCCCGAGATAAAGAGAGAATTGGCTCTGGAGAAGAGTCTGGAGAACACAAATACAGTAACATGACACATCCAGCTGACACATTCAGGGTCCTATCTCTCCCTTGCTTATGGGATCACGGAGACTTCGTATATTATTGCATTGGTGCTTCTTTGTTCGTGGACTTCCTCCGCAGGCACAGACTTAAATTAAGTCTCGCTGCGTCAGTCTCGCCGAGCGCGTGGCGGCCACTCAACAGTGAGCATTTGTAGTCTAAATTCGGCTAAGACTGGGGACTCGTATAGGCCTTAGCCATGGCTCGATAAGCCGTCAATGGACAATCTAGCCGAGACATGCTCTCTTCTCGTCGAGACGTCGTTTTTCTGACTCCCCATGTAGGTTTCTAGACCATGAAAATATACAATGGAGGCTCCTTGAAAAAACTCATCTCGGTCGACTATCATATATTCAATGCAGCTTCGGTAATCACCAGGATTGAAGCTATGCGGGATGAAGATGAGGAAGATGCCATATGATGCTTGATCTACGCATTCCAGCCAACCCATGGCCTTGGGTTGACTTAGGGAGCTGGTTCACTCGATCCCTCCTCCACTGCCTTTCCCCATGCCTTTTCGAAGGTCGAATCTTCGCCGGCGCCTGCACTGGAGCTAGCTTGTACCACATCCTCAGCCTCCTCTTTGTCCACCATGACAGGGAGGGTTGAAGGGGTATCGGCACCGTCTCCCTCCGCGGCGATCGGTTCTGTTTTCTGTTCCACGCCCGGTACCTGGACGTCAAAGTTCGAGCTGTAAATCACAGCGGCAAAGGCCTCCAGATTCCGGACATTCTGATCCATAGCGGTCAGGTACACATTGGGCGGGTTGGTGCCATTGCCAATGACGTGCGCCTGGCGCGCCATCACAGCCAGCACATTAGCTAGCTTCGTCTTGAGATCCACGGTCTTCACTGGGGGGACAACGGTAGCAATTGAGGTGAACGATTGCGGGGCGCTCTCGGGCCCTTGAGATGGCGACTGGAATGCTTCTTTGATGATCTGGCCCATCAGAAGACCAAAGCATTCGTCGTTGAGTGCTTGCAGAACGCGACCAAAAGTGGGAGAATCAATCAGATCCGCTGTCTCGTCGAGGAGATGACGCAGGGTCGAAGCGGACTGGGAAGTTGCAGGTTCAGTTACTCCTAGAACTCCAGACTCCTTCAACAGATGGTCCTCCTCATCACGCAGAGGGAGCAGATAGGAGAGCCATTTTCGGCTTCTACAAGGGAGTTAGTCAGCGATCGATTGGTCTTTCTCTTCCCTCTTCAAAGGGACACAGAGGGGGACATGCCTTCTATCCTCTGGAGTGGTGCCTTCCACCTTTTTGCGGATGTCCAGGGTCAGAGCCGATAGTCTCCCCACAGTAATGTCCTCCCTGGGGTTCAAGGAGCCGAAGACCTCTGTGACCGCAGCCTGGACCTCGTTCATCAATTCCTTCCAACCGCGATGGAGCAACCACCAGCTGAAAGCAAGATAGCGTCTGTTTGTCTCGAAATCATTCCCCAGCGTCTGAGTGAGGTCATCATCGTCGTGGTCCTCAAGCTTGATCGTGGACGCATTCGCCGGGGGTGTAGCCAGAGAGATGACGCTAGATAGATAGTTGCGGCGACCGAGGAGATTGAGTTGAATGCGAGTAAAGATGGTCAAGAGCGATAGGGTGTAGATGAGAGTAAACGACCTGGTGATAGCTACAAATCTCACGATAAGCTTGCGCTTGGTCAACTCTCGAGGGGATGCAGGAGACTTACAGGTGATCTTGACCTCATTCCAGAGCTGGGTCTTATTTCGCTTCACCCGTGGCAGCGCGTCGCCCTCGATGGTCGACTCTCCCAGTTGACTCGTCCGGACAAACCCGTCGCTCTGGAAGCTGGACAGACTCCGCCGGTCATCCTCAGCTATACTGGGGGAGACCGAGCTCAGATCCGATACAGTTCCCTCGCCAGCTTGGAGCCGTGCTAGCCTCTCTGCGCGCTTTTTCTGTAGCTCTTTGGTCAATGCCTCCACAGGGAGGGCTTCCAGGATCTCTTCCGCGGCCGTCGGCAGGAGCGCCAAAACAGTATAGGTGCAATCGGTCTGGTTCTGTTCGAAACGTCGCCGTAAACTGGGAAAGTCAAATATAAAAGTCAATCACACCAGGTTCAATTAGTCGCAACAGCTAAGCACGCGAGCGGCTTGTGTTTTATAGAACCAACAGCAAGGGAATGGGAACAGAAGAACGCACTTCTCTCGGGCAATTCGGTCACTGCTCATTCGCTCCCGCGCCTCTGTGATTTTCGAGAGAACATACTGTCCCGCGAGATAGCCAGCGCCGATAATGCCAGCACCGATTGCGAGGCCTTTGCGATTGCGCCGAAACCAGCGCCTCGTGGCACCGATCATGATGGAGCTTGGACGAAGATCAATGAGGGTTAGATCAGTCAGAACAGACCATTATATCACGAGTATTGTAGGTGTAGAGATGATAAATAACAAAAAGGGATAGAGTGAAGCGAGGGTGCAGGTTCCAACAGTTGTAGAAACCGCGGAGAGACGAGAAGAGCAGTCTGTGGTTGGGGAACGTCCAGCAAAAACGGCCTCGGCTAAACCGTGAGATAACAGGAGTCCCAATATGAACGGGGAGCGGTCCTCGAGGACGATCCTGCCTGGGTCAATGAATGGATACGATATAAATAATAACAATAATAATAATAATATTACTATTATTATTATTATTATTAATAAATTGATCTATTATCTGAGGTTTGAATGTTCATCTAGATATACAAATTAGTCGAGTTATCAATCCGAGTAATAATGATCATGAATACGAGTGACTATGACTGTACTGAGCTGCTGCTTTTGCTATCTGTGGGGAGTTCAACGGGCTCTTTAATCTCCTCCCCCCCCAATCTTACACTATCAGGTACTTGATGCTCCCTTTCTTTTGTCCATCACTCATCACTTCCCATCTCATGGATCTTCAAATCATGCATCCCATTTCATCATGTCTGTTTGATCTTGGTTTATCCTGTTCTTGAGGATACTCAACTACTGTTAAAAACAAGCCAGGTTCTTTTTTTTTCTTGCAGCTCTTCCATCCCCCTGCTTCTCAAGCCATCGTCCACTTGTCTTCCTCCTCTCACCCCACACAACCACCCCCGTCATTCGATCGGGACGGATCTCCGTGACATACACAAGCTTGCCATCGTAGCTAAATTCGTGGATGATCGTCACCTGTCTCATATTGCAGGGAAACGGGGATCAGAAGTCACTCTCTTTTTGAGAGATAGAACATCCGCCCTGAGCCTCCCTCTCTCATCGACCCTGTGAGCATGGAGCCCCGCAGGACCCCTCCAGAGTACTTCCTGGAGATTTTTGCAGACACCACCACGGTGAGAGATGTATTAAAAGGTATGTATCGAGCTACTTTTAGCCTGTTATATGTTCTCGATTTCCATCTGCTAAAAAAATGCAACCCTCCCCCCCCCAAAATCCATTATCTCCCTTCTCAGCTCTCCCATTGCTCAATGACTCCCACCAGCTGACCCGATCTTCCCCCATTACTCACTCTAAGGCGTCCTCAACCTCATCTTCTTCCATCGCTATTTCCCCTCCATCCGGCCAACCACCTTCGACGTCCTCGATTTTACCCTCCCCGCCATCAACGACGCCGAGCTCGAAACTCTTATCGAATCCCGCATCAGCACCCTCGTCCGCCAACACTCCTCCACCACCAGCGCCCATGAAGCCGGCGGCGTGCGCGGCCGGCTCGCCGTCGAGTTTTACGAGAAGAAGCGAAAACGCTCCGGCGCGTGGTTCAGCGGGCTATCTGGGAAGGGCGAGGAAGAGGTCTGCTGGGAGGTCTGGAACCTAGACGTGACCATCGCCACGCCGCGGACGGAATCAGGTATCTTCCCATCTTGTCTTTCCCATTCGGGTTGATGTCCTTCACTTCAAACCTCACCTCCTGGCTGTGGCATGGGCTAACCCATATTCTTTGCTTTTTTCCCCCTCGCTACAGAGCGCGCCAAAGTCCGCAAGGCAATGGAGAATATGCTCCAGAAGGCCGCGCTGAAGATCCTCGCCGTCGTCAACCGCGACAAAGACCACATCCCGCCCATCACCACCAGCGACTCCAACCCCTTCCCCTACCGGATCGTGGTCAACCCGCGCTCTGACGGCTGGCAGAATCGCTTCGGGCTGTACTGAGAGAGACAAGAACGAGAACGGGAACCGAGAACAAGAACTTTTTTTGTCTGTGCTGTTCGGGTCACCGTTGTTGTTCATTCGGAGTCATCATCGCCGAAGCTTACCCCATGCAGGTTTCCGCTGGTCTACGGGACTTGCCGAATAGAGATCCGGTCGACGTCGTCTTCGCCCCGGCGCTTGGAGTTCAACGGGCGGGTTGTCTTGGTTGTATTTCATTTTCTTTTCTTTTTCTTTACCCCCTTGTACATCACCTACGTCATCACCGGATGATTTTCGTGAATAGCGGCTATTGGAACGTCAGGACTGCACCTCATCAGAAGCGAAATAGATCAACAGTGCTCAATTACCCAAAGAAAGGCATCAGTGCGCTAGATATAATCGTTCATCCCAAGGACAACCTCCTCATCCACCCATGAAAAAGCACAATCATTCTACTACTCGGGTCATGACAAAGAAAAACACACAAGTAGAATGGAAAACTGCCTCTCCCGCTCTCAACTCAGTTTACTCTCGCCCCGGTCCCTTTGCCCCCATCTGGAGGCCCCCTCCCCACATCACAAACTCGATTTGCGGATGGCGTCATCGTAACCAGGGGCCAGGCGCGTGGAGGATCCCACGCCCTGTTCCATGGCCGGCAGAACAACAAGCCGCGAGAAAATATTCTATAAAGTACTATGAATTCTCAGCAAGGCATTTACTGCGTCTTGGAAGCGGCATCGGCCTGGGCGCGGAGGTTGGCCGAGGTAGATCCGCTGGCGAAGAAGCGGCCCAGCACAGGCTGGAGGAAAGAGTGGAAGACGACTTGAGCACCGCTGTAGGAGGCCACGTTAGCCGATCGCGATCACATCAACCAGGGGGGCAACAGCGGAGAGAGTAGACATACTTGGTCTGGGGGAGAGCCATCCAGAGGATCAGGACGAACTTGAAGATGTAGTAGAAGGCTGTGTGTTTCAAACTAGATTAGCAACGATCCCACAATGAGGGGGGTAAAAACAACCAATTTCTGGGACACTTACGGAACCAATAGGCGGCATTGATGGCGCTCTCAATGACGGTCAGGAAGGCATAGACAACCCAGTACTAAATAATCACACGGTCGGGTCAGTCCTCTATCTCCAATCTGTTGATGATTGCGATGGCATCACGTGCGACCGAAATGAGCACTGCCTAGAGCTCAGAGCCTAGAGCCTAGGGTCACAGACTCGATGTTCCTAGCGGCGGGCGGATCATCTACCTCCGCCTAAGCAGACTCGAGAAGGGGAACAGGATGTTTCATCTCATCGAATTTAACAAGGTTTTGGAAGATCACAAGCACATACCGTCAACCACTATGCGCGATCGCAAACTCGTCAGCCACAATTAATTCTGCATATTATTCCGTCCAAAGGAACGGCGTAATCAAGATCAGAAGGGGAGGGGAAAAAAGAAAAAAAAAAAAAACTCACCTGAGTATCATCTGCGGTGCCGGCGGTGAACAAGGCATTGAGGGAGTAGTAGCCGGGGATCAGGAAACCGGCGAAGTTGACGAGGAATTCGCCAGCGATGTTGAAGAAGATGAGGAAGGTGTAGATACCGACCAAGCCAAGGATCACGTAGACCTTGGGGACGGAGGTTTGGCGCTCGAGGTTGTTAAGGACGGGGTACTTGGAGAGCTATCGCACGGAACAAATCAAGGGTTAGTGCTCCGGGTTTGGGAAATTCCCTTCGTTCGGGGCTGGGGATCGAGGCACAGAAAGAAGGACGATAGATGGAAACCGAGAGAGACCAGAGAGTATGAGGATAGGGAACAGAAGCAGGCTGAAGCAGCACTGCTCTGACCGACTCTCAATTTCTCCCTCGAATCCAGCTGACGCACAAGAATTATCAACTCACCTCCTTGTCGAGCTGGGCAATGGTGTGCTGAGCACGGTCCTGGAAAGAAGCCATTGTGTGCTTTCTTTTTTTAAAAGTAGTGATAGAGATATGGATGGGATCTGGAGGAGGAAGATAAGAATGGAAGCAGAAGGAGGAGAAGACAGGGTGGTTTAAATTGTTATCAGAGAAGAGAGAGGGAGAAAGGAAGAGAGAGGGTGAGAGAGAGAGAGAGAGAGCGAGAGCAAGCAGGGCGTTATTATTATTATTAGTAGTTCTTAGTACGGAGTAGTAAATTATTATTATTAGTATTATTATTATTATTATTATGAAGGAATCCGGCCGTGCATGACGGTGTGTTAGGTCACGTGAGCCAGGTGACGTCGAACGCGGTTTTGTTCCCTTTGGCCACAGAGAGCTCTTCTTCTTCTCGTTCTTCGTCTTTTCCTGGTCACAGTGCAGATGACGTGCGAGGCGGTTTTGTATTAATTTTTTGTGTGTAGAGAGTAGTGGTATCTAGTTAGATAGCATCGCCGTAACTGCAGCGCTCACAGATCTCTTTCTTTCTCTTTCTTTCTCTCTCTCTCCCTCTCTCCCCCTCTGCATGATAAGAGGTTTGCCCTGTTGTTTCAGTGCTGAGCTTGGACCTTGTCTCACTGACCTCCCCTCGGCTAATCAATAGTGTGCTGTGCTCATGTGCTTCATGTTATTATTCTGATATAGCACAAATAGCACACACCACAGATACGAGGTATTCATCTATCTATCTACTCGAAGACTCGATAAAGGATACAATATCCAGAAAAAAAAAAACAGAGAGAACTCTCATCCATGTCCTCGATATGTAATTCACCCTACTGTAGTCAACCGGCCGAAGATTTACCCATGCAAAATTGCTTCATCCCCAATAGGTAGACTCGATCGATCAGAGAAGATTCAATTACAAAATCTCATCATCATCAATTAACTGAGACGGATCCCCTCGAGAGTAACCAGAGTCTGGTCTAGCTCTTCGTAGGCAGCAGAAGGAGTCAAAACACAACATTAGAATAGAGACAACGGGAAGAAGACAATTTCCGCCCCTGAAAACCCTCTTTCACCCGGCATAACACACTAGAGAGAAGGAGAAAAATGAAGAAGAGCAGGAAATATAAGGGTTAATCCACAAGATGAATCGCTCGTCCTCAAATCTGAGCTGAGCATTGCGCCATCAACCATCGTCCATCACCAGTCAACCAGATCACAGAACGCCTCCCTAAAACAACGGGGGAAAGGAGCCAGAAGGACTCAAAAAAAATCGAATGAATACATGGCAAAAAGCGTCAAAGGAAACAGGCAATAAGATATAAAGACACCAGAGGTTCTGAGTGAGAAATCATGTTTTCGCTCCGCAAAAAGAAAAAGATTCAAGAGACGTGAGTGTGGGGGTCAACGGATCCGGTCACCCAACCAAGCCACTCGTTCATCAGATTCATACATTTCCCGAGCCAGGCGCGCCATTGGCCATTCCAGCATCCCTGTTACTATTGTTGAAGGTGAGCTTCAACTTGGGTTGCGCCGGGGTTCCTCCCGTAGTGTGCCAGCAGCCGCAGAGCGGCCGACGCATCATTGCCTGTGGACGACACGCATCGTCAAGTCGCGACTGCGATACTCCTCGATTCCTTTTCAATACTTCCACACTCGCTGTTTAGAAGTCAGCATGTCCTAATATAAGCTCACGCAGGAGAAAGACAAGTGCAGCACGTACCTCGATGTCGTTGGCGTCCTGGAACAGAATACTGCCATCCTCGTTGTACGTCCGAGCGTTCTGGCAGAGAAGGTGGATATCGTTCCGGAAATCCCTCAGATTTTGGTACTCCTCGCGGTTGATCTTCTTCTTGATCATCTCCATGGCAATCGGGTTCTGGATGATCATGTAATAGTCGGGATAGTGGTTCTTGGGCGGCGGCTTCATGAACGGCTCAATGATCGAGCGCGTGACCGGTCCGTCTTCGCTATCTGAAGAGTCGGCAGGCAGTTCTTGCTCCATCTCCATCAGCGCCTGGTAGGCCTTGTTAACGATCTGCTGGAGTGCAGCCCGGTCTTCGCTACTTAAGGTCTCCACAGGTTTCGGTTGTCTACCGCGTTTGCGTTTTGGCTGCGGAGTCTCTTCAATGGGTTCCTCTGCTTTGCGTTTCGGAGCAGGACCTCTGCGACCACGTTTCTTAGGTTGAGGGGTTGCGGAGCTCTCCCGCGACGGCTCTGGAGAGGATTCAGCGCCCGCGCTCTTGCGACCACGTTTCTCCTTATTGACACGGCGGCGCTCAACTCTTGCCTCCTTTCGTGCAATCGCCTCCTCGATCGTATCATCATCAGCATCCACGGCCATGGCCCACTGCTCCTCTGTAAGACCATCGTCGTAGCGGGTAACTTTGCGTTCACGGGCTCCACGGCCAGTGACCTCAACTTCGGTCTCCTCCTGGACCGGGTTCTCATCAGCAAGGTAAATATCGGGAAGTTCCTCTTCGCACATGAGACGGGGGTATCGGTGACCAGGTCCATATGCGTCATTCTTCTGGCGCTCCTTGTCGATCTGTTGGAAAACAGTAATTTCATTGTCAGTACGGGCCATGATATCATTCAGATCATCGTCATCCATTTCGTCCTGCTCGCCAAGTTGGTCTGCGGCCTCGGCGGTCTCGAGCAGTGTCCGCAGCAAAGCATCACGTTCTTCGTTGGTTGACTTGTTGTCGAACTTTCCGGCTTGGATGACCTTGCCGTCCATGTCGAGCTTGAACTGCGCACGCTCCAGGATCTTCTCCTCAACGGAATTGGAGCTGATGAGACGTAGGATGCGAACCTCATTCTTCTGACCGATACGGTGCGCACGATCCTGGGCCTGCAGATCTTGATGAGGATTCCAATCGGAATCGAAGATGATAACGGTATCGGCCGTCTGCAAGTTAAGACCGAGGCCACCAGCACGGGTCGAGAGCAGAAAACAGAAGTAATCGGAGCCAGGAGCATTGAACAGCTTCAGGAGATCCGATCGATCATCAGACTTGGTCGAACCATCAAGACGAAGGTATTTTAGACCTCGAAGGCGGAGGAAATCTTCCATGATGTTCATGATCTGAGTCATCTGGAAGAACATCAACACACGATGGCCGGTGGCCCTGAACTTGGGAAGAATCCTGTCCAGGAGTTCGAATTTACCCGCCGTACGCCAGATAAGATCATTGGTTGCCCGACCAGGGTTCATTTGATCCTCAACAGGCTCGAAAACGAAAGGATGATTGCACAGTTTTCTCAGCTGCATCAGCATGTTGCTGAGACCACGCATGCCAGTCTTGCCGCCTTTGCCATCGCTGACAACCATCTTGTTGTGGGTGACGAGCTGCTTGTACAGCTTCGCTTGCAGTGCGGAGAAGCGACACTTGATAACACGTTCTTGCTTGTCGGGCAGATCCTTCTCGACATCCTTCTTGAGACGTCTAAGCAAGAAAGGCCGAAGAACCTTGTGCAGACGACGGATGACCAGCAGCTGTTCTTCTTCGCTAAGCTCCATCCGATCTTGGCCACCAGTGTTCGCAAAAGGAGTGTTGAACCATTCATCAAACGATTTGACCGATTTGAAAATGTTAGGAAGAACGAAGTTCAGCAACGCCCATAACTCGGGAAGATTGTTTTGCAAGGGAGTACCAGTCAAAATCAAACGATAACGGCTGGTGTAGTACTGAGACAGCGTGCTGCTCAGCTTAGACTGCGTGTTCTTCATACGATGACCTTCATCAACTATCATGTGCGTCCACTTGATCTTGCTGAGAATTGGACGGTCCTTGATGATGTATTCATACGTCGTCAACAGAACCTGGAAGTTACCCCAGCGAATTTGCTGTTGCTGTTGTTTACGTGCGTTAGGAGGTCCCTTGTAGACGACCTTGGAGACCGACGGCGCCCACTTGTCAAATTCCAGGTTCCAGTTCGTCAGCGTACTGAGAGGAACGATGACCAAGAAAGGCCCATTGTTCTTTTTCTTCTCGATGATATGTGTGATCAAACTGATGGTCTGAATAGTCTTTCCAAGACCCATCTCGTCGGCCAAGATACCGTTCAGGTTGTTGTTATATAGCGAAATCATCCATTGGAGACCTCTAATCTGGTACTCCTTGAGCTTGCCACCGACGAGAATCGTTGGCTGCTCGGTGATCTCTTCCTTGATCCGGTGAGCAACAGCATAGTAGTCAATCTTCCGTCTACCATCGCCCTCCTCGTCGGTATCAGAGCCAATGGCCTCTTCTTCCTCCTCCTCCTCTTCAAAGGCCTCCTCGTCCTCGCCATAGCGTTCAGCCAGGCTGCGCTGCTGTTCCCTGACGGAGGCAGCGAGTTGTTTGAGGAAACCATCGGTCTGTTTGAGCAGATGGGAAATACGCGAATCCTTGGCTTGACCCAAAAGCTTCATGTAAGTCTCCTCGTCGTTAGCCTTCAAGGCCTGGAGACGCTGTTTGGCAGTACGTTCAACCCGCTTTTGCTCCTCGCGCTCCATGTGCTGGTGATGCTGCAGCATCATACGGCCAAGCTTCTGCATACGCGTGCGCTGCTGGTTGGCAGCATTTTGGAGCTCAATGCCATGGTTCAGGATGGCTTGGAGTTGATCATATTGCTTCTTCTTCTCCCGAGTCTCCCTAGCATCACGTTGCTGCTTCTCTAGTTTCTCAGTAATTCGCGCTTCGCGAAGGGACTGCTTCTTCATACGGCGATGGCTGGAGCGATTGGCAGTCATGCCCAAGTTATCAAAGTGAAACATTTCGTTCTGAATTTGTTTGCGGAAAAGCCTTTGCTTGGGCAACAGATTCAGCATCTTGTACTCGATCAATGCTTTCAGCTTCAGCGAATCATCGCCGCTAGGGGTATCGGTTTTGGTTGTATCCCAGACACCAAGATTCGCAGGAAGTTCGGCGAGTTCAGCTTTTCGCGCATTGATTTTGTTGTACAAGATCATCTCACGATCTTCACGCAGCTGCTCCAGATCAATGCCTGGTGGCATCAAGGCAGGGACGCGCATGCGATTGGCACGCGAAGCATGATCGGTAAAGGTAACGCTCTTAGGGAACAACTCATAGGGTGACTGGAAGGTCTCGTAGAAATCTTTAGACTGAGAAGGCGAGTCAGGAGTGGGTTGCTCTGACTTTGCTTGAGTCGCGCTGTCGAGAACGCTCTCTGCGGTCGCGGCACCATCCGAAGGTGTAGGAGTCTGCAACTTCTTGGAGGCAAAAAGCTGCTGCTGAACGCGGAGAGGTATTGTCAAATTCTTAGAAAGCAGTTTAAACGCCATTATTTGATTTCTGAGAGTGGCGAGTTGCTCGGCGGAAAAACTACCACTGGCCACAGGTGCACCCTTCTGGGCCGCAGCCGGACCGGTAGGTTGTGACTGAGCGGCTGCAGCTGCAGCTGAGACATCCTGGGCGGTAGCTGGAGAGGGGCCGGGACCGTTCCGACCTACGTGGAAAAGTCAGTAAATCAAAACTGATGGACAGTATGTGAATGGGGTAGGAGCATTTGTACCATTGACTCCATTCACAACAGCAGCATCCGGGGTCGCGCCGTTCAGCTGTTGTTGGCGGTGTTGTGCCTGGAGCTGCTGCTGCGCGAATTGCCTTTGCTTCTGGTAAACTTGTTGTCGTTGAACCGCAGCGAGCAGGTTGTGAGCTTTGAGGTATTCAGGGTCGTCGTGGCGAACTCCCTGTTCTTGCATCTGCTTGAACTTCTGCAAAGAAATTAGCATGAGTTGTGAATATAATTCGAGTGAGGATCTATTTAAAAAGGGGAGGATGACGCGATCTCGGGCGAGAGGAGAGGGAGCACTGTACCTGAAGCACCTCTTGGATGTGCTGCTGGGTAAGGTTCGGAGGCAGGCTCATGTTGCCAGCCGCCATATTAGGCGCTGACTGGAGTGAAGCCATTCTCAAGCGCGTAATGGGTTTCTTAATTCATAAGCTGGGACAGTGGGGGTGTTGGTCGACGTGAAAACGGCAAAAATCCGCGACGCAATAGTACGAAACACGTAGGGGGGGAAAGGAAGTGAAAACAGTCAATGGCAATTCGCGCGGGTTAGGTGAAAAGGCGCGCGGGTTGGGGGATGTAGAATAAAAGAGAACTCTTTTTGTCGATGGATGCGACTGGGAGCGACCTATATCTGATCCGTTGCGACAGACTTCTGTGATGTTTGGCCTGGGTCGGGGGCACCAGCTACAGGGCGGTCGTTGACAAAGACAAGGCCAGCAAGCAAAAGGAGAGGCTCAACACGATGGTCAAAGGGGAAAGATACCCCCGAGCAGAAGGGGGGTGTAGAAAAAAGGCGCGTCGAAGGCCTTTGGTGATGAAATGGCGATGGAGGGGACGGGACTTTCGCGACTTTCCGTGCTGGTCGGGGAAACTGGCTGTGCTTTCAGCCTGTGCCTGTAACGAAGAGAGGCAGGCGGCGAGACGTTGGAAGAAGATTTCGCGCTGTGTCACGTGTGGACCGGATGGGTGCTGACTCAGTCGCTGCCCGCATTGGGTCTTGGCGGCTGGATGCGACAGTCAGCAACCAGACTGGGAAACTGGGCCTACCGGAGAGATACTCTGGAGTATGGACGATTTCTACCTGGATACTCTACCACACACACGTTGAGATCTCGTGGTCGCGCTAACTCGCTTGATTAAGATATGTTATCAATACAAATAGAAGATCCTCCATGATCCACTCAGTCTTGAATCTCCTTGGCATCGAGCATCGATCTGATCCTCGTGTACCCATGCCTCGATCAATCACTCGATGTCCACTCTTAGGCAGTGCTAAGTGACAACTAACAAGAAGTAGTAACTGATAAAGACTAAAAGCTAAAGGTAACTACGCTATCCAGCAGCGTGCATATGGGGACGACGGTATGTGTTTTGTGGGCCAGAAGTATAGCATAGTGGTAGTCAACCGCCTATGCATCGCCCACGCTCAACATGGGTCGTTTCATGGGTGGAGGTGGGGGCGGCTTCTTTGCGCGCGAAGGTGGCGGTGGGGGAGGAGCTTTCTTCTGCAATGCCGCGCCGTTCAAGGTTGCCGAGCTGGCTCTTCTGGAGATCACATCACCATACGCAGAATTTGGGGGACTCGGACGCCCCGAATAGAACCCATCATGGTTGCCGCCGAAATTTGTCGCAGGCTCCTCGTATGGATCATTATACGGGTTGTCTGGCATCATGCTGATGGGACGAGTCTGAGAGCTATCCCTGCGAGAAATGAAGTTCTCACTAGGTGCCCGAGATTGCCATGGAGGTGTGCTGGATGGTTGCACCTGCCGCAACTGCGAAGGACCTTCAAAGGTTGAGGTACGGTTCAGCACCGGTCGCTGGAATGGACTGTCGGCTGGGTAAGTCTCCCTCGCCGGCGATCCCATGTGGGCAGATGAAGGATGACGATCCGATCTGATGATTGGGCGAGGGCTGCCGCCATTCGTAGATTCCTCATGCAATGGCTCGTAGCGTTCTCTGTAGGAATGAGCGGTATTAGAACGAGCACGGCCGGTACGACGTCCGTTCGGTGTCTGCGCTTGGTGTTGACTGCGACCGCTCTGTTAGTTTGAGGTATGGTCACTTTCTGCAAGAGCAGGATTCAACTCACTCTGCGACCCAATCATTCTTCAATTGGAGAAGCACTTCTTGGCACCGTTCATGGTAATTAAGCTGTGCTTCCAAAAACGCTGTCAAATCTGCAACACCGTCGACTTCCGAATCCTTGATGTCCTGCATCCGTCGGAAAACGTCTTCGTTGGCCTCCTCATACTTGACCTTCTGAGTGCGCAGCTCTTCTTCGACGCGAAAGTCCTCCTTCTTCGCTTTCTGCATTTTAGACAGGGTGGCATCGTAGGCCAATCGTCGACTATCGAGCTTCTTGCGAGCAGCCTATACAAGTCAGTTGGAAGTCTTTCTTTCAGCCTGTAGGCTTGCATCGTGTCCATCATACCTGGTATTCTTTCATCTGGGCCAAGGATCGTTCGAGCGATTCAAGGTAGCTCGAAGTGGCCTGCGAGATGTAGGATTCCTGGACCCGTGCGATGCGCTCTTCTGCCCTGCCAAACACTATTCAGAGAAATCATCAGCATCGGACATGACCCTAACAAAACTTTGTGGGAAGCGGTTGCTTACTCGTCAAACAACGTCCGTAATCAGAATTGGCGTCGAAATCCTCTCCATGGCCGACCATACTACCACCCAAGTGGGCAATAGGTAGTGTTTTCTCCTTATCATCCCCTTCGCTGCGCTTCGAGATAGACTTGATGTATGAAATCAACGATTTATGGATACGGTCAACACCTGCAGAAGGACAGATTGGTTCATAGTCAGCGACTGATGCGTGATCACTAGGTCAAGGAATGCGTATGACAGGAGCTGCATGCCCACCTTCGTGTTTTACGTTCATTTCCGTTTCCAGGGCCTTGAAGTTATCGGAGAGATTGGTCTTGATTTCACCCCCCATCCTCTCTCCGGCCCATTGTTTGAAGCGATCGAATTTCTTATTGACAATCATCTTGGAATAATTTGCGAAAAGGACAGATGTAAACGAAGTGTGATTATGGAGGAAGACAGGTCGAGGGGGGAACGAATGTAAACTCCTTCGATTCTACGCAGGAACCGAATGCGGTTGTACACGTATAGGGGGTAGTCCGTTCTGGTGATTGACAGGGCAATGACAGATAGCAATTGGAAGAGACCCAGGGTCATGGGTTAGATGTGGACAGCTTCAGCGAGGGTGTGAGAAAATATTCCACAGTGAAGTGAACAATGGAGATTGTGTCAAAGACAAGAAGAAGGCAGGGGAACTGCGACAGTATTTAGTTAGTTGGGGGGGGAGGTGGGGAGGAGGACAGACGAAGAGAGGGAGGGAGAAAGTGTCCAGATGATATGGATTAGATTGATTTAAATTGACCTTCCCCTGGACCAAGTGTTTATCATTATTCGCTGGACTGAACTCCATTGGTAAACTATCTAGTAATAATAATGGAAATTTTATTAGAATAACCATTATCAATGGACCGGTCTGAATGGCAATGGTGGTGGTGGACGATCGATACTACAGCTCCGTAATGCCAATCAACTTGAACCATTGATATTGAATGCGCCACCAGCCAGGTACAAACTCCCAGAGGTCCAGATGGAAGCCAACAGGGACTGAAGTTACTGAACAGATAACTAAACAGAATACCTAGTCCCCCCCCCCACTTACCACTTCTCCATGTCTGGTCTAGAGGCATCTTGGCAGCGTTCAAGTCTCATCTTAGTCTCATCTTGGTCTCACTATTATGGTACGGACTATGGACTACGGAGTAATTTACAGGCCCTTTACCTATCTACTGTGTAGCTGATGGATTATGGACACTCACTCAGGACTTCATTATTGTTTGTTGTCCTTGTTCTGGCAGTTCACAGTGCCGCTTTAAGATGGCACTCCAGGAATGTCGATTAGCTAAGTATCTATTCTTAGTCGGCCATGGATTGGATGCTGGAGAACGACACAGGGTGGATTTTGATCATCATACAGGGTAGAACGTTCAATACTCTCTCCACTACTGATCACATCTCGAAAACACAATGAGTATCACAGATCACAAGGAAATATTGATTTACAAAATTAAACAGACATCCAGAATATACACATGACAATGCAATTGACTATCTACTTGTACCCTGCCAGTTCCTTCTCAGTCCAGTCCCACAGTTCTTCCCACAGTTCTACTTTCGAACTATACTGCGTGCGCTGTCCAGGCTGCCTGATCAATTCATAAAATTCTCCATTCTGAAGATGGTTTTTATCAACCGTACTGGCCCAGCAGGTCTGTAAGACTCCAAACTCCGGCTCATGGATATGATGAAGATAAGTCCTATATGTCGTGGCCTTGATGAAAAGACTCATCTGCTCAAAGATGTCTGTGGCGATGGTGCCTGGGTAGACTGAGACCGAATAGATTTTTGGATAGCGTCTTGCCAGTTCAGCAGCATAGATAACATTCGCGAGCTTGCTCTGGCCGTACCGGACCCATGCACCTCCGCTTCCCGGTCCTGCACGGTCTTCAGATCCTGGATGGCGATTCCCCCCTTCACAGTAATTTTAAGATGGAGGGAGGTCAGGAAGATGCTCCGGACATCGCCAGTGGTGGTTTCTGCCTTTTGCAACAGGGGTACGAAGAGTTTGTCGAAGAGGGCGTGGGCCGGATGGTTGATTCAAAATGTTGCTCGTAGCCATCTTGGGTCAGGCCGCATGCTCTACCCATGATGCCTGCGTTGCATATCAAAACATCCAGGCGAGTGCTGGCAGCGAGGAACCGGCGGGCAGCTTGAGAGACGGAATCCAAGGAGTTCTGGTCACACGCGATGAAACTGACGGGAACCCTAGGGGCGATCACTTTACACTCTTCGATCACCTACTTCGCAGCCGACTTGTTTCTGCCGGCGAAGTAGATATGACCTGGTTTGCGACCGACAAGGGCAAGGATGGCGAGCTTCCCTAAACCAGCGGTTCCTATAAAACCTTCAGTTTTGCTCCGATATGTGATGAACTAATCTCAGATACGATACTAACCACCAGTGGTGATGAAGACTCTCCCCGACTGCTCCGGAATGTGTCTCGCAGGATCGTAGAAGTTGACATCCATATCGAAGATGGTACGACGCTGCAGTTTTCATGAAACCAGGTCATCGCTAGTATGTAGATATATATTTGTTCACATCTTTGTTCTTGGTTTTTCCATCACAGCACAGATTCATAAATCCAGTTGCTTTCAGTCTTAGCTTTGTACGGCTCATCGGTGTGAAAGCCTTGAAGACAAGGTGAAGGAAATAATATGAAGGCTCTTTTTGCTCTCTTGGCTTTTGGAAGGGCATGGCTACAAGAGAAGAACTCATCTTATAGTCTAGATACTACTTTGTTTTTCTTTGGATGGAAGCAAGAGGTGTTGCCAGAAGCATTGTTGATATTGTCTGCTTGCCCTTTAGACTAAAGCAGCAACATCCGTATCATAGCTAGGATATGGAGGTATCACTGAAACAGTATTTATCATCCCCATCATCTCATGATTCTTGTACTTGTTGATCGTATTTGATCTGCATTACAACTCCCAGGATGCTGTTTTCAAACCTGGACGGTCAGACCATCTGGCCGCCAGTGAGAATTGAGATACAAGTTCACCCTTCACAGTTTCACTGGTGGATCAGACTGAGTGACACGCGTGTTAGTGGAGCCATGGGTGGACCATCATTCTGATTGAAATCTGCTCACTGGTTCATTCTTCCATTTGACTTTTAATCCTCAAACAGTCAAACTCAAGGTGGCTGAAGCGTTGCCACAATACTATTTACAGAACAAGGATGTGGAGTGTGCGCGGCGGGTTTCAGATTTCGCGCTCGACAACATACCACAGTATGGTGTGGACGGGCTACTCCACGTACTCTTGTAGAGTGATAATGACATTGTTGTGCCATCATAATTCTCCTGGGTGTGGATACTAAAGAGCTGAGTTGAACTCCCAACGTGTTGCTGTCATAAACTCATGGTGGTGGTATTTGAGGTCTAAACTTATGGGGAATCAGGGAGTTGACTAAAATGGACACGCCAAAATATATATATCTCTCTCTATAATGATATATCTGGTCAAGAATACCGCATTCCCAATCACGTCACCTATAGAACATATTCTTGACCTGATACCATGGAGAAGACTAATTGATTGATCTCAAAAGGAAAAATAATTTACTATCGCTTTGGACATAGTGGGGACAGATTGCACTGTGGTTCAAAGTATCACAGTAAATGGTATGTATATACAAGCATTTGCTTTGAGACGCTGCTCCTACAAAGAAGGTATCCATAGAGGAGAATCATAAGAAATACCCAGTCATAAACATCATTAAACATTTAAAATAATTAAGAGACCTGCTGAAAACCAAGATCCTGATGCTGCGCGTCGGCCAATCCCAAAACATACTCATCCTCGGCGGCTATCATAGCATCAAAATCATTCCATGAGATAGCGGCATCGTCAAATGGGATCTCAAACCCTCCCCAAGCGCCAGAAACATCAGCATCCTGGACAACATCAGGAACCACATTCTCACCGTCCGACACATTCTGACCCTGACCACCTAGAGCCTGCGCGGCATACTGCCCCGGCGTAACGCCCATGACTTTCTTAAAGACCCGATGAAAATGACTCGGGGTCAGATTGGCCTCCGCAGCCAGCTTCTGGAGCGTCGGTTTGCAGCCATCCCTGACATCAGCCTGGATGCGCTCGCATGCCCTCTGTATCAGCTGGGCCTGTGGACTCGCTGCCGACAGCGTCTCCGGTCTGCAGCGCATACAGGGCCGGAAGCCTGCTGCTTCTGCCTGCGCGGGGGTATCGAAGAAGCTGATGTTGGCTCGTCGCGCGAGGCGTGCGGGACAAGATGCCCGGCAGTAAATTTTTGTTGTCTGGACGGCATAGACGAAGGTTGTGGCTGTTGCGTCGCGGGTTACGACGGCCTGCCAGCGCGCAGCTGTAATTGTGGATGACCGGGCGGCTCTGGCCAGCGGCAAGGGCTTTTGGGGTGGATTGGGTGGATTGTCATCGGCATTCATGGTTTCTGGTATTACTATTGTCATGTATGCTAAACGTGATGAGATCGAAGGTAGAGTAAGAGGGAGGTGAGAATTCGACTTTTGTACGGAGATATGGTCAGGGTTGACTCACTGTGTGACTTCCGTACTGCTGATTGGTCACTTTGAGAGCAACAGGTATCTGTCAAATGCTCGCCAGTGCCTGAGGTCTACACTATCCTATGTCTATTTATTGTGACGCTGTATATATTGCCTTACAGTGAAGTGATCTGTTAATTACCCATAGAGCAAATCCCTGCTAACAAAGAGCCTGCGAGATCATCATAGTTGCAGTCGTGCGCTCATGTCAGAGACCAACTCAACGTCGACTCCTGATGACATAGAGCATCCGGCCCCGTAGAAGACATCAAAGTGGGATAAGATAGACATCTTCTGTCTATCACAAAGTTTGAAATGTACTCTATGAGGGCTGAGCACCTGGCCAGAGCACAATGTGACAGCCGCCAACCGTTTCACTCTAGCACTCCAGCAACGTCGCATCGTCCATTACCCAACGCCTCGAGGCATGCTTTTACACAGGAAGGATGGTGAGGAGAGCTTAAGAGATACCAGGTGAACAGAAAAAAAGAAATTTTCATTGATTACCACAACGGCTTCTCCTGCTCCTGCTAAGACTGTCGTAACATGCACCTCGAGACCTTTTGAACGTGAACCCATTTGTGGCATGATCATTTGGGTCATGAAGAAATTTTTTGCTGGCCACAACCTTAATTCGCTAAGGACGTGTGGAAGGTAATCCGCAGTCGCCTAAGTACATATGTCTCATAGCAGAAGAGCATTTTCAACCCGTCAAAAAGAACAAAACTCCACTCAAAACCACGTTTAATCCTTGGTCTTCTGGGTACCGCGGAGCAGACCAGTTCTCCGGGCAGCAATAAGACCGGCTTTTTGACCTTGGGCGGCGTAGCGGGAGATGGTCGAGGCCTTACCGATATGCTGGTGGTTACCACCACCGTGAGGCTGTAGAGAAAAACCAGGTCAGATATCATGTCCTCGACAAATACACGAAAATGAAAATGGGGTAGAAATCTTACATGGTCGACGGGGTTCATGGCAACACCACGAGTCTTGGGCCAAGAGTTGCGCTTGACAGCGAACTTGTGCTTGGCACGAGAAGCCTCTGTAGAGAGCTGTTAGCAACTAAAATTGTCCCTATATATCCCATTGTTGCCGCAAAACGACGAATGGCAGATTGGAAAAACATACTGAGCAGGGGCTTGTCGGTACGGCCACCACCAGCAACGATACCAACCATACCACGGGCAGTGCTCTTCACAACCTTCTTGGCACCGCTGGGAAGCTTGATTCTGGTCTTGCCCTCTTCAGGGTTGTGGCCGATAACGGTAACGTAGTTTCCGGAGGTACGGCCAAGAGCACCACGGTCACCAGCCTTCTCCTCGACGTTGGTGATAACGGTACCCTCAGGGACGGAGGCGAGGGGGAGGATGTTGCCGACGGTCAGAGCGGCGTTCTTTCCGGCGTAGATGAACTGGCCAGTGTACATGCCCTCGTTGGCAATGAAGGTCTCGGTGACCATCTTGAACTTGTAAGGGTGACGGAACTGGACCTTTGCGAGAGGAGCACCACGGCCGGGGTCGTGGATGATGTCCTTCACAACACCCCTGACATATCCATGGCGCTCGGCGAAGTCGAGGTTACGGAACTGGGCAGGAGCCTTGTTAAGACGGGTGTTGGCCGCTGCGAGCGAGAGCGATCGATTAGCATTTTTTGCATCTCGAGAATTTTCTCTGCGACTTTCGTCCAGAGTTTTGTGAATTATCACTGCGGTCGCACTCACTGAAAATGGATCCACGACCCTTCCTCTGATTGCGGATCACACGACCCATGGCGACTTTCTATATATGAGCCTGTACGTTAGTATCGTCAAAAGAAAGTCCGCCTGGCGACCGGTGGTGGGAGTTATCAACTGCTCGTACCTCAAATCGAAGATGGGCTTGTCGGGTTGGTGTTGAGAATTCGTTGGAGAATGGACTGTGTGGGCTTTAGGGCGAGATCGCTAATCTAACCGAGTTGGCGCTAGCGCACTTTTGGTTCGGGGCAGCGCTTGTGGTTTACGCGCGTGTAACGTGCCGCGATTAGATATGCGTATCTCCGTCGTGTTGCCTTTCTGCTTTCTTTCAGGCCATCTATTGATTGATCATGGATCTGTGATTTTGTATCATTCTGTCACTTATAGGATATGATATGATATGATCGATGCTACAAGTTTTGCAATCCTTATTCCTTGGAATCTGCACGTGGAAGTCCTCCCATGATCACTCTGACGTGATAGGGTTACTTTGATACTATTCCTCTGAGGGATGTCTCTTGAAGGGATAAATTCAGGATGTTGACATCCATGAAAGCCCAGTAGAGAAACCATCTTGAGCGAAGCTCCCAGGAGAGTGATTCTGGTTCGTCAGTCTCAAGACAACCGATTCTTTGTGGATTATTCACCTATCTCATCAAACCCCATATCCGCAAACATAGAGGATTAACAAAGCTCATAGATGGATTTCCTGCTCAAAGTCAAGTACGTTGTTTGTCGTCGTGGAAATTGGAGATGAGCGGATACGCCGTTGAGCTCCCCTCTTCATCGGAAATCAAGCGAGTTGAGGCTCTCCCAACTGCATTTGAAGCGGGGAAGTCCTCATGCCATATCTAGTCCATCGACTGGATTGCTGATCGTGTACACCTGTATCTTTTGGTAGGAGAAAGCGTTGAGGAAGAGTCTTGACCCCGTTGTTGCGATATCTCTTCAGTGCCTTCTTCTCATTCTGCGCTTTCTCCCTCAAAAGCTTGGATATCTCTGCATTTGCACTCTTTGGTTCTTACTCCATTCATTCAGAGGAGTGGGGTCCTTTGCACTCAAGCTGAGTTCAGCTTTACGAAAACCTAGCCGTGACGTAAAAACTCTTTTTCAGCAGTCCAGTGCCAGTATTCATCGCATCTTAACATGAATGAAGTACCCGGAACCCTGTACTTTTGTAGATACTATGATTGAAATAACTCAATGAGCAGATTGTGCCTGATTGGAAGCTTGTCACCGCCTGCCATGGACTGGTAGCATTGATAGCAGAGTACTAGACAGGCCAGTCGCGTAAAAGCCGCGCTTCAACCAAGTAGCGTCAGTAAGGGAACTTCTTGCGGCGCGAACCTTATCCACCATCAACCCTCATCCCCTCGACAACATCACATCGAGACAGCGCGCCGATCATGTCAAATATGTCTCTTTCCGACTCAGATCTCTCGTCGCTTTCATCAGCGCCCCCTTCCGACGATGAGACTGGTGCTATGGCACTTGACGAGCCGGTGGGCATCACCAAGTACTTCAAGAAGGAATCTGAGTCTCCGCCGCCGAAACGGGAGCCCTCACCACCCCATGAATACGTTTTAGCTGATAATCCGGATATTGCAGTAAGTCTTATTGATCAGCGGAGCTTGCTGATGCTTCTAAACACAAGCTTGACGCGTTTTTTGCCCGGTTTTGACTTGTTGGCTGACTTGTCGCAACTCCGAAGTTCATTGTAATGTTCCGCGCGCGTTTCCATGAGGTCTTCCCGCGATCAACTCCACACTTTGGGCCACAGGATATTGAGAGAGGCGTTGTTGAGATTCCACCAGGGGATCATATCGAACGGTTATTATGTGCATTGCTAGGGCTAGTGCTCAATCGGAAGAAAGATGTTGAGTACGAACACCACCAGACACTCGAGCACCGCGACATCAGAGAAACACCCACCTACATCTTTTCCACTTCTACGCAGAGGCCATGATTGTATCAGCTGGGCTAATTGATTCCTTTCTACACAGGAGAGCGCATTACCAACGTCCTTTAGAGGAGGCGATCCAAACCCACTCTTCTCAATGGCCCAAAGCTTGGCAAGGGAAGAACCCCCTTCATGGGGGTCGCACCTTTGCATCAATGTCTCCAGAAGAACGTGTATGTTAATGCGACTGGGATAGGCTGCTTCTAAGGCTCTTGTGGCTGACATTGCGCATAGTTGACCCTGTTGAAGTCGTTAATTCTCTGGTCCCTTTCTTCGTCCGACGCCGTTGCAACCAAGATTAAAGAATCATACAAACAAGCTCGTCATGAGGACGATCTCAACCAACCGCTTTCCGTTCAACCATGGGGACGCGATGGTTTTAAACGTCGATACTGGCTTGTCGAGGGTCTAGATGATACCCATTTCCGGTTATATCGCGAGGGCAACCCGGCCCTAAAGAACGTTACTTGGTGGAGCGTAGCCGGAACTATTCCCGAGCTCAAGACGGTCGCAGACAAACTAGATGAGGAGAAGAGTATCCACTCAAAGAAGCTTAGCGAAAGGATAAAGAATGCCGTGCCTCGTTTCGAGGGCTCCGAGGAGGTAAGTTGTTCTCTCATACTCGCGCTCCGATTCCGCACTGACAAAGAATAAGAAACGCAAACGACGCGACTACCGCATCGCTCGCAAAGCCGCTTTCTCTCGGCCCGAGCCTGGGTTCTCCTTGTACGAAGGCCGCACTCGGGGGAAGAAGCTGAAGTACACATACTCTGATGACGAGGATATCTTCTCGGACGAAATGCCATCAACAAGGCGATCGACTCGGAATGCTTCAGGGATCTCCACACCGGCAGAACCTGCTGGGCCTAGATATACAGCGAGCGGAAGGCAGATACGATCACGGGCAGGCGGTCTGTACGGCGAGGCCTTACTGAGTGGCCAGCGCGGAGACGATGCGGAAGATGCTGATAGGCCGCAGAGGTCTAGAGCGACCAGAGCAAATGGCTATACGGATTATAACATGGATGGTATGGACGAGGAATCGGAGGCGGCTCATTCCAGCGGAAATGAGTGGCGGGGCGGTGAGGAAGAGGAAGATAATGATTTTGAAGGTGATGATGAAGGTGATCTGAGCGGAGACGACTCCGTCCTCAATGGACAGGACCGGAGTCTCGTGGTCCAGCTTCGATATGGCAAGGGCAAATTGCCGAGCAGCCCTCAACTACCGGCAGACGAGCCATCGGCAGAGACATTGGGCCTCGAAAAACAATCTGTCAAACTGGCCGGGTCTGGGGCAGATGAAGAGACAGTAACGTCACAGAAGCTGCCCTCCGCTACAAACGTCGAAGCTACGCTAGTTGTTGCCGCGAGTGAAACTGCTGCGCAGGAGCCGAAGGCGGAACTACTGAATGGCCTCACTGGTCAGACACAGGAGAAGAGGGCTGTTGCTGGAATCCCTCCCAGCACTGAGGTGCCCATATCTCAATCAGCTCCCGCCAAGGCTTCCAACGAGGCCAGTTGAGATCGACCCATTCATAGCGTCTATTTTGCCTCTCTGCTACAAGCAGCTGCCTTTAGCCGACATACCAATAGAGGCATACGGCGCGCTGCAATCGCCTTAATCTGATAATTCATACACAGGCGAAAAGGAGTTTACGTTCGTCAGGTGTCGGTCAGATGTGTCCGTTAAAGATTAATGACCGGGATTCATCGTTAGCCCGGAGTTCTTCAGGGGTTATATAGCCGGACAACACTATATAAGGATTCAAGAATATCCCAGATAGAGCTCAAACAGTCTGGTACTTATGCAAGCGGAAGCAAGCCCGAGGGATTCGAGAATAAGAATCCTGCTATTTGTACACTACAGAAAGTGACCTCGAATGAAATAAAAAAGCAACAGGAATTGCAGCATGATACGGCAGCTTGTTTGCATATTGATCGGTATCGCAGAACAAAACCCATAACAGAACAGAAACGCTAAACCCGTAACTCCAGAAAATGCATAACAAGCCTCAGGCTAGCATATCAATTGGAACGGACTTCAATCCGTGCCTGCGTTCGAGAATTGTGCCGTATAAAACTGTAAGAACTCCGGAAATGTCAGCCCCAGCGCTGCATTTCAACAAGTTTTTTTTTGGCAGATAGAACCAGGCGAATGGATCCAATGGCAGCAGCTGAAAGGAGTGGACTTACGTCTTCGACCTTTGAGGCAAGTCGGGGGTCTCTTGTCGAGCGGAGAGCAGGAAGTTTCCAATTGTTCACCTCGTACCACCACCGCCGTAATCTGCTTCCGAGGGTTTGGCCACTGAGAGAAGCGGTGCGATTCCAGTACCGCCAGCCAGCCAAAGCGAGAGTCCAGAGCGTGCCCTGCATGAGAGGAAGCAGAACCTGATATGCCCCGAAGGTAATTTCATTAGCATTGTCCGCACACCTTTTGAAGCTTTCTTGTCATTGCAACAACAATTGCCAGAAGCCCATCATACCTGATCCCGAACCGTGATCCACGCAACTCGTCCCCATGTATCGGCGCCTCGTAAGCTGGCGAGGTAGCTCTGTTCGAACCGCAGATCCGGCAAGGGAGGGAGGGTATGGCGGCGAGGAATGGGTCGGATCATGCGACTAGGGTCAACGATGTCCGAAGGGAGGCTGTCGGCCTCGGAGGGCGCGCGTTGAGCGACTGGTCTCTTCTCCGAGGCGGAGGTGGAAGGATTGATGTCGTGCCTTGGAGACGGATCTCGTTTGATGGAGGCAGTTTGGATGGTTTCTGCCACTTGGATGATTGGATCTGACATATTGGCGATGGAGGTTGATATGGTCCTCTGGTCCTCTGGTCAATGGTGTTAAAGTGGATGTTTACCTAGAAGCAACCAAGTAACTACTTCGGACCCGTGAGGTTGCTTAGCACTAAGTAGCCGGATCCCCTGACGCAACGAATAATAATGCTATAGTGCTACGGTGGGCCATAAGCGCCGATTCTGGCAGCGGCTTTTCTGCCCCTCTTCTAAGGCTCAAAACATCCCCCACTACTACTACTACTATTACTACTTCTGCTCTTTCTTCCTCCTCCGAACCGTCTTCTAACATCACCCCCTTCTCTTCTTTCCAATATCTTCAATTACAATCAGGCATAATGGCTGCTGCTCAGGGATATCCTCTTCTGTGTCTGGAGAACCCTCTCCTGGGTATGTACTATCTGATTTTCTCCCTCCGAAAGCGGACCAAAACCATACTATAGATATCGAGTGAGGTTGCTGACATTGGAAATATCTAGACATCCAGGCCGTTGGGTACGTTAAGGAAGCCTCTACTATGATGTTGAAACGATCGAATATCGGCTGATCTAACTTTCTCTAGTGATGCTGCTCTCCTGGAGAAGTACGGCCTGAAGGACAATGATGCCATTCTGGCTGAGGATAAGCACATGGGACTCTACGATGAGCTCCTTGGCCGTGATGCGAAGCTAATCGCCGGTGGTGCTGCTCAGAACACTGCCCGTGGTGCCCAGGTACACATTCTCGGATTCTCTCGGTCTGAAAAGCAGGACCTTTGCTGATCTAAGATCTCACCGCGCAGTACATCCTCCCCGAAAACTCCGTGCTCTACATTGGCTGTGTTGGCAAGGACAAGTATGCAGACATCCTCAAGGAGGCTTGCAACAAGGCTGGCGTCCACACAGAGTACCGTATCGACGATGTCCAGCCCACTGGCAAGTGCGGTGTGATCATCACCGGCCACAACCGTAGCATGTGCACTCACCTCGCTGCCGCCAACGAGTACAAGGTCGACCACCTCAAGCAGCCTGAGATCTGGTCTCTCGTCGAGAAGGCTCAGTACTACTATGTCGGTGGATACCACCTGACTGTCAGTGTGCCTGCCATCCTGGCTCTTGCCGAGGAGGCTGCTGCTAAGAACAAGGTAAGCCTCCCTGATCTATCATCTCGAACGTTGTTAATTTTTTCTTGCTACCTAGGTCTTCATGCTTTCTCTCTCTGCTCCTTTCATCCCCCAGTTCTTCAAGGACCAGCTCGACAGCGTCCTGCCCTACACCGACTACACTTTCTGCAATGAGACCGAGGCCCGCTCCTACTCCGAGAGCCACGGATGGAACACCGACGATGTCGTCGAGATCGCCAAGAAGCTCGCTCAGCTTCCCAAGAAGAACACCAACCGTCCCAGAGTTGCTATCGTCACTCAGGGTACTCTGCCCACGATCACCGCTACCGTCAAGCCTGACGGTGAGGTTGAGATCAAGGAGTTCCCCGTGCACGAGATCCCCAAGAGCGCCATCAACGACACCAACGGTGCCGGGTGAGTTTTTTTTTTTTTTTTTTTTTTTTTTCAACGAATCCGCCAATCCCGGACAGAATGCATGCTGACCGATGTTGCGTATAGTGACGCCTTCGCTGGTGGCTTCTGCGCCGGTGTTGTCTCGAATAAGTCCCTTGAGGAGAGCATGGATATGGGCCAGTGGCTCGCCAGCTTGAGCATCCAAGAGCTGGGACCCTCGTAAGTCAATCTTGCACCCATCTGTTCTTCGGAACTGAGTTCCAACGTTTGTGTGACATTTGACAACTGACTCGATGCTTTTTTTTTTTTAAATACAGTTTCCCCTTCCCCAAGAAGACCTATGCCCCTACCCGCTCATAGATTATAAACGACCTTTCTCTCTAAAACGCCCTAGCTGGGCGTTTGCATGGCTGCAGCAACAAAATTTTCCTGGATGATTCAACCCTCTATACCCAGTTGTCCTTGACTTAACGTCTTAGACTTTTTATTTTACTATTTGCAATTATCATCTTCTTTCAAAAAGAGATAAAAAAAAACAAACTGTGCGCTTAGTTACTGGCTATGGCTCCGTATAACCAACGGAAGCGCAGATCGGTGACGTTCTCAACAACGATGTAACGATCAAACCCTTCGACTTTATATATACACAAATTTTCAAAAAATTGGAAATAGTGAACCAATAAACCCGACTTCCTCGTCTGTTCTTTCGGGGCTAGGCATGATCGAGTCTGACACGACAACAGGTCAAAATGAAAATTCACATAGATAGATAATCTCTTGTAACAAAACGGCAAGGAGAAGAAGGTAAGAATCGATGCCACGATGTGAACGGATCCAAAGTACAGAACTATGAGATATGAGATGGCGCATTGGAGCTGCCATCATGATTCAAATGCCCCACAACCCTATCCTGAGAGCCAGCGGGCCTGTTTCGCGGCCTACCTACAAACTGGTCATCCATTGTCATAGGGAGATTCCATCACAGTCATTCCACGATGGGGGTTTCCTTCGGTAAGAGCGATCACACAGTAAATGGGTCAAGCAAGCAGGGAACAACAGATTTGCGCATGATGATCATGCTCGGTAACAAATAGGTAGCCCTATCCATGCGCCGGACATCGGACGAGGAAGTGAACAGTTAACATCTTTTCGCATTGAAAGAAATTGCCTCCTGATCTCGTGCCCATGTTCAGACGACCTGCCTGCACATTGCTTCACTGGTGCTGTTCAAAGCTGTGATCGCGTCTTGCACGGACTTTTATTCTCGAGTCCAAGGCGAGGAGCTGGCGTGTATCACCCACCATGACCGTAGGAAGGCGTCTGCCCGATGGCGCCAAACTGGGTAGCCGATCTGCGATTGGGAGTGTGCCCGGAGCTGGGGAAGCCTGCTCCGGAAGACAAGCTGCTGGCCAGAAAAGCATTGTTGGCCCACGACGCGTTGGCTAGGCCACTTGACATGGGCTGGCTGGGTACTCCGAGCGAGGTCGGGGAACCCGTTCCAACGGCCGTATTTCTTTCCCACCCTGTCGCCGGAAACCGCTGAGGAGCCGCAGGGCTTGATGGAGTTATCCAATTGGACATGGAGCTTGCCCCGTTAAGAGAATTGTGCAACGGAATCTGACCTCCAAGGGTTTGTCGGTAGATAAACTCGTTGGCGGTCATTTCTTGGGACGCATGACGAGGGCCCGCACCATTGATACTCATTCCCATCACTTGACCGGAATGTTGTTCCAGGCCTGGAGGTGTCCTTGGAGCGGAAGTGGCGCCAATGTCAGGCGACAATCCGGCGCTCCAAATGGAAGGGATAGTGGGAAGAGTGGGGCGGGGTGTGTAGGACTGAGATAACGAAGTTGCTGGTAAGACAGTGGAGTTTGCTGCAGAAAGTCCGAGTCCTGGCGGAGCCATGGGAGTGTGACGGGGAGGAGTATCCTCGTCGCGGAACGGTGAACTCATGCTCGATTCGAAAAAATTGCTAGGAATCGGCTGTGGATTGGCAGTGCTTCGTGGGAAAGTTATATGATCTGGAAGTAATGGAGCATTCTCATAAGTATCCGACTCGACAAGTCGTTCGACACCTTCAACGATACGATGCATGTTGGCGGACATCGAAGCAGTTGCAGATTGGGAACCGCCAAACAGGCTTCTTGAATCGGCGACTTGCGCGGCATCCTGAGCCACTCGCTGAATTTCTTCCCGTTCGATACCTGTTGTGGAGAGCCTGTTGTGTTGGCCGGAGGGACTGGTGAAGAATTGGGATGGAAGACCATCCTCTTTATAGATGAAGGTCTTCTTGTCTTCATCGTCAACAAGAGCTATGGGGACTTTCTAAAATTACGCAGCAGCATTAGCAAGGGTGATCGGATAGGTAGGAAACCGGTCAGAAGAAGCGTCGTACATTGCTCACAACCAGATCGAGACCGTCAATCACAAACTCGCGGATCCGATAAAGCATTTCGATGTTAGGATGATTTCTTTCAACTCCGATGTCAGTCATCCTGGGCTTCGGCTGCACATTTGCACTCATATATCGACGAGATGTAGCATCTTTGTGGAGCGGCGCAAACCCTAGAGTCTCCTCGTCCTCTTCCAAAAGGTAGTCAATCTCCGGCAGGTGAACAACATCGAATGTTGACGCGAGCAGAGTGAGCGTATTGGCATAAATCTTCCAAAATTCGGTGATTTGGACGGCGAGAGGAGTATCTTTTTCTTCCTTATGTGCCACGAGCAAATGGCTGACAACGAGAAGCCAAGAGCTATAGTGTCGCAGAGCCGGTAATACACGACGAGCCACAACGGTGACCTTGTCTGGTCCATTTTTCATATCTTTGTTGAGCGAGTCTTCAACGGCGAACTTTTCCAGCTCGGCTAAAAGAATTTGAAGCAGGGTGAAAAAAGTTTTGACATTAATCCGCTGGAAGAAAAGACGGGCATTGGATACTGACTCTTCTAGGTAGTATGTCAGTAAAAGGGATTCGAATCGACCTGACCTCAAGAGAACTCACCGTCGGGGCGCGTTCTGGAGAAGTCCTCTGCAGCGATATTGACAAGACAAAATTTTTGAAGCGTGCCTTCGAGAGAACGTTCCTTCAGATCAACAGCAAGCTGGTTCAGCACTTCACTTTCAAGTTCATCGTGCTCGGGAAAATCCGTTCCTTGATAGCATTGCGCATGAAGATACACAAACCATGGAGCCAACGCTCGCCCGGGTATTCCGGCATCCTCAGAAGGGATTAATTCTCCCTTGGCCCAAGCATTGCGGACCTTTCTGAACTCGATTTCCAGGTTACCTTTAGCCGACGGATGGGGCTTTTGTGCAGCTAGAGCCCTGTAGAGATGGTACGTGGCTCTCAAGTGATTGCCGTCAGCGAGGGCAATCACGGCCAACTGATTGTGTGATGCACCCGACTCGGGCCAAATAACGATAGCTAAGTCATAATAGCCAATGGCAGGGCCCCAGTTGCGATCCTTGCTCACCAGCTCAGTCTCGCGGTAGCGGGAAAGATCGCCAAGGCGGATCAAGGTCGAGTGGCACGAGTAGAGGACACTCGTCCGGAGATTCTCTGCGGCCTGTGCGGGAGGCTGCGCCGCTAAATCTGAGGAGATAACAATGAATTGTTAAGAAATGCGCTTGGAAACAGAAGAATTGCGTTGCTCACTGTCAAAGTTGAACTTCCTCGCAACTTTTTCAAGCTCTGGGATACCTCCGAAATGCGACGACAATTGCTGGATGTACCCTCGGTAGAATCGCTGGCTCGATTTGATAAATTCGAGGTAATGTTTTTCGAGCTTTCGTCTCTCTACCGGCTTCTTTTTCTTCCCATTCTCTTCACGAAACTATTGGCATAAGAAGGCATATTTGTCAGAAAACAGCATGCGCTGGTCAATCCGAGAAACTCACGCGCGCGAGCAGTTTACGGAACCGGGTGTTGATTTTGAGATGTGCATCCCACAGACGGGTTTCCACGTCGATGGAGCGAGCAGTTTCGAAATCCTGAAGGATGGCACTCTGGCAGGCAGCGCGGAATCTGTGGATTGATAACGAAGAGTTAGACCAATGCGCGCATCGAGAAAGAAGTGCTTATGTCAAGGAGGAACGAGAGTCATACTCCGAAAGGAAATGCGAGATCTCAGCGAAAGTAGGTTCTTTCTCAGCAAGGCTCTTCATGAGCTTCCTTTCGGCTTCGAGCGCAGACCTATTGGACCTGCGAATCAGTACATATTGCTCCAATCTTTTTTTTTTCTGGAAAAAAAACCCCCCCGGCGGAGAATTTCGATAAACTGACTGCCACGTATTTTGGAAAGCGGACGCCATGCTCAGGGTGGGCAGAATCGCGCCTGTATCACTCCACCCTTGACTTCGCCCGTCAGATGGCTATGGCTGGCTGGGAGTCTGCGGGCGACGAAAGTAGTGAACGATCCATCAGTAGTAGTATGAACGTAGGGACGCGAGATAGACCGAGGACCGGAGCTGCAGATCGGCTGCGCGAGTCGTAGCAGAACCGAAGAGGGGATCAAGGACGCTGACCGAAGATGAACAACAAAGGGTTGCAGCCACCTGCTTCACAGGAAAGAAAATCCCATATCACGGGGAACTTTTCGACGGCCCATCCGAGAAAAAGAAATGGGGGAATGGGGGTGGAGGAGTCGCAATCATACTGCTGTGGCTGGTGCGTTGATGATTGGCCTGTGTTGTGTGGCTGGTACCTGCCGTCATCGCCTTACAATAAATAATACCATGTCATTATTATGTAAGGATCGAGCATAAGAATAATGCCCAGTGCACATCATCATCATCATCAACACTTTATATCAAAGATATAGAGTATTGTTTCCGAAACAGAAACCTGATCGCACGCATAGTTTCCAAATGGCACAGTCAATGGTGACAAGTCCTCTGCATCCCACAAAGTTCAGGATGCAGTACCAATGAGCATTGCAGGAGCCACATATCTACTGCATCTACGACTCTGCATCCCCTCCACCAACCAGGAGGGACTATTGACCTGCGAACACCCAAAGACGCAGAACGGACAACGCAGAATAGCAAAGACTAGATAAACCAAGATGTCTAAACGCCCTCGCAGCGCCTCGCCAACCCTCTCAGCGGGTCAATCGTCTCACACTGTGACGAAATCTCCTTCACCCGCATCATCAGCGCATTCCACTGAACGCTCCAAGATGGTCTTACAAGACACAGCCCAGCCTGCCGTTGAAGTAATGCGGTGCTCACTCCCGCCTCACCGAGATACTCTCTCTTTCTCTTCGTACGAAGACTACGAAGTACACTATCGAAAGACGCATGTCAATCGCTGCTCAGAGTGCGGGAAGAACTTCCCTACAGATCGATACCTCGACCTGCATATCGAAGAGGTCCATGATCCGCTCATTGCGGCGAAACGAGACAAGGGAGAGAAAACGGTACGTCTAGTCTCTCTTTACTACGCCTGCTGCCTGATAAGGCGGATTGACTAATGGGGGCGTTCTTGCGGTTATAGTATAGTTGCTTCATTGAGGATTGCGAGCGGAAATGCTCCACGCCTCAAAAACGTCGGATGCATTTGATTGATAAACACATGTTCCCCAGGGTGAGTTCTCCCAAGCTGCCACTGCGTCAGGTTCCCGGCTAAATCTTTCCCTTCAGACCTACAATTTCTACATCGTCAAGGACGGCATCGATGAGCAAACATCCATGCTACGATCTCCCAATGCGCAGCGACGCCGCATATCCGCTACGGCCACAGCACCATCGCCGCAAGAAGGCCGGCTGCGAAACCGAAGAACATCCGAATCCTACTCTCCCGTGATCTCCCATCCAACGTCTCGGCAACCCGTAGCTCAACAGACGCATGAGGAGCCGGAGATTGCTCAGCTTGAGAGATCCATGTCCGCGTTGCGGTTTGTCCCGACGAGTGTTGTTAAGAGCCAGGGCCGGACTGGAAGTAGGCCATGAATGACTTGAGTCGGTCTCGTCCCTAGCGAAGAAATGAGCTACTGGCAAAATTGAAAGGGGTGACATTAGCACCATTCAATAGATGACCAGCTTTGGACCAGTGGGCACGGTCCTGATGGAAAGCTATAAAGAAAAAGCCTTAAAATAAAAACACACAAGGTCTTTGATAAGCATCTGCCTGCTAGGAAGACAATGACAGGATAAGAGGTGTTCAGATCAACAAAAACGCCAGCACCACAGGACAGCGCTTTTTTCAGGTTTTCTCTGCGTTCTTGGAAGCCCGTCAACCCCGTGCTTGAAAGAATTGAGAAGCGCAATTACCACCAAAGCTGTAACTCATGACAGTCTCGTCACGCAGAAGAATCCTCACTCTACTTATATACATCTCGAAAATAAACAACAAGGGGGAGGTCTCATCAAAGAAGAAAATTTGATGGAACAGAAGGGGGAAATATCAAGAGGGACGATAATTCATAGACGCGGGTATATAACAACATCATATATCATCCATGTCAATGAGAATAAAAGGACTCAGGCTGCCCTATTCGCATGCCGAGGGGCCATAGCAGAGACATAACCTATCCAGTCCACCGTGCATTCAGAAGCCTCGAGAAGGCAGAGAGAACATGTAGCGAGCTATTCGATATACATTAAGCGAGGCCGTGATATTCAAGAGGTCACAGCTGGGCCTCCAGAAGATCTGCGTATGCATCCAAGCTTGACCCAACTAGGTCGACTATCGCCCAGCTCGTATTGCCTTTGAAGGTTCTGGCCCACACGCGAACAATAGCCACGCTGAGTTGTTTTGCTTTATAAGGGTTGGCCATGAAGTCCATGTCAGGCGCCCCGGGTGGGCCAACGGCCATGTCAGTTTCATCCATCATGCTCTTGATCCACAAGAGTAACTTTCGTTCATGATCAGAGAGCCGTTGCTCAGCATGTGTTGCTGGTATTGAGAGGAGCCATCGGCTCAAAAGGAAAGCGCATTCCAAGCTACAGAGGGAATGTTGAATGCTCCAGAAGAACGAATGTGTTTTCGCAACAAAGTCGATCCCAAGACGGACGGGAATTGAGAGGGCGTGGGCAGAATGCAGCAGGGCCATTATGAGACGTGGGCTCCTCGCGATAGGCGGGGATTCACTGAGAGCCCTGGCGATTTGTATGGGGTCCTGAGTAATCAGACGACGACACGGGCCCAGGTCGACATGCAATCTGATGTAAGCAAGTCCCAGAAGGGCAGTAGATGTGAATGCGATTGGACCAGCTGGGTTCTGAGGATCAATGCTGGATTCGGGGGTGCGTTTCCACAGTGCCTTCCAAGCGCTGAGAGAATTGTCCAAAACAGTCAAATCATCCGGCCGAAGGCTGGTTCCGTGCATATTTGGCGCCGATAGGCAAAGTTGGCGAGCAAAAAAAATCTGTTGGATGAGAGCATGTATCAGGATATAGTTTCCGAGTGGTGAGATTGGTGCAGACGCATTCGAGATGCTTGGTTTTAAGAAGAGTTTCGCGAACGCCTCTTGGAAGGGCACGTCCAAACCAGGTCGAGAGCGATTTAGCCGCCTCCACTGAGCTGCATTGCTCGCTTTCCAGACGTCGTGGGAGCACGGCATGTTTAACTTCAACTCCGCGTTGAGAATCAAAGGGGGAATGTTGTACATGACGGAGTGTAAGTTAAAGAAGCAATAAACGATGAGCTTGGTGCGCCTGTTACCCTCTCTTCGAATCCATTCCTCCCAGTTGCTCGGATCAAGGCCAGTAGCTGGCTCAGATAACCCGTGTTCTCTAACGAGCCGGGCTAGAGTACTTTGAAGTGAAAGGATCTCCCGGAGAAGCTCCGGATGCCTTTCCCATGAGGCAAAGACCGTGAGCAGAAGGAAAGTCCTAATGACTTCCATATGTGCATCCGAATCATCGGAGACATAAATCGAGGGATCGACAGGGTGCGGCATGGAATGCTGAGGCTGCTGGAACGGACTACTAGCATGATTCGATATGATAGATGAGTCGCGAGAATTGTGGAATCCTGAATTGGGCGAATAGAAATTCCAGGTCGGATATGGTACTTGCTTGCTGTCCCTTCTCCGAAGGCGCTCCAGCAGAATTGCTTTTGCTGCATGGAAGAGGTCAATCCCGCGACTATTTTCGAATCGATAATGTGAACCTGCTGCTGCTAGAGCAAGCGTCAACTCAGGAGAGCATTTGCCCACTGAAAGAGTCGGGACGTGAATGAAAGGAAGGTGTTCGTTTAGTCCATTGATATAGCCAGCAAAGAAACGAGACAATGCGTGCCTCGACGGTGGGATGAAGCCTTTTGGGAGCACGTAAGCAAACTCTTCGAGCTTGGAAACAAATATTTGACGATCTGCATTTGAAATATCCCATGCCGGTCGTGGACCTTCATCGCTGAAGCCGAGCCGATCATCCACCTCGTGGGGCTCCGGCTGCAGCGAGGGTAAGCGAGATCCAAAATTGGAGAATGACGGTGGCTCATCAACTGCACGATGATCGTTCATCAAGTCATTTCCAAGTCTCGTTGATTCACGAGGTGGCGGTTTGGAATCTATCGAGAGGGTGGTGGGGATGATAGAGTCTTCGACGGTGGAAAATACACCCGAGTCCCAGTCGGATGAGAGACCGACACTTTCTAAGAAGACAGTGAAATCTTGAACCGGGTCTCCCAAGTCCGTGAGGTCGAGGATTGAAGGTTCCATGCCATAGTTGTCGGTAATGGGTCGGTCTGTGACATGGGAGATTGGCTGGGGAGGGCCCACAGTATGCGAGGGTTTTCGCATGGACTCCAACGCCTCCTGCTGGCCTTCCAGAGCGACATGACTGGCAGCGTGGGATAAAAGATTCAGATCATAGCCCCATGAGGGATTGAAATGAGTTGTCTCTACTATCGGTGCTGGCTGGACCTGCACCTCTGGCGGAGGCGGCGGAACCGGCTGGGGCTGCACCGGAATGGCATCTGCAAGCTCGAGCATCCGCGATTCATGGCGCGCTGTATGTATCATCGACGACGGTGTCGCCGGCATTTCATGATGAGTATGATTCCGATGTTCTCGATTTGCTGCAGCCTCGGCTGGATGGACTAAGCGCTCATGTCGTACAAGTAGGTCGCTACAGAGTTTTCCCTCATATTGTTAGCGCAAACCCGTGTCAATGCAACGTCGGATCTCATCCTACCTTCTTGCAAATGATTTCGAGCATATATCACATGAGAATGGCTTTTCCTTGGTGTCTGTGATGATGGATTAGCCCTCTTCATCCCCCATCGCGGCTGCAGGAACAAATTCAGGGTTACTCAACGAGTGCGGAGATGCCGTTGGAGGTGCTCGAGACGAGCGAAAGACCGGCTACAATACTCGCAGGACAACGACTTCCGATGCGGCGTGGCGCTTTTCTTCCTCACTTTGCCTTGAGCAGCTCTCTCTTCCTCCATGGCGAATTGCCTTGGAATTGGAGCATATCCTCTTTGACGGGCAACAGAGTACAGACGAGCGGGGAAAGAAAAACTGTGGGGTCGGCGCATATGAGGGGGGTCGCTGGAGCGTCACGTGAGAGCTACCGGCAACCCAAGAACAACCAGAAAAAAAAAAAAAAGAGAGAGAGACGGTAGGTAGACAGTTGTCGCTACAGCGAAAAGAGATATTGTTTGTTGTTGTCATCGTTGCGCGTGGTTTCTAGTCTACCTGATGTCTGATAGTTCTCCCCTCCCCCCCTTTCGTCCATGATAAGATCCTCGTACGTGCACTTTGCATATGTTATGTTCCGCCATCCCCACTGGTGCGGAGATATATATGCTCTTACAAAAGGCCGCAGAATGCTAAGAACGAGATTCTAGAATTTAGATACAATGCTGCTTTTAGTCTCTTTCCCCGAAAACACCCTAAAGAAGAAATAGACTGTGTCGCCCAGCTCAGAGCCATCAGGCATGAATCCTTTGGTCCGGTGTGCTACGTGGAAAGTGAGCACTAACAAGGGATTGGAGGCAGCCTCCCGCAGGTCGAGGTATGTATGGTAGAGTCTCCCAAGCGAGATGCTCGTCGCTAGAATTCTTGGGTATTTTCAAGCTCGTCATATTACCTTGGTTTCAGACGATGGGTCTGCCTTCAAGGCTCAGTATAAATAAGCAAAGTGCACCACAGGATTGGGATATGTGAGAGAGACCTACAGAAGGCAGTCTGTATGGTTATCAGATCATGGACTTTCTGACCCTATCGATGCAGAGTCGCAGGCATCAACAATGGAGTGCTGTGCTGCACCATACCATATAAAAAACAAAAATCCTTCGTTGGTCTCAAGTTTCGACCATGTTATCATCCAATATCATCTGAAGAAGGATTTCCTTGACCAATTCTGTCTCTGGGCTGCTGTCTCGTTCATTCGAAAGGACAGCACAGTGTACCATGAATACCATCAAACTATCCCACTCTGAAGAGAGATCATCCCTGGAACAAGACATGTCGATCCAATTTCACCATTATTGAGAGTAGAATTTTCAATCCCACTTGTGCCAAACTTGTGAGCTAAGAATAGTCTAGATAGATAGTGCACAGAGAGTGTCAGTGAATCAGTGCCAGACGATAAGGTCACGACAGGGTGATTTGACTGGAACAGAGGGGCTCTATTGTTTCAGAGTATCCAAGGAGTCCAGCCCCTGACAAATCTCAGCAGAGCGGCGTGTTTGAGATGGTGGTCTAAGCTGTGGTAGACTTTCCATTTCCATTGTGGACTGTGGTCCAGTAGACTACTGGTACTGGTAGAGTGGTTGGTAGTCTGTCTGGTGTCGGCGGTATCAACTATCAGCCCCGACCGATCGGGCCTCCACAGGCACAGATAGACAAGACAGAATACAGTTGTTTGTTAGTTGCTAGTGATGGTTGTTCAATAATATTCTATCTTTTTCGCCATCACCATACTTGCTCAAGTGAGCTCACTTTGTCTGAATTTTGAAGCGTCAATATTCTTTTTCTTCTTTTATTGCTTTTCTTCCTCCCTTCCCCACGCCTTGAGCCCAGGGACGACTCTGGCTCAGCAGATGACGCCTGATCTTTGACTACCTTAGCCTATGCCGATCTAACGCCATTATTGAATATACAGCTGGAGAAACTCAAGGATTCAACGAAGAAGCAGTGGGTGCATTGTCATATTCTCCTTTGTATGCACTCACCTGCCTTTGCTACCTGCTTTCAGTTCTGTTCATTCTCATTATCCCATTCCCTCCGGCTAATCCTTGAATTTTCCATCTGCGACCCTTTCCCCTTTGATCAAAATACAGACATGACGTTACTTGGCCTATCGACTAACCGGCAACCTGATCCTAGGGAATTTTCGGGTCATGCGCTAATCGACTTCGGATCGGTGTTGAGATTATACCGGCATTTCGCCAAACAACTGCAAGGAGACGGTCTGTCAATCAACGTATTATGCTATTGCGTCGGAAGGGATCTGAAGACTCGGTCGCGTGAACGCTCGGGGGATATACGGCAGGATCATAAACTTCGTTTGTTCTCAACACAACGGCTATGTTGGCGTCAAAGATTCCATACTCGACGCCGTTGGGCATGGCCGGGTCCCAGGCCACCACGCCTTCATACCACATCGGATCATCGCAGAAGTCGGCGCCTGGGGCATCTTCTCAGGAGGGGATGTTCACCAGCCCGACAGAGTCGGAATTCTCCGCGAAAGATGGCGCTGATTCCGTTCGGTGGGTGACCAGACCTGTTGCTTTTTGTTCACCCGACTTCGGATTGACGGCTAATGCCTGTCTTTTTTCTAGATCTTGGGACGAGAAGCAGGTGATAGCATGGCTCCATAGCATCAATTGCGGCCAATATGAATCCCTGTTCAGAGGTATACACTCGCTGACTGTCACCTACCCGCATCATGTAACTAACCACATATAGCAAACAACTTCAATGGTGATAATCTCATCGAGTGTGACCAGAAGATACTTCAAGAAATGGGCGTAAAGAAAATTGGTGACCGGGTTCGGATCTTTGTCGCCATCAAGAAACTCAGAAACAAAAGTGTCAACAACCATAGACAGATGAATATGGTGAGTTGACTGCTCCTGTTTCTTTCCTCGACGTTTGCTAACTTCATCATTACAGAACCAGCTGGCTGCGTTGGAAAATCCAACTTATGCTCCTACTTCTTCGGATTCTTCTCGTCTGACCAGTATCCGCCAACGGAGCTCGAGCAATCGCCGCATGTCTCGCATGGCCGACAATGGTTCTTATGTCTACACCATAGGGAAACCATCGTCACGCCCCGGATCGCCCTTGAGAAGCCAGCGATATGTCGCTAACAGTCCAATGGAGAATGGTCGGAAGGAAGGCTATTTCAGTCACCCCTCGTCCGGCGGTTCGAATTCGGGGCGCAACGGAGGAGCTCCGGGTGATGGCAACAAAGGTGGTCTACATTTAAGACAAAACCCGAGCATCGACGGCCTGACAATGGGTCCTTTGCCTGCCAACTCGCCCGTCATCAGAGTCATCTTCGTCGGCGGACAGACTAAAGTGTTAGACATTAAGCACTGCAAGACCCCAGATGAAATCATTCTATGCGTCCTGAAGAAGCTACAGCTTCCTGAGCATCAGTATCGCAACTATTGCTTCTACGTGTTGGATGGCCTGGAGCCCGATCCCTCACATTGCAGGAGGCTTGCGGACCACGAGCTCATGGAAATATGTGAAGGCCCGAACAGGTCTGAACGCGGCCGTTTGATTTTGCGCAAAATCCACGCCGGAGAGCCGGACACTGACGAAGTCCGTCGCGCCGCCCAGCTCGCGCTGGACGAAAGCCAAATGACACATAAGAACGCCCTAAATAGCTCCAACGTGCGCAATCAGATGAAGATCCAGCAGCTGACGGGAGAATCATGGCATCACATCAAACAACCAATGTCGCCAGTGTCTGTTCGGCATCAACCAAATTACAGTGAGAACGACCCGACCTATGTGAACACCGAGCGGCCTTCTGTCGCTAAATTGCGGTCGTTCTTTGGAGCTCGTCCGCCTAGCGAGATGATTATCCATGAAATCACTTCTTATTTCCCCGGTCATCATCGGGAGGACATTGAAAAGACAATGCGCATGTCCATTCGAAGGTCGCAACGGCTCAGTCGAGCCGCAAGCCGTCTAAGCGTTGTCAGCAACACAAGCTACGCATCCAGCTTGAGAGATGCCCCGCCAATCCCTAGTATTGCTGATAATTGGCTCAACCCTGGAACGCAGCTTCCTCGCGCTTCTCGACCATTATCGGTCTCTAGGTTTAATCTTCCTCAAACAGCCTACCGGGATTCCATTGCATCCAGCTCTCTCCAGCCCCTTCAGGAGGAATCTCCGATTGAGCCGAATCGCAAATCCTACGTATCCTTCGATAGTGGGTCGGATGACCCAAGCATCTCGCGCCAGAGCCTTATTGATGAGAACGCAAGTGTGGCAGCGACAGATGGTGGCTCTTTCAACGAGCGGTTGAGTGTATTGGTGGCTGAGGATGGCGAAGGGGAGGATGATGGCCTTAATGATTTCCTTTCTGGTAACAATTTCGCAGCGAAGAACTGGATGAAGGGCTCTTTGATTGGCGAGGGATCGTTCGGCAGCGTCTTCCTTGCTCTTCATGCAGTCACCGGAGAGCTTATGGCCGTCAAACAAGTCGAAATTCCTTCAGCTACCAAGGGCACTGAGTTCGACACACGTAAGAACAGCATGGTCACAGCACTTAAGCATGAGATTGAGCTGCTGCAAGGACTTCACCATCCAAACATCGTCCAGTATCTGGGTACTTCTGCAGATGATCAATATCTGAACATTTTCTTGGAATACGTTCCTGGCGGCTCTATTGCGACAATGCTGAAACAGTACAACACTTTCCAGGAGCCACTGATCAAGAATTTTGTGCGCCAGATATTGACAGGCCTCTCCTACCTTCACAGCCGTGATATCATTCACCGTGATATCAAGGGCGCCAACATCCTGGTGGACAACAAGGGTGGAATCAAGATTTCAGATTTCGGTATCTCCAAACGTGTTGAAGCTTCCACTCTTCTTGGAGTTCGAGCCAGCGGAGGCGGAGGCCACCTTCACCGGCCTTCTTTGCAGGGAAGCGTCTACTGGATGGCCCCCGAAGTCGTTCGACAGACGGCTCACACCAAGAAAGCAGATATCTGGAGTCTGGGCTGTCTCGTCGTGGAGATGTTCATCGGGGCCCACCCGTTCCCCGACTGCAGCCAGCTGCAAGCCATCTTTGCCATCGGCAGCAACAGCGCAAGACCCCCAGCCCCCGAGCATGCCAGTAAAGAGGCCATGGCGTTCTTGGACATGACCTTCCAAGTCGACTATGAAAAGCGACCCACCGCGGACGAATTGCTCCAGTGCCAATTCCTGGCTACATCGCTGGCGTGAAGTATCCCCTTTTCTTTCAATTCTCTGTTGGAAGCTCTGAGCGGATCATACATGTTCGCTCAGACGCCTCGGGCACTGTGGTTTCCCCCTGCATACTAGCACATTTCTGAACTTTACGACCGTCACTGAATACCCATAAGCCTTCTTATCCTTGCATTTCTGTCCCTCTTCCGATCGGTTTCTACAGTTTAAATCTGTCATCTACCAGGCGTTTCACATAATATGATTCTAATTTCTTCCTGGAATTCCAACTCCTCGCATCTTCATCTTTAGAATACAAGTGAGCGTCCTGAAATTCGAGATCGGTTCAAGCAATAATCCTATGCTATTTTCATACTTTTAATGGATCCCTGAGTGGACTCGAAATTATTGTATGGGCGGCGTATGTTCACGTTCTGGCAAACTGTGCCTCTGCTCTTCTTCCTTCAAGGCTGATCAGCTCTCACGTCCTTTATAATATGTCTATGCGAAGGCCGCAGTTGCTGATCCCTTCGGTATAAGTGTATACAAACCAAAAAGAGGTGAAATCAAATATGTAATGATCCATTTCATCCCAGGAAAAAAAAGTACAGATCTCTCGCACGGTTTCTATGATACAGGTGGTTGCCGCTCGGAACATCAAACAACACAGGGTGATTAAAATAGCTCTCGTCTGTGCGCGAGATGAGCTAAAACATCATTCCATGTCGCCTTGCTCTTTAATTTTGGCGGATGATGTTCCAGATAACGAAGCACATATACGATTGTGGCATGACGCGAGGCGTCTAGTCCACCATCTTACCGTAGAATGGCACGCCCATGGCGCTGAGGAGAAGACGGGCATCCTTATCGGTTTTGGCAGTGGTGTGAATGGTGATGTGAGTACCGGGAATCATCTTCGGCGGGTACCTAAAGCGCGTGCATGTTAGATCAATTGTACCAACTGCCACCGCAGGACAGAATCAAAATATCTCCATAACTTACATATCGTAGTTAACCTCAATTTCGGGGAAAAGAGCCACGCTTTCCGGCTCCAAACCAAAGGTGATGTTTCCGCTGCTGTCACCACTGGTGCCCTTGACACCATCCCAGTCCTTGATTCTAGGCAGGACGACGTCGATCAACTTGCCGAAGAAGTGAAGCATATCCTCGCCACGCAGTTCCGCCTTCACTGCAACTGTATCTCTGCCGGGTGCGATACCCCACGTAGCTACACTGGCCTTCGATTTGTATGTCTGAACACGGACGTTCGAGATGGCCTGGACCGCCATACCGGCGACATGGAGCCACGAGGAATTTTCCGTAGCAGCTTGCTTGACATAGCTGTGGATGGTGATCCGGTCTAGCTTGGGGATGTTGTTGAAGGTGATGGGTTTGCGCAGCAACCGTAGAACATCACCACCACGGGGTCCACGCAGTGGTCGATTCTTGTGATAGGGGGAGCTGTCGTCCCACTCACGGAGACGAGGCGCTTTCGTTGGTGGTGTGAAGCCCGGAGGGGTGTGAACATAACAAAGAGTGAGAATATCCGGAGCGATAGTCGACTCCCATGTTTGTGTTACACGGGGAAGCGAGAAGGGGCCCGGCACAAAGAGACGAGACGAGGGGTCAGATGGAGGAGGAGGTCTATGAGGATGGAGAGGGCCACGATCGTATTTGGGTGACCGGAATTGATAACTAGATGCCGAATTGGTGGTATGAGCGGGTTGCTTTGAGGTGATAGCAAGAAATGCCGATACCAAAAAGATAGAACTTACCGACTCCGCGGCAACTGGGTCTTGCGCGCTCTTGACTTCGAAATCGGATCGAAAGACTTGATAATATCTTCTGGCACGCTAGCACTCAGAGAACTCGCCGACTCAAGATCAATGACGGGGTCTGATGTAGGCTTCGACGCTGCCTGAGTCGAGGCATTGCGCCGCAAGCAGAAGCTCTGAAGGCCAGAAGATGGTGCAAAGACGCGTGGCAGCGACCTGGCCAGCAATCTCGACGACTCACTGGCAGCCATTGCGGTGAAAATGTCGTGTTGTTGAGCCGAGAGAATTAGTATATCGGACTCCCAAAAATTACTTCCGGCTCAGAGTCGGAAAGCACGCACCATGTCACGTGAGGAAGCGCATTTTGTGTGCCTGGAAGATCTGGCAGAAATGCAAGGCAGTAATCAGGACAATCCGCATATACATGTGATCAGCCTCAATCCCCCACCAAAAGATACAGCGATAGACAGCTGATGGGAGTCCTTGTCTACATTCACAAGGACTTTTCTCTAATTCCTTCTTCTTTCTTCGATCCTTGGCTTCCTGCATTTTATGTGAAGTCATCTCTATCCATTGTCTCTCTTTATGTGTGACTCATGACCACTTTATTTCACTCTCTCTAGTGCCACTGAAGCTGCCATTCACTGAGGCCCTGTCAGAAGAGCTAAGCACCTGATATGCTCACTTTCCTACGAGAGATTCTGTTGTCGATATACCTACTCATCGACTTCCACATGTCGCAATCTACTCTGCGCCCTGGACATCCCATCTGTCTATTTATTACCTGAAGACATTGTTATCTGCAATCTGAAGGCGCTGAAGGCCTACGTGCCCCCTATCAAATATGAGTGGGATTCATAAGTTTCTCACTAGACGCGAGAGAAATAGCAAAGTCGGGAAGCAGAATAAGGATGAGGTACAATTTTGGAAATGACCATATCTCAGAGTACTCAATAGCTAATGCGCTTATCTTTCTACTCCTTAGGCCTCAAACATACTGTCCCGACCCCATTTCAACGGATTCTTCGCATCTGATCGTGCACCAGAGCCTGACCAAGAAGAGCAAAAGAAGGTAAGGAGGAAACGTATGAGTCTGTCTATGTCTACTCACATTGTTCGTAGCTGAAGATCCTCGAGCGCCGTATCGCACAGCTTGGCTTCACTGGGTTGAAGGAAGAGCATTTTATTTATGCGCTCCAAGCGGCTAAAGGGGATGCTGAGAAAGCGTTCGATCTTCTACTTCTGCTTGAGGATTCGATTGAAGGCATCATTAGATCATACACCCCGAGTACGAAACTTCTTGGAGCGGTCAATCGACAGGGTGTGACCTGTTACCTAGACGCCCTCCTCTTTGCAATGTTTGCTCGTTTGGATTCCTTTGAAGCGATACTCTACAAGTCATTCAATGATGAGCCTCGTCGAAAGCTTTCCATTCTGCTTAGGCTCTGGGTCAACATGCTGCGCTCGGGAAAGCTGATCACGACAGACCTTGTATGTGTCTCGAATTATACCATTGAAATGTCAGTTTCACTGATCTCTCTGCGTCTATAGACCAAGCATTTGCAAGATGCGCTTGCCGAATGCGGGTGGGAGGATGCAGCTCAACTTCGCCAGCAGGATACCTCGGAGGCATTCACATTCATAACAGAAAAATTGGAGTTGCCCCTTCTCACTCTCAAGATGGACATATACCATACCGGAAAGGAAGACATGAGTAGCGATCACAAGTTCGTCAATGAACGTCTGCTGGAGGTCGCGATACCCGAACCTTTTGACGGCAAAACGGTCACCTTGGAGGACTGCTTGGAATCTTACTTCAACAATCGGATTGAGGTTAAACGGTATCTCGAGCGGCGCAATACTGTTGGCTCTACCAAATCACACGATTCCTTGACCAAGGGCTTCTCGTCACACGTTGAAACAGTCGAGGTCATTCCCTCCCCCACAGCCTCGCCGACTCAGCTGAATCTTCTGCGGTCGGATGATGCAACTTCCTCGACGCCTCAGACAGGAACAAGTGGATTAAGCACGCCTCAAAGCGCTCACGTCCGACGAAGCAGTATTGTTCAAGAACGATTCGTATTCGATTCAGACGACAAGGCAAACGCTGATGATTGTCTTTCCCCGACGACAGCTCAATCTCGGAGGGGTTCTTACCGAAAGGAAGTCATGATGCCTGCATGGCAATTCTTCAGTCTGATACGTATGTGCTTTCAATTTTGGCCTGCAGACGAGCTGAAACTGACTTTCCTGCCTCCTAGCTTGGTACACAGATAACACCCCAACGAGTGATGCGCAGGTTGCTGCTCATTTCTCCTCCAAGAGACCGATGCTTGGCATGTGTTTGAAACGTTATTCCGTTCTACCGAATGGGAAAGCCATTAGGCTCAGTACATATGTCGACATCCCAACTGAAATCGGCTTGCCTCACTTCATTCAGGATGACAACATGGACGAAGAAGGTCCCATCTACGGAAATTTCAAATTATCACTCCAAGCACTGGTCTGTCATCGGGGTAACTCGGTCGATTCAGGACATTACATAGCCATTGTGAGGGGCACCAGCGCTGGAGCACATCCGGCTAATGGCCAGGCGTCCGAAATTGCCTACGATACTCCGCAGTATTGGATGCGCTTCGATGATCTGGCCGAGGAACGTGTCACGCTCGTCGATATTGAGCAAGCTCTGAAGACTGAGTCCCCGTATCTCTTATTCTACCAAATTCTGCCCATCAACGAAGATGCTGCAGAAGCCAATCCTGCAACAAAACCAGCATGCTCGGATTCGTCGGAAGATGGTCGTGAAATAGATACGGCAGGGATTATGCGGAAACTTCATACATTGTCGACAAGCAGTACGGATCCTGAACACGCCCACGGATGCGGCTCTGGTCGACCAAGCTTCGAAATCACTACACCAGAAGACACCGTGTCCGGGATGGTTGATCATATCGGAAGGAAACCGAGTGTAGCTTTTTCCAGCACCGCTGGTTCCACCAACAACCTCCAGGTGCACACGATCTCGTCGACATCGCCGCGGATTTTTCCAAAGGATTCGGAAGGCAAAGCTTCCGCACCAAACTCGAGGCGCGGATCTAGGTCCACTTGGAGCGCTCCTGGCAGCCGCGCTGGAAGTCAGACTGGCGAAAGCAGGATTAGTGCAACCTTCTCCCGTTTTACCGGGCGTCGTAGTAAAGACAAGTCCACCAGTGACGGGTCTGCGGAAGACGACGTCGACGACTTCGCGATGGAAAATGAAATGGGCAGTCAGAGCGGAGATGTGTCTATACGGATGAGCAGAGAGAGAAAGGAGAAGAGCCCCAGACGCACAAAGGATCGCGAGCGCTCTAAAGGCAAGTCGAAGGATAGATCCCGAGAGAGGTTTGGGCGGAAGCTGGATCGGGAATGCGTCGTGATGTGATACTCCTGATTCATCACATTTGTTTACTCACTTGGTTCTTTCGCTTGTGCACGAATGCTGAGAGCGAAAGGCAGTTGATACCCAGACATGATTTACGATCGATGCCCATTTGCGAGCGAAGCCATTAGCTGCGATTAGTTTTACTATCTGTTCATAGAACATGTGTAATCATAATGGACATAATGAAACACCTAAGAAATAATATTTATAGTTTGTGTAGAGTTAAACCAGATTGATTCCCTAGATGGGAGATAGATATAGTATCTCAAGTGAGTGGAGCCTGAGGCAGGGACAGAGGTCCTGCCTGAGGCCCAAGCTACTCCGCCTTCGTCGAGCTTCCCCGATCATTCCAAGTCAAGATAACCGATCAACAACAACAACAGCTCAAGCAGTGCTCCTCTTCCTTACCTGTCAGGCTCATTGGAGCCTCGCTATGACCCACAAGCTTCTAGCTTCTTGATATCGGCGCATAATGGCGCTGGACCCATCCAGCAGCTATGTTGCTCCCAGCAACTTGAGTGAACCCGCAGATGCCTCGCTCTCCATGTTCGATGTCCGACGTGTTCAGCTCCAGTTCTCGTTGGCTGCGGACTTTGTCGCTGCGCAAGTTGCTAACAATGTGCTCATTCTTGCTTTATCGACGAATCGCATACTGCGCATTGATTTGGATACCCCGGAGGATATCGACGGTAATTGCGCCCCTCCCAAGGCCCAATGAGCCCACGTCCTACTCATTCTCGTCGCATGCTAACGTGGATTAACTAGATATCGACCTACCGAAGAAATCGTCGGAGATTGGAGTGATTCGCCGGATGTTTCTGGACCCCTCTGCATCGCACCTGATCATAACCACTACCCTTGGCGAGGCCTACTATCTTCATACTCAGTCACGGCAACCCAAGCCGCTATCGCGGTTGAAGAACGTCTCCATCGAGAGCGTTGCGTGGAACCCTTCGTTACCCACAGCTTCGACAAGAGAGATCCTATTAGGTACCACAGACGGTCAGGTTTGGGAGACCTTCATCGAACCGTCTACGGAATTCTATCGACGCGAGGAGAAGTATGCCAATCCAGTCTATAGAGTAGCCGAAGGGACACCGGTGACCGGGATATGGACAGAGTTGCTTCCTACCAAACCTGAACAAAGACGGGTACTAGTCGCAACACATAGCAAGATTTTGTACTTTCTAGGGAAGACCGTGAGACACGGAAGCCAGGGGGTATACAACGAACTTTTCCAACGGGAGACGCCGTCGGTACACGAAATCGAAAAATCATCCAGCGCTGCCCCGTCGACATTGGTGATCTCTTCTCCGACGGGGGATGGGCACAACGCAGATGGTTATTCCGAGAAGGAATTCGCCTGGCTTAGTTCCCAAGGTATATACCATGGCCAGTTGCCATATGGTCCAGAAATAGTTAGCGACCCCTTCGAAAGCTCAACGATGCTTTCACGTTCGATATTCCCGGCCACGGAGTCCGCGCGAGGGGGAAAGAAGCTCATCCAAGATCCTATCACGGCGATGACACTTTCGCAATGGCATATTCTAGCCCTCGTCGAAGGAAAAGTCGTCGCGGTGAACCGGATGAGTGATGAAATTGTCTATGAGCAAGCAGTGCTGGAGCCGGGGCAGAGCACTCTTGGCCTGCTGACAGACTCGATGCAGCGCACCTATTGGCTCTTCACCAGTCAAGAAATCTTTGAAATCGTGGCTGAAGACGAGGACAGGGATATCTGGAAGGTGTATTTGCAAAAGCAAATGTTTGATCAGGCCCTAGTGTACGCCCATGGAAACGCTCAAAAAGATGCCGTTGCTACCGCTTCTGGTGACTTTCTGGCTGGCAAAGGTCGCTATCTGGAAGCAGCCAAAGTCTGGGGCAAGAGCAGCAAAGGATTTGAGGAGGTCTGTCTAACCCTCATCAATCGTGGCGAGCATGATGCGCTGCGTAAGTATCTCCTGGCTCAATTAGCCACATACAAAAGATCTTCGTCTATGCAGAGGATTATGGTTGCGAGTTGGCTGGTTGAGGTCTTTATGTCGAAACTGAACGCTCTCGATGATAATATCGCTACCAAGGCCGAACTGGCAGAGGGCGTGAGCACCGAGAATATCCAAGATGAGTTGAGTGATGTCCGGGCAGAGTTCCAAGAATTCGTAACCAAGTACAAGACGGATCTGGATAAAAAGACTGCCTACGATATCATTAGCAGTCATGGTCGAGAAAAGGAGCTGCTCTTCTTCGCCACGGCCACCAATGACTATAACTACGTTCTGTCCTATTGGATTCATCGAGAGAAGTGGTCGGAAGCACTTAATGTGCTACAGAAGCAATCCGACCCCGATGTCTTCTACAAATATAGCAGCGTTCTGATGACGCACGCTGCCACTGGATTAGTGGATATTTTGATGCGACAGACAAACCTGGAGCCCGAAAGACTCATCCCTGCGCTGTTAAACTACAACAAAACCACCAATGTCTCCCTCGGCCAAAACCAGGCTGTGCGATACCTCAACTTCATCGTTGTTAACCATCCCAAGCCCTCTGCTGCCGTGCACAATACGCTGATATCGATTCACGCCTCGAGCCCGTCCAGTTCAGAAGCGGGGCTTCTCACCTACCTTCAGTCCCAACCATCCTCTCCTCCACCGTACGACGCCGATTTCGCGCTCCGGTTATGCATCCAACACCAACGTGTCCAGTCATGCATCCACATCTACAGCGCGATGGGGCAGTATCTTCAAGCGGTCGAGCTGGCTCTGCAGCACGAAGATATCGAGTTGGCCGCAATCGTCGCCGACAGGCCGGAGGGCAATGACAAGCTACGCAAGAAGCTGTGGCTGCTCGTCGCCGAGAAAAAGATCCGCCAACCAGGCACCGGCATCAAAGACGCCATCGAGTTCCTGCGTCGCTGCGAGCTTCTCCGCATCGAGGACCTGATCCCCTTCTTCCCGGACTTCGTCGTCATCGACGACTTCAAGGACGAGATCTGCAGTGCGCTGGAAGATTACTCGCGCCACATCGACGCGCTGCGCCAAGAGATGGACAACTCGGCGCAGACTGCCCGGCAGATCCGCGCGGAGATTGCGGCGCTGGACTCGCGGTACGCTATCGTGGAGCCCGGGGAGAAGTGCTGGCTCTGCTCGCTGCCGCTGCTGAGTCGCCAGTTCTTCGTCTTCCCGTGCCAGCACGCTTTCCACAGCGACTGTCTCGGGAAGGAAGTGCTGGAGGGCGCGGGGGGCAAGAGAAAGTATATTCGCGATTTACAAGCGCAGTTGAATAAGGGAGACATCTCCTCCTCTCGGAGGGAGGAGATAGTGAAGGAATTAGACGGGCTGGTTGCAGAGGCATGGTAAGTTCTTTATTCCTTGTTTCCCTCCCACCCCTCCTATCTTTCCTGAACGGAATGCTAATTTAGACCCGTGGCAGTATCCTCTGCGGCGACCATGCCATCAAACAGATCGACAAGCCCTTCATCACTGCGTCCGAAGCCGATGAATGGGCGTTGTGAACCTGGGCTTCAATTCCACACCCCTTACTAGCACTCCTTGCTGTCGTTCGGTTTCTCTGCCTTTTTTTTTTCTCGAGTTCTCTGTTTCCTCCGCACGCGCATTTGATTCCCCAACTTTGGTTCCATACTCCCGATTGAGCGTTCCGCATAGATGTATGTATTTAATTATGTATGTATAGTCATGGACGAAACACCCGTCTGCATTCAGATGGTATCATATTTCATGTTTTGTCTGTCCCGGATGTATATACATGAGAAACCCAGAGAAGCTGGTGCACCTAAACATATGCGATGCCAAACCAGAACGATCCAGATTTCATGAGAGATACAAAGTAGATCAATGAAACCATCAAGGTCCCATTATGTCCCGGGAAAAGAAATCTTTCATATACGCGTGAGAATGTGCAAACCATTAAGAACTGACTTCCCCCACGCGAGCAGCTTGAAAGCGGCTTCATTTACAGTAAGAGCCGCAGGAGCTCCAGATCCTTCGCCACGGCGGGGCTATACGGCGCGCAGTCCTCCAGGAACCGCAGCATCTCGTCGTTCCACCGTTCCCAGCCGACGGGGAGGGTTTCTCGTAAACGGGGGTCTGGGTGGTTGGAGATACAGTAAAAGAGGAGGATTTGGCCAAAGAATCTGGGACGATGTTGATGATTAGGTACGTACTAGAGATGGAAAGGGAGGAGGAGAAGAAGAGGACACGTACTGGGAGCAAAAGGCGAATTTAATGGGGATGCAGCTCTTCATCTTGCGGAAGATGCCGCCGACGATTGGCCAGTCCATTGCGTGGCGGAGGCCGCTGCGCATCTGTTCGAGGTCGTGTGTGGTGAGGGCGGTGGGCGCGCGGAGCGCTTTGTACAGGTAGGGGCGGCCGATGTGGAAGTTGGCGATCATGTAGCGGCCGCGCAGCATTGCCTCTATGACGGCTGCGGCTGGGGAGAGGGGCCGGTTAGGGTCGATGGGGAGCGGGGAGATCGGAATCGGGGACAGGTGAGGATCGAGGGGGGTGCTAGCTTGGGGATCGGAGAATTGCAACGCGGGAGGGAGATTGATGCGCCATTGTTCGAGCTGGTGGCGGAGCTCGGCGTTGACGGCGGGGAGGGGGAAGGTTCCCGAGTCGGCTGAGATGGGTTGTCACTGGTCAGCGGGCTGTAGCCAGAAGAAGGTTGGTAGGGGGGGGGATCGAAAGGACTTACAGTAGAAGTACAAGGAATGGCGGATGCGAGTGAGAATGATACGGTGAGCGACCTGCGCAAGAAAGTGATATTGGAAGAAGGAGTCGTCGATTTCTTCGGAGGATGAATATCGGGTCGGTACGAAGCCTGCGGGTTCGAACCGGATGAATTTGGGGATAGGGACGGATTCCTCCAGGCGGGCTAGACCACTGGGTGGAAGATGGAGCTCTTGGACAAGGATGGTCTCGTTCATAAGACAGTTCCAGTAGACTCGCGACTTCATGTCACCTTCCCACTCGTCAAAATTGACATCGTGGCTTGAACGAGTCAGTAGGGGGGAAATTTCATTGCAGGAGTAGGAGGCCGAAAAAGCTTACTTGGTCAGCATCGACAGGCAGCTTGTGGCAGCGCGGTGGATCATGGCCCATGAATCCATCGGACGAAGAATCTGGTTGTAGTAGACCCTAGACCTCGTGTCAGCGGGGTATGCTTTTAGGAAGCAATTGAAAGGGGCTCTTACGAGGCTAGCAAGTAGAACTGGCAGCTCTGGATATCATTGTCACACATCAAAAAGCCAATGCGCCGACGAGCTTCGTTGAAAAAGCGTAAACCTGGTGGCTCTTCGTGGATGACTCCCATCCAGTCCGGCGGCTCGAACCGATTGCTTCGAGTGCCTGGTAGCGGATAATTCCCTTCGCGGTGGCTCAGGACCGCCAGACAGCCCAAGGCCATGACGTTGAGAACCAAACAGGCTTCCATCGTGTAGCCAAAGCCATTCTCGATGGCCGCCCCGAGGGTGAAAGCAAAGTAAAAGTTCTTGTCCATGATCGGCGTGAAGGGGTTGAAAGTAGCGAAGAAAGCGTCCGAAAGACCTTTGATCATCGCTAGAGGAAGCGATTCTAGCCAACTGTCCCCGGCTTGCGGGGGGTATGGACAGATGTACATGGGGAGAAGAGGCCGCTTCGATTCCATGTTGATCACATAGTTGTTCCCAAGCCGTTCGTGAGCTTCGAGCAATCGCTGTGGCAGGACTTCCCGGGCCCCTGGCCAAAGGATTACACCGTGCTGGCTAAACGAGATGGATACATGGCCGTTGGCGTTCACCACGTTGGGCCGTTCGTCGAACACAAAGTCATCCGGCTCCCCCATGTCCGGAGTAGGATGCTGCGGCAAGGGCTTCGACAGAGATGCATGCTTGTCACTGTCACGATGGCTGTGGCTTGGGGTAGTCCCATCTCTCAGACCCTCAAGCGCATGCAGCATCTGCTGATGGATCGGCTGCATCTCATTGCAGACTGCCGAGGAGACATGCTCAAGTTTCGTCTCCAAGCGGTGCAGGGTGCTCATGATCAAGCTGAGCGACTGATCCCGCCTAGGGTTTGAAGTCAGCACCATGAAGGGGAAAACCTGCGGGGCAAGGGAATGGCAGCTCACTTGGAGGACTTGCGCTCATTGTAGACGCACTCCAGGCCGAGGGACTTGCATAGTCCGCATTTTGGCCGCGATTCATCGCATCTGGTCTTCTTGAGCCGGCAGGTCTCACATGCCTATACCAATGTTGTTAACGGGGGGTGGGGGGTGGGACGCTCCCCAACGCAAAGAAGAGCACACGTACTACGGTAGCAATGAAGTTCCTCGGCTTCTTGACCGAACCACTAGATTGCGATGGTTCTGGTGACAAGAGGTCATTGATGGGCAACAGGCCATTATGATGACTGTTATCGATAATAGGCTCTGGTGGTGAGCCACCGTGGGACAATGACTCCTCGTAGGAACGCTTGCTCATATTGCATGATTGGCAGGTCGGAGGGAGTGATTTAACTACTCTACCGCGATCATGGATGCATTATCACTCGGCTGGTCGAATCCATGCCTTGCTCCCTGCTAGCGAGGATGAAGTTCGTTGGAACAAATGACCATTGATGGCTGCACAATCAGTATGCGCTATCAGTTCGGCCGGGTGAGTCAGCATGCATCTTTTTCGGTCGGAGTGTGGTACAGCCGATGCCGAGCAGCCAATCAGAACTCTTCATGGCTCCTGCCTCAGTCCGGTACCTGAGGCATGCACCCTCCCATATGATGTATCTCTATCGTTCATGGCAGCCGACAGTCCACACGTATTGATATTATTCTCTCTGTAATAATTGATCTGCTAGGTAGCTCCAGTCTTACTCGTACACATAGATGCAGGCGAAACGAATGAACATTTGTAATGGAGTAAGTTGTGGTCGACCGCATCAAGAATATATTCCTAATTGGACAAGGTCAAACCTGAGGAACATAGATGTCCAATCTCCCTAGTCACTACGACAAACATGCAGTGATCGAGCCACAAGTCCAGATAGACTGAAACTACAGAGAGAGCTCCAGAAAATCCAGGAGAAGAGGCAGATAGATAACGATTCCACGAGCCAACTGCAAACCAACCGACCAAGACAATCCGAAACCCAATGGAGTGGCCTGGAATGATGTTGACAGCACAGTTGTTGCGGGAACCGATCGATGACTTACATACATACCTTCCACGCCTTTGACCCCCTGCAAGAAGGCAACAAAAGGCAAAAAAGGGTTGACTCGACAACGGCTCGTCACTGATAAATACAACGAAACACAGCTGTGAGAGGCTGTGTAACGTTCTCTCTCTCTCTCTCGAACGTTTGCGTATGTGTTTTGGAAGGTCCCTTGAAGACGGGGAGAATCATGAAGTCACCACGGATACTGAGTCTCAATTTGCTGGCATGTCGCACCGGGTGGAGGGGAGGGGTAAAGACAGCGCCCTCTCTCTTCCTAAGTGCCTTGAGGATCAGAGGTGGAGCAGAAAAATGTCAATTGGATAAGTCTTATGTAGTGTCTCTGTTCATCGCGGGATGTGCCTTGTAGATCGATGGTGATGTGCGCAAACAGCGAAGACGCCCATAGTTAATGTCTGCAACTGCGGATAATAGAAAAAAAAAAAAAAGAAGCAAGATAGAGATAGAATGCGCAAGGTATGCGCGATTTTCATCATCTCGTCGTCTTCTCGTTCAAACGGCAATGGTCCTGGACTCAATTGTTAGCATTGTTGATACCTCTGCAGTTGTTTCTGCTTGGAGCCGAGAATGGAGTCTGTAACCAGAGACTTGATTCACAATTGGCACGCAGAATGTCGCAGAATCCTCTGGTCGGAGAAATGAGAATCTCTCTCTCTCTCTCTCTCTTTTGCTTCTTCGCTGCCAGCCCTCATCCACTATGAATACGGATAAGAACTTAGTTGCCTGTACTCCGTATGTACCTATCCAGGCCAAGTCCGGGGAAACGATCGTCTCCACCTCGTCCATACAACCAGATCATATTCGCAATCAGACCAGTCAGAAGCAGATCAAACCCAGGAGAATGGACTATGGAAGGCTAATCAGCCGTGGAGTGCAGCTGACTACCCTCTAGATACGCTCTAGAGTCTAGATAGAAAGCGTAGTGACATACTTACTGTGGTACTGTGGTACTCCTGGGTCGTCGCATGCTGACCTCATGAACGCATAGTACATACATAGTATGTACTGTAATCTGGGGAAGTCTAACACGCTTTCCGCGACAAATCACAGCTCAACCATTCCCTCCATTTCGATCTCTTAGCTCCTTAGACTAGTAACTAGTTACCAGCCGAGATAAGTTATCGGATGGAGGCATTCGCATCTCAACCATCCTGGCAATCTCAGGTAGTCGTTCTCTCCTCGAAGATCGTGCGGGGTAAATCATAGCTGAATACTCATCTCTAGAGCGTTGCATGATGCCTCCGCCTTAAGAGTATAGTACAGTTACTACTTTAGTCTAGCTGAGAAAAAGCACGATGGCTGGTTCACCCAACAACACAAAAAGAAAAGAAAAAAAAAGGGTTTCCACCATCAATGTCCATGGCCGCATGGGGTAATCGGCACCTTTTCCACGGAGTAGATCATGCGCATCGTTTCGCTTCGATAAAAAAGAAGGTTGGGGATTTTGACTGTCATGAACCCGGACACAGACAGTATGGGCCACGCCACTTAGAAGTCGCACGGATCAGACAATGGTTTCTCTCCGTTGCTGGGGTCGATCGCGTGTTCATCAATCTGGCTGAGACTTCAGACTTCAGATTTCAGATTTCAGACATTAGGCTTGAGAGTGAGATTGAAATAAATTGGTAGTTAACCCAAGAGAGAGAGAAGACACGCGGCTTGCCAGGCTCTGTCTCCCCTGGGGCCAATCCTTCTGGCCCCAGCCCTGATATGTTTGTTGTTTTTATCTCGGGTTTTTCTTAGATGTGGTCGGTGTCCCCTCTTTCCACTCAGCCACAGTGGAAACACGAGCGCGTCACCTTATGGTCCTATGTGCGAGACACAAGGCGTCTTTTCGTAGATAGGGGGTAGATCCATGCGTTGCTGAAACCGGGGAGGGATTATCGCACGGGGTATAGAGAGTCAAACACTTGTCGATTGTTGGATTCTGATACCGGCTCTGTTAGAGAGTTGTGGACGGTTGGGGGCAGAAATGGGCCGATTCGTTGGTTTGAGTGACGAATTGTCCAGCCGTGCTGCGAAGGGCCCGATGAGGACTGTTTGTTGAATATGTTGGCGCCTACGGGTACGGATTTAGAAACGCAGACCGTTCTACATCTAATGATGAAGTTGTTGGGTTGTTGGTAGATACGAAAGGAGGACTATCTAATGAATAGGGCTGCGGAGAAATAGATCAGCAAAGAGCCGGTTTCCAAGCAAATCAGATCTCTGAAACTCGGGAGGCCCTCAATGGTGGTTTCACCTAGATGTTGATCCGTATGTCTTCCTTGTGAATCTGTAGATCAACCACCATGGATGGAGGAGAATCTGAAGATGTCCAGTAACCAGTTGGCGACAAGGCGACGAAGAAGCCCCAAAGATGGCAACGCAAGATGAGGACACAGTGACGATCGTGGGATGATCCACTGCGTATCTTATCAAGACCAAATTTCCCAGCGGTTCCACATCAGTCGCTATCGAGTATCGAGCGATAACCCAAGAATCATGAGTGCTCGCTCCGACGAAGCGCTTATCAGACAACGCATTTCGATACCAGCCATCACCACATGGCCAGAAACGGAAGTGTTTAGCCAACAGTTAAATGCTGGCGGTGTCGAGAGGGCATAGAATCAGATGGTAAGCCATAGAAAAGCCATGAGAGGGACCACCAGCCAAACAGCAGCACGATCAGCAAACTCTCCATCGAAGATGGTGTGGTGTGTTCTGTATGGTTGCGTGGAAGAGAGCTTATCGCGTGATTATGAGCCAGGGTGGACGACGATATTGACGAAAGCACGAAAACATGGTGCCTGGAGGAGTACCAAGATACCAAGTGGTACCAATGGACTCTCTCTCTCTCTCTCTCTCTTTCCGTCGGAGTCGTAGAAAGGACACTTCTATAGGCGTAGGGTGGTGCAAGTGGAGGTACCTGCTTGTCAGGAGGTACATGTCATGCTCCCCAACCCTCGGTGGTTCCCTGGGTACCCGGTACGGTGCTGTACAACTCGGTACTTTCACCCCCTCCCTCCCGTTAACGTAACCACCAACTATCCAACTATGGTGAGGTGGTTCCGGAGCAACAAAAGGACAACAGCCAGTTTGACAACAGCAGGTGCATCATCAGAGACACGCATTGCCAGCTGCAAGGTCAAAAAAGTCTACCCAGAGGAAGCGGTCAAGCGTGAGCTAATGCACGCTGCAGCTTGAGGGCCATTGATATCCCCCAGGCCTTCACCGCCAAGATCCGCGCGCTGAAAGAACAGATTCTCTACTCGCTCCAGCCGTCCAGGTTTGTAGTCTGGTATGTTGAGTCTATTCGAAGTGTCAGTTCTCCGTACTCTGTACTTCGTAGTATTATCTCTATTATTTCGAATTATTTTTCCTTCTTTTTTTTAAATTACGGAGCATATAGGAAGAATCATCCATGGTGAGCGTCAATAGTGGTAGGGGAGGTCGGATGTCGTCTTTTATCTCCGAAACCCTCTGTCTGTCCTCCTGTCACCCCGCGGGTTGAATCTGATACAAATGCGAACTTTGCTTTTTCGACGACCCCGCAAAATTGATAGAGCAGGATGATTTATGGCTATCTAGTAGTTATCTACGGACCGCTTCCATACATTGCGTCCTCTTGTGTTTGAGAATCCCGCGCGCCAAAGGGAGTTCAACGTTGATTGCGCAGACTCGGTATCAGTTGTGCAACATAGTTCTGCATATGCAGTTGATCTGCTGAAAAAGCAGCCAGGCATTCTGATAATTCCTGGTTAGAACCAATTGCATGCAGTGCCTTCGCGAGGGAAGCCTTATTAAGATCCAGGTACATGGAAGTGTCCTACTGGGATCTCGAGACAGAATTGCCCCATCGATCGTCACTAGAGACACGACTAAACGATGGTGATACAGTCAACAATGGCGGGAGAACAGGGATAGTATTAACTTTTTCTGATATCTATCTAGATAGTCGATGTCTTGTGAGATATCTCCAATCTCCCCGTCTTTTTTTAAAGATAGATAGATGATACCTAGTCACCTACCCTTGGGGACCTTGATAATGATTGCATAGAGAGTTTAACCCCAGGCTTTCTCAAAGGTCTCAGACACTCGAACCAGGTGATCATTGGCCACTGCGTTGTCCGATTCGGCATGGCGTCATGCAGCCTGGAATTAGCACATTTTATTTTTAATTCGATTGGCTGTTCATGCAGTTAGCGGCAGTGCAAGTAGCCGAAAATGGAGTAGTCTTACCTCTGCCGCCACCGTTGCTCCGCCATCGGCGAGGGAATTACATATTAGTTATCACTTTATCGCCCATGATACATCATCCTCCCCCCTCTAACTCTGGGTCAGCCTGTGGTCGAGACTCAAGACTCAAGACTCAAGACTCAAGACTCATACCTACAGAGTAGACTCGAGACTCGAGACCCGTTTCTAAATATTAATTTACTAAAAAAAAAAGAGAGAGAGAACTCTGGATGGCGAATCATACAAAGTCCTACGAAGTAATTGAGTGGTGACATTTTATGCTTTGTTAGAAAATAAAGACCTGGTCACTTGATAGTAGTCAACCGGAGTTAGTTACTAGTTGTCCTTGGACCTGCAGGAACTGGATTGGCATGACCTTACTATCTTGATAACTTAGTCAACAAGCTTGAGCGTTGAGAATAGAGAACAGAGAACGAAGAACGGAGCAGTTCCACGCATATCTAAGCAGATAGGCAGCTACCTGTAGTACGTAGTAGTAGTAACTAGTAACTACCATAGCAAGACCCTACTGTGTATATATACTACTGCATAACATGAGTGCATAGGACACTTTGTTCCAACCATAAAATTGAGCTCAATTGAAGAAAAAAAAAATGATGTGCTAGGTAGATGAATTCGCAAAAACGGGCGCGCAGCAAGGCGAAACTGATGACTCAAACCGATCCATACTTTCCCTCCAGTTTTACCTCCTGCGTGGCCCAGCTACGAGATACTATTGACAGTGGAGGAATGTAGTAGTCTGGAAAGTTCCAATTCCAATGATGACTGGAACAACTACTCCGTAGATACGCCCGTACTGACCGATACGCTGTCAGGTGATAAAACCAGATGGCTACTACTGTCAAGAGAACAATCCGATTATTCAATCTGCTCTCCTTATGAGTAATAATACTCCTGGAGGCTTCGTGACCATAGTTCGGATCAAAGTCATGACGATGGTGGTAATGAGGATAAGGATAATAATGAGGATACCTAGAACCTTAGTGAGCTTTCCCCTAGCCATAATCATCTGGGGACTTTTTTAGAGGGATTGTTCAGGGTATTCAGGGGGGGGTGTGGGACCAATTGCGAAAACAGATTTGGCCTGCAGTTGTTTTTGTTGCTGGCTTTGCTGCATCCATCTGCCAGCATTGAATTTGAGCATCATGCTGAAGTGGGAGTGGGTCAACCGGAGATCACCTCCCCCCCCCCTACGCAGTACATGTACAGTAGTACGCACGTATTGGCGTTACCAGTTACCCACGAGGAAGACGTACTGGAATGGAGAAGAGGAAATATAATTGGGTCTCTGGGGATTCCACTTTTCAAGGACCCACCCGAATGCTGTCCAGTCCCAGCAGATTCTGGCTTGTTCGGCCGCTTTCTTGCCGTCACTGAAGCCGGGTGGCTTTCATTGTTACGGAGGTACTTAACCGTCCGAATACGGCGTAATATCACTCTCCTATCACCTAAGGTATGCCCTTATTGAGTACTAAAATTCCGAGTGCCGTGTTTACCTGGTACCTTGGTGTATCTGGATGACGGACAATAAATGAATACTAATTAATTACCATACCATCCATCGTCTTCTCCCCTCCTCCCTGATTAGATATTACATAACCCAACCCGGCCCAACAACCTGACACTTTTGCTGTTGAGTTAGTCACGCTGTACCCGCAAAACTCCTTATCCAGACTTATTATCGCTCCTCCTACGTCTTCCGGCTCCATAGTCCATACTACTCCCATACCTCGCCCAGTTCCCCTGCCTATCTTTCTCTCTATCTATCTCCAGTCTTGCTCTTCCCACCTTCCAACATCCAACATCCAACATCCATCGTCCATCTCCTCTTTCCCTCTTGCTCTTCTTCTTCTCCTTCCATCATCCATTCCTACTCTCCTCAGCTCTTCGTCCATCAATTTACCGCTACCTATTCAACCTAAATCAATCCTCGAACCGTCCCAATCATCCCCCCCCATCATCCTTATCCCCCCGACCATCCCCCGAATCTCGCCAAACTTCCTCGCCATCCTCTCCTCTCTCGTTGCGACTCGATAGTGCATCTCAACTTCTAAGATCAGTTCAGATATCGATTCTCTCATCTGTCCTGAATCAAGTGCACGTCTCGTTGTCTATCATCTTCCCCTAATTTGCCGCTACCTTGGTCTTTGGCCTTTCGAACACCTTTCCCATCAACCCGTGACTCATCCCGTACCAAACCAATCCACCACTGGATAAGAGTCATCAGAGAGACCCACGACTTGACTAGCTGCCAATTCATCGTCGAGAGTCCTGCTACGTTTCCATCTTGAAAGAATACCACCGTGAGAGAGAGTTGGGTTTAGAAACAGAGATCTTTGCTTCGCTGTCTGCCGATCTCATTCTTCACCACCCTTCCCCAAGGGCCGGGTGCTGATATCTGGTTTCTTCGACTTGTCCAAGACAGACGTTGAAGACACCTGATACCAGTTGTCCATCGCCTTCACTGGCCCCTCTTATATACCTCTCTGCTCGCCAGTCTTCTCTTTCGGAACTTCCATGACTCTATAATTTCGACACTTTTGAGTCACACTTTCATCTCTGGACCTTCAGCCTGGTGTTCGAAGGCAATATAAGTTACGAGACTTGTTTGTTATACTTTGGCATTAAGGTTACGATCTCACGCAGCGTTTTCATCGTCTCTCTGTTTCTTCTCATCTCATCTCAATTCGTGTCCCTTCCACCGGACATAGCCTCTCACTCAGACTCGCTCTTTATTCGTCTGATTCAATATCTTTTTCTTTCGGCCAACGCCTCTTCTCCTTTCTGTGAAACGATATACAGATGAACCCATAACGGTCACTACTTTTTCCCAACTGTCGTCTCAACCCAGCAATTGCGCCTCGCGCCTACTCAACCATCTGCTTTTCCTTTTGTGATCAACAATCTCCGGTATTATATGAAACTCTGACTACAACAAATCGGTGTTCGCTTTTCTTCCGTTTCTCTTCGCTTCAATTGCTCCCCGTTCCTCTCTTCTTTGGTTTTCTTCGGTGGTCAAGGTCTCGTTGGCATTGCAGGCCTGAATTCTTTTTTTTTCTTGATTATATCACATAGCCTGGTTGCTGTTTTCTTTGTGCTCGCTTCTGCATTGCCTCTTTCCGAGACATCATCTATCATCTCGTCGACCTTTTCCTTGTCTTTCGATTACTGCCCACGGACCTTCCACCAATCATCTTTCTTCCTTTGGACTCGAGATTCGAATTGTCACCATCAACCATGGAGTGCTTGAAGAACAACTTTGTCCGAGGCCAGCTCTTGGACGGTCGATTCCGGACCGTGGCTCCCTTGAACCACGGATCCTTTGGTATGGTCTTTCTTGCAACTGATACCAAGACCGGCCAAGATGTGGCCATCAAGTGCCTGACCAAGGTGCCGTCTGATGACCCTTCCGCTCCACCAGCAATCGACGATCGCTTCGAAGAACTTGACTGCCATAAGCGCCTTGCATACCATCCAAACATCGTTAATCTCATCCACTCATTCGAGACGGAGGCTCATCTCTATCTCGTTCTGGAGTACTGCGCAAATGGCGATCTCTACGAAGCCATCCGGCTCAATCGCGGTCCTCTGGAGACGGAGCATGTTCGCGATTTCATGCTGCAACTCGTCAGCGCTGTGGAGCATGTCCATGCGAACGGCATGTACCATCGTGACATCAAACCAGAGAACATCTTCTTGACCCAGGACGGTTCGATGAAGCTGGGTGACTTCGGCTTGGCCACGAGTGATGCGTGGTGTCATGAAGGCTGTGTTGGAAGTGACCGCTACATGGCTCCAGAACAGTACGAGCCAGGTGCCAATGGCTATTCTCCCGCCAAGGCTGATATCTGGGCTGTTGGCATCTGTCTGCTCAACATCCTCTTCGCTCGGAATCCCTTTGCGACCCCAACGGAGTCGGATGTTCTGTTCGCGGATTATGTTCGCGATCGCCAGTCTCTCTTCGATATCTTCACCAACATGTCTCAGGACACTTTCGAAATCCTGAGATTCGCCTTGGCAATCGATCCTGAGAAACGATCGCTTTCGGCTGTCCGTGATGCTATCACGCGGGCTGTCTGCTTCACTACCGACGACGAGGTCTTGGATGAGTTCTGCACCGATGATCGTGAGGTTGTTCCCGCCAGTGCCAACCGCGAGCCTCTTCGGACCCCTTCCATCCAGACCACCTTTGCCAACCAAGGCGATTCCTTCCCCTGGGCCAAGGCATTGCAATCCAGCCCACCTCCGGCCTTCCGCCAATTGTCTGCCATTCCTGACAACGAGAGTTACTCCGAGGATCTCTTCCCTCCGTCTGAAACTGCCGGAACATCGTGGTTCTCCATCCATCAGGGTACCCTCTCCATGGCATCCGTCCTCGAGTCCGCTCTGGGCGAATCCTTCAAGTCGACTAACTTCCGACGAAATGCTCCTCGATATCCGCCTCCCTCGGACCCTGTCCCCATCACTGGCTCACTCCCCGGCCATGCAACCAAGCCCCTTCCTTCCCTGTCCATGGTCTTTGGTCGGAACAAGAACGAACAAATCTCCAAGAGTTGGAGTGACCTTTGGGACGAGGAAGAGGAATCCGAGCATGAAGACATTGCTTTGCACCAGCGACGTGAGCAAAACTCTCGTAGCTGGAGTCATGAAAGCAGCGGCATCGATGTTCCTACTCCTGTCGGCGGTCTTCGTGAACCTCATTCATCCTCGCTTCTCAATGTTCGTTCTGCCGTTCCGGAGGCGCCTGTCACCAAGCCAGTGGATATTTCCGCCAAATCACCTCCTGTCGATGTTGCACATGTCGATTTTGGCTCTGTTCCTCGCTATATGCCCAGCCCTCCTAAGAAGTCAAACCTCGACAAATGGGCCGCCCTGGGCGACAAGAGAAGGAACTACAAGCCCACGGAAAGGTCATTCGGCCAACCGAAATCAGCAAACAACATGGCTTGGCGAAAGGACTGGGGCCTTGGGTCCTCTGGATTTGACTATGGAACCTGGGCTAAGAAGGACAACCTGGCGCATCAGGATCGTCGTCGCCGTCCGTTCCTGGAGAAGGGCAAGCGTCGGGATGCTATGGAATCTCCCAAGGCCGTCAACCCTCATATTCTCAGTGAATATGATGGAAGCATCGATGAGGATCTTGATCTCGTCGGTGGCTGGCATGACCTTCACCTCTAAATCTCTCATCATCGTGACGATGTCCCCGTGTTCCACGTCTCCCCGTTTCGACTCCCCGTCATCCTTTCTGGAAGAAGAGCAAAGAAAACCTATATACGCCCATCTTACCTCTTTCATACTTTGATTTCTCCTTTCCGCACTTTTTTAACTCTCTCTTTTTTTTCCCCCTTTCCCCTCTATCGTCTTCGCCTCTCCTAATTTTCGAGAAAAAAAATCCAAAATTCATTCTCATAGATAGAATTTTGCACGCGGCATTGGAGCACGTTTCTATCCTTGTGTTTTCCGTTTTTTTTTTTTTTTCTTCTCTTCCTTCCTGTATATTATAGCTCTCTTGGAGCATGTGCAAGGTGGTGGCGACGAGCAGTTCAAAAGTGACTCATGATCTGATTATCGGTGGGATTGTATTCCATGGAGGTTGGGCGCTTTGTTGTTCGAGTTAATGTGTGGTGTTCGCATACTCTTCCGACATCAGAAAGATGCAATGTGTGACGGTTTGACAAGGACCTGGGACGAAGATGCGATGATGAGCTCTTCGATCTTCCCCGTCAGTCTTTCCAAAGAAAAGTGAGAAAAAAAAGCTACGGGAATAGCGACTATTGTTCTCTCCCACTCTCTCTCTCTCTCCGTTCGGTTTTCCAAAAAAGCCTCAGTCAGAGTGGACTGGTTTTTCCTGTACTGTGTAGCTAGTTGGGACAGTCGGGTAGGGCTGTGAAGTGGACTCAGTTTGGAGGAATAGTCTTTTGAATTCATCAGTTCTCGTCAATATGTTTTTTTACTGTAACACCGTAGTAAAGCCGTAGACTAGCTGCGTTGGCACTAATCAATGTATTCAAGTTGAAGCCGTATACTCCACCAGACTCGGCATCTCCATCATTGTCGAGGCGGTGACAAAAAGGCGGTCACGGCATTGTTGAGAAATCATCAGACGAGCAACAGCCACCTCCCCCTGATGGGTCGAGTCATTGTTCTCGGCTAAACTCGACTAAGTACTTGTCTCTCAGCATATCTATTGCTGATTTGCAGTCTACTTACTTACTCCTGGAGCGTCCTAGTCGACCATTCCCACCCCTGCCATCTCGTATCCTCGCTATCGAGACACCTGGCCAAAGCAGGAGCGCGGCCGAACAGCACGCGGTAAGTCCGTCTAGCTCTATGGAAGAAGCCTGGCCCCAACGCCTTTTCTATTTCAAACAGCTGACGCGAGGAGGCAATATTGCCTTTGTTTCAGAAAGCAATGGGTCCGCAATGAATCGGCAACTGGACGAGTAATTTACGAAGCCATTCTTCCGTCTTCTCTCCCCCAGTTCGCCACTCAGGGTGTACATTATTACTGCCAGGAGAATCAGCTGGACCAACGCGCTTGACCTGGTCGTCACCGACCGAAATCTAACCTAGGGGAGGTTTCTTCTCTATTTCATTTCTTCAACCAAATCGGCGTTCATCATGATTCGGGACCGATGCGCGGGCGCATTCCTCCTTATTCACTTGACCATCCTGTTCTTCATTGCGATCGGAGGAGTTGCTGGAAAGAGCTCGAGCTCACAACCAGTATGTCTGGCAAGGACCTGGCGCGACACCGAGGCGGACTTCATCCGGTGGCCGGTATGCGTGGAGAGTCGCTGGAGCAAGACGACTGCGATCGTCCCAGGCTCTCCTGCGACTGTGTCGACAGTTTCCGACGCGGTCTCAACCCCCAGCGGCGGCACCGCCAGTTCTTCCGCCAGCCAGGAGCAAGAGCCCGAGCACGTACACGACCCGGAGCTGGATACGGACTCGCCTCTCGACAACGTCCAGTTCCTCTCCTTTGAGGACTGGAAGAAGCAGAATCTTGCCAAGGCCGGCCAGTCGGCGGAGAATGTCGGGGGTAGCCGGCGCGGCGGAGTTGCTGGGGCCGAGGACCGGCACCGGCCGACGGGGATCAGCAACGCGCTGGACTCGTTGGGCGAAGACGCGGAGATCGAGCTTGACTTTGGCGGGTTTGGAGCCGATGCGCCCGAGGCGACGCGGCCTCCGCCCTTTGGCGCCGCCGGGGTGCAGAAGGGGGATCGTCTCGGGGCGATTGGCAGCGGGGGCGGAGCAGAGGCGAGTGCCCCGTCGCCGGCGGTGCTGCGGGCGGGCACCATGCGCCGGAAAGATGCAGGGACGACATGCAAGGAGCGGTTCAATTATGCGTCCTTCGACTGCGCTGCTACGGTGCTCAAGACGAATCCCGAATGTCAGGGGTCCTCGTCGGTGCTGATCGAGAACAAGGATAGCTACATGTTGAACGAGTGCCGGGCCAGCAACAAGTTCTTGATTCTTGAATTGTGTGATGATATCCTGGTGGACACGGTCGTCCTGGCCAACTACGAGTTCTTCAGCTCCATCTTTCATACGTTCCGCATCAGCGTCTCGGACCGGTACCCGGCGAAGATGGATCAGTGGCGGGAACTCGGCGTGTATGAGGCCCGGAACACGCGTGAAGTGCAGGCTTTCGCAGTGGAAAATCCTTTGATCTGGGCTCGGTATCTGAAGATTGAGTTCCTCACCCACTACGGAAACGAGTTCTACTGCCCTCTCAGTCTCATTCGCGTCCATGGGACGACTATGCTTGAGGAGTATAAACATGACGGGGAAGCGGCTCGGGGAGATGATGAAATGGTCGAGGAGTCCCTGGAACCTGGCCAGGTCACCGACGATGTTGAATCGGCGAAACCACTGGCAACACCATCCATTGACCCTGGTGTGGTGAAAGAGCCGGAGGTTCTGGCCCGGGGAAGTTGCCTGAACCCTGCAAAGGCGGTTGAAGCGCTCTTGACAATGGGCCATCCCGATAAGGAGGTGTGCGGGCAGGATGAAGTACCCGTCGACACTGCTGGCCATAATGGCGCAACTTTTGCTGCTGAAAATGGCTCACTGCCGAGGGATCCTAGACCATCACACCCCGATGTCCCTGCGGCTAATGAGCCCAGTCTGAATGCCAGCATGCAAGAAACAGCGGATGCCCGAAGAGCTGCTGGACAGCCAGGAACAGATGCTGTCCCGTCTCCGTCTTCGACGACCTCCCTGTCCGAAACGGCCCAGCAGGATGTCACGTTCGAGGCAGATCAGCGAGCGACAGCCCCCCCGCAAGAGGAACATACTCCGCCTTCGGAATCTACGAAGACGACCGTGGCCCAGCCGCCGTCGCCTACCCCCCCGACACAGGAGTCGTTTTTCAAGTCCGTGAACAAGCGGCTGCAGATGCTGGAGTCTAACTCGACACTGTCGCTGTTATATATTGAAGAGCAGTCGCGCATTCTGCGAGATGCGTTCAGCAAGGTCGAGAAGCGCCAGCTAGCCAAGACATCGACTTTCCTGGAGACTCTGAACGTGACCGTCCTCAACGAACTGAGGGATTTTCGCGACCAGTACGACCAGGTCTGGAAGACGGTGGCTCTGGAGTTTGAGAACCAACGCATCCAATATCACCAGGAGCTCTTTTCACTCAGTGCGCAGCTGGGCGTCTTGGCCGACGAGCTGGTGTTCCAGAAGCGAGTGGCTGTCATCCAGAGTATCATGGTTCTCTTCTGCTTTGGTCTGGTCCTGTTTTCTCGGGGCGCGGTGAGCAGCTACATCGAGCTTCCTAGTGTGCAGAACATGGTCTCGCGATCCTACAGTCTCCGATCATCGTCTCCGCCGTTTCGGTTCGGCTCTCCTTCCGCGAGCCCTGGGTCTACCCGGCCAGCGTCATCGTACCACGGGGGCCATCGGAGGAATGCCTCGGAGGACTCCCAGGATAGCCCGCCCAGTCCCCCTATTGCCTACGCCCCGCCGACGCCTACGTCGGAAACGTCGAGTCCCTTGGAGTCGATTGAAAAGCGAGAGCCGTCGCCTTCTCCGAATACCTTGGAGATGCCGGAAATCGAGCCTCCCCATCTCCGGTCGCAGAGTAGCCCGCCGGTTCTGAAAACGGAGGAAGAGGACGGAGATGGGAATTCGGCGTCTTCCGAATCTATGGGATCGTGAGCGTCCTACAAGACTACTTTGTGGATCAATGGATCATGGCTTGCCACCCGTATTGGCGTCTGAGCAAACCGGGCACCCCGACGATCTCCCCGGTGTAAACCCTGGCGGGTGTATTGGAATCTGCCAGGAATGCGATCATCATCATTCCGGTGGCGTTGAATCACGGAAGTGACTTTCCAAGTTGATTTAGTTGGTTTCGTCTGACGGTCTGAGTGCGCAGTCCGTGGTGATGGTGCCGGACATGGGCGGGAATCAACCAAGAGGATGTTGGCCGGGAAACATGCTGACCTTGCGGCTTTGGGCTCTCTTTGTTTGTTGAGTTTATGATTCTATCTGTCGCCCCGAGGATGAGCGAGGGAGGCGACCGACTTCCTGTACAGTTTTCACTGTTTCTATTCTACTTCAGTACGGAGTATGGAGTATGGAGTGGTTGTGGTGGACATGATGTGCGATACTTGTATTGACGACCTAGATTTTTATGTAGATACCACTGTTTACGATGTAAATGAGACATAATGACATTCATATCAATCAATATATATATATATATATATATATATATACCTGGATTCAAAACCCTTGAATGCGATCGTCTCATGATGTCAAGTATGTCAAGTATTTCCAGTTGCCATGACAACAATCGACGCGGGTTTTTCTTTCTCTCCCTCTCGCTCGCTCTGCTTATCCATCACTCATTCATTATTCTCTACTTCTTTTGCATCTCAAGACAACCAACATCCCAAGTCCACTCGTGCTTCTTCTCTAAGATCACAGCAAGATCTCTCAAAAGACAAATCAACACAACCGATCCAATGGACTCCACAACCGCCTCCCCTCTGACCGACCGGTCAACCAACACCCACCTCGCCGCAAACCAGGACAAGCCCACCGATCTCAAGGCCGCGTCAAACCCAAACTCGATGGAGTACCATCGCCAGGTCCTGCAGGGCAAGCTGGAGAACGGCGACAAGTAAGTAGTCCCCCCGGTTTTTTTTGTTCTTTGGTTTCGGTTTGGTCCTGTTTGGCTGCGAGCCGCGTGCTGCGCGGGTGGGAGAGAAAAAAAACTCTGTCCCCCCCGGAGTGCGGTGCGCAGCGAGCAAGGCACTTTTCGCGCGGTATGAGGAAAGGAGTCAAGGCTAATGACCGCCGGGGGGGGGGGTCGGACAGGAACCAAGCGAGCTATGTGTCTCCGTCAGATGAACTCATGAGCCCGTGTTCGAAGAAACTGAGTGATCTCAAGGGGAAGCGGTTCAAGAAGTATGTTCGGTGATGTTTATGTCACTTCCCTGCCCCTTCCCTTCTCCTTCCCCCTCCCCCTACGACCTTGTTCTTCCGGGGACTTTCATAAGTGAGATGGGGAAACCTGTCGTGTCTGCTTTGTTATGAATGCCAGAGAGCTGACGTGCTTTTCTTTTTTTTTCTTTCCCCATGGTAGTGCGGGAAAACCGCAGTCGTTGTTCGCGAAGCTCGGCAAGAAGACCTTTGAGCAGAACTCGGCGGAACATAACAGCAAGAGCCTTGGAGGGGATGGTCTGTGAGGTGAGGCGTGATATCGCTGTCTTGAGTGTTGTCTCGTTTTTTTTTCTATTCCTCTTCTGTCCTGAGTGCGCGGGCCGCATCGTATGGATAGATAGGAATGCAGCGAGGCAGACTTGAGTACGGTTATGGATTCATCGCTGATACCCATGGGGCAGTGCCTGCTTGGTTCCTGAGTGCTTAACGTGTTAAGACTGTTGTCTTTGGGTCGCTTTTGTTTTCTGGGTTGTTTTCCTTTCTATCTGGGCTGGGGTTCATCTGGAGATTATGTGGGATCTGGGATCATAGAGGGATTGGGAATGGCTGTTTTTTTTTTTCTGCTCTTTCATTCTTTTGGTCTGTTGGGGCTGTTGGCTCTCTGCCAATCGATGATCCATAATGTTCTGTCTGGGAAAGTAATGATATTCATGTCGTCTTCTTCTTCTTTTTCTACTGTTCGATCGATGCCTCCGTGTCGGTTAACGCGTAGCCTCGGACCGATCTGGAATTTTGGATCGAACATCGACAACACTACTCTAATTCGCAACTGGATCTCTCTTCGTCTCGAGCTAGTTAGAACTATTATCATGAATGAATGAATGAATGAATGAATGAAGATTCTAGACTGAATATCTACAGGGGAGCGTTCAACGGTTCGAAGCCCAACTCAGCCGAGGTTCATCACGCGTGCTCGGCTGCTTCTCCGCAAAACTGCGATTTCTCCGCAAATCCAACAACCTCACCCTCACAGCGCTGTCCTCGTATGATCCACGCAACTGGTCGGGTCGGATCGTTGCTCGCCCTTTATAATCGTCTCTTTCGCCCCTTCATCCCATCTTGTCCTGTGATAGAATCATCCGCTCTGCATAAACACTTCTTAATTGATACCCCCGCTTCCGTTCTCTCTCTCTCTCATCCAAACCACCATGTCCGCCTCCTCAAGGATTCCCGTCATTGCTCAGCCCTTTGTAAGCGATCGGGCAAAGAAGGTTCTTGATCTGGTATGTCTCCAATCTCTGTCGATCTATTGCCCTGTCGTAGATAAATAGATACCCTTTACTGACTATCGCTGGATGACATCAGGTCGAAGAGTTCGTCGAGAAGGACTGCATCCCCGCCGAACCTCTGTTCCAGGCCCAGCTCGGCGAGGGCGAGAAGAGATGGCAGACCAACCCAGCCGTGCTGGAAGAGCTCAAGGTCAAGGCCCGCAAGCTGGGTCTGTGGAACATGTTCCTGCCCAAGAACCACTTCTCCCAGGGCGCTGGCTTCAGCAACCTCGAGTATGGTCTGATGGCCGAGTATCTGGGCAAGAGCAAGATTGCTTCCGAGGTGGGTGGTTTGGGGGTTGTACGGATGCATTTTGGGGGGTGGTGCTGACGGGATCGTCTATCTAGGCGACGAATAACTCGGCCCCTGATACCGGGAACATGGAGGTGCTGGCCAAGTACGGCAACGAGGCGCAGAAGCAGCAGTGGCTGGCTCCCCTGCTCGAGGGCAAGATCCGCTCCGCTTTCCTCATGACTGAGCCCGATGTCGCCTCGAGTGATGCGACCAACATCGAGCTGAACATCCGCCGCGAGGGCAACGAATACGTTCTGAATGGCTCGGTATGTGGATATTTTCTATTTCTCCAAAAAAAAAAAGAAAAGAAAACGCCTCCAAGAGACGATTGTTGACACTCCTCCGTCCTAGAAATGGTGGTCCTCCGGCGCCGGTGACCCCCGCTGCCAGATCTACCTGGTCATGGGCAAGTCCGACTCGACCAACCCGGACCCCTACCGCCAGCAGTCCGTGATCCTGGTACCCGCCGGCCTGCCCGGCATCACCGTGCACCGCATGCTGACCGTGTACGGGTACGACGATGCCCCACACGGCCACGGCCACATCAGCTTCAAGGACGTGCGGGTGCCCGTCGCCAACATGGTCCTCGGCGAAGGCCGCGGCTTCGAGATCATCCAGGGCCGCCTGGGCCCCGGCCGCATCCACCACGCGATGCGCACCATCGGCGCCGCCGAGAAGGCGCTCGAGTGGCTCATCGCCCGCGTCAACGACGACCGGAAGAAGACCTTCGGCCAGCCCCTGTCCGCCCACGGCGTCATCCTCGAGTGGATCGCCCGCTCGCGCATCGAGATCGACGCCGCCCGCCTCGTCGTCCTCAACGCCGCCATCAAGATCGACCAGGCCGGCGCCAAGGCCGCCCTCAAGGAAATCGCCCAGGCCAAGGTCCTCGTCCCCCAGACCACCCTCACCGTCATCGACCGCGCCGTCCAGGCCTACGGCGCCGCCGGCGTCTGCCAGGATACCCCGCTCGCCAACCTGTGGGCCATGATCCGTACCCTGCGCATCGCCGACGGGCCCGACGAGGTCCATCTGCAGCAGCTGGGCCGCCGCGAGAACAAGTCGCGCCAGGACGCCATCGTCGCCAAGCTGAAGTACCAGAAGGAGGAGGGCGAGCGCTTGCTGACGGCCAGCGGGTTCGCCAAGCCCAAGAGCCATCTGTGATGCCTTTTCTTCTCTCTTGTTCTCGTTTTTTTTCTTTTTTTGGCCGATTGTGAATTAGATTGATACCATACTTACTTATATTATATACTAAAATCCTAAATGTCTCCTATCAGTTCAAGGCTTTCCTTCTCTCTTTACTATCATTCTTCCTAGATGCAAGCGAAGATCCCTTTCTATTCAAGACAATAATCAAGATGACGATTAACTCCGGTATCTAAAAAAAATGACAGGGGAAAAGAACCATCAAAAAAAGGGGGGAAATGAAGATAAAACAAAAATAATGCCCGGTACTTTTCGCTAGAGGATGCATTTCATCTCTAAGGTATCACCCGAACCCATCCCATCCATGCCTGTCTTCTTCCCCCCCCCCTCCCACCCGCCGCCCAGCCATACAGCCGTAAAAAAAAAAACATATCCGATGAGACCAGAAAGAAAAATGCGCCACTCGCCAGCGAGTTCAGTAATCGTCATCCTCCGCCGCCGTGCGCTTCTGCTTAGCCCGCTTCTTGTTGCCCTTGAAGTGCTTCTTCGAGTTGCCGCGCACCTCGGACACGTCCACGCCGCGCTCCAGCGCGACCATCAGACGCTCCTTGCGGCCCGTCAGGTTCTTGCGGATCTGCTGGCCCTGCTCGGTGTACTGCGCGTTGAAGGGCAGGGTGAGGCGGCCCGCGGAGGTCTTCGAGCCCGTGCCGAAGAAGCCCGTGTCGAGGTTCCGTGAGCGCGCGCCCTGCACGGGCTGGCCCTGGCTGGCGGACGCAAGAGAGAGGAGTTCCGCGTCGTCATCGAAGTCCTCGCCGGCCGCTGCTGCGTCGGACTGCGACTGCGCGGTCCTGGCGAGGATGGCCTGGCGGCGGGGTGGGAGGTGGGCGATGTCGTAGAGCTCGCGGTTGTAGTCGTAGGAATCGATCGGGTCCTCGCCTTCGGGGACCGGGGGCGGGTGGCAGAAGAGAAGTTTGCCGTTGACATAGTCCTTGAGGATGTAGCGAGCGGCGCGGGACTCGTCCGGTTGGCCTTGGCCCTGGGTTGCGAAGCCGCGCGCTCTGGCGTAGGATCGGAGGAGTTCGTGCGCGGTGGGGATGCCGGTGCCGCCTTCTTCCAGCGGCCGGATATTGATCTTGACTCCGTAGACGTCCTCGAGGAAGTGCTTGGGCACACGGTGCGCGACTAAGCCCGCGGGGCCTGTGAACTCGCGCTGCTGGTCGATGGGCAGGACGCCGTTCACCACCAGCTCAGCCTTGGTCGTAGCGAAGTTGGGGAACACCAGACCGGGACAATCGCAGAGCATGATCTCGGGCGAGAGGTACAGGGTCTGGAAGTGCTTTGTCTTTCCGGGCGTGGCGGACACAGACACCTTCTTGGCGCCGAGGATAGCGTTGATGGTACTGGACTTTCCAACGTTAGGGTAACCAACGAGACCGATGGTCGTCTTCTGCTTCCGCTGCCCTTCGGGCGTGTCGCTGTCCGGCAGAGGGGCCGGCGCGCTGGACAGGAAGAGGTCTTCCAGCTCCTCCACGTTAAGGATATCCGTTCTCTTTGTTTTCCTCGGCTCAGGAAGCTCTAGACCCCCATCGTGCTCGGATTGCCCGGCACCTTCGGCCGGCGTGTCCTTTGCATCCTGCTTGTCTTTGAGATTCATCGACTGGGTCGCGTCAGCCAGGTCATCGCTATACTCATCTTCGCTCTCACTATCCGATTCGTCCAGGAGCCGGGCCTCGTTCTCCTCCTTGGCCAGGTGGGCCGAGAAGAATCGGAAGCTGATGTTGTTGCGATCAAAATAGTCCGCCCACATCTCTCGTTGTCTTTCAGTAAGCATATCGGCCTTGTTGACAAGCAGAAGGTTCTGTTTCTTGGGATTGATCTCCTTCACGTAGTTTTCGAGATCCTCCGATCGGAACATCAACGGGTTTCGAGCATCGACAATCTGCACAACGAGGTCCGAACGCTCAATGACACGCCACAACTGCCTCCAAACCTCCAAGTTCCGCTCGAACGGTGTCATCAGAAGATCGTTGTTCTCTTGCAATTCCGCGAGGCCTCTGCGCCATTCCAGGAAGCTCTCCCTCTCCATCAACTCCAGCTGATTTCTCGTCGTCGACGAGTCCCACTTCGGCCGCCGAGGCACGCTCAACCGTCCCTTGTTCGCCTGATGCTTCTTCATAACCGACTTCTCCTCCGAGGCAGAAAGAAGGAACGGGTTCTTCTGGTCCGAGTGAATGATCTTGATATTGCTCATCTTCTCCGCGGTGAAGTCGGTGCCGGCCAGCTCGGCAGTGCTGAGGAATTCATCGAGGGCGGCCTGCTCCGTGATACTGCGCATCTTCACCCACGCCGCTTCCTTCGCGGCGTTGGTGACATAGGTCTCGCCATTCTGTCCGGTACGGGTGATAGCATTATTGTGCGAGACTTTCTTCTGGTTTGATGCCTTTCCTTTGCCGAATCGGTCTTTCATCAGGGTATTTCCCAACCCGACGGAATTTTTGGATTTGGCGAGAACCATGGTGGCGGTGTGCGCAGCTCAATCCGCTGACGATTCCACCGACAGTGATGACTTCCCTAGAGAGATACTCCTGTATGAATATGACAGGAGAAGCTGTATCCCCAATAAACAAAGAAGGGAGAGGGTGTAGTTTGGGGGGCAAAAGGGAAGAGAGAATCGATATTATTAATGGTCGTTGAAGATTTCCTAGAGAAAACCCCGCGCGGATAAGATAAGGGCGCTGAGTCATCCAACAACGAAGAGTAATTGCAGCCAAAAAAAGCCACACTTGGAAAGAAACAGAATAGTATCGACAGAAGTGGGATATAAGCAGACCGACCATCGGTTTTATGCTTCAACTCTTCCATCCATCGACGCTTCTTTAGGGCTGAAAAGGCTGTGATCCGCAAGTTCTGCCTTAGGCACCAGCTGCCCGATAAGAGGGACACGTGACTGATATCATCCCACTATCTCGAAATTTTGATTTTTTGATCTCCAAAGGAGAGAGAGAGAGAGAGAGAGAGAGAGCGCGCGCAGACCAAGCAGTCAAGAACGAGAACTTCGGTCACACAATATACAAGATGCCTCCCCGAAAGCAGTGGATGTACGTTGGTCACCGATGCTCATCAACCGCTGAATGGCAGCGATACTAATCCCGGCGCACAGTGATAAGAAGAATGCCACCACATACCAGCTCTTTCACCGATCTCAGAATGACCCTTTGATTCACGATCCCGCAGCGGACGATCGAGTTCTGCATCCCGTCTACGGTCCTCCTATCCCTGCTGCCCAGTCATCAGACCGCTCCAAGAAATTGTCCGACCTAGCCAGCGAATTTGGTTCGAACTCGGTCCGGAAAAATGAGGGCGAGGCTGCGAATTATGGCATCTATTACGACGACAGCAAGTATGATTACATGCAGCATCTGCGCGAGCTGGGTACCGGAGGCGGAGAATCGTACTTCGTGGAGGCCGCAAGCAAAGGAAAAGCCAAGGCGAAGGGGCTGAAACTCGAAGATGCATTGAAGGAGCAGTTGACACTTGACGATGAGAGGAGCGAGTTCGGAGCCGGCAGTGTCTATGGATCCGAGTACAGCGATATGCGCTCAACCGCCTCGTCATATGTCCGACGGCCAACATACCAAGACCAGCAAAATGTGCCGGATGCCATTGCAGGCTTCCAGCCGAACATGGATCCTCGTCTTCGCGAGGTGCTCGAGGCGCTTGAAGACGAGGAGTATGTGGATGGAGACGATGAAGAGGACGTCTTTGGAAAGCTGACTTCCAACGCGGAGGAGATCGACTCGGGGGAGTGGGAAGACACGTTGTTTGACGAGGACAACGAAGATGACGGGTGGGAGTCCGATGCCACTGAGAAAGCACCCGTGCAAATGGACACTACCGACGCCAAAGCGAAGCATGAAGCCATCCCACCCAAACAATCAGAGCCAACGGAACCCGGAGAGCTGCCTAGCCATGACGCGCCCGCTCCAGATATGGACCCCGAAGACCAGGGATGGATGCGCGAGTTCGCCAAGTTCAAGAAGGACGGCAAGGTGACGGCCACGCCGGCTACCCCCGCCAGTGTTGTTCCCTCAGAGCAGCGCAGCACCCTTGCCTCCACCATTTTCACCATGGGTGGCACGCCCATCCGCAAGAAGAAGCGCAAGGGTGCTCTCACCAACCCTTCAGCGTACTCGATGACGTCCTCGGCTCTGGCCCGTACAGAGGGTCACCGACTCCTCGACGACCGGTTCGACAGAGTCGAGGCTCTGTACGCTCTCGACGAGGAAGGTGAGGAGTATGATGATAGTATGTCCATGGTCAGTGGCATGACCGGTATGACCGGTATGACCGGCATGACTGGTATGACAGGTATCTCGACCGCCTCCTCGCAAGCACCCAGCCTCATTGACGCGAACGGGCGCGAGGTCGCCCCCCGACACAACTTCAATGAGGTCATGGACGATTTCCTCGCCGGCTGGGACGACAAGACGAGCGCCCAGGCAAAGCGTAAGGGCGCCAAGGCTAAGAGAGGCAAGAATGGAAACGAAGCTATTGGAATCAGAATGCTGGATGAGATCCGGCAGGGGCTTGGCCCAGCGAGGGTACCCGGGAAGGTTCCTGGCAGGGTGTGATGTTGCTTCTATGAAAACTTTCGACAACCCATTTTCTATTTCTTTCAGTCAAAAGTATGGCATCAGGCGTCTGGGGTTCATTTTGAAGACTGTTTCCATGCGTTGCTTGGTGCGAAATGAGGCATGATACAGATTCCCTCTACGTCGTTCTATATAGCTCTCAATGAGAAGGAGTTGTAGCTCGTACAGGTCGCTTTATTTCTCTTGAGGACGGGACGTCTGCCTAGAGTTTCATACAACTGTCACAATCAAGAAGGCTCTCTTTCTATATATACAAGTGGCCATATCATACACGGGTATAGGGATTCATCCTTCAAAACAAGACGAAGGTACTGCACATCTTTGCAGCCTGGCCCTCTCCAGGAGGAGGCGATCAAAGAGCCCCTCCGACTTTCTCAACGATCCACATCGCAAGACGCACCTTCCACCCGACCCGCCTTTCAGTCCGCATAAGATCTTCGCGCGAGATCGCGTGGGAGTCTTTTTGCAGCCATTCGGTTTCCGCCCCCAGTTTCTGTTTCAGCTCCTGGTCATTGGTCACGACGAGCGCGCCAACTTCTAGATCCAGACTGTAGCTGCGCTTGGTGTAATTGCTGCTGCCGACGAACGTCATGCTGGGATGCTCTTCCTTTGGTAGTGTGATCCACAGTCCCTTGGCATGGTAGGTCCAGCCTTCTGGTTCACCAACTGTCCCGCGCCGCCACTCTTTAAGCTGAATGGAGTTGGTCCGCTGAGCCTCGGCGACTCTGTCAAGAAATCGGGCGGAAAGATGCGTGTACGCCGCAGGAAGCATCCCAGATATTCCCGGCGAGCCATAAAACCCATTGGCCCAAGGGGAAGCGGTGAGCACGGTGCCTCGTGTGGTGGACGCGGTGTGTGACGTGGAAGTGCTTGCTATGAGAAGGGAGGAAAGGACGGGATGGATGTTGAAGTAGCCGGCAGTGAAGAGCCAGCGAGCGCCAGAGAAGGCGGGAGAGCTGGAGAGTAGACGTAGGATCGCGGTGACCGCTGGAAATTCGGTGGAGGTATCTGGGCTCAATAACGGCGTGAATTGGGCTACAGGGTACACAAATGTTTGACTTGACGTATTCGATTCAAGCGCTGGTTTGGACGCGGAGGTTTGGATGAGAGGAGATAGAACGAGTGCAGAAGAAGAGATGAATTCCTCGGGATCATCTAGAGGACAAGGTGCCGCGTTCGAATTCGGCCAATCTAACAGGTATCCTGAAGCGTTGTGTGCATCTGGGAGGACATGATAGCTGAGACTGCATACAGCATGATGGATCCCAGCATAGTAATCGGCGAGCTCCTTGCTTTGAAAGACGTGATACCTATCAAGCCGATTGGTGAAATAATCCTCAGAGAGGTTCGCTCTGTAGTATCTTAGCGTTAGCACATAGCCAGGCAACCATGAACAATACATCGTACCCAGAAAGTATAATTTCGTCATCAAAGCCATAGAGCTTCATGTGCTGAAGACCCCAGCCTTCGTTTATCCTTCGGGGTATCCATTTCTTTTTGAGCCCTGTCAAGTTCGGCGTGTGAAACATCCGTATTTCCACTCTCTCCGGCCCATGTTCAGCAACCAATGACGCTAGGAGCGAAGCGCAAGATGGGTTCGGCGTCTCTCTGGTTCCTCTTAATGCGTCGGTCAGGATGGACACTTTAAGCTCCGGGTTGTCACGAAGGGCCTGATTCAGGGTCTCAATAAGCTCATGCTCTGCCTTGCCGATGTATAATGTAGACAGATAGACGCGTCTTTTGGCTTTCCGTATCTTGTCCTATACCACTGTTTGTTAGTTCAAGATGGGCTTGACTGTTTTCTTGATTCCACCCTTACCTTTAGAGTGTTATAGAACGTAGAGGGGGAGTCCAGGATAGTGATCTTGGAAGCCGGAACCTCAAAACGAGGCGCAACACGATCCAGCTCCACCGTAATTGTCCCCAACGGCGACGCTGTAGAGGGCGCAATTGTGTTGGCGCTTGTTGTATAGGCGGAGAATTTGCGGTCATAGAGCTTTCTCCGAGCAAGCGGCCTGCGCCCGGCGCACCGCAGAGCATTGCCCCCAATACGTTGAAACATCTTGCTGGGTTGGACCTGCCGGAGCGCTGACGAAGACCAGCGCAGATTCACTTGAATGTCAATTGATGCCAACGCGATCTCGCAGCATGAATTCGAAATGCTCAAACGCATCTTTGGCAGTCCGAGATACTGAAGACCAAACATTGCAAACATGATCTGCGCTAGGCCGCATTGGGACTCTCTTCCACCTCCGTTGTGACGGACTGCCCGCTTTCCTGTTGAACCTCGCCATTGAAGATTGCCGACGAGCTCATCGCTGTACATCGCCCAAGATGTCGACTATACTTCGTACGCTGCGCAATCTGCGGCAGATTGGACTCAAGGTTGGTTCTCGGGTCGGATTCGGCGTGTCCCAGAAGCCCTATACTAACCTTTGCACCTTGACAGGAATATGGACACCAGATGCAGGTACGTCAACCGGAATGGGTGGAGGGGGTTTATGAGCAGACAGGCTGTCTATATGGATGATCACTTACTTTTTGTGCCTTCCTCCTTTGCGACGAATAGTATATGGGTACGATTGGCCCGACTCCGAGTGACCGCAACAAGCGACTGACGCAGGCACAATTACAGGTGATACCAAAGCTGGTACCTTGATTGCTACCGACCGCTATGGCAACAAGTACTACGAGAACATGGAGGAGCTCCCTCGTGAGTCGCTCTGTACAGGCATCAATGAGTAACGAGCTGTTGTTGACCGCTAGTCACAGTCCGCACACGATGGGTTGACTACAAGGAGAAGGAGTATGACCCTTCGCAGATCGAGCCCGGATGGTGAGATTTTCCCCAATCATATCCTGGGATTTATTCCGGGGTTGAAGGAGTCGCTAAAATCTTCGGTTAAGGCACGCTTGGCTGTCCTACTTGGTGGATGTGCCTCCCACCCAGGACAAGATTTTGCAGCTCGGTGTTCGCGCTTGGGAATTGCCCGAGCACAGGCCCAACCCGACTCTCAGCCGTGCTGCCTACAAGCCCTACTCGACGTGAGTCTTTCCTGTTGTTGTTTCCCTCATACTCCGTCACTTGTTGTGTCGAGACGGACTTTTCCTAACGAGTAATCACTGACCCCTAATGTTGCTCAGCGTTCGGCCCAAGTACTCGGCTTGGACTCCTGTTGCTGCTCCCCGGTAGATGATTTTTCATGGACTGATCGAAGAGGGAAGCTGGGCATCGATGCAAGCTTCGTTTGGTTTCTTTGACCCTCCAGGCGTTAGACCTGTGCCAGGAGATGTGTAAATAAAGATGTTTTATTGCGCGTTCAGTTTTATGGAAAGGATTCAAAAATTAAAGTTCCTGTCTCTCGCCTGCCAGACAAAAGCTATATATATCTATAATTATGAACAAGAGGATATCATAGAGGTATCATTGTAGCCAAGACAGGAATATCACAGAAAATGGCTCTTTGGAAGGTTCAGATGCAGTACGGAGTGAGCAAGACGGAGATTTCATCACCTCACAGGACATATCTGCCAGAACCTATGTTTGACCAATGCCGAATCGGCCGTCGGTCTTCGAGTTCGATGCACCACCATAGAACATCCTTCAACTTCTCAATTTCACCACTGGCTTCATGGGCGCGCGAGAGCGCATACCAAGCCTCGGAGCTATCCCATGCTGTGCCACGCTTCGTTAAGGCCGATAAAAGCATATAGGCTCGGTCTCGAGCAGCGATGCGGTTGAGCAGCTTGGGTTCATCCTCCTTGGGTCCAGTGGCAGACGCCTGCACATCTGGCTGCGTAGTCCCTGCCGCGTTGGCGTCCTTGTTTTGATCTTGCGTCGTGGAGGGCTTAGATTTTTGAGGTGGCTCCCCGGGTAGATGTAGAGCGGACATCTCAGCACGGAGGTCATCTGCGTCTGGTGGATCTACTGTCATCTTCTTGTCCCAGATGTCGAGCAGCAGGTTCGCCAAGTAGACGGTCGCTTTCGGGTGGTCTAGATCACGGACCAAAGCCTCCTCAAAAAGCTCCAATGCCTCATGCGGCCGCGATTGAGCTAGTGCCAAGAGACCTTGTTCTGTGTGAAGATCGGCCCATAACTCTTCCGAGCTCTTTGCTGCAGCCCATCCACGGGTTCTAAATGCTCTTGCCGAGGATTCTTGTGCTGCAACAAGAGCCTCTACCCGATCAACATGTTTGGCTGCCTCCTCACAAGCCTCGTGCGCATCCTCAAACAAGGAGGCTCTGCGATAGAGTCCCGCAATCAAAAGCCAGACTTTGACAAGAATGGCGAGGGCGTTTTTCTGAGCCTGGACGGGCGGGAACTTGGTGATCGCTCTCGTTGGCGAGTCAAACCGATACGGCAACCGAACATCTTGCTCTGGCGGCTGCCTTGAGTGACCTGCTGGAGGGGGGATCTCTTTCTGATCCATGTTGTGGGCGACAGGCCGAAGCGGCTGCTTCGCGCTCTGCGGTTGGTCTGCGGTACGAGAGACCGCAAGCCCGGCTGCACCTGGAGGAAGATCTTCTCCGCTACCCGACTGTTGTGGTGTTCTAGAACCGTTGGTGCCCATGCCAATTCCATTGACCGGATCTTCAGAGCCATTCATGTAGGTTGAACGTTGGTCCTCTGGCTTTTTGAGTGTACCGCTGCGCTTGCGCAATTTGTGCCTTGTTGAATCGGATCTACCAAGAGTCTCTGGGTTTTCGGCAATTCCATTGTGCTCGTCTGTAACTTGGATGGCAGGTGCAAAGTCCGTGCTAAGCACATGGTCGTGGTGAATTGAGGAGCTGGTACTGACGGGCTTATTGTCATTGACAGCCTCGACTCTTCGATCGGTAGCTCGAGATGCTTTGTTTCGACCAAAAATACTACCCCGTAAGCTCTTGACTGTCCCAGCCGAGCTTTTTGGAGGAACAAGATGCTCTGGCTTGCGATCCTTGTTTTCATTAGGTTGAAAGTCTATATCCTGGAAGAGTGTTGCGAACAGGCTGAGCAGCTGATCGCTGTGATTCACAGCAGCCTCCGCACCCTCTTGCAGCTCGATGAATGCCAGTTGGGTCATGCGAGTCTCGATAATGCGTTCTTTCTCCCGGGCTCGCAGCTGATTGATCAAAGCATGTCTAAACTCAATCGCGTTCAACATGTCTCGAGAACCTTGTTGCTGCCCACCGTTGGCTAGTGAGGTAACAGGGCTCGGAAATTGTTCAAATGCCGCTTCGCAGGAACGCTCGGCAATATCGTAGTCTCTCTTTGCGCTTAGGAGAAGCGCAAGTAAGTGCCAAAGAGGCACAAGGTCCCGCTCTCTAGTCAAATCTGACTGAGCGTTCTGAGTGTGAGAATTGGAGGACAGTGCTACCTTCACATAATCGATAGCACCATCCAGATCCCGGTTCTCCGCCAGCAAAAGCGCGAGTGTATATAGTGATGAATAGTTGAACTCATCACCAAGCTCCGGGGCAATGCTCCTTTCTAAACTTTCAATTGCCTCAGCACGAAGGTCATCGCGATCTTCGCTGATCGGTGTCCAGCTCGCCCAATTGGCGAGCCCTGTGCCAATAGCTTTGTATGCAGTGGCAATTACCCTAGGCGATACGACCTGTGAGTTGTTCTGATCTGGTATGACAAGTATCCTCCCCTCCTCTTCATCGCCCTCAAACTGCACATGCTTGTCAACGAATCTTTTCAGAAGCGTGACCAGGTCGTTTGCCTTTCTCGCCTCGTCCTCTGAGCCAAAACAAACTAGCATAGTGACGCCTTCTGCAAGAGTCTGAATTAAATGCTCATCGCTTTCTAGCTCACCATATTGAGCAGCTTTCTCTGCTCTTTCCTTGGCACCCACAACAATCTCAACGTATGAGTCCAGAGCTTTCACTGCAAGGTCGAAGTCTGTCAACGCCGAGTGGACATGAAACAAACGACGAAGGATCAAGTGAGAGTGATATGTTTTCGCAGCAGCACGATAGAGAATCTAGAGGATTAATTGTCAATAATGCGTCGGACGGTATCGAGTCTCTCGAGAAAGCACTTACATCAAGAACACTCCGGCCTAGAGCATTTTGACCACCTTCTCCAAGCTCCTCGTCGCTCCAGCTCGGGCCACAGAGAATTTGCCAATTCCGAATTACTTGTTCAACCCAGCTTTCGACCTCTGAGTTCGAGCTGTTCGCCGTAGGGAATTTCAATTCGCGCATAAGCTGCGTTTCATAGATTCCTTCCACGCGCCTAAATTCGCTGGCAAGTTGGGGCCGGTCAGGGCCGCTTGACTGAGGAACATACAGCAGCCCATGTTGAAGAATGGCCGTCAGCAAATCGTAATATGATTTCCAGATCGACGCTTGGGTAGCGAGCTCGTCGGGACCCTCTGCATGCAAGGCCTGCGAGGATGATTGCTGGCTAACGTACGGATGCGCGGACCATAGTCTGCATAGTTTGAGGGCGGTTTTAATGACTTCATCATCGACGAGTGGGACACCTTTGCTCGCCTCATCGCTCGCGATTGATGCAGCTTTCCCCAGTACTTTCTCGGACCAGTACAAAAACTGAGAGCATTTCGAGGAGAGAGATGCGCTATGGCTACTGAGCCATGGTGTAAGTGTGTTCAGTATAACCAATCCATCATGGGGTGTAGAAAGCGTCGCCTGCGCAGCTCCTGCTTCGAGTCAACAACAGAAGTGGGTATCATTGAACTCAAGTACTGCACTCACCTTTGATATAGCAGCCCTTGACCAGACAGACCTCCGTCCACGGGGAGATATGCTCTCCCAGTTTGTTTGCTACTTTTCCAAAATCCTTTGGCAGATGGGCTGCAGCCAAACCCGGCTCGTTGAGTGACCAATGTAGCCATCCAAGGCAGACTTGTGTTTGGAATAGTTCTTCCGGTGTCCCATCTTCATTCTCAATAGTAGACAGCAACGAAGGAATCAATTCAGTTAGGGTAGACGAGGAGCTGAACGAGGACTGAGCCGTCGACGGCCGTTTTTGACTGTATGCGGCGATTTGAGACTCTGCGGAGGCGATTTGGAGGAAGACTATCATAAAAGAACATTAGCCCAGTTCCTCGAAACTAGAGGAACAACAAGGGGAACGTGATCATACCTGTCTTTTGAGGCGCATGTTTGGTCACCTTCCGAATAAGTTCAGGAACCTCCTCCCATTTATTCTGACATCGCGCATTGTCGAGGACAGCGATATAGCGCTGCCCCTTCTCAGAATCTTTACCCTATACTAGCTGTCAACGAATTGGTCGATACTTTCAGTCTGCGTAGTCCCTTTGATGTGGGGAGGGGGAACACGTTGCCCTGCTTTTGAGACGGACAGGATATCAACAAAAAGACAACACTCACAGTCATGGTTGGGAAATGCCTGAGGCGGGAACACGGCGACGATATGTGGGGAGGGCAGTCAAAAAATCATCCATTATCCATTTGCCCACCCCCAAGGAATATAAGAAATGAGGATTCTCGCCAGGATTATTTGCAACTGGGCCAATCGATGGAGATCATCATCATCGGCCAGGGGAGGCTTAGACGTAACTTACGGGCGTACCGTACCGTCACGTACCGAGGCATCATGTGGCCCAAGCTTTTCCGCCTCAACTTTTTTTTTTTTTTTTTTTCTTTTAATATTATTTCCTTATCTTCTTTTCCGCTTCAATAACTGACCAAAGTTGATCGCTGCGGCTCGGAGCTTTAGCTGATCGGAGTCGCAATGGCTTCTACTTCTCTTCGTGCGGTGACACACCGCTTGACGACTACACCAGTTGATCAATTGCCCCAGATCGCATCGTTTCTTGCGACATCATTGAGCGATTGCGGGGAGCTCCTCTCTACGACACAGAACCAGAAGACGGGCAAGTCTGAGTCTGACAATGCTGTGCAGATTCATAAGCTCAAGACTCGCCTCGCCAGTTTGCTTCAGGACAGGAGCATTGAGGGCCGGTGGACTGCAGTCGTGCTGGTCAAGGCGACGGTGGAAGCTGGACAATGGGAGGTTCTTCGTGGATGCGAACCACTCGTGCGCAGCCTCATTGCGATTCTGAATGTAGGTTCTTGATGATGAATATTTCATCTCGGTCAATCACTGACTTCGTTGGATAGAAATCAGATCCTGTTTCTACGAAGAAAATGAGCATCATCACCTTGACCCGGATCTTTCATCTTACCTACCAGTACCCTACCCTCGTAAGGGAGATCACGACCCCTTCCCTACCAGGGTTCATTACGTCGTCCTTGAACCTCATCTCGGTTAAGCCATCATCCGAACCCATCAGAAAGTTGAAGCCGAACACCCCGTTCTTGGAGATCGTCCTGAGCGCCTTTTTGGAGCTAATTGCAAGACACCCCACGATCTTCCGCCCATTCTCCGCTCAGCTACACAGCCTTCTCCAGGCGATTATTGGCGCAACGGCTCCGACGTTCTCTGGCTCGGTTTTGGACCTGGCGGAACAGCTGTTCATTGCCCTTCACAATTGCGCCCCGAAAAATACCCACGCAGAAGAATGGAAGAATGCTAGCCGGATGGTCATTGCTTCTATCCATAGGACCGCAGATTACGTCTTCAGAGGTGTTGTGGAACAGTGGGAGTCTGTCGATGCGAGTGTGAGACAGGCCGGCCAATCTCAGGATTACAGCCGGGTGGTGGCCGATGCGGGACCAGATTCGCTGGGACTTGCCGGTTGGGAGGGCATTCATGCTGGCGTGGAACGATTGACAGTTCTCTTGCGCTTACTATCTCGCATATTGGCTGCACCCACGGCCTCAACCGTAACGATCCCTCTGGGGTCGATCCTCGATCTGACCTCGCGGCTGAATTCGACCACTGTGCCAGCTCCCGGTGCGGATGTCCCTGTCAATCTCCAAATTAGCCGAGAGGAGAGAGATGGTCTCTGGGCCGAGCTCCCTCGCATCCACGCCGTGGGCATGGAACTTCTTCTCTCTGTCGTCAATGCCCTTGAAACTGGCGTCGTTTCGGTCGGACAGACCATTCTTGAACAGACGCTGTGGGTATACCGGGCAGAGAAATTCAACAAGGAGATCCGCAACTCTGTATATGACCTTCTCCATGCATTGCTACCTCTAGTGGGCCCTTCAACAACAAAGAAGAATGTGTCGTCCTTGACCGACATCATCCGATCTTGCTGCTATGACCTGCTTCCGCCAGCTGGTGATTCGAACGCATCCAGTGCACCTTCGTCCGATTCCAAGGGCAAGTCAAAGACGAACCAAGCCACAGTGAACGCCGACTCGTTCTTGAACCCGACTTCCAAAAACCGGCAGGTCCAGTCCTCGGCTTCTTTCGACGGATTGAAACAATCTGCGTCGGACTTTCTCCCCGTCGTTCTCAATTTTGTGCCGACCCACTTCCTGACTACCTCTCTGCGTGCCGAGATCGATCGGACCGCTATCCTCACCTCGGACAAGAACGCAATGCTCGCCAGCGTTCTCAACCCCGTTCCGGCCTTGAAGGGTCGTGGCGTGGGGTCCAGCATCATACCGTTCCTGGTTCAGGGCTACGCCGCCGAGATGGAGGTCGAGACCCTTATCCGGCCCAGGATGCCTGTTTTGATGAATGCTCCCCATGTCAACGGGTACGGAAGCATAGTCGACGACGAGGACGAAGAGCAGGACGAGCACCAGGCTGTTCCTGTGCAGCACGGGAACGCCGAGCTAACCGGATTCCTCAAAGCGACGGCTACCCCTATCTTGCCCAGCAACACCGCTCCTACAGACTCGGGCAGGAAATCTCCCACAGCCTTGAACAAGCGGGGTCTTCCCGAAGAAACCAAGCCTTCTCCGTCCACAGTGCCCACATCCAAGCTGACCGGCTCGCGAACCGTGGACGTCCAGGCTAAGAAGGCCCGTCTCGACACGGACACGGTTTCCGCCCAGCCCTCCCTCGGCAGGGCTTCCCCGGATTCCTCCACGGTCACGGCTACCTCGGCGCCGATGCCGATGAGCGCCATCCAGACGTCTACGGGAGTAGCGGATGTATCCATGTCTGGGACATCAACGGCGCAGACAGGTGCAACGGCCGTGGCAGCCAGCGAGGATGAGAGTGACGATGAGATCCCGGCGTTGAACATGGAGTCGGATACCGACGACGAGGACGAGGAGATGGATGACTGAAGGACAGGAAATACTCCACCCGTACCTCTATATAGAATAAATCGCTTGGAGAAGTCTCCCTATATCAACGTAAATACCATCGCGCTGGGTGGCTTACAGCCATGCCCCATAACCCATGTCATATGCATCTATATATCTATATCTCTATCTCTATCTCTTTCTGCAATTACCCAATCCCTATCCGCTCAGAACACTCTCACCCCCCTTTCCCAATAGCCCCCTCCCTCCCACCTTGTAAACCACCGATCCCGCCAACACCACCACCCGTCGCCCTCGGCGCCGAACCCCAATCCCCGCAGCGGACTAACCGGCAACGGCTCCGTCAACCACAAGCCGCCCCTGGCAAAATCATCCGCAATCAACCCGCCCGAGAAGAGCAACCACGCAAACACAAACGCGGCATTCGCGGCGCGGCCCGTGCGGCGCGAGCAGCGCCCGCGGGCGACGAGGCGCACCCACCCGGTCTGCAGCAAGACGCCGACCGCCTGGAGGAGGAAGAAGAGGAACGGGCCGGTGAGCGGCGTCGTGTGCGCGAACTGGGTGTAGCTCCCGCAGGCATGGATGAGGCCGCTCAGCGAGAAGGCGACGAGGGTCATGGCGACGCGGCGGGTGGTGGTCTGCGCGGCGAGGGGGCGAGGGAGCAGCGCGAGCAGCCAGTGCGCGGTGGAGGTGAAGCCAAAGCGGAAGAGTTGGTGCCACCACTGGCTCCAGCAGCCGGCGAGGCCGGAGTCGAGGATCGGGGCCCGAAAGGGGCCGAAGGCGGGGGAGTAGAGCCAGGGGGCGTCGAGGGGGGCGCGGGTGAGGGCGCGTGAGGCGTTGGGGAAGGCGAGCGAGAGGCCCAGGAAGACCAGGGGGTTGAGCGCGTTGACGAAGCTTAGGGCGGCGAAGACGCCGAAGGCGCTTAGGAGGAGGCGGTAGAAGCGCGTGATGAGGGCGGCGGCGGGGAGGTGGGTGACGGGGGACGGTAGGATAGAGGCGGGCGGGTCTATGCCCCAGAAGTACGGATCGTACATCATCAGGACCTTGAGCAGGTCCAGGAACAGGTAGTGCTTGACGAAGGTGACGAAGGCCATGTGTAGACGCGCGCGAGGACCGGGCCACGAAACAGTTCCGTCGCGTTTCTCTTTGGCTTGACGAGCAGACCGTCCATTCTTCGTGGTCTGCTGCGCTTGCAGGGAGGCTGGTAACGGATCCAAAGTCGATATGCGCCAGCTCCATTCCGGGCCGCGCATGTTGAAGAGTAGACCAAGCGCCCAATTGAGTCGGTGCCGGAGGGCGTGAGGATAGGGCTGCCAGATCAGGGTTTCCGAGCCCAGCCGCGACGCATCTTGCTTCGCTTTGGCCACGCAGCCGTTCGACCCTTCGTCGCCACACCGCGTGGGATTTCCGTTCTCTGCGCCCTGCGCTTTGATCGGATGAGAAGGATCCGACGAAGACCTCTCGATGCGCTTGAAATCTCTCTCCGCGTCATTGAAGACCAGGATCGTTGCGCTCCAGATGGCCCACCAGGCTGTTACCAAGCCGCCCATGTACCCGTTACCCCCGAGCAGCGCGCGTCGATGCCGGATGACATCGACCGCGGTCCCGAGGATGAGGGCAGAGATGACAGGGCGGACATACCGCGATCCGCTCCGTCGCGAGATCAAAAGACCTGTTAGGGGCAGAGCGGTGAAGACAAGTAGATGCCAGAGATAGAAGGGCTTGTAGTCTCCTTGCTCTATGAGGTGTTCGAATTGACGCCGGTTGTTGAGGAGGACTTGGCGGTAAGAGCTAGGATGATCAGCCATGCGATCTCTGGGACACCGTCTTTTCGATAGATGTACTCCAGAGGCACAATCGAGAGTATACGATGGAATCGAGTCAAGTTATTCTAGTTTTTTTTTTATGCAATCTTCAAAGGTTGAACCGAGTTGGAGAGAGGATTCGAGGAGCCGACTGTGGAATGCAGGAGGAACACAAAAGCAGAAAGGCACAAAAGCAGCGAGGGAACGAAAAGAAAAGAAAAGAAAAGAAAAGAAAAGAAAAGAAAAGAAAAGAAAAGGATGAGGAAAAATGGAATGCAAAGGATTCTGCTGTAACTACTACCAGACTCTTCACATATCAGATCTAAGAGATATACGATAGATAGATAGATAGATACTCTTCATGCAAGACGTGCTCAAGAGTTGAGATCGGATCATTGTCATAGAATACAAGACTGCCAAGAATGGCCACAGCTCAGCGTCATTTTGTGTCAGCTTTCTCTCATTCCATCCATCGAACCTGGCTCATCTTCTCTTTCAGGATCCTCCACGAGAATGGCGACGTACCTGACTATCCCAACCGGGTGACTCCATATAGCGTTTTTTGATCCGAGTACACACAGTACACACTGACCTGTCCGAATAGCAAGGAAGGTTTATCGTGCAGTGACGACCGTTGCGCCCATGGAGGAATCCAGCAGTCATCCTATATGGACTGGACTGCTAGGATAATGTACATATATATAAATACATATATAATCTATGTGAAGATAGAACACTTAGCTTAGCCTTACCACTACAGTCTACACTCTACAGAGTATGCTAGTCGGCATCAGCACTATTTTAGTGCTGACTCCTCCTCCAACCTCCGAACAGCCAGTGTTGGTCTCATTTTCATCACACTCACAATGAATCATCCCATCAATCATCATCAATCATCTAACTAGATCGTGTCAGACTAGGCCTCTACTGCATAAGCAGACTCTTTTCCTCCCTTCTATCTACAATACACACAAATTCATCATCCAGCCCGTTACCAAGCTAATGAAAGTCCCACAAAAGGCAACGGTCCGTCTACCCACTCTCCAGTCTCCATCAGCATCCACATCAAAAGAGCGGAGAGACTCCACTGGATCTTATACATTGGAACGGCAATCAAAATGAAATGCCAAATCAAAGAACAATCTATCGAGCCATGATGTTGGTATGGGTGGATCGAGTATCGACATGGAAGCGTGCCTATGGACCGGCTTGAATCTCGTATAATTGTGGACTAACCACTACAGGGTCGGTTACGGAGTCTCGGAGTACTATTATTGACCTTTCTCTAACGAAGAATGGCGAGCTATGAAGACCCCGGTTGACCCTTATGCACCAAAATCCATTCATAACCTGAAAGCTCTCGGCTTGAATTGTTTGGGGTCAAACTCAAAGAGTGGACACCAGGGAGGAGACTGACATATCATGTCCAAACATAGCGATTCCACCAATTGCTGAGGCTCGTGCGTTGAACTACTGTGTATGTTGAGACTGGGAGAGACGTATGACTCTCACCACAACCAGCCTCGTGTCTGCCACGAGGATGGCGATTTCACTGGGCGTCGTTATGCCCGGCTATCCCCGTGTCGCTCGCTGTATCTGCGGCCCAATCTCCAGATGTCTTTATCGCATGGACGAATCTGGTCAAACCGTCAAACTAATGCCTGCAGTCTGGGACCCTCACGTCTCCCCGAGCGGGCTCTGCCGAAATGGTTCCAATGAATCGTCTGTTTTGAACCCCCAATCGCTGCAAGATCCAATAAATCTGCAGATTCTCTGATTTCTATCACAACTAGTCGACCTCTCAACTGAGGCTTAGCAAATTTTCATGCATCCTTCGCGCCCGCGACGGCATTAATTGGGTTCTACAGCACCCCTGTTTCTCGGCCCTATGCCGAATTCCCGATGGTGCGGTGGACAGAGACTAACATACAAAGCAATGCGGTTTTCCTGTTTGAGCTCAGAATCCCACATGGACCTGCTGTACTTCGTCTGTTTCCCTGTTCCTATTGATTCCCCTTCTAGTTCGAGATTGATTGACTCATACGTATGCCTTTTTGATCTCATATCACCTCCAGCCCGCCGGTCTTCACCCTGATCCTTGGCTCTAGCTCATTCTCTCTTCGAACCATCCGGATTTACATGCTTGCAGTATAGTTCACTCGAAAGTTTTTGGTTCACAATAACTGAGCCTCTGTCTGCACGGATGGGCACCGTTGATCAGTCAGTTTCGGCTGACAATATCGAGTCCATTCAGCCCTCTCGCATATCACACTGGCGGCTGATCTATGATCAAGGGGCGCTCACACAGGAGATCATTGATTATCCCTTTGCCGGATCAGGCACAGAGGAAGACCCGTACCTTGTCACATGGATTCCCAATGATCCTCGAAACCCTCTAGAATTTCGAATGTCCATGCGATGGCTCTACACAATAGTCATGGCATGGGCCACGTTGGCCGTCTCTTTGGTTTCCTCGGCGTATACCGGTGGTATCGAACAGATCATGGAAGATTTCCATGTCGGTTCAGAGGTGGCAACCCTGGGCGTGTCCCTCTTCGTGCTGGGGTTTGCGATCGGCCCCTTGTTCTTTGCGCCAATGAGTGAGCTCTGGGGGCGACAGCATCTCTTCATCATCAGCTACTGTGGCCTGACCATCTTCAACGCCGCTGGCGCCGGCGCGAAAAACATCGAGTCGCTTATCATCTTCCGGTTCCTCGCTGGCGCTTTTGGATCCTCCCCATTGACCAACGCAGGCGGTGTCATTGCAGATTTGTTCCCTGCAAGCCACCGCGGCCTGGCAATGAGTATCTTCGCAGCGGCTCCGTTCTTGGGGCCCGTTTTAGGGCCAGTGATTGGCGGCTTTTTGGGCTTGGGTGCGGGATGGCAGTGGGTGATGGGGTTTCTGGCCATCTTCTCCGGTGCACTCTGGATCATCGCCGGCCTGATCGTCCCAGAGACGTATGCACCTGTCCTCCTCCGCCGGAGGGCCGCCAGGCTGTCCGAGCTCACGGGACAAGTTTATAAGAGTAAGACTGAGGCTGAACAGGGAAAGAGGAACTTCAGCGACGCTCTCAAGACATCGCTCTCTCGCCCGTGGATCTTACTTTTCCAAGAACCGATTGTACTTTTGCTGTCGATCTATATGGCAATCATCTATGGAACGCTGTATATGTTGTTCGGCGCGTTCCCCATCGTGTATGCTGGCCAGCGCGGCTGGAATCAAGGCGTGTCGGGGTTGGCGTTCTTGGGGATCATGATTGGGATGATGATCGCCGTCACCTACAGCATCATCGATAACAAGCGATACATCAGAGTCCAGGAGGAGCATAATGGGTTTGCACCCCCAGAGGCACGGTTACCGCCCTGCCTGGTTGCTTCGATAGCTATTCCCATGGGACTCTTCTGGTTCGCGTGGACGAACTATCCCTCGATCCACTTCCTGGCCAGTATCTCCGCTGGGATACCGTTTGGCTTCGGCATGGTTCTTGTTTTCCTCAGTCTGATGAATTATATGATCGACACCTATACCATCTTTGCCGCCTCTGTCCTTGCTGCAAACTCTATCTTGCGGTCAGTCTTTGGTGCGGCCTTTCCCTTATTCGTGAAGTACATGTATAGTTCCTTAGGTTGGCTCCCATCGACTCCTCCCATCGTGAAGCAGAAGTTAACAAGAGATAGGTATTCATTGGGCTTCCTCCGTCCCCGCCTTTTTGGCATTGGCATGCGTCCCGTTCCCGTTCCTTTTCTATAAGTACGGCCATGCAGTTCGGACCAAATGCAAATATTCTGCGCAATCGGATGAGTTCATGCGGAAATTGATGGCACAGACCGTCAAGGATCCCCTGGAGGAGAAAGAGAAAACTTCGGGGGAGACGGCCCCCCCAAGTCAACCGACTTCAGACTCGACAAGTGCAGATTCACATATCGGCAGACTTTCGTTCGAATCGGTCAAAGGCAGCCGAAGACACTCCATCATTTCAGCCAGGTCTGCCCGGTCCCATCACTCTCAGATGGTGACTTCACAGACTGTGTATGACGCGAATCCTTACGATATTGACCGTGTCAACACACGGGAATCTTTCAAAAAATAGATTCTGGGGTCTGGAATAGGGCCTCTATATAGATTTTGAAACATAAAAAAATATCTCATCAACTCACCATCTACTTTATCTTCCTGCATGATGTTTTACTATGGTCTGGAAGGAGTGGAAACAGACTATTCCCGTTGTAGTAAAGGTCAAATGTGGATCACGTGGGCCCGTGGCCTAGCGCGTTTTGTCAGCTGTCGGCTATTCCTGATCCGGCAAGGCGCACGCCTACTCATGGATATGCTTCTATCTCTCAATTCTTCTCCAAGCATCGACTCCTTACTGCTAGTCACCGGGTGGTATAACCTACCATCCCTTGCAGACGGCATGGGTCAACCTCGTGGCAAGCGGAACATCGACCAAGTCGATCTCACTGTCGACGATGAGGCCACTACCCAACCAGGCAAAAGAGCAACGCGTCATACGCCTCGTAGCAGCACAACGACGCCTGCCCAGCGGTTGGGCGAGAGCACTGAATTCGTGCCCTTCAGCCAGACCTCAAACATCATCAATATAAGTGATGACGATGAGGAAGATGCCGAAGCCGAGAACTTGGTCCAGGGGAGTCAGGATGACACGGCGTACTATAGCTTCATGCACTACGGTAACCTGCCTACGAAGATCGTGGGCGTGAGGTATTACAACGGCTACGCGACCGTCGGCGAGCATGTGACTCTCGCGCGCCAGGCTGATAACCCGTATGACTCGAACGCGATCCGTGTGATGAATGTCATGGGGAACCAGATCGGCCATCTTCCTCGAGATGTAGCGGCTCGACTGGCTAAGTACATGGTAAGTAGTCTGATTTAAGACGGGCTGAGTGGGTTGATCTGAAACTCTGGCTGGCCGGTCTAACGTCACCTGTAACGTAGGATAATAGGTCGCTGTTCATCGAAGGCATGTTGACGGGGCAGATTGGGACATTCACATGCCCGGTTGTCCTCAAGTTGTATGGCACCAGTCATCCGGAAGAACGACAGCGACTGAAGCGCTCGATGCTCGACGATCGGCTCCCTCTCACCGAGTTCAATCGGCGGGAGACACAGGAGCGTAAGCTGCACGAGAAGATGGAGAGGGATGCCGCTAAGAGGGGCCTTGCGCTGGCGTCTGGCATTGGAATGAACGCGGCTTCTAATGATCTTTTCATTGCCGAGGGTCTCGGTATACCTCGCGAGAGACTGGAAGACATTATTGGCCAGAGCAGCACTTTTGATCCTCGGAATATCGGCCAGGTCGCGGAGAATTTTGGTCTCAATGAGACTGACCTGGTGAATATGCCGATGGCGGATACGCCCGCGTCGCTGTCGACTGAATTGCTCCCGTACCAGCGCCAGGGTTTGGCGTGGATGGTCGAGAAGGAATCTCCGAAGTTTCCCGCGTCTGGCTCTGAAGAGGTGGTCCAGCTTTGGAAGAGAGCTGGGAAAAAGTTCACCAATATTGCCACCAATTATTCCACAGCTATTGAACCCCCGCTGGCCAGTGGAGGTATCTTGGCTGATGATATGGGCTTGGGCAAGACAATCCAGATCATATCGTTGATTTTGGCCAATCCGCAACCCAGGACTTCGGGAGCCTCAAAGACCACACTGATTATCGCCCCTGTTGGGGTTATGAGCAACTGGAAAAACCAGATCAAAGATCATACCCACAAGGAGAATACTCCGAGCGTGCTTATCTACCACGGCCCTGGGAAGAAAGAGGCCGAAAAGCTCGATCAGTACGACGTAGTTATCACCAGCTATGGAGCTCTTGCAGTGGAGTATAAACCGAACACCAAAGCAACACCAAAGCGTGGATTGTTTGCTGTGCATTGGCGTCGTGTAGTTCTCGATGAAGGGCATACCATTCGAAACCCTAGGGCCAAGGGTGCCTTGGCAGCCTGCAGCCTTCGCGCAGATTCTCGCTGGACCCTGACTGGTACACCGATCGTGAACAGTTTGAAGGACCTTTACTCACAGATCCGCTTCTTGAGACTGTCGGGTGGCCTGGAAGATATGGCAGTCTTCAACAGTGTTCTCATTCGTCCTCTAACATACGAGGATCCCAAGGGTCGTCTGCTTCTCCAGGCATTGATGAGTACCATCTGCTTGCGGCGACGGAAAGACATGGAATTTGTGAACCTGCGTCTCCCAGCCCTTACGTCGCGTGTGCTGCGGATCAAATTTCACCCCCATGAACAGGAGAAATATGACATGTTCCAGTATGTATTTTCGTGGTCGCTTTGGTCGATGCGCTACTAATATTCTACAGACGGAAGCCAAAGGCATGCTCATGGACTTCAAGTCTCGCGAAAAGGGCGGCACCAGCTATTCCCATGTCCTCGAGGTTCTCCTCCGGATGCGACAAGTGTGCAATCATTGGGCGCTGTGCAAGCATCGCGTTGATGCGCTCACAGGCCTGCTAGAGAAGCACAAGGTCGTCCCTCTGACGCCGGAAAACATCAAAGCTCTCCAAGACATGCTGCAACTAAGGATCGAGAGCCAAGAGATGTGCCCTATCTGTCTAGACACACTGGAGCACCCCGTGATCACCGCCCGTGGCCATTCATACGACCGAGACTGCATCGAGCAAGTCATCGAGAGACAGCACAAATGTCCTCTCTGCCGGGCCGACATCAAAAACACAGCCACCCTAGTCGCCCCGGCCGCCGCACTAGGTGAAAGCGCCGACGACGACATCGTCGCGGACCCCAACAATCCCAGCAGCAAGATTGAGGCCCTCATCAAGATCCTGACCGCCCAGGGCCAAGCTCTAGGCACAAAAACCGTGGTCTTCAGCCAATGGACCTCCTTCCTCAATCTCGTTGAACCGCACCTACAGCGCCACCGCATCAGTTTCGTCCGCATCGACGGCAGCATGTCCTCAACGGCCCGCGACAGCTCCACATACAAATTCTCCAACGACCCGGGCTGCAAGGTCCTCCTCGCCAGTCTCAGCGTCTGCAGCGTCGGCCTCAATCTGGTCGCCGCCAACCAGGCCATCCTCGCCGATAGCTGGTGGGCCCCCACGATCGAGGATCAGGCCGTCGACCGCGTCTACCGCCTCGGCCAGAAACGCGAAACCACCGTCTGGCGCCTCGTCATGGAGAATACCATCGAGGACCGCGTCCTGGAGATCCAGGATACAAAGCGGAAGTTGATGCTCGCCGCGTTCCGCGAGACGAGCAAGAAGGTCGATGATCGGGCGACGAGGATCGCTGATCTGGAGAGACTCCTCGTCTGACCTTTTATTACCTTTCCTATCCGCTGTTCGGCGAGTCCTTTCGTACCCATCGCCACCTCGGAGTCTATTTCCCCTGTCTATCTTTTTTTCTCCTGTGTGAATATTGAATGGGCATCTAGGGATCTGCAAATCTAGATGAGGTTTTCCCTGCTGGCCAGGGAAAATGTGAATATCACAGAAATGGAAGAATTGAACAATCTCTCTTCGTCCATATCGATTCTTTTAAAGTAATTCAAGTACCAGCCGTTATTCATTCGTTAAGATATGGAGAAAATGATAAAATAAGATACACGAATAGCGCCTCGCCTGTGCCTGTGCCGTGCCTGTGCTAGAGAAAAGCCGCTCGAGGGAAAATAGACAGTTGAATGAGCAGGAGGGGATATGTACCACAATAGATCAATAGATACAAAGAGAAAGAAAAGAACGGGAAGTAAGACAGGTTGAGAAAGAAATAAGTTCGAGTAGAAAAAGATACGCCAGCCCACGAATGGAGGCATCGGAAATAGAAGATGGACATGCGTGATTGAGATATCATCAAACCAAATGCCAGCAGAAAGATTCAAGCCATGAGAAAGCAGCGCTGAGATTCATGGTTTACTGCGACCTGCAGGCACTTATGCTCTCCTGTGGTGATGCTGAGTCGGAGCCGCTCCCATCAACCTGCATGCTACCAGAAATGACACTTGGGCTCCTGCTTTCCATCCGGATTGGGGGGTTCGGAGGCTGATATTCAGGAGAAGATGCCGCTGTGGCCTGTTGTTGGGGTGGTTCACTTTGAGAGTGAGGCACATTCTGAGCATCATTAAGAGCGGGATTTGGAACTACCGTCGATGCCGCAGCCGGGGAAGATCCAGACCGCGGCAGAACAGGACCGTGATGTGCCGGAAGGGTTGAGCCGGGATTGGAAGGAGTGTAAGCATTACTAGGGGTAAACGGTACAATGCTATTGGGTTGCGCAGGAGCAGTGGAAGGTAGAGTCCCATGGAAGGGTGGATATCGAGCTTGTTGCGCGGCCCCGTAGCGAAACGGCATGGGCGGTTTAGCTGCCCAGCTTTGAGCCTGGGGCTGAGAGTACGTAGGAGCAGGAGGTGCCAGTCTCTCTGCTTGCCTCCTCTCTTCAAGCATCCGCAGGTACGCCTGTGGGTCGGTGCGTTTCAGGCGTTCATCATCAAGCTCCTGCTGTACATCCTTCCGCTCCTCTTCAGTCAGCTTATCGTTGTCTTCCTTCTGGAAGGTCTCTGTGAGGTTGATTTTTCGAATCGCCCGTTCGTCGCCATTATCTTCTTTGAGGATTTTGTCAAGCACATGTTTGTCCTTTCCGAGGAATTCAGAGACATCATGCTGCTTCACCGGTTTCGCGGGAAAGAGGTATTCATTAAGCTTTTTGGATGCCCAACGAACAGGATTCTTCTTATCCACAACTCGGAATGCAAGCTGTGTCTTGAAGACGGCCTTGTTATACATAATCTCCTCGAATGTGCCTCCAGAGATGAAGCGGTAGACATAGACAGGTTTTTGTTGACCCAGGCGATAGGCACGTCCCACGGCCTGTTCCTCCCAGACAGGACTGAATGAGAAATCAAAGATCACCACACGATTCGCACCAGGGATATTCAGGCCCAAGCCACCCGCGCGGGTCGAAATAAGGTATACCTGCTCTTCAGAGCCAGTGTTAAACCTCTTCGTAGACGCCTGTCGACTGAAGATCGGGGTCTTCCCATCTAGACGACAATAGCTCCGATTCGCAGCCTTGAGAATATGCTCAATGTAATTGAGGGTCGGGATTCTGTGGGAGAAGATTAGGACTTTATCCCCAGCATTGATAGATTCGGTAACAATTCTGTCAAGAAGCTGTGCTCGGTAAGACAGGTTCAAAGCTTTGATGTCGGGAACGGCCGCAAAAAGCTCCTCTTGCTCAGATACCAGCCTCTCTGAATCAGAAAGATCCAACTGCGTAATAGCCTCGTCACCAGGAATCATCTGTGCTTTTGACTTCTGAGACTCATTTGCTTTACTTAACAGCTTCTCCCTGAAGCAAGCTGGGTGGTTGCAACACAGCCCAAGGATCGCCATCCAGGACCAGAGCTTTGCAGTTCCAACTTCCGCCCTTCTCCCCTGAACCACAGATTTCACGTAAGAATCGTAGGCTGACTGCTGCAGCGGCGTCAAGGGAATAGTGATGACAAACTCAACCTTTGGTGGCAGGCTGCCCTCTAGCACGGTGATATCGGCACGATTGACCTTGGGGTCTAGGATCTCTTTCAGGACCTGAAGCTTTTTGAGCGACTTTCTCCTCTCGTAATATGTGCTATCCACATAAAGGCCGTCTTCAATAGGCTCAACGTAGTTTGCTTTGAAATCAAGAAATTCTCCAAGGTATCCTTCTGCAATCCAATTCACCATTGTATAGTAATCGACAAGGTTGTTCGCAAGGGGAGACCCAGTAAGGGCAATACGACTCTTGGAACGGAATTGCATCGCTGCGCGACATATACCTGAAGAAGGATTTTTCATCTTGTGAGCTTCATCGGCGACGATTATGTTTGGGCCCTCCAGAAGCCATTCTTTCACTTTGACATGTTCTTCGTCTTGCAGAGGCTTCGCCCTTTTTGACGTCTCGGCATTGAGGACCCATGTTCGAAAAATATCGTAGCTCATAATCAAAATTCCGCCTTCTTCATCCCAGTCGGACACCTCACGGAACCTCTCGGAGACCGTACTGGCAGCGGTGACCTTCCTCAGCGGCCCAATGCTCGATCCTTCGGGCGTCCACATGAGGAACTCCTCATACCAATTCTCAATCAAGGATGATGGACAAAGAATCAGCGTTTGCGATCGATGAAAGCATGTGGGTACCTGCTGGCTTATACTTGGATCATGTGAAGAAGCAGCCGCGGATATGGTTGTTAAGAGTGATATGACCTGCATTGTTTTACCCAAACCCATTGTGTGGGCAAGCAGACAACCCTGTTGTTTCTCATCATGTATCAACTCTCGCCACAGAAACTGAATACCATTCAATTGGTGAGGCTTGATGCGTCGACCAATATGGGAATCTAAGTAGATGATCGGCTCCCCGAAGCTCACGGCTTGCCGTGCAGGGTCAGTGTTACTCACACCCATACTTTCCATTTTGCGTTCTAGTCGCTTCCGTTCTTGTTCCTGTCGTGCGACACGGCGCTGTGCCCTCTCCTGCGTTCGTTTGGCATCCTGGCTTTCTTCCACCTTCTTCTTCCGCTTCTTATGAGGTGCATCGGGACGGCTCAACTGTTCGTCCTCTGAGTCGCCAAACTGGTTGCTTGACGTTGAAGGCTTATTCCCGCTCGGTTGTTTGCGCAGCTCTAATCCTTCACACAGTCTCAGGTTCTTGGAAAGCTCTCCGTGAAATTCCTCGATCCCATCGATTTCCTGACGAGTCTTTTGTATTTGCTTCTTAGAGATCCCTTGCATGGAAAGATGGACGCAATTCACCCATGATATGAAAAGTGCAGCTGTTCGCATGATCAATTGGCTCACGGCATGGTCGATGTCAGGTATTCTCTCCTCGCCTTTTTTGAGCACTTTGAGGGCCCTTTTGACAAGCTTTTTCAGACTCTCCAGTTCAAATGTGAGAATCTGTCTAGTCATGTTCTCGCGCTCCTCAATAGGAAGGCTAGCTATCAACTTTGCAAGTAGCCTACGGCGGTCTGTCCGTTCCTCAAGTAAGACCCAGGGATATGACAGCAAGGCCACAAAGTCATAATGATCGGGTAGATCCTTTGAATTTCCTTTGTATGCTGGTCTTGGCTCCCCAAGTTTGGGGTTGGATTGGTCGGCTTTCCATCGCGGAATTTCAACCACAACCTGTGAGCCCCGTGGTGGACCAGGGGAGGTTGAGGGAGTACGTTCGAGCTTAAGATCCAGCTCTTCTGAAGCGATCCGTCCTGGTCGTACTGGATTGAGCGGAGGGGTCTCAATTCGTAACTCATCTGCCGATGGCGACTCCATCGTTAAATCAATCACCTCTGAGTGGTTTGCACCCCTATGCTCTGCCAAAGGAGAAGGAGAACTGGTGGCCATAAAAGGCAGCCTTCGGGCCCTTGACTTGCGTCTAATCCCTGAAGGGCTGATGATATCATCGTCGCTTTCAGACGTTGAAGGTGTCGGTGTTTGCGTTCTATTACTGTTCTCAACAGATGCCATGAAGCCGTGTTCATCAAGCAATCTGTCATTGGTTTCGACGAGAATATTCTGCTCCTCTATGGTCCCAGCAATGTTCCCAACAGATGGAGCATGGCCAGTGAGATCCGAATCATCAATGAAATCATCAAGGGAGCCAGACGACATGCCCGATTCCGAGTGTAGCGACTCTTCATCTTGAAAACGAGCCTTCGGCTGGGGCAACGTCCTGTTCTTAAGAGGAGCAGCAACCTTTGCTGGGCATTTTTCTTGTTCCAGAACGGAGATGCGCCACTTGCGTTTTTGTATGTCAAGTACAGTTTGTTCCATGCTCTGGCACTGCGTTTGTAGCTCCGCCTGTGAGGTGTACTCGCTCCCACGGATAGCTTCAAGCACTTTGCCCAGTCGTCTTTCCAGAAGGTTGATGTCGCGAGTAATAGCTTTAATACTTTGATTAGTACACTTTGCCCGGCGAGTCATCTGCCAGAGCTTCCAAGCCTTAGTTTCTTCTTTAGGCAAGCCATTTCGGCGCCATTTGTCCACAAATTCGTTTATACAGTTCTCAATGACTGCATCAACTTCAGTGGAAGTTAATCTTCTTGGTTTGTGCTGTGTGAGTTCATCATGCTCATTGGTAATTTCTTGCCATGTTTCCTCATCAAACTCTCCTTCCGAGCCTGACTCACCATACACAGGACACAGGTCCTGATCGTCCTCCCCAGCAGGGTATTTCTGGAGAAGATAGGAGTAGGGATCAGAAGGATTGAGTGTCCGTGGCGACTTAGGATCAGTAGCACCTGCTTGATTCAGCTGTGGCCATTTTTTTATGTTCTCTTGTGTGACTGCAACAGTTCCATTCTTAGCTGTATACAGGGTGAAGAGATGCTTATCAGCCTCATTCGCCTTTGAGTAGTCATAAGGAAGAATAGCCAGCTGGCTGCCTCCTTCATCAGATTTCAACTCAATAGGCCTCTGTTTATAGTAGTAATTCAGGCACTTTTTCACAACGTGGCGCTGAGCAGTAGGGAATTTCGGGCCAAGCATTATGAATGATTGATCGTCCTCGTCAGTAGTGGGGGGGTAGAACAATTGAGAAAGAAGGACTCGTTCTGGCCCCATGTACCACTCCTTATCTTGCAAGGGGTTTAACGGGTTTAAAACAAGACTATCATTCTGTGGCCGAGGCAAGGAGCTGAGATCCAACTTTCGGCGCTTCTTTCCTTGCGCATCAACAAAAACATGCTCCTGAGCGCGGATACCTTCGCTTGTTTGGGGATGGTCTACATGTTTCTCTGTAGTCGGCCCAGTACCACCAGCATCCGGGGGAACGCTTTGAGGCATCTGACTGGAATCATCAACATTCTCGACAACATCACTGGAAATTGCGCGCGAGTCAGATCCTTTTCTTTGCAAAGGAAGTGCAGGCGAGTTAGGCGCGGGAAGATTTCGCCTGATGTCGTCTACTTCAGATGTGAAGAGCACAAAGTTCCGATGAACCGGTGATGAGATCTCTTGCTGAGTTCCAGGGATCATGGAAGCCAGAAGACTAGGAGAGAAAGGATACTGACGGTCACCAAGTTGGGGAGTAAGATCCGCTCGAGAACGTTGATATTTCTGTGAACGTCGTTGGAGATAGCGTATTGCCATGAGCATAGAACTACGATGACCAATGGCCTTGAGTCCAAGCTCTTCACGCAAGGTCTCCTTGTCAACATCATGCAAAAGCACCTCTCCTGTTATCAAATTCTCTCGAAGGGCGGCTTCAAACTGGGCAGGATTCGGCCGCGGAGCTTGGGTAGTTGACTGAGACCATGGTGTTTGGGGGTTATGGCACAGAAATGCAACCACCTCATTGACTGTCCAGTCGATAGGGTCACCATCGTCGGTTTCCATTACACCTAATCAAGCAGATACGGTCAATATGGTCTCATAGCATCACTGCTAGACGAAACATACAATAAGTCCATTAATGGACTAAGATAAATCTTGTCTCTAACCCCCTAGAAGTTCAAGCAGTATCGTGTTGCCGTAAAGCTAAAGAGAGTTGGAAAAAAAAAAAAAGTGAGAGAGAGCAGATGGAGGGAAGAGAAGAAGATCGTGGCGGAGTACACAGGTCAGAACTAAAAATTCTGCCGGTTAGTTAGGAGTATGAAGGACACGAGCAGAAGTTGATCAAGACGGCCTGTTGCGATAGAAAGATCGCGTGGATGGGCTGAGACGCGCAAGCACGAGACCCTGTATATTGCCAGAAACGGCAATGGCGATCGCTTATCGCAGATGAGCTCTTTCTGCCAGCATCAAAGGCGGTCCGGCGAGCGGAGATCAAGCTTATTCTGCTGGAGGTTGCTGATTAATCATTTATTTTCCGGAGCCCCTCCATCGCCGGCATTAATAATGTCACGATCGCATAAGAGAAAGTCGTTCGGACTTGGTCGAGGATTTCCAATTATCTCTGAAGAATCTGTTGACTTCTATTACACTACTTGGAATTTACTCTCTGCAGGATATCCTTCACTCCCACAATGGGGGACTCGGTTTATACTAGTTATCCTCCCCAATTGAACCCCGCACAGAGGGACTTTCTCGTGAAGACAATCAAGGATTGGGCTACGCAGAATGGCTTGGTGGTTCGGCCTTCGCCTATGTTCATACAAAAGGAATCGGATCCAAATGGGGCACTGGCGACGAATGCTCCAGTGACATTGTTCCCGAGTCCGTTCCCGAAGGCTTGCTTCGAAGAGGCCGAGGCATTGCAGACTGTATACAACAAGCTCTATGCCGCGATAACATGTAATGAGGAATGGCTGGGAAAGATTATGGAAGAGTAAGGATTCTGAGACTTAGTTTGAATGCAATGCTGCCTTTTGGAGTGTCTCACCCGTGAAATGTTCTGGACTAAAAGATCGCCTGGCCTGTAGTCTCATCGACGTTGACGACTTTATCTCTCGTCTGTGGAAGGTTCACCTCTCGGTTCAGAAGGAGGGTTATGCTCAGACATTATCACTTGGCCTGTATCGGTCCGACTACATGCCCCATTCTCCGGCAAACGCGACCTCTCCATCTCTGAAGCAAGTCGAGTTCAACACCATTTCGTCCTCATTTGGCGGCCTATCGTCTCTTGTGCGAAAGCTACACTCGGAGCTCCTTACTTCTCCGCCGGGCCATCCTATCTCGTATCCTCCCCATCCTTTATTTCAATCGAATATTCCTCCGGAGAACACTGCTGTCGAGACCTTATCGGCAGGACTGGCCGCAGCACACACTGCGTACGGACCCTCCAAATCCAGCCCAGCTCTTCCTACGTGTATCCTGTTTGTTGTCCAGGATAATGAGCGCAACATATTTGATCAGCTCGCCCTCTCAAAGCAACTCAGCACCGTTCATAAGATACCCGTATTTCGACTACTCAGCACCGAGGTCTTGGACCACACATCAATCCCTACTTCAGATTCTTCCCGGCCATTGATATACCGGCCCCCTCATTCGCCAGACACGCCATTTGAAGTGACTACAGTATATCTCCGGTGCTTCTATGCCCCGACTGATTATACCTCCGAGCGTGACTGGGAGGCACGGACACAGCTGGAGCGCTCAGCAGCGATTAAGTGTCCCACCGTGCTAAACCAGCTCGCTGGTTGCAAGATTGTACAGCAAGTACTTGCAGAGACCACGGGCCCCGATCACCTTGCAAACTTCTTGGCGGACACTGATCCAGCCACGGTCGCTCGATTGCGGGATACATTTGCACCCCAATATGACCTTTCTTCTAGCGGGCGTGGCAGAGAATTGGCCCTCAACCCCGAGACGGCATCAAACCACGTCCTCAAGCCGCAGCGCGAAGGAGGGGGCAACAATGTCTACAAGACCGCCATTCCCGAGTTCCTTCGATCAATTCCCGAAGATGAATGGAAGCGCTGGATCTTGATGGAACTGATTGCTCCGCCGGCTGAAGCTAAGAATGTGGCGTTGAGAAGTGACGGCGAAGTCCTGAGTGGTAATGTCATTGGGGAATTGGGCATTTATGGAACCATTCTCTGGGACCAGGCCAACGGAAAGATCTTGCAGAATGAGCAAGGCGGATGGTTGATGAGAACCAAGGCCAAGGATGTCAACGAGGGAGGCGTGGCCACTGGGTTCTCTAGTTTGGATAGCATTCTTCTTTTCTAGGTCTTCCTGCATGAGTGTGTCATTTAATCCTGCTTTTTTCGTGAAGACAACTTTCTAAATCACCAAACCCCATCATCAACTGTATCAGGGATGCAGGGGAAACCACCGAATCAGCTATACATTTCCAGGCCCTTGAATTCGTAACAAATCTACCATACAGGCTCAGTAACAGCACGACTATCATTTCAAGTAATCACTCTCCGTCTCGTCACCTCATGTAGTTCGACGATATCGGTAGTACCCAACTACCACGCATCGGCCTCCTCACCACCATCCTCACTAGTACTCTCACGAGCCCTCTTCCGCCGCCACGCCTCCGGCAACTCCTCCACAGGCAGAGACCCCCAACTCCCCAAACGAAGCTGCGCCGCCCTCTCCGACAGCTGCCAGAACAAGCTCATGGCATCCCCAATCCTCGGACCAGGCACGTGAGCCTCCCTTCCATCCAGAAACAAGTCAAGCGGGTAGTACACCGGCACACCATCCAGCAGGGCTCCAGCCCGCAGCCTGGTCGGAGCAGACACACCGCCGGGTCCCCGCCGATACTCGATGCGCATGGTGGTATTGTACTGGAGCTGGTCGGGCGACCAGCGCGCCACGCGCTCGACTTCGCGTCGGCCGATGGTGCTGCAGCGGGTTGTCCAGCAGGAGAGGCCGAGCGGGTGGCGGCATTCGCGCTCGCGGCGCATGCTGAGGGAGTTATCGTGCGGTCTTTCGTGGGGCGGGACGGGCATGCGCGCCTTGATGTCGCGGTATGTGAGGCGGGGGTCGGTGCGCATCCAGTACTCGAGGAGCCAGGCGACGGGCCGGATGGAGATGTAGCGGGGGAGGAAGGGGAAGTTGCGGAGCGGCTGGCCGTCGTGGTCTTTGATGACTTGGCCGTGTTCGGTTAGGTCTTGGAGCGGTGGGAGGTCGTCGGATGCGGGAGCTTCCAAGCGGAAGAGGATTGGGGGGAGGTTGCTCTCGGAGTATGTGGCATGGGGGGCGTTGATGCAGGTGTGGTAGGGGCCAGGGGGGGAGTTATCTGGTTGCTGTTAGTTCTGTCTTGTAGTGTGGTGAGACATTTGTTATACTGACGATGACAGGCAAAGTGTTGTGGAGCTGAGGGATAGCTGTTAGCTTCGTAACACAACAGTAACAAGAGGCATCTACCTACAAGAAGAGATACTACTGTTGCTTGATGACATCTTTCTGAGGCCCTCAATAGGATATACAAAGTTGATGATTCAGAGATAGATCTGAGCAGTAACCAAAGTGTTATAGAGCACCACAAGAGAAGAAGAAGATGATGATATTCTAGCGATTTATACCTGGATCTTTGGATCGGTTGTGAATGAACAAAAGTGAAATTGCTATATTTATCGATCATGGTGAACAGCTCTTGAGAAGTCTTGGGTGTTCATTACCTTTCACTGAGCATGACACATTGAATTGCTTAAGTGTATATTACTTGATCAGGGAGCATAAGAGAATGAGTCTCTAATCTCCCCAATATACCCATGTCGAACTGGGGGGGAAAATCACTAGCAGTGACACTGTGTATGTCCTGAACGATATGATATTACATCTCATGACATTGATCATCGAATTTAGACTCTGTTCAAAAAACATCTATGTTCATCAATTACCTTATTTTCTACTTGCATCCAATAGACTACAGCAGTCAGTGCTTGGAGTCTATACTCGAAATTGAGGACTCTTCACTGACATTAGAGCAGAGCTACTTATGGGAAGTCTGGAGTTCATGATGAATTCACTGCCTCTAGCTGGACAGGTACATGATAGGCTGTCAGATATCTATCTCTCTGTGAATGTAAAGCCTCACACTTAAAAAGCAAAGGATGCCAGAGATTCAATACCATGCGGCCGCTGTCCCAAAGAGGAAAGCCCGTGTCCATCTCATCACGTTATCTGCAAAACCCTTGCTTGGCAGACAACCTTATCTGAACAACAGCTGTCCATCTCGGTATCATGAACACAGGAAAGCAACATTTTTTTAAAACGGCCATTGAAACAAGGATATGAAGGGGGGAGAAAGCCCAAATCAGTAATGAACATGAGAAACAAAACAAGTCCAAGCTCAAGGCAATTGCAATTGCAAACCAGGAACAACCCTGAAAAGACAAACTTCCGTAAACAAATGACGAGAACATGAGAGACGCAACACAAAAGTTCATCAACAAACGGATCTGATGAGGGCAAAGAAAAAATCGAGACAAAGTTAGTTTGTGTTTGTTCAGATGAACCCGGGAACATGTGGCATTTCGAAAACAAATCGACGTTCAGTGCGATACTCGTCAAGAATCATTTTGTCAAGATTCCTGCGCCAGGCTTCACTCGATTCTGGTTTGTATCGAATGGGGAAGTTGATTGGCTCAAGCCCAAAAGAAGGGGGGCGGTGACTGATCGGATGTGGTGTGGTTTGGGGGGAGGCAACCCGGTCGGGGATTTCTTCAAGGTCAGAGGTACTAATGATATCCCCATTAGTGCATTCGAAATCGCAGAATGATCGAGACTTCTTGAACGGGGAGCGGCGTTTGACCTTCAGTGCGGAGGTCGTTCTGAGCGCCTCAGAAGTCTGTTCGGGTAGATCAAAGGCTTCTTCGTCAGACGAAGCCAAGTCAGGCTCATTTTGACATAGAACCGGGAAGTTGGCAGTCGTGGAGAGATATTCATCCGTGAAAAAGTCCATGGAAGGCGAAGAAGGTTCTCTCGAAGAAGTAAGCGAGGCCTCTCGTGGAGTAAGAGGGGGTCTGGCTGCAACAAGATCATTGAAAGAGAGGTTATCATCCTCGTCCAAGAAGCCTGATTGGGATGTGGGTTGGGTGGAAAGGGCATCCTCAGAGGACTCGTCACTAACAGATGCATCGTCCATGGGTACGTCTTCCTCACGCTCAGGGGCTTCCTCTATAGCTGGTTGCGCTACGAGCCCGTGGTGGCCTCGCTTTCCAGTGCGCCAATCGTCGGGGAGGGGAATGCGGCCGCCAGCTTCGCCGAGTTCGGGATGGATGAGACCGGGAGTTAATCCTCGAGTCGAGTTGCCAGCCGGGTCAATCCCGTTGGCCTTCATCTTGGCAACAAGGATTTCCTCCAGATGGAGGCTGGCTTTGTTCCCAGATCCCCAAGCAATGAGATTGAAATCCTTTCGGAACCTGACGTTCCGCTGCTGAAGAGCGTTCGTTTTGATACCGAACCCCTTCGTCATGCGATCCGTGATATCATGGAGCTGGATTCGTCGATCAAGACGCATCCAAGCTTCCACACGAAATTCCTCAACATCGGAAGAGATACGATCAGGTAGAACCGCGAAATCTTTCATAGACTTGCCGTTGATCTTTCTAGCTCTGGGCGGCTTCTCCGTACCCTTTCGCTCGTTTTCCTCCGTTGGTTTGAGCTGGTACAGAATATCTGGGAGATTATTCCAGGACCAGTCCTTCTGATCAGCTTTATAGCTCGTATAGTTATGTGGATTTTGCGCCCTGGCGACCCCCTTCTCTGTAGGCTTGGCTACTCCGATGTTAGGTCCAGCTTCGAAATTCAGCTAAGCATTGCTTCACCTCTGCTGTCCTTCACTTGTCTGGAATACTTTGAGTGCTTGGATCTCTTGTGACTTTTGTGACCCTTCAAAGCCTTGGAAGACTTTGCCAGGCTCTTCTTGTTCGCCATTCTAGTCTCTGAGCTAGTGTCAACCATGCAACATAAGAAACCGCCAGCTGCTTCTTACCTCGCGACGGATGGCGGTTCTTTTGCAGTCTGTACGTTGAGCTTTGTGAGAGAAAGATGTATTGGAGCAAACCAACTTCTGAGATGAACGAAAAAGAAGTATCGACACAGAAAGAAAAAGGAAAGAAGAGCGGTCTGCTAGAAGAGGAAGCGAAGAAACAATTCCGAGACTCCATATTGAATATCCACTGCATGACTATTCTTCCCCAGCTTCTCAATAATCCGGAGGTTGGTATAGTCGAGCTGGTCCAGCAAAGGTTGGGTGTGTTCTCGCGATAGAACCGGTCAGTGAGGGAATATTCCCTCAATCTGCCCACGCCAGCATCTGTCTCCCTCGCCTCCTCTGCCAGCACCTCGAGATAGCGATTCCACACGCAAACCTCAATCTCTCTCTATGAAAATAAATCCTCAGTGACCGCTAAATTTCGCTCTTGAATTTGATACCAAAGTCGCCCATGCTCCTCTCTCTTGTGATGTCGCCGCCGCTACGTACTGCTGAAGCCTCAACGACACGCGCATCTGGCAGGTCCTCACTGACAGCCTCGGATCCACCCAGCGCCAGCGCTGCAGGTACACCACGAGGAGGCTGGAAACGTTTCTTCTAACACAGCTTAGAACAACGCCATCCATGCGACGATCTCTATTGGTTGTGCTTAGCCCACTAACGCTGTGTTGCGACAATAGAGTAGGCTTTTGTAAGGCGAGATGAGACGTCCTTTATGGGTCTATTGTTCGCTCGGCTGATCATATTGTTGGCTGTGAAGATCCCATTCAGGGCTCCCAACGGTGAATAGGTTCGCTTGCTCGTTCGAAGACAGGTTCAAGGCGTTGGACTGGTAGATCTGCATCGAAAACTGCTCATCGTGTGGGCCTCTATTGTGGGTTGAGGTAGAATAGATGCCGAGGAGGCTGAATAGGTTTTGCAGTGTCTTCTTGGAGGGACCTAGTAAGTCATTCTGTGAGCGGAAGAGGCACGATGAATAAGAGTCGGTTGGCCCCATTTGTAGCGGTTACTGTCACTCTTGCATGACCCTGGGAAGGTGCGCGTGACTCGCATACGAAATACAAGTAAGACAAAGTGATTGTCCTTTTCCGAGGATCGGATTTGATAAATTGATCAACTCAATCAAAACCTGCATGCTACTCTGGTATCTGAGAAGTAAAGCTTGTAGTTGCCCACATGCATAAATCATGTCCCAGAGGTCCGCTCGACAGTGACCCAAGTACTCAAGACAAAAACAAATTGAAGAAAAATCAACCCCACAGTATCCCAATTGTCCATCCCTCGTATAGAAGACTTGCCTTCGGAAAGCAAGACAGCAGAAGCCTTCGAGTCATCAAGAGGACCATGGCGTGCCCTGATCAACATCCTAAATGACAGTCTCCCAAAAGACATTACCGCACTTCAGACCCTTACCCGTCTCTGGGGAAACAATACGTCTGCGTTTCGGGCTATCCTCTCCGTGCACCAACTGAGTATCCGTCTGCTCGTCGTTCTTGCGCTTGTGACTATTTTCAGTGTCCGCCGAGATCTCAATGCTCGCTTCAACGTTATGGCTTCGCTTGTAGTTGGATTTGAGAATGCCGAATTCATCGATATCAGATTCCTCAGTATGTGCGCGCTGCAAATTGGTATCATCGTAAATGTTGCTGTAACCGCGCAGAAGCCAAACCTCGTAGGACATTTGGCTCTTTTCAAGATATGTCTCCAAGGCCATACTGCATGTAGCATTGTCATTCTCATTACCATCAACTTCATCCTCGATAGTAGTAAGCATTTCTCCGCAGGTGGTTAAGTCCTCTGGGTCTGGGTATTGGAAGTCCGCAGCGAAAGAGTCCCAAGGATCTCCTGTAGAAAATGTAGTGGTACTACTCGAAGTCGAGGCAGTTATTAGAAATTTGAAAAGTATAAAGTAGATAAAAGGTATTACCTGTCCACTGAAGTACCATACTGCCCACCACACTGTCCTTGCTCAAGACAACCGCAGTGGCCGTGACTCTTGCAGAATATACTCCGCTCACAGCTCGTAATAGAAGCAAGAACTTTCTGGGGAGTTGGGATACGCCCTCCGGCTTCTCCCATGGAAGGATTAAGCTGACCAGGCGTCAAGCCTCTGGTGGAGTTGTTCTCGGGGTCAATCCCCGCATCCTTGAGCATTCGGTCAAGAGTCCAGATAGACTTCTGCGACCCCCAATTGGCGACATGAAAGATGCTTCGAAAATTCTCTCTGCGGAGCTCAATCTCATCAGCAGTCAGTCTGTATTTGGGATTCACACGGTCGATGATATCTTGCTCCGTGATGCGGCGGTCCATACGCATCCAAGCCTCCAGCCTCCACCCTTCAACTTTTGAAGATATTTGGCAAGGAAGGACCGAGAAATCATTGGTTTCCTTCCCAAAGATTCTGTCGCTGGCTTTCGGGACACGATGCCTCGATTTGCGGTAATCGTGCCTGGGTCTCAGAACGTAGAGGATATCTGGTAGGTTTTCTAGGCTCCAGGCTCTCTGGTCACCATGAGGAGCAGTTTGATTGTCTGTCTCTGCTGGGCCATGTGTTATGAGGAAGTCGGTCATACTTTTGCCCTCTAAGCTCTGTTGTGAATGGGGCGTGCCAAGGGCTTCACGCTCGTCGACATCAGGCTGGGAAGTAGAAGGACGAGACGGGCTGAAAGCGTTGGAATAGGAATTCGATACAAGCTGTGCGATTGATATTGGAGAAGGGGTAGGAGTCCTAGGCTCAGAAATAGGTCCATCTCGTGCAAAGGACAGGGATGAGTCTAGGGCAGGCACACCCTGAGCAATCGAGATAGAAGACAATCCCACGTTCCGACGAGTGCGAGAGTTCGGCGGGTTGTTAGGGTCACTGGGGAGTCCAGCGCTCAAGCTCGAGTGTGAGATGGGAATTCCTTTGAGTAGAGGTGATGGGGGCAACCCGACTCTTGCATGAGAACTCGTATCTGCAACATCTCGACGACTAGAGAGAGAAGATAGACGGACCCTTGGGGATGAGGACTGAGAGCTTAGAGGCGGGAGGTGAACAAGTTGCGGCACAGGTAGAGTGTAATGGCTTTTATGCTACAGAAGAATAATCAGTATCCTCTTGATACCACAAATATTAGAAAACTTGACTATGGCGTCCGTCTAGTGGCAGACACTATGTTGTGTCTAGTCACTGTTGGGTTAGTATTCACTTACCCTGCTAGGCCGGTTAGGCAACGGATTTCCTTGCTGCAGTCTGGTATTGATCCTTATGCCGGAACGTAGTCCTGTAACATGGAGATTGTTATTATCACGGTGGCGTCTAGGAGTGTGTCCCAGTCTGGCGAAAGAGTCCATGAGAGGGACTGAGTTGCAAAGTCTTCAAAGCACTGCAACTTGGCGGTCATTCCCAGGCTGTTCAGTATTTGCAGAATAATTGATTATAGAATAAGGAGTCTATTGGATGTGATCACTCCAGTCAGTCAGTGTTCCCAATGCAATCACAGTGTCGGTCTCGAGGATGGCTTACAAAGATAGTTGACAGTGAATGTTGATGAACACAGATAATAGAGCTTGACTAAAGATACAAAGAGCCCGAGTGGATAAGAGTGAAGGAGGGAGACTAGAGGAAGGTGTTTCAAAACTAAGAAATATACTCAAGAGGCGAGTCAACGCGTCGCGAGAGATGCTGGTGACATCAAAGGTGAGTTGGAATGGTTAGTGCAACACTTCACATACACGAGTTCTCGTTCTTCTCCCACCTGATAGACGATCTCATTCCTCTATCTGCTATGCTATGGCCCTGTCACTCTTTCTAAAGAAGCTTGTAGAGTATTACTTGAGGCCTAACGTGACCTTAGAATTTCCCTCGATGGGCCACCTCACCTGTTGTTCGAGATGCCAATCAAAGCTGTGAAACTTGCCTTGAAACCCCCATTCTATTTCCGCTCATATTCTTAGGGCATTGCAGACTATGAGACGTATATATCAGAGAGTGGCTGTATACCCAGTGGAAATTGCAATACTTTCACTGTTACTTCGATGATAGCTAACTGTTGAGTTCTCTCAGATACACGGCCCCGTCGTCTCAGCTGGATAGAACCCTGCATTGCATACAAGTCCACAATATGCGGTCAGATTAGTGTTGCAAGAGGAGCAAGAAGTAAAAGAGACGAGGGGAGATTGAGAGGTTGAAGACAGCCTGGGGTTATACCATGACAAGCGAGTAACTTGTTCCCTCAAACACAAAGAAATATATACATTCCAGCGAGCCAAGCCAGAAAATCCCATCAATTCCTCTCCATTGAATCTTCCACTCTTCAACATATCTTACCTACCATCGTCATTCAACCCACCTTAACTTTATACTCCTATTCAAAAGCCCAAGACCATCAATAATACACCCACAGTTGACCATGAGTAATCGCGCCTCGCCCCTCCTCCGACTCCTCGAAGACGCAACCACCAAATCCCGCAGCAAGACCACAACTCTCCCCAAGAAATACAGCCTACAGATCGCCTGCCACGTCAAGCCCAACGCCTCCAGTTCTCGGGAAGGCGTCGTAGCCATCGGCCCGGAGAAGGTGGACGTCTGCGTTGCCGCGGTGCCTAGGAACGGAGAGGCGAATATAGCCGTCGCAAGGGTGTTTGCTCAGGTTTGCTTTGTCTTGCTCTTCTATACCCTACCTATCATCTTCCCTTTCAAGATCCTTGGAAAGACTGACGGGGAATAACGTAGATCTTCGACGTGCCCAAGTCGAATGCGGAGGTGATCCGGGGGTTAAAGTCGCGGGACAAGATCCTCTGTATCACGGAATTGGGCATTGGGAAAGACAGCGAGGAGGAATTCCTTGAACGAGCGCGGCAGAGATTACACGAGGCCATCATCAAGAAGGAATAGACAGTCACCGTGTCTTCTGGACTGAGAGTCCTCGATACTCTCGCCATCAAAGTCCCGCTGAAGCCCCTTAGTTTGTGACATCACTAAGATCGGGGACATTTTCGTTATCGCGCGGATCTGCACCAACTTCTTTTTTTTTTTTCTCCAACACAACAGTGACAGTTAATAATACCAACCTCACACATACACAGGGACAGGACAGACCATAATACTCAAAATGACTTCAATCACATCCCAACCCACGCCCACACCCACACAACCAAACCCATCGACAACGACCCCCTCAAAACGCAAATCCCCCAACGAGACCAACACATCCAATCCCTCCGCAAAAGTCCTCCACTTCACCTCCCGCAACCCAGCCTGGACATATCTCAAACTCCAATTGTACAATTTCCCCCCTTCCATTCCGCAAGAAGCACGAGAAAAATGTCTATGCTAACCATCACATTCTCATTCCCAGAATCACCCACCCCTCCTCAACAACCACACCCCTCGACCCTCTCACCGCAAAAACCCACCTCACCGCCGCCCTGTCCCAATTCCTCGGCCTCACAGGCACAGCCATCCCCCTCGACATCCTGAAGACCGCGCCCGCGACATCCCACGCGCAGACCGTCTGGGTCCGCGTCCCGCGCCCGGACGCGCCGGCCGTCGTCGCGGCGCTGAGTTCCTGGATTGGGGGTGCGCAGGGGTCGGCGGCGCAGGCGGGGGGTGTGGCGTGGCGGGTGTGCGCGCGCGGCAATTATCTCGGTGCTGTGGTACGGGGGTCTGGGGCGGAGTTGTTTGTACCGTGAGGTTGTGTATATATGTGAGTGTTGGGGATTTAGGGTTGTGATTTGAGCTGGGAGTGTTGTTATACCCAATTTGAGATTTTTTTTTTTATTTCACAGATGAGTGGTGGATCGCTGATATATCGATTCAACTGAGGATTATAGTAGAGTAGAACCAGGGAGAGGGTTGAGGTTGAGATGAGCGCGAAACGCGCGAGAAAGAGAGAGATATGCCCTTATTCCAACAAAACACCAGACTCGCATGCACAGGACACAATGACGGAAAACAGGCAAACGAATGAACGACCCATGCCAACGCTGAGGAACTCGAAAACAATGCACCAAGATATACAGGCTGCCCAGAAACTTTTTCTATGGATCTATTTTCCCCAACAGCACCTCCTCGGATCAAACGGACTGCTTTGTCTTCAGGCTCGTATCCGTCCGAGACCGCACGCTCCCATCGTCGAAGAGGGTCGAGGAGTTCGACAGTCCCGTGCCCCTTGGTGAGGAGTTGGCGATGACCTTTTGGCGCAGCGCGGCCCGGATGTCCTCGACGCTGCGGGTTTTCCAGTCAACGTAGCCCTTCTTGCTGAGCGGGAAGAGAACGAGATTCTCGTCGCGGACGGTGAACTCGCCGACCTTGGGCGGGGGCGTGGCGGAGATAAAATCGAGTTCGACGGCGAGCTGGCGGCAGTATGTGTCCAGGGGGAGATCGTTGACGTCCTGCCCGAAGGGGTTTTCGATTTCGCTGCCGATGGTGGCGAGACCGAGGATGATATAAGCAGCGACTACAGGGGCAGTTAGGATTGATGTTTAAATCGAACGGGGGGGGAGTTCGAGGAATTGATGAGGACTACTCACCGATCGAGCCCGGGATGGTGACCCATTCCAGGGCGTTGTAGAGTTGGAACGGGAGCACCAGGACATAGATCCAGGAAATCTGCGCAATCGCGATGCTGTATGCAACAGGGAGGGGTGTGTCGAGAACACGCTCGGTACCGGTGGCGACCTCGTTCAAGCTACACAGAGCAGCAACTGGCAATGAGGTCAGCTCCTGTGCGGATGCCAACTCGGATCATGTATACTTACTCGCTTGACTCTGGTGGAGACTGACGGAAAGAGTACCGTTCGCAATGCAACTGTCAATGTAGGCAGAGAGATGATTGAGAATCTCCAGTGGCAGGTGGCCCAGTGGCTTCTTGGAACGCTTGATGAGCTTCCGGGGATTCGACTCGGCAAAGGAGACACCCAGATATTCACCGGCCGACTTCCAGGGGGTCTTCTTGCGGGGCATAAGAACTTCACGGTCGTGGGCTTCTTTGGCAAAGGTGTCGAGATGTCCAACCAGGCCAGCCAAGTCTTCGTAGGCCACGTCCGGTTCGAATCGCAGCTTATGCTTCAGGGCCACGGCAAACGCGAGAATGAGGTTCATGGCGGTGCTGCATCTGTTAGATCACCCAGTCCACAATAACCAAGTCGGTTCAAACATACAGTTTCCCCAGAAGATCCTCCTTTCCCAGCTCTCCTTCTCTCTCCGCAGTATTGACCCAGATAGTACGAGCGAGGTTGCGAGAAGTTTGGATGAGGAGAGCCCAGTACTTGCGTCCGTCTGCCCATCTATTGCACAATTAGCCGGGAAAAAGAAAATAACAGCAGAAATCGCATACCTCTCGTAGGCCGTGGAGCTTCGGAAGGAGAGCGCTAGACCGACAACGAAACCCAGGACAGTAAGTAGAATATTGTTGATGCCGACTAATTGGTTAATTGGTACGGTCAGCCATCGGATACAACCTACTGCTGTTCCGGTTGTTCAAGGCACTCACGATTATGTTTGAACCTTGAGATACATGTGATCAGAGTGGACCAGGCGGCGACGATAAGCAACGGAAGAATCAACTTGGGCAAGACACTGCCATGCATCCGAAGAAAGGCCGGCCATTTCGAATGCTTGTCGAGGTCTCGGGGTCCGTGCTATGCATTCGAGTGCGCAGTCAGTGCATCTGATATCCCGAGACGAGGGGAGCAGAGACATACAAAGTAGCTATCGAAATCATCGGAGCGGCGTCGGTGGAACATGAACTGGCTTTCACGCGAATCGGCCAAGTTTTCGAGAAAGGTCGGACGGGGAGTGACCCGTTCCGGCTCCTTTTCTTCTTCATGGTGGGCCACTTGTGGATGATGGGCAGCTTGCGAGTGAACGTTTGCCTGCACAGGGAGAGTAGGCTCGGTCGATGTGCTTGCAGCGTGAGCTTCGGCGGGTGGGGCAGCCGCTGCGTGTCCGTCCATGGTGATTAATTATCTTTGTGTATCTTTTGTGTGAAGGAAAAGAGAGGTCGGATAGAGAGGTCAAGGGAAGAAGGAGAAGAACGAGTGTCGACAGATGAGTAATAATAATAATAATGATAAGAAGAAGAAGAAGAAGGATGATGAGCGAGAGCAGACAGCTTGTAGCCAGACAAGCCGATGATAATGAAATGAGCGTCCAATGCAACGCGCGTAGAAAGAGGGAATAATCGAAACCGTTTTGAATGAAGAAAGAATCGGAGGAGAAAAGATGGAGAAGGAGATGAATGTGACTAGTCTAAATAATCACAATTCACAAGTGATATGATACTAATAATATTAACCATAACTGTCTATGGATGTCTATGGATCGTCCTCTAGTTAGTTACCAGTTACCAGTTACCAGTTACCAGAAGGGAGTCTGACTGGGCCAAGCAAGTAGTCTACACTCTATAGAAGATTATTACTCCGTAGTGACCTAATAGCCTGGTAGGATTTTTTTTTTATTTTTGTTTTTTTTTCTGTGCTCCCACGGTTTACTACCAAGGTAACTCTGTCCCTGCAGATGATGGACTGATTGGATGCATCTCATCTCATCTCATGCTGCCTCCATATATCTATCTATCTACTTCCGTAGATTGTAGATAGTCCCCAGCTCTCCTCCTGATCTGTTCATCATCCTCGTAACTTTGACCAAGTCGCACACAGACGCCAGAGAGACAGACTCCTTTTGTTTCACACTGCGCCATGCGGGTCCAAATTGTCCAGAAATGTCAGCACGGGAACTGCCGTGACTGCTAGGAACTGGTTCTGATAGGCTCTAATCATGGGACACTAATGGGACGTTGTTCTTGTCAACCAAGCCACGCTGCAGTCTAGGCCTTTGATGCGTTGTCATTGCACGAGTCAAAGACTGCGAAAACTTCCCGCCTGAAACACGTTGAAATCCTGAGGACGGAGGACTGGCGAAATGTGCCATAAATATCCTTCGCGCTCCGGTAGCAAAAGGGGGCGCGCGCTACAAACGCCTCTGCCACTTCATAGTTCCTCCTCCATCCAACAACTCTCTAGCTACTCCGTACTTAACTATCTATCCATGGGGATTATGGGCAGGGAATAATAAGAATGATGTATGTCTACTGTCTAGACTATGATCATAATAGAGCGATTGAGACTGGAGATTGAGCACAGTTGAAGAGTTGGATTGGGGGCCAGCCTAAGGCACCACGACTGTCTGTGCTTCGGCTGAGTACACCGTCAGCTTCCTTTCTCCCCCTTTTACAGCCTGTGTTAAATTATTGAGGCTCGAATGCATTGACCTGGGTTCATCATTACTGGACAATCCCAGTCTTGATAACTATAAGTCTATAATTTATAAGAGCTGGTACCAACTGCAACTTGCCAACTGTCGAGGAGTTAAATAAGAACCCCCAGGATTTCGGTCTCGCCGGTCCCTGTCCGTGGTGTAAGATGTGACACTGACACCAGGACAATTGACAACTCACAGCACTCAATTCCTTTCAACCCTTGGACATGCAGGTCCAAGTCAACGTCCATGCGTAAGTAACCCTGTCAGAATCAGAAGCAATCCCTGAGAAGAGAAAAGTTCGAGGGTTTAAGAACTATTGCGCTGTGTTCTTGACAGTGGATCTGCCATTTCACAATCTTAGCTGTTGGTACTCGCTGAACCATAGGACTCCCCAAATGACCACGCAGCTCTGAACTCTTACCTTCTCTTGAATTCAATCTGAAGTCAATACCGAAAAAAAAAAAGGCGGCGAAGTGGATCGGCAGGGATTTGCCAGTCGTGTCAGTGTCAGCTCTCCACGACTGACGAGTGACGAGTGACGACACACATACTTTTCAGCCTCCAGGAACGAGGTGCAGATTCAGGAACCTTCGCAAGGGTGCAGACTGCAGAAGGATGAAGCCATTTTCTGCAGGGTGCGTCTGTGCGAAAGAATCAGCCTTGTTGACTTGACTCAACCACCGTAAATACTATTACGATCTAACGGACACTTTTATAGTCCATTGACAGGATCGATATCACGTGGAATTTAAGAAAGGTGTCCCATCCTGGCGCTAGAGAGCGGCATGAATACGAGAGAATCATTTGATTCTGCGGAGTCTAGCGGAGGGTGTGACTAAAATACCTGTGCTTATCAATTGGGCATCTCGCTTTTACGAGATATCAGTTTATTTGTGTGATTGGAAAAGCTTGCCCTGTGCATATTGGGTGTTTTTGTTTTTTTCCACTCCACTCAACTTCTTAGACCAGTGTTAATAATTAGGTATAAGATGCATCATATCAATCCAGTTTCTAACCTGGCCCGAGGATGGAAATCTCAGCTACTCTTGCGGCGGGGACGAAACAAACATAACCTGCGATCGAAGTATGATTTTTTACTGGAGACCTATAATAAGATAAGGAGTCACGTACGTCCCAGAGCAGTGATCTGGTTAAGCCGAGCACTTGTTATGCCTTCGGAAATGCTCTAGCCCCTGCAGCTCCCCAAGGCTCATCAGGTAGGTTGACCACAAGCAGAGCATTCCCACGGATAGAACAGTAGAATCATCGTGCTCGTCTTGCATGAGACTATGATATTACTGGCCGGCAATGAGCTGCATTGCATCGATGAGTAATAAATTCTGCCTAGTTGGCAGGTTGATCTAGGAGATGGAGGAGTCCTCCTAGTATTGAGCAGGTGAGCATGTTGGAGTCAAAGATATCTCGAGGAAATAACCCTGATGACAACCTCGGTTTAAGCAACAAGCTTTCGCCCATTAATGGTCTATTCAGAACGGAGAGCGAACTTGACCTTTCATCTCTCAAGGAGCGATTCAACGCGAATACTTCCGATCAAACCTCTGGGGGATCGACAGCCATCGTGAACCAGTGAACTTACGATCATCCACGATTGATAGTCTATTCTGGAGCCAACCCACCGCGCTCTGAACATTCCTCAAAAATTGAACCGGAGGTTGTTGCCTCGGGAATTTCAGGCATTTCAGGCATTTCGAGCCGGTATCGAGGATCAAGTTTGAACTCTGTACTCCTTTGTTCGTGTGTTATATATAGACGTCTGGCTTCGTCAACTTCTCGGTCACTGTGGAGTATGTAACTGGAGTTGGATATACAAAACAATGTAGCAACTGTATTTGTAAGGATCTTGAAGGAATCTTCAGAGTATGAGGATCGAGCAGCTTGGCTTTGACCATGTCTCCGATGACTCCGGCGTGGAGCCGTGGACAGTGGACATAGAGCAGGTACCAGGAGTCCAGGACAGATTTTAATATGGCTCCAGTCCATGGTTTGATATCTTTGGTGATTGGATACCCAGTTATCAAAGTGTGGTGAACCGGACTGAAAACTATGAGAAAACCAAGTAATGGCCGAAATAGCTCTTTACATGATTTGCTGGAACTCAGCATCATAAAGCCAGTCCCATACCTGATCAAGTATTCAAGTCTGAATCCCTTGGCTACGGTTAACTCCCCAATGGCATACTTTCAATAATATAGGTTTCTGTCAACCGAGAAGGAGAAGGAATAGACTCGGTATATCTCTGACGACTACTGTCATGGATATGAGTATCAAACAAGCTAGGCAGGGGACTATGTTGGTAGCCGAACGCCTCAACCAGATTTTCATTCCTTCTAGACTCATTTGGATCTGCCAAGTGCCATCATGTTATGGGCTATGGCTTGGTAGGACTGGGAGATAGATCATTGTAGTGTATGGTGATCGGACAGTATCGCGAAAGGCCGGAGGACTTGACGCATGACTCGAGGGGCACAATGTAGCAGTAATCAGTACCATGGAGCGATATCCATAGCTAAATATGTACTGTGTAAGCGTTGAGAACTTGAGTCAAAGTCCAAGAAAACCCTAAGTGCCGGGGGGGTTCCACGGAGAAACAGCGGAGTTCGCTTATAGATAGTGAGTTCAGCTAAGCTATCTAGATTCTAGAGGTTGAAATGACGGTCAAGGCTCAAGCAGAATCACCTGGAACTGAAGGATATGTTAACCACAGCAAGATGATACGCGAGGATTGAGTGTACTGTGTAATGTCCGCAATCCACATTCCTCCATCGTGCGCATTCCACGTTGTGGGCACGAGCCTACGAGGACTGCGGGGAAGTAATTAATAATATGTGATGGAAACCAAAATCGAACCATCCATTTTTCCAGATATCTAAGGTAGGTAGTAGGTAGTAGGTAGTAGTGGTTGATTCTTGTGTGAAATCCTTGCTAGACCACTTTCGCACTTTTAGGTCCGTTTCTCCTGGTCTTATGGGTAAGGCAACCAGGCCACTAGATAGTAGATACTCACTATGGATCATTAAGACATACGTACTCTTTTCAAATGTGAAACTCACAGTCACAACGATTGTCAATCCTTTCAACCTATGCACGTCATTCCAGTAGCCAGATCACTACTCTCAATGCTCACTGCTGCATCACACCGAGACAACATCATTGGCCAAGTCTTATCGGCTGCGAAGATCTAACGAGCCACTACCAACACGACCTTCAGGGATCGGAAATTTCTCTTGTCCGTCTTCGCATGGGGAAGCAAGACCGTCCCAACCCTGGTCGCTTAATCTCTTTGAGTTTTGAATCCTGAGATTGTCGATACTTGGTATCAATCTGATTCAGCGCTCGACCGTGCTCCACACTGTATTGTTGAGATGGTCCATTCTCAGAGTCAGATCTCCCTGTGGAGTCGCACCTGAACGATGCGTCCCTGACTCCCTGAAACTGCTTATAGCTGATTTCAATCTAGTTAGGTACTCTCGTGCCCTGGTTACTCTCGGAGATGCTACCGTTTTCGCACTCGCACATCGACTCGTTTATGGCTAGATGTGTGCCTCGATCTGGCTTTGCGGTGGGCTCCGCCGGCCCAGCATAATATAACAACAACCATGGCCAGCCATCCTCGCCTTGTGCGTTCGCTAGGGGGTTCTCATCCGTCGTCACTTTGGACGTCGCTCTCAAGATCCCAACTCAGGTTACGAACTCACAGAGGGAGGGTCTTGGTCCTTGAGCGCCGCTTTGCTTCTAAATGACCTGCTCAGCCATATCCACTACGCCTTACTTACTTGAAGATGACGCATCGGATTACCACGCTTCCATCGCATCGGTGACTGTGACTGTGACTGTGAGCTGGCTGGCGCTCTCCTTCCTCGACCTCTACAATTCACATCCGCCCTCTCATCGTGTTGTGGCTCGATCAGCATCGAAGCAATGAGACTCCCACCCCTCGAAGTTCTGGCAACATGGCCGGTACCCAACTATTAAAACCCTCCGACACGCGGGAATGGAGCCCTCGTCGTCAACATCGTCTGCCTGTGCCTATCGTTCGTGGTGACGGCTCTTCGCCTTTTCACCCGCCTGACGATCACATATAGTCCGGGTATGGATGATTTGTTCATAGTTATCGCTTTGGTATGTTGAAACCGCGCAAATTGATTGGGGAGTGGATCCTGATTATGCCAGGCCTTCGCCATCGCGATGTCTGTTATGACCTCGGTAGCGACGGAGCATTACGGCTGGAATCGACACCTCTGGGATGTGCCATTCACCTGGCTCCCGACTATTGCAAAACTCAACATCTCCTTCCAGATGATGTTCTCTCTATCCTCCGCGTTCACCAAGCTTTCTCTCTTGTGGTTTTGCAAACGGCTTCTCGGGGCCGGAAGTAAAGGTCTCTATCGAACCTACAATTGGTGTCTGATTGGGGGGGTGGTCTTTGCCGCCTTGAGCTCCGCCGCCTTCGTACTCGTCAGTGTCTTCCAGTGCAGGTAAGATGACTGAGGCTTCGACGCCGCCTTTCTCAATGGCTGATCTTCTATCGCAGGCCGATACGTGCGTACTGGGAAGTGGAGCCACAATATCCCCATCACTGCCTGGATGACGGAGCGATTGTCTTCTCTGCAAGCATGATCAACATCTTCACCGATTTCCTTGCCACCGTCCTTCCGATGCCGTTGATCTGGAACCTGAAGCTGCCCGCTCGTCAGAGGATTGCGGTGATATCTATCTTTGGGTTGGGAATTGTTGTGAATGTGGCGGGTTCCATCCGCACCGTATACGTCTGGAAGAGTATGGTCGCCTCGTACGACACCACCTGGGTGGGCTGGCCGGTCTTGCTCGCCGCGGCTGTTGAGATCAACCTTGGTCTGGTATGTTTTCTTGCAGCAATCGGAAATCGGCCCAAACGATGACAGCTGTGACTAACACGACGATCCAGATTTGCGCCTCTGCCCCGGCATTGCGCCCTCTCGTCGGATTCTTGCTTCCTCGCTTGCTGCAGACTTCCCACAACTATACCTCGGAAACCGGTCGCAGAAGCTACAAAATCTTCTCATCACACGGCGGCCCTTCGAAAGCCTCGCGGGTCGAGTCACGGCCCTACTACGGTGTGGAAGGCAGTCGCGGGGCAGAACCATTCGAAATCTTGCGGACGGTGGAAATGAAAACCTGGACCGAGTCGCGGGGTGCCGAGCATACGGATATCGACCACTACGAGCTATCATCCAGCCATGCGCGAATGGTGACTCCGACTACCCAGTTCGACCTGAAGAAGGGGGCCATGGTCTCCTACACCTCTCCAGTGACCCCCAAATCCTCAACCTCGCTGCACCGTGGCAAGACTGGCTCGCCTTTTGGTGACGAGAATTCAGTCTGAGGTGTAAACCCTCACCACCATGAAGTGACTCTACTATCTTCTTGTATTCTGTTGACGATTTTGATTATGACGTGGATTACGAACATTTGATCCAGCAGTTTACCCTCTGACGAGGTTATTGTTTTCTTATGATTCCTGTATATATATATATATATATATGTATATACACCCGAGATAGAAATTGCATCCTATTTGGGAGAAATAGCGGTGAAAGACGATGCCTAGGTACATACTGGGGTATACATTCTAGATGGGAGGAGGATAGTGTCCAGTCGCACTGGTTTAGGAAAGGCTGAGCAGCGTGTTTATACTTTATTCGCAGGCTATAGCCAAGATCAATATTGCATTGAGCGTTCGTCAGTTGACTTGCAATGGTTCCAGACAAGGATTGATATCGACCGGGACTGCTTATCACCTATCTTCTAATAATATCTATCTATCTATCTATCTACATATCTATTCAAACTGCCAGTCGGCATTCGGCATTCGTGGCAACCACACCTAAGTACCTTACTAGTAGGTAGTCCAGAGCGCAGTATGAATCAAAATCCCCTTCTCGGATCGCATTGTTATTCCCTTATTAACGAAAACCGACAGAAGCCGAACAATCGCCATCTCTCTTCCACATTTTTTTTCTTTTCCAACTCCCATATCTGCTTTTTTTTGTGTCGCCGACCGTGGACGGTGGCTGCGAGCTCTCCCATTGGCGCAAATCGCCGACCACAGCGATGACGCGCGGGGGGGGACGCTTACTCATTCAGTTCCAGCTCCAGCAGCGCTGCAGAGGGCGATAACCATTGTGTCACTGTTCACTGTATATAAGGGCGCAGATCCCGGGCATTAGGTTGTGATTTTAGATTCAATTCCATCTGCGTATAGTGTGTCAACCTTGTCGAAACTTCTTGTCTTTCTCTATCAATTGATCCAGAGTTTCAATCCGGCCTTTTTTTTGTCCCTTCGAGCTTCCGAAAGGCTCTCTTATCGCCGCTCCCCACACGCCTTTTATCGCAGGGCATTCTCCACCCTCCCTGGTATGCAACGATTCCTCGAAGCTTGAGCTCAGATCATCTCTGGTTCACTTCTCTGACTTGGCGTAGAATATCTCACATCGCAATGGCATCTCTTTCTCGATCAACCCTTCGGCTGCGCGCCGCTACCCGGCTCCCTACTGCAGTCCGCTCGCTCTCGACCACCCCGCACTTGCGAGCAGCGGCGAAGCCTTACTTTGCTGATGAACCCAGTGCTCCCACAGTGGCCACGGCCATCCCCGGGCCCAAGAACAAGGCTGCGACTGCTGAGCTGGACAAGGTCTTTGATGTTCGCAGCTTGAACATGTTGACGGATTACACCAAGTCCATTGGAAACTAGTATGGCCGTCTGACGTCGACGATTGATGCCCCCGAAAGCTAACATGGTCGTAGCATTGCTGATCTTGATGGCAATGTCTTGCTCGACGTGTAAGTTTCTGGATTCCCTTTGAAAGCTCGAACATATGCTGATGTTTCATGTTCAGATATGCTCAGATTGCCTCCATCCCCGTTGGCTACAACAACCCCCACCTGCGCCAGGTCGCCTCATCCCCGGAGATGATCACCTCGCTGATCAACAGACCCGCTCTGGGAAACTTCCCTTCGGCTGATTGGGCTGACATCTTGAACACTGGTATGCTCAGGGTCGCCCCCAAGGGTCTCAACCAGGTCTTCACTGCCATGGCGGGTTCCGATGCCAACGAAACCGCGTACAAGGCTGCCTTCATGTACTACCGTCAGCTGCAGCGTGGCGGCCCTCAGGTTGAATTCACCGAGGAGGAGGTCGAGTCGACCATGAGAAACCAGTCCCCTGGATCCCCTCAGCTGTCGATCCTCTCCTTCAAGTCTGCCTTCCACGGCCGTCTCTTTGGCAGTCTGTCCACCACCCGCAGCAAGGCCATCCACAAGATGGATATCCCCGCCTTTGACTGGCCTCAGGCTTCCTTCCCCTCCCTGAAGTATCCCCTGGAGGAGCATGCTCAGGAGAACGCCCAGGAGGAGCAGCGCTGCCTGCAGGAGGTCGAGCGTCTCATCAAGGAGTTCCACAACCCAGTCGCCGCCGTCGTTGTTGAGCCGATCCAGTCCGAGGGTGGTGACAACCACGCCTCGCCTGCCTTCTTCCAGGGCCTGCGCGACATCACCAAGCGCCACAACGTGCTCTTCATCGTTGACGAGGTGCAGACTGGTGTCGGTGCCACCGGCAAGTTCTGGGCCCACGACCACTGGAACCTGCAGACTCCTCCTGATATGGTGACCTTCTCCAAGAAGGCCCAGACCGCCGGCTACTACTACGGCAACCCCGCTCTGCGCCCCAACAAGCCTTACCGCCAGTTCAACACCTGGATGGGTGACCCTGCCCGTGCTCTGATCTTCCGTGGCATCATCGAGGAGATCGAGCGTCTCAACCTGGTGGAGAACACCGCGGTGACTGGCGACTACCTCTACGCCGGTCTGGAGCATCTCGCCCAGAAGTACCCCGAGCACCTGCAGAACCTGCGTGGTAAGGGCCAGGGTACCTTCATCGCCTGGGACACCCCCAAGCGCGATGCCTTCCTCGCCAAGGCCAAGACTGTCGGTGTGAACATTGGTGGCAGTGGTGTGGAAGCTGTCCGTCTGCGGCCCATGCTGATCTTCCAGCAGCATCATGGTAAGCTCGTCTCTTCCATCGATTATCAAACGATGAATGAATGAATTAATGCATGGTATACTAACTTGCTATAGCTGATATCCTCCTCGAGAGCGTCGAGAAGATCATCAAGCAGCTGTAAATGTCCATTGGCAGCATACTTGCATCCGTTTAGCACATTTGCAATTCCGGGCGTTCACGATTTGCTTTGAGCGGGTTTTTTTTTTTCTTTTCATTTTTTGCAGTTATAATGATGGAGTGGCCTACGTCGCATGAGTTACGCACAGAGGTCTTACTAAAACATAGTAATCGGATGATGCTCACATTTCCACTGAATATCTCTTTAGTATCCAAGTCGATAGATAGAAGACCGGGTATCTCAGCAGCGCTGATAAGAATGACCGATTAAAAATGACAGTTGCATCGCATGCTCTAGCACAGATCTAGAAAGCGGGATATTGAAGCCGACTCCGTGCGCAGAAACCCCATTTGAAAACCCAGATACCATGTACAAAACACCCAGAAACTCCCAAGCTCATGCCGCGAATGCCTTTCCCCATCGCCTTTATCTTATACTCCCAACTCAACCATAACCATCCACTTTCTCTTCCAGAAACAGAGAGAGATCGTCTATGGTCTATGCCTCCTCCTCAGCCGCGCTCCCATCCCGCCTAGGCAACCATAACCCGTCAGCGTCACTCCCACATAAAAAAAAAAAAAAAAAAAAAAAAAGGCCACAGGGACAGGACATACGGGATATACTTAACCCCCGAATCCTCCAAATTTGTAATAACATCGTCAGGAAGCTGCAAAAACCCCCCCAGCATCAGCATCAATCCCTTACCCTCCATTTCCACATCACCCCAGTAGAGGAAGGGAGAACTCACCGAACCAGTCACCTTCACCGCATACGTCCCCGCGACGTAACCATCCAGCCGCTGCCAGCGCGCCACCCAGCTCGTCGTCGGGTCGCGCAGCGTAACCAGGCCCTCGAAGACCTGCGACGTGCACTCCTGGATGGCGTCGTTGTTGCCGCGCAGGCCGAGGATGCTATCGCAGTTTGGGCAGCCTTCGCGCATGAATTTCTATTCCCGGGGGGAGAGAGGGGGTTAGTTGCTTTGCTTTGTTTTGTTTGATGAGGTGTTAGAAGGGGAGGGGAGGGAAAAGGACGTACGCTGTGGAGTTGGACGAGGGTGCAGACCATGCAGGCGCGGAGGGTGCGCTGCTGGCTTGGGGCGACGTAGAAGGACATTTGTGAGGGCGAGAGATGGATCTTTGGGGTTGCTTGATGATTTGGAGGTCGAAGGGCGAGAGAAGGAGAGGTGTGAGGTGTAGAAATCGATCGAGACTTGTTGATGGCAAAAGCGAACGCGGCCGAGAATCTTCGACGGGCGGGATTGCCAAGACCGGAGAAAATGGGCCTAAGATACGGCAACGGGAGAGAGTCTTTAATGAGGGAGCAACGCCGCCACGGAGGGAAGAAAGAAAAGAGAAAAAAGAACGGAAGTGAGTTGGAACCATAGAACAGCACATCGTGACTGTCCAGTCTCTCCTTTGTGTCTCTTTTTTTTTTCTTCTTTTTTATTCTATTATTCTATCCTTCCTTATCCTTTCGGTCTTTATTTGTTCGACCCTCCCCCTCGGTTCTTATACGCAACGCAGAAACCCCCCCACCCCCCGCAGCGTTCGTCCTCTCCCTTGTCGGTTATTCGGACTCGCTCTCACGAACCTCTCCAACCGATCGATTTCAATCTTCTTTTCCTATCACTCACTCCCGCAGATGGCTCAGTCCGATATCGAGGCCGCCACTGCGCTCAAGGTGCAGGGGAACAAGGCCTTTGCCCAGCATGAGTGGCCGGCCGCGGTCGATTTCTACACCCAGGCGATAGCAAAGTACGATCGGGAACCTTCGTTCTTCAGCAACAGAGCGCAGGTATGTGTTTGCGAGCGGTGGCGGAGTTGATTGCCCACGGATAATTGTGAAGGAGGTCTATGTTGAGGGTTGCAGGGCGCTGACCGGGCCTCTAGGCACATATCAAACTCGAGGCGTATGGGTTTGCGATCGCGGACGCCACCAAGGCGTTGGAGCTCGACCCTGCGTATGTCAAGGTTTGTGTTCCGTTAATGTTTGTTTCGGATGGAATCGATGGACATAACTGATGTCGTAGGCATATTGGCGACGAGCCCTCGCAAACACCGCCATCCTGAACTACCGCGACGCCCTCAAAGACTTCAAAGCCGTTGTGAAGCGCGAACCCAACAACCGCGATGCGAAGCTGAAGCTGGCCGATTGCGAGAAGCTGGTCCGACGGATAGAGTTCGAGAAGGCCATTGAGGTCAGCGATCCGCCGTCCGCGTTCGAGGACTTGGACATCGATGCGATGGCTGTGGAGTCCAGCTACGACGGTGTCCGACTCGAGAAGGAAATGACTCAGGAATTTATCGATGATATGATTGAGAGGTTCAAGAATGGCAAGAAAATCCACCGCAAGTATGCGTTCCAGATTGTCAAGGCTGTCAAGGACATTGTCTATGCGGAGCCGACGATGGTCGAGATTGGAGTGGATAAAGGGAAGAAGCTGACGGTGTGCGGTGACACGCACGGTAAGTCTCTTTTGAATCGTCTGATGATATCTTGACATCTTGAGCTGATCTTTCTTTCTGCAGGCCAATTCTTCGACCTCCTGAACATCTTCAAATTGAACGGGTACCCGTCCGAGACACACGCTTATCTCTTCAACGGTGACTTTGTCGACCGTGGCTCGTGGTCCACCGAGATCGCTCTGCTCCTGTACGCATACAAGTGGCTGCGGCCCGACGGTATCTTCCTCAACCGTGGCAACCACGAGACGGACGACATGAACAAGGTCTATGGGTTCGAAGGCGAGTGCAAGGCCAAGTACAACGAGCGCCTGTTCAAGGTCTTCTCCGAGTCCTTCTCTGCCTTGCCTTTGGCCACTTTGATTGGCAACAAGTACTTCGTGCTGCACGGCGGTCTCTTCTCCGACGACAAGATCACGCTCGACGACATCCGGAAACTGAACCGCCACAGCCAGCGACAGCCTGGCCAGCAGGGCCTGATGATGGAGATGCTCTGGACCGACCCCCAGACCGAGCCCGGTCGTGGACCCAGCAAGCGTGGTGTCGGCCTCCAGTTCGGGCCTGACGTGACGAAGCGCTTCTGCGAGAATAACGGTCTTGCGGCCATCATCCGGTCACACGAGGTCCGCATGGAGGGTTACGAGGTTGAGCATGACGGACGCTGTATCACCGTCTTCTCCGCACCCAAGTACTGCGACACAACCGAGAACAAGGGTGCCTTCATCAACATCGGCCCTGAGCTCAAGCTTGATTTCCAGGTCTTCGAGGCGGTGCCTCATCCTGATATCAAACCAATGGTACGTTGTTTTTATTCCCATTTTTAGCCCCTGTAGTTCAGGACCGAGGATGTTGTGCTGACAGTTGCCATAGGCCTACGCGCAGAACTCGATCCTGTCGATGATGTGAAATGACTCCGAATGATTTCAGCACTGGTTGGCGTTTGTTTCGGATAAAAGAGACGATCTTTCTCGTTGGTCAGAACTTAGCGACCTTTGGCTATCGAAACTAGATACTTCATATGGCTTGTATTTGGTTGGACTGAACGTGGTGGTGTATCTTTTCCTTGGAGATCGATGTTTGGATCACTTGCATAGCGGCACAATCATATACGATAAGAATATACCAAATTGTCCTTTCGCAACTTCCTTGACCTTGAGATAGTCAATTGCAGTATAGTGAACAACAGGATATCTCGTTCACCGGGCAATGATGCTGTGATGTAAATTTATCCGCCCGCTTCAACCCCGCGGGGATCGATCCGTCTCCTACATTCTTCCTGACGCTCTTCTCTCCGGCCACTATTTTCTCTTTCAAGCACCAATTTACCCCTCCTCATCAATCTTAATTTTCACCTCTATAGAGAGAAAGATGGAATACGACCCCCAAACCCGTACGTTTCCCCCCCGTCTTCCCAAGGAGGGGCACCAGTTAACCCCACCATCTTCTCCTCAGCGCAATACCTCACCTCCGATCCCTCCAGCTTCGGTTACGTCTCTGCCCGCGAGCGATGGCCGGTCATTATCGTACGTTCCCTCATCTCAGTCTGCGCGCTCATTAGCTCCCAGTTTCTGATCAACCTGCCTAGACCGGCGCGATCGATGATCTCCACCGCACGGTAGCCGACGTCACCGATGAGGAGAAACGCAAGGAGGGCAAGGCCATCATCGCAGAGCTGGCGAAGCTGAAATACGAGATCCAGCACGACAGGAAATTGACGTGAGTACCTTTGGCTGCTTCACACGCGATCCTAGGACGGTCAATTGATTGACTGCTTTTAATTGTTGTTCAGACCCCTTCCCGACGATGGCGAGCCCGGTATCGCCGAGTATAACCTGGAATTGGAGCAGCGGGGAACGCCCTCGTGGCTGAATGTGGCGTGGTTGTTCTCGGAGTGCTACCTTTGTGCGTTATCGATGGGTTACATAGACTGGGTTTGGAGGAAATGCTGACGGCAATAGATCGGCGCATGAGTACGCTTTTCGCGTTGTCCAAGCACTGGAAGCGCTACGATGTCTTCGCCCGGCAGAAGATGGCGACGTTCAAGTCGTCCCGTCCGGCCGTGCTTGAGCTGGCAGCTAGATACCATGAGCTGGCGTTGCAGGCTCAGAAGGGCAAGGGCGTGGATGGCAAGAGTGCCGAGGAGGTCGAGCAGACCGATCGGCTGCTCTTCTCCGAGATGTGCGAGATCTGCTTATGGGGTAATGCGACCGACCTTTCTCTCCTCACCTCTCTCACCTACGAGGATATCCAGAAGCTGCAGGGCTCGCACGCGCGCAAGGCGGCCGAATCCAATATCCTTGTCAACGACCTAGATGCTGCGTTTGATGTGCTCGCCAAGGCGCAGAGGGAGAAAAAGGACGGCGAGCGCCGCGTGGATATCGTGCTCGACAATTCCGGCTTCGAGTTGTTCGTGGATCTTATTCTGGCTGGATATTTGCTCTCTGCTGGTCTGGCGACGACTGTGGTACTCCACCCCAAGTTGATCCCCTGGTTCGTCTCGGACGTCACGCCGCGGGACTTTACAGATCTTCTCAACGCCCTTGCAGATCCCCAGGGCTTCTACACGGCTCCCGACGAGTCGGGCCGTGAATATGAACCTCTTTCTGAGAAGGAATTGGCCGAGGTCAGGTTCCTGTTCGAGCAGTGGAGCGAGTTCCACCGTGAAGGCAAACTGATCATTCGCCCGCATGCATTCTGGACCGACTGCGGGTCGTACTGGCGCATGCCGCATGCCGCGCCCGACTTAGTCGAAGATTTGAAGCAGAGCGAGCTTGTTCTATTCAAGGGTGATCTAAATTACCGAAAGCTGACAAGCGATGTGAGTATTCGATTATCTGTATGCTCTTTGGCATTCTTTGGATATGGCTAACCACGTTCTCAGGCCGCCTGGGATCCAACCACTCCTTTTAACACCGCTATTGGCTCGCTGGGCCCCCAGTCGGGCGTTCGTATCATGTCCTTCCGTACCTGCAAGGCAGATGTCGTGGTTGGGCTGGCTCCCGGTGAGGACGAGAAACTTCGCCAGACGCCCGGAGGGGGTGGCTCTGAGGCCCGTAAGTGGGCGTGGAGCGGTAAATGGGCAGTCATCTCGTTCTGCGACGGCAAGATATAACTACCAGTTCAAATGTATATGATTGCATAGAGTAAAAATAGTGGGTACCTTGGATATAATGTGACTCTTAACGATAACATGCTCAATGTCTCTCACGAGATGAGATATTGAACGAGGTATTCGAAGGGTATCAAGGATATCTCGGAAGTACTCTACCCAAATAATCTCACAAAATCTATATATAACTTCTCACCCTCAAGCATCCTCAACATATTCCCCTAACGGCTGAACCCCCGACCCCTTCTCCTGACTATCAGCCGGAGAGCTTGCACGCCGCAGACGAGCATCCCCCGCCAACCTCCGGCCCTGGCCATGCGTTCTCCGCTCCTTGCGAATCTCCTTCGAGATCTTCACGGCGCTTTTATCCGGGTTCGTGAAGAGGTAGTCGATCTCCTCGAGCGTCAGGTTGGCCGTTTCAGGGTAACAGAAGTAGACGAGCGGGACGACGGCGAGGTTGGTGCACATGAAGATCAGGTATGCCTTCCACTGCAGCCGGTTGATGATGATGGGCGTGATCGTGACGACGAAGAAGTTCTGTTCGCGGAAGCCAATCAGTCAGCCTTTTTCTATCTGTGTTCTGTGTTCTGTAGGGTGGGCATGTAGATTGGTGGAGGGAAGGGAAGGGAAGAGGCAGTGACGCACGCAGATCCAATTCGATGAAACCCCCACGGCCGTCCCCTTAGCCCTCGCATGTAGCGGAAGAATCTCCGGGACATAGACCCACGGGATGCAGTTGACAGAGGCCCCAAAGATAAGCATTTAGAGGAAGAAGAAGGCGACGGCTGCGGGGGACGGGTGGATGTCTCAATGCCTGTGCCAATTCCTGTGACGAATTCTCCCGACCATCAGATGGAACACCGAGAAGGCTGATGCTTGTAACGATGCGCCGATCTTGCTCTCTGTTAGATGGAGCCCTTCACACAAGCCTTCGGGATAGGGCGTACTCACAATTACCCACAGCATCGCAAACCACATCGTCCCGTTGCCTTCCCAGCCATTCCGCAAGCACAAAGTCGACAATGCACCCGGTGAAGCAGCCAAGGCTGTATATCGACACGATAATCCCCATCAGACTATCCCCGGGATGATGCATCGTCTCGAGGAAGTCATCATTCCCGACGATCCCGCTGAATACTCCTTGGTCGTAGCCTAGCAGGGGTACCGAGCGAGGTTCAGTTAGAGGATCAACAAGAGCTGATCACCAAGGGCAGCCTTACCAAACAGTATAAACGCCATGCCACATGCTGCCCATATGGTCGCTTGAAGGGTAACCCCCGTTCCGAATACATTCCTGGATGTATCGCGCTCGATACCCGAACGCGCGTAGACTCGTGCTCTGATATGCCATGGTAGAAGATAGGGGAAATTGCGCAAGTATATATCCTACCAATGGTATCGCCGATCTTCAATGTACATCCAATGCGACATGGATCTCCATGCTCAGTATTCAGCCCGTGTTGCCAGGATTTACCCCAGACATGTCCCAATCAGGCAACCCGAGGCCCGCATATTACCCCAGAAAACCCTCGACAGTTACCCCGCAGAGTATGGGGAATCTGCATCTCCCCGGCTCGAATCGCTCTAGTCGCTCTGGAAGCGGAAAGCCACTCGACCTTATAGTCGCATAGGATGATAACGCTCGGGCCTTATCTCATTTTCTTGGCCGGTGTGATTGGTGGTCGCTTGCAGAGGCGCAGAACCGAGACGGGCCATCTAGCTGGAACCCGAGCAAGTGTTTTTTTCCACCACACTCTGGCGTCGTTGTTTGTGAACCGCTTTCAGCTCCATCGAGATGCTATGCAACACGACAGATTGGAGACTGGGCACATCGAGTTCGAGTCCACTCTTCCCGAGGGCAGCGGATTAAATCTGTTTCCTTGGATTGCACCGGCTTGACGGCTGCGGAACGGATGTTGGTGTATACAACGACCGCCACGGAAGACCGAACGTGATCTCAATATGTCCAGTGGCTTCCCGTGGGTATCTCTAACAGGGATCAGCTTTGAGATAGGCTCTCACAGGCTCTCTCGCTACACTGCATACAAAGGCGAACCTCAAGCCATGGGATGAGAATATCATGCGGAGACGACACTCAACCCTCGACTCACTCTGCCGCCCCCGCTCACAGGGAATCCTTATTCCTTAGACCAGCAAACAAGGCTGATCAGAGATAAGATCGATATTCGGAAACTGCCCGAGAACTCTTAGCCTCATGCAGCCTTCCCAAAAGATAGGTTAAGTCCTTAGGGGAAGATGCTTACGTAGTAGATATTTATAGGCCTCAATCCTTCGTTGACACTCCGTCTCTGTTAGATCGCAGGCCAGCTGTGCCCTCAAATAGTCAGATCACGCCGTGCGGCGTTCGTGACATAAGTGGCTCCATGACTGGGTTGTAGCGTTCGACCTACGGGAATAGTCCTACATCGTGAACTTCGCTTAGATACCGAGGTTTTGGAAGTCCTAAATAACGCAACGTGTTCGAGTCTCTTGTTGTTGGACTACGGAGTACCTTCCCGCCAGCAACTACCAGTCTGTCAGGTAGCACAGAACCTATGGTGTCAACTAGAGGGCTGCGCGGCCTTGTTCAACGCTTCAGAAGGCCTAGCGAACTACTGGCACACTGGCTTCAATCACATTAATTGTTTAGTTGTGCGAGGATGGGTGAGTGGCCTCGGAGGCATGACCAGGCGTACCTTGTCTTGGTTGAAAGTAGACAACCCTCCACGTTTGGACAGGATACGCATCGTCTCGACGCTAGTAAAAGACAAACGAAATGAACAATCTCATATGGGTATAATGATAACCTGTCAATGATGCTCAGACAGAAAGAGTTCTGGTCTTGACAGGCAAACCAATCCGACATGAAAAATAAATGGGAAAACAAAGAAACAGGATCACCCTCTCGAGACATGTAAGACCATATTGAAAGATTGAGTTCCTGTGGAAACATCCCAGCCCCTACGCCTATACCAGTGTATCAATCCTTCCTGCCTAACGCTTTCCCAAGACAAATTCGGAGAGAAAAAGAAAACAGATATCAAAGTCGCCAATATGATCAAGTATTATATGTTTTGGCATGTTCCCGGAGCACCTCTCTGCTTTTGCGGGTCTGGTCTTTCCGTTTCAGTCGGGCTTGAGCAGCGAGCATGCGTTCTGGAGGTATGGATTCCCGCTGTAGCGCGCCAATGCTGTGTCTTTTCCCTGGTCGTTCGGCAGCACGGGAGTCCGGTAGACCAGACAGCGTATCCAGACTGTACTTTGTGGGAGCACGACGCGATTTGGAGCGTTGAGTTCGTGGCTGTTGACTGTCCAAACTTGCCAAGTGGCGCGCGAGGGAGTCAATCGTTGTATGGGTCGGCTGATGCGCTCGATAATCACGTTGGCTGTACATCGGCTTCATAGCAAGTGCTCCCGTGGAGTCGTCGAAGAGCTGCTCAGGGGGCGAAGAGGGTGGAATTAAGTCTGTCTCCTGCGCGGTCGCTCTCTGCAGACTAGCTGCTGTCTTGTATGGTGATTCTCCAGTAAGAAACTGGTGAGAATGAACTCCTTCCAAGCCCAGGGCTTGAGCAGCTTTCACAATATCAAGTTCAACAGTGGGATTCTGTGTACTGCGCATGCGCCGGTCCTTTGCTCGTGGGCTAGGACTGGGCGGTTCATCAATGTCTTGTGTTTCGTCAATATCCGCTTTCCGAGGGCTAATGCGCCCAAAGTCGTACACCTGAACTCCAGTGAACTCTTTACGAGGACTGTATGAGTGACGGCTATAGACTCGATCGTCGGGAACCTTTTCAAGTGCTGCTACCTTCAGTTTGAGAAGGTCAATCTGATCCTGCATACGGCGTCGTTCTTCATCGAATGATCCTCTGAGGTCCTCCTCCATTTCGCGATGTTCCTGTGAAGCTGTCTTCAAGCGTTGCCGATACTCTTGAATCCGTCCCTCCAATTTGATCTCGCGTTGTTTCAGCTTCGCCTCCTTTGCCTTGCGGCGTCCCTCGTATTTGCTCATTTCCTGTTTCACTCGTGCCAGTGATTGCTTCAGTGTGAGATTCTCTCTGGCCAGCTCGGAGGCCTTCTGCTCTGAATTCTGCACTAGCTCCTTAAGTTTGTCGACTTCCGATTGCTGGCGCTTCATCTCGTCGATCTTTGCATTTGCCTGGTTCAGCGCCTGCTGGGTTTTGCGCAGCTCCTGGCTAACTTTCTCAGGAGAGCCCTCCGCATCTGATTTATCCACAGAATCATCCAAATCACCATCGACCACTCCGTGTCGTTCTAGAAGCTTGCGTAGCATGTTGACGCGATGCTTGTACTGCATGGCTAGCGCTGTCTGTTTTGTCAGATCTTGAACCAGCTGTTCTCTGTCCGCCTTTGCATTCTCCGTGACCATCGTAGAGGCGAGTTGTGTGACATGACGTTCCATCTCAGCCACCTTCGATTCCTCCTCTTTTAATTTCTTGGCTAGACGCGAGGCTTCCGTCTCCTTCATGAGAGCGAATTTCTTCGCTGCGGACCGATATTGAATCAATTTTCTGATTTCATTTGTGGTTTTGGCACGGTAGTTGTCGAATTCGGCTTTCCAATATTTACCCGACTGGGAGCGCGGGTCTTCCAGATTGATTGTGTCATCATTCTCTTCTGCTTTGGTCGATTTTGGCACCATCTTGGTTTCGTTCGTCGCGAAAGGATCGTCATCGATTTTGCGATCGGTAGTCTCATTAGGAGACTTATCGCGGGAGTCCAGTAATGCTTGCGTCAGTTTGCTTCGCGGTTTATCCTTGCCGTCAGAAGAGCCAGATATCCATTGGCTGCTTAAGTTGCCAGAAAGATTCATTGGCGTTCTGAGCGATTTGTTGTTAAAGATATCGTCGCGTTTTCGTTCATTATCGACAACTCCATCACCAAACGAGACGGTCTTCCGCCGGTTCGATGCGGTACCGGGTGTCACGAGGATGCTCTTCGTGGGTGACGCCATCGCGTTCATTCCCGTATCGAGGTCTACCTTGCCAGTTGCGATAACATTTGTCGCACGATCGGGGGCCAGAAACTTCGGCGCTTCACTCTTGCTTCGCGAACGATTTTCTTGTTTACTGTCCGTTTTCGCTTCTCGGTCACTCTGCTCTTCGTCTTCCGCGCCTGGCGTGCCAAACAAGGCGCTTTTGAACGCGCGAATGGCGAACACGGGAGCTGGCGTTTCTGGTGGCTCCATAACTTTTGAGTTGTCTGAGAGAGAAAAAAAACAACAGTACAAGTCAGCGCGCGACCATCACGTATCCTGAAACTTGGAATATAGATGCTGGTGGTCGGCTATTGGCCATCACCCATCACGCGGGTGGATGCTCCAGCTCGAGGCGGACACTGAGAGACAAACCTGCGTTCTGCCCACTCATCCAGCCCACCATCGTGTCTGAGAAAACGGGGATCAAGTCTAAATTAGTCAAATCAACCGTAGACGCATCGCATCGGCGACGCCATTGGTGACTTGCAAGGGATTCCAACAGGGCGTGGGATTGACGTGGAGCGCTGTGCTTTGTTTACGCTTCTCCAGCAGCGACGCTAAGCCGGCAGGGCGGTGAGCGGAAAATCATCGGAGCGTCATCTGCCCAGCCAATCGACCCTCGATCACAATCGTTTTATATCCGCTGCTGCTGCTCCGTGCTTTTCTTCCTGCCCTCGACTTATCTAGTTTCCCGTCTCCCCGCCATACCAAACCAAAAACTCAACTATAGGAGACATTCCTTCTTCCAATTTCGTGCTTCCAGTTTTAGATATGTCCCCCTTCGAGATATAGAGGGCTGCAGCTTCGGCTGCATCTTTGTCACTCGCGTCTCACGTGGCAAAGACCTCCTGAATCTGGGTTCACATCGTCCACACCGCCCACCGCCCCGCTATGCCTCACAAACAGAAGAAGAACTCGAATCATGCGCCTAAGAACGGCTCTCCCCGAGCGGAGAGGAAACGGTCAGTGCCGGATTCTGCTCCGCTTGCTTTGCCCGGGTTAGCGACGACGAATTACCGGGAAATCCACCAGAATGAAGTCGAGGCGTTGCACTCGATCTATGGGGATGACTTTGAAGAAATCAAGCACAGGCGTTCTGCCTGGCAGGTGCGCATGGTCTGCCTCGAGTGCTTTCTGGCTATGAGCTAGCTAACATTGGAACCTATAGCAATCGTCCGATGTGGCTTTCAAGCTTCATCTGCGGTCTTCGTCTGACCCCGAAGTTCGCGTGGATATGCTCGTAGAGCTACCTACAACATATCCAAAGACCTATCCGAATCTGTCGCTGGATAATTCGGAGCATATGCGCCATACGGCTCGATCAAGAATTCAAGATATCATACGGAACAAACCCAAAGAACTACTCGGTTCGGAAATGATATATGAAATTGCCGTCTCAATCCAGGACGTTCTCGAAGATGTCGCTCAGGCTCAGGCTCAGGATAAGGATCTTCCCAGTCTAGAAGAGGAACGCATGGAACAAGAAGCCGCCGCAAATCAACGGGCAGAATTGGAACGACAAGAGGAGCTCCGGAAAAGAGAAGCGGAAACAGCAGAAGAAGAGCGAGCTTTGCAGCAGCTCTTGGAGGACAAACTCAGAGAACGGACCAAGGCTCGCCTTTCGAGGAGAAAGAGCAAGACCTCGGGGATGGACCTGTCCGGATTTGTTGACTCCGCGGACCAGTTTCCTGGGGCAATCTCCTTCGATCCGCCATTGATAATGAATGACATCGACGAACAACCGCTGGGCTTCCAGACCGTATATGGGAAGACACTCCTGCAAAGCAGTCAAGGCAAGGAAACCTTTACGGTTAGGCCCGTTGTGTCCGAGAGCCGAGCACATGCACCCCTTCTAGTCTTGAAGGAGCTCTCTCTAGATGGGAAAGGTTCGGAGTCGTTGGCATTTCGGGAGCGAATGCGTGCCAGCGAGGACAAGCTTGAGGCTCTGAAGAAACTTCGGCATCCCAACCTGGTGGATTTTATTGGTTTCAAGATATATAGACCTTTAGACTCCTTTGATACGCAGGACAGCACCTGGAGAGTTTACCTGCTTCTTGAGTATGCGAACAAGGGCTCGCTCTCCGAGTTCTTGGACATTGTGGGGACAGTGTCCGTGGAGATTATCCGTAGTTGGATGATTCAGCTTCTCGAGGCTCTTGAGTTCTATCACCGCAGCGGATTCGTGCATGGGGATATCCACTGTGGACGCATAATGTTGTTCAGGAACCCGCACGGTGGCACCATTGTAAAGCTGCAGGCAAGCATTGAAGAAGCACTTCCGGACACTGAAGGCACCAAGCGATGCCTGACCACCTCCAAATCACCCTTTTGGATGCCTCCGGAACTTACGCAAGAGAACGCGCCGCTGACAATGAAGACTGATGTATGGGACATGGGTATAGTCTTCCTGCAGATGGCATTTGGCAAGGATGTGCTGCAGCGCTACACATCGGCCAACGCACTCATGGGGACTTTAGGCCTCTCGGCACCCCTGCAGGATCTGCTGCACGAATTCTTCCGACCAGATCCCAAGAAACGGCCAACTGCTTTCCAGCTGCAACCCTTTGAGTTTTTCCGCGTTGACACCCCATTGATTGCTCGCACTAGTACCTCGAGCTCAGTCTCACTGCCGCGACGTCCGCGCCTCGACTCTATTGGTGGTCTTCCTGCATTCTCCCGATATAACCAAGATTTTGATGAGGCCGGGCGCCTGGGCAAGGGCGGTTTTGGTCAGGTAGTAAAGGCCAGGAACAAGCTCGATGGTCGTTTCTATGCGGTCAAGAAGATTTCCCAGAGGTCTGCAGCCGCGCTTAAAGACACTCTGTCGGAGATCATGCTGTTATCGAGACTCAACCACCCATACGTGGTTCGTTATTTCACCGCGTGGCTGGAGGAAGAGTACGATCAAGTCGATGAAGAAGCTATCTCTTCGACTGAAGGGGATCCTTTCGCAAGTCGAGATGCGAACGAATTTGATTATAGTACTACTGGAGGTCTTGACTTTATCAGCTCCAGCGGTTACCCCAAGATCGAGTTCGCCTCCGATAGTGAGGACGAGCAGAATAGGAGCATGTCACATCAGAATGGGACGGCGTCAATTGTCTCCTACAGTGAGCCAAGTGCCACAGGGACTGAGCTTAGTCGAGTAAGGTCCGGCTCTCAAGGTCGACCACATCTTACTACTCTTTTTATTCAGATGGAGTACTGTGAGAAACATGTGAGTTTTATTGCCTCTTATTTGGCCCTTTGGGCGTTTTGCTAACTTTCCGAGACTCTCCGTGATTTGATCAGAAACGGTTTATATGATGATATTGATCGAACTTGGCGTCTGTTCCGTCAGATCCTCGACGGGTTGAGTCATATCCACAGCCATGGCATTATACATCGAGATCTGAAACCCGACAATATCTTCATTGATGTAGCAAGCAACCCGCGCATTGGAGATTTTGGTCTAGCTACCAGCGGGCAGTTTACCACGGCCGTGCGATCTTCTACCACAGCAGACTTTGAGGGGAACCTCACTCGTAGTTTGGGTACGACTTACTACGTTGCGCCGGAGATGAAGTCGGTCTCTTCAGGTCACTATAATGAGAAGGTTGATGTAAGTACAAGATCTTGGGCACATGAAAGGCAAAACTAGTTCGCTAATCAGTGGCAGATGTATTCCCTGGGTATCATCTTCTTCGAAATGTGCCATGCTTTGCCCACAGGTATGGAACGCGACCAGACACTGCGGGCGATTCGAGAAGAGCATCATATTCTTCCGGCGACTTTCCAGTACTCGGATAAGGCACTTCAGGGTAGCATCATCGAGTCATTATTGAGCCATGACCCGAAAGAACGACCTTCTGCATCAGAACTTCTCCAAAGTGGCAAGATTCCTCTACAGGTTGAAGAAGAGACGTTCAGACGAGCAATCGTTCATCTCCTTTCTGATCCTAATGCTCCCGACTACAAGAAGATCCTTTCGGCTATCTTTTCGCAATCACCAAAGAAGTTTGAAGATATTGCCTGGGATATGGAGTCGCGCGCTGCCCCGGCTGCCAATGAATTACTTGTTCAGGGTCTGGTCAAAGAACGGCTCACCGCCATATTCCGCAGACACGGAGCGGTGGAAACGACTAGGCAGATGCTATTCCCTCGATCTCAACACTATAGAAGTGGTGCTGTGCGATTGCTAGATTCATCGGGTAATCTGCTCCAGCTACCGTTCGATCTAACGTTACCGAATGCACGCTCCATACCCCGGCAAGATCCCTCACTGGAAAAGACGTATGCATTTGGCACAGTTTATCGAGAAATGCCTCATGGGGGTGAGCCCCGAACTCACAAAGAAGTGGACTTTGATATTGTATCGCGAAATGCTCTGGATCTCGCGCTGAAGGAAGCGGAGGTAATCAAAGTGCTTGACGAAATCATTGAGGAATTCCCACCACTAAGGTCATCTCCGATGAGCTTCTTGATCAATCATTCCGATCTTCTTCAACTCATTATGGACTTCTGCCGAATCACTCCTTCTCAAGTTCCACTGGTCAAGGAAGTGATTAGTAAGTTGAATTTCGGTAAATGGTCGATGCAAAAAATTAGAAGTGAGCTTCGTTCACCTTCCATTGGGGTTGCTTCTACCTCGCTAGATGACCTTGCGAGATTCGATTTTAGAGGTTTGTTTGCGATCTCACACCACTGCTTCTGGCTTCCAGACTAACACGCAGTAGACACTCCGAAGCAGGCTCACAAACGGCTCAAAGCCATTATGGAAGGCACAGCATTTGCGGAGCGGCTGGCGCCCATATTCGCCCGCATCAACCTGCTGGTTACATACTTGCAAGGGTTCGATGTCAAGCGGAAAGTCTACGTCAATCCTTTAGGTAGTCTAAACGACAAGTTCTTCAAAGGCAGCATCCTGTTCCAGTGCGTCTTCAACACCAAACGACCAGATGTTTTCGCAGCTGGCGGTCGGTATGACAAACTGGTGCAAGAATTCTGCCCGAAAGTTTTGACAGGCCGCCCCCAAACGCATGCGGTTGGTTTCAATTTGAGCTGGGATAGGCTTAGCTCGGCGATGCTCGATTATCTCAAAGGCACAACAAAGGCATCGATCAAGGGGTCTGAATCGGATGCTGGCGCATTCTGGAAGACGCGAAGGGTAAGTCGAATTCATACAGATAGTCTAACGTGTGGCTTTCTAACAAGAGTAGTGTGATGTGCTTGTTGCCAGCTTTGACGCAACCGTGTTGCGCACAATGGGTATCAAGCTGGTTCAGGACCTATGGTCCAGTGATATCAGTTCGGAACTTGCAGTTGACGCCTCATCTCTGGAAGAGCTTCTCTCCAAGTACAAGGATCACAATCACAGCTGGATTGTCATCGCGAAGCAGGATAGCAAGGAGCGTGGCTTTAAAGTGCGATGCCTCGTTCCTAAGGAAGAACTAGATATACGGAGCTCCGAACTTATCCCTTGGCTTCGAAATGAGATACGCGCGCGCAATCAACGGGAGGGCGCCCCTGACTTACGACAGGCTCGAATGCCGAGTCAGACAGATTCAATCGCCGGTGTCAATGAGCGGGCCAACGATGTGCGCATCCTGGTCTCTCAGCATCGGAGCAAGAAAACCAACCGGAGGAACATTGTGGAGTCCGGTATGTCCATGCACCCAGTGGTGGCATCACCAAAATGAGCTATTACTAACCAGAACATAGCCCTCCTCCGTGCCCGTGAAGTCGTTGAGAGAGCCATCAACGGACCAATCGCCGCTATAGACACTCGAGACGATCTCCTTGAAGCCATCAGGGATACGCGTCTATCGGATCCCGATAGCTGGCGCTCCGTCATACAGAGTGCCCCACTTACTGAACGAAAGTACCTCAGTCAGGTTCACGAGCTGCTGCTTGACCTTGCTAATGACATCCTTACGAATGATGGCCCGGACACCGTCAGCAATGCGTTCATCTATAATTACCGAACAGGATCGTGTCTATACTATGACCTAGGGCGTGGAAGTGAGAAGTAAATGGTTGAATGAATGAATGACTGAATGAATGAATTAAAAGATGCAAAGAAATATGCTATACCTTTGCTTGTGTGAATTCTGCTTCGATTAGACGTATTTTTTTGTCTCTTCTCATTGTTCTGATAGCGAAATATACCCGCCCACCAACGCCTTGAATGAATAAGTCATAACGAAAGATAAAAATGACAACCAAGTTGAGGTATCTTTTGCTGTTGTACATGCGACCAAATCAATCACTGTCATCATCACTGCCGTAGGCGACCAGAGGGCCGCCGGAACTCGCAGGCGCTTTCTGCGTTACCACACTCCCGCCCGTCAGTCCTCTGAGCGCTGCCACGGTCGAAGTCGAGAAAATCCCGCCGCTCTCTGACTGCGGCTGCGGCGCTATGGCAGCTGAGGACGACGACGCCGCCGCCGCCGCCTCGATCATCAAATGTTGCTCCGGCGCCTCAAGCTGACCCGCGCTGCCAGCATCCTCCAACTGTTTTGCGCGAGAGTACCAGACGTCGTCGGGCGCCTCATACCCGTCCAGCCCGAAGCTCCCCTCGATCTTCTTCTTTTTGCGCGCCTCCGGGTCCCGACCTTCCAGCTCCGCCACAAACTCTGCAGGCAGCGCCCTACGCACCGCCTCCGCTGCCTGCTCCTCCAACCGCCTAGCCTCACGCTTCTGCGCCAACGGGTTCGGGTCGACGGTCGCCCAGCGCACATTGAGGATCTCATTATGGTCCAGACTCTGGTGCGCCATGGCCTCCTTGGCGAACTGGGCATTCGCCTCGTTGGTGTAAGTGACGAAGGCGACGCCGCGCGAGGTCAGCACACGGATGCGGTCGATCTGGCCCCACTCGGCGAAGTGGCGCGAGACGACCTCCTCGATGTCGTCGGTGACGTGGATGCGGCCGACGTACAGCGTGCGGTTCTGGCGCGTGAATGAGCCCACGCCGCCCATGTCGTCGCGGTAGTCGCTGAACTTGTCGCGGCCGAAGCAGTCGACGTTGGGGTTGAAGAGGTCGTGCAGCGTCGGCAGCCGGTGCAGGTACTCGCACTCGTGGCCCTTGGGGCAGACGCCGCGCGCGAAGAACAGGCAGAAGTAGGATCCCGGGACCTTGTCGGCGCGTGTGTAGCCGCTGTCCTTGACGATGTTGCAGCGGGACGGCGCGGCGTGCTTCGAGAGGTACTTGTCTTCGCGGTCGCCGCCGGACCACTTGTTGTACCAGATGTTGAAGATGGTGCCGGTCTGCGGGGGCGGCTCGGATTTGATCGTCGCTGGGTCGACCTGTGGCCGGGCGGGTCGTCGTTTGCGGCGGATTATCTTCTTCGTCTTCTTCTGTGTGCCGTCGGTCTCCGTGACGGTGACGGCCGCCGTCTCTGAGGTTTGAGTGAGAGCATTTTCGTCACTGGGCGCTGGTCCCTCTGGTTCGGCCGATTCTGTCCGTAGCGGAGTGGGTTCTGTAGCGTGTGGAGGATCGACAACAGCTGTCTCTGCCATGGCTGCAAGCGTGGAGGATGTGTTGTGTCGTTGTGTGAAACGGAGGTTTGAGCAGAAGAAGCCGTGATGGAACTATTCCCTGATCAAATCCCCAAAAGGCGATGTTGGCGATTACATAATCGGTAAGGTCTTGGCATCGTTTTTGCTGGGACGAATTTGATACCTCTCGTACTATGCTTCGAGAGACTCTCGTTCTATATTCTCTGTTTAGATAATTCGGTTTATACGAGGCTCGTTTCTCGCTTGTTCCTGCAACACTGACTGGCACTCCTATCAGACCTCTTGAGGCGGTCGTCTTCTCTACGAACTACATACTCAATTTCGCAGCCTGTGAGGGGTCAGTGGGACTCCAACCGTCAAGATGGTGAACATTACAGACAAAATCAAGGAGTGAGTCTCTATTCCAATGTTTGATGAAACAGTAATCTCATGTAGAACCATCACAGGATCGAAGATGAGATGCGCCGGACGCAGAGTAAGTCTTTGCCCATACATACAAGCATCTAGAGAACCCCGCAGCTAACCATGCAACAGAAAACAAGGCCACAGGTGGGATTCCAATGCCTGGTTCGTCGAGTTCCATGTTCTAACTATTCTCAGAATACCATCTGGGTCTGTTGAAAGGGTGTGTACATCATCCCAGTACCGGCGCACGTGCTTGCATGCTAACTCCACGGGGTCCAGAAAACTCGCCCGGTTAAGAGCACAGCTCCTGGAGCCGACTGGCGGCGCCGGCGGCGGTGGCACGGGCTTCGACGTAAGCAAGAGTGGCGATGCGCGCGTTGCGCTGGTCGGCTTCCCCTCAGTGGGAAAGTCGACGTTCCTATCCAAGATCACCAAGACGCGGAGCGAGGCCGCCGCATACTCATTCACGACGCTTACGGCCATCCCCGGTGTGCTGGAGTACGGGGGCGCAGAGATCCAGATTCTCGATCTTCCCGGTATCATTGAGGGTGCCGCCGAGGGTAAGGGACGAGGACGGCAGGTTATCTCTGCTGCTAAGGTTCGTGCTGCGGATTGGAGATTCGAGGCACCCGGCGGGGGAGAACGCTCTACTGACTCGATTTCTCTAGACAAGCGATTTGATCCTGATGGTCCTCGACGCGACGAAGCGGGCTGAGCAGCGAGCTCTTCTAGAGGCGGAACTGGACGCCGTTGGGATCCGACTGAACAAAGAGCCTCCGTAAGCATCGCAACCACAAAAGCATTACATGCATCAACATCATCGCCGTCGTCGTGGTCATCACGCTAATCGAACATTAGCAATATCTACCTCAAGATCAAGAAAGCCGGCGGCATGAAAATCACCTTTCAGACGCCCCCCAAGAACCTGGACGAGAAGATGATCTTCAACGTCCTCCGCGACTATCGCATTCTCAACTGCGAGGTCCTCGTCCGCGACGAATACGGTATGCCCCCCCTTCGCTCCCACCATAGCGGTTGAATGAAGCAGAACCTAACCCTACCCCAACCCAGCAACAATCGACGACTTCATCGACGTGATCATGAAAGACCACCGGAAATACATCAGATGGTACGTTCTCTCCAGCCCCACCCCTCCACGTCCCCAAGTCACGACGCTAAACTCACCGCACAGTCTCTACGTCTACAACAAGATCGACAGCGTCAGCCTGGACTTCCTGGACCAGCTCGCCCGCGAACCACACACAGCCGTGATGAGCTGCGAGCTCGATCTCGGCGTGCAGGACGTCGTCGAACGCATCTGGACAGAACTCCGTTTGATCCGGGTGTATACCAAACGGTACGCCTCAGGCCTCCCCCGAGAAGAGAAGAGAGAGACTAACAATACCATGATTACAGGAAAGGAGAAGAACCCGATTTCTCGGAGGCGCTCATCGTGCGCAGCAACTCCAGTATCGAGGATGTGTGCGACTCCATCCACCGGACGCTCAAGGAGACGTTCAAGTATGCGTTGGTGTGGGGGGCGAGTGCGAGACATATCCCCCAGCGGGTGGGACTGGGCCATGTGGTGGCGGACGAGGATGTAGTGTCGATAGTTGCGAAATAAGGCAGAGGGGGGTGGTAGGATATTGTATTCATTTTATGATGTATGGACGAAATGAGATTGGGAGGATGACATGACACCATTAGCAGAGGACGTGCTGGGTCACATGAGGTAGATAGTAAGGATTATTTGGACAAACTTCTTAGTTTCAGTCATTACTATCTACTCCGGAGTCTACACTGTTACAGCAAGGGCGGGAGAATTGATATATGTGCAAAACTTCATAATTGCAATGGAAGAACTTTATGAACAAATCATGAACCCAACGTATTCCGTCCCAAGATGTAAACCAATGACTCCAGCGAACAAGGCAATTATATTCATTTAAGCAGCAGCGGCAACGGCGGCGGCGGCGGCAGCTGCCTGCACGTTCTGCATGCCAATGGTTGGCTGCACACCGACCCGCTCCTTGGCCAGAAGATCAACCAGAAGGGGGCTGGGGATGCTGTCACGCTGGGGGTGGAAAGCAGCCTGGTTGGCCTTGTACTTGCGCACACTGTCGATGTAGATATCGAAGAGGTAAGAGGAGTCCAGAGGACCACCCTTGGCCTCGGGGTGGAACTGTGTGCTGAAAATGGGACGAGACTTGTGGATCATACCCTCGTTGCTCGAGTCGTTCAAGTTGACGAAGTAGGGCTTCCAGTCAGAGGGCAGGGTGTCGACGTCCACAGCATAACCGTGGTTCTGGCTGGTGATGTGGCAGCGGCCGGTGCTCATATCCAGAGCGGGGATGTTGTGAGCACGGTTACCGTACTTGAGCTTGATGGTGCGAGCACCAGCGGCCAGAGCCAAAAGCTGGTGACCCAAGCAGATACCGAAAATGGGCACCTGGGAGGTCTCCATCAAGCGACGAAGGTGGTAGGTGGTGTCCTGGCAGTGAGTGGGGTCACCGGGGCCGTTGGAGATGAAGACACCATCGAAGTGGTGGGCAACCTTGTGGATGGGGTAGTCGAAAGGGAACACGGTAATGCTGGCGCCACGGCTGACCAGGCTACGCAGAATGTTCTCCTTGACACCACAATCGATGACAGCGACGTGGCACTGAGGATCGGCGGCGCTCACGTGGAAAGGAGCTTTGGTGCTGACCTGACGGACAAGATGGATCTGCTCAGGATCGGTAAAGGCCTCGTCCTGGTCGGCATCGTACTCCTCGCCAACAGTGATACGAGCAAGGGAAGAACCCTGCTCACGCAGGTAGGTGACGATAGCCCGAGTATCGACACCGGAGATGGCAGGCACACCCTCGCGAGCACACCACTCGCCCAGGGACTCGACGGCGGTCCAGTGGCTGTACTGTTCAGCCACATCGGCCACCACGACACCAGCAGCCTGGAGGTGGGGGGACTCGAAGTACTTGAGGAGACCGTGCTGGTCCCGCTCCGCAGAAGGCACACCGTAGTTGCCAATCAGGGGCTGAGTGAATACCAGGATCTGACCACGGTAGGAGGGATCGGTCAGGGACTCTGGGTATCCGACCAAAGAAGTGGTGAAGACGGCTTCACCGGAAATGTTGGTCCGGGCTCCAAAGGACTTGCCATGGAAGATAGGACCATCACGGATTGTGAACGTGGCACGCTCGTGAGGAACACGCTGGTTACGAACGGTGGCCATCAAGCGAGACTGGATGGAGGCGTTTACAGAGGGGAAGGCCCGGCCCTTGGCGGGGATCGCCTTGCAGAATCGAGCAAACATGACTTGTGGAGGAAGATGGATGAGTGATGTAGTTGCGGATTGTGGTGTTGGAAGTGGGGTTTCAATAGTTTCCGGAAGCTTTCCAGAGGTGATCCGAGATATAGTCCTAAAGGGAGAAGAACATGTTAGCCGTCTGTTCAAGGCCCTTTTTAAGGGAGAAAGAGACAGTGGTGGCGGGTATGACATGCGTGTGGCCAGAATAAGGGGACATACCTGAGAAGTGAAGACAGAAGGTGCCAAAACCATAAGCGCGACTGTGCTGTTACCAGTCACTGGAAAATTGATAATTGATTGGGGATGTCTAAATAGACATAAGATTCGAGAGAGAATCGATGGATATTGTGGGGTTGATTGAGTGATGGGATCTCAAGACTGCTGGATGAAGAGAAGGAGAAGGAGAAGAAAGGAAGAGAAGAAAAAACGAGGGCGACCGCAGAATTTGAGCCTTTTGCGGCAAAACTGCGATGGTCGGCCCGGCTGAACGGCACGTGCCCCGCCTCACCGACTTGGGGGTGCACCGGACCAATCACAGCGCGTGCATTTGGCCGGCCGTCATCGGCCTTCATTTGATACAGTACGGTACTGGTAATTCCTGTGACAAACCAAATTCCATCCAAACAAATGATATGGAAATAAAATATTATATGAAAGATGGATGGAAGTAGATATTACCCTATAAAATTAACACGTCATTTGAATCATTTTGACATTTTGATTACCACCTCTAACTACTATGTAGATGCAAGATATGAGCATGTATCACACCGCTGTGTCAAGCATACTGTCATATCTGTCAGACTCTGAAGAATCCGATGGGTTATCTAAGGCTTAGCAAGAATTGAGATACTATGTTGGCATTGAAGCTTGCTAAAGGTAAAAAGGACACAATATGCTCCGTAAGGGCGGCCGGCACCGATACTTATCCTCTCAAAAAGAAGGGAGTCGACAGAAGCCATCATGACTATGCGAGCAACCACATTGGGCTTCAAACTTCGATTGGCAAACCAAAGATAATACCCGTGGTGGTACCTATGACTCATCCCGCAAGTTGCAACAGCAGAACTCCTCAAGGGTTCTCGGCTTCAACTCTGGTGGAGTAGACTAGACAGGCTACTACTGAAGCGCTGACTATCCTTCAAAGTTTTAAAGTTACCTACGGAGTACACTGCGATCTCTCACCAAGAAACTTCCTTCACCTTGACTCAGAGTCGGATCTTAATGATAATGTGAAGATTACCGACTTCACGGGTGCTTCTTTATGTGGTTTAAACCTGTCGACTACTCCGGTGATAGGGTTTCAATACCTGGTTATGATTAGGATGCCCCTCTGGTATTTGGTCACACTGCTTGACTTTATATAATGGCTGACTCTTATCCACATGACGATGTCTCTAGTGAGGAGGGTTGAGAAGCTCTATAAAGCCTGAAAATTCCTAGTGTTCCCTCAGTCATCTGTGCAACTACGGAGTATTCTCATGCAATGTTGGCATTGACAGGTAGCCTCAGCTGAACTAATATACGACTACCTCACAGCTATTGAGGGAATCACTTCTACCCATAGTTCAACTATTGCTCACGCAAAATTGCCATCACATCATCCAGCAGACTCTTCAAAGTTAAATCCTTGAGTTGAACCGCTACAATGGTTTGAAATAACAGCCGGGTAAATGGCCATCCAGCTGGTAGCATGATGGATTCTGCAATATGGGCGCCAAGTGATGCCCAGCAGCTCAGCGATTTCACCTGAAAGAAGACGAAAAAGATATTTAAACCCAATATATGTTATATTATGTTGAAGCATGACACCAGCCTGGGTCGAAGGTCCCCAGAGCTGATGCCTATGGCCAACTAACGGGAGGGTCAGATGTCAAGAAACTAGACCAGCGATGGCATAAATGGCCAATGCATCTATACTATGTAGATAAGGAGAGACATCTGACCGATAAAGAAGGAAGAAGAGAAGAAGGAAGAAACATGGATAGAGGAGCATCGTGCAAAGCAGAGACTTTTATGGTCGAGATAGCCACGAATGACGATCATGCTGCGGTGCATCTTCCTCAAGTGGAGCGTAGCCTGTGGACAGTCGATATGTTTCTAAGCACTTGGCTGACAGAATTAGGATTCTTCTCGGAATCAATGCCGATGAGGAAAGAAATCGAAACGGCCGAAGCTCAAGTCATTGGGATGTGCTGGATGAGTGGCGGTGTAACAACAAGAAGAAATACATACCTAACCAAGACTCAACCCCCAAATCATGAAACACAACCATGGCAATACTGGCAGATACTCCATACTGAGCCAGCATTCGACGCTGTGAATGGAGACAAGTTTTAACAAAAACACGTCAAACATCGACAACAGCCGAAACAGCGACAGGGCCGTTGTAATCATGCACTGATGACGTGGTGGCTGGTGCATTCCACCAGGAGGAGGGGCAACAACATCAGCAATCATAATAAAATTGATCGCGATCCACCTTGAGCAACGTTGGATTCTGCGAGTATCCTATCTGGATATCTAGCGCAGGATGGCTGTCAAAACGATGCGACGAGCTTTTGGCTCGATCCCAAGGCACGACACCCTCCAGTTGCTCCAAGGTCTACTACAGAGGCTCAGCCATCTGCTGCACATCGCCATCTCGTTCATCCTTTTGCCCTTCGACAACGCCGTTCTTCTGGCTGCCTGTCTTGTCGGATATGCCCTTCATCTCGTCTCACGCTCAAGTCCTAGTCGTCGCAGAAAAGCAGCATTGGGAACTGCGGGTTTCTATCCAAAGACGGTCCTCGTCACCGGCATAGATACTCATTATGGGCTGGCCGTAGCGCGAGCCTGGTACTACCAAGGCCACCGGGTGGTGGGCGTCAACATCACCCATACCTCCATCCGACCAGGAGAAGGCATGTCCAGAACCATCGCGGCATTCTACTCCATCCCCAAAGCACAATATGTCTCACGGTTGCTTGATCTCATCCACCGGGAAAAAGTGGACATCTGGGTGCCTTGTTCCGACCAGCTCACGGTCATGGAGGATGCGATGGCGAAAGAGGTAGTTGAAAGCCGAACCGACTGCAAATGCATCCACCTGGACACGGAACTAGCAGCCAGGTTCAACCAACCGGAATCCTTCCTCCAATACCTCGTCGAGAAGGACCTCCCCGTGGTCGAAACCCACCAGGTGCAGTCGCGTGCATCAATCCACAAGATCTTGCACCGGTCTCCTTCGAAGATCTACCACATGCGCAGTGCGAGCTCCCTTGCGGCCGGCGGCAAGGTCGTTGTCCTGCCCAAGCGCACGCTCAGCCTGACGTACTCCGAAGTCAGCGAGATCCAGATCTCCAAGGACCGGCCTTGGATGCTCCAGCAACAGACCCGGCTAGGGACCTACTACGCTGAGCTGCTGGTGGTCCGGGGCTTTGTCAAGGCGATCACGATCCGACCCTCGAATCACCAACTGATTTGGGGGCGGTCGCGTCTCGACGAAGCGCTCGCCATCGCTATCCGCAAGCTCATGGAGCGGTTTGCCATGCAAGGGGGACCGCGCATGACGGGCCATCTATGTGTGGAGTTGATGATCGATGAGGAATTCGATACAAACTCCGTTCGCCATGTGATCCACATCGCTGGCTGTACGCAAGGTGCGGCTGCCGTCAAAACGCTTTTGCTCGACGCGTCCGGCTCGTTCCCGGCGGGCTGCCTGAGTGTGCTCTCCCCTCAGGCCCAAGGATCTCCGGCAGAGACGACAAACACGCACATTGGGACTATGATGTGCAGGACACCCGTCCAGAATTCGAAATTTGACGAGGCTCTCCAAGCTCGCGATTTTCATAGACTTGCACTCATCATTTCCGAGGGAATGCAGGTACTCGACTGCCTGAACCATGCAGCGAGCCAGTTCGTGTTCTGGAAGAACTGGCGATATTCCCATTTCGACCCGCTACCATGGTGGTGGGATGTGCATATCTATCAGCCGATCAAGCACTTTGAGATGGCCTTCGAAAAACCTGCGGCCTACGATAAGAATATATGAAACGATATCTCCCATATATTCCCCATTATTAGCGGTTTTGCTTTCTTCGGGGTGGTGTTATTAATATAGGAGCATTGGGTGGCGTCCTTTTTGACCTTTTTTTGAGCATGAAATTTGAGTGTTGCAGATCTTCGATTTCATTTCTATACGATGCGACAGCTGTTTCAGATAACCTTTTAAATTATACGACTGTAATTTTTGGAGGATTCATATTCTTCTTCACAGACATACACAGTAGTAGATAGATGATCCTGGTGCTCGAAGCCAAGAGTGGCTGAAGCGGCAACTATGTTTTCCATGAATAGAACCGTTTCCTAGGAGAACAACCAAGGTTAATCGTTAGACCACTAGTAACTACTCTAGGTTCTGGCCACGCTCAAACAGATCCACTTGCGTCCACCAGCATCGTCATCTGTTAACATACAGATGTACCAGGTACTCAGTACCTCTGTGGATAGGGTACCTGATTGTACACAGTAGAGTACTGTGTACTTGCGACACACTCAGGTCGTCACACAAAACAACAGCTACAAGCTGATCCCACAAGACAATTCAATATGACGCTCAACTGAATAAAATACGTTCTATGGAGTAGACAGTCAATTGAAGAGCCTGAGTGGCGCAGGGGTATCGTTAAATGTGGCTTGGATGCTGTACACAAACAATGAAGAGAGAGTACAGTGTCTACCTCCCTCGAAGGCAGAACAGCGTTCAATAATAGTATATTGAAAGAACCAAGAGACATCGAATGCCGTATCCAGCATGATCTATGCAGCAAGGATCGGTCCAAAGGATAGAACCCAATAATAATAATAATGCATGTCGGGTAATAATAATGTACTGTGTAGGGACAGCGCCATGAGGCAGAAGCATTAATATACTGCTATCGTGCTGCCCACCTGACAACCAAACAGTAGTAGTATCATTTCATCATCTCTGCTAAGGTACATACCTACGGAGTATACATATTCCAACTACCTACCTTGCCTCTTCCTCGATATTGTTTGTATCTTACAAGGTCTGTGGCTGTTTTCTGCATATTTTCTTTTCGACTCCCTTGTACTTTGAGGTCGGTCTCTACTGGGTATTCATTATTACGGAGCAGTGTCCAACAGCGGCATCGGTCGGGTTGCCCCGTTGCGCTGCGCAATCCATTTTTAAATGCCATCAGCATAAACAATTACACTAGACCATCCTCTACACAGCCCACACCAGTCGTCACGAAATACCTTTCAACATTTGCGGGACAAAAATAGGCTGCAACAATTTAGAGAGCAACTTTCGATTCTCGATTTCCTGAGATCTCCAATCTATTCGACCTGCTGCCTCCAGGGAAGCACCATCACAAGCTTCAGGTTTCCCACCTCCACCCCCCAGTCAGCCCAACATGCGAGTATCACGGCCGTCGTTCAACCCCGGGCGGACAAAAAACATCATTCATGGCGTACAAGCCTTCATCATCTTCCTCGCATGGGCTTTGACCATTGCCGTTTTCACAAAAGGTGATGGCATCGATGGACGGTCGGCCTGGTACTGGGCTTTGGTGAGAACAAGCCCTCTGTTCACTCGCCTCGCGAGCGGCAATGATGCCAAATTTTTGGATCGTTCGTTTACTGATGAGTGTCTGTGTACATACAGTGTTGGTTCAGTATTCCCGGTCTGATCTACCTTGTCGCAGTGCCCATGTGGCCACGCGCACGACGGTTCGGAAACGTCTATGCTTTTGCGACGGTTGATTGTCTGTATGCCATCCTCTGGTTCGCTGCGTGGGTTGCCGTCGCAAGCTATGTGGCGCAGGGGAAGTCTTTGGGCAAGGACGACAAACAAGATGATAAAAATGATAAAGATAAAGAGAAGAAGAGTGGGTGCGATGCATGGAGGTACGGGAGCGCGGCCAAATGCAATATTAGCACGGCTACCGTGATCCTCGGTGTTGTTATTTTGTGAGTACATCCGAAAGTTGATATCTTCGTCATTCTCTAATGGCTCCCTTTTTTTCCCCCCTCCAACAGCCTGTTGTTTCTTGCGACCGCTTGGATGTCCTTCCGCAATGTCATGCATTTCCGCCGAACCGGCACCCTTCCCGACGCCGTTTCCGACCCCACGTTTGCTGCTCAGAGCAAGGCTGCCTTCTCCTCGAACCCCGCGCATGACTTTGAGGAAGAGGAGGATGATTTCCGGTCCGGACGTGCTGGCATGGGCGGCTCGGTTCGCAGCGATCGGGACGAGGATTACGCCCTCCTGCACCAAAGCGAGGTCGATGACCTCGGCAACCCTAACGGACGTTCCGCCTTGCATGGTGCTTACGATCCCACTGCGCCCGGGTCCGGAAGCGTGCTGCACGACTACAGCACCAGCTACGGGGGCGCGCATGGGCAACACTATGGCCAACCGTCTGAATTTGGGTCCACTGTGAGTGGCTACGGACGCTGAGGGACGGAAACGCCTCTCGACTTTTCCCGCATTATCATTGTATTCTCGAATTGACCACGGAGCGGGCGCATATCACTGTTGTATGACCAAAGTATGTTTTCCTGTTGACACCCAAGTGAGGTGCTTTTTTTGCTGACTGTGGTATAGGCGATGATTATGTTGCAACCGTCGGCATGGGATCAAGGGACCCCTTCCAAAATTTGTTTCCGTTCTTCTGTACTTTGATGATATTCATGATTTCCCGGCTTTCTCCGTTTATCTTGCAGCAGCGTTTAGAGAACCCCATGTATTGGACTTATGACCTGGACCTTCAGATACTCCATTGGACATTTGATATTCACCATTTACAAATAAAATTAAATCATCTTGACATTACAAGTGTTCTAAATCCAACGATGGGCATCGCTGTTTATGTTTAGATCGAGTTGTGGTCTTGCTCTGGTACTGGTGATAGCTGCCATAATGTCAACAGTCTTTGATAGTGCTGATAAAGAAGCTGTGCTGACAGTTTCTGCCACCGCCTTCATGCTCGTACTATCGGCTTCTGGACAGCTTGCGATCTTGATGGTCATACTTGCTACTTGCTGTTCCAAGATACCCTTTTTCTATTTCTTTTTTTTTGTCTCTCCAGGTAGGCTGTGTGCTCGCTCATCACAGTGGCCAATTCAGGAGTTCTTGTAATAATTTATTCAAGGTGACTATGCAGTGCTGCCCACCACCATACACCGATCGATACTGACAGAGGACAACAGGCCAACGATATCTTGAGCATACAAGGCAAAACAGCCAGCATCACCTTCAAAATGGCCAGCAGCATCGATCTCTACAACCAATACCCTCTCCACCTCGACCCGAGCTCCAAAGCCATCTCCCTCCCCCCATCATCGAGCCAATCCGCCTCCCAAACCGCCACCATCAACGAAGAACTCCAAGCCCTCAACCACCTCCACCGCTCGCTCATCAGCCTCGACCCCCCCAACATCCCCCCTCCCCCCCTCCCTATCAACCCCAAGCGCAGCGCCCAGATCTCCAAGCTCCGCGACACCGCCAACCAAGCCTACCGCAAATCCAACTACCCGGAGGCCGTCAAGCTGTACACCTACGCCATTGACATGGCACTCAGCCGCCCGGGTTGGGAACCCGTTAACCTGGTCCGCGACGAGCTCTCGGCTCTGTATGCGAACCGCGCCCAGGCGCACATGGCGCAGCAGGCGTGGCCGGAGGGCATGCTCGACGCCAAGTCCAGCGTCGACTGCAAGCCGGTTGCGAACGTGAAGGCCTGGTGGCGCGCGGGCAAGTGTCTGTCTGAGATGGGGCGGTGGGAGGAGGCGAAGACAATCCTCGAGCGGGGCCTGGAGGTCGAGGGTAAGGAGAGTGAGGGTGGGAAGGAGCTGGGTACGTTGTTGGAGGAGGTGCAGCAGAGGCTGCAGAAGTCGGCTTAGGGACCTTGGCCGTGGTGTTTGGAGCTGTAGATACAGGCCTAGATGCTCGTGTGGGTGGTTCCATGTAGGCTGGGGTTTCGTTTCATATGCATGCTGGATCGACGTCTTATGTTGTCTCTGAGGCAGACAGGAATCTGCACTGCGGTTGTTCTCAGTACTTGGCGTTTACGGATGGAATTTCATTGCAATTCTTCTTATGTGATTTTACTTGATCCCCTGTGGCATTGCTTTGGCTGGTAGGAAAAGAAAACTGCACATTGCGAGGATTTTTCAGATCAGATCAAGGTCATGTCGGAGGGAGCCTGTACTCCACAGATAAACAAAAACATAGACACACAACAAGCGACTAGACCATGCGCTTCCCTGGACAGGAACCAACCTCCCAAAAGGCAAAAAGAGAACTGAAGCTCGTATCTTCCGATACGGGGAATCGAACCCCGAGCTGCTGTGTGAGAGACAGCGATGTTAGCCATTACACCATATCGGAGGTAGAAAATGAGCATTTCCGATGCGGGGAATCGAACCCCGAGCTGCTGTGTGAGAGACAGCGATGTTGACCATTACACCACATCGGATACTTGTTGGAAACGAGAACTATATTTGGTTCTATGTTCCAGGGCGAGATTGGTGCGCGCTAGAACTCGGTAATGGGTCCTTCGGCCCGTGGTTCGAAGTGGAGCTTTTAATCACCGTTCCCGAGTTCTTGATTGGTGTGATGGATATCTATCACACAGTCAAGATTATAAACACTACGTGAAAAACCTGTTGGTTCTTCAACACTCATCCGATGTGGTGTAATGGTCAACATCGCTGTCTCTCACACAGCAGCTCGGGGTTCGATTCCCCGCATCGGAAGATTCATCTTCAATTCCTTTTTTTGTCTTTTACATTTTGCTCAAAATTCCTAGGGGTCTTCTTTCGCAGACTCTCTCGATCAGGGCGCTTTTGAACTCTATCCATATCTTTTTGCGAGAGACTGCCCGTGTTGGCTTTCCTGCCGTGGCTGGGTTCTCCGGTTTTGATTTCCGCTTGAGCGATGCAGGCTTTGGATGTGCCCCCCAAGCATCGTACCTCCTGGTTAAGAGAGCGAATATCGCTGCAGTAGCGGTGTCGCTGGTAACTACTAGCTGGGGTGGTTGCATGCAGGGTAGATGAAGTAGCAGTAACGGGGCTACAAGGACTATTGTACTCATTCGTGACTCCGATGGTAATTGATTTCTTGCTGGACTGTTGGGGTGCTATATCGCGGTGCCATCTGGTGTATGGACCTCGATCAATGATTCGAGACGGATTGCTCGATGTTGCGCAATGTGGTTGTGTGCAGTGTGGATATATATTATAGGAAATACAGAGGTCAACCATGGCCAAGTGTCGACAGAGGTTATATGCTACAGCAATGAACAACGTAAGATAGCCACCAACAGACCAGTAGTGCCTATCGACGCAATCAAATGAGATATCGAACTAATAGTCGACCATCAACTTCGAAGAGAGATATCCAACCTAGAGATGGATGTGGATGTCAAGACTCAAAGTGTCACATCATCTTGATTATTGAAGCTCTTATCTTATCGTCCCGACCACGCTAACCGGAAGGGTCAACGCCGTGACGATGCGGAGAAACAGACAGACATAGATAAACAAGGTCGATCATCTCCTCTGCCTAACAATTCAAGATCACCTCGAGCACTTACCCATCATGCGGAGAAGGATTACATTCGTACAGCGGGCCGACGCCCCGTTCGATTTCGACCAGGCTGTGTTGACGACCGATGCACTGTCCATCCGTAACCTGGACGGTGCGCGCGAGGAGCGAGCTACACTCAGCTTCGAGGAGCTTCCCTCAGAGGTGCGACATCACACCGCAAGAAGCCATGGGTAGTAATTAACAGCGACTGACATTTTGTGGACAGGTTTGGCAGGTTCTGAAGTCATGCCATGAGCTCCACGTTCGGTGGGCAACGGAGCGCCCTTACCATACCGGGGCGCCGTTTTCGAGTCGTATATCGCCCGGCCTACATGTTTTTTACACACCGGGTGGACAGGAGGAAGCGTGGGTGCTCACAAGAGGATACTGCTTTGCGATTGGAACGGCTCTAATGACTGCTATAGGAGTGGGTTCTGTCCGTTGCTGAAGAAGGTCTTCGGTGAGTCGTTGGAGTGTGACAGTCCCGAGGTGAGTTATCCCGAGACCCAAGCAGATATACTTCCTGCTAAGTAAATTGGTCGGGATAGACATCATTCATCCAGCCTCCGATTCACTCGAAACGATTCGCATCTACAGCCGCTTTCCAATATCACAGTCGCCTTCGCTCGCTGGACAACCTGGTCACATTCATTCAGCACAAATTCTGTGATAGCTCGGACGAGAAGTGTCATCAACACGTTAAAGAGCTACTTTCCGCGGACTCGGTCGATATCGACTACAATAGCATATCGCATGCCCTGACGGTGTCGGGATACTGGTCCAAGTCGCCAGCCCAGGGATGGAGCGAGGAAATCAAGCAGCACGTGGCAGGAACCGACAAGGTTGAAGTTGGGTTGCTAGGCGTCGAGACAGCTATCGAGCCCGAGGAGCTGAAGATGGGTGGACTATTGGGCGTCGTGGGACAGGATGAGAAACTGAGTACGTGCACCGAGCACCGAGCACCGAGGAGAGACAATGCTGACCATGTCCGGGAACAGAACCGGCGCTATTCTCCTTCCCCTCACGCCATCATCCGCTCCCAGAAGACGCAACATACTCCGTCTCCTTCGCTGAACCAACCGGTCTCCACCCCACCATGGCCATCTCGATGCCTCCCGCCTCACTCCAGCGGCCCCCGGCGCCCCCAGACGCAACATGCGCCCTGCACACATACCTAACCCTACCCTCGTGGATCTTCGGCGACAAGTACCAGCTCTCCACGACGGACCCACTGTTTTTGGACTCGCACCACCTCGCCGCCCTCCGCGCCGTAGCCGGAGAAACCGACCTCGAAGCCCCGGACTGGTTCGTCCCCCGCTGGGGTTCAACCTGGCTCCTGGAGCTCGCCACCCCGCCCGACGCCCAAGCCCCGGAAGACTGGAACATCACCATCCCCCTGCACCTGCGCTACCTGCGCCCCTCGGAGTCCGGATACCGCTCCGCCGGCGTCCCGTGGCCCGTCGTCTTCTGGGCCTGCACCGCAGAGGACGGCACGAAGATGGGCACGAATCCGTTCGACCGCGTGAACCTGGGCTGGGAGGGCCTGTTTGGTCCGCGCACGATGTTCTACCAGCTGGCGCCGTCGCCTGGGAGCCATGGCCGGCTCGTCGATGAACTGGAGGTGCCTGTGCTGCGGCTACGGAATGGGCGGGGCTTCTTCCAGAGCCGGACTATTGAGCTGGGGACTGTCGTCGTCGTGGCGCTGGGGTTTGTGTGGATTCTGTGGAAGCTGGGAGTGGTCGTGCGGTCGTCTGGGACGGGCGCCCGGAAGAGAGAGGACAAGCAGGGCAAGGCCGAGTGACCGTATTCCTTATTCTTTCGTTGTGCCATTTCCCTTTCCACTCAGTGTATTTATCAAGCCATCCATAGATTCCGGGTCTACGGTCCCCTAGTCCGTTCCTTGCAAGCACAATCCTGATAAGAAAACAAGGGTATATATGAAAAACGCAAAGGGTATCTTAGTTCCACTCGCCTCGATATCTACAAACCAATATAAATAAACAAAGTTAGCAAGGCTAGATCCCCATCTCCGGCAGCGGCCACGGCACATCCGTCATGAGAAACTGCTCCAGGTCGAAATTCTGCAGACTCGGCATGTCGATCATCAGCTCGCCCAGCCACGAGAACTCGGCTGAATCCTGGCGGCCGGAGCGCGGCGGCGGGAGTGACTGTTGCAGTTGCTGCTGTTGTTGCTGCTGCTGCTGTCCCGCGGATAGGTTCGGCTGCGGCGTGGAGGTTGATGCTGAGGTTGACGTTGTGGCTGTAGTGGGAGCAGAGGCAGAGGCAGAGGCGTTGACGCGGAGTACGTCGCGCAGGGCACGGGTGTCCTCTTCCTTGCGGCGCTGGTGCAGGAGGATGAGCAGGTAGGCGGTGCTGTAGGCCTCGCGCATGACGTCTGTGTCGTACGCGGCGGCAACGTTGCGGAGCGTGCGCATTGCGTCGGCGAGGAGGGCGAGGGCGGCGCGGGTGTCGATGGCGAGGAGAGTGCAGACGACCTGGAAGGGGACGTTTGCGATCTGGTGCCAGGGGCAGATGGAGGCGACCATTTCGCGGGCGGCGCGGAGGCCCTTTGCGGCGAGGGCGAGGACGCGGTCGAGTAGGGCGCCGGAGATGATGGAGTTGAGGGCGCGCAGGCGGCGGTAGATGCAGAGCATAAGGTTGCACTGGGCGAGGATGAGCGGGGCTTGGATGTGCGCTATGTCGAGGATGTTGGCGAGGGTGGCCTCCAGGCCCGGCGCGTCCTGCGTCTTGTTTGGGTCCAGGCTCTCTGAGACGGGGAGGAGATTGAAGATCTCCGAGGGCCCGTTGGGGGATCGCGGCGCGGGGGGCAGCGAGGTCGCGCCGTGCAGGACCACGCGGGAGCGGCCGAGCTCGAAGGAAATCCAGACATTCAGGTGGCGGGCCATACCGAAGAGCCGCCGGCGGGTTTCCGGGGCGCAGGGCGCGGTCGTTGGATTCAGCACCGCGTCGGGTAGGGCCTCGAGATGGAGCCCCGAGGCCTCGATCAGATGCATCAGCGAGCAGCTCGCCATCCAGGCAGCGTGCGGAGACGCGGTCATGCGCAGGTATGCGACTCGCAACACCCACCCGGTAATCATGTCGACCGACACGGGGGTCTCGGAGGGCAGGCTGTGCTCGAGGATCAGCCGGGCGGTTTCGGCCAGCTGGTACTCCGCGGGCACGGCTCGTCGTCGCGAGAAGAGGTACCCGATCGCCGCCACGCCGCAGAGCACCGCATCGTACGGTCCATACGCCAGTGCGGACTCGGACGAGGGGGGCAGCCATCGCCTGCTGACATGGCGGAGCACCGCGTCCCGGTCGAGAAAAGGATAGCACATATCCACTTTTTCAAGGAAGAAGGTCATCAACGTCCGCATTTCTTCCTGGGAGATGATGTCCACAATGGGCACTGGAGCAACCGAGGTTGGCGGGGGCATGGTGGACGGGGGTGGATGACGAGCCCCAACGTTCCATGCGAAGAGATGCAATCTGGGTGCATTGGCAGCGTCCAGTTTCAGACCCAATCTGCGTACAAACGCAGCGCCCGAATTGGCTTCTAGAGAGCTGAGGGGGATGCTTGCTGAGTCCCCAGGCGTTGTTGTGGACTGGTCCTGGCTCGGGGGCCGAGGGGATTCATCCGCGACATTATTAGGTCGATGTATTGACGACTGACCAACTGAGAGTCTGAAAGCTTTGAGATCTTTCTTCTTCCGCGACTGAATATCGTAATGACAATCTGATGCCGCGCCCAACTGCACACACGTGCTGCATGGCTGGTCACCGGAGCACTTGCGCTTACGGGACTGGCACGAAGTACAGGCGATTCTGGAGCGCTTTCGCGGTCCTGGCTCCGTCATGATTGTCAGAGCATGCTTCGTGTAGTATGCAGCTGAAATTTATGTAGATGAAGATATGTACAATGGATGAAAAAGTCGTTGGGGTTGTGTGTTATAGTTCGAGATGGTTGGAAGTTGGCCTGTTGAGTGTATGTGAATTGGTTTGGAGAGAAACGACTTGATTACGCATCCGAGGCGCCAACAGCAAACAACAGCCGGTCATCATCTTCGCGAACTTTCAACGCAGTGAACAGCAAGGGGATCTGCTTCATCTATCCTGGTGTTCTGAATGAAAAGAGGAATGACATATGCTTTGACTCGGACTCGACATTACAGATAAATTAGGACCGTCACACAACAGACTACATCATCTCAATCTTCATATTTCCGGCCATCAGGGTATCCCAGGAGATCTTCCAACATCTTCAAATCCGGCATTCCGGCAGGACCAGGCATATAGTGAGAGTTCTCTCGGAAAGTGGTTCCATTCCACCAGATCTCGTTCTTGTGCAGGGCCTCCATGATGCGAGCCGAGTCGATGTACGTGCGGATCTCCACCATCTGCCCCTCGTGCCATCGAGTCACCCAGACATTGACGATGTCAAAGTCGTCTCCTAGACGAAGCAGTTAGCGCTGTTATCCAATGGAGAGGGACCGATCAGCCCCTTCCTTAGCCTCTCACCTGAATTCATGATTCCCTTGAAATTGACCTCCTGGACGGACCATCGCTCATTGCAGCCGCCATGGATGGCCTGCGGGTGGATCTCGAATTTGTCTGCATGGTCGAAGAACAGCACACTCACGCGGCGCAGCGCATTGACATAGAAATGCAGCAGATCCGGGTAGTGGCCGGCGATGGGGTGGTGTCCGACCACGGTGAAGCTCACATTCTTGTGGATCAGGGTGAAGAGCTTGTTCATGTCCTTTTCGAGATCCTTGAAGGAGTCCCAGATGTGCATCTGCGAGACATACTTGCAGTCGGTGGAAGGGTTTTCGAACCGGAATCCTTCTCGGTTCTTGCGGTCGGGAGGCGGATCTACGAGGCCATCTCCATTGCAGCGGCCGTCCGGGTCGACAATACCGGAGCCATCGCACCCGGGGGCCTCTAGGGGGTCCTGTGAGAGTGCTGCTGGTTGTCGGTATAATTCGAATGATGGGAAGCCCCAGGCAAGGGTTGTTGCTGGGAGGGCGAGAGCCACAAGGGCCGGGAGAAGGTACTTGAAGCAGACCATGAGACCTATCAGGAATACGAACCGTGCCGGCTGCCACATCAGTAGGGAAAGATCGTTCGCATTTTTGCTATACAGCATCGTTGGGGTTTGGTATATATGAACAACGTCTGTAATACTCCGGGGGGAGGTGGGGGGGAAGAGCCAGGAGCAAAAGTTTCCGACTGCTAGAGGCTGTGCCACTTGATCCAATACACTATGACTACACGGATGATCACCCTGTACTGCAAGGAATAGCATTGAATCAGGATAAAAGTCACCGGTTCGCAGGCATAACCCCTCAGAGCAAAAGATCCGAGACGATGCGTGTGCTACCCTCTTCCATGTCTTGAGTGAGACAGGTGTTGAATGGAATCACCCGATATGTAGGGCATTGAACAAGGCATATAAACCGATCCTATGGATTCTATTCTTCTTGCGAGACTTCCAGTAGCTTCTCTGACGTCAAATAAAGGATATGGGTAGATAGATATAGATACTGTAGCTGGTCATTATGTAGGGATATCATGCCGGTACTTTATATCCCTGATAGACAGTATTCTTTCTACCAAGAGTCCAAGAGTCCAGACTGCAAGTCCTTTCTCCCCTGTACCCTTGATTTAAGCTGCTGTATTGACTTTGTCGCCTGTAGTCTCGATGGTCTATAGAGGGACCAGTGAGTTCACCACTACGTATGTATCGCAGTACGGTAGATATTCACCATGTTGTACATACACTCACCTATTACCCTTAGCAAGGTATCTATTAGCATGGCGCACAATGCTAAGCTCTACATGGCTCTCTATTTCTATCACACCTGATTCTGAAGACTCTACATCTCTCGGCTGATGGCTCTGGTGGTTTGTGGATATTATTGGCGAATAAGGGGCAATATGTGATGCGGCTGCCAGTACAAATACATGGCAACGGAAAGCCTCGCGACTGATGACCGCGGAGAGATCGATATAGGCGACCCTTATTTAGATCGGATGCGTAGCATGGGGCGTCTGAACAATATCATTATGCCGCAGTATCCCCTCTAACCTCAGTATATTGTGATATCTCCGAGATCATGAACCCTACTTCCGAATCAAATGAGTCACGATTTACACGCAGAGAAAAAAAGAAAAGAAAAAGAGATAAACCCGAAGAATGGCGGCTGCCTTGTATTTGCTCTTTGTTAAGGCTGTCAAAGACTGTGTCTTGGAGAGAAGATTTGACACTTCGGCTGAACTAGATGAACGGAATGTTCGGTCTTGATTTCCTTTCTAGGGTAAACATCATTCAAGCTGAGGTTGCTAACTTGCTACAATCCCGGTGCTTTGAAACGTTCGTCCGAGTTGCTCGGAGGTCTAAACGGGTCAAAGGACTCGGAGATATACAGAATATGCTGTCATTCGCGTATCGGCTGACCAATACGGTGGGCTTGTGTCATAACCATCAGTGATCAGGCTCAAGAAGTCGGATTTAGCAAAATATTCCCATATATGGTAAAAGTCCGAGTCGTTCTTCTATATCACTTCGACCGAGGGTGGAAAGACCCGATGAAAGATGAAAGAAGAGTGCTCATATAAATTGGCGGTTTTGTCCGGTTGTCAAGTATAGCTTTTTTGAATCAGATATCGCTCATCACAACATATTACACAACATATTACCACCATGGCAGATCACGTTGCTCCTCACCCCCGTCCTGGAGATCGCTCGGTAAGTCGACCTCTACAGCTATCCCCGAGGCGTTTGATGGAATGCTTGACCTAATACATCCCTACAGCGCGACGACGGAAAGGAGCTGAGGCTCCTCCACTTCATCTACGGCCAACCAGATCTCGATGAGATCCGGGGTAACCCCCAACGGGTCCTCGATCTCATCCACAAATTCGAAGAGACAACCCGCCTCTCCATGAACGTGGGAGCCGGAAAGGGCAAGGTCATGACCGACCTCATCGCCCAAGTCAAGCCGCAGACCATGATCGAACTGGGCGGCTACGTTGGCTACTCCGCGATCCTCTTCGGCGATGCCGTGCGCCGCGCCGGCGGCAAGCGGTATTTTAGCCTCGAGCTGAACCCCGAGTTCGCCGCGATCGCCAACATGCTGATCGAGCTGGCGGGGCTGCGCGACTTCGTGCGCATCATCATCGGCCGAAGCGACCGGTCCTTGCACAAGCTGTTCACCAGCGGGGAGGTCACGCAGATCGAGCTTATGTTCCTCGACCACTACAAGCCCGCCTACACGACGGACCTGATGCTGTGCGAGCAACTCGGCAAGATCATCCCCGGGGTCTCGGTCCTGGCGGCGGATAATGTCTTGCGGCCGGGTAACCCGCCGTATCTGGAGTATGTGCGCAGCACGGTGGAGCAGAAGCGTGAAGCCGCGAAGAAGGGCCCGGTTACGAGCTACAACAAAGAGGGCATTCCGCAGCGGTTGGTCGAATCCTTCCTGGGGGATGAGGATAGGCCGAGTTTTGAGATGCTCGGGAACCCGAATCTAGTGTACGAGAGTACCCTGCACCAACCTGAGGGTCTGCAGGTGAGTGGAATCTTTGTCCCTTCTTGTTTTGTGTGGCTTTTGGCGAATGGCTGACAATGCTTTCTACCTAGGATGCTATTGAGGTGACCCGCTGTGTTAGGATTAGAGAGTAGGATAGAGTAGAGCAGATGAGAGCAGATGAGAGCAGATACTTGAGGAGTCTTGACGAAGAATTAAGATTTTTTGTTTTTTTTTTTTTCTTCAATTTGTAAGCATTTGATGCCATCGCAGTCAGTGTGATTCTGTGATTCCGTGAATTCCGTGGATCCCTCAACCAGACATAGCAGAAAGAATCATCGGCCGGCGAACCGAAATCCGAGACAGCACTGAATCGGCTTTTGGTAAGATAGTTCTCTTACTGTTGACCTTCGTCTTTAGTAGTAATTAGTGTATGGTGGTAGTAGTACTACTGTGTATGTAAGTTAGTAACATTAACATCTCCAGTGCCCCGCCTGAGCCACAGATTGCCGGATTGCCCCTCGCCAGGACCTTCCCCCATACCCACTCCGGTTCTACGATGTCACGGCCAGATGGGCTTTCTGAGGAGCTTGTTTGACTCAGGTGGATGTATTTAAGTTAGGATTCCCCAGTCATAGAATTATCAATCGTTAGATTATTCTAGATATTCTTTTTTTCCCATTGTGTCGAGTTATCCCACTTTAACCCCCCTCCCTCGCTCATTAGACCATCATCATGGCCTCCAAGACCTGGAACGTCGGAGTCGTAGGCTACGGCTTCAGCGCCAAAATCTTCCACATCCCCTTCGTCACAGAAGTCCCTCAGCTCAAGCTCTATGCGATTGTGCAGCGCACACCCAAGTCGGATGATTATGCGGAGAAGGATCATCCTGGAATCAAATCTTACCGCAGCGCAGAGGAGATGATCAAGGATCCCGCGGTCGACGTGGTGATCATTACCACTGCCCCGGATTCGCACTATGCTCTGACCAAACTGGCGCTGGAACACGGAAAACACGGTCAGGAAGCTTCTGGGTTTAGGCTGTTGAACCGTATTTGCTGATTTTTTCTTCTCTACCCAGTTGTCTGCGAGAAGCCCTTCACTCCTACCTCCCAGGAGGCCGATGAGCTCGTAACTATCGCCCAACAGCAGAACAAGCTGTTAGCTGTATTCCAGAGTACGTTGCAATAAACTCCAATTTCTTTTCTTTTTTTTTTTTGGATTACTCTTGCTGATAAGATTCCATAGACCGTCGTTGGGATGCCGACTTTGTTACCCTTTCCAAGCTGGTGAAGAACGGCTCGCTGGGCCGTGTTGTGGAATTCGAGACTCACTTTGACCGCCACCGCCCCGAAGAGCCCGCTGTCGATGCCTCGAAATGGAAGAACAAGGTCATTCCCGGTGGTAGCGCCATCTATGATCTTGGAACCCACCTGCTGGACCAGGCTGTACACCTGATGGGGATGCCGGAGCGCGTGACTGCCTTTGTTGGCTCTCAGCGGGCTGTGAACACGTCTGGTTTCGAGGATTCGTTTACCGTCCTGTTGCACTATAAGAATGGCCTGCTGGTGACAGCCAAGGCGGGGGTGGTGAGCCCGGAGGTGGAGCAGTTGAGATACTGGGTTCGCGGAGAGAAGGGAAGTTTCAAGAAGGTGAGATTGATCCCGATCACTTCCTAACGGCTTTTTTTTTTTTTTTTTTTTTTTTGAGTCACGGAGCTGATCTGTTCTGCAGTTTCATCTTGACATCCAGGAGGATCAACTCAAGGCTGGCATGCGTCCTGGAGACAATGGATATGCAAGGGAACCCAGCGATCGATATGGTAGGCTTACGTTACCTCCCTAGTCCCCTGATGCCTTGCATCCCTTGCAATTGTATAGCTAACGGGCCTGGCGCAGGTACTCTGATCACAATCCAAGACGGCAAGCCCGTCAGAGAGGTCGTTCCCACGGTCGAACCCCCAACCTATACCGAATATTACAGGAAGCTTGCGCGGGCGCTTGCAGGAGAGGGCGATCTCCCCGCCAGCGGCGCCGAGGCACGCGAAGTCATTCGACTGATTGAGCTGGCAAAGGAGAGTTCCAAGCTCGGCAAGACCATGGACGTTTGAACTTTTGTATGATTATACCATGATATAAACCGCGACTTGATGATAAAGTAATGATGATCTTTTCAACAATGCTACATTTTTCCTACCACTTAGACATCAGCTTACCTCGGACGATGCGTGATGGTAGGTAGGTAGATCTTACACTACCAGCACTTTCAGCAGACCGCATACTCATAGTCCATAGGTAGATACTCCATAGGTACTCCATAGGTAGGTAGGTAGGAGTATCGTTCAAAAATCTACGGGAACACTTTTCTTTCCTCTTTCGGCCATTGCCGCTTTAAGAGGGTGAACCGGGTGAGTCAGGTGATTTGATCACCCTCAAAAGTGATTTACTCACCCATCCGTGGTGATTCGCTCACCTCTTCAACACCAACATTCGCCCTTGATCCTTATCATCCTTTCGTGTGCACGCCGGTTTGCTAGCTGCTTCATTTACGCATTACTAATGGGCCAACTAGGAGACAGGGAATATGGCTCTGAGGAGAACAGGGCCCCCACGGGCCCCCCGACAAAAGGCGCGAAGTCGTCCTGCCCTCCTTGACTTCTCTTTCACTCATGCATCCTGACTGACACCTTGCACGACTGTGGAACCTGCTGGCTACTCCGCTCTCAGTCCTGCTGAAATCACCTCTTCTTTGCGTTGCACCCGATCTCCGCCGCAAAAATGCCCAAAGGAAGACAAAAGGTTGATAGACTGGCTACTGCCCAAGCCAGAGGTTATGTTCGAGGAGCGAATCGAGACAAAGACCAAGAATACTGTGAGACCTATTATTCAGACGGATCCAAGGCTCTCCAGGACCGAGTCCTATCGGATTATATAATGTTAGTACCGTCCATACCTCTTTAGCATACACTGCGTTTATCTAACTGAATCATTTGTCTCTTGGACGTAGCTGGGCCTCCCAAGAGGATGAGAATCTCCGAAAGGAGGGTCTCCGTGAAGGACAGCCCGTGCCGGATCTAGCCACGATCAAGGACTTTATCCGATTTTACATCTACTCTTCGAACGGAATGATCTCTCTGCGCCCTACAAAATCGTCCGTATTGAATTTTGCTGAACGATTCTTTGCCGGTTTCACCCGTCTTACTAAGACTACTTTCGATACGAGGGATACCAAGGATGTTTATAAGGTTTGGAGATCTATCACTGAATTACTTCCGGCGGATACTAAGTGCGAAAAGTGGATATCGAAAGAGCTTGTTCAGGAAAAAGTCATCGAGGATATAAGAAAAGCGAAGCACATGTTTACGCACTGTGACCTCACCAACATTTTTGTGTCCCTGTGGACCGACGATGATCCTATGTTCATCCACCCCAGATACAGAGTTCAATTAACATTCGCAATCCTTATTTACTGTTACACTGGAGCACGGATTGGCACATTTATACCTGATACCTCGAAGAAAGACGAACGTGGGCTCCGATATGAAGTACTTCAGGCGACCTGCTAAGGTAGATATTTTTTGAGCTAACATGCAACAGGACATCGAGCTATATATATATCGCAGGATGGATGGCGAGATCGAACTCTTCTTCCGTCTCAGTGAGAAATGGGTCAAGAACAACGATAATCCTAAAAAATACTGTGTATGTCGCAAGCACCTACGCAGATCTTCTAATGCTGATGCAGTGCATACAGTTTTTATATTGCGATGAGAGAGCACGGCAAGTTGCGATATAATCCCATACCTTAGCTTTTAGAGATGGCGGTGTAGGATGGAGCTTTTCTGCACCTTGATTTGTTACAGACTCTGAAAACCTGGAATCCAGACAACAATGAGTCAGTTCCACTTTTATGGAAACCATCCGTGGCCGAGGAACCTGTATTACGCCAAGTCACCAGATTTGATGGGATCTCAAAGCGTGCATGGACGCGTGAGAGTTTTTGCCGCATATTCCGGGCAATCGTTATCAATGCTGGATATCCCGAAATCATTACGATCCATACCTTGAGGCGTGGTCTTGCTAACAGACTAGACAGTAAGTTGGTCCTCTCGTCGCTTCAGGGTAAAATGATCTGACCACCACCTATAGAAGTAGCAACCGATTCTGAGAGAAGTCAGATCCTTACGCAAAAGGATCCCAATGTTTTTGGAAGAAGCTACATAGATAACACTTCAGCTCTGAGAACCATGGATGCATTTCTGGGAGAGAAGATGCGCCTTGATCATATTAAATACCTTAGAGGGGTTGGCAAATACCGTGCAATTAGCTACCCCAGGCATCTGCCAGCTGAGTGACAGCATGCTATCGAGAAGCATAAAGACTTGTGCGAACTCGAAAGCCGACTTAAAGAGTTACGTACCCAGGAGAGTTCTGGTGAACCCAGCCATCAGACCATGGTTGGCGAGAGTGATGCCGACAACGTTGATCAGGATGCTAGCTTTGCCATAAAGCTCACCGCCAAGCAAATAGATGTCTTGAAGACTCGCCTTCATCAATCTGAATTAGCTAAGTACAGGGAGGAATGGGTTCAAAGGCGTGTTGAAGCGCAGGTCAGGGCTGGAGGGAAAGCTCTAGAAATGATTATTTATAATAACATCGCACACTGCCTGTTCAAGGCCCAGCCCGATCGTCAACGCATCGCCAAGATGATGCCAATGGATGACCATATATCCTACCAAGATATGCTCTCTGTCGTGGAGAGCCTGTTGGCCTACTGCATCAAAGACTATGATGTTTTCTACCGTCCTGGGGAGGAGCCTGTTGATGGGAGATGTCCGGTTGGGAACTGTAATTTGACGAGGTGAGTGAGGCAGTCAGTCAATATACACCCTCCGTCATCCTCCCCATCTCTAATATTCCTCAGTTTGGCCCGCCCTATGCGATCTAATCATATTCAAGAATGCCAACGCAAGGAACATTACAAGATGCTTGGGTGCGAGGAGACGCAACTAAAATACTGCTATGAGTGCTTTGCCTTCTCGAAAACAGAAAAGTGGGAAGATCATTGCAGCTGGCATCTCAAGCAGGGCATGTCCAGGCGGTGCGAAATAATCACTTACTATTATACCCTCGTCCGGCCAGGGTACTGTCCTTTTTGTCTCGGCTCTGAGACTCTCTCACCCCCAGACCGCATGAGAGCCTGGAAACGGAGTAATGAACTGAGAAGCCACGTTGTCAGCCATATAGAGACAATGTGCGGGACTTGCGTGTGTTCTCACCTAATGTGCTAAGTTAAGTTTCAATCAGAGGCCCAGCTACGTTATCACTTGAGCGATATGCATGGTCGGCAGAAGGCCATCTGGGCTTCGTGTGATGATGCGTTGGATAACCAGAAAATGTCAAGCGCTCGAGCCGATGCGGTCTCTCGAGGCAAGAAGAGATCCCGGGAGTGGAAAGGAACTAAAAAACAGCAAAGATTTGGTTCCAGCGAAGCTGGAGAGCTTCGCATTATTCACTGGGCTTCCCCCGAACCAAGTAATACTACCACATCCGCCGGTCGCAGTTCTGCAGAGATCAGGAGACAATCCGTCGGCTCTTCGCTCATCAAGAACACACATACAGGGCCCACTCCTGTTCTGCTCGCTCAACATAGCCCTGTCTCTTCAGACCCCTTGTCAACACCCTTCCGCCATTTTGCGGAGACATCGTTCTATTCACTAGACGGAAGGTTGGACCAACTGTGCGAAAATGGGCCAGAATCTGATATACGAGGCATTGAATGCTCAGCTCGTTCGCCGTCGTTGCTACCTGGCTCAACGGGTGACACTTTGGACACTTCTGACATGTCCACGCTCTGCACAAGCTATGAACCTGAGCATTCGACTGCTGGTGAAAGCCCTAAGGTCCTACCGATTGACCCGCGGTTAGTGCAAGATTGTAACTTACCAATCTTAGATGGGCACAAGTCAGCGATTCCTGGGGACAGAGACCATATTGATCTCCTGTATGATATATGCACTCCAGGTCTCACTACTTATCCAACATGTATGTTGAGTGATGCGAGCTTGTCTCCCAGAAAGGCCCCACCAGGTGCAGACGCTACTATATCCACTATTAGCGACCCATCCTCGCGTTCAGCACCTGAGAAAATACTTAAACAGCGCAGGCGTTTGAACGGTGGAGTCCATGCAACAAACCAACTGACTCGGGCCGCGGCGCGAAGGCAGGCCACTAATGCTCAGCGTCACACTCCATGCACCAAGAGCATCAGTGTGGCGAACCATCTTTCCAAGGGGGAAGACAGGCTTCTGAGGAGCATGGCGAAGGCAGGGTCGAATCTTGAGAAGACAATACGATAGTTCCGGAAACCTTTTCCGAATAGTCTAAAGCATCAGTTCGGAGATGGTGGTCCCTGATGCAACCATCTCTGCGGAATACTCGCTCAACCTCCAGGTTATGCATGGGTGGGTGATAGATTTGTTGGCGACTAAACGTTGCGAGCCATTAATGTCTCATGATTGGTTCAGCCTGAATGACAAGTAGGTAGTGTTTTAAATTATCCTCCTAATGCCATATCTTTTTTGATAACAGGTGACTTTCCGTCCAACGCAAGTCTCGGCTGAAATTCATTACAAAATACATATTTTCATGTGATTCCGCTTAGCCGAAGGTGAATTGAATGAAGTCTATTCCTCCTCGTCTGGTCCGTCGTCCAACGAAGGTCGACGACGGACGTCTTATATACCAAACGAATCGGTCGGACCGGAACAACAGTCCAACCGACGAACCAATGAGGTTCGTATCCCTACGAATGTTCTATGTACAACAGGTAGCCCGTAGGGTTCGTTATCACATTCAACTATTCACTTGAGAGACAACATGCAGAAAAGCGATTTATTATATTATGTAGTCTTGAGATGCATCTGCCAAAGGCGGTCCACTAGCCATCGCACAGGAAATTTCAACAGAGAGATGCTCTCTGGAATATTGAGGTACCAGTCATCTTCATCAACTAAACTCAGAGTGCGTGTCAGGACAGTGCATTCATAGTAAACAGGATAGAAGCCACTATCCTCCCAGTCGATAATCCCAGTAACAACATATTAGCCGCCAGAATCAAGATCCTGTTTCACCATTATATTGCTAGTTCTGACATCACCATGTGTGAACACTAATCCAGGCGTTAATGTTGAAGTGTCATGCTCTAGAAAAGAATGAAGAAGTTAAACATAGGTAGTACTATCATAGTGACGAGTGGAAAATTACAGATCATGAAATTCTTTTACAATTATAATACCTTTGAATAAGGTGCATTCATTAATATAAAGCTCTTTAACTCCCTCTCTGTAGATTCCACCAAGCGGGCTACCATTGGTTTATTAGAGTGTTCTTAAATATAAGAAGATACCATCTAGCTGGCATTATATTGAGAGCTTCTCTTCGCGTAGCAGGCTGGGCCATATTTGGGCTAAGGTAGTGCCCTGAATGTATGATATGAATATAACGCGGAAGGGCCTGAATGCCACCAACCTATGGGGCCTGGGGGCAGGAATACTAGGCGCCTAATCCATAAGGTATTACATGCTCATGTACTCTGTGTAATCATTATTTCTAGTAATAACTTTTGCAATAATGTTTTCATCACATTTAACCACCACACCTCTGACAGGGCTCTCCCAGAGTTTCTTTGAGGCCCAAAGCAGTCTTTTCAAGGATAATATAAGCGAGCCTTCAATACTAGTCGGCTTGTCTTCCGGCCCTGAGAATTGAGCAAGCACAGTGGTCACCTCTTTGGACAATGGATAGATCACTGTAGCATTCTCCGCCTGGTCAAGTCGAGTTCTGAACTCAGGGGGTGAATCTTCGAGGCACTTCTGTTCTCTGTTGATTCTTGGTCCCGCCGCCATTTCGATTCTGCGAGAATAGTTTTTCGGGAGCACTGATAGCAGATTGACTTCTGGTTCGTGTCTCAGAGTATCTTGGAGGTCCTCTATTAACCGAAAATTGATCTTCGCAGCATTAGATAGTTGACCATATTGAGCGTTTCGATGTTCATGGACATAAAAGTCAGGAAACATTGATATCAGGTCTGCTGCAGGGTCGTTCTCCAACGCAGCCTGAAACTCGAGCATGAGTTGTTTGTTCCATTGTGCGGCGTCCGCGTTTGGCAGTGATTTGGGCGATGTGGCGCTGCCCATGATAGTTGATGGAATGTAGGTTGGCGCTCAAAGAATATCTGTTTACCAAAAGAAACAGTGACGGTAACACCAGTCGACATGATTTGTCCGGGATACTCAGCTGATTATAAGTTAGACTACGCGGGCTTTGGCGGCTGGGGGGGGCAATTTTAGGGTCTCTTACGGCTCAAGTAAGTGATATCACCTTCGTGCGCCCTTCGTACTCGTCCAGGTTATCTTTGGGTGCCTTATCTGATGAATTGCTCCATTACCAGGGCTCGCTTAACTTATGACGCTGGAAGAGTTCACTTATCTACTATCCTTCCTGCATTTCGGCTGGTATATACTCGTTCTAGTTGCAGTAATCTGCTACTACTTCCGTCCAGTATACCGGAGGATCAGATGGGAACATTGAGCGTTTCCGAAAACGAAGGTGTCTTGACTCTCACAATGGGTTCTATGCGCCCAGATACCGTGGGCCAAGATACGACGGCTCAAAGTACAATGGGCGAGGGCTTGATCGAGGCTAAGCTCATTTCAAGGGAATACTGCCGTTCTCACTGGGTCATCACGCTCAGTCAATCTGGCAAGTGCATCAATGTTGATTTGTCGAGGAACGTAACTCGCTACTCACGGGACCCCCTTCCAGAGTTTGTCAGTTCCATCGGCTTTCGCATCAAGGAGGGCAAACCTCCAATTGATAATCTAATGGAGCATTTGTGGCTTCCGGTACCATTTATAAAGCGACCCCAGGATTTCTGCTCTTGCGTTCAATGGGTGTAAGTGCATAATGTCACATTTGCGTTCCCGTACTGATTGGCTGCAGATGGGGGGTTATTTACAACTACTCCGCAAACAATTGTATCGAGACTGTCTCCACGACTGGTATTTCGCGAGATGACCTCATTTGGGAGCTAGTCCGCAGGCAATCAGATGCTTTGATTGATATTGAAATGGACTTTGCCTTGTCGGAGCTCACGTGCATCGAGGATTATGGCAGTCAAGAGATCAGGTTTAATGATCGCAGTGACAGTCATGCAGGTGCTAATCCCCAGGACGCGGAGGTGGATGATGGAAAATGATTTGTCTTCATGATAATGTATCTGGTCCTGCTATACATGCTTCTTATAATCAATACTGGTGTCATGTCTATCCTTTGTACTATAAAGAATAAGCTAACTACTATTAGAAATCAGTATACTAATGTGATATCAGTAAATGAATATCATGAGTAGATTAATAATTATTAAGGTCAACCCTGGGTTACTAAGGTTAACCTAAGAAATCTCTATAATATCTATAACTTATCTTTTAGATAGATAGCTAGTAGCTAGATATAAATATAAGATCTTATCTTAGGTAAGTAAAGAGGTATTAGCCTAGTCTATCTTTCTTTATCTTTAATAATATTATCTTACTTATAGTAATTTTATTTAGTAGTATATCTAAAGTTATAGATAATAAGAAATTAAATACTCTTACTTTATTAAATTTATATTTATCTTAGTAAATACCTACTACTCTTCTCTATAAGTAACTACTAAATTTAAACTAAAAGATAGTAGAGTAGTTATACTTAGTAAAGAGTTTTTATTATAAGAGAACTCTTTATTAAGTCTTATTAGAAAAAATAAAAATAAAATAAGATATAATAACTCTAGGCTAGAGAAGTATTACTTAGTTACTAAAATAAGTCTTAATAAAAAATAATCTCTATAAGATAATATTCTTAAACCTCCCTATTAGAACTACTAGTAATAACTAGCTACTTATAGTAAATAATCCTACTAGGGATCTACTAGAGGATATAAAATAAGTCTTTATTAAATTATTTAAGATAATAGCCTAAGAAGTACTACTTACTAATATTAATATACTTTTTTAAAATATTTATTAAAAATAATATAATAAATAAGTACTACCCCTAGGATTATAAGAGATAAATTATTATTATAGATTATTATTTATTTTTAAGATCTTAAATCTTACTCTTATCTTAGAGTATAAAGATATATATATATAAGAGATATTATCTAAGAATAATAAAAGAGAGTTAAGAAATATTTTAGAGATATCTTATTAATAATAAGAAGAGTTCTCTCTAATCTAGAATATCTTATTATTATTAAGTAAAAACTTATAGAATATATTTATAAGAGATAGAAAATAAATAAAATCTAATTATAGATTAATCTTATACTAGTAATTACTAATATAGAAATCTTTTATATATAGTTATTAAAGAACTTTAAGAAATATAATATAAATAATAAAAGATAAAAGAAATATAAAAGCTTTATTTAAGATTTATAACTTATATAGCTATATATTACTATCTTAGATAAAGCTATAATATATATCTCTCTCTTAGTATATAAAGCTTCTCTTATTTAAAAATTTAGTATTAAGAGTTAATTAAAGCTTAGGAAAAGATAGATAAAGAACTAAATATAATTATAAATATATAATAAAATAATTAAATACTTCTCTCTTTATAAGAATAACTTAGCTACTACTTAATAACTTAGAGGTAACCTATAATTAAAACTATAATTTAATTAATATAATAAAGATTTAATAAATCTAAGTATAATTATTAGCTCTTCTTAGCTAAAGAGAAACTTTCTATAACTAAATAAGAATTTATTAAAGTAGAAATTATAATATTACTAAAATAAAGTATATTTTATATATAATAAAACTAGATATCTCTAACTATATCTCTTAAAGATAATAAAAAATAAGAAAGATTAATAAATCTAGAGATACTTATTAATTAAATAAAGAAAGCCTCTAATTATTAGAATATATAATATAATCTTTTTAAAGATAGGAAGGAAGAACTACCTAAAAGAAGAAATCTTTAATTATTATAAAGAATTACTAAGGTATATCTAAATATAATAGATATTAACTCTATATATTATATAATAGAAGTATAAAATAAGAGATAAATAATTTAGATTAAGACTCTTATTTACTATAGAGCTAGTTACTTATTTATATCCTAAATAATTATTAATTATCTTAATATAATAGAGCCTTCTTATAATAAAAGAAAAATACCCTTAGTTATATAACTATTAAATAGAGCTATAATAAATACCTACTAATAAGTAAGAATACTAATATAAATTAAGTAATAGACTAGTCTTACTAAATTATAGATCTTAAATATTAATAAGTATAAGATAATCTTAGGTTATAACTAACTAAAAATTACTAATTTATAGATTAACTAGTAATTAAACTAAATAACTCTTTAAAATAAGAGAAGAATATATTTTACCTACCCTATTAACCCCTAATATAAGATTAAATATTATAAAGATAACTTAGTATAGTAGGTAACTATAAAATAACTAAAGTAAATCCTATAAAAAGAGAAGTTAATAATATAATTATACCTCCTCTAAACTAGTAAAAAGGAATTAATAACTATAAATTATAATAAATAAATAAAAGATTTTAAGAATATATTCTAAGAAGAACTTAACCTAGGAATACTATCTATCTAAGGGATAGACTATATTATTAATATTAGTAATACTAAACTAACTAATATAAATACTTATCCTTAATTACTAGAGAAGTTTAAGAAAACCTACTACTAAGTAGAAGAACTACTATAAAAAGAAGTAATCTAGGCCTTAATAAGCTAGTAAGATTTATTAGTAATATTAGTCCTAAAGCTAGAGAGAAAATAATAAATATATATAGATTATTAAGTACTTAATAAAGTTATTATTAAGAATATTTATCTATTTCTAAGAATTTAGAAGTTAATTAACTAAGTTAGTTAAGTAAAGATCCTATTAAAAATTAATCTTTTTTTAAGATATTAATAATTATAGATAATAAATAATTTAATTACTAAGATAGTATTTAATACCTTCTTTAAGAAATATAAGTTTCTTATAATACTATTTAGACTCTATAATATATCTATAATATTCTAGATATATATAAATAGTTAACTATAAGATCTCCTATATATAGTAGTATATCTTAATAATATCTTAATATTCTTAGTAAGTAAAGAGGAATATAAATAATATATATAAGAAGTTCTTATCTAATTATAGAGGAACTAGCTATTTATAAAAGTCTTAAAGTATAAATTTAATTAATAAGAAATTAAATTTTATAGGTATATTATTAAAGAAGGAACTATAAAGCTAATACTAGCTAAGATAGAAGTTATTATCTAATAGCTAAAACTAAAAAATATCTATAAAATATAATAATTTCTTAGACTTATAATATATCTCTTTACTTATCTAAGATAAGATCTTATATTTATATCTAGCTACTAACTATCTATCTAAAAGATAAGTTATAGATATTATAGAGATTTCTTAGGTTAACCTTAGTAACCCAGGGTCAACCTTAATAATTATTAATCTACTTATGATATTTATTCACTGATATCACACTATATAGGGGGAGGAAGGCCCCTATAGGAATAAGAAAAAGAGGGATAGAAGGAGCTATAATAGTAATAGTAATAGTAGTAGTAGTAGTAGCAGGGGTAGTAGTAATAGGCCTAGTAGGGGTAGTAGTAGCAGGCCTAGTAGTAGTAGTAGTAGTAGTAGTAGTAATAGGTATAGGGGGGAGAAGTATAATAAGTAGTAGTAGTAGTATAAAGACTACCTCCTCCTCCTTTTATAAGAACTATTAGTAAGGATACTATAGACTTATAAGCCTTTACTTATCTTTAAGAGATTAGAGGGGATAAGTAAGAGTAGAGATATAAGAGAAGAGATATAAAAGAATATTTTTTTATAAAATATCTTATAATATCTTAACTATCTCTTTCTAAATATTATAAATTACAGAAGGTCCCTTACTAAAACTTTTATAATAAAAACTAGGAAAAATATAGAAGATAAAGAGAAGAAGAGTTTATATAATCTATAAAAATTATTATTACTCTAAACCCTACTCTATAAAAATTTTATATAATAAGATTAGTAAGGGATTTATAGGAGCATTATAAGAATAAGTAATATAAATCTAAAATATACTATAAGAAGATTTTAATAATAATAAAAATATTATAGTTAAAGAGGTCTATCTATAACTAAGTCTTTATAAGAAGATAAATAAATATAAGTTTATAAAAGAAAAGAATAATAAATCTTTTTTATTATTTATAATTTTCTCTTTATAAAAGAGGGTTTTTATTAAATAAAGATTTTTACTAGTATATCCTATTATAAATAAGGAATCTTAGATAGACCTTAGGGGCTAAGATCTTTTAAGAGGAGGGGTAGTTATAAGGATTATAAAGCTCTATTATATATTATATTAAAGCTATTTTTATAGAGGAACCTACTAATAAGAAGGCTCCTTATAAGAGATTATATAAATAGTTATATAACCTATAAAGATATAAACCCTGCTTATAACTACTAAACTCTAAAGATTAGTAATAATCTCTTTGAATAAGGACACCTATATTTGAATCTATTCATGACCATTCTTCTTTCACACTAGTTTCCAATTCTCGCGGATCATAGATCCTTATATGAAATCAATATCCAGTCATGTGGAAATGCACCAAGCAATGTTCTAATAAGCAGACCTATAAGTTATGGTCCAAATAGTGGTTTTGTAGGGCACTTAAATAGTCTAGAACTGAAAGCTAAAAATACTTATTCTTACTCCTTTGTCACCTTTCACCAGCATAAAGGGTTAAATTTTCCAGCTGTTAGTCCCCAGATGCTTGTTGATAGATGGCAAGCTTTAATATCTGTGATATACTCCTCTGGTTTAAGGGATTTTGCTTCCTTCCAGGCTTGATATACCTGTTTTATTGGTGGGTAGAGATGAAGTGCTTCTTTGATCAGATTATTTGCAGATGCCCTATCTAGTGAAAAGGCTCTGTTAAATTACTCTGCTATAGGCTTTTCTGAGTAACTTATGAGCACTTACCTCCAGTGAGTATATGCTTTGCCTATTTTGTATATGACCTTAAGGAAGCACTGTAAGATGATTTGCCATATGATCTTAAAACCAGGCAATATCAAGTTTAACAGGTTCGCGCATGGATTTAAAATATTTTCATCTGGTAATACCTCAAAGAGAGCTGTTTATAGTTTATCATTATTTTTAAATGCTATGAGGGTGCCTTCCTTTTTAGATATAATCCATAAGTTGTTGATAGCCTCAGCCAGCTCAGTAAGGGCTTTAAATGAGACATCCTTAGTGGCAGCTTCCTTCTTAAGAAAGAAAAATACCATCAGAATAGTGTTGAGAGTCATTAACTATACTATAGGTATGAGTCCAACTTCACATTAAGATTTGCAAGCACTATAGACATTGCTTTTCCATCACTTAATAGCATCTTAAATTACTGAAGCAATAATATCCCAGCTATTACTTAAGATATTGATAAGACCCCTTAACATCTTAACAAATTCCATAATGTAGCCTTCTTCTTCACTTATGAAAGCATTTTAAATCCCGAATGTTCACTATAGTAATTAGTTTGGGATACTTCTGGATTTGAATGGTGTAAGCTGATTTTCTTAACTATGGATTATTTCTGCTGTAATGAGTGAATGAATCTCACTCAGTGTGTAATAAACTATCTGTCAATCTAAAGCTTCTAGAGAAAGGACTTGGGCTTATTAATGTGCTAAAATTATGGTAGTAAAGATAAGTATAATAAGCATGACAGTAGAGAGAATGATGTTGTCTTGACACATCTTATTATAATGGTGAACAAGCTTGGAAGAAGTACTGTGGTGAAATTTTGAAGACCTTATAGTTGAGATTTGAATTAAGCAAGAGTGTGAAGATATGATAATGCCAAAATCCTTATATTACTAGGTGTGCCTGTCTACAGGGAATATTAAGCATGGAGAAAGAAGGAAGAAGGAAAAACAGGCCTATGCCTCAGATCAAGGATATAAATATCCCTGTGTGAGCTCCTTTACCCATCTAGGCACTGCTTAAGGCTATTACCATATCTGGCTCTGACTAGGGCTTCGTGCCCTATCCTAAGATACAGCAGGAAAGGCCGTCCCGGCGCCTGTTCAGGGCTATCCCGTAGGTCCAACTATCACAGTTATGATCACTCGTTGGAGTTTCCATTTTTGGGTAATTTTAGGGCTAGGGCTGTCGACAGAATGTGGTAGATGATAAAAATTTTGGGAAGTAGTAGTGGTGACTGAGAAGTAGTATTAGTTTAATTGTCTAGATGAGAATGGTAGCAATAACATGCTAATGAAAAGTACTGATATCTATAAATAAGCCATTCTTCTGGACTTGTTACAGAAGGGGCTTTGTGGGTTGCATTTCCTCAGTAAATATAATAAGTCTGCTAGACGCGCCTTGAGCATTTGTAGAAGATTTTTTGCTCATATTATAGGTGACCTTGATGATTATAACCTTGATGATTATAACCTTGATGATTACAGCAGCAGCAGCAATAGTAATAGCAATAGCTATAGGCAAAGTCCTATCTTGCCACAGCAGCAGTGTTCTGGATCTTCTGTGAAAGCTTCTGACGGCCCAAATTAGCAGCAGAGAAATTAAGCAGCTTCGGATGCCCTATCTGCTAATAACCTGCAAGGCCCAGGAGGATAGCTAGATGTAATTCTAAGATTCAATGCACACATAAACAGGATCCTGTCCATCCCTAAAGAGGTGTATAAGAACCTTGCTTCCGGGCATGATTAATCAGTCAGCTAAAGAAGAATTATAAACCCACACAGTTAATGGCCCTAATATCCTGCAGGATGCTTTTGGCCAACATGCATTGCTGCGAACTTGCTAGGTTTAATGACGGCCACTTCTCCTCTTAGGCTGCCCATATTGTTATCTTCACAGTCAGTAGTAGGCCACCTAAGAGGGAACAGTATTGAGTAGTTGCTAATTAGTTTTTTAATCCTAGACTCTTATGTCAGTGTATTAAACCCCTGTGTATCTGGCTGCTTACCTAGTTAACTATTTTTATACTTTAACAGTCTCATTGCTGTTCATAATTATCTATGGATAACCCACCCTGTGTCAGAAAAGGAATGTTAGCTCTATCTCAGAAGTAACACAGATAGGTCTCCACAGGGAATCTTCAATCTCAGCCTGATAACTCATGTCCCAGTCTTTGAGGGTTAATTATGATAATTTAATGTATGGTAATGAGGGGATACTTGGCCATTTAGTTAAAAGCTGCTGTTTAGGACAGTTAGACATGATAAGGCTACAGCAAGGCCATGGCAAGGCACCAGAGCTGTGAGATCATGGGGTAGGGTTCTGAAGCCCTAGGAACAAAGAACTAGGAATAACTTTAGATAACACTAGATTAGGAAAGGGGCACACACATAGAGGCATATAAAATCCCCCTAGAGCAGTGGATTCCTGTCCTTCTTCTTCTTTCCCTTCTCATGCTTAATATTCTCATTAAACCGCATGTAAGGATCGCGAAGGTCTATTATGTATTATATTAAAGCTACCTTCGCAGAGGAGCCTACTGATGAGAAGGCTCCTTGTAAGAGGTCATGTGAATAGTCACATGACCTACAAAGATATAAACCCTGCCCGCGACTACTGAACTCTGAAGTTCAGTGATAATCTCTTTGAATAAGGACACCTACATTTGATTCTATTTGCGAACATTCTCCTTTCACACTAGTTTCTAATTCTCACAGATCATAGATCCTTATACCGCACCTCTATATGCAGCATTAGCTAGTTTAAATACATGAGATTGGCACTGTCACACTGTTGCCTTATGAGCTAGGCTCTTGACCTGGGTAGCTTTATTCTTGAGGAGTTATTTAAGATAATTTTTTTGATTGGCTGATAGCCTGACTTTATACTTGTTTGGAGACTCATATCTCTATTAGAACAACATTAACTCTAAGAGAAAATCTGAATCTAAAACACTAGCTCAGTTAAGATGATGCCACTGCTGTTTAATATTAAGACATGCATATGGATGGTGGTATAGTATACCTCTTAATCACCTAATTATAGGAGATATGCTAGAGTAGCTAGGTATTACAGGATGACCCACACCCATTAGTGGAACATTCTAGAATAACTTTTTCTTGGATATAGCTGTTGATACATGGCCAGGCGGACCCGGTCCAACAGCCCACTGGGTCATCCATTCATAGCCATGTGGCCTAGCCAGCCAACTAGCCATGGACGTACCTCCCGCAAGGCCATCTAATGCGGCGAGCTTGAGCTACCGCAGCGCAGTCTCCTATACAGTCATCCTGTGGAGCCATCTTATGGGGCTGTTAGGCTGTCTGGCTATACCTTTTTCTAACTGTAAGGGCTTAATCAACAAACTAATATTAGAAGCTAAACATGAGAAAACTAAGCATGGAGAGGAAAAGAGGAAACAGGAATATAAGGCTATCCTCAGATGCCCTTTATGTGGCGTGCTCACATGATTGGGGATAACCCTCTCTAATAACCCTACCCGCGACCACATGTCCAGAATATTATTTCCCCACTTCCACAACTAGTAGTTCTGCAAACTATACACATTTCTGAATAACCTTATGCTCAGCCGTCACACCAATAATCCTTCTCCAATGAACAACACCTACTATCAAAAGTATACTAGAGACAGTAATACCGCAGCTACTAAAGGGCAGCAACAAATATTATCAAATCATCTTACTCCTGCGCTGAGAAGATTTCAGCCTATAATTCTTGGATTAGAGACAGACCATATTATTCATAATAATAATCTACCATCAATTATTTGCCCATCAATATTTTCACCCATCACTTGTAATGAACGCTCGATGGAATGGAAAAGTATGAGTCATCGCATTTCCGGCCTAGACGCCTGTCGATCGTTTCAGCCATTGCGCTTGACGTCAGTGTTTTCGCCCCACATGTCACGGTGCCTCATGCCGTCCCGCCCGTTCCTGTCGTCTCGACCTGTCTCGACTGTTCCTGCCGTTCCTACCGTTCCCACCGTTCCGTCTATTCTTACCACTCCGCGTGTTTCTGCCGTTCTGCCTGTTTGTCCTGTTTACTCTGTTTGTTCTGTTTGCATTCGAACCCTGATGAGAAGGCCTGATTTTCGACATACCTGAACATGGTGAAAATCGGAGGGGTCCGCGGGGGTGTTGATCACTGTGGGGCCCCGATGAAATGAGCGTTGTTGCCTAAGTCTACCTGACTAAGACTGGGAGCTAAATCCAAACAGAAGGTCTAACAGGGATGGTGGCGTTGTCACATGATATGTCACGTACAAGGGCGCTAACAAGTAACAACAACTGAAATCTCCTGTCCACCCAAAGCCCAGCTCCGTTGCCTTCCTGAGACATCACGTTCTGGATTGGTTTCACCAAAATATTGATCATGAAACGGGCAGCCACTCCTGGTTTTCGCAACGACGGGGATGAACGACCCGCGAAGCTGCGACGCCGAAACAGTTCAAGCACGCTTCCAATCCCGTCGAACGGACAACAGAAGGAGCAGACGATACCACAACCGCCTTCACCTTTATCGAACAATCATAGCATCAAGGTCAGTTCCAGTGCAAATAACCATAACGATGTGGCTCAGTGGAACATAGGTCGATAAGCCAGATTACAAACCTGTAGCTCCGCCTCGATCAAAAAAGGTCAACGACCGCGAGAACGAAATATTCCAGTGGATTCCTCCTCCCTCGGACGATTTTGAAGTTATGAGTCAGCCAGCACCCAAAAGATCGCGATCACGATCGATCTCGACTGATCGCGGACGACCCCGTTCCATTTCACCGAGTACTAGTGCCTCATCTCGGGATGCTAAATCATACGCCTACAAGGCTGCGAATTATGTTACAATACTCGAGACCAAGGGCTGCTACATGCGGTCATCAGATGCGGGTCCGATCCCGGACGACGTGGATCTTTGCAAGCGACTGCTTGATCCATCAGTTGATACTCCACATGGGAGCTTATTTGACGACGAGTACATCAAGGCCTTTCATGATATATTACAAAATCGATCAGAAGCCCGGCTGTTAGTAGATTTACACCCATATCTCATGCCATCTGCAGAAAATCTTTTTATTAAAGGCAGGGCAGATCTAAAAAATGTGATTGATGGTTATAATGATCCATGGCTAAAGACAGAGCCTATCTACGGTCCTAAACCGCAACCGGATCATGCCCAAGGCTTGAAGTGGTCAATCTTTTCAGCGAGCCAGCGACGAAAGCTTGGGATCAAACCAGATGAAAAATCTTTTTATGCAGTCCGAGAGGATATGTATTTTCCATATTTAACCGCAGAAATTAAATGCGGGAACCAGGCATTGGAATTTGCTGATCGGCAGAACATGCACAGTATGTGCATTGCCCTTCGGGCTGTGGTTAGTCTCGCGCAAGCAGCTGGTCGAGAGGGAGAAGTCCATCAGCGGCTCCTTGGATTTTCAATTTCACACGAATTAGAAGGCGTACGGATCTACGGATACTATCCAGAGATCGACGAAGATGACATTAAATACTATCGCTGGCCAGTGAAGAAATACAATATATGGACAGAGGCAGATAAATGGACATGTTATCGTTTCGTGGAGAAAGTCAATCAGGAATTCCTCCCCACTCATATCAACCGATTAATGCAATTCCTGGAAGAGATTCCCGATCCACAAGATGTCTCATTCGAGCTCGATATCGATGACGACATTGGTTCCCAATCACGAATTGCGTCTCAGGAACGCTCGTCATATAGCCGGGCCACATCTTCACAGCATCGGGTCCTACAACCAGAGCTACGAAACATGATTCAGACCTTGCAGCAGCAATTAGACGAACAGAAGGCGCGGGAAGAGAAGCTTCTCGCCCAGTTGGAACAGCAGAGAGTCGAGCAGAAGGCACGCGAAGAAAAATCATCTGCAGAGCATAAGAGTCGAGAGGAGAAGCTCCTTGCCCAAATAGAACAGCAGGGATTGCAACTAGAAAGGTTTCTTAGACTTTTGGAACAGAATAAGGAGTGAAGTCGGTGTCTTAATATCAGCGCCTAACCGAAGAAGACATATGCCTGCTTGATTGTATATCTACCCAGTCACTGCTATGCTTTGAGAACAGGGTTATAACATCATGATGAACATACTCCTTCACACCACAATAGATAGCTCCCTTGAAAACAAAAGCCATATTTGATCGTCAACACGATACAGCACGATTCTTTAAATTTCTTCAAGTCGCATGTGGCCTCCTGTTCTAGCCAACCCCACAAAGTAATGCGCAGAGCACGTCCCACACTTTCGTGATGGTTTCGTCAAAATAACTTCTTGCTCAATCCGTCTGGTTGGAAAAATGCGCGCACGTCCCGCAGCCTTGAACAGTGAAGTGAGTGTCCGAGCTTCACCCATCGTTTAGTCTTGCTAACGATCTGCAGTGGAGACCCACACCCGACACCGAGTAAACAAGATCCTCTCCATGGATCTGTACTTTTCAAGGGAGCGAACGGCGGGAGTGTGTATCAGCACACGTTTACCCGAGTGGACTTGTGAAGTTTTCTACAAAGAAATATTCGGAGGTCAATGTCGGTCGTGATTCGGAGGCCCCTGCTGATGAGTAAAAATAATATCAGTGAGAAAAAGCAACAGATGATACTTGTTGAAGAGCGGATGGAGGAATGAGTCTTCAGTTAGCGCGTGCCAAGCCAGAATTGGCGCTAGATAGTGGAGCCGTCCTGCCTTTTTTATATTGACTTTGTTATATAAATTCATATTTATACTTCTCATTGACGCTTCTTTTCAAAATGTAGTCCATAAGCCGTGCCTCAAAACGCATATCTTTCCTTTGTACCAGACTTTCTCCAGTATCGCCATCAGTCCCGGCGACATCCGTTCCTCAAGGCGAACTTGTCGATGAAGAGATCAGCCCTGGATATAATCCAAAACAATATTATCCAGCGAGACCGGGACAAACTCTTGCTAATAGTTATCAACTGTTGGTTAAGATTGGATGGGGAGCGGGTTTAACTGTATGGCTCGCTCGAGATGTTGCAAGGCATGAACCGTTTCTTTTTATGTTTGGTCACATTTCCTATCACTAACTCTAAAGCGGACCTTTGATAGATATCGACGGCAGACTGAGCGCTTAGTGGCCTTGAAGATCATAAACAATGATAACCCAGAAGGCGCCTACCGTGAGCGTGATATTGAAATACACATTGGACAGCAAACCGCCTCACATCGTGGTCGTCCCGTTATCCGCAATTGTCTCGACAACTTTGAGGTGGCAGGCCCTATAGGAACCCATTTATGCTTGGCCTACGAACCTGCACGAGAACCACTCTGGATTTTTCAGAGAAGGTTCGAGGGCGAGAGGTTTCCTCTATCAATGGCCAAGGGTTATATGCTTATCCTTTTAGCTGGCCTTGATTACCTCCATTCCCAATGCAGGGTTGTACACACAGGTGAGTAACACACCAACACTCGTATATTTAGGAATATCCAACTAATATTTATTTCCAGATCTGAAGTTCGACAATATACTAGTAACGTTCGAAAACGAAAACATTCTTCCCAAGTTTGCCAGAGAACAAGCGGTTCATTCTATGCAATTCAAAACGGATCCAGATACCGGTCGTGTTGTCTATCGCTGTCATAATGACTTCGGGCCCCTCGATCCGAGCAAGTTAGGGAACATATATCCTCAAATAACCGATTTTGGTGCGTCTACATTACTTGGTGATGACAGTAATAATGAGGCTACTCAACTTGGTACCCGTCCCATACAGCCTGACTATTATCGTGCGCCAGAAGTTATTCTTGGTTGCGGCTGGAGCTTCAGTGCAGATATATGGAATTTGGGTGTTCTGGTAAGGGATACAAATGAAACATGCATATTAATTCGCATATGTTGACTCATATCCCCCAACAGGCGTGGAATATAATCGAAGGTACAGAGTTATTTACTCAAGTACAAGATGCAGGAGGAAATTACGTTTCAAAAGCACATCTCGCGGAGATGATAGCACTGCTTGGCCCGCCACCCAAGAAATTACTTGCGATGTCAGATTCAATGGCGCAGGTCGAATGGTCTCCAGCTATTACAGATGAGAGAGGCAAGACGTATAAAAATAACAGAGACTATTTTGGTGGACCATTCTTTGATGGAGAAGGTGGGTAACCCATGTTTCAACTCACATACTTCACGCTGATTTAGTTGGTAGGCAAATTCCTTCACGATGATCTGGTACCGACACGGAAATTTGAAGATACACTTCCATCTTTAGAAACTAGTGAAAGAGAGGCTTTTCTATCTTTTATCAAACAAATGCTTGAATGGCTACCTGAAGAGCGAAAGACGGCGCGGGAGTTGATGGACCATCCGTTCCTCAACAATTGATTGGCTCTTACCATGGCTCTATTCTTATTAAAACGTTTACGAATGACATAACACCATACCGAAGCTACTCTTTGCCTCGGAGACAGACTCGATAGAGTTCTCCTAGCAGGCTTAATGACGTTAATTCGGATCGGTTCTTGAGATATCTGCCATGTCGACTCTGTCTAGTGAATATCAATCGCTGTGTGGAATCGAGTTCCACAGATCTAGTAGACCGAGGCATGCTATATCGAGGTGACGGTTCTGCTAAATGTAGTGATGTTTTTGATTCCGAACAGGCAGTAAAGAGCTACAGGTAAAGGACGGCTCCTCTGGTCGGGATCCTGGCTCGGGGTGATTCGGCCTCGTCGCAGACATCATCCAGCCAGGTGATCCATCTCTCTCCTCGATGGAATCGCCGAAGACGTTCACGAATTGGACTCGGCTCCTTTAGTTTATAAAACTGCAATTGACATCTGCCTCCGTCCGACAAGGGAAATCACAATCCGATCTTCCGCTATGAGAGGCCATCCTCTTCCACCAACCGCGTTAGACAAGCATTCTCGTCTTCTTGCCGCGTTGGACTTCACGAATCATTCTCAAGACAATTTCCTCCGCCTCAGTTCCAGCGCACGGCTTGCCCCGCTAGGCACATTCTCTGTTTCAGGCGACTCCGCCCTATCTTTTCGATCCCCACAAGGCGCTCGGTGCGAGCGTCTAGTCGGCTTCGGTGCGCGTGGCTTGACAGGCGGTGCTCTTTGACTGTGAACAGAGTCTTATTAGCGCACAAGATGTTTACACTGGCGGAGCTCAAGAGCAGCTGGAGGCCGTCTCATTGATCGCTTGATTACCTTGACGCGAGTTCATCATCGTCATCCTCTATTATAAGACCGGCCCCCAGCTCCAGGCTCTCGAGGCCATGTGCAAAAGATAGCAGCAGCTCGAAGTATTGTACTCAACAGTGCCTTTGTGGCTTGTGCTGGAGGGGACCACTGGATAGAAAATGACCCAATGCGAGCGAGCATGGAGTCGACCGACATTGACTAAACACAAAAATGCTTATCGATTTGTTGGATCGACAGCTTTCTGAGGACCCCGACCCTCACTCAGAGCTCAGTTGCGAATCACTTCACGTATGTGCTACTCCCTAAAGGATTCTATTATTATAAAGAGTTTCTAGTTATAGATACTATAGTTCTTCTCTATAGATTATATCTTTTATAAGAAGAAGGCTACTAGCTACTAATAATCCTCCTTACTTAGCTATAATAATATTCTATAGATAGTATATCTAGATGCATCTATTTCTATTTATAAGTAGTACTTCTTATAAAAGTAGATAAGTACTACCTACTCTATAAATACTTTTTTTAATTTATTAAAGATATTTACTACTTCTAGGGTTAGGAACTCCTTTCTTAGAGTCCTCCTCTTACTCCCTAAGCTAGGTTTTTATAGGAGGTCTAAGAGATATATTAAAAAGTATAAATACTCCTTAATAAACCTCTTATATTAGTTAGTAAACCCTAGGAATGCTAAGATCTTATTTATAGATTCTGGCTATAGTTATTCTATAATAGTATTAATCTATAAAGATTCTATTTCTAGACCTTCTAATATAATTATATAGCCTAAGAAGTTAATTCTCTTTATTATAAAGAGATACTTACTTAGCTTCATAAATAGTCTTATTTATTAGAGTTAGATTATTATAATGGAATTACCAAGGGTAAGGTAGTATCACCAGGGGTGAAGAGAAATAGGCTGGGCTAATGCCTCTTTACTTACCTAGGGTAAGATCTTCTATTTATACCTAGCTACTAGCTATCTATCTAAAAGATAAGTTATAAATATTATAGAGATTTCTTAGGTTAACCTTAGTAACCTAGAATTAATCTTAATAATTATTAATCTATTTATAATACTTATTTACTAATATCACATCCTCCCCTACTTAAGATAAAGCCTATCCTTAGTAGATTATCTAGCTCCTTACTAAAAGATCCTTATAGTCTAAGGGAGTACTATTATACATAGTAAGTAGGATTAGATTTATACTTAATAAGTAGTATTAGATTATACTTAGTAAGTAGTATTAGATCATGCTTAGTAAGTAGTATTAGATTATACTTAGTAAGTAGTATTAGATCATGCTTAGTAAGTAGTATTAGATTATACTTAGTAAGTAGTATTAGAATATATATAATAAGGAGGGTTGCTAGTATGGTTATTATAGTAAAGATAAGGTAAGGTAAGGTTATATATTATTTATTTTAATTTTAAGTAACTCTACTTTACCTTATTTATTCTTTTTTTATCTCTTATATTTCTTCTTCTCTTCTTCTTTTCTTCTCCTATAAGTATCTTTCTTTTTATTATATTAATTACTATCTTCTTTTAGTAAATCTCTTTCTTTATATACTAGTCTCCTATATTCTTCTTATACTTAGTAAATATAAATATCTTATAAAAGAAGGGCAAAGGCTATCTTATCTATTAGAAGAGTATAATTATTTTTAATAAGTTTAGTAAGTATTCTTTCTAGCTTTAGTAATTACCTCTTATTAGTAATAGAAGCTTATCTTAGCAGGCCTAATAAAAGCATATTAAAGGTGATGGATATTATTTACTTAATTATCTAGAAGTTTAATAAGGAGAGGAAGCTAAATATAAAGAAATATACTTATTTAGGCTATATATTAGCTATTTTTCTCTAGTAGTAAGATATATCTTATAATTATATATTAGCTTATAGTAATTATTTCTTAGGTAAGGATTCCTTTAGGGGATGTATCTCTACTCCTAGTTATAATAAACTTATATTCTTTTAGGGGTCCTATGCTAACTATACTTAAAGTAATTAGAGATTAATATATTTATTCTATATATAAGGCCTTTATATATAGAATTTTAATACTCTTAATAAATATATATTCTTCTTAGTAAATATTTCTTATCTATAGTTACTAATCTTTTTTACTCCTATAAATCTATTATTTAAGCTAGTAGTCTTAGTTTCCTTACTAATTATAGTAATAAGTTATATAATTAGCCTATAGAGTTAGTAATAGTAACTAATAATTATAATAAAGAGTTAGATAATAGCACTAGTAAAGGTTCTCTAGATAATATTAAATATATATAGTCTAGTATAGAAGATAATATTAATTCTTTTATAGTAAAGATAGATTCTTTTAGTATTTCTTATAATAAAGGCTCTTCTCCTATAGTAGAGATAGATCCTTTTAGTATTTCTTATAATAAAGGCTCTTCTTCTATAATAGAGGAGACTTTAACTAAGAAGTATTATCTTTTTTTAAAATATTCTATAGTAATAGTAATTAGTCTAGCTAAGGAATATTATTTTATTATAGTAATTTTTTTTTATTCTTAAACTAATTCTTCTTTAGTAACTCTCTCTCTTACTTAAGATAGTTTAGTTAGGTTAACTCCCTCTCTCTCTTAGATTAGTTCTATTATAGTAACTTCTTCTTATACTTTAGTAAGTATCTTATTAGTAGTCTTAATAGAGAGCTTTATTAAATATTATTCTTCTTTATTATTACTTAGTTATAAAAATCTCTTTAATAAAGTTTATATTCCTTAGCTAATAAGTTATATTAACTAAGGTAATTATTATAATCTTTTTATAGTTCTTTAGGATCTTTAGATATTTACTTATTATATTAAGGCTTATCTAAAGGAATTAGCACCTCCTCCTAGTAATAATAATAATTTATTTTAATTAGCTAAGGTGTTATCTTATAGGGTTCTTAATATAAAGTTTAACTTAGACTTTTAATTAGTAATTATTTATTACTTAAGTTAATTAGTATAATTCTTAATATCTTATTATAATTAGTTTTTTTTTATAATTAGTAAAATCTACTAGTTTATAATTCCTTTTCTTCTTCTTAGAAAAGTAATTCTAGTATAGTACTATTTTCTAATCTACTTATATAAATATATTATCTTTATATTACTTTATTTACTCCTAATAAGAGGATATTATAACTATAAATAGTCTTTTAAAATTTATCTCTCTAGTATTCTTTTAAGATATTAATTTTAAATTATTACTTTAAATTCCCTTCTAGTCCTTATTATCTAAAATAGTTAAGTCTTTATTATTCTATGGCTCTAGTAACTCTATTTATTATTATATAAGATAGCTATTCCTTACTAATTTTTATTTACTAATATATTAAGTTTTTTACTTATTTATTTTATATTATATCCCTAATCCCTCCCTTACTTATTATAAACTTTCTCCTAAATATTTTTACCTATTATATCCTTCTGCTATATACTATAATAGTTCTTTATATAATAATATTAGGGGATTAGTCTTATTAAGCACCTTTTATATTTTAATTAGATTAGAGATTAATAGGCCTACTTTTTATAGCCTAGTATTAAGGCTTACTAATATCTATAGATATTATAAGTTATCTTTTACTTCTACTTCTACTAGTCTCTACTTATTAATAAGGTTCTTTAGGGTATATCTACCTAGTTCCTATAATATATATATTCTAAGGGGGTAGGCCTTAATTACCTTATATAATTTAAATTACTTACTCTTAAACTTCTAAGGGCTCTTATTTTATATAAGGATCTACTAGCCCTTCTTAAGATAATTTTTTTTTATTTATAAATCTTAGATTATCTCTCTCTTAATTATATATTCTAATAGCTTCTTATTTACTAGTACTTATATATATATTACTCTTATAAGTCTATTATAATTATTTTTCTTTATAGGTTCTCTTATATCTCCTAGTAATCTTAGTTTAATCCTA